TGATGCTCTTGATGCTCTTGATGCTCTTGATGCTCGGATGTGACGGGTAATCTCTGGTGCTCTGGTTGAGCCGACTGCTGCGACGCCAGGGGCTCCAACTCGCGACGCTGAGCAAGCTGCTCGTAGTATTGAGGCCCAGTGCTGTCGGCCATAGGAGAAGGATAACTCTGCTGCATCGCGGCACCCTCTGCCTCTGAGGCGGCCTTCTTGTCGTCGTCCATAGCCAAGTTCGACGCGCGTGGCGCCTTCAATGCCGGCGATGGATGCGTGCTGATCTGCTGCCTACTCCTTGTAGGCTGGCCCACGTTGCTGAACTCCACCAACCCTACAGAGAATCTCGCGCGCAGCTGGATAGCTTTTGTATACAACCGCGCACTCTGGAATCTTCATTAGCATGGGCAATGCGACCCTCTAACCGGGACAATGGCTGAATTGATGCTCAAGCATGATGCGAGATAGAATACATCTTAGTGATTGATGTATGGCTACCGACAGCATAGTCGAGACACGACAACATCGTGTCTCCGACGATACCATCCTCATGACTGTTTGAACTGCAGTGCAGCACTGTAGCCATTGGCAAATGGAGCTGCAGCGGAAAAGCCGATAAAGCTTTAAAACGTACCTTGGTTTGGTCAGGGGAAGCTATTCCCAGTCGGATCTGGACCTGGGATGACTGTCGCTGCGGAAGAACTGACCGCTCCGAGATCAAGGGAACGGAAGGAGTTTTCACCGTGGATTGGCAAAACGGAAATTTTTGGGTGACCGGGAAACTCCGGCAATCAGACACCAGGACCGTTTAGATACTGGATTTACACACTGTAGGGTACGGTGTCGCCGGGGGCCTTTAAGCGAGGATCGAGTTGGCACTCTGCTTAACCTGCTACTACATAGTTCTATAAAACACATATACAGTAAGCACCAACATGAAGTGCCCGACAAGGAAAATAAGACCTTGGATTATGGAATCACAACTTGAATTTAGAGAAACGGCCATATATTGTATCACACCCGCTCCGAATGCCCCCCTCCCCGAACAGCCCCTTTTCACCCTTGTGTATCAACCAGCAGTACGGACGCTCAGCTTGGTAAGCGAGATCGGGGAATGGCTTGTTGACTTTAAAACTTCAGCCCATTTTTGACCATCCATTACCCTAGTCAGGTATACAAGTCATCTCGACCGTAGCAAGCCGCACAGTTGACGGAAGTGCACGAACCCACCACCGCCGGCCAGTGCACAGGAGACCCAGCAAGCAACACGCACGAGACAGACAAGCGCAAAACACAGCTAAACAATCTGCCTATCCATTCCCATATACCCCAACAACAAAAACTAATGAAGAGGAAACTGCTGAAAGGGTATATAAGGTATATATAGCAGGGCAGTGACACAAGAGGGTTGAGTACATGAACCAGCTGATAGGTTTCCATTAAATACGTGTTTGAATCTGCCCCAGCGCACGCGGCGACACAACATCGGGCAAACCGATGTATTGGCAAACGAATAAAGTGAAGAGAAAGTAGCGAAAGATGGGAGGAAAACATAGGGGTTTGAGATACCCGACATTCTCTTCTTGTTCCCGTTGGGCCCAGCGGTATTTGCTGTCCCGGCAGAACACACCCCCTCCACATGGTCGGATGACAGATTCGCCTCTGTCCTGTCATCTACACACACAGCTGCTGCATGTTGGCCTGCTACTGGCCAGCTTCGAAAGATGTCCGCTCAAGCTGGCGTCGCCTTCTTGAAGTCGGTGATGGACTTGAGCATCTCGTGATGCTGGTTCCCCATCTGCTCCTCGAACTCGCTGAGCTGGCTGACCGATTTCTGGATCTTAGCGAGCTAGAAAAAGACAAGAGACCAAATGTCAGTACGCGTCGGGACAACACACACATATGTGAACATGAAAAAGAAGAGGGTGATTATAGGAATGCTGCGTGATAAGCTAGGGTTGTTCGCACCGAAGCTAATGCTGCCGAAGAATGATCCGGCTCTGCCTCACCTTCGGCGGATTGGTTGGCAGTGGTGTCCTCATTGGTGTCGTCGTCGTTGGCGCCGGCGAAGCGGCTCGCGGCCAGGCCCTTGGGTGGCTCTGTCTTAGTCTACGCATTGTTGTTGTCAGCAAGACACGGGCATGCATTATCGAACTATAACCCTAGAGCTTCGACATACCTTTGCCTCCGCCAGCTCCGCGTCCCTGACCTTGAGCTGTGCCGTAAGCTCGGCGATCTTCTGGTCCGCCTCGCCGAGCCGGTTTTCCGTGTCCGCGAGCTTCTTCAGGTTCTCCGCCGCCAGCGTCTGCGCCTCCTCGACAAGCTGCGTCATGCTGTCGTGCATATCCTTGTAGTCGGCCTCGGACGTCTTGAGCTTGGCCTCAGTCTCCAGCTTGTGCGCCTCCAGCTCCTTCAGGGCCATGGCCAGCTCCTCCTTGGAGCTGGCAAGCTCAGCAGCAGCCTTGCTCGAGGCCTCTCCGGCGCTACTAAGAGCCTCCTCATGACTAGCCTTGAGCTGGGCGATTTCTTTTTCGTGTGCCGCTGCGAGAGAGGCAAGTTGCTCCTTGAGGGCATCCAGCTCGGTCGTGTCGGGCTTGGCGTTCTTCGCGGCATCGAGCTCAGCCTGGGCAGTGAACTTCTCCATCTTCTCCAGCGCCAGCTGCTGGCTGAGGCTGTCGACCTCCTCCACTGCTTTGGCATGCTCGGCCTTGAGTGCCTCGAAGGCTGCATCAACCTCGCTCTTGGCCGCTTCCACCTTGGCCAGCTCCTCCGAGACCGACTTGGAGCTCGATTCATACTTGGACTTCAGCTCCTTGAGGAGACCGGCGTGTTCAGCCCGCAACTCGTCAAGCTGGGCCTTCGCGCTCGTTGTGCCCTCGGCTCTCAAGGCCTGCTGTGCCTCGTTGTGCATCGCGATGAGCTTTTGCACCTCAGCCGCATGGTCGTCCTCCAGAGCCTTCTTGAGGGAAGCAATGGCGGATGCATGGCTAGCCTCCGCGTCGGCAAGCTTGGCGTGGGCAGCCTGGACATCCTGCTGAAGGCCCTTGGCGGCCTCGAGTTCGGCCGTCAGTCTGGAAATCTCTTCGGCATGCTTGGCTTCCAATTCCTCCTTGGAACCGCCGGCCGCCTCGAGCTGAGCCGTCAGCTTCTCGATCTCCTCTGCATGCTTGGTTTCGAGTTCCTGTGTGAGACCGCTAGCCGACCCAAGCTCCGCCGTCATCTTGGCAACCTGCTCCGCATGCTGGGCCTCGAGCTCCTCCTTCAGCCTGCTGGCCGCCTCAAGCTGTGCTGTTAATTTGGCAAGGTCCTCGGTGTGCTTGGCCTCGAGTTCCTGCTTGATCTGCTCCAAGAGGGCAGCATGGCTGTCATCGCCCGCCGCCTTGGCCGCAGCAAATTCCTCGGCATGTTTGGCCAGCAGTTGCTCCTTCTCTGCGGCAGCATCATTCTGCAGGCTTTCGAGGGCTTCGGCGTGCGTAGCTTTCAAAGCCTCCAGCTGCTTGGCTAGGCTGGCTTCGCTCTCAGACCTGAGAATGTCAATCTGGCTGGCGTGGCTAGCCTTCAGGGACTCGATCTCCTCCGCGCTCGCTTGGTGCGCCTGCCTGGCCAGATTCTTGGCTGCTTCCAACTCTTCGGCATGGCTCGCCTGCAAAGCATCCAGAGCCTGTTGATGCTCGGCCTCTTTGGCCTCCAACGCCTTGACGGCGGCCTCGTGCTCAGCCCTGGCAGCTTCCAGCGCCTTGGCGTGGTTCTCTAGAGCTTCCTCGTGAGCCTTGGTGAGTTCATTATGCTTGACCTCCAGCTCCTCGAACCGCCGCTTGAAGAAGGCATCGCCCCGCAGACTCTCAATCTCGTCCTCATAATCCTGACTGATCTGCCGGAGCTGCTTCTGGTGGTGGTCGGCCGCGGCTGCGTGCTCCTCCTTCATCTTGGCGATCGTGGCATCCTTCGACTTTCTCTCATCCCTCAGACTTTCAATTAGCTTCTCGAGCTCGGCGTGTGAGCTGGTGGCGTTGGCGGCTTCTTCCTTGGCGGCCAAAAGCTCAGCGTCTATCTCGGCAACCTTGGCCTCTAGAACAGTTAGAGACGCTGTCTTCGCCTCAAGTTCAGACTCGGCAGCCTCGGCCCTCTTCTCAGCAGCTTCAACTTTGTCTTTGAGAACCGCGATTTCAGTTTCGAGTTTCGCCGACTCAGCTTGCAGCTTCGCCTCGTGCTCAACTGCAAAGGTTTCGCGAGCTGACATCAGATCGTCAACCTTCTTTTGCAGCTCGACGAGAGCGCTCTCATGGCTGGCATTGAGCGCTTGGATGGCCTTCTCATGGTTGGCAACGAGCGCGCTGTTCCCGCCCTGCAGCTCTTCGGCATGCTTGGCCTTCAGTTCGTCGAGAGCTGCTTCGTGTTGTTCCTTCAGGCTCTGCTGGAGCGCCTGAAGTTCAGCAGCGTGGTCCTCGCTTACCTTGGTCAGGTTCGTCTGGGCCTCCTTCAACTTAGTACCATGTTCCGTTTGAAGGTCTTGCAGGGTGGTCTTGAGCCCAGTCATCTCGGCCTCAGCAGCTTCCTTTGCGCTGGCAGCTTCGGCAAGCTGACTTCTCTGCGCAGCCAGCTCGGCTTCGGCGGCAGCAAGCTTGTCCCGGATCTCGGACACCTGCTGGTTCAAAGTCTCAACCTCGGCAGCATGCTCCGCCTTCAGGCCCTCCAGAGCTTCCTGGTTGATGGTGCCTTCAGGCGCTCCTTGGACATCTTCGGCAGCACCAGCCTTGTCGGTGAGCGATGTGATCTTCTCCTGAGACGAAGCGACTTGGGCCTTCAACTCGGCTATCTCAGACTCGCTACACGCGAGCTTCGACTTGAGGTCCTCGACTTCCTTGGCGGACTCGGAAGCGGCCGCAGCCGCGCTGGACGTACTAGATGCCAGCGAGGCACGAGGCGCATGGCGAGCAGTTGTGCCGGTTGTGTTCCCCGACACTGACGATAGCCGCTTCTTGGCCTCGGCTACGGCACCCGTAGCAGTGGGCCTAGGGGCTGTGCGGGTCGCAGGAGCGGGAGCCGACGAAGTTGTGGTGGAGGATCTTGAGGTGGTCGTCGACGTCTTCGAGGGCGTAGTGGCTGAAGCAGCGGGGGGTTTTCTTGCGGCGGCGGTGGTCACGGCAGTACTGTTGCTGCCCGTGGTTCTCGGCTTGCTGGGCGAGCTGGGAGCAGCACTGGGAGCTATCGAGGTGCGGCGGGATGTTCCAGTGGAGCCAGAGCCTGTTGTTCGCTTCTTCTCATCTTCGGAGACGGAGGGCCGCGAGCGGTGCGAGACAGTTGAGGCCGCGGTCGACGGCCGCTTGGCGGGGCCCGTTCCCGCGGCAGTCGTTCCGGCGGTAGGGCGGGTCGGAGCCTTGCTTACACCGCCAGCTGTGCTCGTCCGTGTTGTCGAGCTTGTGGTTGAGCTTGCCGCCAACTTTGTCGAGGTAGTGCCGGTGGCTGCTGGGCGACGAGCAGCTGCAGTAACCGGGGCTACGGTACGTTTGGTGCCGGCGCCGGTCGTCGTCTTCTTCTCTGCGGCTCCATTCGGAGAGACGGGTGTCGCGGGGGCAGCTGGCTCAGGTGCGGGTGCAGGGGCAGGAGCATCCGAATGCTGGACGACCTCGAAACCCTCGGCGTCGGACATGCTGGGCAATGCTGTCTCAAGATGACAAATGTGAGAAGGGCGTGGGAATGTTGAGCGGTAATGGGCTGACTACCTAATAATCGGTTTCCCTCCGAACTGTTAGCAGTCCGACGTGGAGCGGTGCGAGATTGCATGCAATAGAAAAGCAAAGGTCGGCCCCGTTCGCTAAGCAGCCCCTTGGCCATTGAACCTGGTGTTCAGGGACGAGACTCAAAGAAATTACCTAGGTATAGCTGTATCCGTACACAGAGTGCAATGAAGAGAAGGTGAGGGCTGAACGTAGGATCAACAAGCAGTCAAGCTGCAACTCACCTGTCCCCTGTTGCTGGGCTTCTCCCCGATTTCCAGACCTCTACAATCCCAAAGTGTCAACTGCCGAGAGCACGCCGAAAAGAGCTTGGACAGGTCTCTTGAGGCTCGAAAACGACAGATGCAGGAGAGATACTCCGTAGGAAATATAAGTTATGGTAGGAAAAGAGGTAAAAAGTTTGCCCTAAACACACATATACACCGGAACAGTTCACTCCCAACGGTGATGGCAATGGAAGGAAAGTTTCAGCTCAATATAACCGCGAGCAGGAGAGGTGAAGAACGACAAGCAGAACCCTCTCTCCCCTCATCCAATGTGCAGCGACGGGGAGCCCCGATTCCCAGACGGGTAAAGCGCTGGCTTTAGTGTGGTCTGTTACAGGGGTGGCACACGCTGCAGGAAAACGACTGGTGGGGGCTCATCAGGGACCCTCGAGCAGGGGTCGTTCTGCCACACCTCTTCTGCTTCCATCGTCATCTTGCATCCAGTTGGGCAGTTGCTGCCCCATCCAACACCTCGCGTTGCTGCACGATGCTCTGCTCAGGGCTGTCTCACATCGATTTGCCAACGGCATTCCTAAGAATCGTTCTCGTTGGAAGCATCGGATGGGGTCTTGCTCGCCCTGTCTGTTTCGAACTGCAAACTGAACTCATGTGCCTTATCCGTACTTCAGTATGTGAGCGTCCAGTAATGTGTTTGGAGGTCACATTCCTGTGTACAAGAGGCAGCCTGCAATGCATGCTTGACTCAATGCTCAAAACCTATGTATGTACTACATCAATGGGTTGATAAGCCGCATAACTCACCGGGATAGATTTCGATCTCAACCGGAATGTTGCCCCCCCGCCTTGGGAAATTGGGAAGGGGACAGGGCTGATCCTTTTCGCAGGCTTCCATACATGATCCAGTCAGTCGGAAGCGTTGTCTCATATAGACAGGCTGAACCATGCCAGCTCACATCTAGAAACTCCCCCAGAAAGGCCTCAAGAATGAGGATGCAGGATGCAAGGGCCGGCTCTCGCCCTGTCAGGAGCAAGCCGGCGACGTGTCGCTCGCTGGTTGGCAACGCCAAAGTAACAGTTAAATTCGCCTCTTCAATCACGCGGCTGATGCTGATAGACGAGAAACAAATGGTATCAAAGCAAAGGGGTATCAGTCGTGGCCGAGCAAAACTCTGTAGACGCATCCCACGGTCCAAAACCATCCACACCCAACCCCAGTACAAAGCGACCGACCTGTGTTGCAACAGACTCTTGAGCAGTCAGTGGCCCCGACTGGGGGACCGATACAGCCCTAACCTCCTCAACCGCTCCATCTCCATCCTAACTTCCCTCATCGTCCGATCCAGCGTCTCGGCACACACCTCTAGGTTGTAGCGGCTGCCTCCGTTCGGCCTCCTCAGCTCGCCCAGGAACCACTCCACTTCGGCATCCGGCCAGGGCGGATTATCCGCCGGCGCGGGGAGTGGAGCTGCCTTCTGCGTCGGCGCTGGAGGGTGAAGCAGCCGCGACGCGGTTGAGGAGTGGGAATGGCGAAATCGGGCGCCGGTGCCGGGAGTTAACCGCTCCGTAACGGTGAGAACCTGGCTGTTAGCGGGCGAAAACGCCGGCTGCTGCAGAACCCTGCGGAACTTCTCGGCCATGGGACGGGGCCGGCTCGTGATCTCCTGGATCGACGACGCAAACGCCATCTCCCGCTGCCTGTGGCGCGCAAGCTCAGCAGCCTGTTCCTGCTCCCGTGCCGCCTTAATGCGGGCGTCCCTCTGCTTTTTCTCCCTGCGTTCTCGGATCGCGTCAACTTGTTCGTTGAAACTGTCCACCCCTGCCCTGAGCTGTTGTTTCCACTTCCTGACCATGACGCCAACGAGTTCCCGGTTCTTCTTCTCGTCCTCGGGGTCATAGGGTTGAAACGATCGGGAATTTGCATCGTTTTTCCCCTGCTGACGCATCTCAGGGATCAAAACATTGAGCAGGCGGGATACCCACCCAAAGATGAACATCACGTACTGTATGGTCGTCCAGGTAAAGATGCCTTCGGCTGCGGCGAAGTCGTTGACCACGGCGTCGGGTTCCTTGGCCCCCATGGCGAACGCGCGCCGCAAGACGAAAACGAGCATCGGGATACTGCAGCTCGAGAGATCTTCCATCATTGCATCGGGCCGCACTGCCAAACTTTCGATTTTATTTACTGCCCGGTCGACCTTCGACATGGCCGTTTGCAGGTATTGGTGGTGCTCGGCAAGAAATTGCGATTGACCAGTTAGGTCCATTGCATTTGGGACTTCCTCCAACTTGTCTGTGAGGGCGGCGAGAGACCTGAAGAGGCTTTTCCCGAGCCCTGTGCGGGCTGGCGGTTGATCTCCAGAGTCCAATACGTTGAAACCACGCCTCCACCTACGACCTGCGCCCGTCCATCCTCGTCTACCCATAATCTCTGACATTTTGTTGAGGTGATCGCTGAACACAGCAATAGTGGGCTCTGACGGGAGATAAGGACGGACTCGGACGCCCACAAAATCTGGGGTCCTGGGAACTTGTGAGCGACCACCATCAGCATGCGCTTCGTCGTCAATATCTTGGCCCTCTTCCGACTCGTTGTATTCATCGGATTCATGGGTCTCTTGTTGAGCCTCTTCCGCGCCATCCGTGTCCTGCAGTAGCTCGCGGTCTTGGTCATCACCAAGGAAAAGAGGGGCTTCCGATGAGACTGGGTTGCCTGGCGGCGCTCGCTCCATTTCGCGGACATGCGAGAGCTCGTTCCTTTGCTGGGGCGCTCGTCTCCTTGGCACGTTGAGTTGACTGCGCAGCTCCAAGCCATTGATGGTTCTTGGGCGTCGGACAAGGGGGGGACTGGCAGGCTCGGAGTCTTCATCATCGGTAATGTCGTAGACATCAGTCAGAGGTTTTGATCCCCGGCGTTTCAGCGCCGATAATTGCAATTCTGGGCTGCCAAGAGGTTTGGCAGGGGCTCCTTCCCGCCTCTGCTCAGCAGCATGATCTCTGGGCTGCGGTGAGCGAGGCGGACTCTCACGCTGTGGGGGCTCCCTGACGACATCCCGAGTAGCGTTACCAGGTCGTGGTTTCTGCCCGTGCGGAGGAACAACCCCGCCGGTAATCTCTACACTTTGTATATGGCGCCTTAAACGTCTGGTACGGAGCGGGCGGGCGGTCGTGATTTTCGCTGAGTGTTCCAAGGGAGCCTTTGTCGAGATAATCTGGTCGTTGCTCCGCGGCATTCGGACGCTGGGTAAAACTATCTCGAAGTTCGCTGTACGGCACGTATTTGTAGCGGTGATTGCCGCGTCAACATCGTCGTCCTCCCCCTGCACCTCGATTGAATCCAGGACGTCGGTGACTGGTCTTCGGCGTTTATGCCGTGGTAGATCTGACGTAGCACTAGGGTCTCGCTCTCTCTTAACAGTATTGACCAGTCCCACTGTCGGCTCCCTCGAGGGTCTCAGCGCGGCGGGAGTCCCAACCGGAGCACGGTGGCGGATGATGGCGTTTGGAATGGACGCGATGGAGGCTTCGCCTGGACTGCTTTCGTCCTGAACGGCGGAGGAACGGGCGCCGCGTCGAGTGGTGACCATGGCAGCTAAGCATATCGAGAAATTCGAATGGACATCGGAGATGAAACCCCGGTGAATTTTGGACTTGGTGCACGGAAGTGTTGCAGCGCTGAATGAGAGGACGCGTCGCGTTCCATTGGTTGGCATGGGTACGGCTGCATGCCCCACAACGCCGAGCCGCGATGCTAACCTTGGCCGCATGACAGCAACTTCAAAAGTAGAGAACCACAAACCGAAATTCCAATTCATTGGTGTACATGATTCAAAAACTCATTGAGGCGATCGACGAGAAATAGAAAGAGGATACACCTACTGTGTAAGAGGAGATTGGACAATAGCCTGCATTCGAAAGCTGCATGGCGTTAATTGTTTCCATCAGCGTTGGTGTATTTTCCACGAATGGTCAGTGTGTACCTTACCTTACCAATGAGCATCAAGGATCTTGAAGAACGTCGTGGACGAGCGTCATCAAGCGTATTTGTGCTACCTGTAGACCCACCCACGCGAGCTTGGTTCCTCTCCATCCCCACTACTCACTAACCAGTCTCGAAAGTGACATCAAATCGCCTGCCGACACCGACGGGAGTGTCGCAACACTCGCCGCAAGCCATCCCTCAATTCGTTCGGATTCAACGTTCTACTGGTGCGATGTGCTAACAGCCAGCGAGCTCGACTCTACTAAAAACAATAAGCGAGAACCCTAGGGGCTTGAGTGGCGCGTCCGAACGACGCAGATTACTCAAGATACAATGGCAGGTCCGGCATTGGCGCCATCGAGCAGGATATCAAATAACGCCAATGGCTTCCTCGCCATGCGGTCAATGGCCGTGGGCCTCGCCCGCATTTTCTTCACGACCATGTCGACCGCCTATGCTGCACCCCTCGGCATAAGCGGCCACGGCGACGACGCCGACCGCCACGACGCCGAAGGTGCGAGTGTCTGGGTTCTTTACGCAGCCTCGGTGGTTCTCGTGCTATTGGGTGGCGCTTTTGCGGGATTGACCATCGCGTAAGATAGTGTTTGTCTTTTGAATGTCGTTCCAACCGGCTAACTTGCCCCAGACTCATGGGACAGGATGGTATCTACCTCCAGGTCATGGCCGGAGATCCGAGCGAGCCGCAACAGAAGAACGCAAAACGGGTCTATGAGCTGCTCAAGAAGGGCAAACATTGGGTCTTGGTCACACTTCTCTTAGCCAACGTTATTGTGAACGAGACCCTCCCCGTCGTCCTTGATCGTTGTCTCGGCGGCGGCGTTGCTGCGGTGGTGGGCTCGACATTTCTGATCGGTATGTGGTTGCTGTTGTCGACCGATGGCCTCCGCTTTCATCTGACGCACGTGAACCAGTGATTTTTGGCGAGGTTCTCCCACAATCCGTCTGCGTCCGGTACGGTCTCCAAATTGGCGGATACATGTCCAAGCCGGTTCTCGGCCTAATGTACCTGATGGCGCCCATCGCCTGGCCGACTGCGAAGCTTCTCGACTGGCTCCTTGGAGAAGACCACGGCACCGTCTACAAGAAGAGTGGGTTGAAGACGCTAGTGACGCTGCACAAGAGCCTCGGTGATGTGTCTCAGCGGCTGAATCAAGATGAAGTCACCATCATCAGCGCAGTCCTGGATTTGAAGGAAAAACCGGTCTCAAATGTGATGACCCCGATGCAGGACGTCTTTACCATGGCCGAGGACACTGTGCTGGATGAGGAGACCATGGACATGATTCTGTCTGCAGGCTACTCGCGTATTCCCATCCACGAGACGGGAAACCCGACCAATTTTGTTGGCATGCTGCTGGTCAAGATCCTCATCACGTACGATCCCGAGGACTGCAAGCGGGTCCGCGATTTCACCTTGGCCACCCTTCCCGAGACGCGACCGGAGACGAGCTGCCTAGACATCGTCAACTTTTTTCAGGAGGGCAAATCCCACATGGTGCTCGTTTCCGAGTATCCGGGGGAGGACCATGGCGCTCTTGGTGTGGTGACTCTTGAGGATGTCATTGAAGAGCTAATTGGAGAGTATGTGTAAACTACATTCATTGGACATGCGAAATACGTATGCTGACTCGAGACAGGGAAATCATTGACGAGTCAGACGTTTACATTGACGTGCACAAAGCCATCCGCCGCCTTACCCCGGCTCCCAAAGCAAAGGTTCAGCGGCGACACTCCGAAGAACCAAATGGGAAGCACAGCAATCTGACCAGTATGAAGTGTGATAGCGACAGCGCCCTTCTGGATGTTAACAAGGCGCCTCAAACCGCTGGCATGACAAGCGCCGAATCCCCAATGCTCTCAAGCAGTCCCAAGACAGCAATGTTGATGATGCGCCGGAGCTCGGCTGGCTTGGATGGCCAATTTGTAAGGACAACCGTCCCGGTTCGGGCGAATTTTCAGGACATCCGAGAGCATCTCAAGCACCTGGGCCCTTCCAACCCGGCCATGAACCCCAACAAAACCCGCTCGACCACGGTCAAAGTGAAACCGGGTAGTGGTATGCATTCAGGTCAGCCGCGGCACAGCTCAATCGCTGAATTACCGACCGAGGAGAGGCCAATGGAGGATGAAGGGGACGAAACCACCCTCCTGCTGAGACCTCAATTTTCTGGGAAGGACGGCATTCAGGCGTTGACGCAGCAAACATACGGCTCGGTCAGCCCCGCCATAACCGTACAGCACGCGCCCCAGACAAACGGGTTACCTACATTGCACCTCGACTTGGAGGACAACGTGCACCAATTCACACAAACCATGGCCCAATCGAGCATTGTCGACTACCCATCCCCCGACGCCCCTTCGCAACCGCAACAAGAGCTCGACAAACAGCCATCGCGCGGCAGCTCAAGCGGCGAGAGCGCCAGCAGCATAAAGACGGCGGACAACGCTCTCACCCCGAACCGGCCGTACGTCCGCAGCGGCAGCATCACCGAGAACATCGTCGAGTCACGGGGCGTGCGGAAAGTGGTACTCGAGACGACGAGCTCCTCCAACGACGAGGAAGAGTCTGCCGCTGTGATGACTGTGGCCTCGTCGTCGCCCGACCAACCCAAAATCCGAGGCAGATCTACATTTGGCTTGTTCAGGAGGGACAGCAGTAAGGAGGCCAAGGGCTTGCCGACTCCGGTTGAGGAACGGGAGGAGGAGGAGGAGGAGGAGGACTTGCTGCCTCATCCTGTTTCTGGGGAAGGAGTGGAGGGGGAGGACGACGACGACGAGGAAGGGGCGCCCGGGACGTATGCTGAGGCTGTTGCCAAGGGCATGTCTCAAGGGGGTGGCGCACAAGCGGGGTCTTTGTCTGGACCGAGTGGTGGTGGTGGTGGTGGTGCGGGAAAGAAGAAGAATAGAAGGAAGAAGCGCAAGGGCGGCAAGTCTTAGGCGGACGGGCTGACTGGGTCGATGTTGGTGTTTGGGGAGTGTACTGGGCAATAAGCAGACATGACATGTTTGTATTAGCAGTAGCATTGCTTTTGCTTTCAAGGGGGGTACGCATCAGGGTTTGGGAGGATGTGTTTGAAGGCGTCAGCGGGTTTGGGTGCGACTTTAGGTTGTATCATCAGTGTGTCGGCACAGTGTACCGTAACTCAAAATGCTAGAAAGTCACTGGCTACGCCGTACCAACCAAGCTCACGAAAGCTCTTCAGTTTTCTGCGCTGGAAACAATTCAACGTCCGGGTATGGTTGACTCCTTGATTGAATCTTAAAACCAAGGCTCACGGCAGTGCTGTTCATCTTGTCCCATTCCACGCCTGTGACCCCAGTCCTCTTCTGGAATGGTGGGGTACATATGGATACCACGCGTGTAGATCCAATCCATACGAGGTTATAACATTACTTTGTAATACGCTTGTGCCATGGGAAAAGGTATCCCCGATATGCATCTGTTTGTGGAAACCCCGGTTTGATTACTTTAGGCAACTGTCTAACCATGAAGTTTAGGTGACAAATCCACAGTGAGCTATACACTTGGTGTTATACATAAACGCGGAATGTCAGGAACCATTGGCTCCTTCGAGAATCGCAAACTATCTCCGGTTACGTCCGTACCTAGTATACTTTCGTGACGGCATTTCATAGTGTCGGAGTTGCCGGTTGTGGATAGCTTCAGTTCCCCCGCTTCAGCGATTAATGAACTGAACAATCCCCAATTACGAAGCAAACACATGAGTTTCTCACTCCGCGCATCGCAGAAACTGAAGTTTATCTTCCCTTCTTTGCAGAAGAAACCAACATTTACTCCCAGACTTCCACGTATGATCCCCTAAGTGCTGTGAGATGACATCCAAGCAGAGACAACCTGGAAGCTGGGAATCTAGTCACTTTGCCCAGCTAATTTTCACGTGAGAGACAGTGGCAGTACGGCGCTTTGCAGCCATGGCATCGACGACGGATACCAAGAACTACAAGTTCAACCACTCCATGTAAGCCGTTGTACTGCTTAGGCATGAGATTGATCACTGCTGACGTGTGCCGTCAGGCTCCGAGTGAAGAACCCCAAGGAGTCAGGTGTGTGTCGAGAAGCCCCTTACTCGAGGATAGCAAAGACTCATCACGTCTGCTAGTCAAATTCTACTCCTTCCTGGGCATGTCCCTGATAAAGAAGCTCGAGTTCCCCGACGCCAAGTTCGACCTGTACTTCCTCGGCTACGACTCGCCCAAGGCGGTCTCGGGCGGCAACAACGTGTGGGACCGCGAGGGCCTCATCGAGCTGACGCACAACTACGGCACCGAGAACGATGCCGAGTACAAGGTCAATAATGGCAACGTCGAGCCCCACCGCGGCTTTGGCCACACGTGCATCAGCGTCGACAACATCCAGGCCGCCTGCCAGCGCATTGAGGACGCCGGCTACAAGTTCCAGAAGAAGCTGACCGACGGCCGCATGCGCCACATCGCGTTTGCCCTGGACCCGGACGGTTACTGGGTCGAGATTATCGGGCAGAAACCGCTGGAGGAGACGGAGAATGTCAAGGAGACGGATGTGCAGACGTATCGCATGGTGGGTCTCTCAAACCTCAGGCCAATGCTCCGCAGTTACAGTGCTGAGTTTTGAGCAGAACCACACCATGCTCCGCGTCAAGGACGCCGAAAAGTCGCTCAAGTTCTACCAAAAGGTCCTGGGAATGTCGCTGTACCGGAAACACGAGAACCAGGCGGCCGGATTCACCCTCTACTTCCTGGGCTATCCCAGGGAGAAGGGCGTACCCGGCGAGGGCGAGAGCACTGCCGACCGCGAGGGTCTGCTCGAGCTGACATGGAATCACGGCACCGAGAAGGATGAAAGCTTCAAGTATCACGACGGCAACAGCCAGCCCCAGGGTTTCGGGCATATTTGTGAGTTACATAAGTCAGAGAATGTGATGTCAGATGGGGCTAACCCCCTGCAGGTGTATCTGTGGACAACCTCGAGGCCGCCTGCGCCCGCTTCGAGTCTCTCAATGTCAGTTGGAAGAAGCGTCTCACCGACGGCCGCATGAAGAATGTGGCCTTCGTCCTGGACCCGGATGGATATTGGGTCGAAGTCGTCCAGAACGAACGCTTCACGGGCAAGGCCAACTTCTAAGTGCCGGGTAACCACTCAAGTCTTGCATTCTCTTCCCAATGCCAACCAGTTGCATAGACTCTGCATGACATGCTGTCCACCTTGGGAGTGAGGCGAGCCGTACTGGATACTGCATGCTACCAAACTAAAGGCTTGCATCGCCGGACATATCACAGCCGTGTATTGCCTGTTTGACGGCAGCTTGCAGAAGCCCGCATTAGCCAAACGTGGGGGAATGAGGGGTTGGTATGTGGGTGAGAGTGTCTGACTGCAGATTAGGTTCAAATAAAGCCTCCGCATAGGTCAACCAACTCATGCAGTTCGTCTTGGCCAGGCTGTGAGAAGCAATGACAGATGGTGGCGGATAATGGAATGTGGGTTGGAGGGACGCGGACGGCAGCACAATAGTCGTCCAAGGGTGGCGCGGGCCGAAGACGTCTCTCCCCCCTTTATGTCATCCTGTCGCCTTGACACCGGATGAAAGAACAAGCCCCCGCTCCTCCACTCGGACCCCTTCCGACACCACCCTCCAGGCAGCACGGGCGTGTTGTATAGCACCCGCCTGCAGACGCTGTGTTCTGACGCTGTTGGTTCCCCGCAGCGACCGCCGCTCGCCCACCAGTTGTGTCCCGCGATGAGCATTAAGTCAGGCGGCCAGAGATATGGAAGTGAGATATGTACACAGCAACATCAGAGTTCATAAGCCGGCTCAATCTCGTCCTATACCATTGTCATACCCCTTTCTCAATCCAATTTGCCCCCCCCTCTGATACCCCACACATCACAGGTCATCCAGCGTGCACACATACCACAACCACCACAGCACCCAGAACATCAACCAACCACAATGGCCCCATCCGCCGTCTCCTCCTCCTCCTCCTCCTCCTCCCACCCCGATCCGCTCACCCCCCCAATCCGCATCCTCGTCACCGAGAAACTCTCCCCCGAAGGCCTCGCCCTGCTCCGATCAACAGGCTTCCAAGTCGACACCCCGACCTCGCCACCCCTATCCCCAGCCGACCTCCTCAAGCAGATCCCGTTCTACCACGCCCTGATAGTCCGTTCCGAGACCAAAGTCACGGCCGCCGTGCTCCAGGCAGCCGCCTCATCGTCCAAGCTCCGCGTCGTGGCGCGGGCGGGTGTCGGCGTCGATAACATTGATGTCGACGCCGCGACGCGGCAGGGCGTGATTGTGGTGAACAGTCCGAGCGGGAATGTGCTCGCTGCGGCGGAGCACACGATTGCATTGTTGATGGCGGTCGCGAGGAATGTTGGGGCGGCGGATAGGGGGATGAAGGAGGGGAGGTGGAATCGCGGGGCGCTGGTTGGGGTGGAGGTCGGGAGGAAGGTTTTGGGGGTGGTGGGGATGGGGAAGGTTGGTGTTAGGGTACGTATTTAGTTCACTCTCGTCCCAGCCGCCTATCTGATATACGAGTATGTATTTGACATGTAGGCAGGTGGCGAGGATGGCTAAAGGCTTGGGGATGAAGGTGGTGGTGTTTGACCCCTATGCGAGTGCTGAGCTTTGTAGGGAGGTGGGTGTTGAGGTCAGGGGGAAGTTGATTGATATGTTGCCTGAGGTGGTGAGTTGAATGTTTCCCCCTTTTTGCCCTGTGGCTAACACAGGTAGGACTTCCTGACGGTGCACACGCCGCTGTTGGCGAGTACGGCAAACCTGCTCGGGGAGAAGGAGTTGCGCAGCATGAAAAAGACGGCGAGGGTGTTGAACGTGGCTAGGGGCGGGGTGTACAACGAGGAGGCGCTGCTCAAGGCGTTGGACGAGGAGTGGATTGCGGGCGCGGGACTGGACGTGTTCACTTCGGAGCCCCCCAGCGCGGGATCGGTTGCGGCGAGGCTGGCGGCGCATCCCAAGGTGGTTAGCACGCCGCATCTGGGAGCGAGCACGGTCGAGGCGCAGGAGAACGTCTCGATGGATGTTTGCACGCAGGTTGTCGAGATCCTGCGGGGAGGTTTGCCCACGGCGGCTGTCAACGCGCCATTGATTCTCCCTGAGGAGTACAGAAAGCTACAGCCGTTTGTCAGACTGTATGTCGTCACCCTTAGCCTCATTCGCTTTTTTGGCCTCCCAATACTGACCCTCGCAGGATCGAGCGCATGGGCAGTCTGTACACGCAACACTTTGCTAGGGGGCGTGGTGGCATGGTGGGCGGCCGACGCTTTGAGCTGGTCTATCACGGCGAACTCGCCGGCATGAGTAAGACGCGGCCCTTGTTTGCGGCGCTGGTCAAGGGGCTGGTGAGCTCCATCAGCGACTTGGGCGGAAGGGACGTCAACATTGTTAACGCCACGCTCATTGCCAAGGAGCGCGGCCTTGCCATCGACGAGAAGCACGTTCGCGACGGCGGCACTGTTCCCCGGTACGCAGGCGCCGTCACGTTACGCAGCGTGGGCACCGACGAGTCTGCTGCCCAGACGTCAGAGCAGGTCATAGAGGGCTACGCCAGCGGCAACGCCGTGTACATTTCCAAGCTGGATCGTTTTACTGCGAACTTTCAACCCGAAGGCACGCTACTGGTGCTGCACAACTACGACGAGCCAGGCAAGATAGGCAACGTCGGTTTCATTCTCGGCCAGCACAAAATCAATATCACCTTCATGCAGGTGGCTGGGCTTGAGGGCGAATTGGGCCCTGCTGCTACTTCTCAGCTTGTTCAGCTGGAGGATGGACCTGTGGAGGCTGCGGGCGGCCATGTTGCCAAGGAGGCGCTGATGATCCTGGGAGTGGCCGGAGAAGTGACACAGGAGGTGCTTGATGAATTGGCCAAATCAGGGGGAATTCTGGATGTCAGTCTGGTCAGGCTGTAATAGGCGGATATATCATGCAGAATATTGACTCGAGGGAGTTGACAAGAGGCGACGAAATGGGTTTGCTGTTATCATGTTTATGTTCGGGGCTTTTCGCCAGTTTCAACAACGCATCCAACGGACCGAGTGCACATGGTCATGTATGATTCTGAAATCAAATCATTCGTGCCCCAACATGAGCTATTCAACATTTCCCTAGACACCTTGTGCCCCTAATAGGGTACCGCCACAATGTGGTTCCTACATTCGGGTGCCAACAGGGGCTCGGCCATCACTTTGCCCGAGCACGAGAGAACACGCCGCCTCCAGCGATTTCCTCCGCTGGGGCCCTGTAGGCCTTGCACTCTGCTATCATCTCACTGGACCAGTTGGTCTGGCTGAGATACCTTATCCAACGAATCGAGCTTGTGTCTTGCAACATGGGCCTGGCGTTTTCTCTCTTACGTAGTGACACAATTGTCTTCGTGCTCTCAGGCGTCTTAATGCTGGTGATCAACCCAATGAAGTCTTTCGTCGAGTTTACGGCAGATTTTCGTAAGGTAAGAAGATAACAATCATTTGAATCTGTGCTTCACCGGGCATCGACCTTGGGATTGGACATGATGGTTCTGAGATAAGGGAGCGTCGATGAAGTTGATTCCATGACCATGCTCTCGCAAGGAGATAAACCTCGCTAAGTCTTATAGTAGCGTATACTGGCATCATTGGAGATCGTGTCTCAGTTACACTGGACTAATAATGACCTCTCCCACCAATAAAGGAGCTACCTAATATCCTCGAATAACGGACCGCGTGGAAGTGTTTGGTTTTGTTGATTTCGTTGAAACCCACAATGACACCCCCAGTCTACATCCATCGCACCGCAAACTAAAGGAACCGGGTCAGTAGCACTGGGAGTGGGCCCAGGACGCCGAATGGCGCCTGGATGCGTGATAGCAGAAAGTGCTCTTGCGCAGGAATCGTGATCACAGGTCGTAACAGGGGTTGTGGGTAGATGCGTGCTCGGAAGGACGGTAAAGTGCATGTACTAGTCGTGGGATAAGGCGAAGGAAGTCCTATGGAGTAGTCTTGGTTCAAGTCAGGATCATAGTGAAGAAACTAGGTAAAGAGCAAGAAATGTAGGATACAGAGAACGGAGCGGATGACCGAACAAGTAAAGCCCTCAGACCATCTTTCATGCAGTGTAATCTAGCCCGATCGCGACACAGGCACAGCGAGGTACTAAAAACCATATATCCTATCGCTACCTATAGGCAAAAGCACCTGAACGACGCCCAGGATGCCCCCGTATGCACAAAAGCATCCACCGAAACCGGTGCAACCAAAGCACCCAGTCCAGCTCCGATTCCATTCCCGTTCCTTCAAACCAAGCCCGCAACCCATGCATTGCACGTGTTTCTAAGCCAACGCAACTCGATCCCGAGGCCACCAGACCAAAGCAGCTCTCACCCAACAATAACAGTCTTTGAGTAAAATGCAGGGAAAGTTGCATCCAAAGTGAATCAAGGCCAGGTAGAGCAAGCTCCAAACCGAACCCAACCTTCTGCAACTTTCAAGCCCATATACAGCCGCAGAGCAGAACCAAGAAAGCCGAATCCTAACCAGACCCCAATCCCTCACCATTTCACCACCCTTTCCGTTGTATTCCGCGGGGCTCAAACTTCCCTCCACCAGCACCAGTGCCACCTTGCCCACTTCCACTCCCACCAGGCTGCTGTCCCCCTTCATCCAGACTCCTCCTCGATTCCCTCTCCAACTCACTCATGGCAAACACAAGCGGCTCTTCATCCGCCCCCTCCACACTCCCGGCATATCTCGCTCCCCTGCCCGTCGTGACCGACGAAAAGGACCCCGGCCTACCACCTTTTCCCGAGGCAGAAGCAGAAGCAGAGACAGAAGGAGAAGCATACCTCCCTACGCCCAGTCCCCTGCTGCTGCTACCGCCACCACCACCGACCGAACCCCGACCACCAACCAGCCCCATCCCACTTCCACTGCCACCACCGCCCCGCCCAACAACCCTGGAACCGCCACCGATAATATCATCGCCTCTACCCCGCCCGTCCCGAACTCCACCCTCCGACGGTGCAGTGGAGGTATTCGACCCGGCCCGGCCCCCAAGACCGCCCTCACGCTGGTACGCAAGCAGGGAGCTCAGACTCGGCACCTCCCTGCCGTCCGCACTCACCCCTTCCACGCTCGCACTGCGCTGATACACATCCACCGCCTCGCCTGCCACGACGTGATGCTGCTGGTGCTGGTGCGCGACCGAGCTCGCCCGGCGGTTGGGGCCGCTGCCGTGAAGGAGGAGGCGCGGAGAGAGCGGGATGTCGATGGCTGTTGCGGTCGTGGCCGTATTGGTGGTGGTGTTGCCAGTGGTGGCTGTTGTCGGGCTGGACCTGCCGGCGGCGTCTTGCTGGGTGACCATAGGCGTCTCGTCCTCGTCGTCTTCTTCCTCGGCGATCTCGCTTTCCTCGCCGGGAACGGGTATATTGGGGTTGGCTCCGCCATGGCGGCGGGCGGTGGCTGCTTGGTCTTGGGCTTGGTAGTCGATTATGGAGTTCTCGCTGAGGCGTGAGGGTATGGCGGGGGTATGAGGCGTGTGCGGGGAGAGGGGTTTGCCGGGGGACGACGAGACCGACATGGAGGCCGGATTCACCATGCTTGGAACGTTGGTTAGTTGGCGGCTGGAGGAACTTGACGATCGCTGAAGGTGGATGGAGGAGGTCATGGAATCGGTCAGAACGTTGTTGGTCTCGCGCATCGACTGAAACTTGGAGAGCTGGGCAGCTGTGCGCTTGGAGGCGAGTGACTCGCCCTTCTTGTTGGGCTCAAAGCTCTTGAGCGTTTTCCTGCTGTCGAGGGCTTTCAAGAACTCTGAGATGTTGTCATCGTCCGCTGCGAATGAACCAGAACTGGCCACTCCACCGGCCTCAGTGAGCAGGCCTGAGCCCGGCTGAGCCGACGAAGAAAGGCTCTGCTTTCCGCTGCTGGCCTGGTCATCGTCGCCTTTGCTCTGCCCACCGAACGACGGACGCCCCCGGCGATGAGTGAAACTGCTGCTGTAGCGCCCAGTCGGCCTCGGAGATGCCGAGAGGGAAGGCACTTCTTGCGGAGCGGAAGGTCCGCCTCGTAATGAAGCTGCCATTCCGATAGTGAGTGACGAGCGGTTTCCAGTCCGCGAGGGCCCAGCGAGGCCGGGACGGGTGAGAGATTGGGGAGACGACGGCGCTTCCATATCGGGTATCCTGGGAGAACCCGAGAGCGAGCCAGCTTTGAACGGCTGGAACGAAACTGACGGTCGCCTGCTCGCTGCATCGTAGGGTCTCACAGGGGGTCTGCCTGCAGCGCCGCGGATCGGTAACGAGTGTGGAGGGTCAGATTGTTCGATGCTTGCTGACATCGAACCCGACGGCGAGCTCGAGTCTGATCCAACTGGTCGCACTGACCGTAAAGCGGTAATGGGGCTGGTCCCTAATGCCCCTGCGCCATGGAACGTCGACAGACTGCCATAAGTCTGCTGTGGGCCCTGCACTCCGCGGTCCTGCCGCTGAGATGGCAGCGAGCCCGGTTCTGCAAACGAATCGGACCGACCTTGCTCTCGTCTCTGGGGTACAGACGGTCGGAAATAGTTCTCGTCGAATCCCATAAACCGGGAACTAAGCAGCGACTCTGCGTCATCTACCCGAAAGTTGCAGTCGTTGCGGTATGTCACCGAGGCGTAGAAGCGGCCGACAGGCACCTCCAGATCCGTGAAAACGTATTCTGTGACGTGATCCCTCCCGTCGTGTAAGGGCAGCCGCAGGGGGTCGTATGTGGTGTACTCGGGCTCGACAGTCAAGATCCTGCACTTGACTTCCAGGGCCGGATTTATGCCCTTGCCTAACGCCTGCTGGGAGTACTTCCAGCATGGCATGACGCGTGTCGTCATGAACAGGGCACGGAAGAAGACGATGCTTCTTTTGTAGACGGTCGGTAGGATGGGGCCAAACTCTTCTCGACCGGCATCCGGGAGACATTTAAGCTCGAGCCTCCACCGTTCCAGAATCACCTCGGTGTTGCGCTTCGAGGCATGGCGTTTTCTGGGGCTGTCGTCGGATGACTCTGAGGAGTTCAATGCTTCCATCACGTCCCACCTCTTGTTGCCGTCGTCTATGAGGACTAGGCTCTGGCTGCTGGAAAGTTTGGAAGCGTCAATGTACGTCTCGATGATGAGCGGTGGTGGGCGGTTTTCGAAACTGCCCGACTGCTTGTACACCCGGAGCTCGTCTCGAAAATCTTCAATGTCGTCCGTGTCGAGTGAGAACTGGCTTCCTGTCAGATATCTTGACACACCCTTGCCATCTGGCCTGCTTACCCAGTGGTTCGTTTTTTTCCCGTCCGACCTCTTCCCGCCCACCGGCGTTGTGTTGAGCCGGGACTGCAGAATCACGACGGCTGCCTTGTTATAGAAGTTCTGGCAGAAATCAGTCCAGATTCTCCCTCTTTCACGAATCATGCTGTATGCGCACCTGGATGATCTGGTCCAGTTTCCTGATGGACTCCTTGCTCGGGACGGAGGCAAAGCTCTCGGCGCTCTCCGATCCCCCATCTTGGCTCGTGGTATCAATGGCGGCGCGGACTCGATTCCTCGGGTTGTTTGTCCGTGTGGGGTTTGTCTGGGGCGACGATGCAGGGGACGAGACCCGTGGCGGATGGCGGGATTGTTGATGCATTTCTGCGGCTAGGGATGGGGATGAGAGCAGTTCGGGCAAGGCTTCACATGGGTGCCAGCGCCGTTTCGAGCTCGAAACGTAAAGAGGTAGGTTGCCGCAAGGCGAGGCTGCGAATGTATATAGGTGTGATTGAGATGCGGCAGCCGAGGATAGGTAGTCGAGGGGCGTCACTTAGGCGGGAGGGTGCTGTCGAGGCAGGCCGGCCTTCGCATCCATGGTTCAGGGTGGCGGCCTAGTGGATGTAAAAGACAGGAGTGAGGTGAGGAGGGGGGAATGCGTGAGAACCGGCACCCCAAGGCAGACTCGATACGGAGCCAGCGTCAACAATCAGATACGGAGAAGATCGGGGAGGGACCCGTTCAAGATGCGAGAGTTTCGAGAGCTGGTTGGCGGTGACGCTTAACTGGAGGCAGACAGCAGTGGAGCGGGCCTCCGGGAACCTTCTTGGAAGCCAGCACCTTGCCGGCGAGCCGGGGTTACAAACGGTCCAGGGGGTTCCGATAGGGTGCAGGGGTTAGTGGCTTGCGTCCAGGCTCTCGTCACTTAATGCAATTCACGCCGTGCAACGTGAAGCAGTTGTATGCTGCCTCGAGCCTCGAGCCCTAGGCAGAGAATGAACTGCACAATGAATGCACAACACCGAGTCCGTGATGCAGAGCTCCCAATACACCACTGACGCGAGTTTACAGCGATGTCGGAAGAATAAAGTAGCGACAATTGGAAGCTTGTCAGATAAGGACTGCCCAAGGACTGGAAAGCAGTCATGCATGGAAGTCCCGTCCGTGGACAGGGAAAGGGTCTGCTGCACTGTCCATGTGTCCACCTTTGACGCCAAAATCCCAGGCATCACTCTCGTCGGCCTGCCAAGCATTGGAGAGCAGCTGGCGGCTGCCAAGTCTTCATCATGGCTCGTTAGTGTCTGGCCGGTGCATTGTCAACCGCCAACGTTGACACACACACCTCGTGATCTTCCACCAATCTTCCGTCATCGCATCAGGCACAGCGAGCAAGCCCAGGTAACTACCTGTGCGTGCAAGAGCAACCTTGAGACCTGAGATGGGATTGTGAGAAGTTGAACAATTGATCGCGTACATCAGGGCTGGCAATGAGCAGACAACGATAGAACTCAGGGTACATAGATCGCTGGGAGAAACAGCTCACCTTCCGTCACTTCAACGTCTCAGACAGCTCAGAATCGAGGTCAAGAGCCGTTTCCTAGCCATTGCAAACGTGAACCACAACTTTGGGCTAGTTAACCACCTGCATAAAAGGGTCAAGTCTCGTATGACGAACAGGTGCTTCTGCCGAGCTGTCAAGCCCAGGATTGATCCAGTGCGGTATGGATATAAATGCTACGCTGGTTTCGAAACCTCGAATGCTAAATCTGACAGAGCGCTGTCTGTCTTCTCCGGGATCGCACAAAGTGATGTACACCAAAGTCCGTGTTTGGTCAGAGATAATCGAGATGCACATCAGTGGCAGTCTGTGGTTAGCGACCTGCGGTGCAGCTATGAAGGACCGACAACAGGCCAACTACAAAGTGCACTTGGTGAAACTAAAAAGAAAGAAGAACACGAACAGCGCCACCTGATCATCTACAGATACTTTGCGAAGCCGACAATGAGGCTGTCGGCATGCACAATGCCATTCCTTCCTGTCCTCTCCTCCACTCCATGCATGCAGCACCACATGCGAATCAGGCTGTCCAGAGTCGGCAGTGGCTCCAAATGATCGAGTTACACCCACTGACACACCACTAGACGTCGACCCTGGGAGGAGATTGACCGCGAGGTTCCCGCCGCTTTGGCATCATGCTAGGATCAGTACTCTATACAGCTGCTCACTTTACACCGGAGCTCATCTTTCAGCATACCACATCAAGCAACTAAACTTGTCGATTCTTGCTACCCGCAGTCATTGGCTGCACTATGCACGTCGAGTCAGAACAGGTCCCAACTCATAGTGAATGCAACCACGCATAATATCCGGCCTGGATATACAACAGGTAGACAGCAGACAAAGCCTCCAACTCCACGTGGATCGTATTCACGGGCCAGACTGCCATGCCCCGTCCATGTATATGCATCCCTTTTTACCCCTATACAGTCCCTGACCTAACTCCTGTAATTATTTTGCTGCACCACCAGCAGTAAAACCCTGCTGCTGCTGCTGCTGGCGTCCCGCCTCTCTTTGACCCCCTCTCCCGCCACCACCACCTCCTCCTCTCCCTTTAGCGCTTCCCTTCCCTTTACCACCACCCCTCGCACCAACACTATCCATTCCACCCATGCCCCCAGATCCATTTCCATTCTCACTCCCATTCCCTCCCACCGCTGCCCTCCCATCATCCCCACCACCTCTACCACCCCTACCACCCCTCCCTCCCCTTTCCCTCCCCCCTCGCCCCCGTTTCGACGAACTGCCCCCCTCAGTCCTCTCCATTCGCCTCCTTTCCTCGTCCTGCATCCGCCGGCTCTCAGCGTCCCACCACTCCTGAAACGCCTGCTCCTGCTGGATCTCCTGCAGTGACCGCTTCGCCACCGCCTCCTTGACCTGCATCTTGTCGCGCGTCTGCTGGCCCATGATGTCCGCCATACTCAGGCCCAGGAGCGGTTCCGCCTTGGGCGCTGGCGGGATGTAGACTTTGGAGTGCGGAATAACCGGCGGGGGCCTTTGCTGGCCCGAATCAGGGTGGTGCACTCCGGACGTGCGTGGAATAGGCGTGATGGGGGTGGTAGTGGATGGTTTTGCAGCGGCGCTGACGGTGGAGCTGCTTGGTGTGCGCTGCCCTGAGAAACGGGTGTCTGGGGATGCGGTGCGCCGGTGGATTGGGACTGACGTCGAGGCGGCTGGCGCGTCGGGGGTGAGGAGGCCCTTGGCTAATGGGCTGGCCGCGCCGTCGGCTCCCTGGACAGGTGTCTTGCCCTTGTTGACAGTCTTCCAGGGGGCAGCTGGGGACTCGTTGCCCGAGCGCTCCCATGCGTTCTTGGGCGTGTCTGTCTTGGTCGTGAGCAGCGCTGCTTGCGCTGCCTGCTGCTGTCGCTTCTTTTCCTTTTGCGACATCTTTGGCGCAGCAGCCTTTGGCGTTGTCTCCTTCGCCGCCCTCTGTGCTGCCAACCCATCAGAGAGTGAGGACCGATTTGCAGTCTCCGACTGTATGATGTCGCGGAGATCGAGCTTTGACATTGGTGGCGTAGCAGCTGCCCAAGGCTGCCCTGTTTTGACCGAAGTTGAAGTCATCACGTCAACACTCGCCGCTTTCGCCGTCTTTGCGGGTGCATGGAGCCTGCTCAGCGGGCTGCTTGGAGGCGACCCGCCGAGCTCGAGGCGTATCTTCTTGCCTGCGGCCTTCCAGGAGCTACCCAGCGCCGGGATCTGATCCACGTCCAATGTCGCCTCAGCAGGTTTCCGAGGCCTCACAGAAGGACTAGCAAATAGCGATTCCTCTTCATCCATATCAAAGATCATGTCTCCCTGGGACGCCTTTGATCGAAGACGAGGAATGGAAACCTCGTTTCGGTCTGCCAAAGACACCTTCCTGACTTTATCAGGGGTGAGGGTGAGGGGACTCGCCTCTTCCAAGCTGCCGTATTTGGCTTTGACGGAAGACGACAGCTTCTTCTCCTCCTCTCTTTGCGCTCTGAACGCGACCTCCTTGATCCTGATCTGCCGCTCCTCATCAATCTCTTCAGCCAACCAAGGGTTATTCTCATGAAGCAATAGCTCGGTCCGACCGCTCCTGACAAACGGTGATTGAGCGGCCTGGTTATCTCGGACGACCTCGTCCAGCTCGAGGAGCAAGTCCTGGTCGAGCTCGTCGAGCAGATGGTTCTCGAGCATCGTCTCCAATTGCAGGCAGATGTACTCCAAGCCTACGTCCTTGAACTCCGTGACGGAGCACGGGCTGATGGCGTTCAAGAGATGAGCAATGTTGCGAATGTTGGCAAACCTACCCATGACCTGCTGGCAGATCTGCGACAGCCGATCCAGCATCAGGTAGTTGGCGATCGACATGACCTCCATGACGAGGTCTAGGAAGTCGTCAAAGGAATCACAAACAGCGGGGTCGAAAAGCTCTGCGCCGCAATCCCCGTAGAGATATTGAAGCACATATCCGAATGCCTTAGGATCAGCATGATTCATATCGATCTTGATCCGCTCAGCGGAGGCAGCCCGACGGCTCTCGAGCCACCTACCCCTGGAGCGCCCGAGAAAGAGGCCTTGGAACCAGGGACACCTCTGGCAAACAAAGGTGCTGTGGACCAGAATTTCGGCCCCCTCCAGCTCCAGCAACGCATCGCCATCTGCAAAGAACCGCGGGTCTTTGACTGCCAGTTGAAAGTCCTGGTCCATGCATTTCTTGGGTTCCACCTGCAGCCTGGCTGCCGCTTTCAGGCTGTTCATGCCCAGACGGGTGGCCAGCTTCATGACTTCCTGGCGGATTTGGCGATATCTGTACGCCAGCGGCCGGACGTGACCAGTGAAATTCCAGACTGGAATCACCTTATCCTCGTAAGCGAACAGGACGAGATTTAGCAGCGCGATGAGATCCAGCGCGGGGAAGCAGACCAGCGCCTTGCCATCGGCCTCGCTTATGCTGAATATCTCGTGATTAAACGACCCCGACTTGCGAAAGTGCGCAAGAGCATTTCGCAGAACAGGGCTGCGAGCAGCAAGCAGCCAACCATGGGTGGGTATCCTGATGCCAGGTGAAGACGAGGTGCATACGGCTGCATCCAATGGGTCGTTCCGGTACGACCACGATGTAAGGTGCTGCGCCAGGTCACCTTCAATGTCGGAAGACTTCAGCACCTCGTAGGCCACCGATCCCAAACGCCCTGCGATGTCGTCGTTACCCCAGAATTTGCGGACTTCGTCTTTAACATTCTTGGGTTCCGATGCGACAAATCCGTTGAGGCAGTTCAATGGCGCCACGTCTTCCCATAGCGACTGGTCATCAACAGCGAGTTGCTCCTTCATCACATCTGAATCCTTTCGGATAGCGGCAAAGGTGCCGAACGCCGATGCCCGGACGGTGGCAACTTTGGTGATGCACGGGACTCTCTGAAACTTGTAGTCCTTCCTCTTCGATTCGGACAGCCCCGACGATGCAACCTTGGCCTTTGCCCGCTTTATCCTGCGCCACACAGCCCCGGATTTGGTGCTGATGATGACGGAGCCGTGCTCGCCAACCCCAACGGAGCGGACGCCATCTTGCCGCGCAGACCAAATGCACTGCGGCTGTGTGACGGCACCCTTAATCTTCGAAGGGTTCGTTGTAGACGCCGTTGGCGGGTTGGTTTCGACTTTGTGGTCAAGGTTCATGGTAAACAAATCACCGCGTCTCGTGAGGGCCGCAATTGTCTCGCCGCCGGAGGTTATGTAGTTGATCTGCGTCGAGGACGGATCATACCGAGTTGCCAGCTTGATGTTGCCGACCATGTCGAGGGCGGCAAAGGGAAATTTCACGATGTGGTAGCCATACGCGGTGAACACGCAGACGGTATGGTTTTGCAGCAAGATAGTCGTTGCTTTGTCAATGGCCGTCACCATGGCAATCGGCGATGAGAACAAGGAGGCCGCCACTTTTCTGGGAGTCTGCTGAAACTCGAGCGATCTAGAGTCGGCGTCCATCAGAGCGAGTTGGCCGATATTTTTCCCCCAGCAATAGAGCGAGGCCCCGGTATGTACCACAGAATGGATCGAGGATGCGGCAATCCCGACAATGACTTCCTTCTTCAAAGGCCCGAACACCTGCCGCGGCACGGTGCTGATAGGGTCCTCGTTCTTTTTCGCCGGCTCGGGAAGGGCATATCCCAGTTGGCACTGCGCATTACTGCCCCAAGTCCATAACGCGCCGGTGTCGTCAATTGCCATGGAGTGGTTCTGGCCCAGTGCGACCTGGACGACCCTCTTGTCGGCAAGCGGCCCCTGGACGGGCGTGTACGTGAATCGCGTATTTTCATCCCCAAGGCCGAGCCGCCCGCCACGGCCAATGCCGCACACGTAGAGGTTCGAGACCGGATCTGTTGTTAACACCGCGCTATGCAGCTTGGACAGCACCACGTCTTGGATCAAGAGCGTCCGATTCAGAACCAGAGTCGGGACCTTCGACAAGTCCTGAGACGCGGGGTCGTCTAGGCCAGCGGCCTGGAGGTACTCTCTATGGAACCGGCGCAGAAGATAATCTGGGCGCTTGAGATGTACTCGGTCTGGAAATTGACGATCGTCTTCATCGCCAAACCCCAAGGACAGGTTCTTGTTGCTGCCGAATGCATAGAGGTCTTCGCCAGCAGTGTGCACGCCCTGATTACTGTTGTCTTTGTATCAGATTCTGAAGCACCGAGGCCGCACATGAGCCCAAACAAGCAGACTCACAGCGTCTTATCCAGAACAATCTCAGCCTCGTCGCTGTCGGAAACGTCATCAGGCTTATCCTGCTCGATGAGTTCCTTCAAGCTCCGCTCGCCGATGGTCGAGTGGTAGAGGTCGAACGGACTTTTGCCCTCATGGTCTTTCGTCTTGATGAGCTGCCCTACGCGGTGAAGCGAGGCCGTGTGCCCAATCAAGTCCTTGCGCTCCTTCTCTAGCAGTAGCCGAGCGATGGAAATATTGCCGACATACAGCGCCCGGTGGAGCGCATTCCAGCCACTCTCGGGGTCCTGAACGTAGATGTCGATCGCGGGGTGCTCGAGGAGGGCCTCCACAAAGGAGATTGCATTCTCGGTGGTCGAGGAAGCGGCGCGCAGCAGGACGGTAAGACCGGCGTGGTCGCGGCTGTTGACTTCGTTTCGGCCGAGGCCACCGTGGCCATGGCGCGCACTTCCAGAGCCTGTTCCAAAGCCCTGGGGTTTGCGCGACTTGGCCGCCGTGCGCGGGGAGGTAGCGTAGCCCGGGTTCCCACCGTTTCCTGAATTTAAGGTTGAGCCCCGGGCGCCACTCTGTGCGCCATGGCCGGCAGGCGCAAGAAGACGTCGAAATCGGTCGACATCATCTTCCCAGTAGTATTTCCACAGCAGATGCGTCATGTGCCAGACGGGTATCGCGGGACGTCCTTCGGAAGCTTCAAACGCACCTCGCTGTGGTCTCGATGGATCACGGCCTGTTTAAAGGTGCGACAGAAAGCTCGGAAAAGACTTTCCCACGACGAGTTTCGGGCTGAAACCCCCAAGGTTTGTGCGTCAAGAGACCAATGGGCTGCGATTTTTGCGCGTGGCGATATTGCGCGAGGAACAAGGACGCGGCTCTCTCGGAAGTAGCTCTGCAGCGCAGATGAGTGCGATAGGGCTTGGTTTTGATTCGATTGATGTTGATTTGGCGTCTTTTTCTCTGCAGCGCTATGCTCGAGCTCTGGGTCGGCTATCTACAACTTTTCGACGGAGTAGCGATGTACGATTTTAGTTAGGGAGTGTTGCGGGATACCTGGTCATAATTCCGGAACAATGTCTGCCAGCCATCATGATGTCCCCGTGTTCCACGCGCCAACCCAGGCCCGGGCGTTTCCGGACAACCAATCGGGACCCCAGTTGCATGCTCATGCTCGAAGCTCCCGCAGGTAACGGCTCAACCTAGTCACTCACTCGGACGGCTCAGGATTCCAAGGCACCATCTGAATGTGATGCAGACGGAAACGTGCAACGAATCGAGCCTTTCGGAATCCGATTGCAGATGATCCAACGACAGGTTCATGCAACGTATGCATTTCCGACGTCGAGCGTCTCTACTCCTTAAACAAGAACCGGGCTCCGGCTGCGGGGTCAACAGTCATGGGCTAAGTTATCCACATTAGCAGAGGCACAAGCTGTATTCCCAAAGCGCAAAGCCGCGCAACATGAATTATCCTAGATTACTCCGTACTGATGGCTGACATGCCTTCCATTCTGATATGGAGGTTCTGGCCCCGACACACGTCCTACCTCGCCTGCCGTCAAGGTCTCGACATTGCCGGGCTCAGGTGGCCCGGACACGGAGATGGAGTGGATGCCGGCTTGGAATCATCTCCTCCATGGCTATACCGGCAGTCACTCTGCTTTCCCTTCAAAAGAAGACACCATCCATCCTGGAGACACTGTGCCCTTCTAATTAGATCCTCCTCTTGCTCTCTTTCGCGATCCTCATGCCCTAGAGCAGACGCAGCTTGAAAAAGCGGGTTAGGGTTTCTTATTCATTACCGATCCTGTGGGCCCGAGATCCCCACGCACTTGGACCAGGGGTTTGGGCCCTCCGATGTCGTCTCTCCACACGGCTGAATGTGCCCTGATGTGGGTGGGGTGGGGTTGACAGAGTGCATGGCATTACCAAAACTCACCACTTCGCCTTGCTGAATTCAGGTCGCGACGCTTACTTTCCGCAGTTGTTTTTATTGATACCCTATTTTTTTGCGTCTACAACCATTCTTTTGCTTGCTTTCCATTCCGAGCATTTCGAGTATCAATTACCTCAGGAAGCAATCCAAAATGGCGTCAGAGAAAGCCCCTCTGCCCTTCGGGTACACCTTCATGGCCGGTGAGCGACATTTCGAGACTTCCCAAGACCACACACAGAACACTGGACAACTAACCATGGCCTCAAATAGGCGCCATTGCCGGGGTTTCTGAGGCACGTTGACGGCTGGCTCCGATACTGGCCAATTGGCATGCTAACACTCCGGTGCGCATAGATTCTGGTCATGTACGTCGTCGCAATATTTCTGGTCGCGTGCCTCAAGTACTGACCCGAGTCTCCCAACAGGTACCCGCTAGATGTCGTCAAGACAAGAGTGTGAGAGAGCGCCCTCACCTATATCGACGCGCCCCGACTGACGATTGGATAGACAACTTCAGACCGGCAAAGGGGCCGGCGCCGATGCGTACACGGGCATGCTCGACTGCTTCCAAAAGATTATTCGCAATGAGGGGTACAATCTCGGAATGCTCAGGACATAACATGGGACCGACATTGACGGATGCACTAGCTTCTCGAGACTGTATCGCGGCATCACCGCCCCGATCCTCATGGAGGCGCCGAAGCGCGCGACCAAGTTCGCCGCCAACGACAAGTGGGGCAAGTTCTACCGAGACCTGTTCGGCCAGCAGACCATGACGCAGTCGCTCTCGGTCCTCACAGGTGCCTCGGCGGGCGCGACCGAGTCGTTCGTCGTGGTGCCGTTCGAGCTCGTCAAGATCCGCCTCCAGGACAAGGCGTCGGCCGGCAAGTACAACGGCATGGTCGACGTTGTGCTCAAGACGGTGCGCAACGAGGGCATCCTGGCCATGTACAATGGCCTCGAGGCGACGCTGTGGCGCCACATCCTCTGGAATGCCGGCTACTTTGGCTGCATCTTCCAGGTCCGGCAGCTGATCCCCAAGGCCGAGACCAAGAAGGGCCAGACGGTGAACGACATCATCGCTGGTACCGTCGGCGGTACCGTCGGCACCATTCTCAATACTCCGCTAGACGTCGTCAAGTCACGCATTCAGAACACGGTCAAGGTTGCTGGGCAAACACCCAAGTACAACTGGGCGTGGCCAGCCGTGGCCACGGTTGCCAGGGAAGAAGGATTCGGCGCTCTGTACAAGGGCTTCATCCCCAAGGTTCTTCGGTTGGGACCTGGCGGCGGTATTCTGCTTGTCGTATACACTGGAGTGATGGACTTCTTCCGCAAGATGAGGGACGAGAAGGCGTAAGGAGAGACCTGGAGGGGTGATCTTTGCTTGGAAAATTTACTGCCTTGTGCTGTATACAAGTTGGAAGTAAGGTAAGGCAGAGCAAGGATGGACGGATCCTTGGTCAGCCTCGTTTAGACTAGACTCGCCGGAGATATCCTTTTGTTGGAGCTTTCGTCGCAACGTTCCGCAGTCTCTTCGTCTTGGGACAAGGACAACCTTATATGCCCACACTTCTATCTCATCTTGCCCGGAAGCAATTTCGCTTCATGTTGCAAATATTTGTTTTCTTGAGCAGAAAACCTTTCTTCCCAGTCATGTCGTCTTCTCCTCTCCTCTCCCTCTATTTCGATACTTTATGAAGTCTACTAGAATTAAGGCTCTGGAGTCGCTTACCTTGCGGACCTGCTCTTGTTTCTATGGTCCAGTTTGGATGGAACATTTCTTCGGATAACCGTGCGATTTCATCGCGCATCACACTCATGGTGCCGTCAACACTCGAGGTGAGTTGACCAGGAGACACCTTTCTGTGACACCTCCTTACCCCCGATGTAAACGGAGATTTGCAGATGAACCGGCCTTGAGCCGGGAAGCCATGCCACATGCATGCACTAGACAACCAAAACATCAGGCTCCATGACTTCCGCGGCCTCTTCTTTCTCCGCATCACCACCTCACTTCTTGAGCCTCGTCAGGTTCTGCCTCCTGAGCCAGATGTTGTCGAAAGTATCCCGATATAGTCGCCCATCTTCCGTCTTCGCAGCCCAGCTCTCAAACCCCGCCCAGGCATGATCCAACACCGTGCTCGCATACCAGTTGTCAGCGTAGTTGAGCCGCAGCAGGTGCATGACCAGCTCCTTCAGGCCGGCCGTGTATTGGAACAACGGCTCGAACACCTTCTGGATGTTGACATCCCCAACGCAGTCATGGTCGCAGGGAGTGGACTCCTCGGCATCGTTGGCGGTGATGTGGACGCATCCGCATTCCGAGCACTCATCTGCCGGCGGCAGGGGGCGGCCGCACATCATTTCGTAGAGCATCGCCCCGACAGCGCAGAGCTCGCTTCCGCGCGTATAAGGCCGTTCCGACTGTCGAAGTCATCAGCACCACTCCCTCTCACTCAAACCTTAAATGAGACACACTCACCCTTTCCAACCCAAACCCATCCCTCTTCCACCTTCCTGCCCTCTCCCTCAACAACCCCAAGGGGACCTCATCCTTCTCCGGCATCGCCACGACCGGAGTCTCCATGGACTTGACAACGCCCCCAGAGGCCCAACACTTGCCAAAATTCCCCAGCTTCACGGGAGCGAACGTCTCAATTCCCCTCGGGGTCTGCAAAACACACTCGCCGCCGTCAGAACCCGATGCAGCACCGGCATCCAATCCCGCTCAGCCTCGCTCTTCCCCCTCCTCCGCTTACATCTTCCCTCTTCCACAGAGACCCCGTACGTATCCCCCACGCCCTCATGCAGCCACTGCAGAGCCCTGAGCAGACCCAGCGCAACGTGCCAAATGAACGCCTCCGGGAAGAAGCCGCCGGCTGGAGCGATTGCTTCTTCAACTTCTTTTTCTCTGTGCCGACGACGGGTACCAATGTTGCCCACGTGCACACCACCAGCAGCAGTATCAGTATCACCCCAACATCTAGCACCGTCATCCTCCTCCACCTGCTCCTGATGATGTTGAAGAGTGGTCCGTAACTGCGGTTCATGCTCATCAAAGAGATCCTGCAGCGTCCCCATGTCACAGTAGTCATACACCAGCATCCGCCTCGTCACCAAGTTCCTTCTCATGCCGCCGACATCCTCCTCCTCCTCCTCCTCCTCCTCCCCCCAGGTATCGGTTCCACACCGCCACCACCGACCTGGGTCAGCGGGATAGCGACGAGCTCGTCGTAGATACAGAGGAGGTTCTCATGGTTGAGGAGCGCGGCCGCCGGTTGGCATGCGCCGTGCCGGAGGAGGGTGCGGGTTCGTCCGTGTTCGCTGGTGCTGGTGCTGTGGATGATGTTGGGGTCGAGGTCCAGCGGCTCGGCGAGGAGCAGCTCGCCGTCGGTGATGCGCCGGACCAGGTATCGGCCGTGAGCGAGGGGTTTGTAAAGGGAGTAGGAGGACTTGGAAGTGGGAGTGGTCATTGTGGATTGTTGGGGAGGGATAGGGGTTTCAAGATGTCGTGATCTGTGAGGTATGATGATGTTGGGTTACAATTGGGAAGTGTGCTCGGGTCGCTTGGGATCAAGAATTCTGGGGGGAGAGAGTCCGTGAGACGTTGTGAAGACTGGAATGTGCTCCCAAAAGGCATGGTTCTTTGTTTGGCCAGCGATCAGAGCTGCATTCCCGATCCGGAGAAATGGCCCTGCTCCGGGAGTTTGTTTGCCATAGTATGGCATGGCACCAAAGTCTCGTCAGTCCTTGTTTCTTTCCGTGAGCGGACCTAGAAAGCCGCATTGGTAATGTGAAGGGATGGAATGCGGAGGTCATGGCACAAACAAAGACCCCTAGCACTGAGCCCACTGTCACACTGCCCAACCGCCAGATGTTTCCTGGGTATCAGCGTGAAATGTATCTCACTGTATTGCAATCCAATGTATGCATGTCGTCATTGACATTGTTGAAACCCTAAGTCCACCTCCCCACCATGCCAGTAATAGGTGAAGCCAAGGTCACTCAGGGGTACTTGGATCCATCCAACCCCAACATGTAGTTATATAGGACATACAAGCACTGCAAACTCATTCAAAACCTTCCACAACCCTTTATGCACCTTCCTTCCCAGCCTAAATCCTGCATTTGCACCGAACAGAGCCCATCCTCAAATCCGCCTTTGTCCTCGAGCCTGTCAACAACAGCGCCCAACCGGTTCCACCAGTAGCTCCGCTTCGCCAGCCTCGCCATCAACAAACTCTCCGGCCCTTCATCCGTCTCGCAACAAAGCATCCGCAGCGCCCGTTTGAGCAGAAAGTACATGCCTCGCCAATCAATGTCCCCATCCACTCACTCTGGCAAGGCAAATCCCAGCTCAACTGGGCCCGTGAACCGGCTGCGCCAGAAACTGCGCGGCAACTTGGGCAGTAGGGAGACGCAGGCGATTGTTCTCGAAGCAAGCCTGAGGGCCAAGAGGTCGGCTGTTGGGGGGTATCCTATGATTTGCTCTAGGAGCTCCACCGGGAGCTTGGAGAAGGGGTTGTTTCTTTTGCCGTGGCCGGTGAGCGTCGGGGTCGAGGCCGAGTGGGTTAGATCCAGGTCGTCCAGGGGCATGGGAGCGTGGGCTGTTGGGAGACGGTCAAACCCTAGCTCTGCTGCCAGGCCGTCGAAGCTGTAGAGGCGTCGCATGGACGCTCGCTGATCAGGCCATCCGTACGTCATAATTGCTGACCATGGCCGAGGAGAAGGTTCGTGTTTCGATGGGGCGTCGAAGCCCGGGGGATGATATTCGATATCCGGGGAGGTCGAGATCAAATACTTGCACCACGCCGTAGCGACAGCGAGGGGGTCTGAAACTCGGCAGGCTACGAGATCCCAGCAGTCGGCGTGTACTTGGAAAGTCCAGGTGTTTGTTTTCTTGTCGTAGAGGGGGAAGCCGGCAAGGTGCCTCTCCGGACTTGACTGCTGGAAACTCAGAGGCAGCATCAACTGAGCCTGGTGGTACCAGAATAAGTTCCACCGCGGCCCAGCCGTGACTTTCGACACGGTAGCCGTCATGTCCTGCTCATCGGCTATCCATTGGAGGGTGACGTCCAGAATTGACGTCGGCGCGTACCGGTATGTCTCGGCGTATCCATGGCACAGCCAGCACATCCGCCCCGATAGGACGGAGAAGTCCAACGGATTTAGAAATGGTGATCTTACTCTCAGTGGCAGGCCGACCAAGTCCATAGTTGCTGAGGGAAGAGAATGACTTGGGTCAACCATTCGGAATCAAAACCATTCGAGATCAAGCTCCTTTCTGTACCCGAGAAGGCGGGTGAAGTACCTTTAGATCATCCTGCCCTGTAAATGACAAGACCACCTTTTCTGCAGCTAACACGCATCTTGATAACCCTTTCGTCATTCCTTCAACAACCCATCAAGGTTCTGACGCCTGGTTGCGGTCAACAGGCCAGGCCGCTGACGACAGTTCGAGGTCTTAGCCACCGTTTTTGAGGTTCGTACCTTCGGGTGTAGTACGCCAAAGAAAATCCATTCCATTCGTCAGTCTGTCCGAACAGCACAAAATACGGGGCCCATAGTGTGGAAACAGCATGTACGGCGGTCAAGGTGTGCGCCGAGGAAGTGATGGCTGATGGCGTTGAGGCGACTGGGTTGATTGCGCTATGATACAAGCTCGAACCAAGTGTTGCCTCCAAATCACGCAAAAGCGCCCACAATGGACATGCCAATAGCTGTTAAATCAAGTCAACTTTCGACTCAGCTTTTCTGTCAAAAACGGCACAATCTTACCTCCAAGAATCAGGAAGAAAAACGCCATCAACCGGTCCTTCTTTGTCATGGTCCGGTTGGCCTCCTCAGACAAAAAGTCCTCGGCCATGAGATCGACAAGAGCAGCATAGAGCAGGAGACCAGATGAACTGCAAATGATTAGTCAAAAATACACCACTTTCCCGTTCCGGGCGCACTCACATAGCATTGAACACGCCCACAATAATGAGCCCAAACGCGCTGTTCGGATCGTACCAGTCCCTAACAACAAGCCCAATGGCCTGACCTATCGGCGCCGTCGTCCCAAAGGCAACAACCAGCACCCACGGACGGAGGCTGCCGCGCCGGTAGGGGACCTCTGCGATGCGGGCTCCGAGACCGAGGCCCTCAAACATCTGATGGAACAAGATCGCAACCAGCAAGATAAGAAAACCCTCGATGGTGATGCTGATGGTCATGCCGACAAAGACCGAGTGAAACAGGATGCCGCCCTCGAGCAGCGTGATGTTCATCGACATCTTGCGGTACACGGCCGGGTCGACCGGCTGGCCAGTCTCGACGTCAATGTACGGCGAGTCGATCAGCGGCGTTTCGGAGATCGTGGTCCGGCGCTTCTCAGACCCGTAGGTCTGCTGCTGCTGCGGCGGCGGCGTCGGCTGCATGGACTGGATCATATTCATCATCTCGAGCCTCTGGCGGACGTATTGCTCGTAGAAGACGATGAACCAGGGCGGCATCTCGGACTGGTCGGTGAGCCCCTTGCCGTCGGCATACGGATTCTTCTCAGGCGGGTATGCTCTCATTCGCTCCTCGTAAAGCTTCTGGGCCATCTTCTTCTCGTAGTCGATGTCCTCAATCTCAAATTCCGTGGCGCTTGTGTATCTCGGCGGCCGCGGAGGTGGGGAGGCATGACTGGCTGCGGGCGGCTTGTGACTATGTGTCTTAAATCCCATGGGCCCGCCGTGGGAGTGGGAGTGGCCGCCCATCTTTCCGTTGAGGTACATCTCGATGACGAAGAGGCAGAACATGGAACCCATCATAATGACACCAGGCATGGCCGGATACTGGTCGGTGAACAAGTCTGGAAGGCAAGGGTCCATGAGGTTGCCAAATGCGGTCGGGAGCAGCTATTCGCTGTTAGCTTCCCCTTCCCTCCATTGAGTCCATTCATGAACCGTCCTTCTTACATGGACAAACGCTGTGGCTACCAGGACACCAGTACCGAAGTGTTTACAGATGAAAAATGTCTTTGCCGGCACCTTGACCCATTTGACCTTCTTCGCGACGACCGGAAAACCAGCGCCAAAGATGGAGGCCGTGAGAACCAAGACTGACACACCTATCAGTACATCACCCTCTAATCGAAGAGACGCTGTACTTACACAGAGCCGCGACATGGAGGGCAAGATCATACTCGCCAACCACCTCGCCGCTACCACAGACCGGCTTTCCTCCCAGGGACTCCATTTCGGAGATCGGGGCGGTCACGTTTTCGGCCATTTCTGAATGTCTGGCAAGTAATACCGAGTTCGAGGCGCCGTATTCAGGGGACAGAGCAGCTCCAGGCCTCTCCCCCAGAACATAAGGCGCGGAAAAAAAGTAAAAGAAAACTACCAGCGAAGCCGCCCGGCAGCTTCGATCCAAGAAGAGAAGGGAAAGGAAAGGGAAGGAGACGGTACGGGTGCAACTGTCCCAACTATCCACGGCCGGCGGGATGACCAACGGGGGGAAGAAGGGAAAGGAAGAAGGGAAAAGAAGAAGGGAAAGGAAGAAGGGAAAAGAAGAAGGGAAAGGAAGAAGGGAAAAGAAGAAGGGAAAGGAAGAAGGGAAATAAGATCAAAACAAACCGCGAAGAGATCGAAATGAGGTCCTTCCAGAGGACCGCTGGTAAAGTCAACAAGAGCCAAGACGGAAAAGCATAGTTGTTACGGATGCACGTCTGACTTTAGTATGCGACATGTCTTGGCGTCGATCAATGGCTGGGGAACAACCAACATGAGGGCCAAGTCGAGTTGTGTCTGGCAACAAGGGTGAGTTGGAACAGGATAACCAGCGAGTGCCTGGCATCTTGAGGGGAAAGACTTCAGCAAGAGTCCATGGAACCCACGCTTCAGGGAGGAACACATCTGTTTTAGGCCGGGTCATCGATACCGAACGCCTTTCCCTTCCATGTCGAATGCCTTTTCATGTCCGGACTGACTCGGCGGGGTTTCATAGGATCTGTGTAGACATCGTGGTCATCGAGATCAGGAGAGTAGCTGGGCTCCACTGTATTAGCCTCGCAAGGTCAAAATGTGATCGACATACCTCCGGCATCCCGTTGGGGGTTCTTTGCTCTTTCGACTGGCCAAATGCGACCGATTTGGCGGCGGGGAACAGAACAACCCAGTCGAAGGCGAATTTGGTGTCAGTGAGCTGTGAAACGGGCTCGCGGGCCCACCAGCTGCGTCGGAAGCAGCTACCGGCTGTCCACTTGGGGATTTGGATCTGGCCAACGGAGGTATCCGCCCAGTCTCGGGATGGAATCTTGTCAACCCCGATTGTTCATGTAATCGGATGTCAACGACCGTCTATGTCTCTCTCTTTCCATGATGCGTAAATGAAGTCCAGGTCGCCAGCGCACATCGGTACCTCTGAGGAGGTAGACTGGTCCTTCGAATGGTATCCGGCAGGACCTGCCTTGCCTAGCAGATGTCCCAGATTGAGGCAAGATATCCCGATGGACATGGGTCCACGGCACGGGCTGCAGGTGGAGTGTGGGGACAGGGGAGGTGTAGAGATCGTTCATGTCTCCGTGGAAGACAACAGCCCTCCTTCTTTGTACGAGAGGTTGTGCCTCGCACGTATCAGCGATTGAGAGAGCGTTGACTAACTGGGGAGACGTCTGCAGGGGTGCAAACCGGGAGACCGTTCGGCATTTGCGATTTCATGTGTCTCTGTCTAGGTCAGTGACAGGCTCATCGTTGCTGTAACCCTTGGCGTCTGTTTCGGCGCGGATCTTGCAGCACACTGCACCAGACAACGTTTAGGGGTCGTCGGCTGCCGTGCAGTCGAAACATGGTGCGAGCCAACCACACGGGTTGGACTTGGTTCTGATGCGGACAGTTCCGTGGTCGACAGCGCTTCCATGCATGGAAACTTCCAAGCTAAGCTGCAGCAGCAGAACTCAGCATCCTACACGTGTAGGACCGCCCGTGCTGGGCGATCTCACGGACTTGTTGCGTCGTGGTCAGAACCAAAATACTGTTACCCAAATGCCTTGGCAGTGTGGCTGTACTTGTACCATATGTCTAGAACCCTAGATGGACGATGGTTGTGTCTTGACCGTCGCAATTCTGTGTCTGGCTCGGTCTGGCCACAAGGAATTCTTTGGACGACGTTTGATCCGCGAACGCTTGGCTGTTACTGGCTTGACATGGGTTGCCAAGACTCGATTTGGAATTCAGTGAAGCTCAGCTGGGAGGCTCTGCCGGGAGTTGTGTTGCGTGTCGCGGATAGGATCAACTCAGCACAGGCCTGCCATCTTGGGCAACTCAGCCAAGCTAGGAACAGTTGAAAGTGTCGCAACTCTCAATTCTGCTTCAGAAGATGGATTGACTCGATGGTGGCTGGCTACTTGACGGTTTATGAAGAACGGATTGAGCAGTTGTGATCGCATGTCCCGGGCAACGAGAAGGAATCGAGCAAGGCGGAAAGACCCGGCAGCCCAGCTCTATAGCGGCTCGGCGGGCAAAGGTGGGGCCCATATCGGCTCGCCACTCAATGAAGGTGGGCTCACTAGCCTGATACCAAAGTTCAACAGCCGAACATTTGATCCCGTCCGATGTGAGCTCCGGAACGAGACAGCTCCCACCAACAACCGCCATTGTCGGCGCAGCCACCAAGATGGGCTTTTCTCAGCTCGGTCTACGCAGGGCCGCCGTGCACATGTCCCGTGTGCCCGTTGCCTGCGGCCCCTGTCTACGACAGCAGGTTCTGGTCCCTCCGTCCCAAGTTTTGAAGCTCGCCAGAGCTGCCCGAAGATATGCCTCGGCGACGACAATTGAGTCCAAGAATTCCCTCGAGTCATTGAGAAGCAATATCACGAAGGCTGCTCAGCCAGCGGCGCATAAATCTGGCTCCCAAGCCGCCGAGAAGTCATCGTCCTTCCCCAACACCAACGCCAAGGTGGTGGGCTACTGGCTTGTCGGCAGCGCCGTGAGCGTCTTTGGCATTGTGGTATGGGGAGGCTTGACACGGCTGACCGAATCTGGGTATGTTAATTGCCAAGGCTGAGTCTGCACGAAGGAGCTAATCAAACGTGCCAGCCTGAGCATCACAGAATGGAGGCCCGTCACAGGCTCCCTGCCGCCCATGTCGGCCGCTGACTGGCAATCCGAGTTTGACAAGTACCGCGCTTCTCCCGAATTCAAGCTTCTCAACCCCCACATGGACCTGGCCGAGTTCAAGAAGATCTACTTTATGGAATGGGCACACCGTTTGTGGGGTCGCTTCATCGGTCTCTCCTTTGTGCTCCCGACCGTCTATTTCATTGCTCGCCGTCGGGTAACGCCGCGAATGGCCGTCAATCTGGTCGGCATCTCGAGCCTCATCGGTTTCCAAGGGTTTATCGGGTGGTGGATGGTCAAATCCGGGCTGAAGGACGATCTCTTTGCCCCAGGCTCTCACCCCCGCGTCAGCCAGTACCGCCTGACGGCACATCTCGCTACCGCCTTCATCTGCTACGCCTGGATGCTTCTTTCTGGCCTTGGGGTGCTCCGGACACATCGGCTTCTTCGCGACCCTGAAGCTGCCGCCAAGGCTTTTGCAGCGCTAAAGTCGCCCACGCTGACAGCGCTCCGCCGTTCGGTCGCTGGTCTGACCGTGCTCATCTTCACCACCGTCCTCTCCGGTGCTCTCGTTGCGGGTCTCGATGCCGGTCTTATCTACAACGAGTTTCCCAAGATGGGCGTAGGGTATGCGCCGCCCAAGTCGGAGCTGTTTGACAAGTTCTACTGCCGCAGGGAGGACGGGTCCGACCTGTGGTGGCGCAACATGCTCGAGAACCCATCGCTCGTCCAGCTCGACCACCGCATACTCGCCATGACCACCTTCACCGCCGTGGTGGCACTGTTCGCCTATAGCCGGACCTGTCGGATCAAGGCTGCGATGCCCAGGGATGTGCGTAAGGGCGTCAATGGTATGCTGCATCTCGCTCTGATGCAGGTTACGCTCGGCATCACCACCCTCATGTACATGGTTCCGATCCCCCTCGCGGCCGCTCACCAGGCCGGTGCGCTTGCCCTCCTAACGGGAGCGTTGGTCGTGGGACACCGGCTGCGGGTACCCAAGGCCACGCAAGCTCTGGTGCAAAAGGCGCTGCAGAATCCCTCTCGGTTTCATGGGCAGGCGACGAGTCAGAAGCTTCTGAAGACTGTTGCCGAGAAAACCGGCGCTTAGACAACTCTTGCGTTGAACGCGGGATGTTGCCTGGACATAGGCTTGTACATTACGTATGAATTGGCGGATGCATACCCCAGGTTCGCGTCAAGTTGAAAGCCATGTAACTGTAAGATGTTCGAATAATCCCATTTCAACTCCCTACCTTCTTGTGCGTGCTTCGTTCTTGTGCTGTCTTTGTTACGGTCAACCGACATTTGCTTGACGCTGCTCTTGATCACGTCAGAGGGTCGATGAGAAATGTGCAGTTGCAGCTGAAAGCAGCTGGCAGCAACCGGCGATGGCTGTCACATTAACGGCAACCCGTGACTTCGCGCGCCTGCCGCGCCGACATGGGACAGCAACTAGTGACAACGATTGAACAGCATCGCCACTGGCTACAACGGCGATGATACAAGCCCGGGGCTGTTGCTAACCCGCACCTACCCTCTCGCGCTTCGTTTACAATGGTGGGCAGAAAGCGAAATGCGCCGGCAGAAATCAGCAGCCCGAGGACAACGCGCTCGAGCGCAAGAGCAGCGTCGCAGGGCGCCGCAACGCGACCCGGCTCGCGGCGCAGAACTGCTGCCAGAGATGTCGCTGTTCCGGACATTTATCGCGAGATGCTGATTGAGGCGAGAGATGAGTTCACTCGAAACAGCACGGTTCCAGAGCGGCCCCTGAAACGTAGGCGCCCCGGCGAGGGACGACCAGCTCGGGTCGAGTCGCGAAAGGACAGCGCTGCCAGCGCCACCGGAATGGATACTGGAATTGCTGTCTCTCATGATGCTTCCGAAGATGGCAATATCCAATTTGAAGATGTTGTTATTCCCACGCCTACAGTGCAGACCGTGCTGAGGGATTCCGACGACGAGGAGGATGACGACATTTTCGAAGACGTCGCCATCGAGCCCGCCGTGCCATCGGCCGCCATCGCCGGAGAAGGGTTCAAGGCATTGAATCTGGATCTTTCCGCCCATATGGCTGCCATGGGTCCTCGCCGTGCCGACCGTCGCAAGGCCCTCAGCAATGAGGAGAGGGAGCGTCGTGTTGAGGCCCACAAAGTACACCTAGTCTGTCTTCTTGCTCACTTAGAGCTCAGGAACAGGTGGTGTAACGACCCAGAGGTCCAGGAGACTCTTCGGCCATTGCTCCCCCAAAAGACGGTCAGTGCCCTGGTTCCCCGGGCCAGTCTGAACCAATTTGGACGTTCAGAGTCCTTGAAGAAGGGTCTTCAGGAGGCGAAGGAGCTCTTTAAGATGGCGTTTTCCATCACTGAGCGAGGTTTATGGAGAGCCCTGTGGGCTGGAGACGAAGAACAGCTCAAGAATGTATGTCAATACCTCTCATGCCCTTTCCCGGGCTGCGCTAATACGCTCGGCAGTACCAACTCCCTGATGACATGGAGTCCACGCTGGACAAGAGTGACTTTCTCGAGGCAGCTAGAAGAATGCAAGGGTCGCGTGATGTTGGTGCCCAGCTGTTCTGCGCCCTGCTCCGGTCCGTGGGTGTCCAAGCTCGACTGGTCTGCTCGCTGCAGCCCCTACCCTTCGTTCCCGGAGCCCCTTCGATGCCAAAACAACGGAAAGCTTCGACACCACAAAATCAGCCATCCAAAGCCGAGCTATACGCCGCAGCAGTGGCCAAACATGAAACAAAGTTCCCCGAGTTCCAGGCCGGCGCAACAACGCCCTCTCCCCGTCGACGGCTTGGCCACCCACACGCCGCCGCCTATCACATCCCATCAGTAACTGCATCCTCGCATTCCCCATCCCAACTCTCTGTGTCGACCCCTAGGATGATCCGCGGCGAGTCGCCATTTCCGGTCTACTGGGTTGAAGTGCTCGACGTCGCCCACCAGAAATGGCACCCCGTCGACCCCCTCGTCACATGCACCCAGTGCAAACCCCGCGCACTCGAACCCCCACCTTCTGACACCCTCAACAACCTAACCTACACCATCGCTTTCGCAGCCGACAGCAGCGCAGTCGACGTAACCCGTCGCTACGCCAAAGCCTACACCTCCAAGACCCGCAAACAGCGCATCGACGGCTTCCCCACCACCCTCAACCCCACCACCAGCAGCGGCAGCAGCAGCACCAATCTAACCGGCGGCGCCCGCTGGTACCGCCGCCTGCTCTCGCGCTACACCCGCCCCCTGCCGACCGACCTGGAACAAATCGAGCTCAACGAGCTCGCGGCCGAGGAAGCGCGCGAGCCAATGCCGCGGAATGTCGCCGACTTCAAGGACCATCCCGTCTATGCCCTGGAGCGGCACCTCCGACGGCACGAGGTGCTCGTTCCCGGGGCGCAGCCCAGTGGGACGGTGAGTGCGGGGGCCAAGGCGGGGGCACAGTTGGAGCGGATATATCGACGGAAGGATGTCAGGGTTGCGAGGACGAGGGAGAAGTGGTATCGTCTTGGGAGGGTTGTGAGAGACGGGGAGGAGCCGGTGAAGAGTTTGCCGAAGAGGAAGGTGAGGAGGAAAGGTGGTGGGTTTGAGAGTGATGAGGACGGAAAAGCTGATGGGGCTGTGGATGATCCGGACAGGGTGGGGTTGTTTGGTGATGCTGCGCTGGGGTATGTCCCGCTTTATATGATGGAGCAGACCGATGCGTATGTCGCGCCGCCTGTGGTGGATGGGAGGGTGCCCAAAAACAAGTTTGGAAACATCGATTTGTATGTCCCGAGTATGGTGCCGCGCGGTGGGGTGCATATCAGGCATGACAGGGCGGCCCAGGCGGCGTTTATACTGGGGTTGGACTATGCGCCGGCGCTGACGGGGTTTGAGTTCCGCGGGAGGCAGGGTACGGCTGTGTTAAACGGGGTTGTGGTGCCGGAGGAGGCGGAAGAGGCGGTCTCGGCGGTTGTTCAGGGGCTGGTGGAAATGGAGGCGGAGGAGGAGCAGGAGAGGAGGTCGAGGAGGGCATTGAGGATGTGGAGTCGATTTTTGAAGGAGTTGAGGATCCGGGAGAGGATATGGGCTGGGGTAGATGTGGAGGTGGAGGCGGAGGAGGAACCCGAGAGCAAGCGCAAAGGGAAAGAGGCGGTGCTGGAGGAGGATGTTTGGATGGAGGGAGATCCGAGTGAGGATGATACGGGAGGAGGTGGGTTCTTTGTCCCGGACGAGGACGATGAGGATGATGGTGGCAGCGGTGGGTTCATTGTCGAGTGAGGCGTCCCTATTCCAGGGCTGTTGTTCGCTGGTACACAACTCACTCACTGGTGAATACGCAGTTTCATGTTTGGCACAAATCTAACAACCCTACCGAGATGGACCAAGGCTTCTTCGTCCCCACTGGTTCTGTCAACCGCAGTCTCAGTCATTCGGGGAGCTAGAAGCCCAGCAGGGAACTTTATATCCCACCACATCATCCCATCCGGTTCTTCAAGCAAGTCCTTTGCCAATAATGTTAAACCAAAGTCGTCCTTGTGATGCATGCTTGCACAAGTAGCTAGTACATGCTCCAGAATGTCGATGGCCTCCTTGATCCGCCCAATGTACACGTATGCACGTGCAAGCCGGAAGGATCTAGAAAAGGAAGGAGAACGTAAGTGGCGGAGGAATGGACATGTCTCGCAACCCTTGGTCTAGATAGGTCTTGAGGGGTGGCCAATAGGTATCCGTTGGGTCTACCTGGGGGGACAGAGGAGCCGCCTCCAGGGTTTCGCACCGTTGTCGGGGCAATCTGATGCATCTTAGCAGCAGATCTTGATGAGGCTGGAAGCTGAAATTCCGCTGCACCATTGCCGCCATCTTCATCCATGTGGAGCCGGAACTAGGGAGGATTCGGCCCGGCATCGCCAAGCCGGAGCAGCTCCGTGTTGTAGTGGGCCTGGCTGCTCTGCATTGGACATGTCCTCCCAGAGTCCCAGTGTTCTCTCAAATCCTGCTTCGGCACCAGTCTTAGCGTCTTGAGATTGAAAAGAAGGATGGGCGGTAGAGCCAGACAGCAATCATCCACAGCCATGCCCCTCCCAGCGAACTGGCCATCCCACGTCCCATACCTAACAGTCCCAGCGTACTCACCGCATCTCGGCCAGGCCCACTTCCAGGCCCTCCGTACCCGGCCCGCGGATCCTTCCGACCCGATCCCGGAGATCCCCCGCGATCTCAGACCTGGCCCATGTCCTGCCGTCCGCATCACCCCGATCACCGACCCGAACCGTAAGCACCTTACCAACCGACCACGTCAACCCGTTCATACTAAAACAAACGATAACATAGACCCCGCTCACGGCCAAGCAGGCCTCTTCGCAACCCGCGACTTGGCTCCGGGCGAACTGATCCTGCCCTACCTGGGCGAAATCCACATCGGCACTGCCCCGTTCGGCGATAAGACTGAAGGCTACGACTATGCCAAATCCGATTACGACCTCTGGCTGGACCGCGATGCGGACCTTGCCGTGGACGCGGCACGCATCGGGAATGAGGCGAGATTTGTGAATGACTATCGCGGGGTGCCCGGGCGAGATGGGAAGAAGGCGAATGCTGAGTTCCGGGTTGTGTGGGATCCCAGGACGGGAGAGAAGTGCATGGCTGTATTTGTGTTGCCTGCTGGAAAGAGGGCTGTCGGCAGGGCCAGAGTGGTTGGGATTGCGAGGGGCGAGGAGGTGCTGGTCAGTTATGGGAGGGGGTTCTGGCAGGGAAGGAGGGAGGCTGAGGAACAGGACGCCGATGAGAAAGGGAACACGTGAATCGTGACGTCTTCTGGCCAAAGAAAAAACAATTGGAAAGGTGACACCAGGTGTCTAACCTTCTGTCCGAACCCATAGCTGATGCTAGGTCGGCTGTGCAATCATGACGGCTGCCTTCGGGGGTAGCTTCGGGCTGCCCCGCCATGACGACGGCGGGGTTACCTGTGCCCTGAGCTTACCCCACATAAGCTCTGCCGACATCCTCCATCCTCCAACTCGACTTATCCATCTCAAACAAACCTTCGACAGCCGCGGCGTGAAGCCTCTCAACAGGTCTACAACCAATTCAACTTCTACAACTAAACTCAACTACATCTTGAACGTCCACGATGGACCCTCCACCGCCACCAAAGATCACAACCCAACCAAACCCCCCGGCTCCGACACCCTCACACCCCCGCCTCGCCGTCCTCACCCCGTCCAAAACCCACCCCTTCCAGACCCCAACCAAGCGCATCCACACGGGCGCCGACCTCCCCCGATTCCTCTCCTCTCTCGCCTACCGCGACATAGGCCTCTTCATCCTACAGCTCAACCGCGCCCTATGCCCGCGCACACCCACCTCCTCCTCCTCCTCCTCCTCCTCCTCCTCCTCCTCCACCACCACACCTTCCGGCAGTAGCAGCACTAGCAAAATCCGCTCCTTCCCACTCGACGCGCCCCGCACCGACCCGCCGGCCGTTACGAACCTGAGGGAACTGCTTCGCAAAGTGGAGGGGATTATCGACGAGGCGCCTCCTGAAAAGGGGCCGCGGCGGTTCGGGAATGTGAGTTTTCGAAGGTGGCACGAGATACTGAAGGGGAGGGTGCGAGGGTTCTTAAGGGAGTATTTACCTAGGAGTTTGTGGGAGGCGTGGGGCGGGCTAAAGGAAAAGGAGGAGGAGGACGCTGGGTTGATAGCGGAGGTGGAGGGGTATTTTATGGGGTCGTGGGGAAGTAAGGAGAGGTTGGATTATGGGACGGGGCATGAATTGAGCTTTCTAGCGTTTCTGGGGTGTTTATGGAAGTTGGGGGCTTTCTATGAAGGAATAGAGGGAGACGGGGAAGGGGAGGTGGAGAGGAGTTTGGTGTTGGGACTTTTTCAACCGTGAGTATTGTTTCTGGGGCTGGTCAAGTGTAGAGGAAGGGATGCTGACCGGGACAGATACCTCAAGGTTGTCAGACGGCTGATTCTGACGTACAACCTCGAGCCGGCCGGTTCGCACGGGGTATGGGGCCTCGACGACCACTCGTTTCTGCCGTACATCTTTGGCTCGGCACAGCTCACCCGACCCATCACCGAGTCCGAGCCCATGCCGTTAGAGGGCTCGGCTCCGTGTGCCCCGCGGCCCTCCGACGTGGTCAAGCCCGCCACCGTCGACCTCTACCGCGAGTCCAACATGTACTTCTCGGCCATCGGTTTCATCAATGACGTCAAGAAGGGCCCCTTCTGGGAGCACAGCCCGATCCTGTTCGACATCTCGGGAATCAAGGACGGCTGGGGCAAGATCAACAAGGGAATGATCAAGATGTTCAACGCTGAGGTACTCTCCAAGTTCCCCGTGGTGCAACACTTTCCCTTTGGCTCGCTCTTCTTGTGGGACGAAGATCCGGAGGCGGTAAAAGTGACGCAGTCTGTCCACCTGGCGAGTCATGGGCCGGCGACAGAGAACGCACCTTCCGCCGGCGCGGGTTCAGGGACCGCCGCACCGTGGGCGCAAGCCACCAAAATGCCTGGCGTCGCGGCCGGTGTACCATCAGCGCCGGGAATCCCGTACTCGAGGGCGCCGTTGATTGGCGTGGGCAGTTCTGCGCCGACGAAGCCGAGGGGAGGAGGCCCAGACACTGGACCGCCTCCGCCGACATCTTTCCCGCGAGGCCAACCAGGGACGGCGAGCAACCAGTTTTCTGTGACCAAGGCGCCGTGGGCGAAGTAGGCTTGTGCTGTGGTGGTGGCGAAAGGAAAGGTTGAGTTTGTCTCCATTCATGATACCCAATGCAAGATGTATCCGAACGGTCAGCCAGCTCATATAACCTGTCCGGTTGGAAGTATGGTCGTATTACTATGACGCTCTCAACCGCCTTTCATCTGCCTCTTCGGCGGGGGACGAAATCATCAGGATGCATGTGACACCTGTATATGGCGTTGCTCGAGCCTCCTTTGCTGGGGTTGCTGTGGAGCGAGCCGGTTTGGGAGATAGGGCATGTGTAGGAAGTCAGCCCTCGGTTGTGTACTGGTTGTATTCCCTCCAACCCCGCATGTTAATTCTGATACGCATCATCCGAACTACCCCCTACACCCTCACCATGCCACTCAACAGGATAACTCGGCGGCAAATCTTCCTTCGCCCTCCCCCATTTCGGCCCCTCCTCCTCCCCAACCCACAGCTCCAAAACACCCCCCTTCAAAAAAAACTCATGAGTGATCCAATTTTTGTGATACTCCCTCCCATTAAGCTTCGACCGCCGTATATACTTCCTCCTCCTCTCCGAATCAAACCCCCTAACCTTGATAACAGCCCACTTCCCCTTCTCCTTTGCCCTGATCCTCACCTCGGGAAAGAAAGGCGCCGTGAGCAGGTACACATCCTGACCCGCCACAGGGAAGAACCCCATCATGGCGAACGCGCTGAACGCGCCCATGGCGCAGTCGTCGTTGCCTGGTATCCCGTTGACGCTGGCGTTGAAGAGGCTCGGGATGTACTCGTGCGTGAAGAAGCTGCTCAGGCCGGGACGCCCCGCGTAGTGGAACTGGAAGACGGGGAGGAAGCCTTGCTCGTTGCCCATGTAGGATATGCCGCTCGTGTGGAAGAAAGTAAGGCGCTGGACGAAGGCCTCGGGCCCGCCCATGAGCGAGATCAGCGTGGCCATGTCCTGCGGCGCGTAGAAGCTGTACAGCCAGGGGCTGCCCTCGTACGTGTCGAGGCTCGTGTCGTAGTAGCACGAGTGCATGTCATGCACGGGGGAGCAGGTGCGCGGGGTTTGGTAGTGGAAGGAGCCGTTGAGGCGTCGCGGCTGCAGAAAGCCTTTGAAATGGGTTTGAGTCATGGCGCCGCTCTGGTCTTTGAAGGCGTCAAATTGGTCCGGGTTCCAGTAGTTGCGCCAGTTGTCGGCACGCTGGCGGTACTTGGCTGCGTCCTCCGTGTGGCCCAGCCTCTCAGCGAGGAGGGAGATGCAGAAGTCATCGTAGGCGTACTCAACACCTCTGCTAACGGTGCGGCTGGCTGGGCCGGTGCCATTCTTGTCTTTGTCGTCCCACGGGATGTAGCCCACGGTGTGCCAGCTTACGAGGTTGCCGCGCCCCTCGAGGCCCCAGTTGGGTGGTTCGACTGTGGTTGTTAGAGCGACAAGAAAAAACAAAAGAAAGAGTTTGACTGACCTTCTGCGTCTGAGATTACCGCCTCGTACGCGGTGTCCCAGTCAATGCCTTGCGTCAGATTCTTAATAAAGGCGTCTACAAGCACGACGTCTGCGTTGGAGCCACCCTGCGTGAAACCTTTGCAAAAGCTCATCCGACAATCGGGTAGTTTTCCTGCCAAACGGTCAGTCTCGTCCTCAGTCATCTTCACGAGTCACGGACCTTCATGCCTGTAGATGTCGATTAGAGCACGCACCATCTCCGTCTGCGCAACCGGGTCGATGATGGTCAACAACGGATGCTGAGCGCGGAAGGAGTCCCAGATGCAGTAGAACCTGCCCCAGGTCAGCAACAAGATCATCGCCTATCCCCAACCCCCCAAACTTACGAGTCGTAATACGGCTCCGTCGAGTTCCACAACGGATTTTCCCCCGTATAGTTCTGAGGAGAAAGCAGCGTGCGATACAGCCCCGACCAGAAAGTCGTCTGCAGCTCCTCGCTCACCCCCGTCGAATCGACCTCGATCACCCCCAACTTCTCCCGCCAGGCCCTCCTCGCATCACTCTCGACCCTCTCAAAATGCCAATCCGGTATCTCCCTCTCAGCATTCTCGCACGCTTGATCGATCGACATAAACGACACCCCAACCCTCGCCAGCAGCGAGTGCTTCGGGGGCCTCTCAAACTGAATCCACGCGCCAGCCGATCCACTCGGGATATAGTACCCAGGGCTCATACCATCCAGAAACTTGGGCTCCTCGACCGCCTCGTTCCCCTTGAACGTGCCCGTCCGGCGTATCCGCGCGCCCCTGAAATCGGCGCAGAAGAAAGCCTGGTACTTGCACATGCCCGACCCAAACGACGGCCCATACCGCCCCTCAGCGACCACCCTCCCCGTTTCATGATCCACCTGCACGCCGCCGGTGCTCCAACTGCCCATCAGATCGACCAAATCCACCACGACAAGAGGCGAGTACGGCACCCCGCGCTGCGGCTCCTCTTTCTTCGTGGTGAACACATCCACCGATTCCTCACCGGAAAACCCAAACCTGTACAGTACCGCGTGCTGCGTGGTCGTCATCTCGGCTTGCACGGTATTAGTCAGGTTGACGGTGAAATACCCCGGCGCGGCAGACACGGAACCCGGGACGCGGTCCGTGGGCCGGTGCATGGTCGAGTAGGCGCACCGGCGGAAGTCGTCGCTGGGACAACCCGGGTGAACAAACAGGGGGAAATTGCCGAGCGACGGCATGCCGCCCGTCCCGGAGTCGTGCATGTGCGAGAAGCCCGTGATGGGGTTGGCGTCGGAGACGAAGCCCGCTGCGTTCTCAGCCGGCGAGGCCGTGTCGGCTACGGCTTTGGCCATTCCTGTTTAAAATATTAGTGCGCGGGTTTGGGTAGCAAGGGGAGGAGGGGAGGGGGTTTTACCGTATGGGAGAGTGGCACCGGGAAAGACATGGCCTGTTGAGGGTAGCGTGTGAGATTGTTTGGTCTTGTGAGCTTTTTGGAGAGGCGTGAGGGGATGGGTGAGAGACTCACCTCCGTTGGCTGTCCCGATGAGTGGGTCAACGAACCGGAGGACGTTGTATTGAGATTTGGAACCAAAGAAGAGGATCGATGAACCCCCTAGGGCAGACTTGGAGTTTGAGAGCAGCAGGAAGAGGCAGATGCAGAAGAGCGTGAGCGGGAGGATACGGCTTATCCGCGGGATGCCCCTCAGCTGGATTGGCGCCGCCATGCTGGCGGTCCCGAGAGCCCTATTCCGTCCTCTGGTTCTTGATTGTTTCTTGACCGGCTCGATTTCAAGGGCGCCGAGTCCCTCACTCAGAGAGGGTTGTTTGGAGGATTTAGTGGCAGCATGCTCTGACAGGGTACTGAGTCTCTCCGAGCATCAGCATGTTCGGCCCGGGTCAGTTGTACTCTTGTTCTCGTCTTACAGCTTCGGTTTCCTGATTGGCACTGTGGGTATCGAAACCAGCGGCTCCGAGGATCAACCCGTGTCTGAGAAAGTTGGATGCTTTCGCCGTCATGTTTGGTCTCAAAAGGCCAGTTTAAGAGATGGCAGGGGCTGGGTTCTGCCAAGACAACATATCAGTGCTAAGAAAATGCTGGGGGGTACGATGCCAAGCCTGCAAAGTCCCGCAATCCAGGGTGTGTTTCAGGGCATTGATTGGTTTATGAACTTCCGGTTTTAACCACCGAATCCAACCCTGAGAGCTCCCCGCGCTCCCGGTTCCCCCGTTCGGCGAAGTGTGTTTCCATCGGCCACATCAAAAACTCCTTGAACTCGCCATCCCCAACAAGGCCATCAACCACCGCAATGATGTGGTCTTTCCAGCCCTCGATATACCATCCCTTTTGAACCGCGTCCATGTTCAGGAGCACAGCGTAGTGCGCCAGAACCAACAGCGCGAGTGACTCGCCCTTTCTGACGCAGGCCACGAAACCGGGCTCGACGCGGTACAGCCAGCCAAAGACGAATTGGTTCACATGCGAGCCGCGGTATGTTATCGTGTCGCCCAGACCGCTGCGTCGCCCGTACGTGGCCTCGTAGATGTCGATAAGGCAGTCGAGCGCTCGGAGGGAGGCAGCAGCTGCATCTTCCTGGTTGTTCTTGTTGGGGCGAGCACTCGCGATGAAGGCCCTCAGCCGGTCCAGCGCGTCCTCCCAGTCTAGTCGCGGGAAGCCGACCCCCGCATACACGGGTTGTTCTAGGAGTCCCGGCGGCGCTGAAACCGGCCCGAGGGGCTTCATGAGCCCAGCAAACAACACATCCGGGGAAAAGCACTGGCGCATCAACCTGACTCCTTGGATGAAAGGCATGGACAAGGGGGGAATCGAAAACGGGTCCTGGGTAGTATCTTGTCTCCCCCGCTCATGGACGGTGCATACGAGCACGTCATGGCAGCTCGTGGGACCGGCGGCAAACGTGCAATAACTCGTCAGGACTGCGGCCAAGTACAAGGCGCCGCAGTTCTCGGGTCCTGCTTGCGACAGCTGCGACGAGAAGCCCGACAAGCCAACTGTGAAGTGCTGGTGGGCGAGGTCCACATAGTCGCTTCGGCTCCGACGGAGGGGCAATGGTGCTTGCGGGTCGCTCGTCGCCGCCTGGTCGCCCTCTTTGGCCAGATAGGCCAGGTGGAATGCCGCTGTGGCGAGGATCAGGTGCAGGACAAAGGCGTGGCTCAGCCCTATGTGCGGCACGTTGCGTTTCCAGAATTGAAGTATATCGGGGTCGTCTGGGCCCGCCGCAAAGGTCTCGGTTGTGGTTGTGATGAAGTGGAGGAGTAGCTCGGCGTTCCCAAGGTTGACTTGTGCTGAGTCAACGTTCACGGCTAGAGGCCTGCGTTGTGGTGATGTGACCCCCGAAATTGGTGGTGGTGTGTTTGGAGTGTCTGCGACTGAGCAGGCAGTTGGAGACTGACCGGACATGAATGGAGACACAGTCAACTAACCTGTCCAGACTTTCCGAGGCCGGCCTGGGCCACGTCGTGGTGCTGAGACGGTGCCATACTCGACGCGCCCGGCATCCGAGACGAGATCGCAGGGCAGACCAAAGCTTCGGCAGTTGCTGCACGGTTTCCCCTCGTTGCACTGAGAGAGCCGGTCAGCAAGGCGTTGGGCGACAAGCCACACAACAAGGCAAGAGACGGAAACAGCTGAGGCTGGTATCCAAGACATGACAGGATCAGAATGCAGGATGCGAGCTTGCCAGGCGTGACAAAGGGGGAGCAAAGAAGGAGAAGAAGGCGAAGGGAAGTACTAAGTGGCCTGACCAACCTTGACTTTGCGACGTTTGCAGAAGCTGCAGCCGGTGCGTGATTTGCGGTGAGGCCGGATCGATTTCTTTTTCAAAGATGACGACCCTGCTGTCATATTCAAGAGAGGATTAGATGTTGGTTCTTGACCTGAATAACAGTCAGCTTGTCCTTTTTCGCATCTATATGCGAAAATCCAGGGCAGCCCCTGACCCCATACCGGACCCACTGCCTGCACGACGATCATCTTCGACAAAGGCGGCCCCACTGATCACTGACGCGGCCTCGATCTGCCGGAGGTGAGGGTCAGGACAATGGTTAGCCTCAACCTTGCAACCCTGTTTCAGATATCGGATCAAGGCTGTGCGAAAATGGCTGTTTTTTCGCATTTATCAAAAATTGCATGATAGGTTGGGATAGGCGCTCACCTCGTACATGTTTGAAGCATCAACCATGATGATGTTCACTTACACAGCCGGACTCACTTACTATTTCTACTCCTTGAGCCTCCTTATTTCCCGACTGAGATGTCCAACATGTCGGTTCATCCAGAGACTCACCAGTTCTTACTACAAAGTACACTTCTCATCACTCACCTCCCTCCATCGGCCTGATTAGTATTTTGTACCATCCTCCAACCTGTCTTGGAACATCACCCAGACACCATGGCCTCCATTGACGACGGGCCCCCTTTCGGCCCCATTGTCAACGGGACCATGGTGGTCGTGTTCTGGGAGTATCGCCCGAGCAACATAGCCGCCTACTCCTTCCTTGGGCTATTCGCGCTCGCCACTCTCGCCCACATAGTCTACTTCTTCCGGCTCCGGGCCTGGGTCTTCATCCCCTTTGTTCTCGGCGGAGTCTGTAAGCAACCCCCTTCCCATCCCATTCTCTCCCCTGCCGCCGTTAGCTGAACAAGACCCCCCAAAAAAGGCCAAATCTTTGGCTACTACGAACGAAGCGAAGCCCACTCCGCCCCGCGCGTCCTCAGGCCCTGGATCCTGCAGAACATGCTCCTCCTGGTCTCTCCGCCCCTCCTCGCCGCGACAGTCTACATGTCCTACGGCCGGATATCCAGCGCCCTGCTGTACGGCACGTACCGTCGCAAAAACCCACACAAAGACCGCAACTGCTGCACTCGTTGCTGCGTCAGCCTCTGCTGCACCTGCTCCCCGACAAAGGCCTACGTCCTCGTCGACATCGTCGCCATCTTCACCCAGCTGATCGGCACGGTCCTCCCCGCCAGCGGCACCCCCGAGGCGCAACGCCTGAGCGTCATTGTCGTGCTGATCGGCCTGCTGGCGCAGATGCTCGCACTGGGCGCCTTCCTGGTCTTCTGTGTGCGATTGCATGCGCGTCTGCGCCGGGACCCGGCGCGCTGGTCGAGGGCTATGGTGGCGGATCCCGCGGTGAATTGGTTGGGGTATTTTGTTGTCATGGAAATGGCGGGAGTGATGTTGGTTGTCAGGAGCGTGATGAGGGGCGTCGAGTATCTGCAGGGGATGGATGGCTATGTGGCCTCGCACGAGTGGTGTGTGTATGTGTTTGATGCGGTGCCCATGTTGGTTGTCATGGTAGGATTCTTGGTCCTGTATCCGCCAAGGTTGGTGAGGGAGGTAGCACACTTAGAGAAGATCGAGCAGGGGGTGGGAGAGTGTGTTGAGTTGAGGGGAGGTTCAGGGGGTAGTGGCAGTGACCAAGGGAACGCATAGGTGAGGCTCTCTTGGCCAACGCCGTCAGTCCGTTGGTTGAGGCCAGACAAGTCCGGTCTGAAGGTAGCATCTGGGCCAGGACTTGAATCTTGTATAGGATTTGATTTGCGGAGTAAAGGGAGGAGGAGCACCAAAATCATCTGATACCAGAAGTAGAACGTATTTCACGAGATCTTTTAAAAGTTCCCATATCTACATCGTTGCCATCATGGTCACCACCGCTCAGTTAAACCCGGACGAAGAGCCAGACCCTTGGGAAGTTCTGGCTGACAGAAAACAGTCTCACTTCGACAACGCCTTGGTCAAAGCGCACACTACGCCGGCACGAGGGCAGGCAGCCGACGGCGGCAACATCCACCGCGGCCACCTACTCCCCCAGCAGTGGAAGATAAGCCGTCCTTATGCAATACCTCCGTGAGCACACCGGCAGCCCGCTCCCGGAGAGCCCCATCTTAATCCATGTTCTTTTCAACTGGGACAAAACTTTCCCAAAGAACTCCCATCATGTAACAACCTCAACCGTCAACCTAACACCCCTCCGGAAGTCCACCCCCTAAACGCCCCCCTCTCCCATCTTGCCCCCGCTCAACTGAGATCAAACCCGGCCCCGCTCTTGACCGCATACAATAGCTTCCTCTTAAGCACCGCCGCAGTCCGATACTGCGGCAGCTTCAGCAGATTCACGCACGTGCTGGCGCTGGGCAACCTCTCCTGATCCGTCCCGCCATCTCGAATACTAAACGGCGGGCTCAACTGACTAAAGCCCAGCAACGGCGCCCTGGGCGTGCTTGTCACATACTTCAGCACCTCCCTCCTCTCCGGGTCTTCGAGGCCGTGCATCACCTCCCAAAACAGCTTGACCGTCGGGTGTTCCTCGCCATCGTCGCCAATCGCATACACACCGCTATAGTGGGTATGCCTCCTCAGGTCCTCGACGTCAATCTCGGAGCTGTCGCCGCCGACCAGGCGCTGCAGCTCGTTCTGGTTGAACATGCTCAGCCACGCCGGGTCGATGATCATGCCCAGGCCGCGGAGAAAAGCGCGTGTCTGCGCGTAGGGTTGCACGACCAGGCGGTGGCGGGCCACGTAGCTGATGTAGAGGGGCCTGTTTTCGTTGGTCACGAGGACGTCCTCGCCGTTGGGGACTAGGTTGCGGGTAATCGTGCGGACTGGTTCGCCCGGGAGCGAGACCTGGTCCGTGATAGTGAAGTCGAGCGAGAGGTCGAGGACATCGCCCGGGTAGTTTTTCAGGCGGAGCATACCCTGGTAGAGCTCCTCGTCGAGTTCCCGGAGGTCGTTGATGTTGGCGCGATAGGTGTCGGATGAGCCGCCCGAGGACGCCCATTTCAGGAGGAAGAAACCTGCAAAGGCGATATCGATGAGGATTCCCTCGTACATGCATTTCCCAATGACTCTGCCGAGAAACTCGTACTGCCGTAGGCGATAGGCGATGGCCTCGGCCCACTCTTCAGAGCCCTCGGCGATCTGGGCTTCCTTCAGCGTATACTTAGTCTGGTCCATGTCGCAGGGGTTCGGGTAGTACGAGTTTTTGCTGTTGGCGACAAAAAGCCTCTGGGCCGGCGTAAACGCTTCGCTCGTCACGCTTGTGAGGAACTCCTTGGTTACACCGCCGCCGTCGATGCCGGCTTCCGGGATACCAAATTCATCCACAAACGTGATTTGAATCGGCTCCTTTAGCCCTTCGCCCAAGTCCCAAAATGATCCCATAGCATCATTGAATACCTTTCCTCGCTGGATCTGCGCCTGGTGCCGGCCCAGAATGTTTGTGCCGGCTACTGTTGGCTCGAAGGGCCCGCCGTGCTGGTTAAGCACCCATAGCCTCCATCTGTCCGGGTCGATGTTGCCCCCGCGTCTCCTGCTCTTGTCGAGGTAGACAAATTGTCGGAATATCTGGACGCGCATATCGAACGGTATGACAAACGGCATGTTCCGTAGGATCTCCAGTTTGGGGCCAGCGGCTGCCCTCAGAGTGTCCCTTGCGGCTCGTTTTCGTGCTAGCCTTATCCTCTCCATATGCGCTTGCCGAGAGAGTCTCAGACCGCTCGAGGAGAGACCGATAAGCGGCTCTTCATCCTCAACGCCATCCTCCTGGTCTTCGTCCCCAGCTTCAGCTTGCTCACGACGGCGCTGCTCTTCCAGAACAACAGCAGAGAGAAAGCCCTCCATGTCAAACTTTGACGTCATAAGCCAGTGGCTCTGGGGCAGGAACGGACGCCGAGAATCCCGTTCGTAGAGCATTCTCATCGCTGTGGAGACCAAGTCCCTGAAAGCATGAAAATCGACGCCTGCAGTGAGCGCGAATGGAGCAACATTGCTGGTTGGGTTGTTGCTAGAGGTGCTCGGCGCCGAACCAAGCAAGTCGGAGGCAGAATAGTACAGTGTGAAACCGAGATGCTTGAGGAAAATAGTAAGACGCTTCAGTTCCTGGAGATTGAGGGCGCTGGAACGCAGCCGTGAACCCGAGCCACCGACGATAGCGGACAAGCTTAAACCGCTGAAGAAATCGTCATCGTCAGTCAGCCGAAGGACGAAAATGTAAAGCTCGAGAAAGAGAAGAATTGTCCGCCACTCGCGGTGCCACGGAGAGTCCGTCTCGGATGCAGGCCGTTGCCGTAGCACCGTGAGCGCAGCATCGGCATCAGCAGAAATGGTGGAGAATATCGAGGTCCTGCTGAGCGCATTCCAGAAGAACTTGACCACCGGAAGGGAGCCGTGGCGAGTGGGAATGTTTGCGAGGTATAGGCGCATGCGAATGTCATCACTGAGCGTTGGGAAGCAGTAGACTAAGGTGAGAATGTAGCCAGCAAGAAAACCGGCATCCTCAAGCTCAGAAGCGGATGTGCCCCAGTGGTCCCTGCCTTGGTTAGCATGGTGAGCAACAGCGGGAAGGAGGCACTTACGATGTAAATTTCTCAAGCAGTCCGGAAATCTCGTCTCTGTCAGTCAGCGATGCGAGCTTATCCGAGACATAAGGAGGCAAGCTCGGCTGGGGGCCCTCCTCGATATCTCGGGCCTCAACCGAGGCTTTCAGTTCTGAGACCGAAAAGCCAACGCGGATCTCGGTGGAAAGCGCAGCGAGCAGGGAGTACAAGACTCGGAGGGAGCGTGAATGTAGTACCAGCTGTTTCCTTGTCTTCTGCAAGACAATAAAATGCGCAAGCAGCCACATAAGGCCCGTCTGCGATCCGGACCATTTCGAATCTGCGATTAGCTCGGCAGAGAGCGAGTCCGAAAGGCAATCCACGTCGATGTCAGCAGCGAAAGATGTAATGTTGGCCTCGAATAGAAACAGGTCGGCCTGTGTCAGGAAAGACACGGCAAACTCATGATATGCAGTTTGCGTGAACGACTCTAATCCCGGGGGTCAGTCTGGGCCCGTACCCAAGACACGGACCGGAAGACGCAGACACATACCAGGTGCATTGGCTGCGGACAGTGGTGTCCCCACGGCAATCCTGATGAGGTTGAGTAATGGCGAGGCGGACCCAGAGCTGTGGCAGTATCTCCCCAATAACCAGTAGAATCTGCCCAGCACAGCCTGGACTGACCCTGGTCGGGCTCTGATGATTTCGATAATGATTTCCAATAGAACCTGAGCTTGGTTGGGCGCCTGGTTGGGGTCAAGACTATGGTGACAAAAGAGTTAGCATTCCGATCCGGTCCTTACGATTTCCAACAGGGTCCCTACCTCTCCAGCGAAGCAACCACTATCCGGGCGAGCTTCCCAAGTCGAGGCAGTTCCACGGCCCCCGATGCAAAACAGGAAAACTTAGTTTGGAGCAGGTCGCGAGCCACCAGGCACAAACGCTGGTGGTCTTCAGCGTGGGAGACTTGGTAGAAACTGAGAACCAGGGGAATCGCTTCGATGGTCCTCCGTTCCACGTCGACGGGCACTTCCGGACGGTGCGCGTACATCAGATCAACCGCTTGCCGACGCTCGGCCCTCAGAATTCGCCGTGACCGATAGGCTCTCCATGTCCGTTGGATTCGCTGCGCAGCCTTCAGGCGCTCCCTTTCTTGCTGCCTTTGTAAGCGCTCGGCCTGGGCATGCGCCACTGTCTTGGAGGCTCCAGCAGCAGTGCTGGGTGCCCAAGAGGTGCTGGTGAAGGGGTTTATCGCTCTCTGGCCGCTGAGATTAACGTTTCGGCCTTTTCGCGAGCTTCCCGTGAAGGTCGGGAACATGGTGACGGGTGTCGCTGGTGGCGTGCTGCTGGACTTTGGATCCCACAGACTGCGGCTCGCACCGGGGAAGCAGTCGCAGAGGCCTCCAGATTCAGTACCCAGATGGAAAACAGACAGGAAGAATCTGAAAGCGCCACGGGTAGAACACGAGCTCCTTGGTGCGAGGTTGGAGGTGCAATTTCAGGATGCTGTTTCCAAGTTGATGTGCGTCTAGACACTCCAAACGCCACTTGAGTTGAGCCCTTCATCAGCGAGGCAACAGCGAACGTGCCGGTGCCCACACCGCAAGCGGCTCGGCCACAGCGGAGGGGCAACAAACGGGCGACAGCTCGCGGAAGCACACAGGACAGTATTTTACTCAATGTAGGTACCCAAGATTGATTGCAGGCAGCTTGAGGTTTGGCTCTAAAACCCGGGAGCGAGGGATAAGTCCCGTCCATGCTCGACGAACATGGGAAACTCGGCCCTTTCCACATGCTGACGAAGAGCTTCCAGAATCCATGCCATCACTGAACCAGGCAGGGGTGCTGATATCGATAAGGCAGCACCCCGCCACATGGCTGCTCTATCAACGTGGCATCCAGCAATCGAGGGCTTGCGAACTCGGTAGACGAATATCAGTGAGTGAGGAGAGACTCTCTAGAGACTTCCTCTCCGGCATGCAGCTGCAGTGTGCATGCATCGTCCAGCAATTGGATAACCCGTCTCTGACAAGGTTAGAAACGCCTCGTCTCCATTGTTGTTGGCGCGTAAAAGTCATAGCCTTGTGGTGCAAAAGTAAGTGGTATGTACAGTTCAGTGACGCTCGGTTAATCGGATATTCTCCGCTTTCTGACCGAGATCACAAAAAAATCCTTCTCCGCAGCCACTTGCGACTTGCCCTCTTCCTTCCTCTCTCTTACATCAAGCGAACAAACCCTCCATCCCCGGATTCTTTCCACAAACTTTCAGAAAAGAGTCAGATCCGAGTACGACACAGCCGTCACTGGTTCTGTTCTCATCTACTTCTTTTCTGACCTTCATACAAAAACTCGACTCAAAAAAATTTGAAAACCCAAAAAAATCCCCATACATACATCAACCCTCCAAAAAAAAAGAAAAAAAAAAACAAAAAGAAACAAAAAGAAACTCGATTTCCGGTCAGATAATCTACCTTTCCTGGAAGACGCTCTTCAACCGTTTCTTAACCGAGGACTCAATTTCGTTGCGGAAGAAATTGATTGGGGCTTTATCACGGTCCTGTTCATTGTCTGCCGTCGCTCCTCCCTGCGAACGGTATCCTTGCTCGGCTCGTCGCACAAAGCTTTGCGCAATCGGTATGTGTTTTCTGTCAATCTAGCAGCAGCTGGTTCGTCATTGTGATCCCCGCTATTTGCTTCAGTTGATCTGCTCGCCAGAGCCCAAATTGACGTCGCCCCGCCTCTAGATCCGATCGTCAAAATGGCCGCTCCCGTTGCCCCCGGCGCTGTCGACCAACTTGCCGCTGATCTCGGCAACACCAACCTCAACAGCGCTGACAACCGTGCCGCCCCCGCCATCAACACCAATGTGTCTCCTGGCGAGTACCAGACCGATGCCGACACGGCCGGTCCGACCCCAAGCTCGGCTGCTCCCCACCCTCAGTCGTCGGCCTCGCTCTACGTTGGCGAGCTGGACCCGTCTGTGACCGAGGCCATGCTCTTCGAGCTCTTCTCCCAGATTGGCTCTGTCGCCTCTATTCGCGTCTGCCGCGATGCCGTCACCCGCCGCTCCCTCGGCTATGCTTATGTCAACTACAACTCGACCGCTGATGGCGAGAAGGCGCTCGAGGAGCTCAACTACACCCTCATCAAGGGCCGCCCTTGCCGCATCATGTGGTCTCAGCGTGACCCCGCTCTTCGCAAGACCGGCCAGGGCAACGTCTTCATTAAGAACCTTGATGTCGCTATCGACAACAAGGCTCTCCACGATACCTTTGCTGCTTTCGGCAACATCCTGAGCTGCAAGGTCGCCCAGGACGAACATGGCAACTCCAAGGGCTATGGTTTTGTGCACTACGAGACCGACGAGGCCGCCGCCCAGGCCATCAAGCACGTCAACGGCATGCTCCTGAACGAGAAGAAGGTTTACGTCGGCTACCACATTCCCAAGAAGGACCGCCAGAGCAAGTTCGAGGAGATGAAGGCCAACTTCACCAATGTCTACGTCAAGAACATCAACCTCGAGGTCACGGACGACGAGTTCCGCGAGCTCTTTGCCAAGTACGGCGACATCACGTCGTCCTCGCTCGCCCGCGACGCCGAGGGCAAGAGCCGTGGCTTTGGTTTTGTCAATTTCACTGCCCACGCTAGCGCCGCCAGGGCAGTTGAGGAGCTCAACGGCAAGGAGTTCCGCGGCCAGGACCTCTATGTCGGCCGTGCTCAGAAGAAGCATGAGCGCGAGGAGGAGCTTCGGAAGTCGTACGAGGCTGCTCGCCTTGAGAAAGCTAACAAATACCAAGGCGTCAACCTGTACATCAAGAACCTGTCCGACGACGTTGATGATGACAAGCTCCGCCAGATGTTCTCCGAGTTCGGTCCCATCACCTCGGCCAAGGTCATGCGCGATGCGGTCAGTGAGCCGTCCGCTGAGGATGACAAGGAGGGTAAGGACAAGGAGAACAAGAAGGAGGGCGAGGAAGCTGAGGCCGAGACCGGCGACAAGAAGGCCGATAAGAAGGGTGATCGCAGGCTGGGCAAGAGCAAGGGTTTCGGCTTCGTCTGCTTCAGCAACCCCGATGACGCCACCAAGGCCGTCGCCGAGATGAACCAGCGTATGGTTGACGGCAAGCCGCTCTACGTTGCGCTTGCTCAGCGCAAGGATGTTCGAAAGAGCCAGCTTGAGGCTAGCATCCAGGCCCGCAACCAGCTGCGCATGCAGCAGGCCGCCGCTCAGGCTGGCCTGCCTCAGCAGTTCATGCAGGCCCCCGTGTACTATGCTCCTGGCCAGCAGCCCGGGTTCATGCCTCCTGGAGGTCGAGGCATGCCGTTCCCTCAGGCCGGTCTCGGCATGCCCGCTGTGCAGGGTGGTCGTCCCGGTCAATTTCCGCCTTATGCTCAGCAGGGCGGCCGTGGTGGCATGCCTCCTCAGCAGATTCCCATCTACCCAGGCCTCGGCCAGTTCCCTCCTGGCGCCTATCCCCAGCCTAGCAACCCGCAATTCCTTGCTGCCATTCAGCAACTCCAGCAGGCCCCGGGTCTCGCTGGAGGACGTGGCGGCCCTGGTGGTCGCGGTATGCAGGGCATGCCTGTTCCGCAGCCAGGTATGCCTGCCGGCCCTGGCATGGCTGGATATCCCCCGAACGGCAGGCCTCAAAATGGCAACATGGGTGGCCGTGGCGGGCCGAACCGCGGTGGCAACTTCGCTGCTGGCCGTGGCGCACCTCCTGTCGGCCCTCTTGGGGCTGCAGGTGAGCTCAACGCTACCTCCCTCTTGCAATCCCAGCTCGCCGCCACCACCAGTGTCCAGCAGCAGAAGCAGATTCTCGGTGAGAATCTGTTCCCCAAGATTCAGGCTATCCAGCCGGAGTTGGCCGGGAAGATCACTGGCATGCTGCTCGAGATGGACAACAGCGAGCTCGTCAACCTGTAAGCCGATTCGCCCCCTTTATACGAGCGTATTTTACTAACCTGGTGCTAGGCTTGAGGATGAGGCTGCTCTGATTGCCAAGGTCAACGAGGCCATGGCTGTCTATGACGAGTACGTCAAGTCGCAGCAGGGTTCCGGCCAGCCCGCCGCCCAGGGGGAGGCTGAGGCCGAGAAGCCCAAGGACGAGAAGCATGAGGAGAAGGCTTAGGGTTCTCTTCCTCAGCTTCTTGCTTTTTGATGCATTTTTTTCTTCGTTTTCGGTTCTGGTCGGTCGGGGCAAAAGTTTTGATACCAGCTTGGCAGCGGCATGATCTATACAGTCTGATGATGAAGGCAGTTATGACGGCCACGCATCGGATGGATCTGGCTGCTTTCTTTACGGAGACGAGGACATCTCCCACGACGGATTATCACGGCATTTTGCTATGGCATTGCTACGTCATGGTCATGTATGGATAGACTTGCTTATGATGGGGGAGATATGTTCCTCGGGGCGGCCGTCTCTGTGGACAGGGCGGGGTGTGTTATCGGCCGATCGGCGTTACGGTTATGGATTTCTCAGGAGCAACTTGCCCGACCGATTCCGGTTGTCAGGCACGGGTTTGCTAGGCGCGGCAACCCGGCTACTCTGGTCTAAATGGCTATGGTCTCGGAACGTCTCGCTTTCTCGGGCCAGTACCTCCGTAGATGTTATCCTGAACAGGAGCACTAGCTAATACAGAGTAAAAGCTTTACAAGTTTGCTTCCGCTGTGTATAAGTTGTGATCTCGAATTGACGGATATGGGAGCGGTTGCCCTAGAATCCAAAGACGGGTGTCTCCACGATCTCCGATATTAAAGGAATGAAACCTAAGCAGGTTGCTTGCTCAAGTTTCTTTGACCCCCATACTCGAAAGGAAAGAAGCATCACAACCGGTTCACTCATTGATGACAACGTTCACCACATGCGCCACATCCATATACTTCATATTTCCATATCTCAACAATGCCTGTATGCGCCTCGCCTATCAAATAAACCATGCTCCAAATCGTCTGAACACCCATCCATGTACTGTGGTCCATAAGCAACCGGTATCCCGACCGTACCGTTAACCAACAAAGTAGCGAACAACGCCTTATCAAGCAAACACAACAGACCGTCAATCCGCAGCCACCTACACAACCATACTAGCCCAACCAAACCAAAACAGCGCCCGTTTCCGTCTCTTACCTTTCGCCAGCCCTCCCATCCGCAGCGTACCTCCTCCCATCCTCCAGCGCCCTCGCGGCGTTCCCGCTCCCACTGCCCCCGCCGTACAGCATCTCCAACAGCTTCCCCTTCTGGCGCATGCGCACGCCCTCCAGGTACGTGGCGACCTCCTCGAGCCCGCGGATCTGCTCCTCGAGCGTGAGCGTGCTGCTGTTGACGGAGCGGACCAGAGGCGAGACGAGTTTCTTTCTCAAATTCTCCAGGCTGGCTTTTAGGGCTAGAAGCTTGTGGTTGTGCTCCACGAGGATGCCTTTGTTGCGGACCGTCTTTTCGCGCACGTTTTGCAGGAGGAGGCGATTGCGCTCGTACTTGGCTACTTCGGTCTTCTTGGGGCCCAGGAGGCGCGTCCAGAGAGAGGAAAGGAGGTAGTCGGTATGGGCCTCGTCTTGGACCGAGGCCTCGCGGATGACGGTGCGGGCTAGGTTAAGGAACTGGTGATCGATTGCTTCGAACAGGGCGAAGAGGGCGAGGGAGTGTTGCAGTTCGGACGCGACGGCGTCTTCGAGGACGGTGAGGAACTCGTTGAATGTGCGCTGCAGGGTTTGCTTTGTGCGCTGAGGGGTCGAGTGGCCGAAAAGGGATGTCGAGAGCATGCCGAGGCGGGTGGGCTGGCCGGTGGCGGGGTCTTCAAGGATGCCGGCGTTGGAGAGCAGATTGTGGATGTTGTCGAACGCTGAGGAAAGCGGAAGCGTGGGGAGGGACTGGACTTGGGAAAGTTCGCGCCGGGCCCAGTCCATTACGATTAGGATGCTGTGCAACGAGATCAGTTGAATGGCTTGGGAATGTTGGGCATAAGGTGAGTATACCCGTCAATGTCGCCGTCGACATTGGCAAAGAACTTTGTCAGTTCGATGGCCAGCGTCTTGAGGCTATCGCTGAGCTCATCAAGCTCCTTGACGATGATTGGCGCCGAGGTCAGATTGCTGCTTCGTACGCTTTCGCCGAGATCCCACACGGCTACGCCTGTTGCCTGCAGATCGCCGACCTGCTGGATGCCGTTCTCGGAGTAGTAGATCAGGGGCTCCAGGGAGCGGGCGACGCCAGCAACCTTGACTAGGTCTGGGACCGGCCGCATAGCTGCTGGCTGTGAAATCCATCGGAGCGCTGCATACGACAGGGTAGCGACGACGAAGGAGAGAAACATGGAACTCCAAGACCTGGTCATGGCGTGGAATCTCCTGCGGATGAAGTTGATGGCTGTGTCGATAGGTTCGGTCCGGTGCTGGACTTCTGCCCTGACAGCGAAGCGAATGACTGGCGAGTTATTAGCTACCGTGAAGACAAGCAGCTGGGAAGACGAAACTCTGTTGTTTTGACGTACAGTTATCTGCAACATCCCTTGGCCTTAGCACCCTGTCTTTCAGCTCGCCCAAAGCCAATCCATCATCTTCTTGCTCTACATTCACCACCTTATCGATCAGGCGCTGCTGCGCCGGGTGGTACTCTGGTTCCGGACTCCGCTCCTTCTCAGGTGACAAACTCCCCGTGGGTAGCCTCGTCCTGATGGCCTGCGCAAGGATCTCGTCCCCCTCATCGGCGCTCTCGTAGTCCGGGCTGCTTTCCCGGAAGAAGCCATGTCCGTCATCGTCGTACATGTGGTTGAGGTCGTCACCTTTCCGCCAGAAGCCGCTGCTGCGGTCGCCGTTGCCGAGGCGTCTCCAGGCGGGCGGACTGTAACCACCGGCGGAAGCTTCCGAGTCCGAAGCGTCCATGTCGCTCGCCAGGTCGTCGCTCCGGAAGCCCGAGTGGACCGAGGGGTAGTTGAACGGCAGGCGGCTGGGCTTCCCAATAGAGGGCGCGAAATCGTCCACGTCGAGCTGGTCGAGGGGACCGAGGGTTGTTGTCGTTGTCGCTGCTGTCATGGCCGCGGCTGTGGGGGCTGTTATAGCTGGCACCTGACCTCCTTCCTCCTCTTCCTGCTGCTCCTCCTCCACTCTCTTTGGTCGTGGTTCGTTTGCCACTTCTGCTGCTGGTGCGTTTGTCACGGCTCCGCAGGTGGTCGTTACGGGTTGGTTTTTCTCTTTTCTGCGTGTCTCGGCAGCTGTCGTAAAGGTTGCTGCCGGCCTCAAAAGGATAAGGATAATCGGTGATTAGTGGCGGCAGGGGTGTGTCTTCGATGTGCTGTCGGCGGGGCGGTTCCTCCTCGGACAGAGTGTGGTCGTCGTCCTCCTCCTCCTCTATGATGGGCGGCGCGGTCTTTTGCTGCTGCCTACGGCGCCGGAAGACAAACAGCTTCCTCCAGCGGAGCGAGGGTAGAGGCTGGTAGAGCAGATACAGGAGGAGAAAGGTCAGGGAGAGCACCAGGGAGGCGACCCAGGCGCTCGGCGCAATGGTGATGCTTATGAGCGACACGTTGTTGTGAACCGAGAAGAGGGACTGCATCACACCAAACGGGGTCGCGGCCTGTCGCCCGCAAGGGAGACTCCGTTTGCTGCGATGCGCGCGAGGGGCGGGCCGATCAGGGAGCCGGCGCGATGCCCTCTTGGGAGATGGGGATGCAGTGTGGTGTGATTGGGAAGCCCAGTTAAACGGGTCGAAGCGATTCGCACTGTCTCTGCTGTCAGGGGGGGTTCTCGAGGGCCGCGCGAAACGATTCGATAGTGCAAATTTTAGAAACCGAGTCGCGTTGCAATCGCAATCCTTTTGAACGCACTCTAAACACGAAAAGAAGTCGTTGAGCGATGTTGCTCTGCCCTCGAATTCTCAGGCTCTGTCGGCGTCGCAAATGGAAGGCAGTCGCACTCCCCGCGCCGACTACCAGAGACCCAGAAATCGAGTGGCTGGCAGGCCCCGAAGCCGCTGCTGCAATGCGGCCCCACCCGTCGCCGGCACTCGATTGTGGACCAATCAACCCCGCAGTCCCTTGCTGCGTGGTGGGCAAGCTACTTGTCAAGGGATGAGGGTCCGCTGCACCATCCGGCTTTGCATCCGTGAGACGCAAACGACATCCAGAAAGAGTACTGTACTGTGAGCTGTCCGTCTTAACTCATGTTGTAAAAAAGAGCAAAACTCACTGGCTAACCCTCTTCGCCGGTCAAAGAGAGGTAGCCAGGCGACGAAACCCTCTAGTAGCACGAGCACCTAGACTTTAACACCCGGCTCCCCTTCCACTAAGGAAAACTGGCCTATATCTGACGACAGCACACTCGCTGGTGATCATACTCTCATTACTTTCGTCTTTCCGCTGTAATCTCCATCACGAACATAACAAGCATAGCATCATCAGCCCCATGGGCAAAGCCAGCCATCATGTCAAAATCCCAACGAAAACTGCCCTCCAACAGCCAAGCCCAGAGCTACGGCAAAGCATTGCAAAGACAACCTCGCCACCCCCGACGCTCCGCCATGTCTATATCTAGCCACCTCCTCTTCCCCTTCCACCGCTAGAGTCAGCCCCTAACTCGATCCCACGACCCGTCCCCCAATCATGTCGACCTCTAATCAATCTTCGCATTCGCCAGGCTCCTCGCGGCCGGGTTATGGATATTGTTGACCTGGTGCGTCGATGGCACACGCTTATACTTGCCCTGCTTCTTGAGGCGTTTCCGCGCCACCATGACTGGCACGGAGCTCTTAGTAACGAGATAGTTTGAAAAAGAGCCGAGGATAACACTAACACACAGCCAGTCAGTTCCAACAAATCCTGACAACCTACATGCTCTAAAATGAAACATGCGAGGGAATTGAAAGAATACGCACCCTTTCAACGCGCTCCTCCCCCGACTTCCCAGGATCACCAGCGTCGGATTCACCAGGTCAATCACCTCGGTGATCAAATGCTTCGGGTTCTTGCAGTGCAGCACCTCGACAATGACCCGCACCTGCAGCCTCGTCTTGCGCAGCAGCTTGGTCACGCGGTCGCTGATGGCTTGCACCGCCGTGTACCGGTCGTCCTCGGCCTTGCTGCGCTCTCTGGTGAACATCGAGGGCGCAGGCGACACGCTGCTCGTCGCCCCGCTGCCCGCGGAATCCGAGGGCTGCGACGGCGTCAGCAGCGGCGACCGTCCACCGCCGGTGGTGCTGGCGATGGTGGTGTTGGACTGCAGCTGCGGGTTGTGCAGGGGCAGCGCGGTGCCGCTGGGTGTGATGGGCAGCTTGGTGCTGGCCGTGACCGTGTTGATGGCGGCCGCCTGCTCCTTCATGGCGCGCGGCTCGTCGGGTACCTGCGCATTGTCGCCCGCCCCGATGCCCGTCTCTTCGTCGACGCAGTAGATGGCCAGCAGCGTGTCGCCGTCGCGGAGCACGGTGCCGATAGCCCATTCCAGCGCGTGCGTCGACTCTTCGCTGAGGTCCGTCGCGACAAGGTATTTCCGCGGTGAGCGGTGCTCCTCCTCAGCGTCCTGCACCAGCTTGGCGTACTCGCCCCGCGTGATTATTTGGATCGTCCGGTGGGCCTCGGGAGTGTCCATGATTTGTGTCATGGCGAAGGACAGCTTCTGCGCTCGTTTGATGTCGGTCAAATCCGCCTCCGTGTCCGAGTCGATGGGTGTGTGCGTGCCGGTCCCTGGCGGATCGTCGAAACTGGTGGTCGGGTGGATAACGGACTTGCTGTGCTTCACACGTTCGCCAGACGGGTTCGTGACCGTGATTTCTGGCTCGTCCAACAGCGACTTGTATTGATAGGCAGGTTGTTGAGCAGCCACTTGGATACCTGATCAGCGCGGTTAGCCAAGCAACCATGCCATGTCAGCATCGTTCGTCCACCTACGCTCTTCTTCGGCTGCAGCCAACAGGCTCTTAACCTGCCGTTGAGCGTCTGGAGACGATGACTTGAGGTTGTCCAAGCTGCGATCCGCCTTCCTACCGCGTTGTCGGTCTTGCCCTTCCTCGCCAGAGGAACTTCCGTCGTCCTCACTACTGTCCTCGACCAACACCTCGCCGTCCGGGCCCAGGTAGTCCTTAGCTAGCCTGCCGCTCCCTGGCGCGTAGTTTGAGCTCTTTCGCCTCCCCAGCTCCGAGAGACTTCCCCCTGACCGAGCCAGTGCGGCGTCCGAAAGGCGCCTGTAGGCATTGTTGTAGTCAAGGATCTCGGGGTCATTGAGCACCGCCCGTCCGGCGGGGCTTAAGGTCCGTAAGAGCGGGCCGTGAGGGGAGTGGGACCGCACACTCAGGCGATTATGAGGAGACTTCGATTTGTTGCCCAGGCGGCTTGACGGTCCGGATGCTGAATGATGACGCCCCCTGTCGCCGGGAAGAACGATGCCGCTCACGTCGTTGCCTCTCATGATCTCGGCCATAGCGCTCGACCGCTTGCCGCCCTGTGTGACGCGTTTGGGGAGGGCTTGGCCCCCAGTGTTTGTGATGATTCCGGAAAACTGGTACTCGGTGGTCGGGTCTACTACCCTGGTACGTTCCAACCGCGGTCCGAAGTCAACGGGCCTGACAGAGGCGTCCGACATGCTCCTGGGGTGCGTACTGACGACAGCGCGCGAACTCGATTCGGTTGGCGATGATGGCGTACTAAATACCTGCTTCGCGGCGGGGGGCGGGCTGTCGACGTCCAGCATGCTTCGAACAGGCTGCGACGGCGGGCTGTCCACGTCGAGCATACTCCTCACAGGGGCTGCTCGGACCGATGCTGTCTTAGTACTCATGCTCTTCGGAGACGCTGGGGAGAGGAGCGTAGGAGATGGAGGGGCATCACCAATATCCAGCATGCTGCGCACCGGGGAGCGGGGGGTGTAAGGGGATGGAGAGCGAGCCTCCAGCGAGCTGGGAGGTCTGGCTCGCGGGTTCGAAGGTCCTTCCAAAAGTGCAAGCACCTCTCTCCGCTCCTCATCGAGCATCGCCTCCATCGACATTGGTTGCCTTGCCATACTGGGCGGCGTTGATGGTCTGATCACGATATGGGGATGCTCCGTGGCCTTGCGCTGGTTTGACGGAGAACGCAGGGTGCGAAAACGTATGGCGGACGCAAGATCGACCGAAACAGAAGTGCGCAAGTTGCGACGGAACGCCTTTCTTGGATTTCGTTCTTGGGTCGTCAACGCAGCAAAATATGAGGCCGGGATTGGATGGATGCAGAGTCAATATGGCGAAGAGGCATCTCGCGTTTTTCGATGGGCAGGCCCTCTCCGTCTTGTTAGCCTCAGGTCATGGAGGGGCGTCAGCCCAGCTTTCGCTGCGAGTTCTGGACAAAGGCGTCGCCAAGAGACGCGGTTCCAGAGGTCGAGACTCCGTTTTGCCAAGATACCAAGACCGCGATTGCAAGGTTCGCCGGTTTTGGAGTCGCTGCACTGCCATTAACTGAAGACTCCTTTGCAAACGTTGTGCGGGGAAGCAGTGATTTCGGTATTCTGTTGCATAAACAAGCGCTGTGTAGCTGTAACGTGTTGTGTCCGCGAGCATGCAGACATGACACAAAAAACAAACAGACTTGGGTGGATGGGAGTTGTGGTAGGTACGATAGATTAGAACAACCGAGCTGTTGCATGACTACGGTGGGGAGGGGCTGGCGGGTCTGGCCTTGCTTGACGTGGATCTTGCATGAGCGCTCCAGCCGAACGAGGATGGGCACATGCAATTGCCGCTCGCCGGCGTCGGTGATTGCAAAGAGGCTTCAAAGACTTGGATGTGACCCAGTGTAGCCCTGTCTCTACATACCTCGATTGGCATCGATTGATATGGGATGTTGAAGATAACACTGAAAAAGACTTGAAAATGACACAGATCTGTCCTAGTAAACTACCTTGGATCTGGCAGGGAAGGGCCGATAGTGCCTACAAATGATATACACAAATACAGTTCGAGACGCCAACCCAGAATCACCTCTTCTACCTCTACAGGGACTCTGTCGCGGACATGCACATCCTCCAAATAACCTTCCTCCTCCAGGCCCTCCACCTCAGAGCTTGCCCTTGATGTTCGCATTCATCAAGTTGGCCCGGTTGGCCGTGCCCAGCTTGTGAACCTGCAAGCGCCGGTCCCAAACGCTCGACCTGCCCTCGACTACGGCCACAATCTCCTCGGCGACGCGGTGGGGGAACATGGTGCGGCCGCTGCCCTTAGACGGCTTCCGGTTGACCACGTCTAGAATCCACAGGAAGGCGGTCCTCCTCCGCTGGCGCGCCCGCAGCGGCATGGGCACCTCGAGCGACTTGCCGCCGCCTGCCAGGCCCTTAAAGCCGCGCATCTTGACCAGCGGAGCGACTGAGTCGATGGCGAGGCCGAGGTAGAGGACCGGGTCAAGCGGGAGGTGGTGCGCTGGGGGAGCGCCGGGGAGGAGCGGTTTTGAAGGGTCGAGCCTTGGGGGTGGTGAGGTGCGGAGATAGTTGAGAATCATGGCCATGTCCTACGATGTCCCGTCAGAAAGTGCTCCATGAAAAGTGGCCCTTGCTTAAGGCCCAGCAAGCCAGGTGTGAGATTCCTCACCCTCTGCGCCTTTGCAAGTTTCCCATCTCTCATCAACAACCTTGTGATCTGGTGGATGACGGCGTCGTATCGGTGTTTTGTATGCTTTTCAGTCGGCAGCGGCAGCTCTGGCAGACCGTACTTGTGGCCCTCGACAGCCGGGTCCAGAGGATTGAGCCCGTACTCAATCAACCGCAGTTGATTCAGGGCGGCCTCGTTCTCGGAGCTGGTGGGTTGCTGGTTCATGGGCAGCATCGACGGGGGTAGGGCGCTTGAGTTGTCGTGGGGCGGTAATCTTGATGTCGTGTTGTCGGCTAGCCCCCTTGCCACAGCAGCCGGCCCGGGCTGCGGCCCTTGAGCAAATACCCGGGTTTGGAGCGAGAGGGCTCTACAAGCCGACCAGAAGTTCAACCGTGGTGGCATCGTTGCTATGTGCGTGATCAGTGATTCCGCTCTCAACAGCATCGCGGACGCGGTTGCTGCAACATGCAGAAAGCGATCTCAAAAAAATAGGGATGGCCGAGGTTTAGCCGATTCAGGTTAGAGCAGGCGTCAGCCCCACACTCTTGGCGCGATCCATCTCGATCCCCACAACGCCGGGCCCAGTCTGGATGGCAACCCCACGAGGCTTCAAAAGACCCCTTGTTCGCGCTCAGAGAAAATCACAGTTGAGATCCTTCATTCGTGACAGGCCGGACGGAAAGAGCATTTCCGTCAACAATCATCAATTCTCGTCCTCGGCTCTTTCGACTCACGCTCCATACTCACAGAGGCCTCTCAAGATGTGAACATTCTTACGTACTTGTACACCGCTGACCAGGGCTGAGGAGCAGAGAGGATCTGACGTTCAACCAACCCTACCACAAACTGACCGCCGCCTCGTTCCACCAACCCCTCTGTTCGATCACAGGATTCCTCAATGTCATCGTATACCTGGACTCGCCGCAGATCTACACTTATTCAACACCTGACTCCAGCATCATAACGATCCCACAGTTGTCCCTTGCTTCCACTGCACCGTCTCCAGTGGCGCTCGTCACGGGAACAGGTGTCGCTGTCCACACTCTCTGCATCCGCTTATGACATGACGTGGACACAGGACCGACCTATATGTACCGTCCGCCCGCATGTCCCTGGCTGATGGGGCTCGGACCCAACCAACGACAGCTTCCGGGAAGAAACACCGGAGAAGCAATGACCCGCCAACTTCGGTTTCCTGCACTGGCGGTGAGATCCAAGCCGGTGAAGAGACGGAAATCAGAATCTGGCTCACTTTGACAGCATTGCTTTTTCTTCACTGAGCGTTGCCATGACCCGAGCTTACTAGTTCAAGCAATCAAGGGTCAACACTAGCCTGGGGATGTGGCATGGGAGTGTCCGTCATCGGAGTTTCAGCATCCATCGATGCCCAGGGTGTAAATCGACGGACTGAGAAATTCGGAGGCGTAACAACAAACAAGACAGCCTATCCAGTCTAACCCTACCCAGCAAGCCTTTGCCAGAACCAACACATGACGACCAACCCAGCACTTTTCTCCCCTCTCCGGAACCCCTTGCGTTGCTTCTTCCAAGCCGGCTTCCTGCTTGTCAGGGGAACGCTTCGCCGGCAGGCTGTCATCCGACCAAACACGCACGCAGACCGGTCTTGTGCTCAGCCCAACGCCAGCCCGCCAGCCCTCTACTGGAGCACAAACGCATAGTCAAACCCAGCGAAGACAAGCCGATTGCGCAGCCAAGAAGCGACCAAGCATTACATTTTGGACTCCTTCCCAATCCCATGCAGACAGGGCCCAACGATAAAACAGAAGACATATGCTGGCCCGGATTCATTCCTGCCTGATGATCGCCCTGCCACCGTGCGCATGCGGGACAGGAACCCCAGAAATCGTGAAGAAGAAGCTAAACTCACAGAAAATTGACAATGCCGGCCTGATTGACGAGACAATCCAACCCAAGGTGTGATAAATACCGAGATGAACAATAGGAAGTTCCTGCGCCGGCACCGTGACAAGGTGACGTGGATGCGCCGTGTGGCATGCCCAATTTCCGCCCAACTCCAAAGAAACGGGGAGGAACCAATACTGATCGAAACGGGGAAAGAAGAAAAGTTGTATCTGTATCGTACAGGGAACGCCCTAGCAAACAAGGTAAAAAAGACCAGGCAAGGAGATGTGCCGAAAACCAAATGCGATACCAAACGCTCAGACGTGACTGAGAGCAAACCGCGAAGAGGAAGACAAGGGGCGGGGTGAGAAAAGAGAGAGAGGTGAGGGGGACAAGATAAACCGTGAGGCAGGCTCACAAGCGGCACAGCAGGCCAGCCCAGACCAGACAGCGGGGGAAAAAAACAGACCATCAGACCAGACAGCACACCTGTCTCCCCTCCCCGCGTATCCCCGGTGCTGCTCCCGCCGCCGCCGTCCATCAAACCTCACCCTCCTCAACCCGTCCACTCTCTCCGTCACCTCCACCCTTTCTCACTCTCCCCCGGGCAGTCATCAACCACCCATTTCAAAAGCTGAGGACATACCCGCCCCAGGGCTAACCAGACCAACCACTCCGGCTGGTAGCAGGCGAGCTGGCCGCGCTGGACCCGGACGCAGAGGAGGCGGACTGGTTGAGCCACTGCAGCGCGACCTCGGCAGCGTCCTCCTTGGCGTTGTTGAGGTTCTTGCCGTCGTACCAGAACCGCGCGCTGTGCGTGCTGCCGTAGACGGTCACGGTGCTGGACCAGGCCGTGCGCCCCCCTGAATGTTATTATACTGTGTCAGTCTCCCAATGTTCTTGTTTTCCTTTTCCGTAGAAGGAGGGTGAATGAGGAAGGTTAGTAAGCGGGGAGGAAGGTCGAGGCGAGGCGGACGGGGTGGACAAGGGAATGGGGGACAGAAGATGAAGAGGGCAAAGGGGGAATGTTGGGTTGAAGTCACGTCAGACTTACCTCGCCGGTCCGAGACGATCTGGAAGACTGGTGCGCCTATATTCCAGTCTTTGCAAGCGTCTGTGGGAGTGGTTCATGATTAGTGGTGTGAGTTGGGGAGAGATATGGTAGGATGATGTGGTGCGTCATACCCTCAAGCTTGTCTTGCCAGGTCTGATGTGGCATGGTGTCTGATGTGTCCAATGGGGTATTATTGGTGAAGGTACGGTTGAGGACAGATTATTGTGTGGGGCTGTGATACGCATAAACTGCTAAACACCGAGAACGGCTTGAGCAGAGGAGTCGTGACCAAGGAGCGTTGGTAGGCAGGTGACAACGACAATGAGTGATGACCGTGTCCTGCGTCGTCGTTATATATAACAAGAATCGTCCGCAATGGCAGGTGCCTGTACCACTCGGGCTCCAGACAACCGGTCTGCGAGACGGACTGATGTGGCCGAAGAGGATTCGAAGAGTCGACACGCTTAATCAATATGCATGCCTTGCTTGTACTGTATCGTTCGTGCCGTTTCTAGTTTTCCGGGTTTCTGAGACGACGTGTTTGTTCGCGAAGATGCAGAACAACAGCAAGAAGGTTAGAAGCTGGACACGGGACCATGCATCGTGCCAGGGAGAGGAGGACAGAGGAGAAGGAAAGAGAAAACAAAGAGTCTATTTGCTCGTTCTGCTTGTAAGGGAAAGAAAGATATGGCTGATCAGGAGAAGAGACGTATCAACGACTTGGTTCAACCCTTGGCCCTCTGGATGTGGGGATAAACTAGGGCCTCATCCGCCTTGGAGCTACAGTACCATCCCGTGCGAGGCGGTGGATGATGGGGTTACTTTTCTGATCTTTCTTTCCGTCCTCCTTGCTTTTTGCTTTTCCCCGGTCCGCTGCTCTGCGCCAAGTCAGCCGCATCACCGGTCACTGGATCATTGGGACTCAACACTGCCATGGCACTCGCCCAGGCTAGGCGTTGATGCAGTCGTGACTACAGCCAAGCAGCATACGCCATCGTCCAAGGTGTGAGTACCAATGTACTGTATACACCTGGAGCCCAGATATTGGCAAGACCTGCCAGCGTTTCGCCAGTGACGAGCGAGTCAAGACAGAGTATGCAGAAAAAGCAACGGGATGTAACGCCGGTCAGCAGGGATCAAGAGTTTGGGTTCGCGCTAGGGCCCGATGAGCTGTCATCCCACTTGATCAACTACCCAAAACGAAGTAACGCAAGGAATTGCACGGGGCAGATGAACTGGCCCAGAAAGCGACAGCGGAAGGAAAGTGCAGGATCGTGGAGATATTATTTGCGAGCTAGGCAGAGATGCCAGCTGCCAAGGCTGCTGGTTCGTCTGAGTTGTCACCATCAGACGTAGCTGTAGTCGAAATTGAGAGAACGTGTCTAGAAGCTAAGTCGTTCACCTTGGCCCAGAATTGGGAACTTACAAGCAAATCGGGCAGCAGCGGCAAATACTTGCCAAGTTGTAATTGGACAATGAAAACGTGGTCGTGTCATCTTGTCACTGGCGCCTCGTTGGAGGCTCTCCGAGGTTGTCTGGACACAACGGACGGTCGAATATGTGCTACCAGCCCAATACGACCAGCAGTCTGTGTGCCGTTTGATCGCGTCGCTCAGAGCACACGTCGCCGATCGATCTCGTCGGTCCCGTCGGGCGCTGTCGAGTGTTTGCTTCTTCATTCCGTCGCTTCGTAGCCGTCCGCAGTTGTACAATCGGCGGAAAAAGTGCTAGAGAACCACCATCAAACGGGTCTCCTGGCGGCCTCATGCCCTGAAATTGCCTGCCTCAGCGATAGCAGTTGTCCTTGTACAGAGCTCGGGCGGTACCGGCCTGCCGGGAGCCTCGACTGGCCATTGTTTCACGACTGACGATTGCAAGAACCCGAATGTTGTGCAGCAGTGAGGACGCCACCATACTCGGCCACAGACGGCGTTTGACGGATAGCACACTTTTCGAGCCACCAAGAAACTGCCGTGCATGAATGGACAGTCGGTCCCATCGGTCTTCTGGAGTGCCCGGAAAGACTTCTGCAAGGCAGCTGTGAGGCTCAGTCCTGGGCTGGCCGGGTTGTTGGACTCAGAGATTGGGGGTGACGAGGTTTCTACTGTGGTAGAGAGACGCTCACCGGGCATGCCGGTGCGGACTGGGCGTGGAAGCGATCGTCAGTCGTCGCTCTGTCAAACATCAGCATCTCTCCGTGTGCCATCTGTATGCTACTTCCCAACCAGTATCCGACGAAGATGACTGCCGAGAGCATGACTCTTGGCAGCGTAGGAGCATTCCTTCCAGCCACACCAGCTGTATCGGCCCGCCCTGTTTTCACAGGACTGTCGAGACAACAGCCACGACGGGGGTGACTGAGATGAATATCAGCAAGTTCCCAGCCAGAACCGCAAATCGATCGACCCCATAGAATTGAGCTGGATGGCACGCTGCTCGTTCATAATCGGCCCAGGGACCGGCGCCGAGGTTTGGGGTTCTAGACTCGAGCGTTGCGGTGTCTGCCGTGACCCGCTGGGCGCCCCCAAAAAGCAGGCCGCCTCGCAGAGATCGATCCTGGGCCGGCGGAACTGACTGAGGGAAAAAAGTAGCACAGGGATGGTGTGACACAACGGTTCCCTACCTCCAAACAGCGATGGGCAGGAGAAATTTTATACACAGGGATGGGCGGGAATGCGGAGATCGGCCTCCAGTAGCCTGCTGCCGCGTCCAACGAGGAGGCGTGGCCATCGAAGCGACGCCCTAGGAAAGAGACGCTGTTCAAGCTGAGAGGATTGCGAGGTCGGGTGACCGCGAAAGTATTCAACTCCGTGGAGCGCCGCTCGGCGCTATCGCTGAGATACCGGTTCCCGATAGATGTCAGCTCGATGATTTCAAGCTTCAAACAACTCAAATGCTCGAAAGGCGGCGGTGGCCTGAGTGATATATTCGAAGGTTGAGAACACGACGATAGCGTTGTGCAAGCAGCAAGCTAATTCCCGTGTCTGTGTCGATGCAGCAGGATTGCAGGGCATTGCCGATATGTCTTCCCTTCAAAAGTCAAAGTATGGACTGCGAACTTGCTCCCACATCACCGATCATAAATATAATTGTGTCAGTCGCCCGAGATCTTGGAAATCGATTCAACGTTGGAGTGATTTTCTCCACATGTTGACACCTGGAATGGCAGACCGAATAATTGATCCCAGCTGAGTCATTGAGGCCGAGTTTATTACACATTACACCAGTGAACATGGCGCAGGAAAATTACACATCTCACGGTGAGGCTTACCCCACACTACCCCAGTTTCTCGTTGCATGTGTCTCCGCCTGACCCGTTTCGGGGTGGCCGGACCCGAACGTACCTCGGCTCGTCCATCTACGAAGGCGCTCCATCGGTGTTTCAGCATGACCGTGTCTTGTCCGAGTACTACCCGGCCGGTCATCATATGAGGTCTCGTACCTGGCATTCCGTTCCTTCGTCCGACTAATCCCTCGTTGGAGTTGCTCCAGATCTGCAGTGAGATCGGATTCGCATATCGATTTCTATTCGCTTCCGCCTTGTTTGCATTTACCTGGGAATCACGTCGTGTGCCCCATAACAAAGATGCCATTCAACACCGAATTGACCCGCCGACTCGGCATCGCAGGTACGTACCTAACCTTTCCAGTGACCACCCTGGGACACCAGTCACAAGCAGAGTCTGGAATTCAAGACTGACTTTATGATCGTTGACCGCCCGAAGTCCCTGTTGTACAGGGTGGTATGCAGGCAAGTCAACTGTCTCACCTCTCAAAGGATACAGCAGGCTAAAGTTCTCAAAGCATGTCGGGACCGCCGAGATGGCGAGTGCCGTGTCCAACGCCGGCGGGCTGGGCATCATCACCGCACTTATTTGGCCTGAGCCCGAAGGGCTTCGGCAGGAGATTCGCAAGTGCAGGAAGTTGACGAGCAAGCCGTTCGGCGTCAATATCACCCTGCTCCCTGCGCTTGTGCCCCCTAACTATGACGCTTACGCCCAGGTCGTTATCGACGAGGGCATCAAGATTGTCGAGACGGCCGGCAACTCGCCAGGCCCCGTCATCTCCAAGCTCAAGAAGGCCGGCTGCATCGTCCTGCACAAGTGCACCACCATCCGGCACGCCCAGTCTGCTGTAAAGCTCGGTGTTGATTTCCTGAGCATTGACGGGTTTGAGTGCGCTGGGTAAGTCAGCCACGTGTATGGACAGCCCGTCAGAAATGACACTAACGCGACATCCAGCCACGTCGGCGAGTCGGACATCACAAACTTCATCCTCCTTAGCCGGGCGCGGCAAACGCTCAAGGTGCCCTTCATCGCATCGGGCGGGTTCGCCGACGGGCAGGGGCTCGCAGCGGCGTTGTGTCTCGGCGCCTGCGGCATCAACATGGGGACGCGGTTCTTGTGCACCGTGGAGAGCCCCATCCACCACAACATCAAGGAGCAGATCGTCAAGGCGCAGGAGACCGACACGGCGCTGGTGTTGCGGCGCTGGAAAAACACGACCCGCCTGTACCGCAACAAGGTCACCGAGCAGGCGCTCAAGGTCGAGCAGGAGAGCAAGACGGGCGAATTCTCCGAGATCGCGCCTTATGTCAGCGGCAAGCGTGGGCGCGAAGTCTTCATCAACGGCGATCCCGAATACGGTGTTTGGACTGCCGGCCAAGTAATTGGTCTTATCCATGACATTCCCACGTGCAAGGACCTCGTTGCTAGGATTGAGAAGGAAGCGGAAGAGACGCTGAGGGAAAAGATCGGGCTGTTTACGACTTCAGCGAAGCTGTAATTGGCGTTCAGCGTATACATGGGCATGTTGGGATGTTTTGAGTAGCCTGGGGGATATAGCATTTTATATTACTACCGCATCTCCGAGTCTATAACTACCGTTGTCGAAGACAATAAATCAGAACATATTAAGTTATACAAATATTCAGGCAACAAGCTAGCAAATACGTATGAAAAACTTCACTCTAATTGCTAATGCTTAGTGTACCAACCCCTAGCTTTTTTGACACCTACGCTATTTGACAGTCCATATACTCTTTCTCAATCAGCAAGGTATTCATCCAGGTACTCATCCGGTTCTGGCCTGAGTCTTGTTGCTGCCGGTTCTGGCCTGAGTCCTGTTGCTGCTCGAACATACCTAACCCTTGCCATGCAACTGAGCCCCTGAATCATGAGCCGAGAAGAGCCCCGCTTTCCTCCATTCGGCTCGACGCAGGGCTCAATGCTGCCGTCGGGGCGCAACCTCGGCATGTGAGCTTCAGCACCACCGAACGACCCCGTCACGAACAATCCCATCCATCCCTTTGTGCTTCATCCGCTTTACCATTTGGTGCATTCCAATCGTATGCTCCCTATTCCTCTTGATTGAAGGACCCAATCATTTGGCCATTAGGAGCGACTCTATTATTCTCTCGGCCGACGAAGCGAGTCTAATCGCGAAACGGCCTTTACACACCCCGACCGGGCGAACTCCGACCGATAAAGCTGAACAGTTACAACAACAAAGCAATTCAACATGGTCGCCGACGCCCTCATCTACCACCCGGCGGTATCGCACTACCTCAAGTTCGTCGCCACGACCGTCGGCCGCGACAAGCTGCTGCGCACGCTGCAGTACTTTGCGCGCTTCTTCGCCTGGTACCTGCTGCGCACCAACCGGCTTAAGTCGGCCATCACGCCGTGGGAGGCCATGAAGAAGCAGTTCGGCCTCGTGCGCAAGGTGCTGCGCGCGGGCAAGAACGTCGAGCACTTCAAGGCGGCCGCCGTCGCGGCCGACGCCAAGACCATGGACCCCGTGCTGCGGTACGCGACCGTCGGCCGCCAGCTCGGGTATGCCGGGTACTTGACCATGGACATGGCGACGCTGCTGGACGCGACGGGCATCAGGAAGAGCGCAAGTGCCAAGCGGTTCCAGCAGGAGGCGTATCGGTTCTGGGCCGCTGGGATTACGTTCAGTATTGTCGGGCAGATGTATACTCTGTACCAGCTGCGGCAGCGCGAGGCGAGGGTCGACCGCAAGGAGGGCGAGGGCGTGTTGGAGAGCAAGAGGATTGCGATGTGAGTTGTTGTTCCCCCAATTGTGGAGAAATCTGCCTGGTTGCGTAGTCGTTTACTAACGGTGTGTTGCAGGGAGCGGGCGGCTAGCCAGCTGCAGCTGACTTCGGACCTCTGCGACCTAACTGTTCCTCTGTCCGCCCTTAATTGGGTCGCTTTTGACGACGGCATTGTTGGCCTTGCCGGCACCGTGAGCTCTTTGATCGGTGTTTATCTGCAGTGGAAGAAGACGGCGTGAGAGAGTTTAGGAGCTGGAAGGACCGGGCGATGGCATCGGCGCCGACTAGGAGATCGAATGGTGCTGAATAGTTGGTGCAGGAAAAGCAATAGTGGGTTATTTTGCCAAGCGGTTATGTCATGGACGGTGGTGGATGGGCGGTTATGTTGATACCTCTTGTTGTCTCTTCTTAGCTTATGTATGCTGTGCTCAGTGGACGAGTGGTTTCTAATCATGGAAGACCTGTGTGGCCCGGTAGTGGCCCATTCTTTTTGTTCCAGCATTTGTATGGTAGTCTCAGGGTGGCCGGTCCGTCCAAGGACAGGTCGCGGAAGTGTTCGGGCAGAGATACCGTTTAGCGGGTGCAGTTGGCCGGGAAGTTAATGAGGGCTGAGCTTTCTCACCATCAAAGTACCATTAACCGGTAAGCCGGTCTCTTCACAACATACCACATTCTCCCTTCGTTCTCTCCAGCTCGACTCTCCCATCACGTTCTACCTGACCCTTAGATCAAGCGGAACTCGGTCTTGGGAAAGTCGAACTTTACGTGGTCCGCAAAACGTCAGTCAAATACCCCATGCTCAGTCCGTATTGGTTCCACTGAGCCTCTGCCGTCCCTATGCGCCGCACCGAAAGGCCACCCGCTTCCAGTACTAAGAAGTACGAGCTGAACGACCCTTTACCGATAAAGATAAGGCTGCCTGATTTCACAGCGTCCAGGAATCCTCGCGGGTTGCCTTCAAGCAGAGATAAGTGCAAATCCCACTCGTAGTCCGCGATGCCCCAAAGAGGACCAATGGGCGTATCCTTCAAGGCGAAGCTATAGGAGGCACAGCCACGCCGGGACCCGTAGGGCAACGAAGTCCAGCGGCTCGTGGCCGGAGCTAGGTCGCAGCTTTGCGTATTCGGAGAGTGGGAGAACACTGTCGTCTCCGGGATCGCAGCGGAAGCCATCTACGAGGGACTGGATGTCCATCGCATCGTGGGTGAAGAGGTCTGTCCAGCTGACGGCCCCAGCCCAGCCGGCCCAGCTTCACGAGGGGAAAGCCTCTCTTCTCCTCGGCTCGACATCTGCAATCCCTCTCCAGCAACTGGCTAGATGCCTCCAGCAGAGACCGGCGATCACGCAGTCCTCCAGTTTACTCTGCGAGCCAGACGCTAGGGATACGTACGGGATCCACATCAACTGACCAATATAGCCTTTGCTAGATGTCATGTGCCGTATAATCTTGGAAAAGGCACGGATCGAGTCCGAATCGAAGAATTTTTAAAGTGGGTAGTGCCAGTCCTCGTGGGTATCGTCCCATTGCCCAAACGGCGAGCCGAAGATAACGTCGGTGATTCCCTCGTCTCAGCCCTTGAAGAGGCAGGCACGGACACAGGCCCGGGACCGCTGTTTGCCCAGCGTATGTAGAGCCTCCAATGGGCTGTTGAGGCTCTCAAAGCAATTCATGGATTTGCATTCGATGTTGTGGTGCGGATGAGACAAGGCCGACAAATGGTGAGGTTCCCAGCAGAGACGCACGTCTGTCGGCGGTGCCGGGGTGTGCTTACGCCCGGGAACCCCCTGGCCTCGTCGATACCGGCGGCTGCCGCTCTCCTGGCTTCACTCGTGCTGTAGATCAGGTTCATATGGCCGATCTGGCTGTGCATCTCCTGCGGGTCGGATTGATCGATGCAACAACGATCCACCCACAAAAAGTTGTATCCAAGTGCTTTGGTCACATGCATGGCGTCGAGATTGCCGCTGACGTCTCTTTCAGAGCACTCGACGTCGTTTGTTGTGGGTTGGGTTGGAGATGGCCAGCGAGGTTCTGCTCCTTCGCAGCAGATGCCCATACATAGGATAAAGTACGTACGGTACAACCGGCTGGGCAGCAACGACTGTACAGGTTGTGCAGTGAATCAGCCTCAGGCCGCGGATATGATCAGTTGGGCAGGCCTTACAGGAGCCGTGGTTGCGCTGGCAATAATCTAGCCAACGCTGACGATTTCCACGGTGGAACCGGCAGCAAAAACTCGCGGAACGAATGGCTGAGTTAAGGACGCTCCGATTCGGCAGACGACGTATCCGTTGGACCGGAAACGTAATTTGAGCGTCTCCATCTCTTCGTAATAGTCTATTCCGGTCGGCACCACGGTGAGTATTATCGTGTCTGATAGGATTTGAGGAGTGTAGCGACGACGCAGGTCAAGACTGTGAGTGAAGCGAAGAAAGGAGAGCGCCGGACTTCGTATGCATGTGTGGTGGTGTGGTCCACGCTTGATGGCGAATCCTGTCCTGTTGACGGGGTACATGTATTCTTGGGGGGATGGGGTTTGCTCGCCAGGCTGTTTGAGCCTCCTCGAAGTTCATCCACCTCCACCTTGGAGTTGAGAATGACGTCTTCTGGTCGGTGAGGATAGCGAGCTACCTTGGCCAAGGCCGGAAACCGGCACAGGGGACACGCTGCGTTGGGCAATAACCAAAATACTGTATCCAGGTTTGCGACGACGATGCCGCTTGGTAGTCTGGTCACGGCGGAAGGCTGCAAGAGCGCAACAGCATCCATATTAGGCTGACAGACGCCGCAGAGAACTTTCCCATTGCATCGCCCATCTCTCCGGCTCTCGCCGGAGTCGTTGGCGTTTAGGGTTGAGTCTGCAGCACCGCGTGATGGGGCCGGGCGTTTGCCAGAGGTGTTTCGAGATCGATAGGAGTCCCGTCGATACACCCGCAGGCACAAGGTTGACGATATTGCGCTGCAACAGCTAAGTGTCAATGATTGCACAATCAACATCTAACATGAATGGGGGCAATTGGCTGTGATGTAGATGACGGTAGCAAATATTTGTGGCGTTTCCACAGCCTCGGGAAAGCACCCACTCGCGGATGCCCGAGGTGGCTGTTAGGGGTATGCACGCATTTGCCATCCATCAACTCGGATTTGAGAAAAGGTGCTTCTCGTAGAGGGCGCTTAGCTTGATGCACGAGCATTGCAGCTCAGCTGCCCGACATTCGAAATGGCCACTTGTCTTCATGCGCCATGCGACGCGTCACGCGTCAGGTGCCCACGGGCGAGCTGCTTCATCAAGACATGACGAGCTTACAAGGCGTTTTCTAAGTTGAATCGACAACCAAAGGACCCAAGACGAAGATCCCAATTTGATAGTTAAACGATTGTCCCGCCTGTGTGTGCGGTTAGTGTATTTTGTCATCAAGGGAACTACCTTACCATCCAGAAAGGCTGCTTTTCAGGTATCCGTATCTTAGTATCGACTTTGGTTATACTTCATAGCCCATCATCATATCCGGAGCATTGTGCGGCCGGGGTGGGCTCCCTGTGACGTCGAAAAGTTTAAATCCGTATTGTCAACCCCCTCCCGGGCCCGACCGGACCGGCCAGCCTCGGCATCAGAACCGGTGGCTCCACCTGATGGCCGAAGGCTGGCAGCAGCCCACCAATACCGGTCCTCGCCCCACAACAGCCCCTGTCAGACTGCGAACTGGACCGCCGAAATGCAAGGGCAATTTGTCCATGGCCGTCCTGTGACGTTTTCCCGTTCTTCCCGTCCGATCTGACGCACCATCACGGCGTCAACCAGAGAGATCATTGAGCGAGCGTTGCACAGAACACCTCCATCACGTATGTAGTGTGGTACCGGCCGTCACAACTTACGCTCGTCAGACACTTCCTGCCAGAACGTGAGCCAGTTTGGAACTGCTTGCGGATCGCAAGCGAGCTTGCCCTGACCTGTTCCCTGGATCATGCAGCCAAGGTCAAGATGCCAAAACAGGACAGGATGTAAGCGACACCTCGATGACGGCACACATAACGACCTTGCATTAGTGGGAGGGGCAAGTTCACTTCTTGGGTCCCATGCGACCGCCTCCAGCTTGGGTTCACTTCCAGTTCGCAGCCCTGCCCTGAGCTGTTGAGCAACTTAGCTTGTGTGTTCAGTTTCACAATTCTGTCGAATCAATACCAGGTAGCTGCGTCCGGGCATGTGGTTCCGTGCTTTTCCACCAAGCCACCGACACCAGACCTCCTCATCTTCCGATTCAGCAGTTTGTCTTTGAAACCCCAACAGCCACGCCCACCGGTTGTGGAACTACAACTTGGTGCCGGGTGTTCACCGTTTAAAGCTCGCGTGTTGCGGTCACCACATCTCTGACCACCAAAGCAAAAACAGAAACACAGATAATCACTGCTCCTTGCCCAAGAAGAGTCAATTGACACGCACCGTTACTCCTCGAGAGGAAAGGCCACATCTCTCTCGCAAAAATGGCTGCACAGGCCGAGATTGAGGATCTGGGGCTTTGCATCTTGGGTTTGGGCACCCAATATCCTCCTCATAGCCTCCAGCCCAATTCCCTCGAGGTGCTGAGCAAACGATTCTACCCTGAGTCGCCAGCGTACGTTTACCTTGTTCCCTTATCGTTGGCCGTTTGAATACTGACGACCGCCAGCATGAAGAAGGTCCTGTCCATCAACCGGTACACGGGCATTGACCAGCGCTCTTCGATTGGCACGCCCGACCACCCGTTGGTGAACCAACCGAATCCCCCCACCATCGCTGAGATCCACGACGCCTTCATGTCTGACGGCGTACCGCTAGCGATCAGTGCTGCGCGAAAAGCCCTCGAAGAGGCACACGTCGACCCGACACAGGTGACGCATATGGTCTCGACAACTTGCACGGATTCAGCGAACCCAGGCTATGACCACTTCGTTGCCAGAGAGCTCAGCCTCAAACCCAACACGGAAAAGGTCCTCCTCCACGGTGTAGGGTGCAGCGGTGGTCTGGCCGCCCTCCGCACAGCCGCCAATCTCTGCCTGGGCCACACAGCGCGGAGAAAACCGGCCCGCATCCTCGTGATAGCCCTCGAGGTCAGCACCACCTTCGTCCGCAGCGAGCTCGAGAGCATACACGCATCCCAAGAAACCCGCATTGGCGCCGCCCTCTTCAGCGACTGCGCCGGCGCCCTGGTTCTCTCCAACTCCCTCCCCTTCCCTGCATCCACACCAACACACCCCCCACCACCGCCAATCTACGTCCTCCTCGGCTGGCAACACCACACCTTGCCCTCGACCGAAACCGACCTCGGCTTCGACGTCGACCCGCAAGGCTGGAAAGTAATCCTCTCCCCGCGCGTACCCAGCATAACACAGTCCGTCCTCCAACCGACCTTCGCCTCCCTCCTCTCCACACTGCCCGAGGGAGCCCTCCCGCGGTCCTACACTTCCCCGGCCGATTTCGACTGGGCCATGCACCCAGGCGGCGCCACGATTCTGTCGGGCGCCGAGCAGGCCCTGCACATCACGCCCGAGCACATGCGCGCCAGCTACGACACGTACATTAACCACGGCAACTCGAGCTCGGCGACGGTCCTGAGCGTGCTGGACCGGCTGCGGCGCAAGGACATGGACTCCCTGGCGCCCGAGGGCAGGGTAAGGGAGTATGTGGTCGGGTGTGCTTTCGGGCCCGGGATCACGGTCGAGATGTGTGTCTTGAGGAGGAATTTGGGTGGTGGTGGGGGTGGTGGGTTGAGGCCCGGGATGGAGACGCCGCCTGAGACAGATGAGAGTGGCGGGAGTGATGTGGGGGATGAGGGAAGCGAGGTTTCTGGGGAGGGACGGGAGAGCCGGATGGATGGCGGTGATGAGGCCGAGTCGTCGGAAGGGTGTCGCCGGGAGGATAAAGAGGCGTTTATTAGCGAGGCGTTGGAAGGCGTTGAGCTGGACTGAATCATGTGAGCGGTGGGTTGGTGTTTGGTTGTGCATAGAAGCGGTAATTTGACAGCTGTCTAGAAGGGGTAGGCATCTGTAATCGAAGTGATCAAAGGGAGCTGGCTCATGGCCTAGCAACACCGTAGCATACCGAGCGGCATTGAAGGGCGTGGCACTGTTACCAAATGATAAGAATTCGAATCATTAACCATTATCATTATAGTCTTTTAAACAATCACCGTATTGGCCCCGACCCGGTATCCTCCGCCGTATCCCTCTTCCCACCAACCTCACCGCTTTCAACGTTCTTCCCCCTTCTTCAACCCCAGCTGCCTGGTATCATACCCGTCCTTCTCCAAGTACTCCCGGAACTTGGCAACCTTGACCTCGATCGTACTCTGTCCGGTCTGCGGTAGCCCAACCAGCACCAGCACAGCGCTCAGTAGACACAGACTGCTCGAAGCCCAAAACGGGTACTGCGCCGACAGCACCTCCGACTCGCCCCCCGGCGGCCACGATGTAGGGGAACACCAGCGTGCCGAAAAATGCGCCGATCTTGCCGACGGCGGCAGCGATGCCGTAGTACTGGGCCCGGACGCCTGTGGCGCACGTTGTCTTGGCGAGGAGTCCGATGTTGTTGCCCGCACCGAACTCGCCGAGGGACAAAAAGATGCGCCCAAAGAGAGTCGTGAAGGTGCCGACGCCGGCCGGCTGCGCCAGCCGCTCGTAGCAGCCCGCCATGGCGAACCCGACGCCGGCCTGGAGCGTGACGCCGAGGGCGAGTGCGTACCGGGGACCGATCCAGTCCGAGATGGGGCACGCCGAGCATCGTGCCGGGGATGTTGAACAGATTGGTGGTCGTGTTCCAGCTGAAGACGGTCGTCAGGGGCGCGGCGGAGATGGGAACAGTAACTGATTGGCTCAGAGAGCGGCGACGTACAAAGAATAGCCAGGCGGTCAGGATGTAAACATCAGCACAGCGTCGCCGAGCCAGTAAGACCCGGCAATTAGCTCTGTGAAGATGAACAGGACTGCAGTGGACGGCATCAGGCTGTACATCCGCGGCTACTTGTCGGACCTGCGTGGCGGCCAAGTCAGCCTCTCTGTCCCGTGCTCCGACATCGTCTCATCCGATGGGAGCCCCCATGGGCCCCAGATAGATCCCCTGGACCAACCCCTTCGCGCGGGAAATGCCACTTACAGGTCCCCGAAAACAAGCTGTCGGACAACCGTCCAGGCAAAGGCGATGTCGCCAAGCTAGTGCTTGGCGTTGGACGACCTCCAAACGCCGCCGTACCGGATCGCCAGGATGGTGACGATGACCCGACCAATAGGGACTTGACTGTCAAAACGCCATCTGCTGCCGGTACATGTGCCGTAGTAAGCATTTGTTAAGCCGCGAAAGTGAAGGAGAGGTGGAAGAAGGGCGGCTTCCACTGCATGTCAGATGATGTGCCCTTGACAAAACGGAATATTCTGCCCATCGAGGCATGGCTTCCCAGGCCCTCCAAAAATGAATGCCCGTTGAAAATCGATGTTGATATCATGACGGCTTGAGTCGCGCAGACCGGTCACCATGGGAAAAGGCATCTCCGCCATATCATAGGTTCGCCAGTGTCACCGTCGTCAACTCCGGTCACATGCCCCAGCCAGCCAAGCTTCGGGAAGTAGTGCGAAATGGCACCTTGTCAACTTGGCACAACAGGGAGTTACTTGCAAGCAGTCGACGGCGGCTGGTGTTGTTTGCCAACAACCTTCTCGAATCGCAGGAACAGTTCTTCGTTCCGGGGGCGCCCAGTGTAACCATCGGATTGCTCCATGCCGTCGTCGTCTACGATGTGGCTGGTGTAGTTTGAGTAGATGGCAGCAATGATGAACTTCATCTCTGCGCAAAAGAAAAACATCAGCAAACCTCTCTTGTTGAGACCTCGTCACGAACGTGACCTCAGCGATACTCAACTCACCATGCATGGCGAAGTTCGACCCAATGCACATCCTGCCTCCCGAGCTGAAGGCCCAGAACTGCTTGTTCCTCCGCTTCCTGTCCTCCTCACCGGCACAGGACGGAAGCCACCTCGTGGGGTCCCATTTCTCGGGTTCTGGAAAGACGGATTCGTCACGGTGCAGAGTGTACGCGAGCGCGGCAATCCTGACGCCCCCCGGAACGCGGTAGGGCCCAATTCGGCAGCCTGACTCTGGTGTCTGCCGGGGTTGCGCGCCGGGTATCGGCGCGTGGAGGCGGAGGGTTTCCGTGAGAACGGCGTGGAGCAGCGGCAAACTGTCCAACTGCTTGGCATCTGGCATTGCTGGTGTGCCGTCTTCGTCGAGCTGCATATTGGGTGATAGGCTCAAAAGTTCCCCTCGAAGCTTAGCCTGGAGCTCCAGCGACTGGGACAGCCGCCAGCTGAGATAGGTTAGAGTCAAACCGGCGGTTTCCTGGCCAGCTAGGACATGGTCGAAGAGCTCGGAGGCAACGGACAACTTGAGGTTGGACAAGGCGGTCGGGTACAATATTGACGCCTGACCGTTCTTCGCTTCCTCGTTCTGCAACCCATTGACAAGCGCATTCCAAACGACGGGCTGATCAAAGCAGCCTGGTGGCGGTCGGCATCCGGAATCAAGCAGAGGCTCCATGTTGGCGCAAAGACGTCGGCACCACGCACCCAGTTCCTTGTTGGCCGCATCCACCTAGCCCGGGCAAAACGGGATACCGAGTTTGCGGCAGAACCTGGTCAGCTGTGGCATCTCCTGGTCGTAGTACCCGTAGTCATTACGGGCCTTGTACTGCTCGAGAAAATGGTCCCGATATGCCTTGTCGCCGAGGAAGTTGGTGCCATTGCTGAGCCCAAAGATGAAGGACGCTATGAAGTCCATGGTCGCTGCCATGAAAACGGAGTAGATGTCAATCCCATGGGGAAGCTGGGACTCGGCAACTGAGTCCTCAAGAATCGGCAGCAGTCTCTCAAAGAGAATGACTCGGGCCTGAGCCGATGCCGTCGCGCTCGACTGGATGTACGACTTGGAGTAGACATGCGAGATCAGCCGCTTCCGTGCCGAGTGCTCTACCGCAGGGTGGGCTGAGAACATGCACGGGACGCTTTGGGTATCACGAGTGAGCAAGGCCCCTTGCAGCTGTTCCAAGGGTTATCACCATACCCATAGTTGTCAAAGACCGAGTACCAGGCGGGTTTCTCGAAGGCGCCCTGGTAGACAGTGCGGACGCTTTCGAGATCATTGATGCTCAGTTCGTTGGGCCCGACACGGATGATGGGACCAAGCCTGCGGTGAGCGCTGTAGAGCGTCCGGTTCTCATTGCGCACAAAGCGGACCCAGAGGATCCAGAGACGTGAGAACGGAGCGGACCAGTGGGCGTTGGGAATCCGGGAAAGAGGCGAGGGAAGGCGGGGTGGATGATACATTGGTAGAGAAGAAATACGAATATCCAAGCAACAACTGAGACGATCCAGCCATGACCGTAAACCATTTGTTCGTTTCTGCCTTGGGCAACAATACAGTCACAATCGGAGTCAGAGTTGAGAGCCAGGATCTTGTGAGGGATAGGTGAAACCGAAAGGGTAAAATTACAAGCTGGGATGTGCGTCACTTCCTTTCCTAACTAGTTAGTCGTTCCTCGATTTACATAATCTACAAGGGCTCGCTGTTGCCTCACGCCACAGTTGTGTAAATCTTTCACTCAACCAGCCTTGAGTTTTTGACTTCACGACACGCGATCCTTGGTAATTCAGCGACAACAAAAGTAAGCCATCTTCTAACTGTCCGGATGATGGTTCGGGTCAGCGGCCACTGCAACGATGGCGCACCGAATCGTTGAGCTTCCCGACGACATACTCTTCATCATACTCGCCAGGTTGGACTGCACTCGAGACTTGAGAGCGCTTGCCCTCTCTTGCTGCAGATTCCACCATCTCGTGGAGAATGATGGATGGCGTATCTTTGTCAGAACCAAATTTCCCTCGCTCAGCATCCCGTCGCCCGCCTCAGGAATCCATGCATGGCAGCAACTAGCCGAGTCAACGACGTGGCAAAGCAGGTCTTGGGACAAGCGCTCCCTTCAGTTCCAGGCTCTTCTTCCTCGCGTCGAGCCTCGCAGGAATGGAAGGTCACAGAGAGAGAACAGAAGCCTGTTCATGTCGGTTGTTGACGCTCACTTCGACCCGGTCAGCCGGGAGGAGTTGGTTGTATGGGGTGCTGGCGAGAGTATCATTGCACGGTATCGGCAGCGACAAGGGCCCGGCAAGGTCTCGAAGACGGCATGGCACAAGTTGGACGGCAAGGAGCTCGGCCTCAGCGTTGGCTATGACGACGTGAAGACCGTCAAGATTGTCAAGCACGGCGGCGAACGCGCCTTCATCACCGGACGGCACAACCGTCAGCTGTCCCTGCTTTCTGCAGAGCCAGATCGGTTCGGCTCGCAAATTACCTATTTCAGACCGGCCTTAGACCAAAGCGTCGACTCCTACCTGCCTTCCGAGCAAGAGACCATGAACTCGCTGGACATTCTCAGCAGCGGCAACAGGACTCTCATCGCCGCCGCCTCGAACTCCAGTCTGAGAATCTACGAGCTGCCGGAGAGTGATGCGGCCGCGGTTGCGCCTGTGACCACCTACCATCTAGAGGATAATACCCCGGGCTCTAACTCGGCAAGACTGGGCGGCGCCAGATGGATGGAAAACGGTGAGTCGATAGCACTCGCTCTTGCTGGCTGCAAGGACCCTCTTCGCTATGTCGCCCTGACCCCCGCCGGCTGGGCTCATCACGCGGCTGCGAAGAGCGAAAGAGTTGAAAAGGAGTTCGGCATCAAATACGACCGGACTATTTGCCCCAATTCCCTTGAAGCAGTTCACTTCCATTCAGGAGCGAAACGAGGGACAAGCCTGCTCCTCAGCTCTTGGAGGGACGGGACTATCAGGTTAAGTTCAAGCAGTTAATGCGGAATATATCCAAATGAGCTAACAAAACTTCAAGACTCCAAGATCTGCGTACTCCTTCTCCCTTCGACGCCGTCTACCAAGACAATGTCGACCCCTGGTCAAACGCTGAATCCCTCATAGCGTACGGCACCGAGCGATTCGTCGCCGGCGGCAGCGAGAGTTTCACCATCCAAATTTTCGACTTCCGCTGGCCAAAACCCTATCACCATACGTCGGGCTTACCCTGCCTCGGCCGACGTCCCTTCCCACAACCCCACCAGCCCTTCAGGAGGCGCCTCACCCCCGAGTCCAGATCCCGCTCCCAATGCGACCACATTCGCAACCGCCGCTGCCACTGGCACGACCTCGCGCGCAGCCTCTACTATCGCCCGAACGCAAAGTTTTTCTTTTCAGAATCTATCCGCTCGCTTTCCCGCTCGGGCAGCAGCAGCGTCTGGTCGCTGGCCCGGGGCTCCGACATATCGCCCAACTTCTACATGGGTATCTCGGGAGGGGTGATCGAGGCTACGCTGGAAGAGACGCCCGACACGTTACCGCCGGACCGCGCGACGGTCGACCCCAATTTTGGGTTTGACGACTGGCGGGCCGCGGGAGGAGGAGGAGGAGGCGCCGACGCAGCGGCCGCGAGCGGGTACAGGGCCAGGCCACTGGTACCCGCGCTGATGGAGACGGGCGACGGGTACTCGTTCAAGGGCAACGATCGGTCGATTCTGCTGCCTCCCTTACTGCGGTATCAGGGGCCGAGGGAATGGGCGGGTGCTGATGAGGAGGTGGGTGGGTTGAGGAGGCATCATCGGCTGGATGGGGGGTATCAGACGGAGGCGGATTTCCTGGACGAGCGCTAGTATTAAAGCTTTGAGCGGGGTCTGGGGGAGTCGTCTTTGCGTCTTGCTATGGGGGTGGAGAGGTGGAGACCTGGTATTCTGCGTTGGAGGGGTGAACTGTTGTGAGCCCCTTTCTAGTCTCGGGAGGTGCGAAACCCCGGGTTGGGTTCCACGTTCAGACAGGTTGATAGGATATTGCCTGTAAAAGGGCGGCGAAGGAAAGGTCAACTGGGATACCGCTAGCTGTGGAATTGCGGTGATGGTCACTCGGCGTTGGGAGGAGTGAGGGATCTATCCGTAGACTTGCTGCCCTTCCAGTTGTCGTGACGGTATGTACCTAAGCAAGCAGCACGGAAGCTGGCTCAAGCAGCCCATGGAAAGGATCAGATCTAAGCCCCAGACACGAGTTTACTGCAATTTACTCAACCAATGTGTTACTAGAGAACCCTGGTGATGCTCTTCTCGCCGGGTTTACTAACATCTCCTCCCCTGCGGTGCCAGTGCCAGCCCCTTAAAAGTTACTTCATGACAGGAAGCAGAGGGGTAGGTGTCAGCACCCGAGCAGGCTGAAAACAGAGCAGGTCACAAGGCAAAGCCACTGTTTAATCAAGAGACGATATGGATTCAGTTCTCTGCGTACAGTGCATGGCAGTCCCCAGGTGACCAAGTCACATGGACTGAAGAGCTCAGGACTCAGCTAAGGCCAATGGCAATGGCCCGATTCGTGCATTTCCTCAGGACCTGAATCGGAGAATGGGAAACTTGACACCATGCCTTGCGAATTGCCAAGAACTGCGGGTTTCTGGATGCGGGCCATGCGGATCCTGGTCGGGACAAAGCGTATCCCGATGCGTGTCGTCCCGGGAAATCCTCTTTTCGGGAGTGGACAGGCGTGTAAGCTGCGAAGTGCTCCGTACACCCCTCCATAACTTCGTGGAGCTGTTGATATGAAAGACAGTTTCCTTCCGACCGGATATCAGTTCACTCTGGATAATTTACAGATGTTAGAAATATGGCGCTTGATTGGAAGCATGGCAATTGAAGGATATCTAGCTGGCGACGATTTCGGTTCCTGGCCACCTCAGGGCATGGCATCGTGCCTCGCTGTCAATTGGAGAACGGAGAATTGGAGACCTCTGATGTCAGAAGCTCCGGCCCACCCCGCTAAACCCCTCCATAGCCGCTCCTCTGCCGATGGCGGCCGATGAGGGGCCCCGCGGGATGAAGGTAACCCGAGTCAGTTTCCTTTCAGGTCCCCCGGTTCCATGCGCTTTCGGGACAGCTCGTATGGACGGAAGATTCCCAGGGGTGAACGGCGGATCGGGAACTGTACGGCGGGGGGGGGGGGGGGGGGGGGGGTGTTGCGATGATACACAGAGCGATAAGTGCCGTTCGGGTGCACCAAATAAAAGAGTCTGGCCAAGCCATCGAAGGCAGGCAGGTTGACGATCCTTCATTGTTCTCGATCTCCTTCTTCTCTCCTTCAAGTGCCTGTTGGTTTCGGATACTTGGATTCCACTGAGTCCACTCTACGACATCATCCTCCAGCAATTCCGTCTCAGATCAGCCGGCGACACCGACTTGCTCCCATTACCACGAGCAACGGAGTGTCCACATAAAGCGAGCTCAACCCTTGCCGTGGTTTCGGAGCTGAAGGAAGAACGGCCAGTCCAAGAGCGGGATACATACACCAACACCAAGAAAGACGTCACAATGGCTGCAGTAAACGGGACTGGGCCGGTCGAGACGGAGAAGGTCAATACCCACATTATCACCCTCACCCGCTTCTTGACCGAGGAGCAAGTAAAACACAAGGAGGCTACCGGTGACTTTACGTATGTTTCGGTCCTCCCTCCTTTTGCTTAGACTTCCTCATCCTAACAGCGCCCGGTCAGCCTCCTGTGCCATGCGCTCCAATTCTCGTTCAAGCAGATTGCCTACTACATCCGGCGGGCGACGCTAGTCAATCTGACGGGCTTGGCCGGCTCGTCCAACACGACGGGCGACGAGCAGAAAAAGCTCGACGTCATCTCCAACGACCTGTTCATCGAGGCGATGCGGTCGAGCGGCAAGTGCGCGCTGCTCGTGTCGGAGGAGGAGGAGGACATCATCTTCTTCAAGGACAGCACGCAGGCGCGCTACGCCGTGGCCTGCGACCCCATCGACGGCAGCTCCAACCTGGACGCGGGCGTGTCGGTTGGCACCATCTTTGGCATCCACAAGCTGGCCGAGGGGTCTACGGGCACCAAGGAGGACATCCTCAAGCCCGGCACCGAGCTCGTAGCGGCAGGCTTCACCATGTACGGCGCGTCGGCGCAGCTCGTCATCACCATGAAGGGCGGCAGCGTCAACGGCTTCACACTCGACAACGGCCTGGGCGAGTTTATCCTCACACACCCGGACATGCGCCTGCCTCGCCGCCGCGCCATCTACTCGGTCAACGAGGGCAACTCGCTCTACTGGGAGGACCACGTCAAGGCCTACTTCAACTCGCTTAAGGAGGCGCCCGACGGCGGCAAGCCGTACAGCGCGCGCTACATCGGCTCCATGGTCGCTGACGCCTACCGGACCCTGCTGTACGGCGGCATCTTTGCCTACCCCGCCGACAAGAAGAGCCCCAAGGGCAAGCTGCGCATCCTGTACGAGTGCGCACCCATGGCCATGGTTTTTGAGAATGGTAGGGCCCTGACTCCATTTCTGACAAGAGGCATCGTCGCAGAAGCTAACAGGACTCTAGCGGGTGGACAGGCCGTTAACAGCAAGATGGAGAGGATGCTGGAAGTGGTGCCCGAGCACATCCATGACAAGTCGGGCATCTTTATGGGCAGCTATGAGGAGGTCGAGAAGGTGAAGGCGTTCCACAAGTGAGTCGGGAGGCTTGTGTCATGCGTTGTTTGACCGTTTTGGATACCTTGCCTTGGATATACGGTATGATGCCGAACTTTGGCCGCAGTACCGGAGTTGCTGAGTTTTGACGCCACGCTAGTGGCCAGAAATTATCTCTGAAACAGCTTCCAAAATAATGGAGAAGTCGCGATGTCTGTACGATGCCTAGGTCACATGTGCCAGGCTCAAAGTCGAAGAAAAGTCGTCCCATTCAAGTCCCAGAATGTTGGGCGGGGAGGGAAAGAAATGCAAACGACCGCGACTTAGCCCCGCAGCTATCCCAAACATGTGAATGCGCTGAGAAACGCACCCCGGGAACCGCTAAGCCACATCCGGCAATGCCTCGGCCGTTTCTTGACATCACCTGGGGTTCCGCCACGGCAGGGGCCAACCGACTCGTGAGCCGAGTTCCAGAGTCGAGACGGAAAAGTCCACGAGCCGTGCTCCGAGGCAAAGGCTGACATTCCGAATCCTTTGCTTCGTTTATAAACTGTCCACATCGACATTGGTTAGTCACTGTCAAACACAAGTATCCCGACTTCATCTTTCTTCTCCTAGTGCATCTCTTTACGGTTCCTTCCAGTCCCTCACATACTTTCAACTTCAAGATGGGTGGTATGTACTCCCTGGCCGAACTAGTCACTTTCTGACCTTTACTCACACGAAGCACTCCAGCTCTCGATAGACTCTCCCAGCTGGGCAACCAGATCTCTGGCGGCGCTTCTTCAAGCGGTAAGGCCAAGATCCTCGAGAAGAACCCCGATGATGTACGTTGTCGGCCCTTGTATATTCTCCGTCTCCCGCCAGCAACTGATAACGTGCCTTTCTCAGGTTGTCGTCACAGCAGCTCTCCGGACAGCCATCACCAAAGGCGGCAAGGGCGGCTTCAAGGACACGTATGCGGCCGACCTGATGGCTGGCGCCCTAAAGGGCATCATCGACCGCTCCAAGATCGACCCGGCCCTCGTCGAGGACATTGTCGTGGGCACCGTGCTGGCCCCAGGCGGCGGCGCCACCGAGATGCGTGCCGCCTCACTCGTCGCCGGCTTCCCCACCTCGACCGCCGTGCGCACTCTCAACCGGCAGTGCTCGTCGGGCCTGCAGGCCTGCGTCGACATCGCCAACCAGATCCGCGCCGGCATGATCGAGGTCGGCATCGGCGCCGGCGTCGAGAGCATGTCGACCCAGTACGGCCCGGGCGCCGTGTCCGAGTTCTCGGAGCTGCTCGAGTCGCATCCGGAAGCCGCCAACTGCAAGGTGCCCATGGGCGTGCTATCGGAACAAATGGCCAAAGACCGCGGCATCACACGCGCCAGCCAAGACGCCTTCGCCGCCGCCTCGTTCCAAAAGGCCGTCAAGGCGCAGGCCGCGGGCCTCTTCAAGGAGGAGATCGTTCCGCTCAAAGTCAAGTTCGAGAACCCCAAGACGGGCGAGACCAAGGAGATCGTCGTCGACCGCGACGACGGCATCCGCGACGGCGTGACGGCCGAATCGCTCGGTAAGATTCGCGCCGCCTTCGCCAAGGACGGCTCCATTCACGCCGGCAACGCGAGCCAAGTCAGCGACGGCGCGGCTGCCGTGCTCATGATGAAGCGCTCGACCGCCGAGAAGTTGGGCCAGCCGATTCTGGGCAAGTTCGTGGCGGCCTCGGTCGTCGGCGTGCCGCCCTTGCTCATGGGCGTCGGCCCTTGGAAGGCTATTCCCAAGGTGTTTGAGCTGACGGGCCTCACCAAGGACGACGTCGACATCTACGAGATCAACGAGGCCTTTGCCAGCCAGTGCCTGTGGTGCGCCAACGAGCTGGGCCTGCCGCAGGAGAAGATTAACCCCAAAGGCGGCGCCATTGCTTTTGGACATCCGCTTGGCTGCACCGGTGCGCGACAGGTATCGACACTGCTCTATGAGTTACGGAGGACGGGTAAGAAGATTGGGGTCACGTCCATGTGTGTCGGTACAGGTATGGGCATGGCTGCTGTTTGGGTGGCTGAGTAAAGGGAGGAAAGTGAGTAAGAGGTAAGGGTGAAGGGAAAAGGGGGTTTGCTTGTATACCAATAATGACATGATGTATTTCTTACTAGAGGAGCAATGCATGCGGATGGTTTTGGTTAGGATCGATTCAATCCAGGTTGAAGTCTGCTCATTATCCTCTCTGCTTCCAGATCAACCATACTCGCATACGATGTCACTTGTGATTTGTATTGCCTGCAAGTGCACAAGTCCTACCATGGTGTATGGGCAACGTTGAAGGTCACATGCGAATTTCTTTCTAGAGCGCCCTGTTACTCTATCATTGCGCTGTCTGTGGCATCGTCTCTTGGGATGGGATTCCGAAGGACTTGTTCATGCCAGGTCCCGTCCCGCTAATGTGGTTCGGCTGTAGAGCGCGGAAATATTATGATGAATCGAAACAGCCAGGTCCTGATCCGGTCTTACCCATTAACCCCCCAAACACCGCTACCGGAAATCAGATCCTAACCCTGCACATTGCCTCCACTTCATCATCTTCATTGCAGACCAGTTTTTAGAAGCGAAACCCAGCCAGCCGTTGGAGAATGAGAATTGCTTGGTGCCAGTGAGTGCAAGTAAACTGCCAAATTGGATGTCTCCACTCACGGGAAGTCCATTCCATCCATTTTAGTGATTCACCACCAGTGTTGGCCCCTCAACGGCTGTGGTGACCAGGCCGATCGCGATCTCGGCCTCTCGGCAAGCAAACAAGCCGGGACGTCACCGCTGTCCAGCCCTTCTGCCTCTTCCTCCTCCACCACCTCCTGTCGCCGCTGCTGGCGCCCATCCCCCTAGTCCTGGCTCGCACTCAGATCCATATTCTTATCCCACATCATGCGCAGCAGCGCCACCGTGCCCGCATCTTCGGCCCCGTCGACAAGACTCGACCCGCTCAGCCCATGTTCTTGTTGTTGTGCCTGGTGATGTGTGGGATGACCACCACCACGCCCATGCCCATGCCGCTCATGCAACCTGCTGGCGCCGTCGTCGGTGCTACCGAGGCTGGAACTAACACTCTGCAGCGCCGAAAACGCACCGCCACTGCTGCCAACACCACCGCTGCTACGCGGCGTGGGTGGTCGTCGTCCTCTTGCTCCGCCGCCGCCGCCGGCGGAACCGGAGCGGGCGTGGGCGTGGTGGTCGTTGATGAGGTCTGTCATGCTCGAGTCGCGGGTGAGGCTCTGGTTCGGATTGTACTGTTCCGAGAGCCGGGAGGCGTGGCGCGCGATCCCGCCCCCGGGCGGTTGCGGGATGCGGCGGCTGTTTTCGAGGCCCGGCAGCTGCATCACGCGGGAGATGGAACGGGCGACCGGGTTCAGGTGGCGGCGCACCGTGAGGTATTCCATGCCTGTCCGCTCAAGTGTTCTTCCGATTCTGGGGTCCCGAGAATCGTATGTGGTGGGCACGCCAATGAGCGTTCCCGCGCCGGCGGCCACTACCCCGGGCGGCCCTATGCCGATCCCGGGATGCGGGTGGGCAGGCTCTAGGCTGGAGCTTGCCCGTTGCAGGTTCAGTTTCTGCTGCGTCCTGTTCATATCCCGCGGCACCACGTACTCGCCGCTGCGTCGCGAGCGAGATATGCGGGCGGTGTGCTCCCCGTCGTCTTCGCTGCCGTTGTCGTCGGCGGCGCCCTGCCGAGCGCTGAGCGCGTCGATGCCCCGGCTTTGTGACAGAGCCCCCAGCGACCGCCGGCGCTTCGGCACGTCAATGTCATCCTTGCCGTTCATTGCCGCGCGAGAAAGACCGCGCCTGTTGGCGGCCAGAATGAAGGATTCACCCCCAACTCCCGATCCAGACTCTTGACTGTTATTTCCAACGAACCGAGAGGTAAGCTCAGCCTTGCCGCTGCTGCCCGGTCGGGCATCGGTTGTGGTGCCAGGTGTATGGGAGAGATACTCGCTGTGGCCATGGCTCGAGTCGGGCGGCGATTGTTGTCGTATAGAGGGCGGCCTGACTGAGACGTTTTCCGTCGACATCATGGGTGGAGCGCCGTGTGACGGGGTCCGCGATAGTATTCGTGACGTGATGTATTGGTTTAAGCTGGATCTGTTGCGCGGGGGGCTGTGATTGCCCGTTTGCCGCCCCGTTGTGGTGTTGTTCTGCGCGCCGCTCTGCGCGCCCTTTTGCGCACCCTGCTGTGGCCCGCTAGCGGAAGGGTGCTGGGCCGCTGCGTATGATGTAGGGGAGGCGGCCCTGGACTGCTCTTTGGCAGTCGGAGGGTTTGCGCTTTGAGCAGCAGACCCGCGCCTGGACAGTAAAGGCGACGCAGATGAGCTGGCATCTACCCAGTCGTCCTCATCCTCCTCGTCGTCTTGATCCTCGTCCCCGAGATTGAATTGGACCCTGGGCCCCCCCGAAGATTTCAATTTGTGGACTGCTGGGTTGGACACAGAACGATGGAGGTTCGTCGCTGGCTTTGTCTTCTTCCCAACCTCGCCGTGGGAGCGATTGCGCTTCAGGTTTGTCTGTGAGGTGTTCTTCCTGAGATTGGCCGATGATGGGTCTCGTGAGGTCAGCTTCAACTCCGAGGTCGCTCGGCGGTGATGGTTGGTCGCAAGGGCCGCGGCGCCTCCGTGATCGGGAGAAAGGGAGCTGTGTTTGCGATTCAGCTTCGTCGTCGATGTCGTGGCATGGTGCTTGTGCAGGCCTTTCGAGGACGGGATCCGTGCATGCAGGCGGCCCCCTGTGGCACCTCCGACGACGTGCTTCTGGCTCCTCGCTCGGTGATGCTGTTGCAGGTGCTGCTGTGGTTGGTCGCCGAGGTCGAGGTAGGCTGCTGCTGGCTGTTTTGATTGGTTGCCGCCCGACGTATCGCCGTCCCGATCCCTTGCCATGGCAGGCAGAATGTGCTTGCTTCAGGCCTGATTTCTCCCTGAATCCCTCCGTCGAGAAGTCCTGCCTGAGCTGGTAATTGCTGGGACTGATGGGCAAGGAGCTGCCCAGGTGAATTGGTGAAGCGCGCCAGGTCTTGTCGGCAGAGAAGACAACAAGGTCGTTTGAAGGCAGGGTAACTCGTCATAGGGCAGCGTTGCTATTCTGTAGCCGGCGAGGTCGAACTTGGAATCGTTCTTCTTGTCAGCCAAAAACGTTTGCATCACCAATTGACGAGCACGTCGAAGTAGTCAAGCGTTTTTTGGGAGCGACACGAAGGCCGGGCCGTCCTGTTTGAGCAACGACTTAAACGATCGGGTTGAAGGAGAGGGTTCCAGGTTCCTGGTGTTCCCGTTCCATCTTCACGACTTGCAGGCCGCAAGATCAAAGCTGTGATGGAAGGGAGGACAGGGAGCTTGGCACTGATTGGCGCTAACCCAGCCCCACATGCATCCGGATGATACCGATGTTATCTCCATCGGACGGATAACGGCGGTTCCGCATGGCACACAAGTCGGTGATGCATCGCAGTACTTGTGCTGTTCTTGTGCGATTATCAGCAAAATCGGCGTGTCCAGACAACGTGGCCGGAGCTTGTTCGCGCGGCAGATCCAAGGAGCCCCGGAGGATCGGGTAAGACAGCATTCTGAGACATGTGTGTATGTTAATGAGGGTGGTGTGTATTGTACCTGGTTTTGAATTTTCTTGATATCGTACAATACCGACGGATGTTACATGAACTTGTGGTAAACTTACTCCATTCAAGTTGGCAGTGTCTTGCCCTGATCACGGCCCTGCGATAACTCCCAAACCTCCACAGAGATTAACCACTTGGTTGCGTTACCAAGTAGCTGTGTCGCAACCGCCATTCTAACCCCCATCCCACGTCAAAATGAGCGGACAACTCGAGGCTGAGCGCAAGGAATACGAGAGTCAGGTGAGTTTAGAAATGAAGACCAACCCGCAACGCGACCCAGCTGACACTGGAGCAGCTCGAGCTCGTCATCACATCGCTTCGAGACGACCCCGACAATGCCGAACTGCAAGGTCTCAAAAACGAACTGGAGCAGATGATCCAACTCATCGACGAATCGCTCGCTGAACTAAAGCCCAAGAACGAAGCCCCCAAGCCCGCACCGAAGGGGGCGGCCTCGCCGCCAGCGGAGCAGAAATGGTCGCGCGAGAACCACCCGGCGTTCAAAAAGGCGGCCCCCGCTGAGGAGAAGGAGAGGGAGAGAGAGCCCGAGGCCATCTCATATCAGGTCAACGATACGGTCATGGCAAAATGGGTTTCGGGTGACAAGGGCTTCTACCCGGCGCGCATCACCGCCGTGACTGGTTCGTCCACGGCACCCATCTACACAGTCAAGTTCAAAAGCTATGACACCGTCGAGACGCTGCGTGCTAAGGATATTCGCCCCATCGCACAGAAGCGCAAGGCTGACGGCACTGCCGTGTCGAGCAACACCAGCGCCATCGGCGGCGGCGCTGCCCCGACCAGCACGGCCAGTCCGTCGTCGCTTACACCAGCCCCGGCAAACAACGGTATCGTTATGTCCGCCGCCGCTGATATGTATCCGCAGGCCCAGGCGGCCGACAAGGCGGCCGATAACGACGATGAGAAGCCGCGCCCCAAATTCAAGAAGATCAAGGCGACCAAGGAATTGGAAAAGGGCAAGAGTAAATGGCAGGAGTTTACTACCAAGGGGAAGTTTGGCAAAGCGGCGAAGAAGGAGAGCATGTTTCGTACGCCGGAGGGCCCTGGCGGCCGGGGTGAGTACCAGCAAGTCGCCATCCGTAGTCTCGGCATGCTAACCCGCCGTCACAGTTGGCTTCACCGGCTCCGGACAGACAATGCGCAAAGACCCTACCCGAACTCGCCATGTCTACCAGCCCAACGAAGAACTGGACTAGACTAACCTGGCGTTTCTTTCAGACACGTTGTCACGGCTTGGGGCGGAATTGAATTACTCCTCGAGGGCACCAACACCGGCGCCACGGGCATCCGGTAACCTAGGGGAGAAATGACGACAAGGCTGGAGTTCTGGTTGAGATGAATTTGGTTACCTTCTCCTTCGTCCCCAGCTGCTGCTTTTATCAGACGGAGGCTAACGTGGCCTTGGATGCCAACCTTCGCTAGTTGATGCGCTACTGCTCTTCGTCGACTTCTCGTTTGACAAGGGGGCCAGACGAGGAACTCTAGAGTTAGCCGTAGTATGCCTATAAAATGAGATACCCTGTACTTTGCCTCCACACCGCTCACCGCCGTGACTACTTGCCGTCCTTTCGACAAATTAAACATCGCAGCGGTTCTCTATCGATATCCTACAGGACAGGTCCCAATCCCCTTGCTATATCGCGACTGTTTCCATGCATATCATACAAGACGCAGAGCCCCCGCATACTTCCCTAGCTCACTTCCAAGTTCATCTTCCCAGCCAACTTCCTCGCAACATCCATGAACACCCTCGCCCTCTCTGACTCGGGCTCCGCCGCGACCGTCGGCTTCCCCCAGCTGCCATCCTCCCCAATGCTCGGATGCAGCGGCACATCACCGAGCAATTCGATCCCCCTCTCCTCACACATATTCAGCACCTTATCATGCCCGCCAAAAACGGCCGTCTCCCCGCCGCAGCACGGACACCGAAACACTCCCATGTTCTGCACCAGGCCCAGCACGGGAACCCCGACCTTGCCAAACATGCCCACCCCCTTGACCGCGTCCTTGACCGCCAGCACGTGCGGCGTCGTCACCACCACCGCCCCATCCAGCGGCACCTGCTGCGCGATGGATAGCTGGATGTCGCCTGTCCCGGGGGGCAGGTCCAGCACCAGCACGTCTACCCCGCCGCCTTCCCCGCCGCCGGCGGTCCAATCCACTTCGTGAAGAAGCTGCTGAATGGCCTTGAGCAACATCGGCCCACGCCAGACGACGGGCGCGGACTCGTCTTCCTGGAGATAGCCGAGGGACATGGTCTTGACGCCGTAAGCCGTCAGGGGGATGAGCTGGTTGGACGGGCTGAGGTGTGGCGGGCCCGTGGTGGTCAGGTCAAACAGGGTCGGGATGGACGGGCCGAAGATGTCGGTGTCGAGGATGCCCGCGCGGAGACCAAGGCGGGCGAAGGCCAGGGAGAGGTTGGCGGCGATGGTGGATTTGCCTACGCCGCCTTTGGCGGAGGAGACGGCTAGGATGTGCGAGACGTTGCGGATGGGGCGTTTCGTGGGGAGGCCGCGCTGGAAGCGCGGGATTGCGCCCTTTTGGGGGAGGCCCTGGCGGCGGTTGGTGGTGGTGTTTAGTATGGGGTTACTTAGCAAGTTGTTGACTTACAAGAGGGTTCTCATGGTGAAGCAACTGGGTTGTGTGCAGAAGACGACGGTTGATGTGGGATCTCATGACGGGCTCTGAGAGGTATTATCATCATTTATCCATTGATTTGGAGGTGTTGTTGTCTATTTACATGCTACAATATCCAAAATACCGAATCGATTTCCACGGTCGAATGCAAATGAGCTCGGATTTGATTCACAGTTCATGACAGCCCCCGGCCTTGTCTGTGCTCCAAAACTCCCCACAAGGCCCACTGTTTTTGGTACTGCCGTCTGCCACCGCCAAAATCTCCTCGCTGAGGTGCCATCAAGTCTCCAAGAAGTAAAACTTTCACGTGGGGTGTCCATCTCAACTTCTCTTGAAGTAAGACGAACAGGAACTCACCCGCCATGCCAACAGAACGCAAGGGCCGCTCTCGGCGGTTTGCCGAGTTTGAGGAAAAGATTGCAAAGGGTAGGTCAACGCGCTGTGCCCTTGCAAAACGTGTGGCTAACTCGAGCAGACTTCGACATTGAAAACGAAGTGCCCGATAGCGACGGAGAGAGCGGCAGCGAAGAGTCAGCCGACGAGCACGCCGGGACCGAACACTATATTGCTGTTGGGTATGCTTGACTGCGAACTCCCACCGCAGCACTGTAGAGTCTGATCGTTCCACAGAAAGAGCAAGCTCCGGCAGAAAGAGACGGTCTCCCTTGGCCCTGAATATCGAGGGGCTCGAGTCAGCAGGGCAGCACTAGAAAACAGCAGCGAAGAAGACGAAGGGGAGGATGAGGAGGAAGGGAGCGAAGACGGCGACAAAGAATATGACAACCCAGAGAACGCAGACCTCGAAGCCGACCAGATCGACGACGACGGGGAAATCAGCAGCGACAATGCCCTCTGCGAAAGCGATGATGAGCATCTCAAAGACTTTGTCTTCCGCGGCAGCTCCAAGCCAAAAGACACGAATGGGCGGATCAAGAAGAGGCCGACCGCTGCAGATTTCATGTCTTCCTCTGGAGATGAGGAGGATGCTGAAGAAGAGGGGGAGTCCGATGCTGACGAAGATGATATAGAAGGGTCAGAGGATGGCTCAGACATTGACGGGGACGGCGCGCGCCTTTTTGATCTTGAGGCTGAGTTGTCCGGAGAGGACGAGGAGGGCGATGAAGTCGAGAAGGAAAGCGACGATGATGGTGAAGTGGACGAGGATGAAGAAGATGAGGATGAGGAGGGCGACGAGGAAGAGGAGGAAGAGGAGGAAAATGAAGACGACGAAAACGCAGACGCAAACCCTGATGACGGCGACGACGACCGCGCTCAACTGCGTAAGATGGCGATTGAGGGGCAGAAGAGCATTGTAGCCGCCATGTCACAGGCTGCTAAAGCAGACGCAGAGAAGGGCGCAGCAGTTCGCATGCAGCGCCGAGCATTTGATGCTATCCTCAACCTCCGCATCCGCCTGCAGAAGGCGCTTGTGGCAGCGAATTCGTTCAGCATGGTTGACAACAGCCAAGACGCCGGCCCAGAAGCCTACCAAGCAGCCGAGGAGGCGGCGGTCAAACTCTGGAACACCATCGACAGCGTTCGGCATACTTTCCTGCCCGAGAGCGCTCGACTCAAGGTTGGAGAGAAGCGGAAACGAGAAATCGACCTCGACACGCCGAGCCAAACAATCTGGGAAAGCATGCATGCGGTCGAGGAGGTTGCCCATTCGCACCGACGGAAAGTCTTGGGCAAGTGGTCCGAAAGGGTGAAGAAGAGCAGTGCGGCGCTTTCCACGCGGAAGCTGGTCAACTCGGAGGCCCAGACGCTGGTCTCCGCCCTCGACGAGCAGCTCCTCAACTCAGACCGGCTGGTGAAGCGGGCGCGGACACCCCGTTCCTGCGCGCCAGCTCAAGCGGCCAAGAAATTGGAGGAGGACCCCAACATCTACGACGACGCCGACCTTTACCAGCTGCTGCTCAAGGAGCTCGTCGACCAGCGGAGCACCGACACGGGGGCGCCGGGCGAGGCGGTCGCGACGGTGCGGTGGGCGGCGCTCAAGGAGACTAAGACGCGGAAGCAGGTTGACCGGCGAGCCAGCAAGGGGCGGAAGCTACGGTACACGGTGCACGAGAAGCTGCAGAACTTTATGGCGCCCGAGGACAGGAGGACGTGGGAAGAGCACGCCATCGACAGGCTGTTTGGGACGTTGTTTGGGCAGAAGATGGAGCTGAAGGAGGACGACGAGGAGGTGTCGGACGAGGAGATGGGCGGCGTCAACGTCGAGGAGGCGGGTCTCCGGCTGTTCCGGAGTTGAGCTGTGTTCTCGACTGTATTTCGCGCTGTAGGCATTCGGGGTTGGATATACAATGCAAAATACCCTCCAGCCACTTTTACTCTCTCAACAACACCATCCCTCCACTCCCTACCATGGCAAGCAAACAAATCACATGCACGACAAAATGCACCACCGGCCCACCCAGCACCTTTTTCTCTTCCCTTACTCCACCACCACCACTACCACTACCACTACCCTCATGCGCGCCACGACGCAACCGCATCCTTACCCACGCCCGCGCAATGGGCCAAACGTGGTACGTCCCGAGACACAGACACAGCCGCGCCGTGAGTCGGTCGTCTGAGGGCGGCTTGGCGAGAAGCACGGCGAGACAGACGAGATTGGTCGCCATGAGCAGGCCGCCGAGGTTGCGCAGGATGAGGGTCGCTTCTGGGGAGGCGCCAAGGAGCTGGGCGTGTGGTGCCAGGAGGAAACTTAGGGATGCTGGCACCTCGGTGAGCAGGTGGAGAGTTAGGGCTTGTTTGAGGGGTGTCATGGTGTTGTTCTTCTGATATCGATCTTGCTCTCGTTGGTGGTCGAGCTAGTGTTGAGTGATCTGTTGGGTGGTGAGCTTAGGGCTTGGGAGCGTGCCGTTAGGAGAACTGACCGATTATGCTAGTTGCGCGGAAGATCTACTCCCATGTTTCCAAGTGGAACTGATGTCGATTTGCTCTCGCAAGTACGAGTGAAATGATATTTTGGTGAGTGAGTGGATCTCAATGTGGTGGGGAGCTTCGGACGTTGACCTCGGGTTTCAAGTGCGAGAACTCGGTTGCTACAGCAGTAGATGATAACCCGGTGTTAGACAAAGAACAATCATACCTTAGCTTACAATTAACTAGCGTGGAACCAAGGATGACAAGACCGAGATGGAGGAGAGAAACAAGCATGTATCATCGCTGACTGCTTATTATTGACAACATCTTGAAAATGTAAGCGCGCAAAGTGAGGGATCAGAAACCTTGGACATGGGTTCCGACGCCCTTCTCCTTCGCAAACTGTATAATATGCATGCCAATGGACAAGTCCATCAATCCCACCCCAACACTCTTGTAGATGACATTTCCGGTTTGAAGCCACTGTGCCAGATGGCCCTTTTTTGTACTGACGGTGTTATTGTCAGCCCTCTTCAACATCACGATTTCTCCAAGCCTAACGATTGTTAGCCATCGTCGCCAATTCAACGCAATAGAAGGGACAATAATATGTACTTACTCAACCAACTGCTCCGGCCTCACGCTGGTCTCAATTAGCTCCCCGGCCTCCTTAAGGGCCCCATCAATGGTATCCACGACGACAACACCCGCATCCCCTTCCCCCCCCTCTCCGCTAACTGCCCTCTCAATCAGCTCCCGGGGCATCTCCCTCATCTCAGGGGTGTAACTCCCAATGGCCACAATCAACCTCCCCTTTTCCTCCGCACCCCCCAACAGCACGCGGCCATCAAACAGCGGTTCCGTAGACGGGGTGCAGCAAAACACGACATCGGCCTCCCTGACCGCCTGAGCAACCCTCTCCTCATACCCCTCCTCATCCCTCGTAACCGGCATAAACTCACATCCCTCTTCTCTCCAGGACTTCAACCTCTCCACGACCTTCCTAAAACCCTCACTAACCCGTCGATTGACAAACACAACCCTCTGCACCTCGTGGGCCCGAGAAAGCAGCGTGAGCCGCACGTGCCAGTACGCCTGCTCGCCACAGCCGAAGGCGACGAGGGTTTTGATGGGTGCGGTGCGGCGCTGCACGAGGCAGAGCGAGGCCAGGGCCGTGCGGAAGGCGGTGAGCGTTCTGGCGTGCAGTAGGCCCAGTGGGGTGCCGTGGGGTGTGAAGAGGGTTATCGCGCCGGTGGGGGGAATTACGGGTTTGCTTGTGCTTGTACTAGGAGTAGTAATAGCATTGGCATTATTGTTGCCGATGGTGGTGGTGGTTATGGTTGGAGGAGCAGGAGTGGGGGATTGGTTGGCTGCTGAGGAGAGGGTTATGACTTTGGTTGCGTGAAGGTGTTAGTTTGCTCGTGTGAGTGTTGAAGGGGAGGAAGTGTAAAATAGTGGAAGAGATAGGAATACCCTTGATGCCGTGCCCGGCAGAACTGCACGAAGGCATGAATAGGGTGGTGGCGCCGGTTGTCGTGTTGTGGATCGAGACTCGTTCGGGCTGCTGGTGGATGGGCGTATCGCCCTGGATGCCGGTTGAGTGCTCGTGCAGTGCCGAGGCGAGGGCGACTCGGAATCCCTCCAGCTCGGCCACTGTCAGGTTCTCAAGGAGGGACCGGATCTGGTTGTCGGTGAGCACTGTGAGGGTCATTGTGAAAGGTGTGTATGGGATAGATGCGCGTGGTTCCACTTTGACTTTTGCAACATATGGTGTGATGAACATTCGGGGGAGACGGTACTGCCGGGCTGCGGGGGCCGGGGTCGGGAGTCGGTCCTTCCGGATTCGATGCCAAGGCCGCTGCTGGCCGGAGAGGGACCCATTCTTGCGGCGCCTCGAGTCCTTCATTTTTCTCCCCCGACAACAATATGTCAAGTCGCCGACTACCGACAATGGCATCCCGCATTGGCAAGAGTCCAGGTTTGGCCTCGCGCCAAGCTGACGCGATGGTGATCCACCTTTGAACACAGCAGCCGCACGGCGAATCCCACTTTGTCGGTTTCGTCCGCTGTCCCGAAACCCTGCGTGCTGTAACGAGCCTACGGCTACCTGCATTTTCGGAACTGCACGGCGTTGCTGATAGCGGGCATGTCGCCATATAAGTCAGGGCGCGCGTTTGCACCTGACAGGATGGGGTAACCCAAGAAGCCCGACGCAGTCGCCGCAGTCGCCGAGGATGCGTTGAGCCTGGATGTCGGGCCAGCCTCGAACCTCCATCACTCCGGGGCTCCGAAGCGGTCTGCTGTTGTCATACCGGACCCAGAGCTTGTATTGACAACCCAGTTCTCCATCTTGAATCAAGGAATGAAGTTTGATATATAGAGAAAACTGCAGACAGAATGTGTTCCTGCGTTTGCGGGGTTCTCCTATCTCTGACCTCCAGGACTTCCCAGCTTACCCTATACCAGTCGCAGATCCCTTTACTTGCCTCGCAATGAATGTGCTCCCCCTCTTCTCTCTCATTTTCTTCCTCTGTATCTTGAAGACTTGGGCTCACCCGGGCATGGCCAAGACCCTCAACGGGCTCGTCTCTCTTGCCCAACGCCAGACCGTTTCCGGAACGGAGCTCCTCGCCGACCTCAAGACCCTCCCGGAGGGCGCCCTGTCGCCCGCTGGCTCAACCATCAAGAACATCCTCCTCGCCAACCGTGCTGCCGCGTCTCCGCAGGACCTCACCACCGTCTACACCCCGCCAGGCGCCCTCGGCAGCCCGGCGTGCCGCGCCGACGCGTGCTGCGTCTATAAGTACGTGGCCGCCGACATGGCCGCCGTCTTTCGCGACGCTTCCTCGGGCGAGTGTACCGAGCTCGCGCGCCAGGCCGTGCGTCTGGGCTTTCACGACGCCGGCACCTGGTCCAAGACGCGCGGCGGCGGCGGCGCCGACGGGTCCATTATCCTGGCCACGGAGTGGCTGCGTGCCGAGAACCGCGGGCTCGAGGCCATCGCGGCCGTCGTGCAGGTGTGGTACGACTTGTACCACCCCCACGGCGCCAGCATGGCCGACCTGGTCCAGCTGGCGGCCAACGTGGCGGCCGTGTCATGCCCGCTGGGGCCTAGGGTGCGCTCGTTTGTCGGGCGCAATGATAGCGCCGTGCCCGCGCCCGAGGGCCTCCTGCCGGATGTGAATGCCGATGCCGCGTCGCTGGTGGCCCTGTTCGAGGATAAGACGGTCGTGTTGGGGGAACTGATTGCCCTCATTGGCGCCCACACGGCGAGTACCCAGCTGTTTGTGGACGTGTTGAGGGCGGGGGCTCCTCAAGACTCGACGCCGGGAGTGGTATGTAAACAGCGACCCTTGTGCCTTTGCACTGTATGTCCTTGTAAAGCCCGCTGGGCCGAATATGACTGACTGAGTTGTCAGTGGGATGTCTCTTGGTACAAGGAAACCATCAGCGAGTCTCCCCCGCCTGGTGTGTTTCGGTTTCCTAGTGACGTGGCCCTGTCACGGTACCCCGGAGCCCAAGACTTCTGGACTGCCTTTTCCAACGCAGCAGATGGTCAGGCCGTGTGGGCTGATGTGAGTGCCGATGTCGAACCCTTACCCCCGAGTACCCGCCCTACAAGGGAATAACTGACCGGCTCAGGGGTATGCCGGAGCCTACGTCCGGCTCAGTGTGCTCGGTGTCGAGCACATCAATGACTTGAAGGAGTGCACGGGTGTGCTGCCCTTGCCGGTCTCTAAGGCCCCTTGAAGCAAGGGGGACGAACATGGAGGTTATATCAGGTGTAGATACCTGGTAACCCACCAGGCCATACTTGAAGCAGAACTCCCTTGGTTTCCATGTTGAAGCGGCGAAGAAATGATCCTAGCTGAGCTATAACTTCATATGGCTCATGAAAGCTATCAGGGGATAACAAGTCACCGTTGATTTCAGCTCAACAATGCGATTCCATCGAGACAAACAGGTACGCCAGACAATCCCCCAACTGCCGCGCCTTGCTTCCCTCAAAGCCAACCAACACCATCCCACAAATACATCACCATACCGTCATGGAGGCACTCCCGCCCTTAAACACCAACTGCGCATACCGCTCCCTGATCACTTCCTCCCCAGCCTTCCATCCACCAACCACTCCCTTCCCGGTTCCCAACCCCAGGTTCTGAATACTCCCACTCGCAATGTCAAACATGCACCCATGTACCTCCAACCACCTCTCCCTCCCAGCATCCTGCACCACAGCATTCGCCATGGGTACCCCAACCCCAGCCTCCACATTCATCTCAGCCATCCTCACCGCCCTCGCCCCCTCATCCCAAATCCCATTCAACTCCTCCCCCTTCGCCGCCCGCAACGCCCGCGACGGCGTAAGCCAGGTATCCAGCACCCCACCAACCCGTTTTTCTTTTCCGAGAGGATCGCGATAGCGCAGCCGCAGCACGAGTGGCCGCACAGCACGACGTGTTTGACTTTCAAGTGAATGATGGCGAACTCGATCACCGCCGACGTGTTGATATCGGTCGGCGGGACGATGTTGACGATGTTGCGGTGCACGAACACGTCGCCTGGCTGGAGGCCGAGAATTGTGGTTTCAGGCAGCGCGAGTTGGGGCAGTCGAGCCAGACTGGATTTTTTTTCCGCCCTCGGATGAGTATGAATGAAAAGGGGGGTTTTGGGGAAAGGGATGAAGGAGACGTGGGAGTTGGGGAGAGAGGGGGTGATGAGGAAGAAAGGGAGGAGGAGCTTACGGATCTCTGGGGATTGCCCGCTCGCGAGCTTGGGGGAAAAGTGTGGGTTTTAGTGGGCTTGTTAGCCTGCCCAGGCGTTGTTGGAGCTCAGGGCGTAAAGGAAGCTGTCTTCTGTAGAGGAAGATTTGAGGTTAGTGAAGTTTTGGCTTCGCCATATCTAATGCACCTTGTGTCATCTCGTGCTTCTGACCAACAACAACAGAAAGAGTGGAGAAGAGGCTGTGTTTAGAAGCAGAACTGTTGAAGACAAGCTCGCATATATAACGCAGAGCGCGATGTTCCTGCTCTCGCCCGTTTGAGCACACTGCTCGGACGCTAATGATAAACAACTACTACAAAAACAAACAACAACAACCCGTCTGAGCGCGCCAAGGAGCCGTCAGCAGGCTGAAGTAGAAAAGGTGGTGCGATATCTCCCGAGATAACGGATCATTCGAACCGCTCTCGCATTTGCAGAAGGGCTAGACGCCCCGACAGCCAAATAACACGCCACCACCGACGGCGGGACACGAGACAGGTTTGATGATATCAAGGGACAAACTACCGGGGAGGTGTCGTGCGGAGCTAAACATTCCCGGAGTTTGGGAGCGGTAGGGTGACGACGCTGACCTTGTTCAGGTTGAGCCAGAACGAGGGCCGATGTTAAGGATAGAATGAAGGCAGTGAGCGAGAGCTTGCGCCATAATGACAGAACCGAACAGGCCGTACAGCTCATGAGACTGAGAATGAATGACCGAGATGCTGAGGTGAGAGGCGGACCCAAGCTCCCCTTCCCCCAATAGACTCGAGGTTGTCTCAGGTTGCATCACACACCTTCCAGACCGCGATCCGGAGTCGTCGAGCAGCCTGTCGCCAACACAAACGGCGGTACGGATGGTCTATATCGTGTTTGAGTTGTCGGCTGACATGCCCTCCCTTGTGCTGCTGCAACCCTCCGACACGGAGTCCTAATTCGTCTGATATAGGTGCCTTGTGAAGCAGAAGAGACGGGATGCCGTGGCAAGCCTTCGGGTATATCATAAGCTTATCTTGGTTTCCCTCTAGGTGCGAACTTAAGACAACATAGACCGGTTTAGTGAACTCAGGTACCGAAAAACCGTCTGGGCTGTGCTGCGCATCGGTGTCACGTTCCTGGCTCGATTTACACCGACAACGATGTGTCTTGGCTGTGTCTTTGCAAATGGCTTGCGCAGGTCTGGAGGCTAGCCCGTATTCCCGACTCAGGTGGTGCAGACTGTCGTGTGCCAGCGATCCTTCACGCATGTGGCAGAACCTCCGTGGTCCAAGAAGCTCGAGGGTCACCCCTTTTTGCAGCTTCATGCAAGTCCTGGCACATGCTTCGGCAGTTCCGGAAGCAGGACCGTGTTGCATTGGTTCCAATCCGGGGTCGAGAACTCAAAGTCTGGCGTGGTAGCCTTTGTCCAGGAGTGTGGCATCATGGGGTGACCAAAACGTAAAGGCAATCACAGCATATGGAACTCTGAAATCCTGCATCTGGGGGTATCCATGGCATTCATTCAGCTGCTCCAACTCGAAAAGAAATTCAGAACCCAGTATCAACGCCCGTATGTGACCGACGTAAGCAGTTTATTTCACCCTGATCTGGTTTTGGTATTCCCGTACGCCATTCGTAAGTGCACCCGCGCCAACCGGACCGTTGCAATGTTTCCTCAGACCTTGATGGCCGTCTCGATGGCCTTCTGGCGCTTCTCGATGCGCTTCTGGGCCTTGGCGCCCATGATACCACCACCCCACTTCTTGCGGGCATCCTCGTTCTTCTCGAGGTAGCCCTCCTTGATAGCAGAGATGAGCTTGGACAGCTCGTTCTTGTCCTCGGAGCGGACCTCGGTGATGGCGAGGACAGCCGCAGTCTGTGATGCATACGTTAGCTTGGGCTCCCGCACATATCCATGTGCAAGAAAATCCTACCTTCTTGTGGACGACAGTGCCGAGCCTGGCCTTGCCCTTAATGATGGCGTACGGAACGCCCATCTTGCGGCAAAGAGCGGGCAGGAAGATAACGAGCTCAATGGGGTCGACATCGTTAGGAATGAGGACGAGCGAGGCCTTCTTGTTCTCAATCAGGCCAACAACGTGGTTGAGACCGTACTTGACAACGTAGGGCTTCTTGCTGACGTCCTCCTTCTTCTTGCCCTCCTTGATGGCCGTGGCCTCCTTGAGAAGACGCTCCTTCTTCTCAACCTTGGTCTCAGGGCGGTACTTGTTGAGGAGCTTGAAGGCCTGGGCAGCCGTGTTCTTGTCGAGGACATGCTGGAACTGGGCGATAGCAGGCGGCACCTTCAGGCGCATGTTGAGAATCTTCTTCTGGCGCTGGAGGCGGACATACTCCGGCCACTTGACCATGCGCGAGAGGTTGCGCTTGGGCTGAATGTCCTGGCCGATGCCGAAGTTGCGGGGCCGCTTCTCGATAAGCGGGTTCTGAGGGTGTCAGCGCGCGCAACGAAGGCATTGATATCTTGGGTTTGGAAGCAACTCACCTTGGGGGCCTTTTTGGAGCCAGCCTTCCCCTGAGGGAAGGGGGCGGGGGCAACCTTCTTACCAGACTTCGGAGGCTATCATTGAGGAGAAGACATCAGTAAATGTTTTTGTCATTGACTGTAGTCTTCTGAACTCTAGAGAGCGGTCGGGCGGCGTCTCCGCGCACCACGAGCCAGCTCAAGCCATTCTTCACCGGCGGTTTTGCAACCAGCAAGCGGAAATTTCATGCAGCTCGCGGATCCCAAGAGATCGTTGAGAGCATGTTAAAAGAGTGCATCGGAGATGCCTTGCTATCGTGGAATCGTCATTAGGTGCTTACCATTTTGGCGTTGGGTGATGCTCAGGACCGAAGCTTGTTGTCGAGTAGAAGAAGTCTGGATTGAAAATTTTGGCGGAGCTACACATGAAAAAAGAGGTTGTGGACTTCCAGGCGCTTGGGCCACAGGGCATGACGGGGAATCTTCGGCAGCTCAAGGCAGAAGTGGGGCCCTTCTCTGCTAAGACACTGCTTTCATTCATTCGCCGTACTCCGTACTCTGTAACATCTGAAGGCTTAGAGTCAGAAGGAGTTTTGCAGGCGATATGAAGTGATGAACCGGAAACTCGACGAACCCCTGGACTGAGCGCACTCAACAGCTGCTCGGATCAAATACTAAATCTCTACCTCCATGGCGCCCGCGCTCTGCGCCAATTGCAAAACTGAACGGGCGCTCATCAAACGGCCCAAGAACCACGCGAAGCTCTGCAAGGCCTGCTTCATCACGGTCTTCGAGGACGAAGTACACCACACCATCATCTCGTCACAGCTGTTCCGTCTCGGCGAGAAGGTAGCTATAGGAGCATCCGGCGGAAAGGATTCGACCGTCTTGGCGTCCGTTCTCAAAACACTGAACGAGCGGCATGGATATGGACTTGAGCTGGTTCTCTTGAGCATAGATGAAGGGATCAAGGGTTATCGCGATGACTCCCTGGAGACAGTCAAGCGGAATGCCGTGCAGTATGATATGCCCCTCAAAGTGGTCGGCTACGATGAGCTGTACGGCTGGACGATGGACCAGGTTGTCGAGACGATCGGCAAAAAGGGCAACTGCACATACTGCGGCGTCTTCCGGAGGCAGGCACTAGACCGCGGTGCCAAAATGCTCGGCATCAAGCACGTCGTGACGGGCCACAATGCCGACGACGTGGCCGAGACCGTACTCATGAACCTCCTACGGGGCGACCTGGCGCGTCTATCACGAAGCACCAGTATCGTGACAGGAGACAGCCGGTCCGAGGTCAAGAGAAGCAAGCCACTCAAGTACTCGTATGAGAAAGAGATTGTCCTCTATGCCCATCATAAGAGACTCGACTACTTCAGCACTGAGTGCATCTACAGCCCAGAGGCGTTCCGCGGCAGCGCAAGAGGGCTCATCAAGCAGCTTGAGAGAGTGCGCCCAACAGCCATTCTAGACATTGTCCGAAGCGGGGAGGACATGGCGAGATTAGTGCTTGGAGAGTCGACATCGTCCTGCGCGTGCAAGGGACAAAAGAGCGCCGGGCTGGCGTTTTTGGAGGACGACATTGGTGGATGTGGTTCACAGAACGGCCGCACACCTGGAGGCGAGATGGCTGCCATGGACAAGCAGCTGAGGGAGAACGAGGCACACGAAGCCCTCGAAGTCGACATCGTAAAGGCGATGTCTGAGAACAAAGTTGGGAGCGAGAAAGAAAGGGAACTTCCCATCAGGAGCAGTAATGGTACTTCCAGGGGGCCGGCTCGGCAAGTCCTTGGGAATTGCAAGCGTTGCGGTTACATGTCGAGTCAAGAGATTTGTCAGGCTTGCATGCTGCTGGAAGGCCTGAACAAGAATCGCGCTCAGATACAAATCTAGCATTTTGTACATTGGGGATGTGCTGAGAAGCTAGAATATCGTGGCTGGGTTGTTTATGAGCGAAGGTGCCTAGTGGTTTTCGTCGCCTCAATGGCCGCAGCGCTTGTCTCGTATTCGCTCTCTATGACATTCTCCGCTCGACCTGGCGAATGTAAGCTTCCCAGCGGCGCAACCAGCTGCATCAGGCTACATACTCTCCAAGGGTTGTTTAATTCAAATCCGGGCGGCGCTATCGGATTGTCTGTTTGGCCTCGCAAGTATCCCGTGAGTCGCCTGTCCCGATCCATCACTATGTAGAACGGCTGTCAGTGCATCGGGTCGTGGCATTCGTAAGGTACTCGAGAATTTGACCGTACTTTGCTGTCGAAGGGTTAGCAGAGGCGTCAAGGAATCCCGGGCCATGACATTCACAGACCTTATCCCACTGGTCCAGCGACCACCTGTGCCTCTTGCCGCCGCTCGCCATATTCTTGATCTTGTTCAGGCCAGCGCCCGTCACGCCAAACATCTGCCATTTCATGAGTCACCCAATGTCCGTCAGCGTAACAGCTCAACGGAGCTCACAGCAATGATGATTCCATAGGGAATCAGGGTCTCGAAGGGAACCGGCATCGCGGCAGGTTTAGCGGCCTGTTGGTCGAATTAGCTTGTCAGCTTGGAGTGAAACCATAGCCGTGCAATCGGAGCCGTACACGAAGTCCTCTTTTCGGTACTTGATTGAATGAGCAAAAATACAGCTCTGAAGCTCGTGGTTCCAAGTGTCGCGAATGGCATCCAAATCGGCAGGCTTGTTGCTGGATTTGTTACCTGAGGCACTACTGTGTATGCTAAACGCTCGATTGAGTATTCGAGCTTTGGTCATGCATGGGCGCGAAATGGTCTGTGCTTCATGCATGATAATGATGACTAAGACGGTCATTTCAGCTGCGACCGAGCGCATCCAAGGGGCTCTCAGACCGGGGTAACGGACGGCAAGAGAACGTTGCAAACACTCGAAGCCCAGCTCTTGCACAAGTTTGACTGTGGCTCTCACCAAAAAACACTGCGAATTTACGTGTCTTTGCCGTGGAATCACAGAGAAATCCATCAAACTAGTCGACTTCCGTTCTCCAAAGCTGTGATCTGCGCGTCGCACGCAACTCTTGTTCGCTGCGCATCACTCGCGAGTTCCGTAACCTCACCTACCAACGTCCTCGGGCCGCCTGAGCTCGACCCCGTCTTCTCTTTGAAAGCATGCGCCGAGCATGACCGTCTTAGCCCATCTGATCCCCCTACTCTGATATGAGCGGCGTCCGTGGCCGCGACGCTTGACAAGGCGCGCCACAACATCCCGGGGAACGGCGCCTCTCGGGCTCCAGTGGTCGACGTGGAAACAATAGCTCAAAGATGGCGGAGGCGCAAATCATGGAAGAGGAGCTGCAGCAAAGCGCCATGCAGTCGGAGCGGGAAGCCGAGCTGACGCAGGTAGGAGTCGACCGGGACATCGAGATGGGCGACGACAGCGCACTTGCCTCTCAGCAAAGCCACATTCACGTCGCGGACGGAGAACATGAGGAAGACATGGACGACGAGGACGCGCATGGAGAGGACTATGAGGAGGAGGACGAGCGCCCCGACCATGACGACGAGCAGAGCGGCAGCAGCGAGTCTGGAGACGATGACGACGGGGACAACTTTGACGAGGATGCCGAGGGGGAAGCATATGACGAACTAGCCACGCGGAACCATCGACCACGGCTGAGGTCAAGAAGCATGACCAACGGCCACGAAGACGGCGAGGGCGACGACGCCGACGAGGATGAAGGCGTCGGCGCGGTGAAAATACGGCCGGGGGAGACGGACGAGGACGACAGCAGCGTGGATTCCGCAAGTTTGGCCAGTGCCAGCGATGGCGAGTCGGAAGACGAGGCGGAATGGGAAGCTGCGCAAAACGACGATGCAGACGACGACGAGTCTGAGAACGCCGCTGGTCATTGCATCTTCTGTAAGCAGGACGAGGAACACGACCCAGGGGAAGAATTTGAGGCATTCCTAGCCTGCACAAGGTGTGGGGACAACGGTCAGTGCTTCCTGGGATCTATTGGTGTGTCGTGTCGAGGACTAATACAGTGCAGCCCACCAACAATGCGCGCGAGAGAATGAAGCGCTGGGGAGCGAAAATGGTAAGATTCACGGACTGCTGATTCTATGGCAGGTCGCTGACCTTCCTAGGTCCTGAGAACTGGAGATGCCCCAAGTGCGCTGATGAGTCCGATTCGGATGGCGACCCAGACTTGGACGAAGACGCAGACATGGCCGGGATCATGGACGCAAATGCTTCTCCGGCCAGCCGACGTGCCAGCGCACCTAAGCTCGCAAGAGATCTTCTTCCTTCCCAGAAAGGATCCATCAAGCCTGACTCCCACTCCGTGTTTAACCAGTTGGTTCTCGACGAAGACCCAATGGATGGATCCCGCGTGCTTAGGAAACGCAAGACATCCTCGCTGGCAGATGACGAGAACATCATGGCGCTTCGCAAGCGGCGCAGGATTACCGGCGATGATCAGAGCAACGATGAAAATACAGCATCCGGCGCCGACGGCTCCCCTAGGCCTGTGTCCAGGTCTCTACGGCTTAAGATCTCGAACCCGCCTGCGGCCATAGTCAAGAGGACACGAAACAGCGTTTTGGTCAGGCTGCGCGTCAACTCGTCAGAGCTTCGCCAAATCACGTCCCGGAAACCAAGAGGGCCGAAGAAGCGCCCGAGCGGATCGCGGAGGCGGACATCGAGAAGCGAGTCAACTCGCGCCGCTCCTCTGCCGCTAACGGCAATCGCAACACCTTTTACCCCTAGTGCCTACTCACAACCCTTCTACTCCTTCTATGATAAGGAAACAGATGAGTTGAAAGGGAAGCCGTACGGCGGCATCCTTACAGAAGCGGAAGCGGACACCTCTAAGACCATGCCGACGAACGATGACCGTCGGCGCTTTGATGAGGCGAAGCAAAAAGCAGAAGAGGAGTGGAGACAGCGGCTGCTCAAGATGCAGGCCGAAGTCGAGGCACCTGCCAAGAAGTCAAAGAAGGCATCGGGCCCGGCCAGCCAAATTGAGTGCATCGAGTTTGGCGGCTGGGAAATCGACACCTGGTATGCCGCTCCCTATCCCGAAGAGTACAGCAGGAACCGCGTCCTCTACATCTGCGAGTTCTGCCTCAAGTACATGAACTCGGACTATGTGGCCTGGCGTCACAAGCTCAAATGTCCAGCAAAGCACCCCCCGGGCGACGAGATCTACAGGCACGGCTCAGTGTCGGTCTTTGAAGTGGACGGCCGCAAAAACCCGGTTTACTGCCAGAACCTCTGCCTTCTGGCAAAGCTCTTCCTCGGGTCGAAAACGCTCTATTACGATGTGGAGCCGTTCCTCTTCTACGTTCTCTGCGAGTACGACGACCTGGGCTACCACTTCGTCGGGTATTTCTCCAAGGAAAAGCGTGCCAGCAGTCAAAACAACGTCTCTTGCATTCTCACGCTTCCCATCCACCAACGGAAGGGGTACGGCAACCTGCTGATTGATTTCTCCTATCTCCTGACCAGAGTGGAGAAGAAGACGGGGTCTCCAGAGAAGCCACTGTCCGACATGGGTCTAGTTTCGTACCGGAACTATTGGCGCCTGATAATGTGCCGCTATCTATTGGATCATTTCTCGGAAGAGAAGTCGGGAAAGACGGGTCTGAGTATCAAGCAGATTTCAGACGACACGGGGTTGACGCCAGACGACGTGGTTTCTGCTCTGGAAGGGTTGAGGTGCTTGGTTCGAGACCCGCAGACTCAGGTCTACGCTTTTCGCGTCGACTTACAATATTGTCGGGAATACGTTGCAAAATGGGAGGCCAAGAACTATGTACAGCTCAACCCCAAGGCCTTGACGTGGACGCCCTATGTTATGGGCAGAGGCAACGCGACGAACTTTGAACTGGGCCCGGCTTTGACTGCGATTGCGCCGCGGGAAGAAGAAGAAGAGCTCAAGTCACCTGTTGCTCAAGCAGAAGAGCCGTTGGTCAACGGTGCCGGTCCTCCGAGTCAGCCGGATGCTTCTCCCGATGTAACAAAGAATGCAGTGGCGCCCCCGGTGCTCGAATCCACCGAACCCACAGAGTCGACCTCAACAGACGATGCCGTCAACAACGATGTCAAGCCCAACGGATTACTCAGGAACGGTGATTCGGCAGAACAAAAGATCCAGCCTGAGCCCGCCCCCGAGCCAGCCTCCGAGCCAGCCCCCGAGCCCGAGCCAAAGCTCGACCCTGTCAAGTCCACAGAAGACGACTGGACCCAAAAATACAAAGATATCCCACCCACCCGATTCGAAGTGGTCCCACCCATCAACGGCCGCCGAACCGACCGCTCCCGCTCCATCATCCCCCGAACACCGGCCGTCCGCACCACGACAACGACCGGCAATAGTGCCTCCCGGCCGCGACTCAAACGGTCCGCCGGCTCCCGCCGCTCCACCGCTTCTTCCTCCCGTCCCAAGTCCAGCAGCGCCACCAGCAGCAGCAAGCGCAAGCCGGGCGGGACAGGCCGCGGGCCGGGTCGCTGGCCTAAGGGCACCAAGAAGAGCGACTACGGCAACGCCCAGAGCGGGCCGGGCCTACCACCGGCGTGGATCGCGGAGCGCGCGAGGCTGGCGGCGGAGGAGGCTAAGAAGGCCGAGGAGGCTAAGAAGGCTGAGGAGGCTAAGAAGAAGGAGGAGGATAAGGAGGAGAGGGGAGGGGAAGGGGTTATGGATACCGTGCAGGTGCAGTCGCGAACTGTCATGGAGGGCGCCGGAGCGGCGGGGCAGAAGGGGAAGGAAAATGCGGATGTGGTCATGCAGGATGCGGATGCTGAGGGGCGGGATAATTGAGGTATCGGCTGGTCGGCGGGGTTGGGGAAATTTGAGGCTTTAGGGGGCCGTTTTCTTCGCGGGGAGCGCTGGACTTTTCTGCTCGCTGACCGCGGGGCGTTTACTGAGTTTCCGTGTGGGGTTTCGGGGTTGGCTTGTTGTTAATTGTACAATTACATTCAAAAGGGGCGGGTGTAGCTTTGGCAGGGTTAGAAGGCGTTGCTGGCGGCATGTCCGAGCTGGTGTGTGTTGGTACAAGGGACGTCTGAAGGCAAAATGGAGTGTTTAGTTTGGGAAGGCCTATATAACATCGATAGCCGTTGCGGCGTCCTTGCTTACGCTCTTCTATGCTTTCTCTAAACTTCGACCTACCATAACAACATGAGTACTGATGTTCTGTCATGGTGGATTTCGCCGGAGGCAATATCAGATTGCAACTTGTTACCTGAACAGGTCTAGCTTCCCTGTACCAGTTTCTAGAAGTCTTGGCGGCATCGTCAGCTTCGAGGCCACGGGTTGTAACACCGCGTACAACACTACCTAAGGCAATCAAGATCAAACGAATGAATCGGTCTACAATGCTGGTTCTCCTATTTACTTCATCTAGGAATTTGGGATCTGGCAATTCTCCTTAGTTCAACTACCTTAGGTAGGCCCTTTTTACACTTAGGACAATGTGCGCCGTACCGCCCTGCACAGCACAGTACCGATCTGCGTAATTACTGGAACTGCTCCGCGCGTCTTCTCGACGTGGCCTCGCTCCCGTCTTTCGTCACCTTGCAACCCGATCAAGCTCACACCCACATCACACCCACATCCTGTCGATTCTTCTCCTCCCCTGAGTCGGACCTAGAGCCGGATAACCCACGACGACGACGGCGCGGTGGCCATTGGTCTCTCTGAGCACTCATTTCGGAGCCACAACCTTCAAAACCCCCTTACTTTTCAGACCGAGTCCTCCTCACGCCAACTGCCAGGTTCAGTGGCGCGGCCATTCAGAAGTTGCCAAGCTCCGCAGCAGCGGCACGCCGACCCGACCGCCGACACGCAACCCACCCCAATCTCTCTATCCGTACCTTGCGACATTACCGGAATCCCCTCTCTTACGGATAGATACAACGACTGCGCAGCGCAGCGTCGGAATCGCCACTCCTAATCAACCCCTTCTACCGGCGCCAACATGTCGAAAGTCATTCGGAGCGTCAAAAATGTCACCAAGGGCTACTCCAGCGTCCAAATCAAAGTGCGCGAAGGTGGGTCTCGAAACCACCCACATGTGCCCCCGCCGGGGGATGCCGCCAGCGTCTACTGAGACGTTTGCGATACTGACCGCACTGGGCATGCAGCGACCAGCAACGATCCATGGGGCCCGACGGGGACACAGATGAGCGAGATCGCTCAGATGACTTTCAACTCGTAAGTGTACAGGCGAGAGGTGGTGTGGTGCGGGATCATTGCAGGCCGGCGGTCGTTGACGCGCTCCTCGTCTCATGTGCCAGGTCAACCGAGTTCTACGAAATCATGGATATGCTTGACAAGCGGCTCAACGACAAGGGCAAGAATTGGCGACACGTCCTCAAGGCGCTCAAGGTCACCGACTATTGCTTGCACGAAGGGTCGGAGCTCGTCGTCACGTGGGCGAAGCAGAACATATTCATCATCAAGACGCTGCGCGAGTTCCAGTACATTGACGAAGATGGCAGGGATGTTGGTCAGAACGGTGCGTGCTGGGTGTGTGAGGGATTGGGAAGGCCTCGAGCTAACACGTGCGCCCAGTTCGCGTTGCGGCCAAGGAGCTGACGTCGCTGATCTTGGACGACGAGCGACTACGCGCGGAGCGAAGCGACAGAAAGAGCTGGAAGTCCCGCGTCAACGGTCTGGAGGAATACGCTCCTCAGTATAACCAAGGCCAACGCAGTGATTCCCAGCGACCGCGCCCCATGCGGGCGCAGTACAGCGACGAAGAGGATGCCGAGTACAAGTTGGCGATCGAGGCCAGCAAGTACCAGGAGGAGGAAGACAGGAAAAAGCGTGAGAGCCGGGCCGTCGATGAGGAGGACGACGACCTCGCAAAGGCCATCAAGCTCAGCAAGGAAGAGGAGGAGCGGCGCCGGCGAGAGCTGGAGGAGACCAATGCGACGTCGCTGTTCGATGACGAGCTGGTGCAGACCGGTCAGCCTCAGTACACCGGTTTCAACCAGGGTTACCAACAAGGGAGTGCGGTCGATTTCTTTGCGAACCCGATTGACCAGAGCCAGATGCAGGTCCAACCAACCGGCTACATCAATAACGCATACACGGGGTTCCCGGCGCAGGCGACGGGCTACGCGAATGGCTACACCAACGGGTTCGGCCAGCAACAGACAGCTTTCGATGCGTTTGGCCAGCAACAACAGCAGCAGATACCGCAGCAGATATTCCAGCCCCAGCCTACCGGCTACAACCCCTACATGCAGCAACAACAGCAGCCCCAGCAGCAACAGTTCATGCAGCCGCAAATTCAGGAACCTACCCTGTCCCCCCTACCGGCAGGGACTAACAATCCCTGGGCCAGCAACAGCAGCCTGCAATCCCTCAAGCCCACGCCAACCGGCTCGAACAACCCGTTCGCCCAGCGCCCGTCTACCGGATACAAGGCGCAGTCCATGACTAACCTTGGCACTCTGCCCGAGCAAAAGACGCTTTCCACGTTCCAGCCGCAACAGCAACAGTCCCTGTCCCCATTCAGCATCATGCAGCAGCAGTCCCAACCGCAAATCCAGCAGCAACAACAGCAGCAGCAGCAACAGCAACAGCAGCAGCCGCAAAAAGAACTGACGGAGCACGAGGCGCGGCTCAACGCGCTCCTCGCCAGCAGCGATGGCATGGACACGTTCGGCAATACGGGCAACCTGCGCATTCCGGCGCAGCACACGGCCCCGGGCGTGTTTGTCAACAGCGCCGGCGCGGGTTTGGGAAGGGTCACGGCCGACGCGACGGGGAATAACCCCTTTTTGAGGCAGCAGTTCACCGGCATGCCGGCTGTGTCGTATCCTCAGCAGCAGCAGCAGGGCCAGCAGATGCCCGCTGCTACGGGACCCGCGGGCATGGGTATTGGAATGGGGATGGGGGGTGGGGTGAATAATAATAACCCGTTTGCGGTCAGGGGTCAGCAGCAGCAGCAGCAGGGGCAAGGGGATTTGATTCAGTTCTAGCGAGAACCTTGGGGTGAGAGGGAATGAAGGGGTTGGTTTGAGCGGGAGATGTGAGGTGCACTGGATCGGGCTGGCTCGCTGAGGAAAGGGAGGATGAGGGAATAGGGGAGGATTGGGTTGCGGCTGTAGTGGTTTCGCTTCGGTGTAGCCATGGGTCTTGTGTCTCGATTGGAAGGGTGGGCTTGCTGATGCGAGGCTGCATTGGTCCCTTCTTTCATTCTTTCCACCTTTGCTCTTTGGTGTTGGCGGATTGAACCCTAAGAAACTTCTTGTTACTTCTTAGTTTTTACAACTTACCTTTTTGAATCGTTACCTTTGTTGGCATCCGAGACTCTGACAGCTGCTGAGTTGCCGGGAGTGGGAGAATGGTGAGTCAGGTCTGGGTGGCTTGGGCTGTCTCTCTGAGGCTGTTAGGTCGGTGCGATGAGGCGAGACCGCAGTGGGCGCGGTGATGCCGGCCCGCAGACACGCAAACAATAAACATGGGAATGATTTGGGTTGAATGCTCGGGGGTAGGTTGTCTGAAAGCTCAGGACTGGTGACAGGGCCCGGCCCTACCATACTGGGCTGGTGTACATTGTCTCCTTGATACATGCACGGGGACAGGAGTGATTCCATGCCGCTAAAGTCCTGCCACATTTCCTTTGGCATGTCTGAAAGGTTCACATCTGGATGAAAGACGGAAGCAACGAAGGACAGCTGGTCACAGAGCCTGGGGATTTAAACTCGCTCTCCAGGCAGTGCGACAGATTCCCAGCTCCAGGCAGAACATGAAGCATGTGACTAACAACACCCCTGGGCTAATAGGGCACTTTATTTCTCTAGTCATCTCCTTTTTTCGTTCTTTCAAGTGGAGGTTTCGGGCTTCGCTCGTACAAGTACATTCGCTTTCGCCTGACTCTGATTTGCGTTCTGTCGCAAGGCAGACTGAGGATATTAGTCAGCTTTGAGATGAACCAATAATGGCTTGAAACTCGGCCTCAGGAAGCAACTGAAGCCACCACGTGATGCTCTGCTCTAGACGGGCTCCCAGAGATATATGTCACCACGAATAACCAGAAACCCGGTCTCAAGATGCTTTCAATACCACTTTGCAAGTGAAGTGGTTGCTGGGAACTGAGCATTCTTTTTCCCCGGTCTGGCGCTGCGAAGTGAGGAAGTTCCATTGGCCCCACCTTGAAGTGCTCTGATCTGGTCCGTGCACTACAGCTTCCCCCGGCCACTGCTTTTTTTCGTGCTCTCGCAGCAGAGACCGTGTCGGGCGCGGTTATTGGCTAGCCTGGAAGAAGCTCAGACCCGCCTGCCAGGCTAGCTCAGAAGGGACCGGGTCGCCAGTCAACTTTCGCGAGCTGCCAACTTCTGCCATCATCGCGCCTCGATCTTTTTCTGAGGGTGGACGCGGTTCTGTCCAGCGAACATCTGCCGCACAACCGCTGGACTTCCTTGAGTTCCCCTTTTATTTTCACTGTTAATTCTCATCTACAGGAAGAAATCAGCTTCGAGTCGATTCTCCACGCGTAGGGCATCACTGCCTCGCGCTTTTTTCACCGACAACAACCACCTCGCATCTCGCCAGGAAGCAACACCTGCCGGAGACATTGCCCAACATGTCGTTTGGCTTTGGCAGCGGTGGCTTCGGCCAACAAAACCCTAGCACCTCCTCCACATTTGGTGGATTTGGTAGCAACACTAGCGCAACTACAGGTACGTCAAACGCCCTGCGCAATCCGCCTTCTCCATTCTGTTCTCCCAACAACACCTCTCGCTTTGCATGCGAATACTATCTTCTTCTCCTTCGCGACAGCAGCGACTGACTTCCACAGGTTTTGGCTCATCCGGAACACCGGCCTTTGGATCGGGAACCGGCACAGGGACCACCGGTACCGGTATCTTCGGCGGCGGCGGCGGCGGCGGTTTTGGCTCAAACCCCACTGGCGGCGCGTTTGGCGGCTCAGGCGGGTTTGGGAGCAAACCAGCCTTTGGCACACCGACCACTACCAGCGGTGGGACGAGCTTGTTTGGCGGCGGATCAACAACCGCAACATCAGGTGGTGGCGCTTTTGGTAGCGGCGGTTTCGGCACTACAAGTACCACCACTACACCCTTCGGCGGCGGCACGTCTCTCTTCGGCGGTGCCAAACCTGCCACGACTGGCTTTGGCACAGGAACGTCAGCATTCGGCAGCGGTACCGGCGGCGGCCTCTTCGGGAGCGGCGCGACCACAGGCACCACAGGTTTCGGTGCCACGACCAACCCGGGAATTGGAACCAGCATTGGCGACCCCCCCGGTACGGCTGTCGTTGCCTACTCTCCGACCGTAGAGAAGGAACCGAATAACCCTTCTCAAAGCAACTCATTCCAGAATATCCTGTTCATGGACGCTTACAAGAAGTGGTCGGCCGACGAACTGAGACTGGCAGACTACAACCAGGGCCGGAAGACGGGCAGCCCGGGCGGCACTGGCGCATTCGGAAGCTCTGGTTTTGGAACTGGTGGCTTTGGTACCGGCACGACTGGCACCGGGTTCGGCACCACGACTGGCACAGGCATGTTCGGAAGCACCCAGCCGACGACGGGTGGCTTTGGCACCACCGGCACCGGCACCACCGGTGGATTTGGCTCTGGCGGAGGCCTTTTCGGCGGGAGCAAGCCTGCGACTGGCGGGCTGTTTGGCGGCACGACAACCACCCAGCCTACCCAAACTGGTGGGCTTTTCGGCGGAGGTACCGGCACTGGCACTGGCACCGGCGGCTTTGGTTCTACGGGCACGGGTACCGCAGGCTTTGGGTCGACTACCGGCACCAGCGGAGGTGGTTTGTTCGGAGGCTCCAGCACAACAGCGGCTAAGCCTACGGGTTTTAGCTTTGGCAGTACCGGTACTGGCACCGGCGGCTTTGGCTCTACCGGCACGGGAACCACAAGCGGCTTTGGCGCGACTACTGGTACAACGGGTACGGGCGGCGGCCTCTTTGGGGGTGCTACCCAGACCGGCACAACTGGCGGCGGTCTGTTCGGGGGCCAGCAACAACAGCAGCAGTCCGCTGGCACGGGATTTGGTGGCACGGGCTTTGGGGCGCAGACCCAGAGCACCGGAGGCGGCTTATTTGGAGGGCAGCAGCAGAAGCCCGGCGGTCTTTTCGGCGGTTCTACGACTGGCACAGGGACTACTGGGGGCCTGTTTGGCGGCACAGGCACAGGGACGACCTCCGGCTTTGGATCGACTACCACAAACCAGCCAGCAACGGGCGGTTTGTTCGGCTCCAAGCCCGCAAGCACTGGTACAGGATTGTTTGGCGGGACTGGCACGACTGGTACGACTGGTCAAACCGGTTCCACTGGAGGTGGCCTCTTCGGCAATCTCGGAGGTAATACGCAGACCCAGCAGCCTGCGCAAGGCGGTCTGTTTGGGGGATTAGGCCAGAACACGCAGCCAAAGCCTTCCCTGTTCGGCGGTTCGACGACCACGGGAGGCGGCTTGTTCGGCGGTCAATCTACCCAGCAGCAAGGTGGAGGTCTTTTCGGCGGCAGCACCAACCAGCAACAGGGTCAAACCAGCACCCTTGGCGGCTCTCTCTTTGGTGCCTCCCAGGGTCAGCAGGCGCCTCAGCAGCCTTTCACCGCGAGCATCCACGACATCTCGGCGTATGGTGCTTCCACTCTCTTCTCCGGCTTGCCAGACGACAAGATTCAGAACCCCGGCCCGCTTGCCACTCCCCTCAACGGCAAATCCAAAGTTAAGAGCCGGTCGATTTTGCCCATGTACAAGCTCAGCCCTGCGAATGCTTCTCGCTTGGCCACTCCTCAGAAGAGGGGCTTTGGATTCTCATACAGCGCCTATGGCTCGCCTGCGAGCCCGTCGAGCGTATCCAGCACTCCCGGCGGCTTTGGTCAGAGTCTCCTGGCCGGCAGCATCAACCGGGGCCTTAGCAAGAGTATTTCTGCGAGCAACTTGCGGCGCAGCTTCAACGTGGAGGACAGCATTCTCCAGCCTGGCGCTTTCTCGGCCAATTCTAGCATGCGTCTCCTCGGCAGCGCTGGCAACCACAAGAAGCTGATCATCAACAAGGATGTGCGCAGCGACTTGTTCACGTCGCCTAGCAAGGAGAAGCAGGTGCCTGAAGATGCCAACGGCTCGCGCAAGCTGGCAAAGCGCGTCAGCTTTGACACTAGCACCGTCGAGACGGCCCCCGATAACCGGCAGGACGCTGTGGAGGGGCAAGCCAACACCGACGACTTGGGCTATCTCAAGCCGAGCCCTCGTTCGAGCACCAACGGTGTGAATGGCCCCAAGCCCTCTCCTGTCACTGCTGCCCCGGAGATGGAGCAGGTCAAGGGGAACGAGCTCGCCATTGTCCACGAAGAGGAGTCACCTGCTGCCACGCGCACTGAGAAGAAGCCCGCGTCTACGATTGAGCCCGGTGACTACTGGATGTCCCCGACCGCTGAGGAGATACGCGCCATGAACCGGATGCAGCGCCAGAAGGTCTCAGATTTCACTGTCGGCCGCGAGAACGTCGGCAGTGTCACCTTCAAGGTGCCTGTCGATCTTAGCAACATCAATCTCGATGAGATATGCGGTGGCATGGTCGTGCTCGTCCCACGCTCAGCCACCGTTTATCCCATCGCAGCAAAAAAGCCTCCTGTTGGGAAAGGGCTGAACGTTCCTGCGGTTATTTCGCTTGAACACTCGTATCCTCGCGGCGGTCTCGCTACCACTGGCCGGCGCCTCGAGCGCCACATTGAGAGGCTCAAGACTGCCATTCCCGACACTACCTTTGAGAGTTACGATAAGGAGACTGGAGTGTGGACCTTCTCGGTGGAGCACTTCACGACCTACGGTTTAGGTGACGATGACGAAGGCGAAGACGAAACCGAAGTCGAGTCTGTCCCGGCGCGTCGCCCGGTCTCGAGCCCATCAATTGTTAAGGACTCTACCTCCCCTGTCGATCCTGATGACACCTTCGAGTTCAAGCGCAGCCGGCGTGCCGTTCCCGGCGCTTTCGATGATGCCGCAATGTCGGCCGCGCTGTCGGACAATGAGGAGGTTGCTGATGTCGCTCAACGCCAGGGTACGCTGTCTCCTGAACCCCAGGAGGCTGATGCCCCCTTGCCGTCCCGGGAATGGCCCGAAGATGAAAGCATGGCTGACGGACCCGATGAATACCAGCTCGAAGCCTTTGAACAGTCGTCTCAGCAGGGATCCGTCGACGAACAGGACGATCCCTTCCTCTCCCGTTATGCCGACAACGAGACGCAGGTCCCTGCTGGAATCATGAGGGCTCGCATGCGGGCCTTCAAGAAGTCGACGGCTCCTACGAGAATCGAGGTGACCGGCGGTGACGATTGGACGCAGATTTTGCAGGCGAGCGTGCGTGCGCCGAGGACGGTGGATCGGGCAACATTGCGTGCCCTGAATGAGTCGGGAGCGGTCTGGGATATGAAGGACCGGGGTAGTCCTGCCCCTCAGAAGAATGCGCCTGTGCCTGATGGGGCGGGCTTTGCAACCAGTATCGATTTGATGAAGTCGCTTTTTGAGCAGGCAAAAGGGCCGGCCCAACCAGTGCAGTCGTCGCCAGCCAAGGGTTTTGTGAAGGTTGGTGTCCAGCTTGCCTCCTAGCCCCTCAAGTTCTTCCTTTTAGGCGTTTAGCGTTGCTTCTTGTACCTTATCATTTTTGAATACAGACTAAGATTGTTTCCTCCTTTAGTGGCCTTACCAGCAACGCCCCAAGGTTGAGAAAAAGGAGGGCCCGTCAGTGCCGCGGACCAATTGGGGCCCTAACGAGCTTCTTGTCACAACCCACCATGGCGAGCCCAGCCTGCAAGCAGTCGACGGGAGTCTCGCTCCTTCTGAGGAGTCGGCTGCATCGCGCCAGACTGTCGCCCGGCTCCAGCAATACATTGACAACATCTCTGGCAAGGAGGAGCTGCTTTCGGGTCCTGACTTCCGCGAACTGGCTCAGGGAGACTCCTCATGGGAACTAGCCTCTCTCCTCTTTGACGACAACGGGCACAGCTTGCATACTTTCTGGAAGCAGTTGGTGTCTGAGGCCACGGATCGCGCACTTGCCCAGGAGCCCGGCCTCGAGGAGAAGGCCATCATCTGCTTGGCAGGCAACCGGGTTGCCGATGCCTGTGGCCACCTGCTCGCTGCGGGCAACTTCCGGCTTGCCACTCTCGTTTCCAGCATCGGCATGCAGACCAAGGATATCAAGGCGCAACTCAAAGACTGGCGCGAGTCGAATGTCCTGGCCGAGTTCTCGGAGCCCATCCGGGCCATTTACGAGCTTCTGGCCGGCAACGCCTGCGTTTGTGCGGGTGTCAAGGGTGTTCCCATTGAGAACCGCGTCGAGTCCTTTACCATTTCTCAGCGTTTCGGATTGGACTGGATGCAGTCGTTTGGCCTTCGTCTCTTTTACAGCTCCGGCACCACCCCCAACGTGGCCGAAGCCGTCCGCTCCTTCCAGTCCGACATTGAGCAAGACAAGGAGCCGGAGCCGGAGAGCGCGCTGTGGTCGCTGCTCAAGGCGTTCGCCAGCCAAGAGTTTGACTGGTCCGACACCCGCCTCGGCTGGCTCATGACCAAGGCCATCTTCGCTACCGGCAAGGTCTCGTTCGGCGAGGACGCCGCCGCCAAGCTCGACAAAGCCTCGCTGTCCTTCGCCTCAGCACTGACGGCGCAGTCCCACTGGGTCCCGGCCACGTTTGTCCTGCTCCAGCTCTCTGACGCCGCCTCCCGCGAAGCGGCCGTGCGCGACCACCTAGGCCGCCACGCGTACCGCATCGGCGCGGCGCGCAAGCCGACCAGCGCCTTCTCGGCGCTGCGCAAGTTTGGCGTGCCGGAGCCCTGGATCTGGGAGGCCAAGGCGCTGGATTTCCGGTCGCGCGGCGACGCGCAGCGCGAGTTCGTGGCGCTGGTCTGGGCGCGGAATTATGCCGAGGCCAACAGGGCGTTTGTCCAGCGCGTCGGGCCGGACTTGGTCATACGCCGCGACATGAGGAGGTTGTTTGCCTTTGCGCAGCTGCTGTTCAAGGTTAGGGACAAGGTGCAGGGCTGGGATAGGGCCGCGGCCGTGTACCTGCTGTATCCGATGGCAAGGCTGCAGGGCGGTGTTGCTAGTAGTAAGAAGGGGCAGCAGCAGGGGTTGGATCGGTTCGATAACATGCTGTTGGACGGGCTGGTGGCGCTCAGGGCCGAGACGCGCGGGGATGTCAGGCAGGAGGCGGCTATTGCGGATATGGCGGAGGAGTTGATTCGATGTAAGGGTGGGGAGCCCAGGCTGTACCAGCTGCTGCCGCAGGATGTGAGGGGGCGGTATATGCGGGCGCAGGCGCTGGAGAATCTTCGTTGATCGGGTAAGGTCAGGTTGTGTTGTGAGGTGCGGAGGAGAGGATCATGCAGCCAGGAGAAGGAGGTGTGGAGGGAAGCGGGGGGACGCTTCTGATTGGCGTCAGGAAGGGTAGCTGGGCAGTATCGTTATGATGGACTTGCGCTGCTATGAAGGACGATGATGGGTCTGTGGGGATTGCTTTGGTCGCTGATTGCTCGGTAGATTTACGTACTGTACTTGTACTTGTCAGGTAGACCAATTCACAAGGTTGTCCCTGTGTCTTTCCGTCTTTTGACTCTGAAGGTGTCCGGGTCAAATGTGTTCTCTCAACCCATGAGTATCATCATGACTGGCAAGCTCATGACGACAACAACTCTCCCCTCATCCCTCACGCTTATCCTTGCCCACAAAGCTTGATTCCAGGCCCCTGCCCTCCGAGTGCCATTGCATGGCGTTGCTGGTAATGTTCAACGAGACCGTCTCTCGTGTATTGTACCCAAAAGTGTTTTCCAAGCTTGTTCTTACAACGGCTGCAATGGAGGCCCCAATCGGCCGTTTGACCAGCGTCGGTCAAGTAAGGCGCAGAGATGATTGACATGAACCGGCGAGGCTCTCTTGTCGTGTAACAGGGCGGCTGCTGCTGCTGCTGCTGCTCGGGTTCCCCGTTGCCTGCACGGCCTAAGAGAAGCACAGCCCGCCGATCGAAAAGCAGTACTCTAGCTTTGGACGCCTTTGCGAATGCGGTGTAGCACCACCCAGAGAGGCTTGTCACGTGTGGTATGGGCCCTGATAAAGCTTCATTCTGAGAGGCTGGTGATCCTGATTGCCTGGGCGGATGAGAGCGGGAAATAATCCATGTGGCGGGTGAAACAGAGATAGCATACGCGACGGCAGGTGACGAGGTACAGGTAACCGCCAAAAGCGCCGCAGGTTGAGCACTTAGTGGTGGAGGGGGAGTCGTACAGCTCGCGGCATGTGGAGAAGCTTGCGCTGATGCTGACGATGGCGCGGAGAATGTCGGGGCAATGCCTCAGGACGGTCTGGGACGGGTGCGGTGAATCAACCAGGTCCATTGCGCGACGTTCACGCGCCTGAAGGCTGTCAAGGTCGGCACATCCAGCGCAAGAAGGATGTCGCTAAGAAGCTCCAGCGGGAGGCGGTCCAGGCGTCCTGCCGGATGGCGCGCCGAAGGCTGCGATGGCGCCGTGTGCCGCCCGTTGTCGAGCGGACATAGCGTTTCGAGCCGCGCGGCATCCAAAGTGTAATTATGTAATAATCGGGAGTTCCCTCATTGAATATCCCAGTCTTTCCTGGGACCCTTCGGCCGGCTCTGGGTCCATGACACAAGATGTTCGAATCGGACGGTGGTCGGGTGATGGTGGAGAGCGGACAGTACTCCGTACCTTTGATTACCCGGTCGAAAGCAGGCAGCAAGTGCAATGAGCGTTGGCAGGACGGGACATGAAATCAGCTCCCAACTCCCTGCAGGGGAGTTCGCAAAAATTGGGGGCTTACACACCCAGTAAGTTAGGGAGTTCGAGCGCAGCCAAAACGAGTAATATTCTGTTTTTCAACTTGTACTTGCACAGCGTTGGCGAAGAAAGGCGAACTGACAGAGTTGATGATTAGATGGTAAAGATTGATAAGAAACTGAGCACATTCGCAACTGTCTTGGCGAAGCTGGAGCGAGGACCTGTTAGATGCCGTCGAGGCGAATTTTGACGGCTCTTCGGTCTAGCATAGGAGTAGCGGGACCTGGCCACTCTGAGTAGGTGGGTATCTATCATGATTGTTCAGGTTGACAGCTGAGAGCCGTGTCATCAAGTCCCACCTATCAGCTTGAAATCCTATGTATTTGCGGCTCGTTACACCACCAGCATTGCTTCCGCCCATTATCAACGACTTAACCGTGTGCCTGTTTAGCACCTCACCTCTGCAGGACGTGATAGTCCTGGTTGACCCCCCGCATGTCGAGCCGCCCAAGAACCTTCCTTGATGACCTCAGCCAATCATGCCGGTATGAACGACCATTACTACAAGCGTCGACGGTGGCGCCAGTGAGCCAGCTTCAGGGTTCCTCGATCCCGCATCTCAGAAATCAGTGATTTGGTAAGCACGGAAGACGGTCGCTCCCCTCGTTACCTTTTAAATCTTAAGCCAGCAAATCCTAGTCAGTGTAGGGCAGACGGGCAATCAACAACGCAACCATGACTGGTGGTTGCCTCGGTAAGCTTTTGCAGGACGACGACGCGGAGGAGGGGGCGATCATTGCGTATGCCCGCCGCGAGCCCACGAAACCAGTAGCAGCATGTAAACAATTCACCAAAGGGAACACTTGAAGGCGAGTCCAAGTCGAGTCAAAGCTTGATTTGATGTAAAGAGGACTCCAAAGGGGCTTATCCAACCACGGAGAGGCCAAAGCATGGCGACCGAGTTCAGATCTTTGCGGGCAGACCACAGGACAGCCTGATTGTTCCAGACACCAGGTACCCGATTAGTTAGGCGGGTAGTACATATTGCAGCAATTTGTCCAAACAAGTCAGCAGAGGGCCAATATCAGAAGAAGATTGTCGAGATTTAGAGGCGCCTGGAGAGCAAGAAAAAAAGGGTGACGAAGGCGTTCTGGGAGCGAGAGGAAGGGGAGAAAGATGGCAATAATCGTTCTACAAAATACGGAGCTCGGTACCTGACCGCCCTTGAAGGTGCCGCTTATTATTGTGTACTTGGCTTATCCTCCTGTGACGTACCTATTTCGCAAGTAGAGAAACAACATGTCACTAAGAAGTCTCAATATATAAAAGAGCTTGAACAAAGGAGGTGTTTAGTCCTATAACTACCATATATCGTAAACTCTGACTTACTCCCATTCAGATTATCATGACAACCTATCATTTGGATAATACGTAACTGTAGGTTGTGTTGACGCGGTTCAAATGGCCACCTTTCTCGATCTCTTTAACTGGTGCCATCAGTTTCCCCTTTGGAATCGCAAGAGTCAACATGTTCGCCTACAGGTAAGTGATTAGACCGCGTTGCATAATTTTTACGAAGGAACAGTAACAGTCGTTGCAGAGGACGCCTTTCCCACCCAAACTTGAACAGCACTGCAGCCGGCACCATATACACACCAGCCCCCTACAGATCCCTCACCATCCACACATTCCCCTCCCTCTCACCCCCCGAATACACCCTAAATCCAACTTTCTCATAAAACGGCACCACCTTCGAATTTTCGCCTGCCACACCCAGCTGAATCCCCTTCCCGAAATCCATCTCCGATGCCCGGACACCCTCCACGAACCTCTCAATCATCTTCCTTCCCCACCCTTTCCCCTGCCACCCTTCCAACAAGTCAATATGCAGCATCGCCCGGTACTCACGCACCAGCTCCCTCTTGCCCTCGACGCCCTCCAGCACAAGCCACTGCACCTTGTACGCCATCTGCGCCAGGCACGCGGGGTTCACCGTGACCGTTGCCGTTGAGACCTTTCCCTCATCATCACCACCGCCACCACCACTACCAACGAGGACGTTCCAGCTCTCGAGCGTGTCCAACTTCTTCGGGGGAGGCACATCCTCCCTGCCCTGCTCCGACTGGAGCACCTCGGCGACGTAGCGCGGGTAGGCGTCCGCCAGGGCGAAGACGTCGGGCGTGCCGATCACGTAGCCGACGGCGTTGCCGGCGCCGTCGTCGAGGACGAAGCAGTTTTGCGGGAAGAGGTGGGTAAATTGCAGCGTCCAGAGGTAGGGTGCCATGCGGACGGCGGCGGGGGAGGAGGCGAGGGATGGGGGCAGCGTTGCGCGGCACTAAGGTAGTTTAGCGACAGTCAGCGTAAGTGGGAAGATGACTTGGATGAGTTGTGAAGAAGTGAAATTGCTGACTGGAAGGGCGAGGAAGACGGATAATGGGTTTGTTAGGTGAGGAGTGGGTGATTCGTAGGCCAGGGAATCGAGACGAGCTCATAGCGTGACACCCTTTATTTTCAAGTATGAAATTGAAACTCACAATGTGCTTCGCATTCTCTGTGTCTTCGGGCTTGAAGGGGCGAATGAAGGCCATGGTGGGCTGTGTCTGTTGAGTATCTGACCAGGTTGTTGAAGAGGATTATTCAGTTGGTACCCGGGTTCGGTTTCAGTTGAAGTTGAGCCCGGGTGTTGAACCGAAGTCAAATACTTCAAATCTGAAACCGACTCTCAACGAAGTCGACTTCCCACTTACACGATTTCTTGCCTGTAAGGGAAAGGAACACTTGTACGCCCCTCCTCGTTCGCGGAGCATCTTCCCCCTCACAAACGTTCCCTCCGCCTCCTCGCCAATGGCTGCTCTGTGCCGTCTCAGCCTGGCAAAATCTCGGCTCACCCGGGCCACCCGGGCCGCAGATTCCGGATTCCGCCCTTCGAATGCCCTCACAGGTGCACTGCATTCGTAAGCTCGGGGCAAGTCCATGCCCGTCACCAAGCATTGTCACTTCTCGGGTGACTGGAATTACCATCTTTCTTCTCATATTCTCGCGCGCTATTTACTCTCTAAGAGAACCGTGACCCCAATGGCTGGCTCATCCAGGATTCCAGGTCGTGCGCCCAGCCACAACACCCGCCACCCACACAACAGAACCACCCCAACCAGCCATCTGGCTACACTTCCATAGTCAGGCCACGAAACCAAGCCCCAAAAGTTCTCCCACAAGCCCGTCTCTCAGTATGTACGGATGCATGCTCAAAGGCCACTTTAGGCCCCGTCCTTGCAGACACGCCCCATTCTCCACGAATACAACACACACCCTTTGCCGCTTTTGTTCTAGACATGCCAGCACCAGCTCATAAACAAGGAAAGCCCACAAAGGTAGGGTAAACAGGTACAAACGAAGCGAAATGAAACCAGATACAAGAAAAGAAAAGGAAAAAAATAGGACAGAAGCCCCTTACACTCCGCACCCAGATGGAGTTCAATCTGCAAAGACGTATCTCAAACTCATAAGCCTCATATGTTGTTGCTCGATGGCCCGTCTCGGCCGGACCCAGCCCAACGTTGCGCCCGTTATCCAGTAAGGTGCAGATATACAAATCAACAACCCACAAACAAAGAAACAGGAAGTAGCCAGGAGAAAATTGTGGTTGTAGAAGCGAATCAAAACAAAGGTAGATGGCAAAAAAGGAGCACACTCGTCCGACGGGACAACCCTCAAAACATACCACCCGGAACACCCCCCATATCGGACGTCGCCACGGTCCGGCTCACCGGCGGCCCTTTGGCCACTAACGGCGGGCTGTCGTCTCTTGGCCTCCCAGATCCGGTGAAATGTCTGGAACTGGGGCCCTGTAGAGTATTCGGGTGGGGTTTCCGCAGCCGTCGTCGCTGGTCTGTTCTGTTACCTCCCTCATCGTCGCTGCCGGCCCCATGGTCCATACCGGGCGCTGCTTGGTTGGAGAATGGCACCCGGAAAGCTGTCGTTTCGCCCTCTTCTTGAAGGGCCCGCGTCCGGGAGTCGTCGCGCCTGCGGCGGGGATTGATGGGCGGCACCGGTGGCGCGGAGCCTGCCGCACGGCTGTTGGAACGAGACCTCGGCCCGCCGTACGGACGGGCGCCGTCACCCATATTCGGGATCATGGGAGGAGGCTGGTGCGGGGGTGGGGGGTAATGTAGGGGCGGCGGGTGGTGTTGAGAATGGTGCGGCAGCGTTGTCGCATGGACCCTGCTTGATGACATGACAAACGTGGGGTCCGATATCTCCCTCTTGTCAACAGGCCGTCTGACCGGGCCGGGCATACCGCCGTTCATCGGTCCCAAGGCCGGTGAATGCGAGGCTGATGGACCTCGCGGTCGAGGCCCAAGCGACGTGGGGGTGCCAACCGGAGATCCCGAAGGACCCATCGTGTAAGGGGCTGGTGAGGGTAGTCCCATGGGCGAGATGGGAGATGGTTGACCTGAATGCGGATCCAGTCCTGGTCGCCCAGTGTGCAGAGCGAGGTTCGCCCCTTGTCTTGAGCGATCAGGATGGGGAGACGATGCGGGTGAAGGCGCTCCGCGGCTGGGATACGGATACGGCGGCATCATCGGAGAGCCTTTTATGTCTGTCCCGGGCAGCCCTGGAGAGCGCATCATAGGCCGTCCGGAATTGGGCGGTCCAAGTTGTTCATACTGCCCCGTGTTGGTGTTGGTTCGCAGACGGGGCGGCCGGCTGCTCGACCGCCCTCCACTCGTTTCGGAACCGCTCCTGGACCGTTCACCAGATGGTTGCGTTCCGCCTGGAGACTTGTAGCTACCCTCGTCGCTGGGCGGCCGTTGCCGGTAGGTCACCGGAGGCAACCTCCTCTCCCTGCTGGGCGTCCGCTGTCGTGGCTGTGGTCCCCGGTCTGCCCTAGCCTCCGAGTGCACGCCATTTCGCTGGTCCAGGGACTCGTCTGCGGACTGCAAGGTCTGCTCCCTTTGGTGTCGAGCGAGCATCTCAAGCTCCTTTCGCCTCTGCAATTCTCGTCGGGCTTGTCGGAACGCCTTGAGCCCCGGGTGAGCGTTGCTGTCCTCGTCCTTGTTCCCTGTGCTCTGTTCACCGTATGACTCGGCGTCCGACACCATGCGGGTTCCATGGGCGCCCTCTTCTCTGGAGACCTCCTCCATCATCGTTTCCAGCGGCGGGAACTCCTTTTCCTCAAAGGAGGGGTTGCCGCCAGGCTGCGGCGGGGCACTCACTGTTGCTCCACCAAGACCCAGGATCTTGAGACCCTTGGACTGGCCGTGTACCATGTTACGCGAGCGGTCGATGAGGGATCCTCGGCTTGACTTTGGCTTGAGTATGCCAAGGGCGTTCGAGGACTGTGCCGACAGACTAGGCGAGTCCGTTGGCATCAACAGCGGAGACGGAGCTCTGCTGCTGTCCGATTCGACATATGAGGTCAGCTTCTCCCTGACCCGGCGGCGAGCGTTGGCAAGCTGATTAGCAAACTCGTCCGTCTCGTCATCCGTGGCGGTGCTGGTTTGATTGGGCGTCTCGGACTCCGTGGCCTCCCGCTTAGCTTGGATCTCCCCCTCCGGTATCTTCGGTGTTGGTTCCGCAGGCTTCCCGGGGACGGAGCGGACCCAGTCTTGATCGGAAGATGGCCAGGGGCTTAGACTTGCCCCAAGACCAAGTTCAGAAGCAGCTGATGGGTCTTGCGAATCGAGTTTAAAACGGGACTCGGGGGCGGAGATATCTACCCCTGCACCGCCCAGCGATGAATCAACACTCTCTGTACGGAGGTGCTGACGGACGAGTCCACTGAGACCTGCAGCTGGACCTAGTGTTGGAGAGTCATCTGGCGATGGTTGCTCGGCACTAGCCGTCGAAACTTTGGGCTTAGGAACGGGAGAGGGATCTCTGCTGATCCTCCCGCCGATGGACAAGGGGGTTGGCAAGGCAGATTGCCTGAAGGCCGGATGGTCTTTGTCCGAAGGTCGCTCGATGTCAATTTCGACCGGCACGGATAGTCCAGCCAGGCTGACCGCGGTTGTTGACTCCGTGATTTCCGTGTCGGTAATAGGGGTTGGGGGGAGCCTTGTATCTGGCAATGCCGGTCGAGCTGTGATAGTCGTCGAGCTTGTGGCGTGGTCTTGGAAGTTGTGCACGCTTTGGTCACTGGTTCCCGCTCGGTGCCTCTGTGTTGGGGCTTCTCGGCCCTGTTGAAGTTGAAGTTGCCGTTGGACATACTGGGACTCATCGTAGGGTTGCGACGACTTCTGGAAAATACCCATTGCTGTTGACTTGCCCACATCCTTGGGAACAATAGATGGCATTGGCTGTTCGCCGCTTTCGCTGACGGGCGGGCTCAGAGGAGGTAAACCGCCTAGACTGCCGGGTTCGGCCTCTGTTTGCACCTTGCTCCCTAAATTGAGAGGGCCGGTTGACCGACCAGTGGAGGCCGGACTCATCGACCTCAGATTTGGTGCACTCGCCTTGGTGAGGATCGCCCGGTTGCCCTCCGCCGTGTTTGCGAACGGGCGGGGGCGAGTTAGGTTTTCGATCCGCGATAGTACCGAGCTCTGATTCTCGGACACGTCCTGGTTGAAGCCCTGCTCATAAAGCCGCCGAGTCCTGGTAACACTTCGCTCGGGGATGGAGGCGATGGCCGACGTTGCCACGGTTGGCGCTGAGTGTCCATCCTTTGAGGTGACTGAGGTGGCAGCGGTGGAGTTGCGGGCCATGTTGGAAGCGGAAGATGTGGTAGATGACGTCTCGCGCTTGCGGTTATAGCCCATGGGAGGAGGGGATTCGGGGCGAGCGTTCCCAGATTCTTCCTCCGCTCCATCCTGCTCCGCGTCGCTTTGGAGCGCCAAAGTTCTCTCCTTCTCGGCCAGCCTCCAACGCTGAAAGGCAGACGTGGCGACGTCATCCTCGTACAAGGCTCGGCCGCTCAGGCCGCCTCCGGAGTTAGCCGGAATCTTGTAGATCTTCTGCCTTCCGCCGAACAGATTGTTACCCTCGGTGGGTCGGGCGCGGGTCAGAACGCTTGCTCCGGCTCCCGAGTCCGGGTCGTCGGACGCCACCGAGGTTGTGCGAAGGAAGTTGTGACCCCTTATAGACTCAACCTCGGCAATGTCGGTAAGACCGCCAACTCCCCCATATCCAAAATCGGCCAGTCGTGATTGTCGCTTAGGATAAAGGACGCTGTCATCGCTAGCCTTCCCAATCTTGGTATTCGGATCATCCTGTTCCCTCAGCATGGAGAAGCGGGCCGAGAGGTTGCTCATCAACAAGCTGGTTCGAAAATTATCGTCCGACGGCAGGGCATTGGCGAGATCAAACTCCTTCTTGACCTCCTCCTGCTGTGCCTTCTTACCCTTCCGGAAGAACGAGAGCGACGCGTGCTCCGACTCTTCGCTCGAGCGACCGGCCGCAAGGTCGTCCTTCGCCCTCTTCTTTGTCCTGAAGCGATTCATCTTTGCCGTCTCAAACTTGATCGAAGGGTGACAGCATCGACTATCCGTGAGTATGACGTAGCAGTTAGGGACAAGGCGGTCAAGAGCGAGGCAGTTTCATGTGGGCCAGAAGCTGCTGATGAGAACGGTGAACAAAGTTCGCTTCGCGGTAGCGCTACCACGAAGAGAGGCGCAGATATTCCCCCTATATATGGACCAAACAAAAGTCAGCTTAAGCCGCAATATGGGATGTATCCAATGGGCGGTAGCATCTTGGTGTTAGGCCTGCCTGTTATTGAATTTGTGTAACAGGCGGGGTGAGGCTCCAGGTTGCAACACGAGCTCTCGGCCGTGGTGGCGTAACGCAGGTCGACTCTTGCATGCTCGCCCCATTGTTTGTGATGTCAACAACCAGGGGAAGCGCAGCGGTTGTGCAGGTAGCCAAGAGTGACGCGCCTCGGGCAATGTTGGAAATCGGATCACATACCAGAGGCGATGCGCCAGATCCGCGGCACGCTGCAGTTGAACTGGATCCACCACGTATTCCACAAGCTGAGACCAAGGGTTCGTCCCAAGAACGGCAGGGTTCTGAAGGAATGCTCAGGGCGAAATCCAAAGTAACGGGTCCAAGCTGTTGATGGGTCCCCGTCAGCTGTAACACCGTGCTGGTGCAGAGTTCCGCGAATAGTGCCCTATGAGATCCGGACGCCGACAGTGGAACGACGGTTCAGATACGGCGGTTCGGGAGAGAGGATCTGGCTCGGAAGCTTGAGCCTTAAGCTTGTCAATGTTGCGGTTCGGTCGTGGAGTAAATGAGCGTGTGAGACGATCTCGCGTGCTCCAGTCCGTGCGACTCGGAATTGTCGTCGAATATTGGGCGGGCGGAGCTGATGCCCGATAAAAGGAGCGGATTGAAGTGAAGAAAGGACCGTATCGAATGACACAACGAAAGGAGAAAGGGCTGCTTCGAAAAGAGAGAGAACAAAATCGGGAGAATCAGCCCGACTGCCTTCTGAATGAGGTGTTGGTCCTGGCGACGAAATTGAGAGAATGGGAAGAGCTCAACAAGGCAAGGCCTGGCAGGGCAAGATTGGCACACACTCACAGGGAAGTGGAGGTCAACCAGGAGCCAGGGGTCAGGAGCCCAAACGCGGAAGGGGTGCAGCGCGATCCCGGGTCCTGGCCCCACGATTGGACCATATCTGTCCAATAGTGGACAGGGGGAAAACGTCCGTTTGGAAAGACTCGAAAGAGCGACTCTCCCCACTCCCGGCCTGCGTGGGACAGAGCTTGACCGTGCACCCAGGGCATTTCTCTGTCCGGTATGTGACTTTATTGTCTTGTACATTGTACCTGATTGGTTATTTTGACCTTCGGGAAGCAAGCGGGCCGGGGAAAGAAGCAATTCGGAAACGGGAGAGAACAGCGAGCTACTGGCCCTGATGCTTTGTCACTGTTCCGCCAATCAATCCCGAGTCGCCATCAAAGTTGCCCGAGCCGAAGAACCAAACGGGTCTTCTCTGCTAATGAACAGGGCAGTTTCTAAATCCTATTAGCGAGCACTTTCCGTACCTTGCGTAGTTAGTTCTCGATTAGTTCTGGACCCGGACGGGAGGATGGAGCATGTTCGCTTCCAGAGCCTGCGCCGACATGGAATTGCAGTGCCCTCGGTAGTGGTGCAGCTGCATGTCTGGAAATTGGCGGCAGCATGTTTCCCATCCTGCATCCTGCATGATACGGCACTTCGAGCCGAAGCGGCACAATGCGTTTCTCCTCTGCCTGGTCAGGTCGTTGGCGCCCTTTCCCTCGTTTGGCGTTTGGTCGCTCATGGGCCTTGCGAGTTCCGGCATGAGGTAGAGCAGAGATAGGAGCCCACCAACCCCAGTGGACGAATGTTGCGTTTCTCAAAGGAGCTTTTTGCGTTGGCCAGAGCTCCTGAATGCACCCAGATCCCTATCACTGCGCTGCATCTACTGTCTACCTGTACCACATCTGCCCGTTGCGGGGGTTCAGTTTTGATCCACTGCCACTGTCTGCTGGCGGTTACCTCGGAGAAGGGGATGAGCTGCAAACTGAGCGCGCAAAGCTCGGCCTGATTGGGCCTGCCTCTGGGAGCGAGCCCGACTTTCGTTTGAGCATTAGCACTTGCACGTGCCCATGTAATAAGTCTCCTGAAGGAAGAAGAAACGATCAAGTGAGGCATTGACCTTGCGGCAGTCCATCAGCTTCCAGGTTGTTACGCCCCTGTGCAAGTACAATAACCATCCCTCTGTCACGATGTCACACGATCCACGCCCCCCCGGCTATGGTGACGGCTTCCGCGAACCAATTAGGGAGTTGTTCCTGACGCTTAACCGTTTGCGAGATGGCGCAAGAAGTGATGGGTGACATTGACCTTGACTTCCATGGCGGGCCCCCTGAAATTTTCAGGTGCCCCTCCCGCCTGCTTCTTTCCGCCCGCGGGAAGCCTTCCTGGACTGACAGAAAAAGACGCAATGTTGTCGATAGGTATGGAGGAGCTGCCGTTTGCTGTGTTGACTCGGACAGATTCGATCGCGACTTTGAAGTCTATGTATATTGCATGCGCTGGCTCAGGACAGTGAAAGAGGCGCTTTTGGACATAGTTCGAGTTACACGTGTACATTTCGTTGACGGGCGTTCGGTTGCTCTTGGTGCTGATTTTGTTGACCCGGTTCAGCTGAAGTAGAGGCGCACAAGAACAGCAGGAGCGAGGACAGCAACATGATTTTGCATCTCCTCTCCATTGGTGCCGGACACCAGCCCGCCTGGTTTGTCTCGAGCTGTCAAGGGGTACCAAAGTAGAGACGGGACCAATCCTCCATGGGCTGAAACTCGGCAATGGATGCTCGCCTCGTGGCATTTCTATCGCCAATTTCCGCCTCTTTGGTAATTAGCGGGGTGGCTGGCGGGGTCAAACGGGGATCGCAAACAGGATGGAACCATCAGGGACGCTTCCGACAACGGGACTCTACTCCGTAATTTCGGAGAAGACAGAACGTCGGTGGTCCCGAGACTTCTCATTCCGCGGAATGGCGTCACCGAGGCTCGTCCCAATTTGCCTCGAGGTGTAAATCCGTAAGAGGCACGAACCAGACTGAGGGGACGCAGCGGGAGGTCGGCAATGCCAACGGAGGCGATGCAAAGGAGCCGACCGCTTGAAGCGACCATATCCCGTTCTCGAGATGTGCATATGCAGATCGACGGCACAACGTAACTATCCTCTAACTGCCATTCACGCCTTGAAGTCGGCTGTTACACGCATCTCGAGCCTCGCCATTCGATGTCGCTTGTTTATTAGCGTTAGGGATTGTAGTGCTGCCCAAACGAGCACTTTCCCTCCAAGCGGCCTACCAGGCCGTCACGCGCACAACCGGCATGCCAACATCGACAGTGCAATGGTTTCCGATGCACTCAACAGTCGATGTCATTGGCGATCCATAGAGAGCCCCAGAGGATGACTAGAGGTATTTGTACAGTGGCCTATGTTGCCCATTTGCCAGCCACCGGTTGTCAGGCAAGCCGTGTGAGACACAGTTCGTCGTCGGCGAATCCAGTAAGATGGACGTTGTTGTCGTCGATGGCCACTTGGCCAGCACCCGAGAAACGATGGGCAGGCTGAGATCGTCTAGAGCGAGTCAGGCGGTGGCTCCTGGTGGGAGTATCCGTTGTTCGGGTGCGCATTACCGACCATCCACGCGTTCGTCTCAAGTTACCGACGGGCTGTTGAGACAGGAGGCTAGGGGTCGAATATCTGGAGGCACTGGACAACGATTGATCGACTTCCCTCTGCCCCAAGATTGACATGGATTCATTCGTACTCCGCAGAATGATCCCAACTCAGCGATTCCGATTGGACGTCCGAAATCCAAAGAGGCGGTGAGCCCCTGGAACTTCAGAGGCCCAACCATCTGCCTGGGAAGATGCCCAGGCTGACAATAACATGCCGCCATGGACTTCCTCAAACGCGCCTACGGCATGCTGCCGGACATGCTCCGGAGCTCACGGGGCCCTCCGGAGCAGACCGTTCTGAGCATCAAGACGGCAGCGACGCTTCTCTGCGCCACTTGTTCCTTACAGTCAAGCTCGGGAGCGTCAGAGCTCCCATATTACGGTCTCAGCCCGCCCGTCTACCCTTCGCGTAGGTTCCCTGTGGCCCAACCACGCCAGCTTGCACTTCTCCTCTTTCCTGAACTTCTTTACCGGCCGAGTACTAACATAGTTACCAAAGCGGTTGGCAATGGCTCCACCAATATCCGCTGGGCCCAAGCCCGCAACCACGCACGGGATATGGTGTCGCAGATGACGGTGGAGGAGAAAGCCAACATCACTCGGGGCTGGCCCGGCGCTTGCGTGGGCAACACAGGCGAGGTGCCACGTCTGAGCATCCCCGCCCTGTGCTTCGCCGACGGGCCCTCGGGGATTCGCGGGCAGGAATTTGTGTCGGCGTTCCCCGCCGGCATCCACGTGGCAGCTACCTTTGACCGGCATCTCATGTACCAGTATGGCCGGGCACTCGGCAGCGAGTTCTACGGCAAGGGGATCAACGTCGCCCTGGGTCCAGTGGCCGGTCCCCTGGGCCGTGTTGTCAAGGGCGGCCGGAACTGGGAGGGTCTGAGCAGCGACCCCTACCTCGCCGGCGCCGGCATGGGCGCCATTACCCGCGGTATTCAAGACGCCGGCGTGATTGCCACGCCAAAGCACTGGTTGCTGAATGAGCAAGAGTATCGCCGCAGATGGACACCCGTCAGTGAGGCCATCAGCGCCAATGTTGACGATAGGACTCTGCATGAGCTGTACGCCTTCCCGTTCATGGACGCCCTGCGAGAGGGTGCCGGGGCAGTGATGTGTAGTTACCAGCGGGCCAACCACTCATATGCCTGCCAGAACTCCAAGTTGCTGAACGGCATTCTCAAGACGGAGCTAGGCTTCGAGGGCTTCGTCGTCAGTGACTGGGACGGACAGACATCCGGGGTCGCTTCGGCTAATGCAGGCCTGGACCTCGCCATGCCCAACGCCGGCTTCTGGGGGGACAAGCTGGTCGAGGCGGTGCACAATGGCTCGGTGAGCGAAGAGCGCATCAGCGACATGGCAACTCGCATCCTTGCGTCATGGTACTACCTTCGCCAGGAGAACGGCTATCCGCCGCCGGCCATCTACAACAATACAGAAAAGCATTTCCCTGTCGACGTCCAGGCAGACCACGCTAGATTGATTGAGGAGATTGGCGCTGCAGGAACAGTTGTGGTCAAGAACCTCGACCATGCTCTGCCGTTCGAGAAACCAAAGTTCCTCTGTATATATGGCTACGACGCAACGCTGAAGGCCAACCCGTGGCAAAACCGCGATCGGTACGGCGGAGGCTACGAGGACAACTTTGGCTGGATCACGCTCAACGGCACGCTTATCACGGGGGGTGGCTCAGGCGGGAGCTCTCCCCCATATGTTGTCTCCCCTTTCCAAGCCCTGCAGGAACGTGTCGCCAGGGATCGGGGCATTCTGCGCTGGGACTTCTACTCGGACAACCCCACCCCCTATCTCAACGCCGACGCCTGCCTGGTGTTTGTAAACGCTTACGCCTCAGAGAGCTTCGACCGCACCAGCCTGACGGACGAGTTCAGCGACCGGTTGGTCCTAAACGTCGCTTCCTGGTGTACCAATACCATCGTGGTAGTCCATTCGGCCGGTATCCCACACCGCTCTCCCCCCTGGCCTAAACTCTGCTAACATTCACTCGCCAAAGGAATCCGCCTCGTAGACGAATGGATCACCCACCCCAACGTAACCGCGGCCCTCTTCGCCGGCCTGCCAGGCCAAGAATCGGGCCACGCCCTGACCTCGATTCTCTACGGGGACGTCAACCCCACCGGCCGGCTCCCCTACACCGTGGCCAAGTCCGAGTCGGACTACGGCGACCTCCTCAACCCGTCCGTCTCCGACGATCCCTTCCCCGAAGCCAACCTCACCGAGGGCCTCTCCATCGACTACCGCCACTTTGACCTGCACAACCTCACGCCGCGCTTCGAATTCGGCTTCGGCTTGTCCTACACGTCATTTGCGTATGCCGACCTGTCCACCGCCATCGTCCCCGGCGCAAATCTCGCCGAGTTCCCCGACCGGCGGAAGAACACGCCCGTCGTCCAGGGTGGGCACCCCGCCCTGTGGGAAGTCGTTGCTGTCGTCAGGTGCACCGTGACCAACACGGGGCTCGTCGAGGGTGCTGAGATTGCCCAGCTCTACATCGGCGTGCCCGGGGCGGGGCAGGATTCGCCCGTGAGGCAGCTCAGAGGGTTTGTGAAGGTGGGGCCGCTCGTTCCCGGCCAGGGGAGGGAGGCGGTGTTTGAGTTGACGAGGCGGGACTTGAGTGTGTGGGATGTCGTGGCGCAGGACTGGCGGCTGAGGAGGGGGGCGTATGAGGTTTGGGTTGGGGCGAGTAGTCGGGATTTGAGGGTGAGCGGCAGGGTGGTGCTGGTTGATTGAGAATGGCAACGATACGGATGCGATTCTGTGGAGCATGGTGTCGCTCAAGGTACCGTAGGTACGTACGCCAATTTATCCACGGATGGTCATTGCGTCCGTGACGTCCCCGTCCTTGAGAGTCGGCCTGATGGCGAGCTACCTACCTTCCGGTAGTGTGCTATAGCAGCCTTTTGTGCCTTGCGTGACGCCCATCCATTGGAAGCAAAAACGATAAGGGTGGACTGAATGAAGTACTGTACTATGGAGAGTCCATCCAGCGGAAAAACTTGAACATCATGGAGACGCCGAAGGGAAAGGGCTCTGTCACGTGCTACTTCGACTTAATGGATATGGGGCGAGTATAGAAGTGGAAGGTGCACCTGGACGCTCTATCCTTAGGGGACGGATCTCGCATCATCAACGATAAACCGCTTCCAGTATGTCTAAGCCCCCCTTCCCTCGCATGCCCGATTTCCTCCTTCCTCACACAGAATTTCTAGCTTCACACGCTCAAACAAGGCTGGTTCAGGCTAACACAATCCATGCCATCAAGGGCAATCTTATGACGCCCACATAAGATAAGAGACCAGATGCCCGAACCGAACAAAAATTCACAGAACTCGGATCGGGCGATACTTCATTTTCGCGTGAAATTGTAAACTGGTCTGCTGATCACTTCTTGTTCCTCACATTTCACGACAACCGCGGATGCTGAATTGCTCGACGCAACTGACAAGCCCAAACCCGGATTACTGAATCTCGATTATGGATCCTCCCTCCTCCTCTGTTCACTCGAGTGTGAGAATACCGTATGTACACATCCATCGCCAGCATCCCAAATCCCGCCATTCTCTGAGATGCCCCTCAGGCTCACTGCCACCGTTTCCACTGACAACTGCTCGAACTCATCACCTTCACCTGAAAATCAAAACTGCGGCGACGAGCCCAACGACGCGGCAGCGGCTAGGTCCCGCTCAGGCGACATCTGCGGCAGATACGACTTGAGAAAGCAGTTGGCATTGTGCATGGGGAGGCTGGTGGTGAGGTTGGCGTTGAAGAAGACGCCCAGGCACGTGTTGTTGCGGGCAAACTTGTTGAACATGGCGCACGCCCGGAGGCAGTCGCCGAAGGCGTAGGCCGTCATGCCGGCGAGGTCAACCCCGGGACCGACGTAGTCCATCATGCACTGCACGTCGAAGCCCCAGGTGACGGTGCCCAGCGTGACGACCTGGCGGTTCATGGAGATCCTGCCGCAGTCAAAGTCGATGATGCCCTGGGTCGGTACTTTGATGATAGCGGATGCTGCTGCTGCGGTTCCTTCAACATCGGCGGTGGTCGGCGTGGGTGGTGCTGGTGAGTTTGTGGACGTCGGTGTCATGGTCACCGTGGTGGGCATCATGACGATCATTGGGTTGGACTCGGATGGCCTGCTGCAAACTTTGTCAGTATCAGCTCGGATCTGAGCAACTGCCAATGCTGGCCGTCATGATGATCCCATACCTCCTCGCCCTCGCTGCTGCAAAGGAGCCTCCGACTCCTCCGCCGATGGTTGCAACCAAGAGAATAATGACCAGGGACAAACAGAGGATGACTCTTCGGCGACGGAAGCCCCATATTGTCGCTGCCTTGGGTCGAGTGGGCGTGCTCCCCTTCTCATCGTCGCTGGCCGTGGTGTAGAACTCATGCATGCTCCCGCGCCCAGTCCTCGCTGGCGAGTTCACCGGAGGCGGTATTCGGAGCTTCGGTTGACGGCGAAGCATGTGCGACAGTGACCTCTCGGGCCCCGATACAACTTCGGGGGCGTCCATATGATGGCGTACTTGCGATGGAGCAGGAGGCGACGTCGGCCGCCAACCTCCCGCGTTTGGTTGTGTATCGTCTCGTGGCCGGCTGGGGCTACGATTGTTCGTGTATCACAGGTCATAAAGTCGTATGACCGTCATGGTAAGGTAGGTTGCTGAGAACCTTGGAATGGAATGTCGCGGGTGTCGACTGGAGGAGGGGACTCTCGGTAGCACCTGGACACCGGACAGGCCATGGTGCGGCAGCCGAGGAGCCGAGACTGACACGGCATGCTGACACTGACTGCTGTGCATTTTGGGACAGTCAAGCAGGGGGTAATGCATATCGGCCTCCTGCTGTGCTGCTTGAGGAGCAGCATGAACTATGTAGATCACCTTGTTTGATCGGAGTCGACCTGGAACTGGGAAGGATGGGGACTCAGGTATTGACATTAACCGGACACCGACGCACCAATTTCTGCATGTACTAGGAGGATTCCTGTGTATGGAGCATGAAACTGTTGATTAACCCCTGTCTGGCAGTCTTTGCCAGTAACTTAGAGCTCTCGCTCTTCTGTCACGCTGAATCCACCTTTTGTCAGCTGGCCTTCACCAAGTCGCCACTCGACTTGGGAGATTTGCAACGGATTGCCAGTGTGATGGCTCTCTCTCTCTCTCGAAAGAAAGTAAAAGATTAATACACCAGCATTGCCTGCTAGGAAGATAATAAGTGTCAAATCTCACCCTCAGCCTCTCTCTCGGCCTTTCCTCAATCAAGAAGGTGCCTTCACTTCAGTAGCCTGCTTCCCCTCCGCAGCAACATATCTCACCAGCCAACTGATGTCACGCCCCCTGTTGCCCTCGCAGCTCTTGCATCCCTTGCGCGCCATCTCGAAGGCGACCATGCCAGCATTCACACCATTCCTCTGCGCAGCCATGGTGGCGAGCCCCGTCCAGCTCAACCGCTTGCCGCTCGCCTTCTTGGCCAGCGAGGCCGCGTGGTAGTTGCTCATGGCTGCGATCTCGCGCTTCTCGGCACAGTCCCTATCGACCGTCAAGACGCTGTCCAGGAAGCTGCAGCGCGTGGTGGTGGCTGCCACGGGGCCTGGGGCCATCTGGGCCGGGAAAAGCGCTATGAGTCATTCGTCCATTGTCGGGCTAGAGTAGCAGGCCGGGACCATGAGTTTGCGGTTCGACTCTTGCGAAGTTGGGGCCATGTTGTTGTTGTCGTTCATGTTGAAGACGCTGCCGCAAAACAGGCCGTCCATGTTCTGCCGGACGCTCTGCAGGACGCCCGTCTGGGCAAAGGGATCGCTTGTCATGGCAAAGTGCTCGACGTGTACGCCCCGGCGCTCTGATTTTTGGTCTGTGGACTGATAGGTGGGATCGGACTCCATTTCGGTATCTCCCAGGGGCGTCACAAACTCATAGGCGGCAGCACTGAAAGTGTAGATCTCCAGCTTGGCGAGTTTCTCAGTGGGAAAGTCGGCGCATAGCTGTGTGACTTCCTGGGAGACGATGACTGCGCTATCGTTGTGGCAGAAGACGACGCAGCGGTCCGTTGCATCGTCGAGCAGAGCACACCGCATGTGCGAGTGCAGGTTCCGCCGTGTCTGGCTGGGCACGGGCATGCACCGTTGCAGCATTATGCCGAGAATGTCGGAGGGCGTATCGTAGGTGGGCATGCAGATGCGCACCATGGGCTTGCTGAACAGACGAGACAAGACAAGGAACGTCTGCTTATGACAGTGACGGGAGCTAATATCAATGGCAGCACTCAGTCAGATGGACATCTCATGGGAACCAGTCATCTCTCTCTCAACATACCCCATCCCCATGCCCCCAAGAAATATCCACTTCTCATCCTCAGCCTCCTGGCCCATCATCCACCCCTCTGAACCAGCGTGCACTGGTACACCTGCTCTCTGCCGTTGAGCATCCAGCACATGGCCACAATCAAGGCAGCACAGAGATCAGGCCACGCGGCAAATACGGCGCCGGGGAGCACCAACCAGAGCGGGCCAGCCGCCCGTCTCGAGACAGGCCAGCACGATGCGGAGCAGCATGTCCCCCGTGTCGGACCAGGAGGTCAGCTCGCGCAGGACGAGCATGGCCCAGCAGAGAGTCGGCATCATGCGCAGCGCCTGGGCTGCCTCCTGACGCGAGACGGCCCAGAGTGGCTGCTGAGAGCGAGGGGCGGTGCCGCACGCTCCATCGCGCAGCGGGGGAATGTAGGTGACTGGGCTTGACACTGTTGCCGAAGGCATCATCATGGACGGCGTCTTCCCGACGACGTGTCCGTTGGCTATGGGAGCCATGGTGTTCGTGACTGACTGTGGCGAACTCGTTGTCTGACGAGGCATAGTGCGTGTTGGGATCAGGGGTAGCCACGAGAGTTAGGTAGACATGGTGGCAACACGCCGCTCGCAGCGGAGGCCGATCTATTGTCAACAAATCGCGTTAGGCTTATTCGCGCCTTCTCTCTATTTTGTCATCCAGCGCGGCGAGAGTTGCTTGATGGGCATTCTTCGGGGCAAAGCCTCATGAGACGAGGCATGTAATAATCGTTTCCCACCGTGCTGGCACTTTGAAGGGATCTGAAGGACACGTGAGGCTGAGACAATGTGGGCGTGCTAGCATATACAGAGATTTTGGTCAGACATGTTGCCGCAAGGGAGACTTCACTGCGTCGGTCTCGACTTTCCTCCGTCAGATGAGCCGAGACCGCCACCAGAGACTCCATATCATCGATGCATTCCAACTTGAAGGGAGCGACAGTCCAGACCAGTTGACCCAGATTTGCCCTAGCATGACCGCCTAAGTTGTTTCTCACAACAAGAGTTTGAGAGGACACAGCTTTATGCACTTAATTCTTGACTCCCACCTTCCGCTGATCCCCTGCTACACGTACATGCAAGTGACACTTGACGTGCACATGTGCTTCTACGAGCATCAGTTCAGGGCAACGCTCTCAGTATACCGTTGATAGTAAACTGATAACTATTTGTAGCCTTTCCTCTGCTCAGAAGTTGAACCAAGTTCTTAGTGCAGGTCACGGAGCATTCACTCCTCCTCCAGCTTCTCGGAGCAGCCCATAGTTCCGTCTTGTTTCCGCCAGACAATTTGGCTTTGGCTCTGGCTCTGGCTCTGGCTTTAGACACCTGTTGTTACGAACCACTCTTACCAAGTTCTCCGCCAACCTCCGGGCTTGGTGGCAATGGGCATCTGTTGGTGAGAGGGCCTGGCGAGAGGGCTTGGGACATTAGGACCTTGGCCACTTGTGTGGAGAATACCACCCCGTAGATGCGTCCTTCCATACTCCCCGCACCTGTCAATATGCACAATCCATGGGTAAAACCGGTTTAACCAACGGGGCGTGCCGTTGTTGCCACAGCTGGAAGAGATAGATTAGCAACATGTATCCAGCCGTTGGCCAATGCACTCCATAATATTGTAGCAATGGCTCAGAGTCAGGAACGGTACGAGGTTCCTTCTGCAGCTATCCCATCTCTACCATTACGGACTTGAGATTCGTCCAGAATCAGGTAAGGTACGAGGTGCCTGTGGCTTTCAGTCCAGTCCCAGGTTTCCCTCTTCCCGAGATCTGCATGTGATATGCATGGCATCACTGTTGATCATTCAGGGGTCGGCTGAAGCGTCAGAGACATGGATGCGTAGAGTCTCATCAATCACTAGCTATTCTGTCTGAGTACGGTAAGCGGACGTTAGAAGATAATCATAGAGTCAAGGATGAGCCACAAGAAAGTCTCCAAACAACATCAATCAAGAAAAGCTTGGTGTTGGCTTCCTCTCCATCTGTAATTCGACATCATCTTGTTGCATTGATGTATAGTGTACTTGTTCTTGCAGCCCCGGAACTGTATCCGTGGCTTATTTCGACACCTGCGACTGGCCTCCGTGTTCCATCAAGAGCTGGACTCAAAACGGCAGCCGCTGGGATGCTACCCTTCTGCCTCCCTGCCTTGTTCAGGGGCCGTTCTCACTGTTAAATTCTGCAGAGGGAACAGCCAGCTAATCCTCCCTTCAATCAACACCACTGAAGCTGCCAAGTTTTCTTAATCGAACGCGATAGTCTAGAAGTCCTTGCAACGACCGTGAACTGGCTTACCTCTAGGCTATAGGTTCGATGGGATATGGCAGCAAGTGACTTACAACTCGCAGACCATTGATACCCATCACAATGTTTCATGGAGCCTGCCATGCGTCACGGCTTCATCTCCGGGCGGATGGCGGAATCAACCAGTTCATTACCTGCCGAACATGATGGAGTAGCTCGACTATGCAGAATTGAAATGCCAACACACAGCCGCGCTGGGCTCGGGATATGCTTGTTGACATCACAGCTGAACCTGAACTATGCTCAGATACCACAACGACCTTGGCACCGGCAACTGAACCATACATGTAATCAGCGTCCTTGAGGAAAACAAGTTTCTGGTCAGAATAGGCTCACTGCCAGCAGGGTCTGTGATATTGACTACCGGGAAGTCAAGAACACCGGCCGAGCAGCTGAGCAGCGGTATGGCCCAAAACAACTCTTCACAAAGAGATAAATAGGACCCTCAGATCCTCCTCTCCTGACATGTCTCCTTTCTCATCAGCAGCAGTCGCCAGTCCACAGCACGACGACCACCTCCTCTCTTATTAACAAGCTCCAAGCCCTTTTCTAATCCTTCCAACAACCACTTAGCCAAGATGGAGGCCGCCTTCCTCGCCCTCTCCTCCTATGGTATGATAAAAAACCACGTTGTAGCTTGTGTCCTGGACCTCCTCAAGCCGCTGCTGCTTGCCCTCGTCGGACTTATCAAGGCCCTGGACAAGGTCGTTGTCGAGGTCCTGATCGTCGGCAAGGGCCTGTTGTCGACCGTGCTGGGCGCTGTGGCCGGACTGTTGCTGGAGCTAATCTGGTGAGCAGGGTTCATCTCGTTATGAGATGATGGTCCTGGGCCAGGGTCGGAGGGGCTCTGTGGCCGAGCGTGGATGCCGGCTTCGTAATGTGCTAGGAGCTTGCGTTCCCTGGTATGATAGGAGGACCTGAGTGAGGGAAGGTTTTACATGGCTCTCGGGACAGGATGGCCGAATGAGGCAAGAATGTCTATCTGCCTGTCCTTTCGGTTCTGCTTCACCGAGACCTCGTTTATGCCATAAACATTACATAACGAAAGAGCATTGGCCAAGCTTACGGCGGCGGCACTTGCGGATAGGTTTAAAGCTCCTTTCCGTTCCAATAAGGGAACATTCTTGTTCCTATCCTTCACTCCCTCTACCCCTTGCTATCCTCATCTTCTTTCGGCTCGAGCCCTTTGTACCAACCCTCTCTTACTCTTCTCCTTCTCGACCTCTTCCTTCCTTTTCCTAATCATCCCTCTTGATGCCCACCAAGTCCTGTTCTACATCTTCTTCACCGTCTTGAGAGGAAAGAGGAGGGTCGTAGGATCTTCATGGGCTACAAGCCAGGAGCGACGTACATAATAACAGCCATCTAAAATGTGACATAAACGCCAGCCAGCCATCACCCGCCAGCCTCCTGCACCTAGTGATATAAACCAATCCCTTGTATAAGGTTTGCTCCACCTGTACTCTGGCCCCGGACCCAAATATACCCCAACACCAGAGACCAGCCCAGAGCCGACCCAAAGCAACCAAGCCAACGCAGAAGACCACCAATACCTTCACCGCAAAAACCAGTCCAACCCAATCAAGTCCATGGATAATACTCATTGCAAACAAGCTGATCCTACACCACAAACCGCCCACCCCAGCCCCAAGTCAATCTAATCTACTCACTCCAGCCCCATGCGCACCTCATCCCCCACCCCCCAACTCCCAACCTCGGTGCCCGTCTCCTGCAGCGCCATCCTCGCCTGCGGCCCCAGCATGGCGGCATCATCCTCGCTGCTGGCCGCCACACTCTCCCTCCGGCTGCGGGCGCTCCGCTGCGAGGCATCCGTGACGCGCCGCCTCATGCCAGGCGGCCTGAAGCGGGTCGATCTGCTCGATGTCGACAAGATCGAGGCGGTATCATACTCTTCTTCTCGTTCCTGGTCCCTGTCCCGGTCTTTGTTGTCGAGGGGGGTTTGGTGGTGGTGGTGGTGGAGGGAGGATGATGGGGTGGAGAGGGCGAGGTCTGGGGAGCTGGGGGCAAGATCGACTGTGGGGACGGCCGGGGTAGGTGTGAGTCCCGGTGGTGGTCTCGGGGCTGCTGGGGCTGAAATCGGGGTTTTAAATTGGTTGGAGTGGTTGGCAGTGCCGTTAGGGAGGGTTTCTTCTTCGAGGACGTCGTCTGCCTCGACGAGTTCGGCGTCGCGGTACCATTTTCTCCGTCGCGTCCAGCGGCCCCATCCGTCTTGGCCTCTGCGGCCGTCCCGCCACTGTCATGGATTTAGTCTACGCTCCGCTGTGAGATTGAGAAACGGGAGAAAAAGAACGGACCTTATTATCGTAGTACACCCATCCCATTGCACCACCAGGCCCGTCATAGTCCCACTCCCCACCGTTCTCGCTCGTCTTGACCGCGTCATCCGGTACGCCGTCCACCTTCCACCTCGACCCCTCGACCCACCGCCAGCGCATGTTACTCCCGTCCTCCACCTCGGGCAACTCGAACTGGTTGCGCGGCGGCACGGCATTGTTGTGCTCGTCGGTCCAAGCAGGCCGTTCGTAGCCGAACAGGCTGGTCGTCCACCCCAGGCCGATCCAGCGCCGCTGGTTCTCGTAGATGATAAAGGTGAAGCGCACGCCCGTTCCGCGGTCGCCACGGGAACGGCGAAGGGCTTTTGTTAGCTCAGATTCTGGCGGAGAGGAGGGCGGCTTGGTCTCCAACGAGGAGGCGGTGGCATTGCTTGCTGCCGACCCCGTTCCTGCGGTCAGTGCGGAGGATTGGGGTTTGGTGAGACCTTCGAATTGTAGGCCTGTGACGAGCGCTAGGGCCCGCCGGATAGAGCGGCTGCGCCAGAGGATGGCGCGGGTCACTCGAATGACGCGGGCATGCCATGTTAGGAGGATGGTGCCCAAGATAAGGATGACGCGGCGGGTGGTGATGATGCGGAGGGGTGGGAGTGTGAGTAGGATCCAGAAGGGTATGCATAGGAGGATGCGGACGAAGAGCGTCGTGAGTGCCGGCCGGGTGGTTGCCGACGTCGGGGTACGTTGGGTGCTGAGAAAGTCGGTCAGCTCGAGAAGCGGTTCCAGCAGTATATTGCACCTCGCTGTGAACTCCCTCAGTGTCTCGACGATCTCATCCAACGTCTTCTGATGCCGTGTGTTTGTGGCCTCAGATATTGACCCCTGGTTTCTTGTATGGCCACTCGTACCGCCTCCCGCCGCCGCTGTACCGTTCCCGGCCTTGCTGTTCTTCTCGGGCAACCCATCGACCGACAGATTCTTCGTCTTCCGGACAGCCTTGGCACCTTTTGATTCGGCCGAAGAACTGGTGCCGTCTCCGGCGCCGAGCCCCGGCTCACTCCATCCGCTGCTGCTCAGCGGACTGAAGCGGCGGCCGTACATGCCCCCGATCAGGATCAACACCAAGACCAGCGGCCCTGCCAGACGCACCACGATGTCGCCGTACAGCACCGCGGCCCAGAAGGCCGTGAGCAACAAGAAGCTCTCCCACGGGTCGCCCGTCGTCCATGTTAACAGCCCGACACACCTGTTCAGCGGCAATAGGAACGGATGGCTGTATGCTAGTGCGCGTGTTATCTGAGGCGGTGTGGCGAGCAACAGCGGCGACTTCTGGTGGACGAGGATGGTGCTCCTCTTGGCCGCCGACGTGACGCTCGGCGCGGTCGAGCTTAGTGTCGCGGGAGAGAACGAGGCATACGTCGGTGGCTGGGCGCTCGAAAGGATGGACGAGACGGCACCATCGTTGCGCGAGGGGGTGGAAGGGTGTTGGAGGGAGGACGAATCCAAGGGGTCGCCGCGTTGCGTACGAGGCGTCGACATGTGCTCGAACCACGGCTCCTACAGGCGGATTGGGATGCACCTGTCAGCTTATGCTTTCGAATCTCAAGTCATGGCATGCTCGATCGCCAACGCAGTGTTTTGGCCCGCGCAATGGTTCTTGAGGGGATGCCGTCAAGATTGTTGTTGGGTGAATTCTGGAACTAGGTCTGAACTGGGAATGGGAGGTTGAGCGTTGCGAATCCGACGATCGCCAAACCAATGAGGCAAGTTCCAGATTGTTAAGCGCCCCAGTCCTTTAGCAACGGATGATAGAAAGGAATTTGGAATTTCGTGAGGGACGATGACGACTGCACAGAGGAATAGACTCACAAATGCAGCCATCAACTTGGCTCCCCGACCTGTGCTGGGTGTCGGGTCTGATCCATGTGCTCAGTGAGTCGAGTGCGCTGTGAACGGTCTCAACGTCATAGGCTTGTTGTCTCGGCGACTGGTAGAGGAAGCCCCGTGCGAAAAGCAAGTGGCGGCAGACTCAGACCGGAGACAAAATCTGACCTGCTGGTTTCTCCCGACGTGTACGGATCTACAAAACACTTCCAATAGTAAGGTATGTGTTATTTCAGATGCTGACAGGAAAGGACACATTCAGGGGACAAAGGGTCAAGGGAACCAGTACGGCCCGGGGAGTACCCGACCTCATGTCCGATGCCTAGGCTGCAGCAGCGGACCTGAGCTTTTTTGGCAAGTGTCATAACACATTAATCGGCACTGAAGTTTGTGGCCGACCCCGCGCTGTCTGGTCCACTGCGGGCCTGTGGCACGAGACCAACAATCACATGCAAATCTTGGCACTCCCATCATCAACAAACCTGGACCGTCGGACGTTGGACGCTTGCAGACCTTGGACTCGCTTCCCAGATAATATCATCAAAAGGCGCATTAAGGACTCTTCGCTGGTGTGCATTACCTTTTACAGTAGTTCCAATCACCGCATCTGACCTAAGATATCATTCACAAGTGTCAATAGAGAATATCTGATATGAGAGCACTACTGCAGAAGAGAAAAAGTCTACGCCGGTTCCTTGAGTCCAACCCAAATACCCGGGATAAGTGCAGTGCCAGAAGCCGGTCCCAAACCTTCAGTCGCAAAACTCTTCTGATTAAGAAGATCTGCCAGGGCAGCGGGTATCATAGACTGTATCTGCAATCCCCCTTCCCTTCTCCAAAAGACAAAAGAAACGCGATGGTGGTGGCAGTTTGCAATGAAAGAAGAATGTACAAACCCAAAGGCCCGATCACGCCCAAATAACCCTGGCAGAGGAAAAAAAAAAAGATCACTCGTGAAAGGTGTGACCGCATAGACACGAATGTTGGCCATGTGCCCTTACGTGGCCTCTTGCTCGACCACGGCCGCCGTCGACGGAGTCGGAGTCTGGGTGCTGAACCGCCACTGGACCGAGTCCAAGCTATCAAACACGCCAAATATCAGCTCCAAACTTCTAATGCAGAAAAAACGATAGGACTGGGGCAACTTACTCATTCCTTGGACTCGGCAACTCAATCTCGGGATTCCACTCCCGCAACCTGCGACACAGCCTCCGCGCATGCACAAGGCCATACTGCATTCCGCTCGCCGTCGACCGCGCCTTCTCCAGCACGAGCGTCTGTTTCCGCCGCTCGCCGTCATGGCCCGGCTCAGGAAGGTACGTAATCGTAACCACACAAACCGCCCCGCCCTCTGCCGACACCCTCTCGGCCCTCTCAATCTTCTTGGGCTCGATCCGGAGCGACACCGGCGCATCCGAGCGCGTCGTGAACACACCGCTCTGGTGGTCGTCGATGAGCCGGAGGTAACTGTCCGGCGAGCTGGACCGGAACACCTCAGTGCTGCCTTCCATGACGCCCGCGAGGTCAAACACGTCCATGGTCGGGAGGAAACCGCTCGGTGGTGGCTGCGGGAGCGTTGGCGTAAGCGTCGGAGTGTCGGGCCTGGGGAAACCGGCCATGGTGGGTGTGCCTGCTTTGGGTTGTTGTTGCGGCAGCGCCGGCGAGTTGGCGCGCGTGTTAGTCGCACTCGTGGCCGGTGTGTCGAGGGGGCTGGCGTTGACTCGCGTGATGGGTGTGAAAGCTGTGGTTGGCGGAAGGACTTGGATTGGCGGCGGTGGCGGCTCCCTCTTGGACCCTGGTGCCGGGACCGATGCCTGTACCAACAAGGTGGCTGATGGTACTCCTGCATCTGGGGTGGCAATCGCTGCCGCGGCGGCTGCCGGAGTGGATGGCTGGGGCGTGGCATGTCTGCTCGAGCCTGGGGCAGCGGATGCACTGCCGCCGCGCCGTATCTCCTCCGCCACGGGATCCCTCATTTGAGGCAGCTGCACTGGTGCAGAGCCAGCTCGATTCGTATTTACCGCCGACAGCAGTGCTGGTCGTGGAGGGGAACCGTTGCGCATTCCCGGGCCGGACGGGAGCGGGCGTCTAGCAGGCGCTGGGTTCGGCGATTGGGAACTAACCCGCGAGGATCCAGCCGTTGGCGCCGGGAAGTCTTGTATGATGTTCTGCAAGCTAGCCGGGCTGTACTTCTTAACATCACCCTGAGGCTGGCTTGGAGCACCACTTCTCGAGTTACTGGCATCGGCCGGCCGTTCTGGCAACACTATCGAAGGGGATGGGCTTGTTTGGTCGCTAGGGTGCCGGCTGCTGCGAGCATGAATCTTGAATACGCGCCTGTGACCTCCTGGGGCAGTCGATGTCGAACTCGCTCTGGGCATCGGCTCGACGCTCGCTCTGGGCATCGGTTCGACGCTCGCTCTGGGCATCGGCTCGACGCTCGCTCTGGGCATCGGCTCGACGCTCGCACGCGAGCTCTGCGAGCTACTTCCATTAGCACCTCCGGCAGTGTTGATCGCCCTGAATCCGCTCCGCGCCGGCGGCTGCAGATTCAGTGCTTGAGCAGCAATCAACTGGGCAGGATGCATGGACGCTGTCATAGATTCGGCAGCAGCCCCATCTCTAAACCATGGTCCGTTGTAGTGCTCGTCTCTGTTCAAGACGCTCGTGCGTCGGCTGTCGTCTGCCTTTCCAGCGCGGTTGTTGAGGTATGACATGGCCGGGCTGACCATATCCAGGTCGGATTCACTTCCATGGTTGCGGTAGTGCACATCATCGGCATCCCTCATCTCGACGTCGTCCCCTGCGGCTGGTGCAATGTTCCGGGCACCTCCTCGTAAAGCGGTGTGGCGAAGCTGCCTAGGCGTGCCTCGTGCCTCGTCGTCAACAATACAAGGCGGCGGCCGGACCCGGCGAAGAAGATAATCCCGGGCAGCTGTGAAATAAGGGATGTTCCGCGAGGAGGGATCGTCGAAGTCCAGGATGGATAAATGGGCTGCCTTGATCCATCCCACTGTCCAATCACCACTGCTTTGGTCAACACAATGTAAAGCGCATAAATCGGGCTTTCTATCGAACTTACCAGTCGTTGCTGTCAGCGCACAAGACAGGAAATTCCCGCTTTCTCTCGAGCGGACCGCCATCCTCATACCCCTTTGCCCAGCCCTGGATACCGATGATACGGCCGTTGACTTCGAGATAGACATAGCACCTGGGCAGCTTAGGCACCGCCAATAGCTTGCCATCATCTGTGGTCTTGCGGAAGAGGCCGGTGTCGGCCAACGTGCCAACCAGGCCAACCGGCGACATTTCGATCCATGGGAGGATCAAGACAGGGTACACTTCTCCGCCGGAATTGCCGACATAGAACCTGCAAGAGATGGGTCTCGTGATGCCCGCTGTCGGTTTTCGGTGCATTGTAGTCTTCTGAGAGCCCAGGGGGTCGAGAGGGGGATAACCGAGCTCGGCGCGCTTCGCTTGACTGAGGTTATTGGCGTTGAATATCTTGTATGAGCCGTCTTTCATTGCCTTCAAAACGGCTTCATTGTTCATGTTGGCCATTTCCTCGGTGCAGCCTACGACTCGGTGTCCCAAGGTTTCGATGGCGGTTGCATGCGCCTTGGACATGTAGCCGTGTTGTGCGCTGGCAAGGTGCTTAGCCGCACCCCTGAGTGGGTGTTCGCCGAAGTGTACCCCATGTTCATCGCATCGTAGGATATAGTAATGGCCCGTCTTCGGAGGCCACTGAACTATGACATGCATGTGTCGCGCCGGGCGCCCAGGAGCACCGTACACCTCTTCAAACGAGACTGTCCTCTCTGGAGCGTCCTGCTGAACAAACGGTGGAGGCGGATTGGTAGGCGTGCGGTGGTCACCATGCTCCCATTCAAATCGGGTGCGCTTGTGGCGGTCAGGGCTAGATGCGGGAGAATCGCCGTTTGAGTCGCCGTTGGCTTTGCGCTTGTGGACCGGATCTGGCTTGGGGGCCAGCGTTGGCGGAGCAGGTGGTTGATCTCGATGCCCGGGAGAGGGGAATGCCTCCGATAGAGTACTCTCCCGGCCGATTACAGGTAATGGTAGGCCGGCGGCCGACGCGGTTGTCGATTGTGCAGAAGGTCTGGCATTTTCAACATCCTCCTTCTTTGCTGCCGGCTGCTGATAAGACATTCCCGGCGTTTCTTGGCTATGCTCAGAAAGGCTATGCGTCGGCGAGGCATTGTCCAAGTCAAGACTCTGGGACAGGGTCGCTTGACTGTCCGTCTCTGTCCGAGCTTGTATTGGTAACGGAGATGCAACCCGCTGGGGCAGCGATGCAACCTCGCTTGCAGCAGGTGCGACAGGGTCAGTTTCAGCGAGGCTGGCTGGGCCGGAAGTAGCAACAGTAGCGGTATAACCTTGGGAGGCTTTTGATGGTCGCGATGGCGAGACGGGAGGTTGACCCGGGCTCGACGTGTGCTGGGACATGAATTAGCAAGATACAACGCGAGGAGCTCTAAAAAAAGAAGCCAAACTTACACTCGCGCTCATCGCGGCTGTGATCGCTGTGTATATTTCCTCGTCATACTGCCGCTTTTGTTCATCGTAGAGTTTCTTTCGCGCATCGGCCTTCTCTTGATGAGCCCGCCGTAGCTCTTCGATCTCGAGGCATCTGGTCTTGATCAGAACCGCCTCGATCCTCTCGCGGAGAGAAGGATCCAGCTGGGCTATCTCAGCTATCCGCTTCTCAAAGTCGGCGTCGATGGCTGCCGACTTCCCGTCCAGCTCTGCACGCGCCTCTTCCTCTTGAGCGCGATACCGACGCGTGAGCTCCTTCAACCGGGCGTGCGCGGCCTCGACCCGAGCAGTCTCAAGCAGCAGGCCCTGCGGCGCCATCATACGTGAGGTCGTCCGACGTCACATCAACTTGCTAGCGCGGCTCCTGACAGAAGCGATAATCGTGTCAAATGGCGAGGCCTGCCAAATTTTAGCGCAGGGATGGCGCCAGAACGCAGCAATGAGTTGAGGCCTACTAGAGCGCAATGTTAGAGTGGGCTAACAGAAGAGATTGGGTTGGAGAAATGAACATCGGATCGCAGATACTATGAACGGCCGAAAATAAACCGTCTCAGGATGAGAGGTACACACAAAATGTCTAATTGCGGCGCTCTGTCCCTTTGCCGCTGGACTGCTCGAGTACGGGTTCGAAAGTCGAAGAGATACGTGTAACAAGACTAGCTGCGAGGGACCGTATCAAAAACCGCTGCGTGTAGCACCTGTGTTTTGGAGGTCATGTCGGGAAGGAAAGAAGGAAAGCTGGTCGCTTCAATCCAGAACGTGAAGGTACCCGGGTGGGTAGGCTGGGGCGACGCTGAGATCGGAAATGAGATGCATTAATGCGTCGCCAGCAAACTTACGACTTGCGTGGCAACGAATTCAGAAAAGTGCGGCAGAGGATCCATGACTAGGAGCAAGAAAGTGGAGCAGGCTTACCTTGCTGTCGTTTGTGTGTTCGAAAATGCCTGGAGCAGAATAGTAGTAGCTTGGTAGCCGCAGCGTCAATCGCGCTGCCTGACTTAGGAGCGAAAAGAGATTGAGGGAGCAGGGCCGAACCGGACGAGCATAGGTGTAGGGGGAGGGCGAGAGGACTGGGCTCGGGAGGAAATTGCATTGAGCGGTCAAATGATGCCGCCTGTTGGCGTTGCTTATTATTAGGGGAATTTCAGTTTAGGTAAAATCGATGGCGCCAGTAGGGGCTCGGAATGCGAGCTAATTCCAGGTTCCTCTACCGCCTAGGCCCGCGATGGGGTACCAGTTGGGTCGCGTACAGGGTACCGGTAGTCAGCGGCTGTGTACAGGGACTTTGTAGAGCACACTGTACACGTATCAATGGCCCCCCCAAGCTCAAGTGCACGGCAGAAGACTCGGTTCTGATGTTGGCGCGGACTAGCGAGAAAGGATGGGGCTGCGACCGGGGGAGAGACAATCTGACAGGGATCAGGCGACTAGGTATAAAATTAGCGCTAAGGTCGTGCTTGCCCACACATTTGATGTCTGTAGAGAACTCCGGACACCCTAGCGTTTGTGTAACGGAAATAAAAGCAAATGGCCGTTGAAAGCCACCTGATAATCGCACCTCCAGATGCTATCTGTGGCATACTCCGTACAATGCAGTTGGTCCTTGGCAAAGAATGGGCTGTTGGTCCAAGCCCTCGAGTTCTGACAGACCTCGGTATTGATTTCGTGTCCGGACCCAACAATGGACACGAGGCGTTGGCGCCTCACGTAACAGGAAAGGAATTTTGGTCGTATGCAATCCATGACTGCCGAGACTGGCGAGCCCACCATGGATCGCTAGTGTCCCTCCCTCGGATAATCACGATCCTTCAGACTAGAGATTCGGTTGGATTCTCCGAGCATTACACCGTAATAAGGGAGATAAGAGATGGACGTCTGCCCATGCATGACTTTCCGATTCTAAAGCGATCGAACTGCAACTCTTTTCAGCCTCTTGTCGATCTGTGTCCCCTCCTGGCACCCACAAACCAAACTGTCATACTACGCAGTAAGGTATTCTTCCCGTGATGTCCTGTTTCAGCTCTCAATTGTGTTGCATAATTGGAAGTGTAGCTCATTTCTGGCACTTTGCAGTCTGCTCGTTAATCCGATCGTCGAAGGCCTTTTCTAGTACATCCAGTTTGGTGAGCACCTGCACAGCACAAGCGGTGTGCAGCCGCACCGTCGTCATATCCGAAACAAAACGGGTTGATCGTAATCAGCCCGCGTCTCTCAATTGTCATCAATGTTTCATCACCCTGTGCGTAACCGGCCCTATCCGCCGCTTACTCATTCATAACTGAAGTGGAATAATCGACGCAGTCATATGGGAGAGCTGCTCAACGGTGGCTTACTAGGTCAGAAACCACTATGCCGGACCAGCTCGATTTCGAATGCCGCTTGGAGCTCGTATGAGATTCTCATCCATGACAAGGCAATTAGGGCTTCACCAGGACACTAGTCCGAGGCTAGCAGCAGGGTGTGGGTAATGTGCATCGCCACCTCATCACCGAATGCGTATTCCCGAAGAATAATACCCAGCTGCCTTCCTGACAATTAGTCCAATCCTATCGTCCCCCACCATGTCACACGCCGAGACCGAATGGAGATATGTATCGCCATCTGCCTGGACGCGCCTCCAGATTTCCAGGCAGACAATACCGGTAGCAGTCGGGCAATACCTAGCTCCGGTTTCACCTCTGTAGGAAATAGTCGACCCTGGCGCTAGCGACGTGGTACAAATCAGCATAAAGTCCCCACTTGTTCGTAAAATTCAATGCTTTTAAGTTTTAACATCGTAGACGAAATTACGACCCACGATTCACATCTCTGCTCTCCGCCATCTTCACACAGCAATAGCTGCCTGCCAACGTCCGCCATGCAGAGCACTGGTTGGCCACTGAGTGAGAGGTTGTAGCATCCACAGTGCGGACGGTCGTAGTGGCATACGTTCGAATCTGTAACCGGCACGCCCTTGCTCGATCATGCTAACGTTAGCGGACCGGAGTATCCGAGCTGGCGGATACGTCGTCGAGATTGTCCGTCGCTTGGGACCAAGTGGCCTCTCAGGACGGCCTAGATGACCTAACCGGCCTTGGCCTGCTTTGGTCACACCGCCACGGTAATGCGTCCATGAGCTGAATTCGGGGGGGAGCTTTCTCCCAAAGTTGATTGGCGCCTCCCGGAGGACTTCAAAGGCCTTAAAGCGAATTGAGCGCAGTATTATCCAGTCCATATCCTCTTCGGAGGTCAAAGAATGTGTCAGAAACGTACTGCACAGCCCCGTCATCCGAGCGAGTACCAGGCGAACTCCAAGTCTTTCCATATATCAGCTCCTACAGTATCACCTCTATCATTATGGGGCCTGGTGCTCTTGACATAGCTGTATGCCCGATGGGCAGAGGGTGCAGTACAAGTACAAAGCGGGCTTGGTTCGGCCTAGATGCGTTACCTACATGCCACCTTAGGCGAGAGTCCACAGGCCTTCACCGAGCGCTTGAAGATAGAACCAAGCAAGGGATCTATCACTCAAGAGGGGTCGTCGATCTTTGAGTAAGTACTCTAATTTCTAACAAAAATTACCCTTGCAGATTGAGATCGTCAGCTGTCACTGTGCCGAGTGAGTCCCTTGAATCCTGATCCTGCCTTGGCCATCAAAGAACTGTTGCCAGACATATCAAGCGGCCATCTTCATCCAAGGATTCCGACTCGGAGACTACATTGAAAGCCACTCGGGTCTGGCTTTGTCTAAGATCGGCATGGTCAGTTGTGAATGATATCGCCCCGAGCGACCGGCCGGATATGGCCACGGCCAACAAAGGCGCTCAGACAAACAGGTAAAGAAACCGAAAAAACTGCTAGATCTTGGAATTTAATTCCAAGGAAGACTCAAATGCTGGAACATCCCATTTCCCCAAACAATTGGGAGTAGAGCATGCCTTACCCTCTCGCCGCCTACTCTCTAGAGTGCTACTCAAAAGTGTTGTTCCGGATTGCACATGGGATACAGCCCAGACACCAGCATGTCATCCTCACCTTGCAAATTCGCGCCGCAGTCTACACAACATGAAGGTGACCATAACGCCAGGGGTACCTTGAAAGCCGAAAATGCTGGCAGGACGATTAAAAACGTTACCAAGGACACACGCAAAAAGCTTGACGACGTGACAGCCCTAAAAAAGGGAGAGGTTTATGGCAAAATCGAGTTCTACAAGCGGGCTAAATCTTGGTACAAAGGCAAAATCAACCGCCTGCTCCATCTCGACGAAGTGAAACAGGTAGGCTTGTGGCTTTGCGCTCACCGGGGCTTGAAGAGATGTCGAGCCCTAACCAGCTGCCATCATGAGAAGCAGTCGCAGGCATCAGCCAGTCCAGCTCAGTAGCCTGAGTCACTCGACATTAGCAGTGACTCGCTGTTCAAAGAGAAGTTACCAATCGGCCCACAAGCTCAGACACCACCAACCACCCCTTCTCGCTCCACCAAGACACCTACCCGCATCCAGCCCACCCGCGCGGCAAAGCGAATGGCGGCCGAATTGGCAGCGGGTAATAATCCTCCCAAGCGGTGCCCAGCGCGCGAGAAGAAGGCGACGGCATCCGTGCAGCCGGCCCCAATCCAACCCCACCACAAGAAGCCCATAACACCGACCAAGATCGCAGCACCGGGCACTGAACCCCGGGCCGACCACCCAGGGAGTTCAGAACAAAACGAAACAAGAGGCGACTACACCCTGACCGCATACGACGGGACCCAGTTATGTAACGGCGACGAGGGCGAGCACAGCCCTTCTCTGGACGTGGAGGATTTTTGCAAGACGCTGGAGACTGCGGTGGAGGGGATGGTCACAGTGATTTCGGATAGAGACTACATGCATTTCCCCGCGGTAGGCCCAGGCCCGGAGTCTGTTGGAGATGCTGAGGGTGCGTTTGGGCCGGGCGAAGCGGATGATCATCCCGGAAACGGAGAAGGGGGGATTTGTAGACAAGGCCGGGCAGCGTCCGCTTCCCGTCCTGTTGAGATACCGGAACATGCGCTGTGCGTTGGGAGATCGGTACGAGAGGCCGCGGGCTTTGAACCCGTTGCCGCGCCGGCGTCGGCGGAGGAAGGGCCGCGGCCTACTATTACGGTTGGCCCCATTGCCGATGCGAGTGATCATGGCAGCCCGGCGCAGAATGGCACACTAAGTGTTGCTCAGGCAAGCGGCTTGGTGGCAGATGTAGCCGGTAAGAGGCAGGACATGAGCGGAGAAGCGAGCCCGGCGCACGAGGCGGACATGGAGATCAGTCCAACGCCGGGGCGGTGGCGGAGACATGGTCCGCTTATGGCAAAGAGGGATAAAGGCTCACAGTTGGAAGATTTGGGAGCCAATGTTGTGGAAGTTTTGGGACTGAAGTTTGCTGTCGATCTGTGTGCTTGCAGACCTGTCGGTGGATTGCCGGGGTCAAGGATGGCGTGAGGGCTCTAATGCTGGAAGACACGACTCTGCTGCTAGTGGTCAGGGACAGCGAGCGGCCTAAGTTACTGTTAAACTCTGGGATTCGCACCACGGCTCCAGGGACATCTCTGATGGGCTCGTTCAGTTCTTAAGACGAACAACATGCGCAGTTGAACGGTCTGACGAGAGGCTACTTCGCAACAGAAGGACACAAGCATCATGATGAGGGAGCGTCTCATTCAAACTTTGAGGCCGTTGTGTTGGGTTCAGACGGCCGTCCCTACCGTACTCTACTATGTATTCACAGGAAAGTCCGAGGCTTCTTGCATTAAGGCATCCAATACCAAGGGACTTGGGCATCAGAGTGTTGAACACGCCAACACGGCACTTCATTGCAGGCCAAGTCACCGGTCTGGCCGAGTCCAGACCTCGACCGTTTCCCGAGCAGCTGAGCGGTTCGAAACAGACTTGACGGAACACATCATTAGGTACCTAGACGATGGTTCAACGCTTGCGTAGCCCCGTTAGGAGTACACTTCTCAAAAGGCCCTCGATAAAGTGAATTCCAGGCCGTAAATGTCGTGCTCCATCGTTGCAGCAACACTGGCCTGGACAGTCTGAATGAGCGACCGGAGAACCCACGATTAATTGACAAGGAAACAGGCCACCAACTGGCCTGCAAACGAGCAACGCTCCACCCAGACTCACGGGAAGTTTCTGGTTGAGGAAATTCAACAGAGACGCAAACGGGTGCATGACGGTCTTGACCGTCCTCAAGGCTTCCAGCAGCTGCAGATGCACCTTGACGAAGGTGCTGAAGGCAGCGGCAATAGCCGTAGCCTCTGGGCCCTCGAATATGGCCATCGGTGCATGAGTTTTAAAGATGACAGTCTCTGCTTCAGGACCACGTCTATACTCTCGATGAAACCGATGACGACTGTCTGTTTAAATGTTAATGTTGTGAATAGTTAGCAACTCGTGGTCCGGGAGGTGCGATTGGATTTATTGGATGCGGAGGAGGAGACAAACCGCCCATGGTCCCTTACCGAGGTGCAACAGGGGAAGATTGGCGACGCTGAGTTGTTTGGCTGGCTCAATCATCTTTTGGTGCTTGACAGTTAGGGTGTTGAGGCTTTCGATCACAATCGTCGAGTTAACCTGGGCTAAGGCCATGGAGCCCAGAGAATCAAGGACACTGAGAATAGACAGGCGCATTTTGACTGAGTATTCCAGGTTTGGTCCCGTAAGAACTTGAAGGCTTGGAGTTTGTGTGACGGTAGTCGAAATGGCTCGAAGACTAGAGTTGTGATCGCCTGCTTGCTCAATTGAAGACCTGGGCTGGACTAGGCCTATAGGCTCCTGTGCAGTGAACCCAGCATAGCTCCGGGCAATGTCGCTCGCGATGCTGCACTAGCAGCTCCGCCGGGGTTGAGCCAACGAATCTTTCGGGAGCCCTTGTAGACTGTTGGCATGCTGTTGACCGAGACACATATCTTCCTTTTGCCCGTGCTCCTCCCGTTTGTTGAGAATGGTCTTTCCAGAGACTTCCGTTTGAGGAGAGACAGGGTCCAGCATCGGCATGCTCGGCCATATTGCGGTGAGTAACACTGATTATAAGCTCAATCAGGGTGAATGGTGCGAACCTCGCTTGGGTATGCTACTGTTCACCTGAGAACTCACTTTCAACCAGGAATGCACTGCGAGTGAACCCCGAGTCGTATCAGGCATCTGGAAGCGAACACTGGTTCACTTTAAAAGGGTACCAGGTACGACTCGTCCGGCTGGGAGACAACAGAAAGATCGCGAGTTCAAGTACTTCTGTAAGAAGATACATATACAAGAGAGCCGGGAAAAGAACAGAGACGATAGATATGGACAACCTTGAACTTCTGTCACATCCAACACACTCAATATTTTGCTTCTAAGAAGCAACATTGAACTGCCTTCCTATATTGTTACTTGATTTACACGTTAGAAGACAACCTGAAAACCTGATCCATTCCGTCCCGACATTATGCAGCGGATGATGCCGTCTGGGCCCCTGTAGGCTAGGAATCCACGCCTGCCACCTGTTCTCGGGCTGTACAGCATGCGTTGCAATCCGCAGCTGCGGAGAACCCGATAGGGATGACAACTAGTTGGAGTGAAGGTGCGTCTGCCTCAAACGAAGACAGAAACTCGTCCTTCGTCCGCTTCATCCACCGCACCTTAACTCCCCCCATTATTATCTGGATGGTGTACACTTACTCGCCTGGCCAGACGGAAAAGGGAAGCATGGACAGCCCAAGGGTATCGGCGGTGGGAAGGGCAGCGAATTGACAGGACTAGCCATGCCGGGAGGTGGGGTGCTGGCGTTGGCAGAGCATGGCTGAAGAATCCATTGGAATGGGATCGATGCCAGAAGTTGAAATCGATCAATCGGCGCTTCTCATCGTCAAGCCACCGGGCGACACCAAATTGCTGGCTTCCGCGGTAAGCTCCCCCAAAGGACAGAATCAGGTGCACATCCTTCGGACTTGATGGCACAGCCCGTATGATGTCGAATGTGGCGACCTTGACTTGGACGACTGGATAAGCTTCACGCACAAACAGCGCAGGCGCTGCACGAACGGAGAGTGGCAGGTGGGGCTCGGTCAGCTGGGCGCCAATCGAACGATTCAAATCGAGGCGATTGTGGGTTCATCTCCGACGCCGAGACTCGGGTCCAAATCGTAGCCCTATCGTGTATGAACTTTCTTGGCGAGCCTGGTTCGCCTGGTTCTGTACTCGTCCAAGCTGTCAAAGATAGGCTGAAGCTTTCCGCGTGGATTGTGCCGGCTGCAGGGTCGTACTTCCGCTCTTCGCCTCCTGCATGCATTGTGGTTGACGTTGACTCGGCGAAGGCAACTTGAACCTTGATCAGTGACTGGACTGCCTTGAAAAACTTTAACTCTTCAGAGGGGCGTGGCGTGGGCTGGTGGGTGGATTCGGCCGAGGCAATTCAGCCGATTGAAGAAGGCACAAACGACGCAACTCCGCACAAAACACGCACTACAGGCAGCAACAGCCAAGCAGACGTGTCAGCTGGGATTGTCTATAAGAAGCCGGTACCTTCCTCAACTCTCACCCACACATTCTCCCATCCACCACGACACAAGTAAAGCATCGAACCACTACCCAGTCTTTCAAGACACGCTCAACCACACAATCTTCACCAACTCCCAACACACAAGCAACATGAACGGCTGCGGTTGCAACGGTTCCAGCTCTGCCTGCAATTGTGGCTCTGGCTGTTCGTCCCCCCTGCAACTCCGACATCTCACGCACCACTTTTGCTGACACATTCTCTCAAGGCTCTTGCTCCAGCTGCAGCTAAATCACTTCCGCCGTCTCGTTGAGAGATACGCGCGCCAGTCACCGACCCAACTTCTTCAAAGCTTCAGCATGGGGCATCGCTATGCCCGTCACCTAGCCGCTAGCAACAATGCCTGGACTCAATTGGCTGAGTGGAAGGGAGTTTTGGGTGGGCATTTGACGGCAGATGGATTTCATGACTTATGAGTTCTTTCGTTGATGGGATGGCACGAATGATCATGGACTGCTCGTACTAGTCGATCCTTTCGCAATCTTACTTCCTTTCGACCCGGGTCAATAAGATAACTCTACTCTGCCTATGATGTATGCCTCCTGTTGGTGCCACGCTGCTCGGCGAACTTGAACATACCAGGTCAACATCAGGAATCTGCCTTGAGCCCTCAGCCAGTCCCGACGCTATTCAACCTCGCTTGTCATGGCCGCCACCACTGCAGCACTACTGTGACACAGGAGCGGGGCTGTGGAAGGCCTTTACAACTCCAGACTATGACATAATGCTCGTTTAGCAACGATTACTCAGCAATGCATTCTATCATTTTTTGTCTACCTTCCCTAACTCTCCAAGCCTAAATAAAGGCTCCCCACCTGGAGGTGAGCTCTTCACCAAACCCCCAACCAACTTCCTAAACCCCTCCCCGAGCGCCTCCACAACACAGCTCACATCCACCGCCGTCTCAACACCCGCCTCTTTCTCCTCTTCCTCAATAATCCTCCTCAGAAACCCCGAATCCCACCCTTCTTTCCCTCCAACCCCACCGCTGCCGATCTTGCCCCTCGTCAACACCCCCTTCACGTCTCTCCCCGTCCTCAGCGAACCTGCCTGCAGGGAGGCCGGGCCAATAATCGTCGAGTCTAGGAGCTGCTGCCAGCGGAATAGGTACATTCCTGGCCCAGAGTAGGACTTGGGCCTGGGTTTTCCGTCTGGCGAGAGAGGAGGGCTGAGGGTGGTCGAGCGAGGGTATGAGCGGCCTGACCAGTACGAGGCGGAGAGATAGGACGTCGATGCTGTTGGGGTAGCGGTGGCGGCGGAGGTGGCGGAGGTGATGGCTTCCATGTTATCCAGGATGCGTTGCATGCGACTTAGGGAGAGGGTTTCTAGGCGAGAGAGGTAGGTTGCGTGCGCGTCTATTGCCGGGAGTATGTGCTGTTTCGTTGAAGGGGGAAGGCCGGTGAAGAGCTGTTGAAGGGGGGTGCTTAGGGAGCCGGCTGCGCCGGAACGTTGGGCGTTGTCAACGGACGTGGTGGGCTGGTCCGGTTCTGGTCTGGGTGGCGGCTTGTTGGGCTGGCGAAAGACCTTGATTGTTTCTTTTGCCCAGGCACAAAAGTCGTCTCTGATTTCTGGACATTGGCTTGCTACCTGGTGAAGCCAGTTGTAGAGTAGGTGACGGTTGTTCTGAAGAAGGAGGACGTAGTCCTCGACCGAAGGAGCAGGGAGCTCGGATGTGTCGCCCTTGCTGGGCGATCGAGAGCCGAGCAGCCCCGACGCGCTCTTCTTGGCCTTGGTGAGACTGATAAGATCTGTGATGAAGCTCTCTGCCGCCGAGACATGCTCTCGGAGGTCGACTCGTTCATGGACAGCCCGGATCATGGGCTCGAAGCTTGCCACGACATTTTTGATAGCCTGCGTGAAGAGATCAGGATTCTGACGACATAGAACATTCGAAATCTCGTCGCGGTCACGGGCTTCGAGCAATGCTGCAAAATATTCGGAACACTGGGCGTGTTGTGCCTCGGAGAGTGAATGTAACAGGGCTGGATCCGAGCGCTCCAGAATCGTGACAATAATGGACCTGGGAATCTGGATGCTCTCTTTCCGAATATCTTCGTGGTCGTGTCTCGGCTTGCGGAGGTGGTCTCTGATTGCAGAAAGCTGGTCTTTGGATGGGCTAGAGGCCCCTTTGGCTTTTTCGATTGCGTCGGCAGACTTGCGGAACTCCAGGGCGTCCCACGACAAGACAAGCGAGATGATCCTAGGAACGTTATAGTAGGCTGACTTATCCAAGATGCAAAATCAACCAGGATCGTACCTTTGAAGCAGGTTCATGCCATCATCGGCATTCTGCGTCAGGCCAACCCAGTTTGAAATGGCACCCACGCCCACCTTTGCCAGTAGCAGTCGCATGATGCCCTGCAGCATGGTTGCTGCGTTCCCAATACGAAGCGTCTGCTTGATCATCGAGTATGGCAGCAGCTTGTGCACGTTCTCTAGGAGCTTTAGCAGATAGGGGCCCTCGGGTGACAGTACGAAGACGTGGTGCACCAGCGTAGCCAGGCTAGTAATGTATCAGCATCCATGTACCATCTCTCTCCAAGATGGAGCACTCACTGAATTATAATGTAATCTGCGGCAGCTTGTACCCCTGGCGAGTGTTCTTCGAGGCTTTGTTTCTCTGCAGCACAGGCGAAGAGTTCCTCAACCAAGTTCCCGTACACGAGCTCGTGTACAGAATCTTCCCATGCCCTGACCAAGTCTTCCGCCTTGGACCTATTATAGGCTCGCTGAAGGTTTCTGTTTGCATCATCCTCCACGCCACCGAGAATCCCCCTTGATACGACCTCGTGAATCGCCGACGCGGCAGTTGCCAGAGTCTTTCTAGTACCCACAGCACCTTTGTCACAGGATTCAGAGAGTTCCGCCTCGGCAAGCTTTTCCATGATGCCCTGAAACCTCACATACCAGAACTCGGGAGGAAGATCGCGAAGGCCCGGGAATTGCAGGACAATGGATCGAAATACACCGGCCAGCAACGGCGCAGACGATTCCGGGGCGTACGATGGCACACCATTGCGTTCCGGCGTATTCCGGCCGAATGGATATCCATACTCGGATATGGTAGCCGGTTCCTTAAAGCGCTCGACCTCTGCATAAGTTTCATGGTGGGTGAGGATATCGAAGAGGGCATGCAGTTGGGATGCAGTCAGAACTGCAGGGGCCTCGGGCGTGGAGGAAGGTGTGGCGTCGGGAGCTGCATGCTCGGGGACCGTATCTCTCATTTTTGAATTTCAAATTTGGACGTTTCCAAGTTTGAGTGCCGGAGGACGCTCATGGACGAGTGTCGAAAGAAGTGCCGAAATGATGACTGGGGATCCGAAAGTCGGGATTAGACGAGGGCATGTAGTGCATCGTCGGGAAAAGCGGTGTATAAGGCTTTCAAGGCATTGTAGGAAGAGTCGATTAGATTCTAGTTGTGTTTCGAGCGCGATCTGTGAAGCTGTGTGCGCAAGCAATGGATATCCCCTTACAGGTTGTTTGAATTTGGAGATGACGTTGTTGGCATGCCAAGAACAACTTCTCAAACTTCACGTCAACTCCACTTCTTTTTAACCGGCACACTGGCCGAGATGGCTCAAGAAAGTTCAGTATAGCTATTAAACTAACGTTATTTTTATTAAATAAGTAACTCACTGATAATGTACGTTAGTGCGATCTAGCAATCTCTTAATATCCCATAGTATATGCTCCATTAAAAATTGCTAGAGCGATCCGCTCGCTAATACAATCTGCTCGTTAATAATATATGGTATAGCTTTGCTAAATCATTAAGCTGACCATTCATTTATATAGGTTTACATATATGATAAGTGACCGGAATCGACAATGAGAGGAATACTTTAATAGAATTTAGTAACCTGTAACTTATAACTATGTTGGATTTATTATTATTACTCCTATCCGCTATGCCCTAGGGCGTGCCGGACCTTCAGCTATTACTGTACAGGAAAACCGCACCCTTGCAGGTCGGATGAAAGACCCGTATCGGCAATCAAGGAAACGGTCAGTGAGTGAGCCTGCGGGTACAAAGGGAGAAGGCCTCCTGGTGTTGAACTGAACTGGCTCCTCGGCACCTGGATTCAGGGGCTGGGCACTGTTGCCCAATGCAGTAAGCGTGGAAGACTCGTCACCCACCCAAAAGCAGGGTCTGGCGAGGGTCCTGAAGCCCTCGGTTCTTTCAAGCAACACACACACATCACGCATGGATCAGACAGTCAATTCAAGCTTCATCTTGTGCCTCAATTGATGCAGTGTCACCTGGTTGGTCTATGCCTATTCGAGCCTGTAACTGTTGCTGTCCAACAGTAACTGTTGCTGCCCAACACCTGGCCTTCGAAGGTGGTGGGGGGCCGATATTAGACTGTGAGCTCCAGCTCCCTTCTAGCCAGATTGTACATCGGCAGCCTCCCCGAATCCATCAACCAGCCAAGGATCCTACTCGTCAGCCGTGCAGCTGTAGGACTCATTCCCCGCAGAACAGAGTAAAAGTCGCTACGCGTTTGAACCTTGGCCCTCTCCCATCCTCGAGCTAATGGTGCCGCCAGACACCACATCACCATACAAGCAGCGAGAATGGTTAGTTCAGGGGTGTCACGTGACAGACAGACAGGCTATCAGTGTTGAACTGAACTGGCCCGTTGGCACCTGGATTCAGTTGTTGGAAGACCAACAGCCACGATTCCACGGTGATCACACAGATGATGGGAGCTTATAACAGTGGGTTTTGAGATACTCGGAGCATCCCAGATGTTCTTAATTGAAAGTTGTTCTTCTCTCACGTCTCCAGCGAAGGGGGAATCGCCCTGACCTCGTTGCCCAGCGCCCTGGTTACCCCTCACGTTGCCTGACGCTCAGTTGGGCAGCCATGCACCCAACAGCAGGGCACTCGCAGCTGAGCGTCCGAGTTCGCGGTGCCACGACTTTCCAACAGCAGTAAGCGTGGAAGACTCGTCACCTACCCAAAAGCAGGGTCTGGCGAGGGTCCCGAAGCCCTCAGTTCTTTAAGCAACACACACATGACACACTGTTCAGAGAGCCAATTCAAGCTTCATCTTGTGCCTCAATTGATGCAGTATCACCTAGTTGGTCGATGCCTATTCGAGCCTGTAATTGTTGCTGTCCAACAATCAGAGCTTGCGCGATGCGTGTCATGTTTTTGATCATACAATCAAACATCTACAGCTCAATCAATACGCTGCCCGCCCTGCTGCTTCTGTGTGCTTTAGTTCGTAAGCGATTTTTCCTGTGATACCGGGGATACGTGGCTGTTGGACTTCTAACAATACGTAGAAGAACGATAAGAATTCGTTAACGTCGCTTAACGGTGTATGTATTATAATCGTTCTATGTACAGACTACTATCCTTTAGAGTATTCCGCTCGCTTATCTGTTCTACTCGCTTATATATACATTACTCAAGTTGTTGAATGTCAGGCACGCCCTAGGGCACAGCGGTGTAGGAACAATAATATATACATTACTCGTTAAAGATATACGTTAACGTTATAGGTATAGTTATATATATATATAATATATATACAGAGAAGCATAGTGAGTCGGAAGAAGCAGAGAGTGAGAATTATGAGGCATCGTATTCATCCAACCTAAAGTTATGAATCATGGGCGTTTCGCCTGTTGCGCTTGGAGGAAGCGACCAAAGACCGTCACCGTTATCGCCCCGAGCGTCTCCAGATGACGGCTCGAAAGACTGGGCGAGAATTCAGGGTCGTCAAGCACTCCTTTCCGTCATCACAGCCACATGGCAATCCCAGCGCAATGTGAAGACGCCTGATGGAGGAGCCCGGCGTGGTTGAGCCGGCCAGCGCGATGGAAGGGCACACACAGAACATGCTTCTATCCGACATGACGCCTGCCCCTCCGTATTGTCGGCTCTAGAGTATTGCCTGGGAATTTTAAGCCGTCAAGATTCAAAATAATGACACTCCCGGAATTTTTCCAGGTTAGCAGCTAGTGGAGCATCTGCCTGTAGCGCAACGCCGCCTTTCTCAACTTTGTCCAAACTTACACTCCCGTCCCGCAGCAACGGCTACCCACCCTGATTCGTGGCTCATTTCCACCAGGCGCCTTCCCATGTGGTATTGGGCCCGTCCTCGACGTGGAGAGAGACACTGAGCTCATCAAGAGCTCCCAGGAACCGGCGTGTCCGTGTCCGACACTTCGAATCAGCCTTTGGCATGGACGGTCGAATGCCGATTTCCCTGGGAGCCTAGGCACTAATTCATGTACCTGCTGTGTAGGCACAATCACATTGTTGACCGCTTCGGCCGTTCTGCCAATCCTGGGCCCATCCGTGCAACGGAGAGGCAAGCAAACCTTTCCAGGCTCAGACTTTGTACGCCAGGAAGCAGGAGCGAAGGCCGGTGCGGCGGGAACCTTCTAGGAGGCTCCAGCGACCTGCCAAGAACGTCAAGGCTCGAACAGACTTCGGCCATGGCAGCTTCCTGGCCAGCTCCAACGTCAGCTCTGAGAGTGCGGTGGAAGGAAGGGCTTTAGGGTGCCAATGGTCAAAAAGGTTCCATATCGAGTCTGGCTGGGAACCATCACAGAACAACACGACCACCGAGAACCAGCATTGATACCACCATTCGACAGCATCACTTCTACTTATTGGTTGGCCGTTTCGACATATTCGCCAGTTCCCATTGATTTCACTAGGCTTACTGCAGCATCATGAAGTTCGGTACACTGCCGTCATTTCTCATTGGTGGCTGCCTCGCCGCCGCTGTCAGTTCCAAACTTGTCAATTCCGGACAAGTTGAGGACAGTGGTAGGGTCATCCCAGATCATGTCCTCAGGGTGTCCATCGCCAACGTGCCATCGGCTTGCGAGACACGACAAGACGTGGTCGTCAACGGAACGTCGCCAGGGCCAGCGATCCGTGTGCTCCCTGGCGCTCGATCGTGGATCAGGGTATACAATGACATGGACAATTGGAATCTCAGCATGGTAAGTCATCCTGGAATGGAGCCTTCTGCCAGTACGCGAATTGACGAGGACTGCAGCACTGGCATGGCCTCTCCCAACGCATGGCACCTTTCGCCGACGGGACTCCGATGGCATCACAATGGCCTATCCCTCCCGGGCACTTCTTCGACTACGAAATAGCCACCGAGATCGGCGATGCAGGTACCTACTTCTACCATTCTCACGTCGATATGCAGGCACTGAGCGGCTTCGGTCCGCTGATTGTGGACGACTGCGGGCCACCACCACTGCACTACGACGATGAGCGCATCCTAATGTTCTCGGATCACTTCTTGGAGACAGATGATCAGCTGATCGCGGACTTCCGCTCTCAAACTCCCGGGCCGCACGAAACACGAGGCATTCTTCTGAACGGAAGAGGCATTGCCCTGGGCGCCACTTCCGTTGAAGGCCCTGTTGGCGAAGCCGACGGCCACTTTGGAAGCCGCCGCTTCGACCAATCCAGCACGTGCCAGGGCTGCCGCGACGACGATTCCGACTCAGAGGATGACTATCCGTGGGTGAACGATTATCAGATCAAGCCTCCATCCGGCTGCACGCTCCCGGTCATTGATGTGGAGGCCGGCAAGACTTACCGGTTCCGCTTCATCGGTGCGACTGGCCTGTCGTTCATGACAATGGGCTTCGAGGATCACAACAACTTGACCGTTGTTCAGGTCGACGGGAGCGAATACAATGCCCCAGTCACGACTGACCATATTCAGCTCGGCGGAGGTCAGCGGTTTGACGTCATCTTTCAGACAAAGACCGCCGAGGAGCTCCGCGAGGCTGGCAGGGTCACATACTTCCTTCAGTTCGAGACGCGCGATCGTCCCGACGTCTATCGTAGTTACGCCGTGCTCCGATATGCCCTCGAATATCCCATCCCACCGGCACCACTCAATCCAATCCTCGCCCTCCCGGCTGATACTACCAACTGGTTGGAGTACACGTTGCGACCCCTTCACGCCGAAGAAAACGTTGCCCCTTCCGCCGAGGAAGTCACACGCCGCGTCATCCTCGAGGCCGACCAAAAGGTTGATCCCGTAACCGGCCGCCTAGTCTTCGAGCTGGCCCACATGGCCTGGACCGACGACGTCCGTAACAAACCCGTGCTCGTTGACATCTATGAGCGGGGGCAAGCCGCCATTCCCAACTACGAGGCCGCACTCAAAAACTACGGCTGGGACCCGGCGACCAGGCTCTTCCCCGCCAAAAAGGACGAGGTTCTCGAGATTGTCTTCCAGAACACGGGCTCGCAGTACCCGGGGGCGCTCGGCATCGTCGAGTCGCACCCCTTCCACGCGCACGGGCCGCACATTTACGATATTGGCAGCGGGCCAGGCAAGTATGACCCCGAGGCGAACAATGCAAAGCTTGCTGCGCTGAAGTACAGGCCTGTCAAGAGGGACACGACCATGCTATACAGATATGGCAACGGCACAGCGGCCCCGGGCGTGCCGGCCGGTTGGAGGGCGTGGCGGACACGAATGTCCCAGCCTGGCGTGTGGATGATACACTGCCATATCCTGCAACACATGATCATGGGTGAGTTCGACGGGCATCATCCGTCTCGTCGTCATCCTGTTGCTGACCATCACTGACCTCGGCAGGCATGCAAACCGTCTGGGTCGTTGGCGACGCGGCCCAGGTCATGACAGTTCCGGTAACCGTGAGCAAAAATTACCTCAGCTACGGCGGCGATGTGTACGGGAACGACACTCACACGCCTCCCTTCTTTTACTATTTCGATGCAGACGACAAGTGTCTCGCTGCCAAGTCATTCGGCAAGACGACGTGACCGAGAAGTGAAGGAGAGGATTGGGATTTTTCAGCGTTGTTTACTTATTTATCTAGATTTTACAGCGTAGTATTTTAGGATGGCGGGCAACTCGAGAACCGGTTACCTTTCCCTTGTGCAGTTGGTCGTCGTGAGCGTGTGGTTCTGACCCTTGAGAACTGACAACATCCATGTGTTGGACTGAGCTTGCCAGCCGATGAAACTGGCCGTGGGTGCTACTGCAGAGTTGAATTGACTTTGGGGTTCCGAGGTTGCCGCAGATATGGGAAATCGATAAATCCTCCGCCAAGCATTGTCCACAAGTCGGCGCGCTCGGGAATCGGAGTCAGTGATGTTTGAAGATGCCAATGTTGTTCGATGGTAAAAAAGCAGAAACAAATCCGTCGCAGTTCAGTGGGAGGAGCCGCTAGCGCAAGGCTAAATTCTCCTTTGGGTTAAGCGTGCTAAAACGGAGGGGCAGGCCAACCTCTTCCGGCTCTGCCCTTCCGCCTTCATCGACTGGGCAACGACCAGGCACACATTGAGAGCAGGCTGAGGATTCTCCACTGAGCACTGGCGATTCCCGCCAAACACGCCGCATTGCCCTCATCAGCTTCTCCGTTGTTGACAATCTGCGCCTGAGAGCTTGATGCGTCTATATCACGCTCTGGCCTCAACCCCTTTCCTCTGCCTCCGCTCCTCGGGCCCCAGAGTGCCCTCTTCTACCACCCACATAAAGGCGGAGTGACGTGTTCTAGCGGCATTGCAGAACGGCCATCGGCGAATCGCACATAGCAGCGACATCTACCAAAACCTGTGCTCGACACAATTTTCTAGCCATTTCACTGTCCTAGAAATCGATACGACCGATAATTGAACTGCCAATGCATTTCAACATGTCCTCGGACTCGGAGCCTTCAGCTCATGTGGTCAATCAACTTCCCGACGATGGTCGGGCTGCCTTGATCAACGAACCAACCACGCCGCTCGACGATGATTCGATCGTTGGCTCGTCGCAGCACAGCATTCCCCCTGATACTGAGGCTCCAAACTCGCCGATAGACCCTAGCGCATCATTCAGAGCCGACGTCAGTGAAGACCGAGGGGCTCCCTCGGTGATTCCGTCGTCCCTCACCCCGCCTCCGTCATCCCAATACCCCAACGCTGCCGGCGCAGCTGCGAGCAATACACTCGCCTACCTCAGCTCACAACGGTCTGGCATCTTTTCGCCGCCAGCCACTGGCATCAACGGTGTCAAGCGAGAGAGCGTCGCTGCCGACTTTGCTACGCCAACTCCTTCTCAGATTGCCGATGCCTCGGTCGAAGAGCTCCGCGCAATGCTCCAGGCCTGCATGGCCGAGCAGGCGCGACTCAAGATGGAGGCCGCCCACCACAAACTGCAGTTTAACATGCTCAGCATCCGGGCCGAGGAGGACACGAAGCGCGCCGCAGTCGAACATGAAATGACGAAAAAGGAAGTCGAGGCGTTGCAGCAGGCCGAGTGTGCACGACAGGCTCGCCGTGATATCAACGCAGCATCCGAATTGACACAAGCCAAGTACTTGCAACTTAAGGTATCGCATGAACAGGTGCTCGAGGAGAACGATGCTCTGCACAAAAAGATTAAGGCGGCACGGAAGGTGATACAGCAGAAGGAGGACGAGATTGCCAGCTTGACTGACGAGCGGAAAATGTTGCTGAACCGCATTAAAGAGAATCGCGACCATTTCCGCATCCTTTGCAGCCCAGGGGGTATGTTCCATGGGGCGGCGGTGACCCCCAAGGTCCAAGCTACCAGCCCCCAGCAACACCGAGGCACACCGCGGCAGACTCCTAGGGCGTCGAACCGAGAAGGCCACCGAGACCACCACCAGGAAGGGTTTGCCGTCCTGCTGCAGGCACTCAGCCAAGACAACAACAGCGCGCCCTCTACTCCGCTTCCCGGCCAGCGTCCAGCGGCCCGCGTCCCGCTGAAGCACACGCGCAATGTTCAGTCCATGTCCTCTCTGCCGTCTACCCCGGTAGGACGTAACCCGGGGAGCAGCAGAGGACTCCTCCCATCAATCAATCTGGTCCCGCAGACCGAGCCGGTGCTGCGCCACGCGCGCTTTATCCCCGAGACGCCAGCCACGCCTACGAGCCGGGAGCGGCGCAAGAGCAGGGAGAGCACGATTTCAGCCGAGGACAATCAGGAGCTCGCACGCCAGGCGCTGCAGTCCTTTGCCTCTCGGGGGTCCCAACATTCCCGCGCCGCACATCAACAGGTGTCGGGTGAGGAAGTGGAGGAGAAGGAAGTATGCGAAAGCCAGGCCAGCCAAGCGGCTTCTGAGATGCTCCGGCGGGATCCCCGAGAGAGCTTCGAAGTGGCTGCGTCCGTCGCGGGGTCTCGGGACGGCACCCCGGCGGCGGCGGATAGGAGCGCCAAGCTGCAGGCAAAGTTGTTTGGTGGGCTGAATAAGAGCGGCCTGTCCTCGTCCTCCTCGCAGGGAAAGCGCAAGTTTAGCGGGCAGCATGGCGAGGCCGGGGACGGGTACTCGGCGCATGACCGCGTCACGAGCCCGACTAAGAAGTTGCGGGAGGTTGGCGGGCTGAGGGATCCCGGCCGTGTTGGGCTGGGGATACAATACGGAAGGGAGGTGTAGGCTGCTGGGGAGTGTGGGCAGGGCCAAGATTGAAGTTCTATTTTACTTTCTTCGTGTCCAGTGGTCTGGGTGATGGGACATCAGAGTTTTTATCACCTCCTATGGCGGATTCGTGTCTCTTGGGCTTGGGGGACTTTGATGCCTACGAGGACAGGAGATGGTTGGAAGCCTTCAAGGTTGCACAAGGGGTGCTCCACAAATGGGCTCGAAGCTTCTGGTTTGGTTGTAGGGGTAGCTGCATCGCAGCGGAATGGACTTGCTCTTGGAATTACGGCTTGGAGCTACTCGTGTGGCTCCTGAACCGGTTACACTTCTCACGGCCGCGAATTCACCCAGTGAGAGTCTGATGGATGTCGAAGCCTTCACTTCTCCGGCCAAGAATGTGTTAGCCCTTGGGCTCGGTACCCCAAGGTTGGGACCCCGCGCTGCCGAAATCCACTGCCGGCATCCGCCTCCCGGATTTGTGTTTTCCCCCTCTCCCCACTACCGGGGACTCGCCTCTCCACCATGGCGGCCCTGAGTTATCCCGACGTCGTGGTCGTCGAAGAAGTCTCGAGGCCTTCTGTTATTTTCTGATGTTCGTCTCTCGTTCCTTCCTGATGAATTATCACAACTGCACGATACCCCGGCGTTGGTTTTTGTGTTCCATTGGCTGGTAATTCGTGTTTGTGTTTTGTCTTGCCCTCGACACAACTGCCGAAACTCTACGTGAAAGCGGCAACCGGCCTGCATCCGAGACTCCTTTCCTTCCCACCAGTGCTTTCCCCACTTGAGCAATCAACAACGTACATTACGGACACGGAAACGCCATGGCTGTTTTCCCAAAAGGCATTAAGGCTGTCCTGGCCAAGGCGCCGACAGACGTTGTGATACTCTCGTCCCTCCGAACCCCGATTTGCCGGTCCTACCGTGGCCAGCTTAAGGACGCCTACCCAGAAGAGCTGCTCTCAGTTGTCCTCCGCGCCACCCTCGACAAGAACCCGCAGCTCGACCCGGCGGCTATTGACGATGTTGCCGTCGGCGTCGTACTCAACGAGCTGGGCGGGTCCAAGGCGGCCCGCATGGCCATGAACCATGTCGGCTTCCCTTCGACCACTTCCCTGTATACGACCAACCGGGCGTGCTCCTCGTCCCTCCAAAGCATCGCCATGATCGCCGCCCAGATCCGCACCGAGATGATCGACGTCGGCATCGGCGCCGGCATGGAGAGCATGACGCGCAACTACGGCACCAAGGCCATCCCCGTCGACCTCTGGCCAGCCCTGCGCGAGTCTCCCGTCCAAGACGCCCTTGACTGCATCATGCCCATGGGCCTGACCAGCGAGAACGTCGCGGCCCGCTATGGCGTCTCGCGCGCCGACCAGGACGCCTTCGCCGTCGAATCGCACCTCCGCGCCGCGCGCGCTCAGGCGTCGGGCGCCTTCAACGCCGAGATCGTCCCCGTTACCACCCGGTTCCAGGAGGTCGACAAGCAGGGGCAGCCTGTCGGCGCCGAGCTGACCGTCACGGTGTCCCGGGACGACGGCATCCGCGCCACCGCCTCGCTCGAGTCGCTCGCCAAGCTCAAGCCCGCCTTCAAGCCCGACGGCGCCAGCACGGCTGGCAACTCGAGCCAGGTCAGCGACGGCGCGGCCGCCAGCTTGCTCATGCGCCGCAGCACGGCGGTGCAGCTCGGCCTGGCGGACCGCATCTTGGGGAAGTTCGTCGCCGCGTCGGTGGCTGGGTGCAGGCCGGATGAGATGGGCATCGGCCCCGCGCTCGCGATCCCCAAGGTGCTGGCGCAGCTCGGGCTGGACAAGGCGGATATTCATCGGTGGGAGATTAACGAGGCCTTTGCTAGCCAGGCCATTTACTGTGTGCGCGAGCTCGGGCTGGAGAAGGAGTGGGCCGAGGGGAGGGTTAACCCGGATGGTGGTGCCATCGCGCTGGGACACCCGCTCGGCGCCACGGGCGCGCGCATGGTCAGCACGTTGTTGCATGGGCTGGGGAGGAGCGGAGGGGAGGTGGGTGTAGTGAGCATGTGTATTGGCACGGGGATGGGCATGGCGGGTTTGTTTGTGAGGGAATAATTTGCGGGTTCACAGCACAAGGTCCCGATGACGGAAGGGTGGTTGAGGTGCGAGTTGCCGTGGTTGTGTACATAATATGTCGACGACTTCAATGAACATTATTACTCTAAGCTGCCTTCGGATGAAGCCTGCCAATTCCTGGCTTGCGATTTGCTACTCAGACTTGAATATTCGAGTACGGAACTTCGGAGAGTTCAAGGGCCGGAGATCATGTTATTCTCAAGCAGAGCCGAACCGACTACCTGATGCTGAAATCATAGGACCCGAAGGAAGACGTCCTACAGGTTGAAGTACAGTTGAGGTGATTTCCGAGCGTGGTGCAACGTGTTGAGCATGTGTTCTCATGGTCCAGCATCGTGAACAGTGGACCGCTGTGGCATCATGTGCAGCTTCATGTTTGATTTCACTGGAAAATGTGGTGTATCGTCTTTTTGGCGTTTTCTTCATCTGCGTGGCTTTTCCTCTGCTCTGCATAGGTTAATATTTTCTTCCGTTGTGATTTGACTCAGGATCGCATCGCCCTATACGTTATCTACTACGTCTGGTTTCCATTATAATTCAAGGACAAGTCAATCAATATCGTTGCATCGTACGAGCAAAGAGAGGAGAAGATCGGAACTTGGTCCAAAGCACCATGTATTCGCGCGGATATGTGGGAGGATGTGAGTACCACCCGCCTTCGTCTTGTCGTCCTCAGCTCCAGGATCCGTATACTCCTCACAACCGAGCCCTTGTGGTATCAATCGGCATGCCGAAACGACGTTCCCATCCAATCCAACGCCAGTGGCATCAATCGAGAATTCAATCCCAGACTTTCAGGAACTCGCTCCACAAGGCCTCGTCGCCAGGTGAAGGTCGGGTGGACTCGATTTCCGGATGCACCACAACTCAGGCCGTTGCCCATGAAACCGAGAGATCCTTGTGTCGACGTTGAAGGTCAACGTAGTGCTTATATGCCGGTATGAGGTGATGAAACTATCTCCCATCGAGATGGCTGACTCGGAGACTGCCACGTGTTCCCCTCGCAAAAAAAAGTAGAATTATGCCAGTATCGGCAGTGTTGTCTTCATAGAGTGATCGAGGATGAACCGAGAGGCAGCGGTGCCAGGTACCCGTTATGCCGAAGTTTAGACACAGTCATGGCATTGAGGGTGACGGCAGTGACTGCATGACGTGCTGATGACCAGCATGGCGCCACATTGGCAGCAGCGAGGTTGGTAGGCGGACATTATGAGTCGTGGTTGTTTCGCGTGTATGATTGATGGTGCCAAACTTGGTAAATGGTAGATGAGAAATTCGATTCGTCCTTGTCGGTCAACGGCCGAGAACGGTGCGATGCGAATATGGGGAAAGGTCGGAGAAGTGGGCAGGCGAAAAGAATCAGATTTGGTTTATGGCTGCCTGCAACCTGCGGAAGTGGGAAGCCTGGGAGTTATAGTTTTGCACTCGACCTGGATTGTGGCAAAGACACCCTTTGCGAGAGCCTCACACCTTTGTTCAACTTAGACGAATAGAAGAGCTCAATCACAGTTTGGCTTGTCCGACTACGGCAGAAGTCGGCACTTTCGCAGGCAGACCTGCGTCAACACGACGCCTCCCACGCGTGGAGGTCTGAGCATCGTGAGATGCGCCGTGCTGAAGACCAAGGGTCCAACTGTAGCACAGGGTGAGCAGGGTTAGGCCTCTTGCCTGCATTAGCCTGGGATAATCACCCGCTTCCCCGCGTCCTATCAGTCGTTTTGGATTGGCCGAGTAGACAAGCTTTTTCCAAGATGGGAACCGTATGACGTTTAAACATTTGCTAACTTCTTGTTCAACTGGGGAAGGCGGTGTTCTCCGCATGTGGTAGCCCTTGCATGTCAAGGCGCACCGATGTGGGTTTGGGTGGAAGTGGGGGGTCCGGGTGCGGTACCTGAGCCGAAATCCAGGTCAGCAATTGCTGTTCCAGGATGTTGACCTCGACGGCAGCGTCCCACTCCCGAGTCCCTACCTTTCTTTTACTTTGCGTGTGCTGGTGACCACCTCGACAGTGCTGGCCGGATTTCTTCTGTCCGCCGTCCTCAGCTCTCAGTGACCCTAAGGTGCCTTGAACCAATGACTCACGGACCAAGGTATCACTGGTCTCGACGCTGTGACATTTTATTGATTGGTACATGCCTTTTTGTAGAGAGTACGGAGTACACCCGATCTTGCACTCGATCGCGTGCCCTGTAGATCTAGTCGTTTGAGCATTAGGGGAAAAGGGAAGCCAGTCCAAGTACAGAGCAGAGAGTTCATGAAACTTGTGAAGAGTATTCAAGCCATTCTCGAGAACAGCAACCCGGGCGTTGTCGGTCTGCATGGCCATCAGCATATTGTGTAGGTTCCAACTGGAGAGATTTAAAAAAAAGAAAAGATGATGTGGGGTTGACACTCATGGACGGTGGGCTCCACTCCCGTCACGAGCTGCCTGGTTCACGTGTTGTGTTCGGGTGTGTGGGCTGGCGCTCGAATTGTAACGTTAGGGTCCGGGATGCTCAATCGAGTCGAGGGTTTCAACAGAACATATCTCAAGCCCGGCTTAGACAGATGCAACGGAGCCAATCACTGACCAGAATCAAATATGAACTGGAAACGCAGAAAATCACGCAAATGTCCCTATTCAAGCATTTACATACAGATGTACAAATCTGAGGCCGCTCACTCAATGCCTGACTCCACAGTTGGTGGATTTAGGGCTGAGGCTATCAGGATCCATTTCTCATGCGGGGTGCTTCGAGAAACGCTGTCAGCTGAGACGAGATATCCCTAGCGTTTTGACTTCTGTTCATAAGCAAACACGCCGGATGGGTCAGCAGCGGCGAGCAGGCCGACAGCTGACGGCCCAGCGGAGTGGTTTGTTGCGCGGCTTTGCCATGCTGCAGGGCTGAGAGGTCACCGCCACGTTATGGCCACAGCCGATGCACAAAGTCGCGACGGCGTGATTCGTGATTGGCGTTCCAACCGTCTCGTTAGACGCTCGCAAAAAAATGCCTACCAGGCTGCTTTGGATCCTTTCCTCATCTGGTCTTAACACTAGCCATGTGGGAGCTGGTTGGCCTTGATTCGATAGCGGCCATAAAGCGAGTACTCCATACCCTCCTTCTCTGTGCCATCGTCTGACTGTCTGAGATGATTGTTTACCAACTTGAGCTATTCCAGTAGTCAACAGTTGTCGCAGGTAGTGCTTGATGCAGCAAAAGATTTATAGGGACTTAAGGCTGACCAACGAACCAATCGAGATCGCATACCTTGAACAGCCCAGCAATTTCCGAATATACAGGACGACTGCAGACATGGTTCTCGCCAACTTCTTCGGCGCCCGCGGCAACAACGGCGATAGTGGCTCAACGGATAAGATTTTGAAGCTGTCACTTGCCCCAGAGAAACAGAGCACGGCACCACTTATCCAGATCTACCCTTCCACAGGAGAGGGTGACTTGGAGGGCGTCATCATCAAAGTCCAACCCCCGAGGGAGCCCGAAGACCAAAACCTCCACCATGTCCCTTGCGACCTGGTCCTCTCCATCGACGTCTCGGGCAGCATGGAGACCGCTGCGCCTGCGCCATCAAAACCCGGTGAGCAAGACGAGGAGGATGCCGGCCTGTCGGTGCTCGACCTCGTTAAGCACGCGGCTCGGACCATACTTGAAACGTTGGATTCAAACGATCGCCTAGGCATTGTCACTTTTTCACGACAGAGTCAGGTTGGCTGCCCCAGGTTCCATCATTACGTTGCTGTGGATGCCTAACTCAAACAGGTCCTCCAACCTCTCATACACGTGACAGCTGAAAACAAAGCCGAGACCATCAAGAAGATCGAGGGCATGCAGCCACTGAACATCACTAACCTTTGGCACGGAATTCGCGATGGTCTCAATTTATTCAAGGAGGGCGATGATGCTGGCTCAACCGGCAGGGTGCCCGCCCTGCTCGTCTTGACTGACGGCCTGCCAAATCACATGTGCCCTGCCCAAGGGTACGTGCGGAAGCTGCGGTCCATGGAGCCGCTACCCTCTACCATTCACACATTCGGCTTCGGCTACAGCCTCGAGTCGGGGTTGTTGAAGTCGATTGCTGAAGTGGGTGGGGGCAACTACTCGTTCATTCCCGACGCTGGCATGATTGTGAGTTCGAAAGGGCAGTCCTTTTGATTTCAGGGTGTTGACTTTGCCAGGGCACCGTGTTCGTTCACGCCGTCGCAAACCTGCAGTCAACGTTCGCAAACAACGCCAAGCTGCGCCTGACATACCCAAGCTATCTGAAACTCGAGGAGACGACTGGCGAGGCTATTGACAAGCAAGAGCCTGTTGAGCTGGAGGGCGATGTACCCGAGCCACTGACCTCGCTCACAATCCTCTTGAACAACCTCCAATATGGTCAATCACGGGATATCTACCTTCGTTACGGCAGTCCTATTAAACCCATCATCGCGGAAACCGAGGACATCCCACCCCCCTCTGTCACCGCCGTCCTCGAGTACCAACACTTCACGCCCACCGTCCACCGCGTGACCGCCCACCGAAACCCCCTCGTCTCCCTCTCGCCTTCCCTCGACCCGGCAGAAACAGCCTACCACATCTCCCGCGCCCACCTAATCGCCTTTCTCTCGACCTTCTACCCGCTCAACTCAACCCTGCAGCACGAACCCCTGGAACAACTCCCCTCCGATCTGCCCCAACGCCTTCAATCTCTCGCCGCCACCTTGCCCGCCACCAAGTATCGGACCACCCACCCAGGTTGCCGCTCCCTCCTAACCGACCTCGTCGGGAACAACACTACCAACGGCGAATCACCCACTCCACACCCAGCCATCGTCTTATCCGACCCGTCGACCTGGACAGGCCAGATCGCCCTCGCCCTGCTCAAGGAGTCCTACTACCACCGCTGGGGCGCGCACTACCTGCCCTCGCTGGCGGGCGCCCACGCGCGGCAAGTGTGCAACTCGTTCAAGGACGCCGGCTCGCTGCAGTACGGCGCCCACAGCCCGCTGTTCGTGGCGTGCCGAGACCGGCTGGATGCCGCCTTCGATGCGCTCCCCGCGCCGGAGCCGAGTTTGGCGAGGGGTGGTGGGGGCACTAATGGAGGAGGGGTAGTGTCGATGAGCAGGTACAATAATGTGGGCAATGGGTGTTTCGCCGGGTGTATGCAGGTGCTGTTGGCTGGTGGGAAGGGAAGGAAGGTCAGGGTGGGAAGGTTGAGGAGGGGGATGGTGGTGGAGACGCCTAGGGGAGGGAGGAGGGTGGTGGCTGTGTTGAAGATTCCCGTCAGGAGGGCAGAGATGTGTTTGGTTGCTGCGGCTGGGGATTGCAAGGGAGGTGGACTGTTGGTCACGAAGTGGCATCCTATCTCACTGCGGCGGGGAGGGCCGTGGGTGTTCCCGAAGGATGTGGCCTTACATTCGGCTTGGTATACCGGGTCTGTGTACTCGGTTTTGCTGGAGAAGGATGACGACCCTGACGCCCATGCTATCTTCGTTGGAGGCATGTGGGGTGTCACGATGGGTCACGGGTTGACGCGGGGAGTCCATCGCGGTGAGGGTGATGTGAGGGCGCACCAGTTCTATGGAGACCGGGAGAAGGTCAAGAGAGCATTGTCGAGATTGCCAAGGAATCCCGGGGGATTGGTACTGGGAGGAGGATTAACCAGAGATCCTGAAACTGGCCTGGTCAACGGGTTTGGAGGCATGGATATCGGAGAGGCGAGGACTTTGGTAATGGCGCACAGGAAAGGAGTGATTTAGGTTACTAACTTGTCTACTTACAGCATAGCTGGAACTGTCCTCGGGATTAGATTGGAGCCAGACTCGTGGGCCAGTCGCAATCACAAGGCAGGCCCCTCAGGCTGGATAATCACCACACGGTCCTACTAGGTAGCTTAGTTTTTGATTCCGGTAGGTAACATCTCAGGGTAGATTCTGAATTGGTCAATCTCGGTTACCTGCTCGTACATCAACATGATTTTCCGAGGCATACAACACACCCAGTCAAAGCCAAAGCTCAAAGGTAAGTAGAGTCCAAGTGCTCGAAGACACGCTGATTATTGTCCAGCGAGCCCAATATCTAAATCAGTGTATAAAAACCTAGGGGATGGCAGAAAGGCTGCAATGGAAGCATAAGAAAAAACCTGGTGAGACAGACGGTGAGGAACAAAATGAGCAAGAGGGAGAGAAAGACCACCGACTTCAGGCACTCATTCCCATTGGTACCGGGAGTCGGGTTGACGATGAATAACTGAAGTACCTGGGCCTATTGCTAAAGTACGTTAACGTATAACTAGATGGATGGATGGAATTTATTTCGCCCGGAGGCACGAAGCCTAAAGAGCCTTGGCACGCTAACTACATCCAATTCGTTGACGTTCAACCATCAACTCGTACAAGCCCTCTACTCTCTCCCCTTTTCTCACGCTACCTGTTGCCTCTTGACTTAGTTTAGCAGATCGACTTGGAGGCTGCGTTCTCCAAGTGTTCAGCGTCCTATCTTCAGCAGCTAAAGCGGGATCTGCTGGCTGAGGCTGTGTAGTGTCAGTGGAGCTCCGCTACTGTGATTGTCCCAATCTTCGTCGTTCCTCGTCAAGATCCAATCTCCCTGTCGCCATTGCGTACTTGATCGTTGCCCGGACTGCTTTCATGTCTGGCGACCACATCTTTGGATCCGATGGTGCTTTCCCTCCCAGGTAGAATGAGAGGCTCCCTCGCCTTGCCACTGTGCATTGCAACATGTCCTCCCTCAGAGCTTCCCATCTCACGCATCGCAATAGAAAATGTTCCACGGTTTCCCTCGCTCGGCCGCAAGGACAAAGGTCTGACTCGACCGCTCCGATTCGGCTTAGAAAGCCGTTCAGCCTCGCCATTCCAGTTCGGAGTTGTGCCAAGATACAGGCCTCTTTTCGTTTCAACTTGTCGTAGAGATCGCGAGTGTGCTTGCCAGGAAGTGCTACGTCCAGAGCCTTTGAGAATTTGCCTACGCCTTCCGGGAGAGCTCTCCCCTAACGTATAACGTTGTCATAAGCGAGTGTGCAATATAAGCGAGTGTGCAACTTCAAAACCCGCATATAACCCTGAAATCGCACTTGTTCAAAATGCTAAACTTTGTTTAAGTTAGGTTAAGTTAAGGCTAGACTTAAAGCCTAGTCAATTTTAATCCTAGATATGAAAACTAACGCGAACTATTCACTTAACAAGAAATTAACGTTAGATTAGTTAGCAAATATTTCAATGCTCTCATTTCAATAATAAGCATTATGAAAGCGGGCTCTAAAATTAGATGGATTTTAAAGGGAGATTTGGTTGTTATACCGAGATTGCGTTTTCAGGGTTATATATGGATTTGAAGTTGCACACTTGCTTATATTGCACACTCGCTTTTAATGTACGTTACAGAAGTTGGGAGATTAACAGCGCTCAGCTGGTGGTCTGACATCTCGAACTTCAAGCAAAGGACCAAAGCAGGCCAATGGGTTTGGGTATGAGATAGGGTGAGGCCAATCAGAGAGAGCCACGAGCCTGAGTTCTGTCTTGCGAAGGAATCAGGAAATGCCTGCAAGCATGGCTTTCAAAGTGTTGATAAGGTCTTGGTCAGTAGGGAAGCGAGAATGCTGTTTTAGGGAGAAGCGGGTTTGGGCCAGATAACAATCAGATCTCCGTAATCCGTACGATCGGATTTTTTAGCCTCGTCAACTTCAAGTACAGATTTCTGCACCTAAGCAGGGAACTTGTAGAATTAGATTCCAAGGTGCTTCAAGTGTTAGGAGAGCAGGGCGGTTCCCTTTCTCCATGAGGTCGGAACTGCGAGGAAAGCCAAGGAGTCAGCTGGTGCCAGCTGCGGCCCCACCAAACTTGAGCCTGCCCCACCACAGCTGATTTCTGTGAGCAGACCCACACCGGCCATAGGGTTTCCAAGCCCTGCCGAATTTTTGGGAGCTCCTCCAAGCGAGCGACCTCCAAATTGAATCCGCTTCACGACCGGTGATACTTTTGACAATCAGAGGGACCGAGGGCTTGATCCACAACCGGCACAATGGTGAGTTGTCATGTTCCCACGATTGCGATGTGACCGCTCTCTTGCCTAATCGCTGCAACGAGTTACTGATGTATCTTGGGCGAACAGGCGATCAAGCACAACCAGCAGATTCCCAACAACCGTGAGCACGACCCGACGACGCCGAGGACGAGAATATTGCGACGAGGGCAGGGACGCTGACGCGAAAAATTAGACTTCCGCAAGCAGTGGCAGCGGCGTGTGCGGTGCCACTTCGACCAGGTTCGTGACATCGCCGAGAGAGACGCGACAATCGAAGAGCGCCCAATGCTGATGTGTGATGGAAAATAGCCCGGCAAAAAGGTCACCCGCCGTCTGGCACGCCGCGCGAAGGCTGCTGCCGTCGCTCCCCGTCCGGTCGACAAGCTCCGCCCGATTGTCCGATGCCCGTTCGTTACCCCGAATTGCCGAGTTTGAAGAGTGGAAAGGATTCTAATCGCGAATCACAGCACCATCAAGTACAACCGCCGGACACGCCTCGGCCGTGGCTTCACGCTGGCTGAGCTGAAGGTGCGAATCCTCGCCTGTTGGGGACGGCAAATAACTGGCTGCGGGATTCTGACATGATAGAACACTAGGCCGCCGGCATTCCCAAGCTCTATGCTCCCACCATCGGCATCTCGGTCGACCCCCGCCGCCAGAACCTCTCCGAGGAGGCCCTCGCGGCCAACGTCCAGCGCCTGAAGGAGTACAAGGCCCGCCTCATCGTCTTCCCCCGCAGGTCCAACAAGCCCAAGAAGACCGATACCCCCAAGGATCAGCAGACGGCCGAGACGACACAGAGCATTCGCGCCGCTTTTGGCGTCGAGTCGCCCATTGCCGCCGGCTTCTCCGAAATTGCCAAGAGTGACCTGCCCAAAGGCGTCGAGGGTGGTGCCTACAAGGCGCTTCGGAAGGCGAGGTCGGACGCCCGCCTGGTGGGTGTCCGGGAGAAGCGTGCGCGGGAGAAGGCCGAGGCCGAGAACGCCAAGAAATAGAGGGTTTTTGATCGGTTTGGTGGCGGCGACGGATAGGAAGGTTCCCCCGGTGTTCGTTTGGCTGGTCTGGTCTGGTATCGCTTTCTGCTTTTTCCTGATAACCCGGGCGAGGAACATGGATTCCCTCACCTATGGCCGTGTAGTTTCGGGGACTTGCTTCAGGAGAAGGTTCAGAAAGTTTACACGCATCATAGGGATTTGCTAGAGCATCGCAAATGAATGGACAGGAAAAGGCATGACTGACGGCCACGCCGGGTTTGGTGGTGGGGATTGATTGTCGGTTTGATTGCTTTTCTCAAGGGTGCTCGATCCGCAGCTCCTTCTGCCGCTTTGTTCGACTACATGGATAGGAAAATCTCATTGTGTTCCGCTGCGATCCTGCATCACGAGCTCCCCGCCCTTGTTCAGCAGTGCCTCAAGCGGCCGCCTCATACTCGACAACTCTTGGGGGTATCTCCTCAGCAGCTCAGCTACGAGCACCATGGCGTTCTCGCGGTCCATCTTGGCCACCCTGGCAGGCAGCGCTTTCGGCCCCTGCGGATCAACCTGCTGCGGCTCCAGCGACAGTTTCTTGACGGTCACATCCGCAATTTCATCCTGGTCCTTCCCCTCATTCTGCACTTCTCCATCGTCAACGGCTTCGACTCTTCCTCGTTCCGTGAACACGTCTGCCAACTCGTCCGACTCGGATCCCTTCATGGCTTTTGCCAGGGTCTGCCATGTCGCTCCGTTGCCGCTGCTGCTGCTGGGGTCGGCTGTGGATGTATCGACGGCGCTGTTACTGGTAGGGGGTGTTTGCAGGACTTGCAGTGCGACCTGTGCGCTGGAGGGGGACGAGGCACGACTCATGAGCGCTAGCACAAAGATTGCCTCGGAGCGGAGCGAGGGGAAGCGTGGGTGGGTGAGGAGGTGACGGAGGGAGGGGATGATGGTGTTAGATTTGTTGTGGGCTTCGTAGAAGCGGGTGAGTGGCTCCGTTTCTGGTTGTCGTCCTCTTCCTTCTGTGGTTGTTGTTTTCTCGTCTTCACGTGCCATGGAGGTGCCAGTGGTGGATGTTGTTGAGCCACCGTCAGGCGTGGCAGTGGTGGCGGGTTGGTACTCAGCCCAGGTCCACGATGGATCCAGGAGCACTGCGGCTGGGAAGGTGTGGAAGGCTCGGCAGACAAGGCTTACTGCGCGGGCGGCTTCTACCTTGATGGGATCTTCGTCGGCGGAGGCGGCCGTTGCAGTGAGCAGGGCCAAGTTGCTTGGGCTTGGATTATTGGGGTCGCTCCTGGCGAGGGGCGCGCAGATGTGGTGGATGTTGGGAGGGCAGTTGGCGAGGAGCAGACGGGTGAGAGAGACGGCGGTGAATTGGAGCTGGGGTTGTGTGCGGGTTGAGGTCCAGAGGCGTGGGAGTAGCGGGTGAGCTGGGTCCAGCAGGGCGGCGCCCAGGGGGACTTTGTTGGTCTGAGGGATGGCGAGATTCTTGAGGAAGCCGAGGGCTGCGTGGGTGAGTTGCAGCGCACTCGCGGGAATTGGGGGGTTGGAGGACTCAAAGAGTCCCGGAGGAATGGCCCGGCTAAGGATATCGATTAGTGGGCCCTGGACGCGGGGCAGCAAAGCGGTGCTTAACTCGTCGGAGCGGCCGAGATTGCCGAGGGAGAGGCATGCTGCAGTTTGGAGCTGAGAGAGAGGTGGTGACGATCCCAACCAGTCTATCAGGGTCTGAACGGCTTTGCTGTCAAAAGGACAGGCGATCGGAAAGGATGGAATGGCGGAGATGTTGGCGAAGACAGTGAGGAAAGCGTCGCCGACCTGCTTGAGCTGGCTGGTTGTGTCAAGGTCGGCGTCCGCCGTATCAAATCGGGTGTACAACTGGTGAAACGCCTTCTGCAGCACTTGGATGCCGCCATTCTCCAGGAATACTGGCTGAAAGCCTTGAAAGGTGAGGTAGGCCAATGCTGGTGTGCAGATCTCCATGAACGAGTCCAGGTCAGCATTATACCGCTCGCTGGTGGCTAGGTCCATGAGGAGCTCAGGGGTGTTGGGGTTGGCGATCCTGGGCTCAGAATCTGGATGCGATTAGTTAGCATTGCCACACCATCCTTCCCCTTTTGAGGTCCCCATACCTTGGTTGCTGAGCAACTCCAAAATAGTCATGATGTGAGTAAGAGACGGCTGGCAGGACGATAGCCGATTCCCTGAGACAAGATTGACAAGCGCCTTGCTCAACCCAGCCTTGGATGCCTGTTCTTGGGCGGGCTCTAACATGGCTCGGTAAGAAACAATTCTCCGTAGAGAGTTTGGGAACTCACTGTAGTCGACGCACACATTGAGTGCTGCACCAATAGCAAAGGGGAGCAGCGCGTCCTGCTCCGGGTGCTCGATGATGCCCATGATGAAGCCGGGCAATTTACCAGAGTTGACCACCCTAGCCCTGTTTTCATCTACTCTACGTTAGCACCAAGTCGACCATTTCCCCAATGGAGGACCGCTCACCGCAATCTGCGCACGCATTGCCAACCAGGCGAAGAGCCTGCTTATTTAGGGGATGGTTGGGTTCCTGGACGGGCACAGCAGCCAGGACATGGTCCAGGAGGCCTGAATCTCCAAGGGGCAGCCGCAAGGATGCTGCTCACTCAAGCACGAAGATTAGCATTCTGCACTGGCAACGGTGGGGTGTACGATCATACTCACCGTCTCTTGCTCCGTCGGCAAGCTTCTCAGCAATAGCGGCCAAGCCCTCGACGCCCTCGTCTTGAATCCCAGCAAGGACCTCACTCAACCTGGCAGTACGCTCACTCAAATCGCCGTGGCGACTGATAAGGAGAGCTGTCACCCTGTCAGGTGCCCACGCCATAGATAGGGAGTTTTGAAAGGAGAGCAGTTCTTGCGTATCCTGGTCAGTCGTCATGCACGCATTGAGTGGGCGGCATGGATTGGGGTTGGCTTCTTACAAGTTGTTTCTTGGAACTGCAACGCATTAAGCGCTGTTGAGGGTGATTGCTCGAATGTGCTTGTAAGCCCGAGTTTTGTGAAATGGAAGCGGCGCCAGCTGCTTGAGGCACCCCACCCTAACATTCACACACCTCAACCCTCAGTCGGAGAGTCCGCCCACATACAACCCTGACACCCCAGATAACGACAAGGTCAATATTTACATTTCGTTCCCTTGCCGCTTCTTCCTCATGGGAGATTCTTGGATGTGACAGAGTCTTTCCATGGCGGAATAATTCCTGACAGGACATTGCCAAATTGAAGACCAGAACTCGAACACGGCGGCGCAGCAGATGTACACAAATACGGGATGTTGTCTACATTATACATGATACACAAGACGAACAGAACCTGAGGCACAGTACGTCCAGGGGCCCTCTGCCCACGCTACGCTTTCCCCTCGATCCACCTCTTCTCGACCGGCGGGCCGTAGTCGCCGGTGCCGATGACGGGCAGCTCGCGCTTTTCGAGCTCCTTGACAATTATCTTCCAGCGACCGACCATCTTCTCCTTGTCGATGGGCGTGACCCTCCTGGGGAAGACGCGGACATTGGGCAGCTCCTGGAAGACGCCCTGGGTCTCGATCAGCTCGGCCAGCTTCTTGGGCTTGGGCGGTTCGACGAGCTGCTTGAGCAGGCTGTCAATGCTGCCGATGGCGAGCAGCTTGCCGTCCGGGATGCGGTGTCCTGTCAGCTGCTGGATCCGCTTGGCAGCCTGTGTGTGACAAGAACATTAGCACTTTGAGCCGTGACGATGGCTGTAGAAGGAAACTCACAAAGAACTTGACCACGGGATCCCGCAGCTCTGCCTTCTTCCACGCCTTATCCCAACCGCCGATCAAGCTCTCGGCCGCCTGCAGAGTGAGCTGAGCCGCGGTCGCAACCTCCTTCACTTCAGCCTTTGGCATCGCACTCTCCTGAGAAGTTTCCGCGTCAACCGTCGTGGATCCCTCTTCTGAGACCTCCTGTCCCTGCTGCTGCGGCCGCCTGGCTTTCTTCCCGGCCGAGTTGAGCAGGCCCCACACCATCCCCCAATCCTTTTTATCCTTGAGCGTCGCAGCGCCATCCTCGCCTGGCACAATCTCGACCTGCGCAATTTTGCCCAGCTGTTCCATGTCACCGGCCTGCGCAGCAAACAACCTGTCCACCTTCTTGCTCATCCGGCCAGCGCCGCTCGCGAACCGCGCCACGACAAGCGCCTCCACGATCGCCCGCTTGGCCAGCACCTCGAGCATCGCCCGGTCCGTGACTTTCTGTGTCGGGCCAAATGGGCTGACGACCGACTGCACAAACTGCGCCGCGCCGCCTTCGCTGCCCCAGTGTGTGGGCTCGTCCCACCAGTCGGCGAGGCCGCCCACTTCCTCGAGGCCGTCGGCGGTTTCGGCCGGCGTATAGGCCGGGTCAGTCACGTCAGAGACCGGCGGGGCTGTGGTGATGCCGTGTGGGTAGACTAGTCGTGTTTGGATGTCGGCCGATTCCGGGGCGTAGTATTCTTCTGGGACTTCTTCGAATTCTTCGGCGGCGGGTTCGAATTGCTGGGACTGCACTTGGCCCTGGGGATGGGACTGGGACGGGCGCATTGGCGTGGTTGAGAGGTAGCGGCGGGTCTGCGTCGGGCCATTGTTGTTGTTCAACCTGGGAGTCGTCTGCGGGAGGAGTGAGGCTGCTGCGAAGGTTGCTGTGACCGCCGCGCGGAGAGAACCTGTGGGTATTGGCGACGAGACAAAGCCCGATGGCCCTGGGGCCCGTAACCTTGGTAGACAGCGCATGTTTCTGTGTCGAGGTGACAGGTCAACTGGCGACCACTTGATGTTGTCGTGGCTCTTGTCAGTTGGGTGCGCGAACCGCGAGCAACTGATCATCAGCCAAAATTTCCCCGAGACTGGCTCTGAACAGGAAGTGGGCCGGCAACGGGATCCACCGTCTGGCATCAAGCCACACTCCGCTCGGCAAGCATGTCTTTGAATTGTGGCCCATGCAGCTGCGGTCCAAGCTTGGTCAAAAACTTTGGCTTGGCATTGGATGATCTGAGGTTGAACGAACGGAGCTTCATCAACCTCGGAATTGAGCAGCTTGGAAGCTCCCACTCACGGCCACCTCCCTCCGCCTCAACACCCGGATACACCATCGCACCGTCCTGCCGGCCCCGACGATACTCACAACCAATAAAGACGCAATGAGACCAACAGTCCGATTATCCGCCGCCCCCCGCAGCGTCTCAGACGCAACGCGGTTCACTGCGACCATGCCCCATGCCAGCTCCAAAGCCGCTGCACCACCACCTCGGTTTGCCTCCCCGAAATCCGGAGCTGCGCCTCCTCCTCCTGCACCAGCTGGGGGACCCGTGCCCTTCGGCGGCGGCAGCAGTGCGGGCTCGATACCATTCGAAACCCCAGAACAAAAGGTGGCCCGGTTACGGGCCGCACATCGGCGGGCAAAGGAGGCGCAGGTGTCGAAGTTCGACAGGATTGTCGACGCAAGCAGGCGCGTGTTCGACTCAGCACATAAAATTACCGTCAAGGGGCTGGTTGGCTTCACGAGTGAGTGCCTTTGAGCACACCTCATCCCATTTGCGTAACCACAGAGCTGATTCCATCACCGCCTCAGTCATCGCGGGCGTCGCGACCGTCTACACAGCCGTCGATATGATGATGTACAACAAGAAGCGCAGCCGCGAGTGGGTCGAGGCGCAAAAGAAGCTCGAGGCCGACAGTCTCGAGGCGGCCCGCCTCGCCTACATGACGGGCAAGGCGACCGATGAACAGATTGCGCTGGTCGAAGAGTATCTCGAGCGCGAGCGCGAAGCCGGCCGCAAGACCTCCTTCTTCGACAAATTACCGAGCGCTCTTGAACCATCGTCTCAACCAGCAACAGAATCCCAACAACACAGCCAACAACAACAACCAACTGCAAGCGTAACCGAAATCGTCTCCTGGCCATCCTCATCATCCAAGCAACCCCTCACCGCCTCACCCTCCTCCACACCCGAAGAAGAAACCGCACCGTCGCCCACCAAAACCGGCCTCTGGGCCTGGCTCACCTCGAACCTCAAGCGCGAGGACGAAGGCCCATCGCTCAGCGAGCAGGACGAAGGCGCGGGCGTGCGCGACAGCGACCTGGCGCGCGCCGTCGACGACAAGCAGGCGTACCTGCGCGCTAAGGCTCATGCCGCGCTCGAGCGTGAGAGGGAGAACCAGCGTCAGGGCGGGCCGCTGGATCGCGTCGGGTTGGTGGAGGGGGAGCAGGGGGCCGAGAAAATTGTTGGTGGAAAGGAGGAGAAAACGGCGAGGAAGGGGTGGTTATGGTGATTTGAGCTTGGTTTCTCTATTTCTGTGCCATATTGCCGCACTTTCATCCTGCATAGAGGGTGGCTACCGTACTTTGCTTTATGAAGGTGTGGTAGCTCACCCTGCCGGACTGGGAGAGAAGTCACCCCCCGGTCACTAAACTGCGTAAGGTGATGGGACCATTACGAAGGTCCTGATCGTCCTATGGGATTGAATGGGCACAGTATGCTCTACCACAGCGCTCCAGGCAAAGGGAGAAGGGGGCCCGACTGTATCATATTGTAGGAGGAAGGGGTGGCGTGCATCATCTGGCGGGGAACCTGTACATAGTTAAGACTTTTGAGCTTCTCAGCTTCATTGGAATACACCGAGCTCCCTCGCGAAGCGTTTTAGAAAAGGTCTCATCGGAGGGAACTGAGCTTTAGGTAGTAGCATACTTGAATTCAGCTATTAGTTGTATGACGGAGTATCCATGATTCGCTTCCTCCCAGTGAATCGATTTGCCAGACAATATTCCATGAAAATGGAGAAACTCCTCCAAGACCGCCTCAACGCCGAAAGCAAATAAAATCCCAGGAGAGTCGACGCTGCCGTTAACGACGCCCACGCTAAAACGAAACGAGTGACTCAGGGTATAGAACATGTGCCCGATAATGCGAGAATGTCATGCATGATAATAAAAGAATAGTAAAGGAAGGGAAACCATTCTTCACTTCCGCATCTCTCCCTCAACTGCTGAGGCCTCGCCACCACACATTCCCAAGCAAGGGGTGGATCCGTCCCGGCTTCTCAACCCTCGATCTGGCCGGCTCAACAGCGCTCATCCGCTGGCCGTCACCGCTGTCCTACGAGATGATGATATGGTTGAAGTGTCCGGGCACCTTGTTCCGGCACTTCTCGCAGTCGGCTCGGTACCCTATACTGAACGACCGCGTCATGCCGGGCTGCAGCGCCGTCCACGAGTTGAGCGTGTGCTTGGACCTCGTGTGGCCCTTCTTGGGTGACGGCGAGGTGCCCCCGACGGACGACTCGACGTCCATGGCATTACCATTCTGGCCGTTCTCCGGCGCTGCGGGTGTGTTCTCCCTTTGCGCGAACCGCACCTCGACCGCCGAGCTAGAGCGTGGCGGCGGGAGGCTGGCCACCAGCGGGTGCTCGTGCGTGATGTGGTGACTCAAGGGGCCGCGGCCGCCGTGACACATGGACGTCGAGTCGAGCGCCATCCGAGCGCTCTCCACGCTGTCTTCCACGCCGCACTCGCTTATCGGCGATGGAAGCCGCCGGTTTTGTACCATGCCCCAGTCCGCCATAACTGCTGCTGCGCTTGGCTGCGGAGCAGACACGTCCACCATGCCATTGCTGCTAAAGGCCGCCGCTTTCGGCTCCTCGGGTGTGGTCGCAAGGACGTCGCCGTGCATAGGCATTGGGTTCCCGCCGGTCCAGCTGCTACCCCGTACTTGCGCAGCAAAACTGCAGTGGATCGGTGTTGGTATGCGGCCCGTAACGCTGGGAGCGGGCGTATAGGGATCCTCTCGAAGATCGGGTCGGCCTTCGAGACCGGGCTGATGGCGCCCCACGAGCGGCTCCGACGCATCCATCATGTCCATATCACAATCGAATGCATCTGCGGGAATGTTGCTGGACGAATTCGCGGGAACTAACTCGGGCTCATCCGCCCACATCCCCTCCTGCATCGGCTCGTCGGGTGTGAGGGTCTGAGCCTGGCGAAACGAGGCATAAGTCGGGTTAGACAAAGGAAAACTTGGCCGGTCCATCCATCGCTTTGAGTTCGGAGATGTCCTAAGCGGGAGGGATTGGAGGCGCTTCTGTCTCGGTTTGTCAGCTTGAAGGTTTACCAGAAGCCAACTGCGGGCGGCCGCCAGCATTCCACGCTCCAAGTGACGAGTCCCAATAATCCAGAGGTAGTAGCTGCCTGTGGGGACGCATACTTACGCTTCTGTGTTCGGTGAACCCTTCCGGGCCGCCCGGAGACACCTCGTAGTCGTCCTCCTCCTCTCTGAACCTCTTGCGAGGCTGGTCGGGAGACTGAGTGTCCGCCCACATTGTGACAGCGGTGTGGCGCGTATTCTTGGGAAGATATCGACTCCAGGCGTAGGTACACTCTCGCAATCCGCGAAGAAATCCCTGGAGCCTACACTCGCATACGGGCCATGGGTGGCGGCGAGATCGGAGCGAGGCGTGTAATTTGGGGTAGTCTGCAAAGCGAGGAAAAACCACTGTGTTGATATACCGTCGTACGACCAAAGAGCGGTAGAATGAAATGGAAACAAGCGACTGACGAGCTGAGAACGGCTAACAACTTTTGAATCTTGGTCTTGTCTGGAGTGGGATGTCTTGTTCCAGATCGAGAGGGACTGGAGGAGGCAGCAGGATGGGAGTGGGGCTGGCGAAGGCTGGGAAAGCCCGGGCTGGCCTGTTTGTTTATAAAGCGCTGCCAATGTAGTCGCGAAGGGGCCAGCCAAGATCATAAAAGCAAACAGACGATCGGGCAATCACAGAGGACGTCATCGGAGAAGGCTGGATTTCGTATTGTCTCATCTATCAAAAGGTTTGCGAACTCCTGTTTGAGGGTCTCCCTATCTCTGCGTTGAAGAGAAAACGATCAATGATTGGCGGTGCGCAACTGCCCTCAGCCAGATGCAACCAGGGTTACCTTACGCAAGTGCACCACATTCCCACACAGAGGGGTCTAAAACAACTGACACGGTAGTTACTCAATCGCACACTCTGCTAAAAACGAAAAGCCCAGGAGAAATGATGGGGACGAAAGAAACGAACAATGGGCCTGCGCCCCTCGTCTCTGCCGGGCTGCAAGGGATCTGGTAGCTGGACTCAAAAGGGAAAGAAGGTCTGGGCATGGAATGGAGCCCTCTGGAACGGATCAATTCGTTGGGTAACCCTTGGGACTTGCCCATGGAAGGTCAGTTTCAGAACTGCTTCAAGACCGGCGTCGGCGACGATACAGCACCTTATGTAATCTCAGGTGCTCGAAGCAAGACCTCCATAGCCAGTCGAAGCGGGGAATTGCCCGGCCTCCCAACCTTCCCACTAACTCAAGTGAGGCTTGGCCAACTCGGTGTAGTCAAAGTGCCCAGCTCCGGTGTAACCAAAGTGGCGGCCGCACAAGGTCACGAAGCCGGCAATCTAACAGATTCGACTGGACGGCTGTGATGTTCGGTTCGGGCCATCCCGACATTGCAGAGGGACGACATGACTTGACTACCGACTTGAGAAGCAGCGCAGCAGAGCAGACCTCAGCGACTACTCCGTACTAATTTCTCCTTTGTCCAAGGTCTACGCTCGAATTGAAGTCTGCCGTTGGGCTCCGTGTTCCGCGTCGTTGGTGAAGAATGATATGTTCCAATCACGCAGGCGAAGAAGAAGGCGGTGAGGATGCTGTGGCAGAAAACCGAATTTGACCCCTCCCCCGCCTCTTTTCAATGCAGCAGGTTGATTGCGACAGCAACCATGCATTTGTGCTAGTCTTGATGGGCCAAAACGTACTTGACAGGCTCCGTACTCGGCCAGTTGCAGAGTTGAAGTGTGCCAGTCCTCCATTGGGCATCATCCAAGTCCCTTCCTTCTTCCCATTCAAGTTTGTTCAAAGATTGCACTTGCTGCTTTGTCGGTCGCCACCGCTGCCGACGGGAGGTTACCCTTTTGGCACCTGCCCGGACCGACCTTCCCCGTGAACTGCCTGGGATCTCTGAGTCACTTCAACAACTTTCACCTTTCCACCACTTCGCAGAATATACTTTTGCACTCTGTTGAAACCTCATCGGATTGCGTTCACCTCCATACCTACATCTCCGAGCTTGAAATCCGTACCTAGGTCCGATATAGCCCTGCGCATTGCACTCATTTCCCAATCCCTTGTCGACCTGGCGGCAAAATCCACCTTTCGGCGTGCTCTCTTCACGAAATTCTATATCCTCCGTCCCAACTCACCTAATACTTCACAAGCGCGTCTCACCGCGACGAACTTCCTGCTTCCTGAACTCGCCTTCCGTCCGATCCCTTTGAGAAAAATCTTCACGATGCCCGGGGTAGAAATGGCGCCTCTCCAGGCCGACGACATGAGAGGTACGATCTCCTCCAAACCGTGTTCACCATTCAAACCAGTACCAGAATTGTAGTAACACGCGGACTGTGGTCGGGTCGTTTGAGACCCACCCTCCTTTCTCTAATCTTTGTCTTGTTGTCTCTTAATTCCCATTCAGCTTAGTCTCTTGTGTCATGGATTTCGCTGACCCTCCCTCGAAAGTGTTGGGCCAGGACCCCCTCATTCCGCCTGCCCTGCTCATTTCGGAAATCCCAATGACGGATGACTCCCTCCAGACGGTCGTCAGGGGGAGACGGGATGCTGTGAACGTGATCATGGGCCGGAGCGACCGCCTGCTAGTCATCGTCGGGCCCTGTTCTCTTCACGACCCCGCTACCGCCATCGAGTACGCAACCCGCCTTAAGGCGCTCTCCGAGAAGTTCTCAGACGACCTTGTTATCATCATGCGCGCCTACCTCGAGAAGCCGCGGACAACCGTGGGATGGAAGGGCCTCATTAACGACCCGGATATTGACTCGACCTTCAAGATCAACAAGGGCCTTCGCATCTCGAGGCAACTCTTCCGTGATCTCACTTCGACTGGCATGCCGATTGCCAGCGAGATGCTCGACACCATCTCTCCTCAGTTTCTGGCGGATTTCATCTCGGTTGGTGCCATCGGCGCGCGGACGACGGAAAGCCAATTGCACCGTGAGCTCGCCTCGGGTCTGTCTTTCCCCGTTGGCTTCAAAAACGGCACCGATGGTAACCTGGGCGTCGCGATTGACGCGATTGGTGCTGCCGCCGCCAAGCACCACTTCATGGGCGTCACCAAGCAGGGTCTGGCGGCCATCACCAGGACAAAGGGCAATGAGCACGGCTTCGTCATCCTGAGAGGCGGCTCGAAGGGCCCCAACTACGACAAAGCCAGCATTCAGCTCGCAAAGGAGACGCTGATTAAGAAGGGCCAGAAGATGGCGATCATGGTCGACTGCTCGCACGGTGAGTTTCGGTCAATTATAACTATGTGAGCACATGGCTAACCCGCCACCAGGCAACTCGAACAAGGACCACAGGAACCAGCCCAAGGTTGCCAAGGTCATCGCCGACCAGCTCCGCGAGGGCGAGACTGCAATCATTGGTGTCATGATTGAGTCGAACATCAATGAGGGCAACCAGAAGGTGCCGCCTGAGGGTCCTGCGGCGCTGAAGAAGGGTGTGAGCATCACCGATGCCTGCATCAACTGGGAGTCGACCGTTGAGGTGCTCGAGGACCTCGCGGCCGCCGTTCGGGACCGCAGGAAGCTTACCGCGGGCACCCCGAATCCCGAACCGCGGACGACTCCGCTTGAGGAGGAGTAAGCAGGAAGCAAAACCACGTTACCCTCACCGACGCATGAATGTTTGGAGAGGGAAAAGGCTACAATCGGCGCTTTGGGTCAACCCCTGGCAGGTTTTGGGGGAGTGCTATTTCAACTTTAGTCGCAAAAGGTCAAGCAAAAAAAGGTTGGCAGGGTGCGCTTTTCCTTTGATGAGCATCGCGGTTGCGTTTTGCGGCGGGGGAAGGGATAGATAGTGCGCTTGGCTGGATCCTGAAAAGCAGTTTTCCGATATATCCTTTTCCATCAGGTTTAGACCTCGTAACCAAGGCGACGTGCCTCTTCTAATTTGAACCCCAGGAGACCTGCGCAGTGAGGTGACTCGATGGCGGTGGCACTTCCCGTCGTTACTTTCGTCATGTGCTATATCTCAACCAAGTAATAAGTTATAGATTCATGCATTGCTTCGCTACCCAACCAGAAAACATCAAGAAATGCTCTTATCTCGTTCTACCGGCAGCACCTCCATCATCCAAGTCTTCTAGCGGGTTATACAGCCCCGTACTACTCTCCCCTCCCCTCCCTCTCCCATTATTTACCCCCCGGCCTATGTTCTCCCCGGTCCCACCCCATCCCCCACCCGACAGCCCTCCAAGCAACGAACCAACCCCAAGCCTCCCAGCACCTCCTCCTGCTCCTCCCATTCCGTGTACGGCCGCTCCTTGCCCCTGCCCTAACCGTTGCCCGTTGCTCCTGCTCCTCTCCTTGGCCGAGTCAACGACCCTCCTCAGCGCCGCCCACCCCAACAGTCCCGCCGTGCCGAGGAGAAAACCCCAAACAATGACCTGGTCCTTGCGGCTGTCGCGCTGGAAGCAGGTGGTTTTGATGTCCTTTTCCTCGGCGTCCTTGCAGATAGGCAGGTTGTAGGAGAGGCAGAAGGCGCGGTTACATTGCTTGCAGGATGTGGACGACTCGCGGGGGGTGAGGAGCTGGTCTTTGGTGAGGGTTGTTATCGCTGTCATAGTGGTTGTTGAGGGCGACGTGGAGGTTGAGGAGGAGGGTTTGGGCGCTGGTGGTGGTGGTTGGGGGTTCTTGTTGTTGTTGGTGCCGAGCTCGATGATGTAGCTCTCTTTGCCGCAGATGCATTTGCAGAAGGAGGGGACCGCTAGAAATTTGAGTTGTGTCAGTTTGTCAGTTTGTCAGTTTTTTAACCAGAAAGACGAGGGTTGGCAGGGTGAAGTGCGGGCGATGAGGATCTCGACCGGGACGAGGTATATGAACGATGGGAACTCACATGCGATGGCGAGGGTTGCCAGGACGGCGAGGAGAATGGCAAGAGGTATTCGCGCCATCTGGGGTGGCGCGTGCTGCTGAGGCGCCTCAGGCCAAGTTGTTGGGCCGTTGACTGTCCGGCTTGGCTTGATATCTCGGTGTGCCACGATGGTTTTTGTCAGGATGAGTTGATGACAGGAGGCTCGAATCTCAAGGCACCGCGCAACAACAGCTTTCGACCCTAACCCTGTGCCTTTTTTTCGCGCTCGCGCCGCGAAGTGACGCTCGGTCGTTCTTGCATCTGTAATCCGTAGGTGTGCACGGATGTTTTACAGGCGTGCACAAACCACCTGTCTCGCAGTACATAAACGCAGTTTGCCTCCCCCGATCTTCAAACCCTTCTCTTCCTTCTTTCCTCGCCCTTCGGGGCATTTGGTCAATTTGAAACGATACAGAGAAGATTAGCATGGCCCCTGCACTAAGGATGACACGCTACTCAAAGAGACGCTACCAATTTTTTTTTTCTTTTTTCGCTGTGATCGTGGCTCAAGTCGCGACATAGGGAAGGAAATTAGGTGTTGGTTTCCAATTCGGCATGCGCAGAGGGCCGCTTCAAGCTGCCCGTTGCTTTGCTTGTTGCCAGCTGATATGTATCTTTGAACCAATCGGTCTGGCATCACGTCTCATCAGTCATCGCTCAGTCCTACTAGGACACACAGTCCCTTGGAGTTTGCCGTTCAGCTGAATCTCAGCGGCAGTTTTATTACAGTCATCGATCACCAGAAATCTGTAAACGTACAATGCCAGTCCACTGCGTTCCGATTCAGCTGTGACCATGGTACAGTTGTCAGGACGTTCCTCGACAAAACAGAACAGGTCATTCGATACATTGCTTACACCGGTGATCCCAGTGTCGAGTTCTACTGGCTGTTGTCTGGCGTTCGTCTTGTTCATGATGGTTATGTGATTATTAGCTGATCTAGGCCAAGAGAGAGCTGACTACGCCGAGTACATTCACAGATCTTTTAACAGAAAGCTCTGCTGTAAGCCACGGCACATGATGGATATGGCGTGCATATGGGTAGAGCCTGCTGCCACCCCAGCTGCATCCCAGACCGTGTGGGTTTGCGAACTCTCGGCTGCAATTACCCCAACCCATTCCTCAATCCTGACGAGGTCGAGAGTGAACACGCTAACGACTGCGGATATCAAGGACCTGTTGGGTCCCCAGGTTCTGCATCGGGATGTCGTCGTTGCCGGGTGTCTGTTTCTTGCGCAGATTCACCCAACCCAGACACAGTGATGTAGCGACGCCGAGGCTGCTGACGCCGGCAACAAGGTAAAAAACGTGGTCGATAGCGAGCGCATACGCCACCAGTACGCCAGGCAGCTCATCCTCGCTGACTAGAGCTCGGAAATGGGTCGCGCCTGCAGCGATGATGGCGGCGGCATCGGCAAGAGGCGCTTGCTTGGAAAGTCCGGACTTCAAGCTCCCTTCGAAGATGGCATCGGATGCCGCAAGCATGATTGCCGTGCCCAAACTCTGCACGAAGATGACGAATGAATTGGTTGTGGCAACGTCGGCGGGCTTGACGGAGGCTTGGACTGCCATGATGGCCTGCGTTCAACATTAGTACGTGTTTGGGGATGGGTACGCCAGGACCGCTCACCATCTGCATGCCCATGCCGCGCCCGACCCCGTTGAAGATCTGATACCCAACCCATTGGCCTGTTGCCGTCGTAGGAGACAAGGTCGAGTACATACCGTTAGAGACGGCGCCGATTATGGCAGACAGCATGGCAAAGGGGACGACATAGCCTGTCCTGCTCGCTACGGAGTGGTTAGGAAGTCAGAAATTCTGAGCAGGAGCTTGTGTGTTGTACTCACCGAGTACGCTTGCCACAGGAACAGCCGCGAGCTGGCTGAGGATGCTCGCCAAGACGTCAACACCGCTCATCATGGGACTCGCGCCTTGAACGGCCTGGAAGTAGATGGGCAAGTAGAATGAGGCGCAGAAGACGTTGGTCATCAAGAAGCAGTGGGTGAGTGCACCTGACCAAACGGGTCTTCTCTTGATGACGGAGAAGGGGACCAAGGCCTCATCTCCGAGAAACCAGTCCCATGCCAACCAAAACAAGGCCACTATGAAGGCGCCATCTAGAATCCAGATTATGCTCGCCGAGTTCCATGCGTATTTGTTGCCGCCCCATGACAACGCGAGCAAGAGCAAAACTGTGCTCAGTGAGAGCAGGAAAAAGCCGAACATGTCGAGTTCGATGTAGAGATTGCGTAGCGTGGACCATGGACTTGGTTTCTGGCACTGATCAGGAACCTTGGATAAAAGCAATCCGGCGACGAGAAGGCCACCAACGGGCACATTGAGATAGAAACACCAGCGCCATGTCGCGAAAGACGTCATGGCACCGCCTATCAGTGGGCCCACGGCGACGCCGAGCTGGCCACAGCCCAGCATGATCCCCATGATCAGGACACGCTGCTGCAAGGGCATGGCGGCCGCCGCGATGGTCAGGACACCGCTAACGATGCCGGCGCTTCCGACACCAGCGACAGCACGCCCAGCGATGAACATGCCGGAGGATACTGCGGCCCCGCAGACGATAGATCCGATTTCGAAGATGGTGAAGAAGGCAAGAAACGAAACCTTGTTGTTGAACTTGTGATAAATCCGGCCAACGAGGGGTTGGAGGACTGCGCTGGCCAGTTGGTAGATGCTCACATACCAACCGATATCTTGTAGGGAGTGGAATTCGTCTGTAATTCGAGGGATCTGGAAAGGCGAGGTTGTCAGTTTCCGGTGCTTTGGATCTCACGAGCAATACTCACCGCAGTCGCAATAACTGAGGTATCGAGCATTATCAGAAACATGGAAATGGTGAAACAGGCCGAGAGGATATGAAGCTGGCGGCCAGTCATCCACTGGGGTTCGTCCTTGGGCGCCACGGCTTCATCTTTCGAAGCATTGCTTGGGCGGCGATGCGATAACTCGGCCACCGAGGGCTTTGTCGAAGGCTGGCTTTCCTCAATTTGCAGCAGAACTCCAATGTGGATGGATGGCGGCCTGGTTGACTGCTCTCTTGACTGCTCTCCGGACTCCATTGTTGGCGGTGTTGGATTCTTGACGTGTCTGTTTGCCGTGGTTGATGGTTAGGCTGTTTGTTGTTTCGGCATGCTTGCTACTTTCTTAGGTTCAGTCGAATACAATGCAGAATTAGGTGTGTGTGACGGGTCAAAACAAATATCGGTTGCCATCGGGCAGCCTTTGACTTCGAATCTGAGTGTTCGCTCTCGGGGCAGACCGGCTCGCACTTTCCCAGCACTTATGCGACTGACTGGCTTGCCTCTCACTTCTATCCGGTGTCCATTTATCCTCCAACAAACCAGCTATAACTTTTGCCGTGCTTACCCCGTCTCCTCCAGCGCAAGGAATGAGTAACAAGTCACCATGGTGCCCAGGAAATCGAGATTCACGTCTGCACGGTTCTTCGCCTGCTTAACATTGACAAACAACATCGGTGACCGGTGCAGCTAGAAGAAGCGGATGGAAGGATGGCGGGCGGCTAAAGAAGCCACCAACAAACTTATTCTTATGAGTGAGAGCCATCAAGTTTCACAACTCGCCCAATACGACAATGAGATGTACCATACCTCGATTGTGGGATACAAGCACAAGACTCAGATGTTGAGGTCGAAATTAAGCTTCCTTGGCAACCTTGACATCTACCCTAACCCTGCCAATGATGGCTTGGAACCCTGCTCATTGCCCAAGAAAATACGGATCCGTTACTGGCCCCGCAAAGCAACCATCACAATACTCGATCAACAACAATACATCCAAAATAGCTACATATTGGATATAGGAACGTGCTCCTAATATTCCATTCAATTGCCAGTCACTCCAACCTCTAGTTCTAAGCAATCTCTGAATATCCGTGGAAATGAATCCACCCAATTGTTGATACTTTCCTGGCTTTACAGTTCCGCGGCGCCAGTCTTTTCTTGGACGGGGAGCCAGGACCGGGGCATCCGAAAGCTCCCGAAACCGTTGACAAAAGATTCTTGAACACAGAATTCGGACATTGCACGCCTGCCCGAATCCGCGCCTTTCGTGACTGAAGTTACGGAACATCCCGCCGAGAATTGGCAAGATTCTTCGGCCCCTACTTTCTGTTTTTGCCCGTGGAAGGCTTGTCCATCAGCCACTGTCTTCGACCGCTCCTGAGCCCCAACCCGTCTCCCTCACCGTCGGCAGCCCTGGGATCAGGCATGCAGTCGCCTTGACGACGTTCAGAGTTGAAGCCCATTCGTCTCAACTTTCGATCAGCCTTGTCTACAGTCAACCCAGATTTGTTTATTACGCGGCACTTAAGTACTTGCAAATCTTCCATCTTCTTTCACTTTCACTTCCACTTTCTAATATCCTTCCTTCCTTTTCTCCTTCCTCTTCATCTTCATCTTCGTTTTAGTCTTTCTTTGCCCTCTTTTCTTACTTTACATCGTTATCTTCGACATATTCTTACTTTCATTTTCCTTTCTTCCGCGTTCTTCTCTTCAACTCCAAATATTCACTCAGTAGTGCCTGCTATGCGCCAGTTTGATGCTGACGAACAAACCAGGGCTGGATTATACGCTTGAACCCTAACCCTCAGCCTCATTCGATCTATCGACGATCATGGAGTCGGAGACCAGCAATGGAGCAACAAACGGCATCCCCGCCGCGTATGGCAGAGCGTGCCAAAATTGTGCCCGTGCGAAATGTAGATGCATCTACCGGCTTGGCGGTGCCGACTGTGAAAGGTATGATATCACTCACTTGGTCTACCGGGCCGCCAATGTTGTGCCTCCATGGCGCCTATCCCGTCCAAGCCTGATGGCTGTATGCCGAGTCCTTGTTGCTGGGTCCGGCATGGTACCGAACTCCGTTTGACACCAAGGACCCTTCCGCCGGCACCCCACTCCATCATGCCCCTCGGGTGTCTCCTCTCTATTTACTTTCTGATGCCGAACTGACCGAGACTCAGATGCTATCGACTGAGCAAAGAGTGCGTGCCGTCAGTCTCGGTGCGGAAGCGCAATGGCAAGAGAGCCCATGTCTCCCGCGCCGCCCAGCTCGAGGCGAAGCTCGAGGACCTCGTCATGCTGCTCAAACATCAGACCGCGTCAGCAGACAAAGCGCCGTCTCCAAGTGACATGAAAGGCAACGTTTCTACCAGCACGCCAGCCCTGAGTGCTCGTTCGACCACCAGCCAGTCCGAGCGGAGCTCGCCTGGGTCGGTCCCCGCCGCCGCTCTGCCTCCTCAGCAGCCCGACCGTGCCCCTGGCAGAGTACTCCCCCGGGCTCCAGTTGGCCCCGGCTCTCTCCTCGGAACCGTTTTCAACCCCTCGACTTCGGCACCAGCGGCGCCCTCGTATGAGGCAGGGCCCCCAATGAGATCATCGTCCATACCATCTTGCTCATACCAGCCACAACCTCTCGAAGCCGCCGAGGACCTGACGACTTTTCGCAAGTACATGCTCATCTTTCTGCCGTTTGTGTACTTGCCCCCATCCATGACCTCCGAGAGCTTGAGGGCGATGTATCCGTTCCTTTGGTTCTGCATCATGACCGTGACATGCAAGCATGTTGATCGGCGTCTCGTCATGGGCGAGGCGGTCAGAAACTTTCTGGCCCAGAAATTGGTCATTGAGAATGAAAAAAACCTTGACCTGCTCCTTGGCTTGATTGTCATCATGGGCTGGTAAGCAAGTGCCTTTCCACCGTCGAGGATCTAGCTGGCAGCGCTGATATGTGTGCTGGGTAGGACTCATTTTTACATGAAGAGGGACAAGCCCATGCTCTCAATGCTGGCTTCTCTCGCAAAGTCCCTCGTCTTTGACCTGGGCCTCAACAAGGTCCCAGCCGAGCCATACATCGCCGCCTGCTTGAGGACGCCACTTCATCCGCCAGCAAAGGAAAAGACACATGCAGAGCGGCGAGCTGTGCTTGCATGCTTTCTTCTCACCTCTCAAATTTCCTATTCGATCAAACGACTAGATGCGCTGAACTGGACAAACCACATGGATGATTGCCTCCAGGTGCTGTCTCAACAGCGAGAGTGGGAAGGCGACAACCTGCTCGTTGCCCAAGTTAAGGTCCAGCTGATTCTTGAGCAACTGACCCGCGTTACCTCCCAGTCAACAGATGGGATACCTCCAGGCTACGTTCTGTCTGCACTTCGGGCACAGGTGCAGACAATTAGGGCTCAACTTCCACCACATCTACAACAGAACGGTGTGTCACGATGATCATGGTCTCCCCCCAATGTTCTCTGTCCGTCTTTAACATGTTGTAGACACGATCCTCAGCCACATATCCTACACCGAACTCGCAATCAACGAGGTTGCCATGTCCAAGCCAAAAATGGCTCCCCATGGGCTTATGCCCGACATGCAGCGTCACGAAGCGATGGAGGCCTGCCTCAGCGCTATCAAGGACTGGTTCAATCGGCACTTCTCGATTCCTAGCTACGTCTACATTGGAATGACGTGTACGTCAAATTCGCGCTCGTTTTTGCCCCTTTCTAAATGCCTCGGGGGTCACGGGAGTTGACTTGTCCCCAGAGCAGCTCTTTTGCTCCCGAAGAACTCCCAAGTCACCTTCATTACGCATGCAATGACTGACATGTTGGACAGTCAGTTACTGGTGGAACATGGCCCACTGCCTCCTTGTACTTGCCCGGCTCTCGGTGCTCAACGATCCGGCCTGGAACTGGCACTCAGTCAGGAACAGGATTGACATGTTCGCGATACTCGACCAACTGAAGGCTGGGTTTGAGGAGGTAGCAGCTCAGCGGCATCTGGCCACGGGCCCGACCGTTGAGGAGGATACCTTCTCCAAGTACGTCAAGATGGTGCAGACAATGAAGAACAACTGGGCGCCGGACCTCGCTGGTACGGAAGTGTCTTCGATGCCGAACGCGCCGACGGTAGCAGACGCCTTCATCGACAAGAGCGCCGAGGCGTTAAATGTGCCGTTCTTCCAACCGGACGACTCGGAAACGTGGATTGCCGGCCTCTTCGACATGAATTGGGACATCTAAGTCTCTCCCACTGTGGGGCGGGAATACGCTCAAGAAAGACACAAGGGCTGAAAGGCTGAACAGCCAGCTCCCGAAAGAGGTGGTTGCCTAGCAAATTCTGGGACCGCCCGGTTCTGGTTCGCGGTGGGCGGATGGACGTTCGAAAATCGACATTGGTGTGGCGAATCTAACCTCCCTCTCGGAGGGCACCTTGTCCCACGGAGATTTGAGCTCCTCCTGGTTAGGCCATAAGCCGGTTTGAGGAGGCGCGTTCAGGAGCAGGGTTGTGGACTGATAACGTATAGGGCGGCGAGGGGGGACTGGAAGGTGAGTCCGCAGTCCAACTATTAGCAACTCTTGTCTTTGATCACTTTATATCTCCCAATTTCCCTTTCTTATATTTTCTCTTCTTTCATTCTCTCTTCCTTTTCTTCTTTATCCTGTCTTCTCTCTTTCCCTCTCTTCCTCTTTCCTTGTCTTCCTCTTTATCTTTGTCTTCCTCTTCTGCTTCTCTTAGTTTTGATCCTCCGAATCTATATCTTCCTTCTCATTGTACTTTCCTTGGATCTCATCTTCCAATCTATCCCTAGGTGGCTGCCCGCAATTTACCATGCTAACGGAGAAACCAGGGCTGGACTGTACTTTTGGAGTTGCAATTCGGAATGGGGGACCAAATATGGCATTGCATGCTTGAAACGGTTTCAGTGGGAATGGAAACGCAAAAGCAGTCAGTTAATCTGTTCTAGGGTGTCTCGAGCCCTTTCTACCCGCGTGTACAGCAACACACCGCTCAACAAATACATCCAAATCGTCACGGCAGCTCCACATGGCTGCGTCGTGTAGGCGACCCCCCTTCAACAACCACCATCATCGAAGGCATCGAGCGCCGCGGCGGCGACCCAACAAGCTCGGCGACCTGCGACCATCCGCCGCCAAAGTGCGCTACACTCGAGAAGCTGATGGCCCGCGACTTGTTGCCGCCAGGGATCATGTACGCAGGCAGCTCCGGGCTGCTGCACATGTCAGGGTGGTACGACGGGGCCCGCGACTGCAGCGATGTTGGCCGCTGCCCTGCCATTAGGATGCTGCTCTCCGGGCGGTAGGGTGTCATGGGCGACACGGGCAACACCGGCTGCCCTGGCGAGAGAGGATATGTCCCGAACGCGCTGACGGGCCGTGCTTCGCCTAGATTACCTTCTTGTAGCCATTGTTGTTGTTGCTGGGGATATTCCTTCCCAGAGTGTTCAACCCCTGGCTCGCCAGGCAGCGTGCCCGCCGGCGGGATCTTGTACCGTGTCTCGCTCGGAGCGGCGGTCATGCTACTTGGTCGCCTTTCCTCCACGACATCCCTGCTTTCGGTTTCGGGGTTTATTTCGTTCGGGCCGTCCTCACCAGCGGCAGGCGGGGGCATTTTCGGTTCCGCGTCCGACATGGAAGACATGCCCTGGGGATAGTCGGCCGTGACCACTGCGCCGCGAATCCCACCTTGTCGTCTGCGCCAGAGGAGGAAGGCGGCGGCGGCTATGATGGCGACGAACGCTACTGCTCCAGCGGCGATGCCCGCTGCTGCGCCTGCGGAGAGGCCGCTGGGTTTGTTTTCGTCGGCTGATGGCGCCGTTTCGGATGGGGATCGAGATTGGGATTCGGAAAGTGTGGAGGAGGCAGTTGCGGTTGCGGCTGAAGTTATGCTGGTCCTTCGACGCGTGGTCCTTTTTGTGGTTTTGATCGGGTATGTTGACGGGTGCGTTCGGGTTTGCGATGTCCGCCGTGTGGTGGTGCTGTCGTCACCGTCACCGTCATCGTTCTTCCTCGTGGAAAATGATGATCGGGACCGGGTGGTACTGCTGCTCCGGCTACAATGGAGGACGCTTCGCCGGACGATGTCTGTGTCTTGTCTAGCGGCTATTGTTGCGGCGGCATCGCTGTTACGGGGTGCGAGGACGGGCTGGGCTGGCAATCAGCGGGACATGAGAAGGATACGAACCGAGAAGAGGCTGGAAACGCACTGCTGCCGTCCTTGAAGCGATCAACTGCACGGATGCAAACCCGACACTGACGGCGGCGGCAGTCAACAGAGACAAAAATGTTTGTGCTGGCTTCATTGATCAAGTTGGTCGATGTATTGATCGACTACTTACGCCCCGACCTTCGTTTCGAACTCTTCTGACTGCGACTCGAGGTTCTGCGGGTGCGCATTCTCTGGAGTCGGCTTTGTCTCGGCGGTAGAGGGATGAGTGATCCTTGATCCTCGATTGAAGAGGCAGAAACTGGAAGGTCAAACGGGAGTGGATGACTGCCGGTGTGCTACACATACCTGGCTTATGAGAGTGGCCTGCGACGGATCCTGCGTTATCATGCAGGTTGGGTTGTTGAGGAGGCCGGGTCAGGCCCTTACTGTTGTGTTGTGTCATTCGCCATAATGTGGTCGGCCCGGGGAGTGTCTGTCTGGGCTGCCATTGCTGCTATCGAAAAAGATGGGCAAAACAAACATGGGACAAGAATAATAGAGCATCAGTCTGAGGCTCGAGATTCTTCACTTTTGACCTTCTACAGCCATGTAATTCTCTCGAGCAGCCCAACGGAAGCATAGTCGAGGACAGCAATATCTTCGTGATCGATTCTCAAACACGGCCTGCTTGCCACAGGGCAGATTGGCGTATCAGCTGTGGCCTGTGGGCTAGGTTACGAAGGCGACCGGACGCCGGGCCGGACTGCTGGAGGGTTCGTCTGCCGGATCACCCGGCCGGCCGGCTGGTAATTCATGGGCGGGCCGTCTGCAGCACGTCCCAAGTCGGCAATTTCCATTTCCCTTCATCCTCAATTCGTCTTCTCGGCTCTCCGTCAGTCCGTCCAAGTGAATGACTGTGAGAAACGTTAAAATAAGTCATTTCTGTTTCATAGCGGCCTTTTCTCCAGGTTGGCACCACCGCTTCTGGGTGTAATTCATGCTTGCGGCAGGTAAAATTACCGCGCGGCCCAAGTCGGAATAGCGGGCAGCTACTCCGTTTCCCATTCGAGTTTGCTTTCGCAATATTCGTACCTTAGGTGAAATAAGAAACGGACGAACTGCTCTACAGTAAGCAAGTTATGGACGAAGGTAGCCAGGTAATCGGTACAATCTATCCGCACTGCAAGTCAAGACGACGACAGCGTCGAGCATTGAAGGGAAGCTTCCATGTTGCAGTTTGATGCAGGAACAGTTCAGGAACGGGCATGAGACGTTGTAATACATAAGAAACGCATCCAGGTGCCAAAAGGACGCCTGTTTTATCGTCCTCACTCCTCCACTCCCGGCAGCGATCCACCTCCGGCTTCCAGAATCCGGGCCAATAGAAGCCGCTACCGAGCCGCAATCTGCCCCAAGCTTCCCCGAGCTCCCTAAGCTCGCGCTCCTTCTACCAACGTTCATATGTTCCTGCTCCGTCGTTTGAATCATTGCAGCTTTTTGGTTGAGCATGCGTTGCGATGAGAAATGTGGCTTCCCGTTTAGATCTGGATAAATCCCCATCACCAGAACTCTATCTTACTCTTCTAAACTTCTGCTCAGGTCAACTCTTGCAATTGAACCCGAGAACCAGCTCGTAGCTGTTGCAGCCAAAGATGGACGAGACGGACGAGACACGCCTGAACAGGCCCAACGACATTCCACGGCCTTCCAAGATACCCGTGCAAGCATCCAAACTTCCGGTTCCCCGTACGAACTCGCTTCGAACCACAACCTCACGAGAAGTCCTGGCGACGGGCCCTCCAACCGGGGCCCTGCGAAACCCAAAGCTCCGGGCGGCGCCTTCTCGCGACCAGTTAGCCCCCCCGTCTCCCACCACACCGCGTACTACGAGCCGGGCGCAACGCTCGTCAGCTCCCCTGCGTGCTGTGTCGTCACCTCAAAGCCGCGCATCCTTGACGCAGACGCCGGGAGGCCATACACGGACGTTGAGATCTGGGCAGGCCACTGCCGCCCAGTCATCAAAACTCGCAAGAGCGGCAGGTCAGCCAGCAACTCAGGCAATTCGATTGAGTTCCGCCACTACGGGCTCATTGCGGCGTCAATCCTCACAACAATGGATCTCTTCGGCAGGTGTCACCCTAGAGGAGGCGGGCTTGGGCGAACATGGGACGCTAGTCGATGATGATGCTGCTGAGGAGGCCGGCCCCACGTCTCCCTCAAAGCTGCGACCAACGCTTGCTGAAAGGACCATGGAGACACTGTCTCGCTTGCCGTCCTCGCCCTCAGTCAAAGGGAGAGGCGCCGCCTCGTTCTACGACGCAACAATCAACGCGGGGGGGGCCCCATCTCGCCCTGGGTCCAGCCATCAATCAGACGGATCAAGCGGGCAAGCGAAGACTGGTAGTAGACCGGGTTCCAGTTACGGCATGGAGGAGTCCGTTTCTAGTTTCCGCGCTCAGAGTGCCATCTCCAACAACCAGCTACCCACCACTGAGGGCACGCAGCTACGCAACAGGAGGAGTATCCAGTCGTTCCAAACGCAATCAGTCAAGAGCACATCAGCGAAGCCAGCTCGGGCGTCCATGTATGGGATACAGCCACCCAGCGCGCTCCCTGTTCCCAGAATGAGGACTCCGAGCCCAGGGAAGATCGATGTTGAAGTTCCAATCGCCAAGTCTGCCTCAAAAACCTTGGCGGCGCGGCCACCGACTAAACGTCCCTCGATCAATGGCTTGCGCAAAAAGCCCTCGGCCCCGGCACTGGGGAAAGCACTTGCTGCAGACACACCAAGGAAGACGTCACTAGCATCGCGGGGATCATCGGTGGCTTCTTATGAGGGAACCACTCCTTCCAGCGCATCAGTTGCATCTGGCAGCACAGCCATCACCTCGGACTCGGCCGAGCCTGGCCTGACGTATAGGAAGTCGTCGGCAGCGCTGCGTGAGCAAATCGCGAAGGCGAAGGCGGCCAAACGAGCCGCGGCGCAGCATGGCCCATCCTCTACCACCGGACCAGTTTCCGAGAAGTCGCCGCTCGTACCCACCGACGCGAGTTTTGCTTTCGGCTTATCTGCCGACCCGTTCAACCAGCATCGCGATGACAAGTCGCAAGCCAAGGTGCTCAAAAGCCGCTTGGAAACGGCAAGAACGAGCGGCCGGCTTAACATCGCCGCCATGGGCTTGAGAGAAATCCCCGCAGAGGTGCTCAACATGTATGATCTCGAGTCCATTGGCCAGTCTGGCAGTGCTTGGGCCGAGAGTGTCGATTTGACACGCTTCGTTGCCGCCGACAATGAACTGGAGATGATCAGCGACGCGGTGTTCCCGGATGTTGACCCGCAGGAGCTTGCGGAGCAGGATGATGCTCAAGAAAACATTTTTGCTGGTCTTGAGACACTGGACCTTCACGGAAACATTCTCATCAACCTCCCGATGGGCCTGAGGCGCCTGTCCCTGCTCACATCCCTCAATTTGGTACGCAATTTGCGTTTTCTTGGGATATCTGGGTGCTGACATAAAACAGTCATTGAACCGGCTGTCCAACAGCTGTCTCGAGGTGATCTGCCAAGTCACGTCCCTCAAGGATCTGAAGCTCGGAGGGAACCTTCTGTACGGACCACTTGATCCATGCTTCTGCAAATTAGAGAATCTCGAGATATTGGATCTGCACGGCAACAACATCTCATCGTTACCGTCCGACATTGGCAGTCTCTCTCGCCTGCGGATCTTGAACCTCAGCGAAAACACCTTCGAAGAGTTGCCCTTTGAGCTTCTTGCTCGTTTACCGTTGACGGAGCTGGTTGCTCGCAAGAATCAGCTTCACGGCACGCTGATTCAAGACACCGTTGATACTCTGCCAACGCTACAAACGCTCGATGTCTCATCCAACCAGCTAGTTCACATCTGCTCGGCAGGGAGGACGGTCGCAATGCCTGCGCTGCGCCAGCTTTGTATCTCCATGAACCGGCTCCAGTCGCTGCCCAATATCAGCGGCTGGACGGGTCTTCTCACCCTGGCGGCGGACGAGAACAACATCAATGCCATTCCGGAAGGTTTCGTGGCACTCGGGCAGCTGAGGTCAGTCAATTTCTCAAGCAACGACATTCGCGTCGTCCCTGCCGAGATTGGACGAATGGATAACTTGGTCAATCTGCGACTGAGCGGCAATCCGCTGCGAGAGAAGAAGTTCAGCACCATGAGTACCGATGAGCTGATGCAGACTCTTGGTCAACGGCTGGAGTCACCTCCTGAGGAGGCCGGACAGCAATTGGAACCGGCGCCCAGCAACAGCAAGGACACATATATGACCGCGGCTGAGGAGTCAGCAGCTTCCGTGGCTCGGGACCAGGACCACTACGCGGATGACGACGACAGTCGTTCTGACCTGGACGATTTTGCCACTCCGCCGACATCTGCACCCGGTTCTCCCGCCGGCTCGCGGTCTCAAATTGCCACATGGGAGGTCAAGTCCGGCGGCGTCCTGGACCGCTCCAACACCGAATCTTCTTCCCTTCACCCGGTCATCTGCTCCAAGCTCGCCACAACCCACAAAATCTACGAGGTCCAGCTGCACCATAACCTCTTCACGGGCTTTCCCGAATCCCTCACTTTCTTCGCCGAGACCTTGACCGCCCTCTCTCTCGCGTACAATCAGCTCATGGGCGAAACCTACCTCGGTGGCTCCACCAACAACGAGGTTTTGGACCTCCCGGCCCTGAAAGAACTCAACCTCACCCACAATCACATCACCGGCCTCGCCCCTCTTACGACCCACCTCCGCGCCCCGCAGCTGCAGAAGCTCGACATCAGCTTCAACCGCGTCGCGGCGCTGCCGCAGGGCACACAGCTGAAGGATAGCTTTCCCAATCTCACGGTGCTGCTGGCGTCGAACAATCACCTGGCTGACCTTGATCCGGAGGCGATTTGGGGGTTGAAGGTCGTGGATGCGGCGAACAACGATATTGCGCACTTGAATCCGCGGATCGGGCTGCTCGGTGGCCAGGGAGGGTTGGAGAGGTTGGAGGTGAGCGGGAATCGGTTCAGGGTGCCGAGGTGGAATGTGCTGGAACGTGGCACCGAGGCGACGCTGAGGTGGTTAAGGGGAAGGGTGCCTGTTGCGGAGACGGCGGGTTGGAAGGGGGAGGATGGGGTCGAGGGGAATGAGTTGGACTGAAACGGGACGATGTTTTTAGGTTTGGATTTGCTTTCTTCAGGTTGTATAATACCCTTCTTGGTTTTGTACTTTGGCTTGGTGACTGCGTTGTGTTCGCTTCACGTTTTTATCAGCGTTTCTCTTCCAATTCTTTTTCTGCTGTATCAGTTCTGATACCAACCTGTTTTGGGTTCAAATGTTTCTCCTGGACGTTTGCACGGCACCTTCGTCACTGTTCCTCTGCTGTCCCAGTGTACCTCTCTTCTTCTTCTGCTGTATAAAATCTAAGACTGAGCAGTTTCGTGATGTTTTCTGTTGTACCGGTTTGGCCCGGCATGTCTCAGGGGAGTTTAGGGTCTTAAAATCTCGATGGGTCCTGCTGAGGAAGTGTTCGAGATTTCGTTGTATTACTAGCTTGGGTTAGATGGGCAGATATGGCAAGACGCGCCAAGGTGGCTGTAAGCACAGAAACAGAATATTTGGCAAGCTGTTCCGAAGAGCCTTTGGGGGCAGTTTCATCATGGTCTGCATTTCTTACCGTTCAAAAAACCACGCTTATCCTCCATCTACCTTCCAGAGATCCTTTACATCAGGATACGGCACGGTGCGCGAAGGTCATCTCGTTGTTTCTACCGCGTCGTCCGTGGCTGCGGTTTCTTCCTCAGTTGGCAGTTCGGCCAAGTCTCTAGCATGCTGTTCTGTATGGTGTCATCCTCTCCCAGATCCTCCCCCCCAGCACCCTATCGTCTTTCGCTCTCCAAGCCGCAAGCATCTTCTACAACTACAACGACATAGCGAATCTAGCCACATCTCCTAATGTCAGACAACAGCGATGCAATCGATTCCGCAACAGACAAGATAACTGTCTAGCCAACACCGCCCTACCTTTCTCCGTCGCCGCTGTCCCCCAACACTGTCCTTTCTTCTGAACCAGCCATCACCCAAAACCTTCCAGACCCAAATTCCATCAATCATCACCCCGCGCGTCCGCAGAGATATCGGGCTCCTCAATAACCTACTTCAACGACTCGGTGACCCCTTCCGCGTGGGGCATCCCCGTCACCTCACTCCTCCAATCCATCACCTTCCACCCGAGTCAAGCCACAGTCGAGCCTCAACTGAGGACCACTTCAGACTCCTGCCCGCTGCCGCCCGCGACCCCACCAGATTACTATATCGACCTCTATACCAGCATGCTCGCCTGCATGAACGAGTCTGACCAACAGCGAGGTTGGGCACAGAGCACAGAAATAGCAAGATGAAGCGCCGGCAGCAGCAGTATACGGAGGGGGAGGAGCTGGAGGGGATGACAAAGATGAGATCCTACAACAACAGCAACAACTGGTCCAGCTTGGGCTCGAAGAAAGCTGGTGGTGGAGAAGGCGATGCTCTGCACCCTGTGTTTCTTGATCCTGATGTCACTCGGGGATTGGTACCTCGATTGGCTTTCAAGGTCTGCTGCGCCCGCTGCTGATGGCGCATATTGTGGTACTGAGACGGTGGTGGCTGGGGTGGATGGTGCAAATGTTGGACTGAAGGAGGTGGTTGGGAGACACTCGGCCGGCGAGGGCCGGCGGAGAACATGTAGAGGGGTAGTGTCCCCCATGGCCACTTCATCCATGGTGCTTGGCGGCTTGTTGTGTACGGTAAGACTGAGAGTGAGCCTGTATTGGTCGTGTTATGAGTGGATGAGGCGGTCCCTGGTTGGGCTAGGAGTGAAACTCGTGTCCATTGGCTGATGAAAATGTTGCTGTAAGCGGAAGAGCCAGTTGGGCGTTGGGGTCGTGGGACGCAGGCTCACTGCAGTTCAAATTGTGTGGGGGAACAAGAGAATTTTCCTGGAGAGAAGGACGTGCTCGACGGATGTCCACAGCGTTGATTCGGAAGAAATACGTATAGCTTTCATGTATCTCTTGGTCGGTAATTCTTCGTTGCCCTGATACCTTTCAAATGCTGCTTCGTCCTGTTTTTCAGGTTACTCTCACTGCCCAAGTTTATTGATTTACCCCCTGAGTATCAACCCAACTGGTCGCTGAGGGGCTTGACCTCACTTTTGACTCAATCTGACCCTGAAGTGTACCCGACACTGTGCATTATACACACTTGGATGAGACTTTACTAGTCTAAATCGCCGCTAGTTTTCCATGACTGAAGCTCTGGTTTGTTATAGGAAACAGAGCCCAAATAACCCTAACCCTGTTGACTTGCCCCTGAATTTCAAGAAACGCGGTTCGCGGCTCAATGCACCATCCCCTTGGCAGCGAGCCCTTCACTCGCGACGACCGACCAAAAAGTGACCTATCTTCGACATATTAACATCAGCACGCCAGTGTTCCACCGTCACACTGTCATTTTTTTCCCGTGCGTATCGCCTTTTCTGAATCGAATCTTGATGAAATTATGGTCGTCTCCACCGGAAGCCAATTGTTCAATTGACTGACGACAACAAAGCACCCACACCACACAACCTCCACCTGTCCCATCTTCCACCCCGAAAGCTCCAGCACACCATGACGCGCGCACAGCAGACCATCTCCATCGCGCTCCTCGTGAGCTCGGTACGTTTTGTATCTAACAGGCCTAAACTGCCCGCGAAACGCTAATCGTCTTTGCGCAACTGCAGCTCTACCTCTGCCTCTACCTTGAGCTGCTCCCACTCCCACCCGCCGTCCAGCAGGACATTGTCCCAGTGGTATGTCGCACAACACACACCCGCCTCGCCATATTTGCGCAACTGCACATGACAGACCAATACTGACGCCGAATGTATTTACAGCTCCCGTTCTGGTTCCTTGTCTCGTTCGGCGCCTGGCTGCTCTTCCGCCTCGGCTGGGGCATGCTCACCTTCCGCGACACGCCCGACGCATACGCCGAGCTGATGGAGGAGATCAAGATGGCCAAGGCAGATTTGCGGACCAAGGGTGTCGATGTTGACTAGGGAAGTTTTGGAGAGAGCATGCGACGGCAGCGGGAGGAGAGAATAGAACGGGATGGCTAACACAGCGGCTGTATAACAGACGGTCTATGAAATAATGCGCATGTGGTTGGTTGATTTAGACGGAGAGCCATGACAAGCCCTCTGACTCTGTTGCTAACTGGTCTTACCGGCACGGCGAATGGGTTACAGGTTTCAGAAAACCTTGGTTCGAGATGAGGAATTGTGAGCCCACGGTCACGGGTGCTCTTCGTCTCCAGGCGGAAGCACTCTGGAAGTGTCTGACTTCAAAAGAACGGTATTTGCCCACAGGTACCTTAACCCCCGCGTAAATTCCCTATCCCAGGGCACAGATGCAACCCATGTAACACCCATCACAACTGAGTTCATGACCTTGCTTCTCCGGCGAGTAGGCACACAATCGTTCTGACGGCAGTTAGCGGCTCTTCGCTGCCCTCGATAAGCTCGTCAAACAGCTTAGGCAGACCCGACAACTTCCCCCTCTCATCATGTTTATGCCCTGGCGCTTCATGTCAGCATCCAAAAGACCGAAAAGAACGAGATGAGAGGCTACTCACACTTTCCCGGCACACCAACCAACACGCCAACCTCGCTCCTCGCCTCGCCCGTCCAGTCGAACCCAATCCGCCACTGCACCCTTAACGTCGACACCTGCCCGTCCCCGCCATCCAGCGCCGGCACCTCCAAGTCCATGGACGTCCTTCCCATAAAAGGCAGCAAATCCGCCGTCCCGTACTTCTCCACCCCATCTTCTTCCTCACTGTCACTATGCCTCTCCTCCTCCTCCCGACCCTCTTCCCCGGCAACCCACAGCTTCCTCCTCCTCTTCCGCCCTTTCTTCCTCCTTCCAGCCCTCCTCTGCCTCGCAACCATCTCCCTCAGTGACTCCTTCCCCGCGCACACCTCCCGCTCCAGCACGCTCCACATCTTCGCGCGCTTCACTGCCACGCGCACCCACTCGCCCATAGCCCACGTCAGCACCCCGACATTGTTGTGCAGCCCACTACTTGGCGGTACCGCCTTCTCGCCCGCCTGGCCATTCGTTTTCGTCACGACCCTCTCCACAAACGGCCTCAGTTCGGCTTCAGCGGCTGGGTCGAGCCGCGGCACCGAGAGCTCTGCGATGGCCATCGTCTTGGTGTTGACTGTCATCTCGAGGCGGGCGGTGAACAAACCCCTGGGGGAGGTAGAGGAGGCGGTGATTGTGTGGTGCTGGAGAATGGGTTTTGAGAGGTCTTCTTCACCTTCGTTGGTGGTGGTGCTGGGGGGCAGTGGCGAGACGTGGGAGGTGAAGGTAAGCGGGGTGAAGACCTGCAGGTAGGGAAGGGCTTCGGCGGCCGTCATCGGGAGCGGGTGGTGCGAGACGGGAGGGGCGAAGTCGGTGTCCGGATGGGAGGGCGGTTGTAGAAGGGACAGCGCTCCCGAAGGGGAGTGCTTGCTGAAGGGGAGGAAGGTGATTGGATTAAGGGCGGAGGCGAGCCAGGGTTCAACGGGGTACGGTTTGGTGGGTTTTTCGTTTGGCGGAAGGGCGCGGCGGCTGAGGAGGTCAAGGATGTCGTGTTTATTGGAGGGAGGGGAGGCGGCGCGTCGGGAAAGCCGTGCCTGGCGGATGCGTTCATTCTCGCGACTCGCGACAGTTAGGTCTCGCTCCAGTTGACTGACCTCGGCCATCAGAGAGTCACGGAGTTTCTTCTTCTCAGCATCGGGATCAGGGAATTTCAGGCCGCGTAACTCGGCATTTGTTGGTGGTTCACGGGAACCGCTGGGTAGGAGGGTCTGGGACCCGTTGGCTGGGCGGCTGAAATCCAGCTGTATATCCTTTTGAAGCTTTCCTGGGGGCCGTAGCGGCGATTGCTTGAGTGGCGAGGAGCTTTTAGGCCTCTCTGCCAATGTTCTGCTCCGCTTACGGCGCCGCGAAGGTGTGTTGTGTATTCCCGACGGAGGTGTGCTGACGACAGGGTCGGGATGCTCTGGAGTCGGGGGTAATTCCGGCTCAGGAACGACCACTTCGGGAAGAACTCCAAGAGATGCAGCGGGTCGCAAGCGCCCAGAAAAGGCTCTCAACAGCTCGTCATCCTCCTCGGGCGCTGGTGGCGGGAGCGGTCTGGGCGTCGGTCTCGTCGGGGTCCAACCTGCGCCGGATTGTCTCGCTGGTGACCGGAGAACACTGCCGCCTTCGGATCCAGCCTTTGGTCCGTCCTTGCCTGCAGAACGCAACTCGAGTTTAGTCCTCATTGCCCTCGTCAAGCTTCCCGTACTATCGGGCGTGGCTGCGCGCGAGGCCGCGGGAGGCGCATCGGGAGAGGATCGTACGGCCCGAGGTTGGCTTTCCCCCTTTCTCACAATTTCCGGGTTGAAGCGCTCCAAACTTGCTCTTGTTGGCGACGCAAATGAGGGTCGAGCAGGCGATGAGTCAGGCCGGGGCAGGGGGTCTCGGGGTGTCGTCGACTCGGCATGTGGCTGGGCGGACACTGCAGTCCGCGGCGACGTCCTGCGCCTCTTGGGGGCCGAGGTTTCCATCGCGGGGCAATCAAGCTCTCACTTACGCCGTTATACTCGGGAGCCGATTCGGCGCGAAATACCAGTCGACGGCGCGTTGAAATGGTGGGGTCATTGTGGTTCTCAGATCGAATGGCAATTGTTTTTGTTTGGATTGGATGTTGCATCGCCAGGGAGCTTGAACAGACAGTGCGTTTAATCCGAATACACTGTCTTTGCCCCACATCGACCACCACGTATTGGACAAGTGTGCCCATGGAAGACAACGAATGAATGGGAGACAGGTTGAGAAGCTCAAACAGAGTACCTATTTGATGTCCATACCAATTACTTATGTGTACATGACATTTGATCTCCAGCTTGATCTTTGCTTCGATATCCGGCATTAGCAATGACTCGAGTGGCTAGATCACGTGCGCCTGCTCAGAACTGAACCCTGGCTTGGAGCTGATCTATGCTCCCGATGACGTTTTGGCCTCGGCAATCCCCGACTCTGGCTGGACCCTGCTCCATCCGAAAAATCATCAATTTGCGCCGTCCGATGACCAGCGAACTAGTTCTTGTTGTCTCGTTTCCAAGCTGGCGCCACTTTTAATGATCCTGCGAGAACACGCACGGTCAATGCTGTCGTCTTTTGCAGCTGCCATCCATTAATATAACGACAGGAAACGACCAAATAACGTTCACCATGCGGCGGACATTTCTCAGCGCACGGCCGTCGCGCGCCGTTTATCACGCTTTCGTCGGTCAACGAGCGCGACGCACGTATGCCACGGTGCCCACCAAGGATGACTCCCCGCCGTCGCCAATTATGCCGTCCAAGGAGCAGGCGCACCCTGTCGGGCCCTTTTACGAGGCCATCCTCCGCACTCCCAAGCCATTCCCCCAGAAGAAGCCTGAAGAGCCGCCGGTGACATCCCAGGAGTCGCCCGCGGCCGAGGAGAAGCCCTCGCAACCGGCAGCCGAGGACAAGGCGGCCGCTGACGAAGACAAGAAGCCCGCGGCACGGCGCCCTCGCAAACCGAAACAGCCCGCCGCCGCCCCCAACAAGGACGAGACCCCCAAGGCCAAGTCGGTTCCCTCTTCATCCTCCTCTCCCTCATTCATACCTACTCCTTCCACCCCGGAGACCCGAGCAGACAAGAACCCGCCATCTAACAACGACCCCGCATCACAGGCCCGCATCATCATCGGGTCCCGCCTAGCCGGCCCCGCCGAGCGCGCCGAGCGGCTGGCCCGCCTCCGCGCCGAGAGCCGCCTCGTCGCCGGCGTGCTGGTGCCGCCCAAGCCCGAGGAGCCCGACAACTGCTGCATGAGCGGTTGCGTCAACTGCGTGTGGGATCGGTACCGCGACGAGATGGAGGAGTGGGCTTTTCGGAGCGCCGAGGCCGAGCGCAGGCTGCGGGCGATGGAGGCCGGCGGGCAGGTCGGCGCCACCGAGGAGAGTTTTGAGGCGGTGGAGGAGCGCGGGCGGGGGATGCAGCTGGGCGTGCATGACGAGGTTATGGATCGGATGGATGAGGATGGCGGTGGTTCTTCTTCCTGTGTAACTCTGGGCTGGGACGGGGTTAGTAAAGGCGGGGCAACGGGGAGGATTGTCAAAGATTTCTGGGATGAGGAGCTGTATAAAAACGTGCCGGTGGGATTTAGAGAGTTTATGAAGCAGGAGAAGAGGTTAAAGGAGAAGCATATGCGAGAGGCGACAATGGGTGGGTAAAATTCCGTCTGGCAGTTGTATTATTATACCTTCTTTCAGGCGGCCTTTGATAGAGTGGAGATTGGGATATATACCTAATAGATTCTCGTCACTCGGAGCAAGAAAATGAAGAGAATATGGGTATTTCGATGTGCCCTCTATCTATCCCTTTGCCCAAACTCACACTCACATTCACCTGCTAATAACCGCTGGTGCCAACATGCTTCTCGCCAGTAAACTCCGTCAAAAAATGCTCGCTGCTGCCAAACCAGGCGCCGAGTGCCTGCTATACTTATTGGGAGAATGCACAACCCAACCCATACTTCTGTAGGGCACGTGTGATGCGCCGACCTCTGCCTGCCCCGGCCAACACACACGCCGTATGTATGTAGTGTGCCTGATTTGTCTCCCTTCTGCTTGTTTTATGCTGTATGGTTTGTATTCACGAATCCTGCTTGGCCTTGGCCGCGGCAGCATTCCGGTCGTGCTCATCGATATCCATCGCCTCCCAGGGGTAGCAAATCCACTCGTCGCCCACCGTCCGGGCCGCGAGGTACCGGCCGTTCGTGATGTTCTCAGGCAGGGTGCCCTTCTTTGGCTTGTCCTTGTTCTGTTCAAGTACCGCCGTGTCAGCCGCACGCTCAAGAGGTCTGACCGGGAAATGAAACGCACATGCAGCACGAAGATGCCAAACTCGGTCTTGAGATCGCTGCCCATCTTGGCGCGGGCCTCCTCGACGTCCTTCTGCAGCTCCTTGACTGCGTACTCGAGCGTGGTGCGCGTGTCGTCGACCTCGTCGACAATCAGCACGCGCTTTCCGACCAGGCTGGACATCTCGCCCAGCGCCGAGAAGTCGAGCCACTGTGTGCGCGTCACTTTTGTGCCGGGGGCCTCGACGGCATCGTCGGTCGAACCCGACAGGCGCTCGTAGAGCGAGAGGCCGATGGCCTGGATGGGGATGTTGGGGCTGCCGGGCTGCTTGAGAAACGAGCGCAGGATCCGCGCCGGGACGTAGCCGCCGCCGCCAATGGCGATCATCAGATCTGGCTTGAAGTCGGCCAGGATCTTGGGCGCCGACTCCTGGCACAGCTTGTGCACCTGTTTGATTGCGACGACATTAGTCCGACCCTGTTTTCCCGGAGCGTTCAAAGGAAATGGAGGAGGCGGCGCTCACATCGTTGTACGTGACATAGAGTTTCTCGACCATTTTGGCGGCTGGTGAGGTGGTTTGTCTCACAACAGATCGCGTGGGATGCAATGGCGGGGCTGGATGCGAGTCTTCCTTGTGAGACAAACCCTCGAGGTTAGAGGGGGTGAACTGGCGAAAACTGTTGGCTATCGACTCAAATCAGCAGTATATAGAAACGCAGAAGATCTTCGAGTCGGAACTTGACGCAAAATAGGGGAATCTGTGAGAGGCATGTGCTTCAGAGACAGAAAAAGTTTCCCTCGATCTCAACCCCACCCTGGATGGGTCCGGGACGCCGGACGGGAGCTTCAGGCAACAAGAAGAAACGCTCCACTGTCCGGCCGGGGTTTTCGGGGCTCCATAGTTGGCAGCCCGGGCGAAGGCGCTAACGAAGAGGGGAACTTGTTGTGACTGAGCCGCAGTCCCTGTGCAGTAACTCGAGGATGCACCTTAACTGAATCGGGGTTCCCACATGCACAAGACGCTATGGCTATGCACTTACCATGCAATATGGCCCATGAAGAGCTTGTCGGATGATCTCTGTAGCGAAGGTCCAGCGAACGCAGAACGTGTAATCCGTGTATGCAATTTCCCGCACCTGCTGCAAACCTAGTGCCACGCAGCCTTGGTCGCAGCGCCGACGCATTTCGCCCGGCCTTGTTCATCACCAGCGCCGCAGTGCCCGTCGTCCTCAACCTCCCCGATTGCAAGCTATGTCCAAGCTCATCTACCTCTCGATTCATGCAAGTACCAGTGCCATATCGTCTGATGGAGTACGCAATTTCGTGGCCTTGGTGCTTTTTGTTAGTGTCGAATGTCATAGACGACAGACGGTGTTCCATTCCGGCGCGTCGGGAACTCTGAGCGTCCCACATCCGACTCTGTCTTCCTTTGAGAGTACCTACTAGCCTACAATTCAGTTACAAGCGTTCCGTTATTGTGTCTTATGTTGCATAATTTCGCGCTCTCTTTGACAACCGGCCATGTTCGGTTCCCTTGCTACAGCTTGCGTGCCTCAGCCAGCCACCTTTTCCGTTCGTCCGCCGGCGGGATATAGTACCCTTCCTCGACTCACGCTGTGGATCCACTTCGCGGATCGCGTACCACAGAGTGCGGGTCAAACTCGCACAACCCTCGATGAAATCGGGGCTGGTGACAGAATCGTTGTGTGCGTTGGCGGCATCGGCAGGCGTGTGGAATCCTCGACACGATACCCGACCCATATCCCAGAACGCGCGACGGGGCAGCAGGCTGACAGCCCAGTAGACGGCGTTAGAAGGATATAGCAGACGACAACCGAAAGCTCTGTGTGGCATTGCCCGTCAGTCACAAACAAGTACGCTACCGGCAGCTCTTTCATCTGGCCTTGTGTGGGGGGAATCTCCTATTCGGCATCAGGGAGCAGCGCAGAAGCTGACATACGGGTTTGACATGTGGAGTTGCCCAGCATGATGACGGAAACCATGAGCGCCACGCTTCCAGTGACCACCAGAGCGCCGCAGCGTGCGCCTTTGCTCCGGTAAAAGCAGCGGTCCAGGGTGCCAAGGTACAACTCGTCCTGTACCGCTTCGTCGCATCGGATGACCATCAGGCTCCCCCCGATCGTCATGGGACGACGGGAACTGCCCTGTCCGCCGTGACCTGAGTTTCACAGTAGGCGTAGCCCGTCTTCCAGCTACCGCATACAAGGGAGCTCGCGACTCCCATGAGGGCAATGGAAACGACGCCAGGCCCGTCCCGCCACAGTACTGCATCAAGAAAGAGTCCCAGGACTAGAACGAAGTCTAACAAGAGAACACCGCTGATACCGGAAGGTATCGCGCAGGGTTAGGGCTAGGTGTTATACCCCACCATTGGTGGGGTGGTTGTTTGTATGTAGATAAGATAAGGCTTCCCCACTCTGGATCGTGGGATATCTCCCACCACTGCAGTTGCTGCTTGCAACTACCAGAGGACGACATCCTGACTTTTCCCCGAATACATGGCATTTGCCCTCTTTTCCCAGCATACGGCTATTTTCCCGTATCAACCGCGTACCAGATGGCTAGGAGGCGCGCTCGCCAGTCTTAAACTTCCCACGGACTTCAAGGTCCCCGGGCAATTGGCTGTGGTTTTGGAGGTGGTGGCGGATGTCGAGAAGGCGAAACCAAAGACGGGGCATCTTGTCGAGCTGGTGAAGCGTGGTGACGACGTATCCGACCGTCTCGGGCCTGCTCACATCGTCCCGAGAAGACCCATATGTTATCATTGAGACGACCGCCTTGCTCTGAGGCAGCTGCGCGGGCCGGGCGGCATTCACCAACTCCATGGGCGGCACAAGGCGCGGCAACATGACCAGAGACGACGCCATGACGGCCCGCGTGAACTCGACTGGCCGGCGGCCTCCACTAATGGCTAGGGGAACGATTGTCGCGCCGTCGACTCGCCAGCCGTCGTTGGCTTCAAGCACCAGAGGAAGCCAGCCTTCATGTCCGGTCGTATCAACTGACGAGTTCATTACCACAGCCTTGAGTGCCAGTAACAGGAGAACTAATTGGAACTGAACTCGCCGCCTGGCGAAGGAGAACCGCAAAAGGATAAGGGCTGACAATGCTAGGAGTAGGATGCTGGCGAGTGGGAAACGGGGAATATGGCTTCAAACGACTAGTCCCCCCTGCTAGATATCCGCTCCGGTTCTGCCTCCCAATACATCACTGGCTTCCTAAGTGAGATCTAGCGAGGCAATGGCAAGGCGGCTAGTATGTCGCGCCTCGATGTGGAACCTGTCACGGGCCCCACCATGAGCCCTACCCTTGGGCAATTGGTGGGCGAGAGACTGTGGATTTCATGGCGAAGCGACATGAGTCGCAATAGAGGGAGGATATCTGGAGAGCGGGAGACCCAAATTGGAACTTGAACTTCCCTCTCTCAAGGATCAGTCAGTTGGTTTGTGGTGCACGCACAATACAGTCGTCTTGCCTGCTGCCTGTTGAGGATTCGGTGCATCTTCCTTGGTGAGCCTGTGTGTGTGTCACCTTACAGAACCTGGATGCAGAGTGTAGCACGTGGGACAGAGTCAGTAGACGACGAGACTATAGAGGGATATGCCCTTCCGAGGCCGATTATGCCCACATGCAGCAACGATAGCACTAGACTGGAATAGGCCAGTGGACATCTAGGTCTATCAGACTATACGTAGTGTGGTGGCGCAAAATAGTAGATCGTTTATATCACGGGCAATGCCCATGCCAGGGTTAAGGTTATAATCTATGTATAAGCACCCTGGAGAGCTCTTACTACACACTCATGAGTCTGGGTCCCATTGGACTAATAGGTCCGGCTCCCACTACACGTAGAGCCACGGATCCGGCTCCCACTAGACTCACGGGTCCGGCTCCCACTAGAGAGACGGGTCCGTCTCGCTTAGTCATCGCAAAAGTGTATTAGTCATCACAAAATGCATCTAACGCGGCCGCCTCCCCCGCGCCCGCAGCACACCGCCATCGCCATCGCATCGCCATCGCCATCGCATCGCCATCGCCATGGAGACTTTCCCAGGCGACTGCCTTCCTCCCGAACGCCATTTCGAGTCTCGACAGGCATTATTCGAGTCGATCAACGCGTGGGCTAAGCCAAGAGGCTACGCCTTTACTACCCAAAGGTCGACGAAGGAGAAGAATGGTACCTCGACAGTGATCTACGCATGCGATCGATCTCGTCATCCTCCTAGCGGCGTATTGGAGCGTCAACGGAAAACAACAACTTGAAGGACGAATTGCCCTTTTTCAGTTATAGCAAAAGAGACGACTAACGGCGGCGGCTGGATCTTGAAGCATCGTCCCGATCAGCGCTTTGCGGTACACAACCATGAGCCAAGCCAGCACCCATCGGCAAACCCAGTTCACCGGCAACTTTCTGAAGGCACGTCACAGCTTGCAAGCTTTTCGAATGCCGGTATCTCGCCGAAGGAAATCCAGACACTCGTACGGCAGAGCGGCTCACTAGCTACAAGGCAAGACATTTACAACCGGATTGCAGATGTACGACGAGATGCATGCGAAGGTCAGAGTGCAATTCATGCGCTAGCCAATCGACTCGACAAGTCGCGGGGGAGGCGGCCGCGTTAGATGCATTTTGTGATGACTAATACACTTTTGCGATGACTAAGCGAGACGGACCCGTCTCTCTAGTGGGAGCCGTGCGATGACTAAGGGACACGGACCCGTGAGTCTAGTGGGAGCCGGACCCGTGGCTTTTAATGGGGCCCTTATCAGCGAGAGGATCACTCTAGCAAATTTTAATACAGGTACCACGGTGCATGCAATAAGACGTTAGGAAATAGTTAGTGAGATCTAACAATTTCTTAAGTGTCCCATCGTGTATGCTCCACCAAAAATTGCTAGAGTGATCCGCTCGCTGATATGATTCGCTCGCTGGTGATATACGTTGGCTCAATTATCACACTGCCCGCCCTGCTGCTTCTGCATGCTCTATTTTGTAAGCGCTTCTTTCTGTGATACCGTGGATATGTGGTTGTTGGACTTCGAACAGGAGGGTTGGCATTCAGTGAAGTAGGAATCCATCAACAAATGGGTCAATCAGATACCCCAGATCTTGAAGGATTGTATCGAATTAGAAGGAGGACTTACCGGCAATTGAAACACAATAAGTTGCGTCAGACTTGAGTGTTCCGCTAACGTTAATGTCGCTCGAGATAAGTTATGGTGGGGTCTTTATAGTATACAGCTCTTGTCTGTCCAGGGTGAGGTACGGCAGAAGCCTACAAGGGATCTTATCACCGCTGACCTAGGGTCCCAACCTCCAGCCCATAGTTGATATATTATGATTCCTACACCGCTGTGCCCTAGAGCGTGCCGGACCTTCAACAACTTACTATACAGGAAAACCGCGCCCTCGTGGGCCGGGTGAAAAACCCATATCGACAATCAAGGAAACGATCAGTGTGCGATCCTGCAAATACAAAGTGGGAAGGCCTCTTGGCCTTCGAAGAAAAGGGTATCAGACTGCGAGCTCCAGCTCCAGCCTCCTGGCCAGACCGTACATCGGCAGTTTCCCCGAGTCCATCAGCCAGTCCAGGATCCTCTCCGTTAGCCGTGCAGCTTTGGGACTGATTCCCTGTAGAACAGAATAAAAGTCCCTTCGCGTTCTGACCTCGGCTCTCTCCCATCTTCGAGTCAACGGTGGGGCCAAGCACCACATCACAAGGTGTTCGACAGTCTCTCGCCCCTCTCCACACTCGCATATAGGCGTCAGTACCTCTGGGACTCTCCTTTCGAATAAGAAAGCCCGAAGGCCTATGGCCCCGGTTCGAATCTGGATCAACAGTGAACTCTTCGCTCTGTCATAGTTGATATAGATCTGTTGGGGTTTCTGCCAATCTCATGGATCTCGGAGCATACGGCGACGGCCCGGCGCAACAAAGTACAGTACATACGAGGTACGAATTGATTACAGCCTCATCTGCAGACTAGACGTTCACCCGACGCGGCGCCTCCCCACCATGGTGAATGAGTGACCACATAGACATTCCACATCATTAACTACCGTACTTAGTGCCTGTGGGATAAAACACCGGCTCTCTCCTGATAACCACGAGCGTCACCCGCCAGCGGCGACAGTCTGACCACTTCGGCATACTCCAAGCCGCCCTGAATGACAGCCACATCTCCTCGCTTTGCAAACACAACGGTCCCTTGGTCGGTGACCGCGCCGACGGGACAGCGCGTCCCAGCAAACCAATCGTACGGCACAAAGAAGTGCCGCGTGTATGACGAGATGCTTCCCGCGCTGGCTCTCGATTCATTCAATTCAACCGAGCACACCCAGGAGCGCGTGTCGAGGAAGACGAGTTTACTGGAGCGCTTGGCTGGGTGATGAATGATGCCAATGACATGACCAATCCGGTAAGTGACGGGTTCGAGCCGGGTGATTGATAGTATGCCTGGCTTCATTGACGGGCCAACATGTTGGTCTCTCAATGTATGGAGCATGTTGTCTGCGCTGCTTGGAGGTTGTTCAGCGGTACTGTCCCCATCCCCCTCGGGAAGGAAGCCGCAATCCAGAAGCAACACGTCTTTAGTCCCAGTTGATCCGTTTGCGTCCGCCAGATCGAGTAAGATCGTTCCCGGCAAACCGCAAAAGAAGGCCGCTTTCGCGCTGAGTCCGGTCAGGTTGTATTCTTCCAGCGAAACTGAGACGACTTGTGAGAGATCCAGCCAGCGGTACATATGAACGGCGTTCTGTTTGACACAAATGGCGTGGGATTCGGAACGTGGGTGCTGTAGCCACATCCGCGGCGGGTAGTCGTCATAACTCAGGACCAACTCCTCTTTTCCAGCACCGAGGTTCCACAGATGGTCCGATTTGTGGGTAGAGGCTATGAACTTGTCTGTATTTCCGCCAGGCAACAAATGCACAATGGTGCTGTTGCAGTCTAGCCGCGTGTCCATGATCCGAGCCGCGACCGTCCAGGCTGTAGGGGATGGGGACCCCTCGAGTGAGCACGCCATGATGCCGTTTGAGCGACAAGTCGACAAGACTGTCTTGGTTTGCGGTAGCCAAGCCAGGGTGTTTACCGCGTCCGCGTGAGAATACAAATGGCTGGTCTGGTCGCCGCTGTTAATGTCATACATGAAGACTGAGCCGTTGTCTTTGCCGCACAGGATCCCACCCTTGTCCGGTATCATGGCCAGGGCCGTGATTTTGACTTTGTCGCCCGTTTGATAAAATTCTCCGGAGGTGCTTGATGTGTCAACGCTGAGTGATTCGTCAAGAGAGCCAGCCTCCAGCAGGACGGGAGGTATCCAGATATTGCACTGGGATCCTCTCAGATCAGCAAGGCTGAAACCGTCTCGGCTAAACGCCAGCGTCTTGATAAAGATGTCGGATGATTTGACTTTATAGAGCAGCCGTAAGGTGTCGAACTCAAAGATCTGGATGACTCCGCCTGCGCCGCCGCCGGCAAGTAGCCGTCCGTCGGGGCTAGCGGCAAGAGTGTGGCAGCTGACTCGTTGCTTCACTACTTCCTCATCAGTAAAAGGATCGATAATGACAAGCTCGCCGTCCAGATACGAGGCTGCAAGGAGCTCAATTCTGGCATTCGGATTGAACACAAGAGCCACAACTGGGTGTGTAGATGTCTCGCCGGACGGCAGTTTCTTGCCGCAGGTGCCGTAGTATGCGTCCTGTTCGAAGTCCCAGACAGTGATGGGGTTTCCACTGTACGCTACCGCCATCATCTGGTGCTCGACAGCGATAGAGATGGCCGAGGGCGGGCGGTTCAGAGTTGGCGCTCCATCATGTGCCCAGTCTCGCCACGGCCTCTTGGTTTGCTCAGGTGTTTCGCGGTCCAAGTCCCAGGAGTGTATTTCATTCCCGGTTGATGCTGCTATCAGCAGGCTATTATGGAAGACTAATCCAATAGACCTGCGAGGGGATAGCAGTTGGTGAAGTTTTTGTCCTGTGCGGACATTCCAGATGCGGATCATTCTGAGCCCGGCAGATGCCAACATGTCGGACTTTTCCCGAAACTGCAGGTGCAGGACCGTTTCCCCATGTTCCAGACTCCGGTACTCCTGGGAGGATTCAAGGTGGTATAGGATGGCCTGGCCGCCTCTCAGGCCTACCGCAAGGAATTCATCCCCGTAGCAGAGAGCACTAGTTTGACTGTCGCCAAAGTCGAGACAAGACAGTCGATCGTCCCACCGAAAGGCGGGGATGCCAGTGACGGACAATTTCTGTCCTTGTGCCGCTATTGTACGGATTGCCGAGTCCGTGGGACAAAAAGGGGGGATGCGGGAGTAAATGGATGACGGCGACAAGATCAGTGCATCGGCGAACTTGGCCGCAACTCTCTGCAGATCTACAGACCATGACCGCAATCTTTGAATGTCGCGTCTAAGAGGTGATCGCTCCACCATGCAGGAAGTTGCGTAGACCTTCAGATCCTCGGCAGCTCGAATCATCAGCCCAAGACTCCCAGTCTCAGCGATATTGCAGATCCAAGTGAGAACATTGAGCCTCAGGAACTTGTCGACGAGTGATAAGACATGGTCAGTTGTAGGGTCCGCCTTTGCGAGATGAGATGAGAAGGTGGTGGTGGCGTAACCTAAAAACTCGGGAGTTTTGCTTGGGCGCGGAAGACTTGGTGCTTTCCTCTCTGTCCTTCGCGGTTTCAGTTCGTCTCTAGTTAGACACTCGAGACACACCTTGGCGATTCGTGTGTGAGCTTCAGTCCGGTTGACAGCGAACTCAGAATCCAGTTCGTCGCTGAGCAAGAGCTCACGTGCAGTTTCATGAACCATGTGTACTCGGCCATTCTTGTCGACGGTGACGAACTGACCGCACAACATCCTGATAGACTCGCCTAACTTGGGGAACTTGTCCATCAACTCAGTTTCTAGCGCCCATTGCAGTTCCCTGAGTTCCAAGGGCCTCATGGCGCACGTCGTCCAAATCAGGATCGCCTTGGCTAGGGGTTTCCCTCTGGTTGCAAGGGCCATTGTGTCAAGTGCACGCTGGTAAAGCGGTTCCATGCCCCGGGGCACTTCGTCTAGGACACGTTTGATGTCTTCTTGGCTGAATGCCGCAGAGAGCTCATCAAGGACCAGCATCGTCCATAAGAACGACCCCTTGGACTTCTCGATGATTCGTTTTTCGAGGGCCTCTCGGCTTTCCACACTTTCAGTGAAGAAAGCTTCACCCTTGGCCGTGACAATGCGTTCAATGTCCGGAAGTGTCTCATCCGCGGAGACGTGCCCCTGTCTATGTCGTTGAGGTCCGAGGCCAGCAAAGAGACGACACAATTCTGGCGTTTCGCGACTTGTGATGAATATTCGTAATTGAAGGCTTGTATCCACCTTCGACAGCATCGAATCCAGAAACGGGGCGAAATTGGTGCATTCATCCAAGGCATCGATCACCCAGTAGTGAGGGACGGTCGCACCACGAAAAAGTTCCGTTGTAAAGAGACTTCTCCAAAGATTCCGTTCGTTGTCGTGATCAAGCCGCAAGCGGTCCTCTTGAAGTTTGATAAACGATTCCCGTATCCCGGTATCGGCCGAAGCCATTTGATAAGCAAGCGACCGAAGGCAGGCGCTTAGCTTAGACTTAAAGGTGTCGCCATGCTTGAAGAAGTAGTAGCTGCATCGCATGTGTGACTGTCGAAGGTCGTCAACAACGAAGCCGGCGAGGACCGACTTGCCTGTGGCAGGTTTCCCGCCGAACCAAAGGATAGGGGGTGCATCATGCTGGAGGTCTTTCCACTCGTTGTAAGTCTGTTTCTCCAAAATCCATTCACATGTTCCAGGGACTCGAGCATCCTGAACTGCGAAAAGATCATCTTCTCCTTGATTCGTCGCGCCGAGAAAGGACGCAAGGGTGCGTATTGAGCCTCGTTGAGCGAGAGCGTTGCTCTCGATTTCTAATTCTTGTGAGTTGTCCGTTGTCGGAGGAAGAAGAGGGAGAAAACAGGAAAAGGAAGAGGAACAAGAGGAGGAACAAGAGAAAGAGGAAGAAGAAGGGGAAGTGAAAACAAAAGAGCTACGAGCTTACTTTCTGCATCAATTCTTTTAATTGTAGAGGCAAGGGCATTCCGTATAATGACATAGTTCTGGTCTGAAGGGTCATCGAACTTGCAGATAGACCGATGGTCTGCGGTCATGGGCATCTGCTTCTCTTCTCGATACCCTAGGGTCGCCGACTCGGGGTCGACAATGAGGGTACTCAATCCTGCGGTCCTCAACTTTTGTGTTTCGTAAAAAGACCACAACTCCACGTCGGCAGAGTACCGACGGAATTCATCGTTGGTCGATTGAAGGGCACCGGACCCCCGAACCAAATCCGTGACGAAACCAGGAGCTGACGATGCCACTTGGAGGATGTTCTTGAGCAGCCGTGCCGAATCAGAGCCTCGGTGAGGGGTTCCGAGAAAATAAATAGCTCGGACGCGCTCTGCGAGAGGTTTGCTTTCCTGGTGAGCCAGCATGTATGCCTTCTTGATAACCAGGCCACCCATACTGTGGCCGATTAACACCAAGGATGTGTCGCTGTCGGCAATGTGAGGGGAAGTTGAAAGCTCCCCCAACAGAGACTTGCCGATGTGATGGATGTTGAGACAGTTGTCGTTTCCCTTGGCCCAGTCCGAGTCATAGCCATAACTGTGGATCCTGACGTCCTTGAAAGCAGGATCCTTAGGTAGCCATTCTCCAGGCCAGTAATGACTGATTGAATTGGTTTTGCTCCATGTCCTCCGAGAGCCTCCCCCAAGGCCGTGGACGAAGACGAAGTCAAAGAGAGGCTTGGACGGAGCGTAGAGAAGGTTCAAGCCAAGAGGTCCCCTTGGGTCGGAGGATGCGTCACCCACGGCGGTGCTCGCTATGCTCAACCGATCGCTGCCAGGCGAGATTGTCCTCCTCAAGATGCCGGCGTCGGGAACGCTGAGGTCCTTGCTGTCTTTCTTCCTGTGTCGGAGGCTGAAGGTTCTGATTGACTGAGGCATAGGTCAGCATGATGTCTCTCGCCGAGGTGCGGGGTGTGGACTAGACAGAAGTCGGAGAAGATTACCATCACGCTGATAAGCGTCTTACACGTTTCAAAGACTTGTCGTTCCGTCACTTGTGTACTGGTCCGTGATGGGGCCGCGGGAGCTGCAGGAGACTCGCGAGGAAACGTGACCCTGGATGTTGCTCGAGGTCTAGAATGATCGAAGCCAGCTCGACCCAGGGGTGAGCTTTCATCCAATCGGGAACTTGCTGTGGGACATTGGGAAGCGGCTGCTGTGGCGCTCGATGACCATTCGCTAAGCGCCGCTGCATATCTCGACGTGGGGACGTACACGATCCCCAAGCGGCCACTCCTGAGAAATCGGCAGTTAAAACGGCTGTACTGAATCTCTCAATGCCGGGGAAGGAGAAATCTCAGGAAGGTAAATGAGAAGTACGAAATGTGGAGAGAAGAACCTGGCATCATGTTCTTAGTGATTTGGGATCTGCTAAGCATCTATGCCGTAAATTCCTCGTCTAAACTCCAGTGATTCCATGCTTCTCGGTGTCAGCCCTGCTTCTCATGCCCGGCAAAGGTTGCATCCCAAATGAGTGCTCGAAGTCCCGGGTCCTGATCCAGTAGCACCACCTTGATCCCAGCCTTTTCCAGTCGCTCGATTCCGTTGTTCTGCTTGATGAAAGTGTCGGGCTCCCGAATACCGACGTACACAATTTTGATAGCGTTGCCCAAGCCCAGAATCCTCTCGACGCATGTTCTGTTACCGCTCAATCGCTCATTGCACGGCTCCATGGTGGTGTAGAGGACTGTGTTCGGCGGCAAGACCTCGGCGATGTCGAAGTCGTGGATTCCATGCTTGTCAGCTACCTTGATGAAGCAGCAGTGCTCGGCATGCGTTGAGCCGGGGTCGCCAGGTCGGTCGCGAGGCAGTTCCTCCGAGTATCCAGTGGAGAGGACTTCATTTCGATCAGCATCGACGAGCACAGCCCCTACGCAGAACTTGGACGGCGATGGGGGCGACAGCCGTGCCTTCTCAACTGCGTAGGCCATGTACGCCTTGTGGTCGCCTGGAGCGATGACGGGATGGGATTTCATTATGGAATAAAGGATCAGCAAATTGAGGCGTCATGCTAGGACATCCGTTCCACGTTGCCCCGGGTCGCTGGGGTTGGCTGCTTCAACTTTTGAGGGCTGTCAACTTGAGATTGAGTGGGAATTGGGGAGAAGAAAAGCGGGGAAATGCAGCAGAGTTATTTGCAACAGAATTGGGTTGCGACAGGCTTGTTCCGTAGCCCACTGCAATGCAAGAAAATTTCCCAACCTGCTGTTCAATGCTGCCTCCCGCGAGGTGGTGGTCTCCAAGGAGGGTGAATCGCAGCTCCCTGGCGCTGCGGCCTCGACCCCGCCTTCTCCTCAAAAGGTTCTTTCCCCAGGAACAAATGTTGGTTGGCTGATGACTGGGGCCGGAATCGGGGCCGGCTTGTAAGCGCCCAACATCTGGTGTGACGGTCAACCTCAAGTCCTCAACCTTTCCTTTCTCCACCGGCATCAGCATCAGACTCGCTTGAATACGTAGGTTGTCCGCCGGTCGGGACTCCATCAATCCCGCCTTCGGCTGTTCAACTCAAGTTCCAGAAAATTCAGAAACCAAGGCTCTCCTTTTTCTCGCAGGCAAAAAGTGTGAGACTCTCCCTTGAATCAGAGTGCCCGACCAAGGGCAGAACATAATCAGGAGAAAAGAAAAGGAGAGAAAGAAGGGGGAAGGCAAAAAGACAGTATTCAACACGACGGGACAAAAAGAAAAGAAAGAGCCTAAGACAACCAAAGCCACACAAACACAGTTGGAAACATGAACTACAACGGGGCCAAGGGTTTGGAGTTCGGAAATGGGAACATCGCGCTCGACCCGGCTGTGCTTGCAGGTATTTGGTATTTAAGTGGAAGTTTTGGGTGTTTGTCTCTGCCAGATGCTGACTTCGAACATGTTTACAGAGCTTCCTCGAGGATGTACAGTCTTGTCAACCGAAGCTCACGGTGTCAGCTTTTGGGCCAACACGGGGCGAATCGATGTCGAGTTGGAGGATGGGACGCCTCAGTCTTACTTCATCAAGGTCATCTCGGGAGACACGGGAAAGTATATGATGCATTCCGAATTTGAGTCAATGAGAGCGATTCACGGCATCGTACCCGACTTCGCTCCACGGCCCATTGCCTGGGGGACCTACAAGTCAATTCCCGACACCCACTTCTTCCTTTGCGAGTTCCGCCACTTCGGTGACGAGATGCCCGATCCCGAGGACTTTACTGCTCGATTAGCCAAGCTGCATCAGAACAGCCAGTCACCGAACGGCATGTTCGGATTCCACATTACCACGTATGCCGGTAACCTTCCCCAAATGATTGAGTGGGACAGCAGCTGGGAAAGTTTCTTTTCCAAGAGCCTCCGCCAGGCCCTTGACCTGGAGATCAGAGCAAAGGGAACCGATCCGGAGCTTGATGGTCTGCTCCCTATCCTCTTTGACAGGGTTATTCCACGCCTCCTCCGGCCGCTCGAGACCAACGGACGGTCTATCAAACCCGCGCTTGTGCATGGCGACCTGTGGTATGCCAACTCGGGACTCGACGTGGAAACAGGTGAGAGTATCGTTTTCGATGCCTGCTGTTTCTACGCCCACAACGAATGTAGGTGCTGGGAGCGACCGCTCGATTCAAAACGAAAGGGGATGGCTAACTTGATAATCACAAGACGAATTCGGCCAGTGGAGGCCAGCTTGCAACCGGTTTGATGAGACGTACCTGACTGCTTACCAAAAACATGTTGGGAAGTCAGCCCCCGTGGAAGATTATGACGGGCGAGTTGACCTGTACAAGTTGTAAGTTCTGCGCGCGGTTCCTCTTATTCCCTATAGCCTGGCGTATTCAGGACAAAACAACGGTAACCATGATGTCCAGGAGATTCAACACGCACGTCTCGGCTCTCTTCTTTGACAACATGGCTCTCCGAGAGCAGTACGTCTTGCTTCATCCCAGATCCCCCGCCTTCGTCTCGTCTAATAAATAACGGTTTCAGAATGCTCGGTGACATCAGGGATTTGGTCCAGCGATATGGGCATGAAGAGGTGCCAGCTCTTGGAACTACCTCCACCTTACAATGAGTTGGCAACGGCCCACGGGAAATCGAGTTCAATGCGCGTCCGGCCAGTTTCCACGAGCAACGGGCTGATAACTGAGCCGTTTGCTTGTAGATGTTTCAACCTCTGCACTTCGGACACTCTTATTAAATTGCCTCAGTTACTGGTCGGATCTAATGTCTGCACCGGAGGGGTACGGTGTCATGGCAGTTCAAGCTTGCCACAGTTCTCCCTTCTCTTCCGCTGCACATCATCAAGTTGCTGTTCACCTTAGTTGCTACCTACTGAACCAGCCGCTTTTCTATTGTACCTATCTGAAGTTGAAGCCAATCTACCAAGTACCTACTCTTGGAGTGATTTGCGCCTGATAGAGGGGTGGAACATACTGTTGAAACCTGCAGGGCGATGACCGCTGAGATATGCGCTGGAAAAAGCTATTCCGAGTCAAAGCAGCGGATTGAATTGAAAGATGGTAAAGTGCTTAATTGACCATGCTGTTGATGGGCATGGGAGAGGACTAAGTAGGTAAGGAAGAGGGGTTGCAGTGCTGGCACCAATCAACCACCGAGGTCCAGCCATCAAGGCGGCTTCGTTCCGACACATACATGTAAACAACCACCCACTCGAAGTCTCAGACTCCCCTCATGATTAGACCATAGTTTTCCAATCAACGTGTTAGATGGACATAATCCTCGTTATTCTAATCCCTTAATGCCATACGACATTAACAGCAAATCTGTCTTACTGTTTACTCCAGTCAGCTCATTTTTTTGGCAGCATTCGGTTTTCCGCGAGTCAAGTAGTTAGATATTTCCGGCATTGGTAATTGACAGAGACTGTCTTATACTCAAAGCAGAAAATAATCCAGTTATACCTAGACAACTCCTCATCAGGGTGCTATATGCAGCGTCAAGACGTCAGCGTGTGCTAATCGAGACTTATCGAGGCCCGAGGACCACAGCCACTTGAAGTCCGTCGTCTTACATCTTACGTACCCCTACGTAGTCTCAGCGTCCCATAGCCGTTGCATACCATACCCATTGCACTAGGTCAATGCTGACCTTTAGGGTCGTCACATCACAAATGGCAAAGTGGTGGTGCAGAATATGTAAGTGACACAAAGTGTGTGCGCCACGCACGGCTGCAGGAAGACACTATATAGAAGTGACTCGTACGTCAGTGCGACATGGAGAGACCGGAATCCCCATCCTAAGTCCGACATCACATCTAAAATATTGCTACCGTGCATCAACAAGGCGTGCAGGAGTGACAGAACAAGCTTGTAATGGATGAACCGTCGTTTCTCAGGAGTGCCCAACTTCCGAGTACAGAACCAGCAGCAACATTCCGATTTTCTCGCATCTCGAAGTTAGCAGAGAAGATCCCTCGCCTGTTTACCACATCGGCTACCATGAACGACATGAGATGGACATTGACAATTTCGTTTTTCAGGTGTTTGAGTAAGCCCTCCCCGTCGCTTCCTCATCGACCCTTGGCTCCCAACCTGACCAGACCGCGGCGGCTAACCTGCCCAACTCACCAGCGGCGATGTTAGCGGCGACTGCCGCGGTGGCGGCCCCGGCTCCGGCGCCGAGGGCTCAATATGGGGCCACCTACCCCCCCAGTGGTGACCCGTCCTCTGCACCCTCCGGCTCTGGCTCCGCCATGGCCGGGCCGTCCGGTTCCGGCTACGGGTCCGCCTCAGGTTCTGGCCCCACGTTTGGGAACTTCGCGGGCGGCGGTATGGAGACGGCGGCGCGGATGCGGGCGGCCCACGGCATCATGGCGGCGGTGGCCATGGTGGCTCTGTTCCCGACGGGTGCCATCTTTATGCGGATCTTCTCCGGCCGGCTTGCGCTGTGGATGCACGCCCTCACACAGGTAGCGGGCCTGGGTGTTTTTGCGGGCGCTGTTGGCCTCGGACTTCAGCTCGTCTCGGAGGTCCGGGAAAATATTGGTCGTGACCTGGTGAGTTTTATCTTACATTACCTTACCTAATTATCAATATCGCGGACCTTTGAACCGAGTAGCTGACCCTGTGACAGCTGCATGAATCCAGCACCAGCTACCACTCCATCATCGGCCTCGTCGTCTTGGGGTGCCTGGCGGTGCAGCCGGTCCTGGGACTCATCCACCACGAATGGTTCCGTCGGCTGCACCGGCGGCAAATATGGTCGTACCTGCACCTCTTCAACGGCCGCATTCCCATCACGCTGGGCATGATGAACGGTGGACTCGGACTGTGGATGGCCGGGGCGTCGGACCGGCTCAAGGTTGCCTACGTCGTCACTGCGGCGGCCATGTGGACGCTCTGGATGATGACCGCGCTGTGGGCAGAGTGGAAGCGCTGGCGGAAGGACAGGTCGTGGAGCTGGAGTGCAAGCAGGCCTGAGGTGAATGAGGGCGGTGTTCCGTTCTGACCTGCTACATCACGGAGAAGGGTCAGAATTTGCGCTGATGGGTCGTTATTGGGGACTTGGATGGTCGATTGTTGTCGCAATTGTGGGGCATTATTAGTACAGGCGGGCGAAACACAAGGTATCCAGCCATGCATGTTCGGAGTTCTGGGTGTTACCTGAATCAATATCTTTCTTGTGTTCTTGCTTCAGTAAATCCGCTTTATTGAACTACAAGAATCGTCCGCAAGGGATGGACCTTTACCTATTTGATATGAAGGCAGCACAGTGTGTTGGATTGGGGAATCGCGCTGTGTGGGCCTAGCGCAAACACTACCCGCTCATCTCTCCTCTCCCTTGGAAACTGCAAATCTGAATTTGGTTCATGGCCGCCGCTTCACTGTGCAGAGATTGACCACCGCCCCGCAAACCCGGGTTCACCTGGATGGGACTTGGATGAGGGAGCGGTGCGATTTCTGCTCGCTGGGACCGGCGACATGACCTTGGTCGAGGCCCCGTGCTCCCCAGCAGCTGCCGAGCTTGGGGGTCGAATCAATCGTTCCGAGTTTCGCGTCCAAAATGCCGAATTGCTGACTCTAATCATCACCACCTCGCCAACTCCCTCGGCGCCCTCCACCGAATTGCTCTCGCAGATCGTCTTCTCGTTCCGCGAACACTGTCCCGAGTTGACTCGGTGCAGAGTCATCCTCGTCCTCGACACGTACGACCACATCAGCTCCACGGCCCGGCTCAAGAAGGGCCATGTCACAGCAGATGGCGCCACAAAGTATGCCGAGTACAAGATGAAGGCCAAGCGTCTCATACTCGACGAGTACGCGCTCAACTGCGCCGAGCTTCGCGAGCAGGATCTCTTGCAAGAGTGCGGCGAGGCCGAGTTCGGCTCCACAGCCTACGCACAACAGACGAACACCGTGCCGCTAACCATCACCAAGACCGACGACGGGCGCATCATGTTCATCGAGCCCTTGCAGCGTCTGGGATTCGGTCTTGCTGTGCGCTCCGCTCTCAGGCTGACCGAGACGCCCTATGTTTGGATTCAGCAGCACGACTGGATGCTCATTTCCCAGATCCCGCTTCGACCGCTGCTCACTGTCATGCAGCAGCAGTCGCAGGCCGCCGCTGCCGACCTGGACGACATGGCGGCCGTCAGAGTGCCAATCAAATATGTGTGCTTCCCCTCGGTGCGCATGGTCGAGTACGCCAGGTCCGACCATGTCCTGCAGTTCCCCGCCCTGCGCGCCCTGACCTATCTGCACAAGCAGAACTTCACCGTCCGGTCCGAGGAAGGCGATGCCGTCAAAATCCCGCTCACGCCGCTCTTTTTCTGGCATGACAAACCCCACGTCGCCGAGACAGAGCATTATCTTGCGCAGGTGTTTTCGAGCCGGGCGGCACTGCCCAGGGGTGCCTTCATCGAGGACACCATCGGCCACCGTGCCAGGACGGAAATGAAGGACGGCCAATGGAGGAAGTGGGCTTGTTGGCTGTACTACCCTGACGAGGGAAAGCAGCTGTGCATGAGGCATCTGAAAGGGAGGACTTGGCGGGGAACCGAGGCGGAATTGGCGCAGAAGCTGGAGTATATGCGGCTTAACCAAGGGGTTTCGGGGACTGGATGAACGAGAGTGGCAGTCATCTCTGGCCGTTCAATGAGTTCCCAAGACCGACTAGAGGCAGCAAATGAATCAGATAGAACGTTTAGAATCCGTCCTCGGCGAGCCTAGAGCTGCCTCGTCGCAATAGGCTTCCCCCACTCTGAAATAGGCTTGTCGGTCGGCACCAGCCAGATAACTCCGCCATCCCATCCGTCCCATCCACTAGTTCCCTGAATGTTCTCGGTAATCTCCTCGGATAGCTTGACCCCGGCCTCCCTCACCACCTTGGTGATCTGCTTCAACGCCTCATCGGCAATGGGCTCATCACCGCTGTGCAAATATCAGCACGACACTCCCAGGCACAATGACCAGCAAATACCTACTACATCAAGCTCAAGTGCGGCCCAAACTCTTCACGCCATTCGCTCAGCCTACCAACCGTTAGCCACTGCAGCTTTGCTTCCCACGAACGGCCTCCAGCCCAAAGAAGTGAGCAAACTCCAGGCAACCCCCAGCAGACGTCAAAATTACCCCCCCCCCCCCCCCTTCCGCCAGTTCAATCAAATGGTTACTCACCACTTCTGCGTACCCTCACCCCACCTGACCTCCCCCTCCCCATCAACATTCACCTGCTCCCCCAGAACGCCAACCGCCCTCGCCACTCCAGCGACCTCCCTCACCCCGTCAAACGCAACCCTCACAAAACACCGACGGAAGAACACATCCTGGCTGACAACCCTCTCGAACCGGACCCTAACCTTTTCAGACCTTATAGGAAAAGGGATCGCATCCAGCCAGCGCTGCGGCTCGTCGCCGTATGTCGTATCGGGTTCGATGCCGCTCGTGAGCGTCACATGAGCCGGGAAATAGTGCGGCGCCACGCCCGCGCCCGGCGAGGTGGCGGATGCTTCGCGGGGGAAGGTGGACGGGAGGGTTGATGTGATGAGGGTTGTGAGGATGCGGTGGAGGGGGTCTTTTTGCCTAGAATTGTCAATTGCGCGGGCAATTTGAGGCAAGGGGTGATGATGTAAGGCAGGAGGGGAGGGAGAGGAAGGACGGGGGCATGGAGGGGAGGGGAAAGACGAACGAGAGTCGGGGGGAAGGAGCCAGAGAGAGGAGCCGGGCATTGTGCGCGTGCTCTTTTGCTGTTTCTGTTTTGAGCCGGGGTCGGCAGCTGAGAGCTTGAGATTTGTGTGGTTATGTTCATGGATGATGTTGGCTAAGGACTCTCTGCAGAATTTCGGTTGGTGGGGAGAGGTGACGTTGGGGCGTCGAAAACGTGCGGAGATCTGCCTCGGGATTGGTTTGCAGTGATTTGGGTTTGCTATAACGAGTATTCGCCTCATTAAGGAAGCTACCCACCTGCAAGGTTGTATGGTGATATATTATCTTGACATCTAACGTCAACATCTATGTCTAATTATGCATAAGCTTTGAGCAATAAGGTATGAATTCTCTTGCTCCAACGGTGAAAAATAGAGGGAAGACCCAAAGTAAGGGGGTTGCTGCATTGGCATGTACTGTACCACGTTTATTCTCGGGTTACGGAATCTGGGGGGCATCTACTCAGAGCTTGAAGGAACGCTGGGTAGTTTCTTAGAGAACTCCATTTCCATGAACTGTGCGAAACATACAACGTCGTTTCGAGGTCAAAATGGAGGTATTCCATGGACAGCCAACTGTAGGCGTGCGGCCGCTCCTTTGGGCCTCCGGTCAGCTTCGCCGTGCCGGGGCCGGCACCAGAGGCCACCCTGACAAAGAGTCAATCCTATGAGTATGACGATCGGGAGGTCAGACTGCGCTGGCCGCATCCGATGTAATCGACCCGCACATCAAGCAAAAGTGAAACCTTGTACACAGGTGTCCTTCACCGAAGAATTCAATAAGGTATGCGATCCCTTCAAATATCAATGTTCGCTTCTCGTGTGTGTTAGGCTTCTCTTTCAATTAGACGTCTGATAACTGCCTATTCTCCTATATTTTAACATCGGTGCTCTGTTTATATCCAAGTTCTGTAAAATAAAAAGACACCTCCTTTTTAACCATCCCCTGATACGACTTTCCAGTAATCACTTACCTGAAGCTCACCCTTATTGAAACCCCACCAGACCCCCTCGGGCTCTCGCATCAACCAAATACGTAAGCTCTAGGTTGTTCATCAACCAAGTCACCACGAGGAAACACCCACAGCCCTCCGCCGCCACCATCAGCAAGACCATGTCCCCAAACGGCATCACCCGCGTCACCCTCTCCAACGGATACCGCGCCTACCGCCGCAGGGCTGACGGCGACAAACCAGCCAAGCAACAGAAGAAAGTGCGGTTCGTCAAGGGGTATGTCACCATCCCGGACCGCCATACGCCTCCCATCATGAGACGACCGTCTGGGCCCGGCAATATGCAGGGCCAACTACATGTAAATCAGGGGAATGGGTTGGATGGTGATGATGGCGAGGTGATCGGAGAGCACAAAGCAAAGGAGATGGTTGAAATGGTGAAGACGGCGGATGAAGATAAAGCAGCGGGAGAGCCGACGAGTGCGGTTGAGCCAGGACAAAGAGGAAAAGGAGGCAGTTATGTCGACAGGGGCGGGATCAAGGTGTGGCGGAAACAGCCGCGGTTCAGGGGCAGCGGGACATTGCAGGTATTGGATGACCCGGTGAGAGACGGGATGCTGCTGGCGAGGTCGCAGATGGGTTGGCCGAGCGACAAATGGCGGGATGGTTTGGGCATGGTATGCCCAGCCGAGAACGAGAAGGATTGTGAATGCGTGGAGGAAAAGGGGCTGCGGTATGGAGAGGGGAAGAGAGAGGCTGGGTTCAGGCTGGAGAACGTCGCGCGTGGGGAGTTTTGTTGGACGATCCGGGTTGTTCATCGTGGGCAGATGAACAGAGGCGTGATCGAGTCGGTGGTCCTTACAGATGCCGCTTCCGAGTCGGGGAGGGACGACGACGAGTATGAGTTTCTGGGCGATGTGTCGCTGGGAAAGGCCGATGGCTGGGTTCCGGTTATGGTGGCTGAGGAGGATGAGGGATACGACTGGATATCTCTTACGGGCTCACTTGTCATGATGGGAGGAATGTCTGAGGCACACAAGTAATCGACCATAGGTTCTAAGGGAAAGTGGTAGTTAGAACAACACCGTTTTGCTTGTGCGGACGTGAAGCGCCTGGCATTTACAATCCAGTCGATCTGCTCCTGCTCGCGAGAGCCGGGGAGCCGGGGAGATTTCTGCGCCTCTCGCTACCCCGAACACAGCGCCAATGCTTGAATCGTTCAGCATTTCTATCTGTATGTTGTACTATTTAAAGATGGCCGATATTTTGGTTCAATGAGTTCATACGTATGCAAGCCGGTGGTCTCGTACTCCGCTGTAGCCTGTAATTCGGATCCAATCCATGACTACCTACTCGTAAACTTGCACCACTACCAATGTTTGGACATGCAAGTTAGATGAATGGCCACTCGACTACTTCATACTGTTGCTAACGTTATCCTCCGGTGATGTCGGAACTCTGGGGAGACTCTACTGAAGCAAGTCTGTACGCCCTTCCCTCAGCTTCCTCACCGTCTTGGGCCTCCTTTCGATGATCTCGGGGGATGCCGGGAATATGATGTTGTTTACCTCGATGGGATTTTTCACCTCGCCAGCTATGCAGATTGTGTGCATGTAAGACGGGATAATCCTTCGAAGACGGAGATGCCAGTTTCCTCTCCGCTGATGCAGCATGGCGCAATGAAACAGAATCGTGGCACCTCGGCTCCAGTCCCGGCACCACAGACATTCGTTGTTCTTCTCAGCTCTGCGGGGCCAAAATCCCTGGGACTGACCATCTCCCGGCTCTTGCAGAAATAAAATGAGGTGCCCATCGGAACCGTCAACAAAGATTCCGCGCTGGAGTAAGATGCGTCACAACTCGGGTAGACTCTTGCCGAGTACGTGGTTGGCAGACAAAAGGGATGAGCTAGGAAACCACTCAGATGACAGAGGTCTGGGCATGGGGCTGCATGGTTCCAGGTTGCTGTCGTATCAGCCTTGTCCGGCTAACTTGTACTAACTGGGGCCAGAAGCGAGCCGGCAGCGTCACTGTCATTTCCACGAACCCGGACCGACAGGGGATCATCACAAACACGGGGCTGTGAGGGACTGCCGTTCGAAATGGCTGTTGCGGAGGCAGCCATACGGGCATGGTGGCGTTGGGCGCAGCGAATCAGTGCGGTTAGGTATATAAGAGACCATCACACTCGACATACCCGTTTTGTTTGTGCTCTCACCAAAGCCTGATCTCAGCCAAACAACCTTTTCCTGTCGCTCTCTTTTTCCTGTCTCTCCTTTGATTAGTTAACGTTCCCTATTGAGCTCTGCTCCAACCCGCGTGATACCCGGCTCCAGCCCAAACCTTTACTTGACCCTCACCAGACTTGATACCCCAGATCAACCACATCAACATAATGGCCGCACCGCAGCAGACCGCCCAGCAGGGCCCTCTCAACCACGACGACATGGCCGAGTGGACGGCGCGGTTCAACGACGTGCTGGCACGGCCCGGCGAGTACGTCAACTCCAAGTCGCCCGAGACGTCGCAGCCGTGGTACTCGTCCTTTTTTGGCTGCTTCAGCCCCATCGAGACATGCGCCATGACTTACTGCTGCCCCTGCGTCGTCTTTGGCCGCACCCACCACCGCCTGCGCAAGAACGCCAACCTCGAGGGCTACGAGCCCATCAACACCTCGGTATGTCCCCGTCTTTACTTACCTGGCACCACATCATCTCTCTTGATTGCAAATGTGACTGACTGATTTTGTCTACTGTAGTGCCTCCTCTTCTGCGGCTCGGGCTGTGTCCTCCTGCACTGGATCCCCATGGCCATGCAGCGCGCCGACCTGCGCACCAAGCACAACCTGCAGGGCAGCTGCCTCGTCGACATTGCCACGGCCTGCTGCTGCGGGTGCTGCCAGCTCGTCCAGAACGACAAGGAGGCCGAGTACCGCGAGCAGCTGCTCGCCAGCCAGGGCGGCGTCCAACAGCAGGGCTACCAGGCCGCCGGCGGCATGGCGTATCCGGGTGACCAGAAGCAGTGATTTGGCTACTGAGAAGAAGAAAAAGGGATTGTGATGGGCTGGTCGGGCTGAAGTGGAAATAACTGATACATATATAATACCTGGAGGCTGGAGGCGTTGGCCGCTTCTGGGATCTGGCTGATTGCCATTATCTGTGTGATACCTCTTGGTTTTGAATCTCAAAAGTGTCTGGACCAACATCAGAGTCATCCGGGACTTGGAACGAGGATCAATCCTAAACACCTGTGTTGTGATGCCGAGCACGTTCGGATTTCACCAGGATCTGCAGCCCTACCCTTGTCCTGTCACCTTGGCACACATTAGCGTTGAAGAGCTGAACGACCCTTGTCCGGTAATCTCAGCCCTTGCAGTTGAGCTGCCTGGAACTGGTATCTATCGCGGTGTTTTCCAACAAGCGGAGCTCTCCCAGTCAGAGGGCGGAGGCAGCCAACCCTCTGATGACCAAAGGCCACGGACCTCACATGCTTTTGGAATGATGAATCCCGAGACGTCCATCCAATTTTCAACGGTCAGCGGTCAGCGCGTGCTCCCCTGACTTTTCCTTGACCCTCGGTTCAAAATTGTCCCGAGTCCGAACGGAATGAAGCAACATGCTGGAAGGGATCATCAACATGCTGGAAGGGATCAACATGTTGGAAGGGATCTCCGATGAGAAGAAAACGGTGCTCGCCATGGCGTGACTGTTTGGTTCATCATGAGTAGAAGCAAGGCGCAATGGCATCATGGATGTTCTCCAGAATGCAGACATCTTGGGGCGTCGGGGACTGCCGGGAACACCTGATTAAATCAAGGTAAGGTAACGTTATATTGCAAAAAAGCCCTCTGAGTGACTCAGTTTGTTTCAATATAAGAACTGTATCGCCTATCAGTGGACGACTCTGGGGTTAACAAGATTGGCAAATTGTTATAACCTTCCAGGCGCGGACTTGACCTGGATAGTCCCATCCTGGGACTCTATATTTTCTCTGCTCAGACTGTGAACTAAGGTGACATTGGCCTACTGTGGCTGTTTTCAGTTCAATGTAAAGAGAAAAGTCAACTACTAATCAACGTCACCTTATACACTACCTAGGTACCTTAGACGGGATCTCAGGACGGTAGTTCTCGGACGGCTTGTGCTCTCTTCAACAATTCAGATTTCAACAACGGATCGCCAAGTCCATATTTTATTACCTGTCGCCCGTTCATTCACTCCTCGGCCCTATGATTATCAACCTGGCACCTAGTGCCCCGAACTCCCGAACCACGTGCGACCATTCTCGACCTCCATCAGCCATTATCAGCTCCCGCATCAAGTGTGCTGTCCCACTATCTCCATGAAACTCCAGCTCGAGCGCCAGCTCGAAGAGGACTGTGCGAGAGCGTGCCTGGCTGGACGTTGCCGTGGTTTGGGTGGTAGTGATACTCGTGGAAGCGCCGGAGGCGGCACCCGAAGAGGAGGAGCCGGTCATCAGTGTGCTTAAGTTGTGGTCGTCGAGGTTGTTGTACACGGTAAGCGTGGTGAGGTCGGCGGCGTTGATCGTGCGCCCCGGAGCTGTTGCTCGGTAGGGGAGGAGGAAGGAAAATAGGTGGGTGGTAAGGGACTTGCTGGTGGTTTTGATGCGAGCGGGACGGCAAGTCAAGGGGCGGGCCACGACAAGCCTTGGAAACCCCTTCCCTGGAATAGTGCGTTGACGCCGGCCTTCGGTTTGGATTTGCCGAGCTGCTCAAGTTTCCTGTGGTGCTTGATTAAATCGACATGACGCAGTGTGTCACAGGTGATAAAGTTGCCGCTGGCCTCAATACCGTACTCGACGACAACCTCTTGGAGGGTCGGCGGTGGATGCACAGTTCCTCATTTCTGTCTCCCTGACATGATGAAGCGAGTACACACTTCATTCAGCTCCACACATGATCTGATTCAGATCGTATGCTTACCAAAAGGCACTCGAATTTTCTAATAACTCAAGGACACTGGCCGAATGCACTCAGTTGCCACTCCGGATGCTGAGAAAAGCAGAAGAAGAAACTCGAGAATACGTGATGCCGGCAGCAACGGACGTCATGAATGACAATGGACGTCGACGATAACTCGCGGGGTCAAAACCGGTGATGAAATAACCGCTTCATTTTCGGGTATCTTGGTGTATCGGAGTAGTCGCCTGCCGCACCTAACATGGCGTTTCAAAACATGTCCTTCATCTGTTGATAGACGCCCCCGTCGCCGTGCCCAGCGAGCGCCTCCCCGCCACCGTCGGGTCCAGCAAGCCCAAGGCTGGCATCCCGATACCCGAGTCCATTCACCGGACTACCCATATATCCTTCATAGATACGCAACATCTCGCTCTGCAATCGCAGTCCATTGCTCTCGTCATCAATCTGCATCGGCGGCGTCCCTGTACTGGTTGTCGCAGTCCCTCTGCTCCCCGAACGGCTGCCAGCGCCGTTGTTGTTATTGCCGAACAGACCCGCCATGGTGCCAGGAGTCTGGCCGGGGCTCACACTATCCCGACGCGTATACGACGACCCAGCTGGAGCCACGCGAGCCAAAGAAGAATTCGCGAGCCCGAGCTTGGGCGCGTACGCCCTCAGCGACTGGATGGTGCGCCACAGCCGATGAGAGACCCATGACTTGGACGACATCTCCTTGACCAGGTCGATCGCCCTGTAAAATTCGTCGCGGCACGCGGCGCTGAACTGCAGCGGGGCGTGGGTCGAGGCTAGGAACAGCACCGCGATGGACGACGTCAGGAATTGGTGGTAGAATACTTGCATGCGACGGTAGAGGTCTGTTTCGTTGTTAAGGTGGGTGAGCAGCCGGATGGTTTGCTTGGCCAGATCCACCACCTTCTGGGCAAGGTGGGCGTTCTGGGAGATGCTCGTGGCGCTGTGTAGGACAGGTGTGTAGAGCCAGATTCGGACCTCAACGCTGTCAGTACTGATAGGCGTGCTTCAACCCTGGCATAGCATACCTGATTGAGCCGCAGCCGCATCCAGACGCGTAAACGCTGCAAATCGTACGGCCCCGTGGGGATCGGTATCTTGTCACCGTCCAGGGGTACTGTCCTGATCGTCTCTGGCACGCTCTCATACCACCAGACCATAATCTCGCGGTCAAGTTCCTCAAAGTCATGGGGCTTCAGCTCCCGGGTCACGGCGGGCTCAAAGTGGTCGACCAGCTTCCATATCTTTGCGCCGAGCTTGGAGTACCCGATCATGGCTACCAAGAACGGATAGTCCTCCTGGGGTTGATCAGCAGAAGTAGTCGGCAGCTGTTCACGTAATCACCCACCGGATACGGCAACTTCGGATCGATCTTGTCGTCGTGGCAAACATACGGCAGGCCAGTGCTGAAACTCCACCGCCGGTCCAGAATATATGCAGACCAGAAGATATGCAACGCATCTCTGCGAGTTTGGGGGTCGGGAATCTTCTGCAAGCCTTCTCGGCGATGCAAGCCCAGCTCAAAGCACAGCCTCGCAACCTGGCCGATGAGGCGCCATGCGAGAATCTCGTCGTTAGAGAGATACCGGTAGCCGGCACACAGAGCAAGGAAAGACAGCTTGGTCACGTCAGCCGGACCGCTCATCAACATCTTGTCGACAGTGGGCTGGATGCTATCGTAAAGTCGCACGGCTTTGTCGCTGTTGCCGTGCTCGACAATCGCCAGTGAGCAGCACAGGACGACTTTCAACAGCAACGTCTTGTAATCCGAAACGACGGGCTCCAGACCAGGTGAAGCGGTAATATCGGTGCGTTTAGCCGCGTCCATCCACGAGGATAGGGACTTGATATGCTCCAGGATCGGGCCCATGGATGCAACTGGGTACATGACGTCGACCTCCTCGCGGTAGACCTGCAGCAGGCGCATCATTTCAGTCTCGTCAAATTCAAGAATTGGATCTGTTTGACTCGGCGCAAGGGATCCCGAGGGCACAGGGGCCAGCAGGGGGGACAAGCGCGGCGACGCATCTGGCTGCGCGCGCCCACCGCTGTCCTCGTTCCCGCCCTCTTCCCCTGAGTAGCCCATGTTGTGCAGGGTGTTCTTGGCAACATCGACTGTGAAAGCGATGCTAGTCGGGCCGTTGAAGAAGGAGGGAACTCGGTACGGGAGTGTGGGCCTCTGGCTGCCGAAGGACGGTGCGGGTGATGGCGCGGGAGGTGGGAGCACTCGGTCCTGGAGCGGGGCGAGGCGTGCCGTTTCCTGGCGGAGCGAGTTCATGGAGTTGAGGAGGGTGTTGACCTGTCCCTGCAGCTGCTTCACTTGGGCGGCCAGCTCCTTGAACTCGTCCGAGTCCTTAACGTTGGAGCAGCAGTTCGGGGCGTAAAGACATTGCAGGTTGAGATGGCCACATCTCTGGCACGGCGTCTGGCCATTGCATTTGATCTTGCGCCGTTTGCACTCGTTACTGCGATCGGTGAAAGAGGACGGTTAGGATCTATCTCCTGTCTGCATATTGCCGTCCCGTACTGTCGGCTCTGAACGGGTAATAATTTTACTTGGGAATGCAACATGGGGTAACCATCTCGCCTCTCGCCGGGGGCAGCACTCACCATGCAATTGAAATGTACTGCATGCAACAGTCAGTTGAGACAACCACACAGGCAAACACAGAGTCAGGCTTGTAAACGCACCCTATTCCTTTTGCTTCTCTGCTGCCTTGCAGGGCCCTCATCTGCCTCATCTGCCCTCCGCTTTCCGTGGGCATTGGTAACCTCGATCGGTGACTGGGATTGGTGCTGCGGTGCGGAACTCTCTCCGAGTGTGGAAAATGAGTGGTGAGCCCCTTGGAGTGGACCGGGAGTTTGGGCAGAGGCAATGCCGTGCGGCGACACAACTTCCGGAACCTGCAGAGCTGGTGCGACCCCCAAAAACGAGCGCACTTCGCTGACCTGAGTTTCCAGCAAGTCCATGGCACTTCCAAGTTGGCCTTGCCTTCAGGGCTGGAACAGAACTGCCAGTGGCAGACACGATAAAGGCCTTGAATGCTCGGATTGATGTGTCGCTCAGTCACTGTTACCTTACGCTGAGTGGTGCCCTTTGATCGGCCCATGCCGCTAATAACCGGCTGCAGGAGCGGGCCCGCCAGCTCCGGCAAGAGCCTTCCATTGTCTGCGGCTGTTGAGTTTCGATGTTCATTCCTGCCAAGACTTGGCGGTATCCCGATTCGCGAGTCGAATCAGTCAGTCATCGAGTGGGGCTTGTGGGGCAGCCATTGATGTGACAATAGGTGGACAAATTCCTGGGGGCGAGTTCTGAACAATGCAGGCGACGGGACTTTTTGCAGAATTCACACTACCTTAAGGTACTAGACCTTAGAACCAGCGCACCTCGAGAATAATGGCGTAAGGTAAGATGTACATACTTCAAGCTGTACAGCCACGGTGCTCCCTCGACTCATCACCTTGATGCCGCGCCGTAAATGCGCCCCCGGCATGCACCGAAGCCAACCCTCGCGCCATCAGCGCCGCAGAAACCACGCAGCATGACGGTGTCGCCGTCCTTCAGAAATGTTCGGGAGTCCATGCCCCCCAGCAACACATCCTTCTTGCCGTCCTCGGTCATCTCTAACAGGCTGCCGCGCTCGTCAACGCCGCCCGGCCCGCTGATGGTGCCCGATCCGAGCAGATCGCCGGTGCGCATCGGACAGCCTCCCAACGTATGGTGGGCGATCATCTGCGGGAACGACCAGATCAGGTGTTTGGAGCTGGTCCGGCAGATGGTGGTTGTATCGCCCTCGGCGGCTTGGCAAACAGCATTCATTAGCCTCAGCCCATCCAATGCTGGGGGCGCAGATACAGTAGGTAAATGGGAAGCACTGTGATAACTCACTCGTCAGGTCCACCTCCAGCCGAATATCAAACACGTTGTCCTCCCGCTCCTCCGCCAGATACCATTGCAGCTCCGTCGCGTTCTCGATTCCCCGCGTCCGGAACGGCTCCAATGCGTCCGCCAGCACCACCCACGGGCTGATGGTAGTGGCAAAGTTTTTGCCGTTGAACGGGCCCAGTGGCACGTACTCCCACGTCTGCACGTCGCGCGCGCTCCAGTCGTTAAGCAGCACGTAGCCAAAGATGTGCTCCTCGGCTTCGCCAATGGGAATGGCCCTACCTAGCTCGTTGCCCCGCGCCATGAAGCACCCCAGCTCGAGCTCCATGTCCAGTTTTCGTGACGGCGCCGTGACGGGTCGTTTCGGTTCCGCCTTGGCGTCCAGCAGGATCTGTCCCACCGGCCGGCGAATCGGCGTCCCCGACACCAAGACGCTCGAGGCCCGCCCGTGGTAGCCGACGGGCAGGTGCAGGTAGTTGGGCTGGAGCGCATTGTCTGGCCCGCGGAACATGACGCCGACGGCATAGGCGTGGTGATAGCCTGCGTAGAAGTCCGTGTAGTCGGCAATGGCCATGGGGAGGTGCATCTTGACGGTAGATTGAGGGAGGAGGGCCTTAGCACGGAGCGAGGTGTTGCCGCGGAGGATCGAAGGGTGAGCAGTGGTTGTAGAGAGTAGGTCCTGAATACCGGCGCGCACCTGACGGTGGACGGCCCGGCCCATCTCGGCGAAGGCATTGAGGGTGGACTGGGAGAAGGCTTCGGCGAGCCCATGGATTTCCGGGAAAAGCTGCGTTAGATCAGCGCTGGCAAAAAGAACCTTGAGATCGAGGGCGTATGAGCCGATGGCCACGGCGGCGTGTGGCTCTGGGTCGTTGGGGGTCGAGATGATGCCGAACGGGATGTTGGCCAGCGAGAAGTCGCTGGCCGGGTCCATGTCGGGCACCCATGAGCTGGTCATGTTGACATCCGATAGTCCAGTGTGTAGACTGTGCGTAGTGCTCTGAGCTGAAATCATCCGAAGAGTTCAGACCGTCAACTGTCGCTTTTGTATGTTTCATTCGGACCCGAGGCGGGGTGCTGTCCGATGCAAGCCGTCGCCCCACTTTGGCCCGTCCCGGTTCCGCTCTGCCGGGACCGTCCTGCAAAGTAGTTGGGACGCAACTGCCGGTGATGCATGTGTCGTTGGGAAGGTGAGGCTCACCGCCGGGAGGTGTGCAGTAAACACACAATATTCCCATTCATTTCCGGCAGGAATCTCCGGTCCTCTCCTCTTCCGAACCTCTCTCCAAAGCTCAAGAATGAAGTATCTCTCTTGAATAAAGCCACAACAGGCGTACGGAGGTAGTATAATCCAAAAGTCACACTCCTCATCACACCCTACCATAACAGACCCATCCCCCTCAAACCATAACCTCACATAGCCGAGTGAACCTCTCAACCCTCGTCCCCTCAAACCCCCTCGCATCTCGTTGCGCAGCCACCATTGCCTGCCTCACAACCCCGTCTATCACCCCTCCCCATTCCCTACCCGCTCAGAATAACTACTCTTAACCAGCCACAACGAGACAGTATACCCCTGTCCCTTAAACTCCTCCACACAGCCCTGCAACTCCTCCCACAGATCCCGTAATACTTCCCCTTCCCGGTGGCCCCATTCCCGACAGGCTTGCGCTACCGCCTGGCCACCCACCGCGGCAGCCACCCCGTGGCGCCTCAGAGGATGTACTCGCGGTCCATGAGCACCACGACCCGCCGCCAGCCCTCGCAGCCCCACGCCCGGAACTGGAGCGCCGCGATGACGGCGTGGAGCTTGGCCTGGTTGGTGGTCGGTTCGGCCTGCTCGCCGGAAGGGCCGTGCGTTTCGAGTGGGAAGGCGAGGGCGCCCGGGGTTAGTGGTTTTCCCGCTGGTTCCGGTGCGGATGAGGGTAGTGATGATAATGCTAGTTGTAGTGGGGAGGGTAATGGACCTGACTGCTCAGTCCTGGATGGGTTTTGGCTCCTCCCACTAGTAGCGATGGTGGTGGTGATACTGGATGGGGCCGAGGTTGGTGAAAAGAGAAAACTAACTTAGATGGGAGCGGCGCTGGCGGTGGTGCCGCCTTTGAAGATAAATGAGCAGCCACCCGCGGGAGGCTGGGTTTTGTCGGCGTCGCAGCTGTTGTTGATGCACGAGCCTGACACGACGAGGAGGATCTCACGACTGTCAAAGCGGTTGATGAAGCGCGGAAAGGGGGTGCGGTCTTGGGCGGAGACGGTCTGCAGGGGGAAGTGGGCTTCGGGGGAGAGGCTGGGATCTTGGGGATGGAAGAGGGACGGGGGATGGATCTTGGTGCGCCGGGTGAGCGGCGCAAGGGATGGCTGCTTTCGGACGAAGAGTGGATGGAAGCCATGGATGCTGCCATGGTGTGTGGCGTCTGTAGAGTGTTCGGCTGTGAGTAGAGTCAGGGAGTTATAGATAGCAGGAGATGATATAGGGGCAGGATGAGTGCAAGCGGAGAGTTTGTCTGGTTCAACTGAGCGCCGAGTATTGGGGGACCTGGCCTCACCTTGGCGCTGCAGGGTCGCGTCGCCAGGGGGTGATCCGGTTGGACCCAGTGGGATGGTGAGGCCCACTACCCGGAGACATGGTCTCAGGTGACTGTTGATGCTCCTGTTCCATCCTGCCTCGATGTTAGCCACGGAAGAACGAAGAGAGGAAACGAGGCTCTCGAAGGGAACTTGACGGAGCTGAGGAGGGAGTCTTGATCTTCAACACGGACAACTCCCGGAATATGGAGGATTCACTGCTTCTCGAGGAGTAAGGTAAGCAATGTGTTCAACCCATAGTCAATCCCTTGAAAGAACACCCCTCATCACATTACTGCGTAAATATTTAGCATGGCTTTCCAAACTATGACTTCGCCTTGGCTCAACTCATCCTCCTGGGTATATCTGCGCCACACATCCTGGTCCCTTAATCGACCTTCTGTGATATCGTCCACGATTGCACACATACTCCTGGGTATCCTTACACCTTCTGCTCCCCAGCCCTACCATCCTCAGCCACACCAGCATGACCTAGGGGCGAGTCCTGCGCCAGAGTCTGCTGGTCGTTCAATTTCGGGTTCCGCAACACGGCCGCAAACGCAATGAGAGGGACGCAGAGGCAAATGCCCGTGATGGTCAGCAGCCGCTGGGCGTGTTTGTACGAGTCAATAAGCGCCTGGCGTTCGGGCGTGCCGACAGGATACTGGAGCGAGAAGGCAAACGGGTCCGCGTAGGCCCAAGTTGCCAGCGTTGCGTTGTCGAACGCGGCGAAGCGCTCGCTGAGGTCAACTGGCAGGACCTGGGTCCAAATGGCTCCCGACACAGCGCCGCCGAAGGCCGAGCCGAGGTTGTAGGTGGCGAGGTACACACCTGTCATGACGGCGAGGTGCTCGTGCTTGAGAATCGTCTGGAGGGATGCCTGGGCCGGGTATGGGAACATGCCACCCGCGATGCCGAGGACGACCTGGGCGCCAATGACGCCGGCGCGGCTGGCAGAGTCGGGGTCGCCGCGGTAGCGAATCAACAGGCCGAAGGCAACCATGAAGAGGCAGGTACCGGCAAAGATGAAGACCTTGAGCCGACGGACTTTGTAGACTATGAGGCCTAGAATGCAGCCGGACACGACGCTGAAGAAGCTGTAGAAGCTCGAAACGCGGGTGGCCGTCATGGTGTCAAAGTCGAAGGCGATCTGAAGGACCGAGAAGAGGTAGTCGCCCTGCATGTACCAAGACCAGTTGAGCAGCATGGCAATGCCTAGCGCACCCCACACGGCCCGGTCCTTGACCAGGTAGAAGGGCACCAGGGGGTGAGGGGCGCGGAGCTGCCACACGACAAAGGCGGGAATGCAGCAGATGCCGACGATCAGGGGTCCGAGAATCTGCGGGGCGGTCCACGAGGCTTCGAAGCCGCCGGCGATGGTCATTGGTGCGAGAATCAGTGCGAAGATGGCAATCATCAAGATGATGCCAATGACGTCCAGTCGCCAAAAGAGGTCGACGAGGAACGCGCCCCAGGGTTTGCTCTTGACGTCTTCGGTGTACTTGTCCATGAGGCCTTGTTTCCGCGCGCGGCGGCCAACGAGGGCCAAGCTTAGAATCAGAGGCATGGCGCAGACGGGGTAGATGATGCACCACATGCCGATGCCCCAGTGCCAGTCGGTCACGGAAAGGACAGACTGCGAGACGTTGCCGCTCACCCAGGTGGTGATGAGGAAGGGCATGGCAGGGATATAGCTGAAGATGAGACGAGCGCGGGTCGACGTTAGGTCGGCCACAATCACCTCAACCAGCAGCATGATCATGGTGTAGCCGATCTGGTAGATGATGGCACCCGCGGCATAGGTCTCGATATTGGTAGAAACGGTCTCCACGATGGTTCCGATCACGTAAAAGAAGACCGACAAGGCCACGAGTTCGGCGCGTCCAAAGATGTCGGCGACTTTTGCCGCGGTGGGCTGGACGGCAGCAGCAATGACGGACCGCAGCACGTTGACGGTGGAGAGCAACGAATGATTATCGAACGAGGCCGTGGCATATGGCTGATAGGCGTAGCGGACGGTGCCGTCCAGGCCGTAGGCGAAGGCGACGAGAAAGACACCGAAGAAAATAGCGACGCGATCCCAAGTGGTCAACACAGCGGCAATGGCCTCGACGCGGCGCACACCGGCCGACTTCTCGTCCACCGACGGCACCGAGACCGATGTTGGGCGGCGTGGCCGGTCATGGCCGATGGTGTTGTCTGGCGTGTCTGCCATAGTCCCAGACTTGTAGGTGTTGCTGTCGCCGATAGCCATGGACGAGGCTCCGGTGGGATGACGGAATGTTTGGGAATACAACGCAGGTGTGCGGCAGAGTTCCAATGTAATGTTATTTATCTGTCTGCCGGTTCTGCAGGTGCGGATCTTTTCCAAACCCCCCCACACGCGGATGATTGCCTCTTTGCGTCTGCAGACTTTTCGGTGTCACGTCATGCCATGCAAGCAGGCTGATCCTGTGAAGCGACGCGCCCAATAAACGCAATTCCGCTGCCGGGGAATCACCCGAGAAGGATGGAGCGAGGTCGCAGGGCATGCGCCCAGAATCCGCCGCTCATGACTTTGAATCTTATCAGATCGATTGATAGTGCGGATCACTGCCTCAACGGGCCGAATGCACGGGGTTTGCCAAGACTCTACCCACGAGGGCAGCTCTTGGCTTGGCTTGGCGCCTCAGTATCGGAGCACCCGAGCCCCGCATTTTCTCATCTTCGGCACCCGCCTGGGCAGCATTGCCAGGCATTCCTGAAAATTTTGCTCAACCTTCGCACGCCGGTTATCGCCGTCCACAATGCACGCCGGTGCCGCGGCACTGGAATTGATGTGGGTGTCTGGGACTTGCTCCAGAATCTAGACTCGTGGTTGGTCCTGCCTTCTGGAGTCTCGCTTGCCCCTTTGTCGATCCCATCCAGCCGCCGTGACACATTCACACTGGGTATCAACTGATTATCGCGGTTGGCCGCAGTAGACGCCATTTTTCGAGACGACCCCGTTGCCAAAATCAACGGAGTCGGCCGGATGCCCGCGGTGATGATGTTTACTGTGTATACTACATGCCTTCCAGGCGACGGACCGCCTTTTTCGGTCGAACTCGCCTGTAACATCTCAACACAGCGGCTGCCTCGCCGGCATGTCAGTCATCCAGCCAAGGCCTGCTGAGAGACTTGATTCTGGGAAGCATCCCCTTTGCGGCGAGCTTGAGCATGCGCTTCTGGTCAGCCTGTTGCGCTTAGCTAATGTGCCCAGGACATCGCGATGTCTTGCCGAGTCCGTCTTTCTAATCGCTCAGAGACGAAGAGCGCGAGTTCACGCAACAAGCGACGCAGCCACAATGTCCAACCCAGCGAACTGTTCCTGGTTGGAAGAAATCTGAGTAGCTGACTGCACAGTATCGCCTCCGGCGATCTTCTGTCCAAGGGGTGGCCAAGCCGTTGGTTTTCATGTCGGTTCGACAACCTCCTTTGAGGGCACATGTTCTTGCGCCCGAGATTGATTCAACTCCCTGTCATTTTACAGGAAGTATCGGTATCTGGACTTTTAAACTGAAGGACAGGACAAGAGGATACACAGCTCATCCGTATTCCATGGTCAGCCGCCACCGTGCAGAGCTCTGGTCCCCTAACTGCCGCAAGAGACGGCTCAGCCAGACAGCCCTGCTTCCTTCTCAATCACTTCCTTGCTCGGACACCACTTCTCCTGCAGCGCTTGGTCTAGGGCCAGGCTGTAGACATCCTTATTCCACCACTCCCCCCAGCTGGTCAAGAAGATCTGCTCCTGATCCTCAGGGAGATCGTCGCGCGTGAAAGCGCCGAGGATACTTTGTGCTCCTGCCATCCGTCAGCTGACGTTACTGTCACGTCTGTTGTCAACCCTCAAGCTCACCCTCAGGAACCGTCTTTGCGTCAGGCATAGTCATGCTCAATTTCATCCCCGCACCCCTGCCGAGCCCGGTATCCGGGATGAGACCCGGCGAGACAGCAACAATAGTTGCCTGCCCCTTCAACTGGCGCCGCCACCAGTGCGCCCCAAGCAGCTGGACAAACTTTGTCTGACCGTACAGAAGCTGGGCATTGTCGGAGGCCCCTGCTTTGAGATCGCGCTCAAGGGAATCTGCTCATCCAGTCAGTCGACCAATTCACAGCTCAACCACCAACCCAACCTCAACAAAGGGCACAACAAACCGGTATCCTTGATTCCTCTTATCGCACCAGAAGACACCACCACCACCCTCCCCTTCGACTCCACCAGTTTCTCCCTCAGCAGATGCACCAGGTAATGCTGTGCTACAGTCGATTCGTGGTATCAGTACCAACGCAAACCCTTCCGGCCATAGGGCCAGGCAGGCAATACAGTAAGATACGGTACTCACAAAAATGATTGACAACCACCGCCTCACACCACCCATCCATTTCCCCCTTCTTTGCCGCCTCTTTGCCGCCCGAGATAGCGGCATTCAACAACAGATAGTCCAACCGCGCCCCGTTCCCGGACTCAGCGCCGGCCAGCCGTTGCAGCGTCTGCTGGGCAAACGACCGGGTGGTAGCCAGGTCCGAGAGCTCCAACGGCAGGACGGTCAGGCTGTGCCGGGTGGTATCGTACTGCAGCGCGTCGTAGGCGGCCCGGGTGCGGGGCACATCGCGTGCGCCGAGGATGAAGCGGTACGGTTGGGCAGAGGGGTTGTTGAGCAGCTGTTTGATGAGTTCGAAGCCCTGGGTTGGGTGGTATTAGTGTGCATCATGAGCGGGTTGGGTGAGGTACATGAGAATGAGGGATGGGGGTACCAGGCCAGAGGAGGCGCCAGTTGCAACGACTGTTTTGGCGATGGTGGCCATCTTGATATCTGAAGCTGACTTGTATACGGCAAGTTGGTGCAATCGGGCGGTGATGGCGGGTTTGTTGGGATGAAGCGGGGGTGAAGCACAATAAAAAGTCACTGCTCGTAGAACTTGATGTCAAACCACATTCAAGCTCTGTTGCCCGACGCTTAACGACCTCGACTTTAATTCCGTCCCGGGGGGATGGACTTAACTCCGGTTTCTGAATCCTCCCCGTCAATCAGTAAGTTGCTGATTATCAATCAGCGTCGTAAGAGTCCGAGGTGCCTAGGATGCGGCTAGGATGACAGCCTCGATTGCACAGACTCCAGACTTTCAGTCTCTGCCGGCCGAACGGGTTGCTCCGGTGCCGACTTTCCATAACAGAAACATAAACTGACTATTGCTAGGAACTATCTAATCCCCAAGAACTCCATATCCAACTCATTATCTCGATATCAACATCGTATATTGGTATGAATGAGCCAAAGAAAGATAGTCATCACATCGTAGCTCATGACGCACCATTCACATCCGGTTAGCTCATCAAAGTTCGGACCAACAAGTTATCTGCCAAGCCATCTCATCCTCCTATCCAGCTATAACCACATGTTCCCAACGCTTGACACGGAGCTAGGACCGGAATATAATCTAAGTCAAAGTAGCCAACATGGCCTTCATCAACCGCGGTGGGGGACCTGTAGAGACGGGCCATATCAGCACACATTCAGTGCGAACCGGACTCGGTCGCGACTAACAACAGACATGGAACCGACACCAACCAACTTGGTTTAATCCACCCGGAGACCACTCTAAGGGCAGGCAAGAAAAAAGTAAAGCAAACGCGAGAGGATGTGAAGCGAGAAAAGGAAAGAGAACTAAAGGTGTGACCAGAGTATCAAGCATCGAACAAACCACAAAAGATTCGAAAGACATGGAAAAAACACGCCGACGCACCCTCTCACCGGTACCTCGGCACGCTAATAGACAGCCTACCTCTCTTATCCTTCTCGATCCTGGGCCCAGCCCTCGTCGGTTCCTGCACGATCTCGACTTCCTCGTCATACAGGACCAGCTCGCCGGTGCTCAGCCGCTCGGCGCGGACCATCTCGCCGCCCCTGCTCATGCTCCTGTGGCGGCTGCGATGGCGGCTGCGTTCCCGCCTCGCCAGCTGCTTCTCCAAGTGGCGGATTTCGGAGCGCAGGTCCTCCGTCTCGTAGACGTCGTACCGGTGGCCATGGGGGTAGCGGTGCGTGTTGTGGCTTGCGAGCGCGACGGGGCCGACGGGGATGTGGGTGGATTCCTCCCGGGTGCGGTCGAGGACGACGGTGGGGGAGCTGGTCGTGGTCGTGTAGGTGTCATACGAGCTGGCTGTGTCGTACGAAGTGGTGGTGTCGTAGGAGGTGGTGGTGTACCGGGTGGGCGAGACGTCGCGGATGACGGTTGTTTTGACGACCTCGACCGGCTGCTGGGGCGGATGGGCGTCGACGATGATGGGGCCGTTACCGGTAGCGACGGGCGCGGGGGGAGGCGCGGGCAGGGCGGCGGCGCCTTCGTAGATCTCGGTTCGGCGCTCGATGCGCTCTTCAATAATGTCGCCGGCGGTGGACCGGGCGGCGGCGATTTCGAGTTCACCTAAGACCATTAGCTGCTCCGCTCTTTCAAAGCATAGTGTAAACCTACTCTTTTTGTAATCATCGCTGAGCTTGAGCAGGTCGTCTATGTTCTGCTGGCCGAGTGCCTTCTGCACGATAATGACGTTGCCCTGAATCAGAGTCAGCCACGCTATTGGCTTTCCCTTGTGTCGAGAAGGAGCATCAACGTACCTCCTCGACATACGGGTACCCAAGGTCGATCAGCGCGCGCTTCGACACCAGCCGGGCCGGGATGCGCGTTTTGCCCTTCTTGGGATACTCACTCCTCGTCGTCAATGCCGTGCCGCCACTGCTGCTTGAACTGCTCGTGCTCGACGACCTCGACCGCCTCCTCACCCTCGAATCGCGGCGGCGCGTCCTCACAGTCTCCCTCTCACGCACCCTCTCAGGGTACGCGTGGAAGTCATCATCCCCATACCGGTGCGGATCTGACACCTGAATCTCGTCTGCGTACTCCCGCTCGGCATAAACCCTCGGCGGCGGTAGGGCCTTGGTCCTGGGCAGAGGGATATCCACATACGGGGGCACCCGATAATCGTCCCTTCTCGCGGGCGGCCCGTACTCCTCCCGCTCCCAGTATCGCTTCGTCGGCTTGCGGTCAAAGGTATCCAGACTCGACTGGCGCCTCAGCATCACCGGCGGCCTCCTGGGGGCGGGCGACGGGCTGCGATACCGCTCCTTCTCAAACACCACCCGCGACTTCTCCACCTCAACCTCTCCCCGCGGAGGAGGAGAAACCGGACGACGCCACGGAGGAGGCGACACGGCGCGTCGGGGAGGTTCCCGGCGCACGACATGCGGCGGCTCGTCGTCGTACACGACCCTGCGTCTCTCGCGCGACCGCTCGTGAATGACAACGTCGTCATCTTCGTCTGCTCTGCCGCCACGGAACCGCCGCTCGCGGTTCCAGTCTCTGTCTCTGTCGGACGGTCCCACCGTGGTAGAAGACCGGTCATCCTGGTCGCGGTCGCGCGGTGCGGGTCGCGATGCGGGACGTGTGCCGCGTCGCACATACACGTGGTCGTCCTCCTCCTCGAAGCGCTCGCGCATGTCGCCGTAGCGGTCACGGTCGCGCTCGTGCTCGTAGCGCTCGCGGTCCCAGCGCTCAGTCGTGCGCTCCGGGCGGGGGAGGTCCGGGGCGGAGGATCGGTAGGCCATGACCGTGCTTCCTTGATGTGGTCACACGAAATACGGAAGGTCAACTCGGTGGGTATTGTGATGTTCGTTGGTCGGATAGGGCAACGATGCGGAGCACAGGCCGTTGTAAGCCTTGAACGGCTGATGCTCCTGTATTTCGATGTCTGGGCTGGTGATCCTGGACGAGGTTGGTTGGTTTCGCTGGTGCGTGTTCGGATGGTTTTACGGAACGCACAAAGGAGGGGTTCTGGCTGGTCTCAGGTTCAAGTGTTGGTCCGATGACGACAGAGAGTGGGTCAGTAGCGACCCGAAAATGCAAGGGTGCCTTAGCTTGGAGGGTGCCAAGACTCGTTTGTTAGCCGGCATTGAAATGGTCCGTGTGCGAACACCGTTCGTCTTACGAGACAACAAACTTCAAGATCCAGTGTCGTGGTGAACTGACCAAACCATATGTCGAATGACTCGAAAACTTTTCAGGGTCGGGCAGCAAGGTGGGTGATTGTCAACAACTAGGAAACGAGTTGTTATATTGCAAGGTTATAGCGCATAGACAAGCAAACGGATCCTTCGGTCTGTTATCAACAAAGTGCATCTATCTCGGAGCTGACGACGAAGCTGCCAAAGGGAAAGGAAAGGAAAGATATATACACACGATTCTCACATCGCCAACCAGATACGACATGTCATGAGAAGCAAATGTCAGGAGCCCAAGGATTAGCGATTTGTGGCTAAGGATCAAAGAGAGACCAGAGTGAGTCGTCATGTAACCGAAAGGAGCTTGTGTGCCGCGTTTTTGCTCCTCCTCGATGCCACATCTGTACATGCACTTTTCTCTCTTGGGCCGCCGGGCGCCCCAAGTTCAAGGGGCAGCCAGGCTGACAGGATATTCTTCTCGGACTCGAATAAGGTTTCCAGGGCCCCACGTGAAAAGACAATCAATGCATGGCAATTGCTGCTTAAAGGGTCCTGCAAATGCTCTGTCTGCATGCACGATGACGTCCACACCCGCAATTATACTGGTCCAGGGACATCTGTCATTGGCGGGGAAGGGCAAAGGCGGTCAACAACATTCTTGAAACTCAGACCCCGAGCGTGCGAGGCCCTTTTCCCCTTGACTCCCTTCACACTCGAACACGGGCACCTTGGCTGGGCGACATGGCATGATGAGACATACACTTGTTATAACCCCTACTCTGCCTCTGGCAGCTACACTACCATGCAGAACTTTTGCTGTCCCGAATCTGGAGCAAACAAATGCGCAAATTTTCAACCCATTCCTCGCCTTTTCCCCACAAACTCCGGAATCATATGGTCAAGTTAAGTTCAAAGAAAATCCCCTTCATACAGACTTCAGCCCCCCTGAGAAATGCATGAGTTATTGCCCGTTAGCCACCTCAACCTGCTCGCCGTTTTGAACCTCAACTGGTGCAGCCTTGCCTGGCTGCTCGTGCAGAGTCAGGTGGAAACTGCGAATAATGGAATCGGCGTCGTCGATGGCGATGGGCCGTACGTCCGCCAGCGCCTTGATTTTGGCCGTAACCTCCTTGACTTGATCATCAGTCATGGTCAGACCAAGCTGCCCAACTCTTGTCTTGACAGCATTCCAGCCCGTCAGGCGCGACGCGAAGTGGACATAGCGGGTCAAGCCAAAGTCGGCCGGGTTGAGAATCTCGTATGTGCTGGGGTTGTTGAGAATGGCCTTAGCGTGGATGCCGGCCTTGTGGGTGAATGCGCAGAAGCCCGTGATAGGGTTGTTGAAAGGCGTGTTCACCTCAACCGCCTCGGCGACCATATCCTCAATCTGGGGAGGGAGTCAGGATAATCCAAGTAGATTGTCTGGTTACAACTAACCTCCTTAAGCATGTGCAGCTTGTACTTGCTCTTGACATACTCGGGGCTGGTCACGACCATACGGGCCAAGAGGCCGCCGAGAGGAGTGATACCGTTGCGCTCGCCAACTGGGGAAATTCGTCAGCACTGGTCCAAGAGAGAACGAAGTGCAGCCGGATGTACTTACTGCCAAGCACGCTGGTGTCGATGTGAGTGGCACCGGCTTCCAGTGCGCAATAACTGGGACGAGTCAGCAAAGGCAGACCGTATGGACAATGGGACAACATACGCATTTGCGATACTGCAGCCAGTGTCGTTGTGGAAGTGTGTCTCAATATCGCAGGCTAAAAGGGTTAGTGCGGTCCTGATATATCTAATTCGAGCACATACAAACAACACCACGGAGCGTCCGGACGAGCTGTCGAACTAAGTTAGCCAGCGAGAAAACTTGGTGAATGTGTCAAGGAGACATACGTCGTAGACCTGTCTGGGGGAGGCGCAGCCAACGGTATCGGCAATACCGACACGGTTAACGCCGACCTTGTCGACTGCCCTGTACAGAGACAGGAGGTCGACCAGGTCAGACCGGAAGGAGTCTTCGCTGGAGACTATGTACTGTTAGCATGGAGCTCACCACGAATCATGACCCATGGGTTGATCTGGGCGCCCGACAGCCGACGGAATGGGCCGCAGAGAATCGCCAGATTCCGACAGAATAAGAGCCACGCTCTTTTCATAGCAGGCCCCGCCCATTGTCCCACGCCCTCCTCCGCCTCATCTTCCAGGCCCAATCGAAGTCCTTGAAACAGCCTCTCGTCTCGGTAACCAGGAGAGTGGGCATCGACAATTGTGATGTATCGTGTGTAAACGGGAGAAAGCTGGGGAGAACTCACAGCGCACTTCAAGGCCCTTCGACTTGATGTACTCGATCACCTCGATCGCCGTCTTCTCGATGTAGGCCATGTCCTTGCCATGGCTGTGTTCCCGCAGGAAGCTGGATGTGCCAATGACGACGTCGAGGCCGTCAACACCAGTCTCGACGGCGAGCTTGGCATCGCGCATGTCGCAGCGGACGTCTTGTGGGTGTCAGTTTGGGGACTCGGTGGGTCCATCGCCGAAATCGGAGACTCACGTGTCAGAATCTTGGCCTACGATGCGGGCTGTTAGTTGCAAGTTCCATGTGTTTTCGAGCGCGAAAAGGGAAACGCACCTTCAGCCCGAGCTTGCAGATGGCCTCGCAATCTTTGCGCGACTGCTCAGAGGCAGCAGGCGAGGTCAACTCGATGTAGTCGACGCCGAAGGCATCGAGGGCTGTACCACAAGGGAGTGGTGTCAGTAGCCAATTCAGGGTCGAGCGGGGCAGCGCACCGAGCCATCATACCCTTGGCACTAGACGACGGCAAAGTTAGCGATGGCTGTATGTGGGCTTCCAGCAGGCGCTTGCGACTACTGACATCTTGATCTTGGTCTCGGTATCAAAGTAGGCATTGGCAAATTGCTCGCCCTCTGAGACGGTAGTCAGCGACGCAGGTCAACAGGCAATTGGAGCCGGGGACGGACCGCGCAATGTCGACTCGATGATCTTGAAGCTGCCGACATTGGAGAGAAAGTCGCCGACGGGCTGGTACGGGTTCGACCGGAAATTGGCACCCTGTGACGGGAGATATGAGTATCACGGGCAAATAAGGGCACCTCAGCGTTGGAGCGTAGACATCTCGAGTCGATAAGATGATAAGGGAGCCGATGCAGGGCCAGCAAGACATACCCCATTGGCGCCATTGCTCGTGCCATTGGCACCGCTCGTTCCGTTTGTGCCGCACATGGTGTTTGTCTGTGAGTTTGGGGCTGGTTGAACGATCTAGGCAACCCGCAATGGAAATCGATGGTAAGAGAGTTGATCGAGATTCAAGGTAAATGTGAGAGGGAAGATTTGCGGCTTCCAAGTTCCCGATGTCGCTAAAATAGTCGTCCCTCTGCCCCTCCTAGTTTGAGTGACTCAATCAGAGATTTTTTTCCCCGGCACCAGTAACCGCGGTGAAATGCCCCGCAGTGGCACTCAGAACGAGGCACGCCAGCAGGCCAGGAACCTAAGACGGACAAGAGAAAGCGGCCCTGATTCGTCAGCCCTTCTGAAGACGGCGATGTGCGTCACGTCACAGGTCTTCTCCGGCCGCTGAGACGCTCTCCATTCCCACCCCAGATCCACATCAACGGCAACACCACACAGTAGTGTACCTGGGTTGATTTTGGAATCTTCACCCTCTCGTCGTTACGGAGGTACTACCAGACTCGACTGGTCCAGGTCACCTTAGTCATGACACCGCTGTTCCGCACTTCACGTCCGTGGCGTCAAAGTTTGTGGGCAGAATGCGGGGCAAACTTTGGCCCTGCAGCTGCTCGTGTGCGTTGTTCTGTCCGAGTCTCCTCCTCTTGGGGCGGGAGTATTCCATTCCGTTCCTGCACTGGCGGTTGTGCTAAGATGGAAATGGGACGATGCGCAGGACACAAGATCAGTAGGTATGACATATAGACTGTCAATAACGGCTTCTTGATGACAGTCCAAAGTTTCAATTTGCCGAGGTTGCTCACGCTGGAGTCCGTCCTTCTCATCGGCCTCTTCCAGGGTGTTACAGTGGCTATGCAAGCAAGTGGGTCCCTTCCGTAACAAGTGGATGCCGTAGCCCATGCCTTTCGCCTGCCCACTGAAAATCCGGGGGTTTCAACTACCCGACTCCATCTCTCATCGTTGGCTGCTGTCAATGGTGTTGCAAAAGCCATTGGTTGACCAAAAAGACCTGGATGCTCCTGGGTTCCGCAAACTCAACATCATATTGTCTGCGACCCGCCTCACGCTCGAGTTGCAGCCCAATGACTCCTCTGCTCTGCCTTTCACGAGTCGGTGCGTTGTCATTGCCAGTGTCAGGTGATGGACTCTGCTTTGACCGAGGCTAGCTTAGACAACATCGCCTGCCGAGAGTTGCCTGACACAGCGAACCTTCCCGTACATCTAAAATATAAGCATAGCCTGACAGCGCTGGAGTGCGTGTTGGAGTCTACTTGTGATCCAAACACGATTTGCATTCTCAAGAGCACCTACGATACCCCTCTTTGCCATACATCTTTCGGCGCCAAACACAGTGCAGCCAGCATGTGTATCGTCCTCATTTCAACATCACATCCGCAGTATGCGTTGATCGTGCTCGACAACCGAGACGAGTACATTCTCCGACCAACCAGCCGCCCGCATTGGTGGACAGCCCGGCCTCAGCCGGCCGTTCCGAATGGGCCAGCCAATGGCACGGACGGGTCTCGGGAAGAGCTAGCAGTCCTCTCCAGTCGGGATCTATACAGAGCCGAGCGAGGGACGTGGTTGGGCATCACCAAGGGCGGCAACTTCGCCGTGCTGACCAACTACCGAGAGATGGACACTGCCGACGCGGCGCATCCTGTACAGGGAACCCGCAGCCGGGGCGCGATGGTGACGGCATGGCTCGAGGCAGATCCGGCCGAGTCGACGAAGCAGTTTGTGCACCGTATGCTGGACGACGGCGGCGTCAAGGGTGTGGGTGGCTTCTCGCTGCTCTGCGGCAAGCTGCGCAAGGTGTCGGGAGAGAAGAACATCCAGCCGCTGGCAATTATCTCGAACCGCTGCGACGACGCCGAACAAGTTCCTTGGATTTGCGGGCAACGCGGCTCTTCCTACGGCCTCAGCAACGCCACCTACCTGGAACCAAGCGACGAGAACAAGGACGCGCTCTGGCCCAAGATCATCCAAGGTACTGACATGCTGAACCGCGCCCTTGCCGCTGCTGGCGACGAGCAGGAGCTCCTTACCTCGCTTTTCCAGATCTTGGACCGCGACGAATTCCCGCCCAACCACGCCATGGACCTCGAAGAGGGTTTGGCTCACCTCAAGAACTCCATCTTCATCCCGGCCTTCGGCGGCCCACGGCACCAACAGGAAATGAGCGAGGCGCAGCGACAGGGTAACGTGAAGCAGACAAACCACGACTTCTCTCCCGCTGTCGAGGTCTTGACGATGGCGGCGCGGCCGGACCCTCCAAAGCCCAACGGCTTTGAGACGGGCCTCTACGGCACCCAGCGCCAGACGGTCATCCTCGTCGACTGGGACGGCAATGTCACCTACGTCGAGCGCGCGCTCTGGGACTCGAACGGAAATCCAATTCCACGAGGACAGGGCGACGAGATATTTCACTTCAAGATCGTCGGCTGGGACCACGCGGATGAGTTGAGGAATTAGCCGAGGGGTGCTCGTTGGACAGCATGAATAGCGACGTCTCGTGAGCCGACCCAGCTGGAATCGGTTTCTCGATCGAGTCCCAGTGATCAGGGGCGGTGGGGAAGCTAGGCCGAGGGCGGCGGCGGGGTCACGCCGGAAGAAAAGGGGCGGACGGCGCGGAGGCGTGCGCGGGAAGGGTTAGCGGGGTCGGCGCTCCAGACTACCTACCTTCAACAAGCTCTGCCCATCAGGATGTGAGCCTGTAGCCACCCTGACACCCACGCGAGGTTTCGGTCAGGGTTTCGAGCGTCGTCACATGTAGCGTGTCTAGAGTGACGTCCCTCAAGTATGCCAACGCGGTTGAGCAGCTCTACTCGTTCGTTCAGACCATCACCGCCTACACTGCCTCTTTTGCCCATGGCGCCAACAACGTTGGTAATGCCGTTGGCGCATGAGTAGGCATGTACATCGCGGCCGTTGCAGGTACTCCAGCATCGCAGTTTCGGGTCCCGGGATGAGCTTCCTAAATCTCCCTCCTCCGAAAAGAAGAGGGAAAAAAGGAACATGGACGATTGGCCTCTTCAATGATGAAAGAAGGGAACAACGCTTTGGGTTCAAAGGCACAGCGTCTATGTTGCAGACATTGCGGTTCAGGGTATGCATAACTTGGAGCATGGCCAGTTTGGTTGAGCGTCTTTTGGTATATGGGATTGAGTATCTTGGCCTGGTATCATGTCGCTTTATCTGATGTTGTTGGAGACGGCTGCGGTTATTGGTAATGGGCGTGATTTCCGGCTTTCGTACTTTTGTTGTCACTCACCCGGCAGCGGCCACGAATCGGTACCCACTGGTGAGGGCGGCTTCTTCGATCTGATCTGCTAGACGGCCATTCCCTTCTCGGTCTTCCTACGCATGGGTCGGCTTGCCTGTCAGGTCGCTCTGCCTTCCACCTGCGACGACACCCTCGCAACTTCCTCGAGACTCGAGCACTGCATCTCTTCCTCAGGGCACGTTTGGTATTCGTCGCGTTCTTCAATAGATAGTATGTAACCTGTCACTGCCCGCGGCCCAAGCCTGCCCTATCGCCAAGTCGAATTCGCTCTTCTTCTACCGGTTGTCTGAAGCAACCCTCGCCTTTTACACTAGCTATACACACAGCACCCGTCATCACTCCCAGGATTCCAGATCTACCTCATCCAGCCGCTGTCCTTGTCCCTTTGCTAACCTGCCATGAGTAAAAGGCTGCAATCGGGTCCCTGGAGTTCTGAGACGGACTCTTGGTCAGAACCGGATGAGGACGACACCCCTTCTGGCCTCAGCATCCGAATTATCGCACCCCAACCTCTCCACTTAAAGACTACGGTTAGCCCAGGCCCGTCGAGGAGGAGAAGGCCACCAACATCGCTGTGTCCAGGCGATCAGTTCGCCTCCGTCTCGACGATTCGCCCAGGTTGTGAAACGAACTGCTCAACACTCTTGTCCGGCAAGTAGGAACATCAAAAAAGGTTGCGTCTGATGCCAGTTTACTAACAGTCCGTCAGAGGAGTTTACTCTGGCATACATGCCTGTTATTGACGTCAAGAGAAGAGTTGAGGAAACATTAAGCTTATTTTCGCAACCAGCACCGACCACAGCGACACAGATTTCCGAACGTTGTGGAGAGGACAAATTCGAAGAGAAAGGAAAGGCTAACGCCTCGCTGTTCACTGCTGTCGGTGCTTTCGTGAATTTGGGCTCGCTCTACTATCACCTCTTTCGGGCTACCATTCGGGTAGTCGGAGCTTCTGTATCCTCAAACTTCGCCATCCTCAAGGGCTCGGTCAGCGCAGACTTGGGCATACTCAGAAGAATTTTGGGGGTTTGGATAGAGTTGGCTCGCCACACCTGCAGCACCCTGAATTTCGTCGGAGTTATCGTCGCACTGAGGGTCTTATCGACCATCAATTGGAGTATCAAGTTTTTGCCTGAGCGATGGCGGACGCCCAAGGACGGGAAGCTCGACGAGACCCCAAACCGCATGACTCTTGGATGCATCGACAAGGGTTGGACGGGAATCCCAACAAGCTTGGCCGGAGACCAGTGATGGTCAACAGCCTCGTCCCCCCCAACCATGCGCCAGCACGTTATGCCAGTCGTTTATCTCGCTCTTCGTCCTTTGCCAGTGATATTAGCAACGACGAGGACCAAGCGCCAGCATTCCGAACAGCAGAAGCTACCGCAGCGGCACAGCCCCGGCTTGGAATCCCCAAAAGTCGGCCCTCCAGTGTTATCTCCGGTCTTACTAAGTCTTTCTCCCGTGGCTCACTCACGAGCCGGGGCACCAGCAGCCGCAATGTCAGTGGAGAGTCTTGCCAGTCAAGCACCGTGAGCCACATTCAAGACATCGCCGGGGGATCGAGGGCTCAGGCATCATGGACCGCAGGGCATCCTACCCCACAGGCTAGCCGCGAGCTTGACATCTACGCTGTCACAACCGCAATGCCGCCGCAGTACTGGGCCGGCCGTTTTATGGCGCTGCACGACCGCTTCCACAACGAGCTACTGGAACCATTCCGTCTCGCCCGAATCAACAAAGCCCAAATCGCGAAGCCGTCCCTGCCGCCTCTGACCAGCAAAGCCTCCGCGGCAGCGCAGAACAACCCTTCAACGTCAATATATTCCGTCACTCGCGTTTCTCCGAGCAAGCACATACCAGGCAGCGACAGATCAACCACGGATCAAGACGCTCACTCACGCCAGCCAAGCCGCATCCCGCAGTCCGCTACGAGCGGCGCCATCCTGCAGAGGTCTTCCTACAGCAGCAGCGGCAATAGCAACCAGCCAGACCCCGAATCACCCTTCTCAACGCAATCTACTTTAATCAACGAGCAGCTCGTCACCACAGTTGCCCACAAACATCCTTTAACGATTACAAGCAAACTCCCTCCATCACACCCCTCGCGCCCGCTCCTAACAAGCACCATAACCTCGATGACCTTTACGGCCAGTGCCACGACAGACCCCAGAAGAAGCCGCCTCCGGAATCTGGGGTTATGCACCGCAACGACAAGTCTGCGCCACATCGAAGCGACCGAAGCCGAAGCCGAGGGCGGCGACGAGGCACGAGTCCGCCGGGCGCTGGCACACCTTGAGCGAGCATGTCTGACGGACGCGGCGAGGCTGTCCTTGCGGCAGTGGCGGATGGCGTATGCGAGGCGGACGGGGAGAATGGAGTTCTTGCCTGGTTTGCCTTTGTCTTCGTCGGTGGGGGGTTCAAGTTCAATGGGGCAGGCTCAGGGGCTGGGGCAATGGCGGCAGGGGCTGGGTCTGGGTCAGGGGCAGGGTCAGGGGCAGGGTCAGGTTGCTGGGGTTGGTTGGCGTGTTGGCGGGTCTGCTAGACCTGCTGGGCCTATTTGTACAAGTATGAGGGTAGATGAATACGGAGGTAGCGGTGGAGGGGATGATCGCCGTAGCAGCGGCCAACACCGTTATTCTTATGGTCTATCTGGGAACCACGAAGGTGGAACGGGGTTTGAGAGTGAGGATAGGGGGCAGAGTAAGGATAAAACGAGGGTAACAGGTACGGGTGATGCGATGGGAATGGAGAAGAGGATGGAAAGGGGGGTATGGGAGGCGATGGGAAACGCGGGAAGGCAAGGAAAGAATAGCTGTGGAGAGGGCAAGAGTCAGGATCAACATGCCGGACAATATCATCAACAACAACAACAAACGGGACAATATGAACACGAGCATTCGCATCACGGGCATGGACATGGACACGAGTTTGGGAGAAGGGGACGCGAGATGGTCAGACGGCTGAAGAGGAGCTTGATTGGCAGCAGCGGGGATATGTCTGGTGGCAAACAAGCAAGCGGGCATGAGAGATGGGGAAAACAGCGAGCCAATCGAGGGAACGGGAAGTCCGTGGACGGGCACTTGGCTGACTTGGAGAGCCCGGTTGTGGAGAACAAGGAGAAGGGGAGAAAAGGTGGTCGGCACTTCAGCTTCTTTTGAGCAACGCGGGTATTGGCCTGTTGGTTTCCTGGCCTACACCAAAAATGTTGGTTTATAGGTCTCAGTGTTGGCAATACCTGTGTAGTTGTTCTTGTATAGTAAGTTTACGCATGGTTGGGTCTCAAGGTTGACCTGGCATGAAGCGCCGTGTTGACACTGCATGGCGTTTATCGGCACTGGCAGATTATAGTTACCTAAGGAGCCAAACGGGGCGGGTATAGATTATTGCTGGATTCGGCTTTATGTTGGAGCTGGGTAGGGCAGCCATACAGAGTAGAAACGACAATGTGTCATCAATTCATGGTCCCTAGAACTTCTCCCTAAAAAAAGCCGCCGAGGGCACCGTCTCTTAAAACGCCGCGTAACTCCCCTTCCGAATGCGAAGCCTTATCCCATGCAGCCATTAGTTGTAGTTCCCGTCTCGCCGTTGCACCTCCCTGACCCTACTCGGCCTTTTTCCGACTCTTAAGGTAATCCCTCAACTGCTCAATCTTGTTGGCATAAAACATTCTCTTGCGGTCGCTCTTCCACATCAGCACGCCAATCTCCTCGGCGTAGCTGCTCAGCGAGACGTACTCCTCGAGCGAGTCAAAGTCCTTGAACAGGAAGCCCGCCGACGTCGTCATGCGCTCGTTCTCGATCTGCCACAGCCGGATCTGGTCCACCACCGTCGGCGGCAGCACGGGCCTACCGGTAGCCGCGGCAGCGCGCACCATTTGCTCGTGGGCGTGCGACGCCAGGTAGCTGATGATCTGGTCGGCCGTGATGCCGAAGCCGATGGCGCGGCGGATCGAGTCGCGCGTCAGCCGGCCCGTCACCATGCCCGGGAAGCGCATGTTGAGGTGGGTGAAGAGGGCCAGCACGGCGATCTGCAGGGGCGACGACGTGTAGGCGTAGAGACGGTAGTTGGTCTCAATAATGATGGAGCCCTTGCTGGCGCCGGACGAGTCGGGCGTCGTGCCGAGGCTGGCGGCGTCGCCCAGGTTGTTGGCGGTTGCGGCGCTGAAGCCGGAGGAGACGGAGCGGAGGGCCGAGGCAGAGCTGGTCAGGGTTGTGGCGAGGCGGGTAGGGAAATATTGGCGCGTGTCCTCGCGGGGGATGTATATCAACCCAAAATCGACGAGCGCGGGGAGCATGTTGCGCCGGGTCTCGGTGAGCGCGTCAGTGTCGTAGGCGCGGCCAAGCTCGAGCGAGGCGAGCATGAAGAGGAACGAAAGCATGTCGATGCTGTCGCTTTTTGCGGCATTACTTGCCGGCCCTTTGGCCTGCTCGGCTGCGCTTTTAGCACGGTCGGCCGCCTCGAGCCAGAGCAAAAGCAACGTCCAGACCTGGGCGTTTGCCTCTTGCAGTAAGAAAGTAAATCCGGCCTGAGTAATTCCCACTCCGCCTCTCGTGTCCGGCCGTCGCTCGACGAGACGCCCTATCAGCAGCAAATCCTTGACGCTCGCCTTAGGGCCTCCAGAAAAACTGCTGCCGCCGCCTCCTGTCTCTCCATCCACGGGAACACTGTTTACAATGTAGTGTAGAATATCCTCCCACTTCTTGCGGGCGTAGTGATCGAGATAGGCGATGTCGATGCGCGGATCGACGGGTAGCGTGCTCGGCACACCGAAGCTGTTGTGGGAACCGCCGCCCTCGAGGGCCAAACGCATGCTGTTCCTAAAGTTCGTGGTGAGCTGCATTTCTTGCGGCTTGTCCTTTCCGGGTGGGGTGATCTGGATGATGTGCAGCGACCGGAGGATGGAGAGGGCGCGGTCGCGGTGCATCTTGCCCTCTGGGCGCACCCAGACGTCGAGCTCGGAGAGCAGTAACGGCGCGGGTGCGTAGAGGAGAGCCTGGACAAATACCTTGGCCAAGGGCGGCAGCATGCGGCGGAATATGGCAAAGGCTGTTGAGGGCTGCTGGTAGAGCTTCCGAAAGGTGGTGCCGGGCAGCTTCTCCAGGTAGTCGGAGAGCTGGTACGACTGCTGCTGCGCGACCGACATGGCGCGTGCTTGCTTGCGCACGGTATCAAATATGTATTATCCGCATTATCAGCGCTGTGATGGGCCGCTGGCAGGATCGTGGTGTGGCAGGGCGTAAAATGGTGGTTGATGGTAGAAGATTGAAGTTGCAAGATGCAGCCTTGTCGATGGCCTTCTGAAATGCACGAATAACATTCGCTAAGAACTGCCAAGCCAGCGCAACGCCGGCATAACGGACGACAGGGGCTTGAGTTGACTACAGTACCTTATGTACAGAAGTTCTGTATGGACGTTCGTTACCGTTTGAGGAAATGAAGTGACAGATCCACGCAACGTCCCGAAAAGAGTGGGACTGCTTCAAGGACTCTCAATCTTGGAGCCCGTCTCTATGAACACTCGGAATATTCATGTGGTTCATGCGTCCCTCCCCGAACGGAAAGCAAAATGGCAGCAAGCTCGGGCACCAAGCTCACACCCTTGAGATTTGTTCGATCGGTCCGTTTTGTCTTCTTAAACATGTCTAAATCAAGACTTTGGTGGTCTAACCCATTGTTGCAGGTTTTGGCGTCATTCATGGCCGAGTCTGGACTGGAGCCTCGGTACTTGAACGATCCCCCGTGAAGCAAGCAACTCGTGCGGCAAACTAACAAAGAATGTCACGCTCCACGGCTCCAGACTTTTTGGACAGCATGTAAGTTCGGTTACCCATCCCCAAGACTCGGGCCTGGTAAGCTCACAGCGGCAGCTCCGCATCATCAATGCCCACATGGGCATCGTAGACTTTGAGCTGCGCATCACGGCGGACCACACGGTGAGCTTGGTCGCCAACATGTTGCAACAGACATGCGTCTCTGACAGACAGTCCCTGCAGAACCGGCTAAAGATCCTCCACGGCGGCACAATCGCCAGCCTCGTTGATCTCGGCGGATCACTCGCCGTCGCCGCCAAGGGGTACTATGCTACCGGAGTCTCGACAGACCTGAACGGTGAGTCTCCTGATGAACCGACCGATATACCGGTCTCCACAATCTAGGTATCTTCGCTGACACTGTCCAACAGTCACATACCTGAGCAGCGGCGGCAAGGAAGGAGATAAGCTCCGAGGAACTGCCGTCTGCGAGAAGAGTAAGGTCGCTGGTTCCCTATCATCAGCCCCAGTCCTGGAACTTACTTTGGCCATCAGTCGGCAAGACGCTCGCCTTCACACAGGTAACCTTCTGGGACAAGGAGCGGAATCTGGTTGCCAGGGGAAGCCATACCAAGTAAGCACCCCGCCTTCTTCTGCACCTCGTTCGAGTCAAACCAACGTCTGCTACCAATATACTCTGCTGATACAATACGCCTTTGCAGGTTTGTCGCTCTAGCCGTTGCCGGCAGCGAACCATTTACTATCCCGGAGGGAGCAAAGATTGCACCGGACAGGAAGCCAAGTCGAATTCGCAACAAAGAGAAGTTTATCGCCATCCAGGCTCAATCACAGAACAAAAGCCAGGAAATTCCAGAGTAAACGGGCGGCTACTGTCAGCACCCCCGGGAATAAATCAGGCCACTACCTACGAATATCTGGGACTGGGACCACGTGAACATCCTCCTCCTTTCAAGCTATCATTGACATGCACACCGCGCGACCTCCCACGTCCCACATTCATCTCTCTGGCACATGTTCATCCCATCACAACATTCGAAGGCTTCGTCCGCCCCTTATAGTCCCAGCCCGCCACCTCAAGACCCATCTGGATACAGCCAATCACGGGCGCCGCACTCTCGCTCTCCTTGACCCCCGTCATCTGGGCCTTCTCCTGCCCGTGACGCCCGTGTCCGTGACGAACCTGGTGCCCGAGAAGGTGATGGTCGCGAAATCGGCCAGCGGCACCCCGTTGCTGGCCGAAGAGTCCTCGAAGATCCACTCGGTGTTGAACCCGCACAGCGCCCCCCTCCCCCCTGCACCTCGTCCATGGTCACGTTGGCGCGGTCGAGCTGCCCCGTGCACGTGTTGACAAGGGAAAGCGTCGCCGAGGTGAGCGACTGCGCCGCGATGTTCAGGCCGACAGTGTCGCCGGCGTAGATAACAACGTCGCTGAAGTAGGTCGGCTGGTTGGGCCACCATCCGAACCTGTCATGACGGGCACCCCTCGGATCAGTCCTAGGTTTCTTTCCTTGAGTGGTGCAGTTGCAAAAAGGGTTTGTGTTTGTGGCTCACCATGCCCAGTACTGCGCCACGCTCTTGATCAGGTACATGTCGACGCCCACCTGCAGGAGGGCGTTGGGGCAAGTGGCTTCGCCGTCAATGCCGACCCATGCCGAGACGGCATGTAGGGGGCTGCTAGGCAGCCGGAGGGTATGGACGTCGATTGTGCCCACGACAGTCCGGTAGCCCGCTCCCGTGAGCACGGCACCCGCCCAGACTCAGTTGTAGATTGGTATGGCTGGGGTTGGGGTCGCCTGAGATCCGTCCGCAGTGTGAGGATGGAGGCGGTCAAGTAGATGTGAGCATCGGACGGTGAGGAAGGGGTCGTATGAGCCGGCGGCGGAGCCGAGGATGGCGGCGAGTAGGTTGGTGGCGGATCTCATACTGGGCTCGTTGGGCGAGTGATGAGTTGAGGGGATTCGGCGCGAGAAAGAACAGAACCTAGCTTCCTCAACTTGAGACTTCATACGAGGGTCCGTCGACGGCGTGGACTTTGGCCAGGGCAGACCCAGATCGAGGAGGGCAACAGCAACTCTGTCCCTGACTGCCCCTTCTCCTGCCATGATGCCTGCGATGACTTAAGCAGAACGAACATTCAACGGTGTCACTCCATCACCGCTCCTCGGCTTGTCGAATTTCCTTCGAAGGAGTGAACAGGTGCTGGCTGACTGGGTGTAAACAATCTGAAGTTCTCAACTTTCTTTGCAGAAATCCCAGGTTCTGTTGATGGGCGAGGGTGGTCGTAACTCTGCCCTCACATCACACGGTGGCGCGGAGCTTTCCATCCCGTGTCGTCGTCCATCCGCCAGCCAACACGGTGCGGCGTGTGCAGTGACGAGAGAAACCGGTGGAAATTTTCAATAGGAAACGCCGGGGCGATGTTCTTTATTTGTAAGTAAGACTTGTCGATGCAATCGTTAGCCAACAGGTATCTGACCCCTCCTTTACAGACCCTAAACCCAACCGGCAGCACACACCGGCTGCTCGCTCACAAGACCAAAACCGATCACCGCGTATTACCGACCGCCCTTTACGACTTACAACACCCCCCTGGGCCAACCTCCGAGAAAGCCAACCGACTCACACCATCGCTCACCCCCTTCCAGCCCCCATCTTCCTTCTTTACCTCACTCGGCACCCTCACATAGCTCGGCGGCACGTCCATAACGGGGTTTCCCGCAAAGAAGTTGCGCGGCCGCAGCAGCAGCGTCATGGGCTCGGCCGGCATGACGGGGAAGTCCTCCGGGGACGGGAAGTGGGTCACGCCAAAGGTGTGCCAGAGCACAAGGTCCGTGTTGTCGATGCTTTCCTGCCCGGAGCCGATCCAGGACACTATGCCGAGTGGGGTGTTGCCCGATGTTTGCGGTACGTGGGTGCCTGCGGGGTAGAGTTGGTCGTCTTTGTCTGTTGCGCATAGGTAGGTTAGGATGTGTATTGTTACAAGGCTCGGGAAACTGATGGGAGGGATGGCCGCAATGGGGCGGAGACAAAGCTGGGATGAGGTTTTTGAGCGGGGTGGGGGAGAGGGGGGCAAAGAAGGGGTCAGAAAAGGACGTACAGGGCGTGACGTGCACGGCGTGCCGGGCAAACGGCGCCCGCTTCCACACCAGTGAGCCCTCCTTCGGCAGCAGGCCCGGCACCTCGCGGCTGACGAGCTTGTAGCTGACGGGCTTCTTGCTGAAGGGATTTAGCCGGTTGGTGTTAGCAATCTCCCACGTGCGCGACGTCGCCCCGTTGTAGTCGGTCACGGCCTCGCCCGTCGTGGCGAGCTTGGTGCGCCGGTTGTAGAAGCCGTTGCCGTAGTAGTTCTCGGGGCTGCCCACCGGCGCGTCGCTGGGCACCGCATCCGACATGAAGACGGTGTTGTTTGGCCCGTCGACGTTGGCGTTGATGCGGAGGCAGAAGAGGTGCTGGTGGTTGTGCGCATTCACGCCCGGGTACACCTGGGTGCCCCAGCCGTGCGTGTCTTCGGCCGGGTCCATGGCGTACGTGTTGAGGATGCCCGTGAGCTTGATCTCGGGCTGGATGGTGCCGTCCTGGTGGAAGATCCAGGCCACCACGTACTCGTAGTTGGCAGCCGTGAAGATCTGCTGGATAATCAGCTTGCGGCCGCGTGTCACAATGACCGAGTCGTCGCGGAAGTCAGTGTGCTTGAACAGAATACCCGCGTCTTCCTCGTGGATGCAGATGGCGTTTTTGATGGTGCGCAGACCGCCGGAGCGCGTGGGAAAGTGTGCATCTAGATAGTGGATGGTTCCTTTGCAGTCGCAGCCGAGGGAAAGACTGTTGGTCATGTACCCGGCGCCGTACTCGCCCTGGTCGAGGGCGTGCTTCCGGTGGTGAGGATGTTCAGGGTTCCCACTAATAATCTCAGTCCATGGGTTCCACTGTCACTCTTCAGCCAACTTACTATGGCACGACCATCTCGGCCAGGGACAGCCTGTAAAAGATGGGCCGGAGGGTCCCCTTGTCATTGTAGGTAATGTTGTTCAGAACAATACCCTCCCGGTAGTTGAAGCCAATATGAAACTTCCAGCTCTGCCACGCAATCTCCCGGCCGGCCATCCTGAACGAAACGCCCTCGGGCTGGGTGATGTTGATGGACTTCAGATCCGTCCGGTAGCCGCCCCTCTTCTCGACAGCGGCGGGATGGTAATCCAGCGGCGGCGCCTTGCTTAAGGGGCGGCGGACCTTGGGGATGTCGATGGCAATGATCTCGCCCTTGTCGGCGTCGTAGATGGGGCAGAAGTCCAAGGGGTACTGGTACTGGCAATTGTCGATGTCGGGACGGTAGTACATGAGGGCCTGTTGCAGCCGCACGGAGCTGCCGAAGCGCTCATCATATCCGATGGTCCAGGGATCGCAGTACACCTTGTCCATGTCCTCGGGGCCGATGCCGCTGATGACGCATTGCTCGATGACTTTGGGGTCTTTTCGGACAATGTGTTCAACCAGTTGGAGCTCTTCCATGGTGATCTAGGGGTGTCAGCGAGCAGTTTTCGGGCACATTTGGGTCACTTACAATCGGCTGCTCTCCGTCTAGGAGGTCCCATTTGGTGATCTTGGCCTCGGCCAAATTCACCAAGCCGTCGTACACCTTGCCGCCAGGGGCAATGACCACGACTTCGGCAACCCGCTTGGGCCGGGGGGCATTGTCGGGCTCTGCAAGCCATGCTGTCATCTCGGCCTTACGCGGCTCTTGCAAAGACACAACGTTGAAGAAGACATCGCCATGGGCTGTCTTGACGATGCTGATGGCCGTTTCAATCTCGCCCAGCGTTAAAGGGTCGAAGGGATGGGGAATATCAACAGCGGCAGACCCCATGTTGATGTCTGCTAAAACGGGATTGGTCAACGGATAGGAGTGTCAACAAGTGAAGTGGGAAAGCTGTTGATGGCACACGAGAAGACCCAACCTGCCAATACGGCCATGACTAGCTCCTTCTTATACACCAAAGCTGCTCACTTGAGTCCATGATTCCGGGGTGACATATCTGTACCCGTCCTCAGTTAGCCAACTGTTGATCCAGACTTCCAGCGGTGCCCGCGTCATACAAGAGAACGATAAGGATCGAATGGCCCGATTTGTCGATCAGGGTCCATGTCTGATAAGGACTGTCCGTGTCTCCTTGGGGTCTTCCAAATCTGTCTTGTTCGAATTCCGATGAGTGAATGCCTCCCCCGCTCTGGAATGCGTATCCCAATTGTCAAGATAACACCTCTTATCAGAGTCGTCATGTCCTTGACAAACAAGTCCCTCGCTGCCGAGGTCGCCAGCCAATCGGCATTGCCAGACGGTCCGGCCGATGACCGGAGCGGAAAGGAAGTGGGAACGCCGAGACCTTCGGCATCTGGTGGGGCCTAATCTCCGAGATCCCGACCGCGGGGCGGACCATTCGCACGGAATTGCGCCAGGGCTTGACTCTGTGGACTCCAATAAGGCAGAAAGAGCGTGTCCCCGCTGAGGGAGAGGCTTATCGGGAAGGGTTTCCAAAAGTTCATTTTCGTTTAGCAATTAGACTTGAATGGTCGAGTTGTTGCACCACTTGAGGCAGCGGCAAATGGTTTGGGCGAAGTGTATGGACGATTCCCAGCCGAATGAGACGTCATCGGCAAACGACAACTTCAGAAGGCTGTTTAGCTGGGTCGAATTGCTGTTGTGCAACCAGACGGTCCCCAGAGGCATACTACCTAGGTAGTCGGGCGCCACAAGGACACAAGGCTGTGTGCACATGTGCACTTTGACATGATTGATGCAACGTCCTGCAGAGGCAGAGGTCTTATAGTTTACTTATGCTAGAAAGTCCAAAGTACGCTCGGTCTGCACCCATTTCCTTACGTCACTCCTAAGTATTGTGCCTTTGAGAACTACCTTAGAAGGGCCTGGGAGGTTGTGATGGAAGCTTCGGGTTTGGACGAACGAACGGGACGTTACCATCTATGGATAGCAGTGGCGCACTCGACTAAAGTACCGTAGATTGGCCAATTATAGACAAGTGGCTAGTCGAGAATTCCTTTTAAGAGGCTTTACGCAATGCACCTTGAATTCATTCTCTCCAGATACTCGCGCAACACATTCAGATGAGACACTGGCAGCTTATAACGAACCGCCTCTTGTGCCTTCAGTTGATGCCTAACGTATGTCGCCAGTGTTAAAAGCAATGAAATCTGGAACCTGTGACATCTGCCAAGTCACCGGCACTCCAAACCCCAGTCTCTTCGTATGCAGTGATTGTTCTCAACCAACCACGACCAAGCAAACCCAAACAGATGCACCAGAGAAAGACATCACATGTCGGGACTCGAGGTCCTCAGCGCAATTTCGCGACCATCGCTATCATTAATGGCACATTGCAGCTCTTTCAAAGCGATCGCCCGTACGCCCGAGCCGTTTGGCGAAGTTGGTCAGCGCCTCCCACTTATATCCTTGTCACTCTGGAGGCCGCGAAGACGCAAATACGGCAGAGCGAGTTAGATGCGGACGCCTGCGCCGCCGTCAAGCTTGTCGTCGACGGCTGCCGCGTGAAGGGCGAGCGCCTGGAAGCCATATTGAAGGAGGTCGCCGGCCAACCGTATGCATCGTGCATCAGCACCACTATGTGGCGGCCCGGCAAGGAGAAGGACGCCGCAGACCTGGGCAAGGGCATTCTCGAGAACGTGCTGCTCTTGGCAGCCAATGATGTCGCCCAGCCTGCCAGCGGGGGAAAGGACGGAACGGAAGAAATCATGGGGGCCATTCAAGCGCTGTCCGAGATGCCACAGCCCCCTTCCGAGTCGACCGTAGCATCGGGCCCAGCAATCCAATCTGCACACACTTCACATACGCCAGCTCTGGAGACCAACTCAATAACATCGGCGATGTCATGATGAACATCAACAAGGGCACTGGACCGTTGTACAATGCGCGGTGCATGACGTTTGGGAGTCCGTTGGAGTGATAGATCTCCCACTAAACATGTAAAATCAAGCGTGGGAGGCTCAAGCATATATCCAAGTAGAGGGGGGGGTTGGGCAGATAGGTAGTCGGTCATTCTGAGAAGTCTCTTCCATTCCTTTCAGTGTCTTTGCCTCCTGCCACGGCAAGCCTGCGCCTCTAGCTTAGCGACGGCGTCGTCCACATGGACTGAGCATTCTACGCAGGACCACTTCCCCTATGGATGTTGGTCATCCTAGAACAAGTGTTGTTGATCATGTCGCCAACTCCATGGTAACTGTACTGGAGTCGTGGCCACCCGCTGGCGTGGCTGGTAACGCGAGCTTGGACAGCTCCTTGACGGCCTTGTCCAGCGCCTCCCTGGCATTTGTCGGTATCCTATCGCCCGCTTGGTTCACTAGCTTCTGGGCCCCTTGAACCAAGTCCAGCAGCAGGGTCTCAATTGCCCTTCCGCCACTCTTCTCCTTGACAACGGACTGGTGCTGCTTCGACAGCGTCAGCATGTCCGGCGTCGAGGCGGTGTGCTTCAGAATGTCGTCGAGGATGCGGCCATCTCTCTTGCTTTTCTTGAGACGGTTGACGAGATTCTGATCGTTCTTGTCCAGGCACGGGTCTTCTGCGCCAAGATCCGTCTTGGTACGCCTTGGTGTTTAGAGCGGGAGAGTTGGCGCAGCTTGGAGCGAATCCAGAGCGTCGGAGACGAGGGACTCGGCTGACTCGGGATTTTTTTTGCCGTGGTACCGGATGAAAACAGACATCGAGAAGAGATGTCGTTCTCGTGATCCGAGGCGGAAGATGCAATGGCGATGGATGAAAACAAGAAGGACGACTTAGAAATACCGGTACCTAAGCGGCGCAGAGAACCTGGGACACACAACCTCCCACAGGCCCGACCTCGCAAGAAACAAACTGCCAAAACCAAGGTGGCCCGAACCTTCACCGAGTCCCAATTGGAAGACCGAGACTGCCAGTGTAAGGTATGTTCGGTGACTGGTGCGGGGCCCGCGGCAGCAGGTTGATACTGGAAATCTCAGGGAACTCACCCGTTCCAGCCCAATACGGCCACATCGCCAAGGTTCTTCAACCATTTAGTTAATTACTACTAAATTGTAGGATTGCCAACCTGGATTCTGTCATACTGATGATCGGCAACGGAAACCTGATCTTCCCAGGACCATGAGGCTGAAGAGCCTAGCCCCTATTGACGGTCTAGGCCCGTACCTTACCATTCCAATCTGGTCCGGACAGCCCAAACTGCTCCCCCTAGCCCTTTGTCTGCCTCTGATAGACACCTGACCAGAGTCTCTCAGTCGAGACCATGTGAGGTGTTGGTATCAACTCCTAGGTTTTCACAGTACCCATCATCATCACGGCTGAGCAACTCGGCAAGGCTGGAAACGGCTTGACCCGAGTACAGTGAACGATATTCGTGGACCGAATTGCAAAATAGAGAAGTGAGCTCTAACTGCTGGTTCCCGTCACCAAATCAGCCTACTAGTAGTCTGATCCTTGGGATTGAGGCGCCCGGTCTCAGATGCGATATGACTTCCAATACCATATGAAACCCGAAACTCCCGCTGTTATTGATCGTAGTTGCCTTGCCGAGTAATGGCAGACGCCTTGTAGACTCGAGCCATTCAGACCACTCCAAATGTTCCGTGTCCATTCCACACACCTTCAGACTTGCATGGATAATACTACGGTAAGCAGACTTCAGCTTTGATTTGTCTCCCTCGAGAAGCTGGGAAGGGTGTGTAGCAACGGTGGCTGACTTTGCCGCTCCAGTGAGTCCAATCAGCTGAAAGCGCAGGGTTCATGTTAAAAGGGGAGAACAAGCGGCCCCAGCTGGGGGAATCCAGTGTCGAGGCTTGTAAGAGCTGTATTCATCATGTGAAGCAGAATTCAGTCTCACCAAATGACAGGCTGTTGATACTTAGCCTGCTCTGCCGGGTTGCTTGAGAATTCCATTTTGCAGTCAGCAACGCTGACGCGAGAAACTTTCCGGCTCCGTTGGGCACCAAGGTGGTAACAAACATATGTCTTCCGTGCCCGAAAGACTGCAATCCCGACGGACCATGGATAAACGACTTTCCCATCTTGTTGTACGACGGCTACACTTCTGGCCCCTGTCGTACGAGGACAACCGTAAGTCCTTCGCCATCGTCATCACGCCCAGTTTCTCCTGCAGGATTGTCGGCTAATTCGACACTGAAAGATCTTGATACATCGACAGTATCCAGGTCTAGTCACGAACGAGACCGTTAGCTTCGTCGGCCAAGCCTTTGAAGAGGCTTATGTCTCCTGGAGCCATCTCGCTCTGGCTGCCATTGTCGGCAGCGGCGGCGGAAGCGAGACTGGTTCATCAGGGGATTCTGCAACTTCATCAACGACTAGCGCCATCAGCAAGGGTACTACGGCCTCTCCACCGAACTCTTCGATGCCACCCGGGATTTCTTCCGAAGAAACCTTGCTCAAGGGGGGCGCTATCGCCGGTATTGTCATCGGTGGCGTCGCCGGCGCCCTCGTCGTCTGTGTGATCATTTGGCTTCTCATCAAGAGTCCCTTGATTCACAATATGTCGCAGTCTCTTTACTTCCGGTCGAGCCAGGCTTAGAAGCTCGGATGCTTGAGTAACCATGCACAGAGATCCAGGCAATAGAAGCCATTGCTGTCCTTCTCGATGCGAAACTTGCAGAGTTCTGGATTGGTGACCTAAAAGGCGGCAGAGTTTGGGTTCTTCGCATTGTCAACGCCTGCACAACAGCAATCAGTGGATCAGCTCGCTGCACGCCCAGCACCAGAGGAATCGAGTCTTTGCCTAGCGTAGTCTTGGTAGATGCTTCCGGCAACGATCGGGCCGTGACCTGCATTTCTGATGACATTCGATGTACCGGACCCTGTGTTGTTGATCATGTCGCCATGGCCGCTGTATTCAAACGTCGGGTTTGAATGCATGTGTGCCATCTACATCTCTCGATTCTAGAGTAATCGCCCAGTACTGTCGCTGCGCATGTTGCCCTTCGGTCGTTAGAGCAGCCGGAAAGAAAAGCATGAGGGCCGACGCTTCAAAACATCCATGATTCACATGAGAGTACGGCTGCGCAGGAGCAGCTTCCCGTCGTCCAGCGCATCATGCGCTGGGTGGCCTTCATACCCAAAGCTGACTGCCCTGCAACTTGGAAGAATAAGCTACCGGTACCTTACCTATCGGACAGATTCTTGCAAGTCCCGTCGTTGGGCATAGAAGTGGTCATGCTCTTCCCATCATATCGACCTGATATCATTGCCCAACTGGCAAGGACTGGAGTTGCTGAACATCCATGGACTGTGAGTGTAGCATCATTGCTCGGCGCCCAGACGTCGCCTCGAAACTGTGTGCTTGGGTTGTGGCGCGGGACCTTGGCGCCAGCAAGGTTCCACCCAGAGTCCCAATTTCGGCAGATTAACAATCCTGGTTACCCTGCTGATGAGTGGGGTCACTGGGCTGTCAGGCTCCAAGTTCCCAAGCTCCCCGACAACTTCAAGAGTCGAAACCTACAGTAAAATGGAAGATTGTGAGGTAACTCTTCACTAGTTCGAGGCTACTTCAGAAGAGTTGGAAAATTTGAGATCTAGATCCTCAACGTTTCAATCACAAAATCTCTCTAGTTAAAAGGGGGAAGTCTGCCATCTCCTTCGCTGCCGCGCGGCCTTGACAAGACAATCATTGCCGCCAAGCATCCACAGTTTCATTGAAGGTACTAGCGGTGCGACGTTGTGCCGCTCTTACCTCCAAAACACCGTCTCAGCCACTGATCACACCTGACCCTGCAAGCAGAGCCGCATGCGAAATAGCCTGGTAGGTATTTAGGAACAACCTCCCTTGCTCCTTTGCCACTTTTTACTCGGACTTCGCTTTCTCTCACTTTTCGAGAGCCTGCTCAAGTTTAATGAGCGTTGTTTGCTCACTATCAGCCAAGTAAACATGGTGTATGTGGGCTATATCGTCTTCACTCTCTTGGCAGGACTCTTCATCACGCCACTGTCTATCTTGTGGTTCATCAGCTTCTGCCTCGCCCGGAGGAAACATGACCCTGCCAGAGTCGGCGTCGCCTGGATCAAGGCAGTATTTCCCCTCTGGATAATGTAAGCGGCTCTCCTTGACACTCCAAAGAGGTGGCAGGAGTAATTGGCAGCTCACATCTTGCCCTTGATAGATCCTTGTCTTTATATACCGTCTCAGGGGCCCTGAACCTCTGGTCAACGTCCGACGATGCGTACGAGTACCTGGACTCTGATGCATTGGTGAACGTGCAGGTCGCTGCCAATCACGTTAACGCCACCGCCTTCTTCTTCGCAAACCTTGCTCAGATTTGCCTCTTCATCACCTATATCGAATTGGCGAACGGGTTTATGCTCTGCCTGAAGGGCGATGCGAAGGCCGCCCCAAGTCGCCGATTCGCCCGCATTGCCATCTCGGCCTGGGGTTTTGTTCTCTTTGCGCTGGCCGTTTCCTCCTTCAGTGTCTCCCATGCGCTTGGTGTGCGGTTCCGCAGGATCCTGACCGACGATTACTCGACAAGCCGAGAGCGCAGCAGCGCAACAGCCGCCTACAATCGAGACGCTCACACCTTGACGCGTCTGCTCATTGCGCTCGACATCCTCAAGTGGCTCACCAGTTTGATCATGCTTAGTGCTGCGTCTGTTGTCGTTCACAGAACCAGAAACAATAAGATCTTGCGTAAAGTATGGCCTTCACCTCGTCCCCTGACCCCCTCTGCTCTTCCCTTGATGCCTCCTTCTGCCAAGCCGAATGCTGACTTGCCACGCCTAGGTCGCTGTCCTCTTCCTCGTCGCGACGATCCTTGACTTCATACGCCTCATCGTCGTTATGGCGATCTCCATCCACCAGAACTTGACCCCCTCCATCACGTTCGGATCGGACCAAGAAATCCTCGGCTATATTGTCCAACCCCTCTTCGATTTCGTCTTCATGTTTGTCCTCCTCGTCCTGCTCTTCACCCTCGCCGTCCGCAAGCGCACCGGCCTCTGGTCACAGCCGCAGCAAGAGTGGCACTACCCGACCGTCGTCTACGTCCCTGCGATTCCGGGCCAGCCGATGCCCGCCGGCGCCATGCCTGCACAGCAGCAGCAACAACAACCCATACCTGCACAGCTGCAGCCTATGCACATGCAGCAGCCCAACCAGGGACTACCGGCGTACCTCCAGGTTGCGCAGCAGAAGCAGATGATGCAGCAACAGCAGCCGCAGCAGCAAGTGTATGCGTATTACCCCCAGCCAATGCAGCAGCCGGCACCTGTGTATCAGCAGCCCGACGTCCAACAGCAGCAACAGCAGGCGCAGCAACCACAAGAGGCAAAACCAGATGCTTAGAGCGTGCTGAGGCGGGGTGAGGTGGTAACATGGGTCAAATGGAGACATGGGCTTTTCAACGTCTTTCAGATGATGATGATTCCGTCATGGGCTGCACAAGCAATGTCTTGTATATAGGATATTCAAGGTTCTGGATATGAACGGAGCGTGCTAGCGAGATACCAACAACTTGATTCCCTCATTTCTCTCTCGAGCGCTCTGTCTTTTACTCTCAAAGCAGCCATGACAACCGTGTATGAGTTGGGAGGCGAGCGTCGTAATTAATGAACACCAAAATCAAAGCTGGCGTCCGAAGCAGGACAGAAGCAGGGCACCCCCTCAGCATCACTCCTGAACGCTCTTCCAGCCTGTTCCAGGAGGACAGCCGAGGATAAATTTTCTGCCTCGGAAAACTCAGCCCGTTCGTTTCACCACTGGGACATTCGGAGGCTAACATCGGCAAAGGCAGGAACTAGCGCAAGTCATGGCGCAAGGCACGGCAACCATTCCCGGCAGCTAAAGGCGTGGTGGAGCGCAGGGGGTTGGCATTATTCACCACCACTTGTCTTCCAAGCCGCAACCGCCAGGACACACCATAGACGCCTCCTGCAAGCCACCGATCGGGTGTCAGATGGAGGAAGCTAAAGTTATTGTCACCATAGCAGGATCATTACATGAAGCAGTCCGGACCGCCTGCCCGTACTGGAAATTAAGAACCTAGTGCGTTCTATAAACCATATGCATCATCATCACCCCATCACAAAGAAGTATGCATCACACCGTGATGGACAAAGTTTGGTCGAGACATCTCCCATTCAGAAAACTCAGTTCCTCTGCTCACCCTTACCTCCGACGTGGGCCGGCCTGAGAACAACCTCTTCTACGGCCGCCAGCGGAAAGCAGGATGCTTCCAATCCAGGTCCTGAATCTCCTGCCTCGACATGCCCGCCAGCTCCTCCTCGACGTTGTGACCGTCGCGGCGCTTGTTGTCCCACTTCATCCAGAAGAGCGTGGCCGTCGCGACCAACAGAACGGTGCAGCAGGCCGCCAGGTTGAGCCCGTTGCCGATGTGGTAGTTGGGGGAGTCCCAGGGCAGGTAGCTCCAGGTTGCGATCAGGCCGCCGATGTTGCCCATCATCACTTTTTCCCCGACTCGTTAGCATGGTCCTAATAAGACGGTTCTTGCAAATACTTGGTTTCACGTACCATTCAGACCGATGGCGCTGCTGCGTGCTGTGTCGGACACAACGTTGGCGCTGACCTGCGAGTTCGACAACGGACCAACGGCGAACAGCGAGCTGGACAGGAGGAAGGTGGCCGCGTAGCGAGCCGAGGGATTGGTAGTGCCCAGGAACATGCTGTAGCCAACGATGACGAGCGGCGTGGTCAGGATGATGATGATCTGGCGCGTATCGAACCGCCAGCTGATCAGGGGAAGGACAAGAGTAAAGAATCCGCCGACGACGTATGGGGGGACGGTGAAGAGCTGCTGCGTGACGGTCGACTTGTCGGGATAGATGGTGCGGACAATGGTCGGGGCGAAGAAGGCCAGGCCCTGGACGGTGATGTTGTTGAGTAGGAACATGAAGGCGGTCGACATGGTGACAGGGCTGAGGATGCCCTGCAAAAGCTTCTTGACATCCATCTTGTCGAGAACTTCGGTAGTCGCCACACGCTCAGACTTGACGCGAGCAATGGCGAGGTCCTTCTCTTCTTGCGTGAGCCACCTCGCGGTTTCGGGCCGGTCGGTCAAAGTGAGGAAGCTGGGAGAGTGACGTGGGTTAGCAAGGCGTCAGGATCAGCGTCATTCGCCGAAGCTTGGCTAACCTGATGCAAGAGAGGCCGATGGTAATGATGCCTTCGACGGCAAAGATCATGCGCCAGCCGCGGAGGCCGCCGACATGGTCAAGCGTGAGGATGCCCGATGCCAGGAGGCCACCGAAGGCGCCCGCCAGCGGCGCCATGACAATGTAGAGGGACAGGCGGAAGGTGAGCTCGGAACGGCGGTACCAGCGAGACAGATAGTACGCAATGCCGGGCATCATGCCAGCCTCAAAAATGCCCAGGACAAAGCGGACACCTGCGGCCTCGGCGAAGTTGTGAACGTAGGCCGTCAGCAGGGAAACGACGCCGAAGCCCAGAGAGATGGCCGGAATGAACCAGCCGGGGCCGATCCACTTGCACATGATGTTGGACGGAATTTCGAACACGATGTACGAAATGTAAAATACGGAGAGGAGCGCGTTGTAATCGTAGCCCGACATGCCCAGGTCCTTTTCGAGGCCGGCGATTTTGGCGTTTCCTGTCACACCAGAGAGTCAGACACAAACCGGGCCCTCGTCCGTCTGAGCTCGCCTGCTCTTACCGATATTTGCCCTGTCAATGAAGCAGAACAGATACAGAAGCGAGACCGTCGGGACCAGGTACAGATCCAGCTTCCTGCGAAGCCTGGCCTCGGCCTTGGGGTCGAACTGGACGAGTGGCTGGCCAAACCTGCATCACTCAGTCAGTGTTGACAGAACAATAACGACTGGCAGCCGAGCTTGGGCGGTCTCACTGGTCTGTGGCAGCATGGCCTCTCTCAGCGGCGGCATCAATGCCACCGCCGCCGGTAGCCTCGGTGTGTTGGGCTCCGGCCTTGGACGAGTCCGACGAAGGAACCCTTTTCTCGTCGGCCATGGTAGTCGGTTTGTTCGGTGGGTGCGAGCGGTCCGGGACAGAGAGATTCACGAAGAGTCGAGCTATTGATTCCCTTTTAAATTGCGGGCTCCCCGCCTGTTGACTCCCTGGACATGGGACAGGATCACGCTTCTGCCATGTGGCCCGACCCTGTATGCCTCCACAATCCCAAACTGCCAGTCTTTTATTTATCACGAACCCATTGCCTACCCCATGGGGAAGCGTCGTCGGCCCCGCCAAGCTGAGGCCCCAATCCTCGTTGATGGTGTCCACGGCAGTCAAGTTCGGCAAGCATCACCGTCTCGATTGGCAATCTGTGACTGGTGCGTGCACGACAGGGTGTGGGGCAGGGGTAGAGACCAGGGCTGGAATGTGGGCGACATCCGTGTGAAGGGAACAGTTGGACAAGAAATCTCGACGGCGATGTTGCTGCTTTGCGACTAGCACGTCGTTTTCCGCTTGCAGCCTGAGGTTGTACTCACCTCTCAAGGTTGCAGTTGCCTGCCGGTTTCTTTTGGTTGGGGCCAATGCCTCGGTGTTTCTGAGCGGAGAGCTGCTGCTTGATTCCAGATTGCCAAGTCAGCCCCGTTGGAAAACCCCACCGAGATCCGTTCTCCTGTCTTGGCGCTCTACCCCGACCTCCGCAACCTCGGTGTTTTAATCCGTACGTTACTGGGCTGAGAATGGGAAACGGCAATCGCTGCACTCCACGGCGATGCCTTTCACGACCTCATTGGTTCCAATGGCAGCCTTCTATCTGGTGATCCCGACATGAACTCCATCAGAACCCCTCACAATCCACCCAGAAGCGCGCCTCGCCCGCCTTTCAAACAGCTGGTAGTGTTAAGGCGGCTCCATCCGTGCAGGCTCCGCTACGGATGTCGCTTCTTGGCATAACTTTCTAGCTGTGTGTTACCCGACCACGAAGAAACTACTCCAGTGGGAATGCGGCGCCAAGTCGGATTGCGTAGTGCGGCTCTTCGGCGCTACTGACAATGGACATCACAGCATCCGACGCATCTGCCGTGCTGTTCCCTTGGCTAGTGATCTCTACTAGTCATGAGTAAAAGGGTGGATCTGTACGGATTATGCCTGGTGGACCACATCAATAGCCCCCACCGTGGATTGGGACACCATGGGGAGCAGGTCTAGCCCTTTACCAGACTCCTTCGAGACGAAGAAAAGCAGGGAGAGTTTGAGGTTGACTTCTCAAACATGCTGAGTCCAAGTTCTTGACTCTTGTTTTCACACCCTGAGGCTACGGCTGGACCGAGAACCCCCAATTTGAAGCGAAATATGCCATCATCCCATGATCATTTAACATCCATGGCCTCATTGAAGTATTTGACGACCTTCTCCTGTCCCAAGGTGTCCGGTACCTCATTCGCCCCTTTTGCACATCTCAAATGGAAAGTCGGTCCTTTCACGCATTGGCGATCTGTCGAAACGAGCTCGGGGGCTTCTCCCTCAAGGTTTGATCTCAAGCGGGCGGGTCCTCGAAGATCGCCACTGCCGCTCGTCTCCATCCCCTTGATATCACGTCTCAAAGGTTGCAAGAAAGACGACAAGTTCATGTTGTTCATGCATATTTCAGGCTCCCACAGAAACTTGCGTTCTTGCATGTCTTGATAAAATCCGCAATAGCAGTAGACTCTAGCAGCCATTTTGGGCCCAAGGTACCAAAGTGCAATCGTTAAGAATAAGGGATGGAACCTATGGTTGCTACTGGACTGAAAGAGGATGTCTTCCGTTGACAGCGACGATATAAGCGTCGCTTTTGCAAGGTGACATTATCATATAGAGCTAAGTGAAGTGAAGTTCGTGATGCTGAAAATACGGATACCACTTCAGACATCATTTTCGGCGTCTGGCTGAGATCGGATACAATACGTAAGGACAGTAGAGTGGAGCACGCACCGTGCGGCCCGTGCCCCGCATGACGCTCGGTGGGTTGCCGTAGTGGGGCATTAAACCAGCTTGATGGATGGCCGGCATCCACTCTGGAGCTCTATTGACGGTGCCATGAACGAGATATCGCATTCTTGTTGAGACTGAAGCAAGTCAGGGTGGTTGTACGTTCTCTTGATTTCGAAGGGTCCTTAACTATACTGTCGGAAGAAGCGTTTATCTCAATGTTAGGCGCCCAGCAGAGTGGGGCTGTCCATGTCCGGGCTTCTGTCAGCTGGTCTGCTCTGCTCCCGTGCCGTGCTGGCAGATCGCACCGCTTTTGTCCAAGCTGTTGATCTGAGGCTTGCGCATTACGTCGTGGCCCTTGATTATAGTTTATTAGTCCGCCTTTTCCGGTCTTGCTTTCAAACCAGCAAACGCAGCATCTGGAAACACCTTGGCAGAACCTCGCGTTCTGCGGCGCCGTCGTCACCATGTTTGACATATTTGCCAAGCTCCTCTCGTGCGTCGCCATGCTCCCCGGGAAAGACTGGACTTGTGAACTGACTGCGGCGCTTCGCAAGCACAACAGCTCTGTTGCATCCTTCCTATTTCCGCTGTTTGCCAGCTACAAGGCGCTCAAGACATCAGACCCGGCCCAGCTCACTCCATGGCTGATGTACTGGGTTGTGCTGGCCTGCGTGCTCCTCGTTGAGTCGTGGACCGAGTGGTTCTTGTGCTGGTGTGTCCCATACCATCTCCATCAACCAAGCCTTCCCTAACCACGGTACTTAGGATCCCTTTCTACGCCTACATTCGCCTCCTGTTCCTCCTCTATTTGGTCCTTCCGCAAACCCAGGGCGCCCGCCTGATCTACGAGGAACACGTACACCCGCTCGTTGAGCAGAATGAGGCCGCCATCGAAGAGTTCATCGCCTCGGCGCATGACCGCCTCCGCAACGCGGGCATCGCCTACCTGAAGAACGCCATCGAGTTTCTCAAGACAAACGTCCTCGGCCTGCCGCCGTCACCCGAACCAGCCTCCGCGCCGGAGCCCCAGACACCACATTCGTACACCCAAGCGCTCCTCGCCCGCTTCACCATGCCCCCCCCACGCTGGATCACCACGACCACGCAGGGTGCCACCGCCACCGGCGGCAGTGGTGGCGGATCCACATCCGACCTCTATAACCTCCTCGCGTCAGCCATCAACGCGGCCGCGTCCGCGACGACGGCTTCCACCACCACCACATCGTCCAAAGAACCCACCACGACTAGCAGCAGCACCATCATCCCCGAGACGGTCCGTTCCGCCGGCCCGGTAGCCTGCATGTCCTTCATCAAGGCCCAGCGCGAGCGCCTGGGGATCGTCATGTCGATGCTCGAGAGGGAGGAGGCGGCCACGGTGTCACGCCAGCAGCAGAGCCAGGGCGACGAAGCCCAAACGCCGACTCAGAATGATCCGGACGAGGCCATTGCTTGGGCGGAGGTCGGTTCCAATGCCGGTGCCAGCGACAAGGCGAGATCGCTCAGCGGGCAGAGCGGGACCAGCGGGCTGAGCAAGACCCGGTCCGAGGGAGATTTTGAAAAGTTGGATGCTCCCAGTAGTTGTGGAGAGGAAGAGAATGAAGGGGACGGAAGAGGGGAAGTCAGGAGGAGGGGCGGGAAAGATATGGGGACGAGTCCGGGCGGGGGAGTGAGGAGGATGTGGCCATGGGCTTGGGGAAGCGGTGCTGAAGCTGGGAGCTCGGCATGGGAGGAGTGAGTGTCATGACTGATTTACTGTTACCTTCTGGGTTGGGTTGATTGATTTGGGATCTGGGAATAGGGAGGGATGGGTACGGATGGCGTTTTGGGATGGATTTCGGGGAATACTCTGCTCGGATAGAGGTCGCTGATACACCTGATCCCCTGGCACGAATTTCAGAGGGCAGTCCGCCTTGAATGAAATATTGTCTTCTGAGTCAATGCTCTTGAGTGGTCCTGCCTCTTCAGTATGCCACTCAAAGGAGTAATATATGAGATATACGTCTTGTATGATACAGGGATAATGTACAATCGGAACGACATGAGTCCGTATGTTCGAGGTCGGTATTCCTCGCTCAAGATTCGTCATGAACCTTTTCCTCTTCCAGGGGTGCCTCTATCACATGCGCACCCCCGCCTTGACCGCCTGGTAAGGGTACGCGGGCTCGCCGTCCTTGCGCGTCCAGATCTGGCGGCGCTTCTTGGTGACGACGTGCTCGACCCATATCTCGTGGCAGTGCATCTTCTTGAACTCGCGGATGAAACGCGGGTCCCACAGTTCCGAGGCTATGCCCAAGTCTTTGCAGCACCGCAGCAGCGCGTTCGACTTGCACCCTTCGCCGGCCGTAGGGATCGTCTCCTCGGAGAAGTACTGGCATTCGCCGCGCGCTTGAGCGATGAATCTGAGAACAGACGTATTAGCTTGGACACCAAACAAAATAGGATGACTGATGATGTGAATGTCGAACGTACCGGCCGTGCACAACCAGGGCGTACTCCCGTGTCACCACCTTCTCGCCCACCACCAGCTCCCCGCGCGGGGCCAGGCCCCAGCCGCCGGGCCCAAAGGCCTTGTTTAGAATGCGCCGGTACTTGATCTCGGGCAGGTAGATGATGCCGTCGGGCTTGATCTCGATGTCGAGCGCGTCCAGCGGCTGCATCAGCACGGCGGCGGTCTCGGGGCTGAACGGGGTTGTCGACAGGCCGTGGAAGGAAGACGACCAGTCGATCGCTTGAGTGGGGCCGTTGCCACTGCCGTTGGAGTTGCCGCTTAGCGCGGCGGTGAATGCGGACGAGGGTATTGTGTTGGTGGGTTCGGTGGTGGGGATCTGCGCGGCGAGGGCTGGGTCGACATCGGCGACGGTCGCTGCTTGGGGTATGGCGGCTTGCGGGTCAATGACGGTGTTGGGGCCGCTAAAGGCTGGTGAGAGTGTCTTCGTTGCGGCTGTCGCGCGGGCGCGAGATGCAGGTATTGAAGAGGGTGCAGCTCGGGGTTTCGGTGTGTAGGACGACGACGAAGCAGCGCGCGCTAGCTGCTTGAGAATGGGGGATCGCCTATTAGTGAATCGGGTGTATTGTGTAGTTGGGGTTGCTATCCGCACCGGCCCTAAAGCCTGGAGGGCGCGGGACTTCATCGTGCTAGTCGTGATGAGGTGGGATGGTGGTGAGGATGCATATTGGGAAATTCTCAGGCCGTCAAGGTTGCGGGCCGAGAGCGATGCAGTGGAGATCTCGGCGGACAGGGGTAGCTACACCAGCTCTCAACAACCCCACAATTTCCAAGTCTATCAATTCGGAACCTTGGGGTTACAAGCTCTAGGAGCAAAGCGGAATGGAGTTACCTTATGGATTGTGATCGCGGAGCTACAATGCATCAATGAATACTCGTAGACCACCGTTACTATTGGGACGGAATAAACCTAGACATTCTTCATGTCGGTCCGCTTGTCGTTTCCCTGCGCCTTCCAGCACTGTCTGAACCTCTCCATCTGCCCCGCAGTCCTGTCAATAGCCATGCCATTGCGGATTCATCCAAACGATGAAGACTCGGGGGTCTTAGTGAACACACCTCGTCTTTGCACGCCCTCCAGTCCTTCTTCTCGTAGTAGCAGTCGGTCAATTTCGCATTCTCGTCTGCCATGGCATCCGTCAGTTGTGGGGCCGCAGTGCGAGCGTCTAAGGTTGAGTGCACGATCTGCGGCAAAACTCCGTCCCACAATTTCGACGATGGGGAGCGCCATGGAGACTCCGGGTCAGCCTCTCTTCAGTTGAGACATCATCCCGTACCTGCACATCCGGTACTAAAGATCCTCTTATCCCTGAATGATTGCGGTGTCGAGTGAGCAACCGGTCTGAGCTCCGTGGCGAGGGTTTTTGCGCGGCAACAGGCGGCCCGCCAAGAGCCGCCTCTCTTACTCTGTGGGAAGGACTCACCACTCATCCGGTTCATCATCCTTTGGCTCTTCAAAAGGTGCCTGCTGCTCTGCCTTTGGCTGGGCATCTTGTTTCGATGTTGTTGATCCCATTGGACTTGAAGTGGCGAGCGTCTAACTCGTCTTTTTCCGGAATTTTGCTGTCTGAGAGTTGTTCTGGGTCTGGGACTGCCGAATCGGAGCGCACAATCATTTCACTGAAATTTGCCCATCCAAACATCCGGGCCAACAAACCCCCTGCCGAATGAGGAAATCAACGCATCATCATGTCATCACAGAAACTCAACGTCTTGGTGTACACTGGCATGTACATAAATAACTCAGCGCCATTTCTTTACTCTTTCGGCTAACCGATACTCAGGCACGGGATCGACTCTCGAGTCTGTCCGGCACTGCATCTACTCGCTGCGCCGTTTACTGGGGCCCAACTATGCCGTGAACCCGATTACTGAGTCGGCATTGCTCAAGGAGCCATGGGCTCCCACCTGCGCACTCCTCGTGTTTCCCGGCGGTGCCGATCTCGGCTATTGCCGCGTCCTCAACGGGGCCGGGAACCGCAGCATCGCACAGTTCGTCCGTCGTGGAGGAGCCTATCTCGGGTTTTGTGCCGGCGGCTATTATGGCAGTCGTCGCTGCGAGTTCGAAGTTGGAAATCCTGATCTGGAAGTCGTCGGCAACCGGGAGTTGGCCTTCTTTCCTGGGACTTGCCGTGGTGGCGCGTTCAAGGGGTTTCAGTACCACAGCGAGCGTGGTGCACGGGCTGCCAGAATATCTGTCGCAAAACAGGCGTTTGCTGAGTCGGCAACTCTTCCCGACGAGTTCCGGTGCTACTACAATGGCGGCGGAGTGTTCGCTGACGTTGAGAAACTGCAAGAGTCAAGCCACATCCAGATTCTTGCCGAGTATACAGGAGACCTCGCCGTAGAATCTGGTCAAGCCAAAGCTGCGATGGTCTACTGTAAAGTGGGGGACGGCGCGGCAATTCTCACCGGTCCACACCCGGAGTAAGGACCCTCCTCCATGGTTGACTAGCTGTGCTAACGTAGACAGATTTGACGCTGTCAACCTCAGCCACCAATCAGACGTCCCAGGATACGACGACCTTATCGAGGCACTCAAGAAAGACGAGGAGGCAAGGACATCCTTTCTAAAGGCGTGCCTCACAAAACTGGGTCTCGAGGTCAGCCAGGACACATCCCACGTGCCCAGTTTGTCAAGAATCCACCTCTCCTCCCTTCATCATCTCGAAGCCAGCGAGATTCTGTGCTCCTTTGACGATATTATCACGAAGGACAACGGCGAGGACTACATTAGAGGAGACAATGACTTGTTTCATCTCGAAAAGCCGGATTCGAGGTGGTCTCTGGCCGCGCTGAGTGATGCGCTACTAGACAACTTCAAAACCGCTAAGAAAAAGAACAGCCGCGGTTCTCCTGACCCTACCGCTGACCACAGCCGCATCCCCAAGCGTATTGTCTCTCACGAGGAGGCGTGGCCCGAGCCCAAAGAAACGCCTTACTTCAACCACGCAGTGTACTATTCAAGTCTCCGCGAGTTCAGAGCGAAGGAGTCCGAGGCAGAAACATGGGGTGATGTACTGATGTATGGCGAAGTCGTGACCAGTACCAACACCATGCTCGAGAAGTGAGTTTATGGACATCCTGCCGGAGGAATCGATCTGACCATTAGCCAGAAACCATAACCTCCTTTCAAAGCTGCCCACCGGGTTCACCTTTGCTGCAACAACTCAAGTTGCTGGCCGTGGCCGAGGCGCCAACGTCTGGGTCGCGCCCCCGGGATCCCTGATCATGTCAACAGTCATCAACCATCCAGCCCACATCGCAACGTCCCGACCTATTGTATTTATCCAGTACCTCGCTGCCCTGGCCACTGTTGAGGCGGTCAAATCCTACAACGAGGGATACTCCGAGTTGCCAATCAAGATCAAGTGGCCAAACGACGTCTACGTCCGGGACCCCAGAAAGCCAAACGAAGTGTCGTATGTCAAGATTGGCGGCATCCTCGCCAACTGCGCCTACTCCTCGGGAAATTACCAGGTGGTCCTTGGCATCGGCATCAACACCAACAACGGCCGGCCAACCACCAGCCTCGACGCCCTTTTACCGATGCTCGAGGGCAGCCGCAGCAAAAGGCTAGAGCCCTTCCGCATCGAGCGGATGCTCGCGCGCATCCTGACCCGCCTCGAGGTCCTCTACGGCGAGTTCTGCCGCAACGGGTTCTCGCGCGAGCTCGAGGGGCGGTACTACCAGCACTGGCTGCACACCAACCAGGTCGTCACGCTCGAGGCCGAGGGCGGGGTCAAGGCGCGCGTCGTCGGAATCACGCGGGACTGGGGCATGCTCATGGCGCAGGAGCTGGCCGAGGACGGTATCAACGGCGCGCTGAGGGCCACGGGCAAGGTTTGGGCGCTGCAGAGCGACGAGAACAGCTTTGACTTTTGGAGGGGGCTCGTCAAGAGAAAGATTTGAGGCTGTTGGGCTTGGCTTCATGACGATGCAGGGTCAAGGGCAGAGCCGGTGGGTTCGTGCGCGTGTGTTGGGGTGTTGGACGTGCGATCCGCTACCGAACGATAAGCCGCCGCGACGTTCGTGTGGAGCAGATTCCGGGCCGTGCGTGTCGTCAAGTTTGAAAGGGGGGAGGATTACACATGCGGCTAGGCAAGACAATCATCGGACAGAAAGAGACAGGACCTCTGACCTCTTCCATGTTGCACTTTTATGGCACTCTTTCTTCAGCTCGCTATTGCAATACACTCGAATTAATCACATACCCAGGACCGTCACGTTGATTACCGCATCCCTCACTGCCATATGTCACCAAGCACACCCCGTCTCATAAGCACCTCCCCGCCCTCCAACGTCCCACCAGCCCTGGGCACCTTCAGCACACCGACCTCCACCAACTCCTGCGCCAGCCGGGCCAACAAGCCATCACACCCCGCCGCCGCCATCACATCGACGGCAACCGGCAACTTCTCCTCGACGCCCGTGATCCCGCTCACCTCCCCAACCTCGCCGATGGGAAACACCGAGTCCGGAACGCCGGCAAAGACACTTATCCTCGACGTGCCGAAGCCCAGCGGCACGCCCGGCGCGCCGCGGTACAGATTCCGTGGGAACTGGCTGCCGTCGGATCCGACGTAGACGATCAGCGAGGACGAGCATTCCGCGTCGTCGTCGGGGGAAGGGGAAGGGGGCAGGATCTGGGTGTTGAACCAGGACTGGAAAAGGGATTTGGCGGCGTATGCGGCTTCGAGGGCTGAGGAGGGTAGCGAGTCGCCGTAGGCCCAGCGGCGTAAGGGGACGGGGTTAATGAAGGGGCGGCGGCCGGAGTGGGCGGCTTTTGGGGAGAGGGGTTAGTGGGATGTTAGGAAGTGGGAGAGGGAGTGGAGGGGGCATACCGGCGTAGTCGTGGTAAAAGGGGTCGCGAACCAGGGGCGTCTGCTCTTTGGCAATCAAGGTCGCGTATGTCGTATTGAGGAGCTCTCTGAGGGTCTCCTTGCCAGCCGAGGCGGGCTTGGTGGCGGACCATCGGGCTTCGAGGTCCAGCGCGGTCGTGTTGCCGCCGACGAAGGTGGCGAGGGCGCTGACGAAGTCGAGAAGCAGCTTGTCCGCGGGCGTGTCTGGGGCAGCAGGGAAGCCCACGGTGTAAATCCGCTTGGGATATTTGGGTTTCTCGCTCGCTAAGGAGGTGTAGTTCTGCCCATAGAGGACTGCGTTGGCGGCGTCCCAAATGTAAGGGTCGCGGACCAGAAAACCGGGTGTGTCAAGCGTCGGGGCCAAGGGCATGACTGAGTCCAGCGAGACCAGCCCGTGGGAAGGACGGTTACCGAACAACCCCTCGGAACCCGCGGGCCCACGGATGCTGCCGCCCGTGTCACTTCCGATGGCAATGTCGAGCCACTCGTAGGAAGCGACAGAAGCACCCGCGCCGGAAGACGAAGACGACGGGTCCTGGTAGCCGTCTCCTCTGGCATCTGTCCAACAATGTCAGCCATTTCTTGCCCCTTAAGCGTCACTCGGGAGCATCTCGGGAGCAAGATCTCAGCCTTAGGGACAAGGCGACTCCCGCAACTCCCAAGACGTCTCAAAAGGGGCAGTTTAAGGGGCGCGGGTTCGACGTACTGAATGGAGCATGGTAGTCGACCCAGTCAGCCGTGGCAGTCTCGCCATTAGCGAACTGTGACGTCTTCTGGAGGCCAACGACCTGCGCGCCGGCGTCGATCAACCTTTGCACGGCAGTTCCGGTGACGTTGCTGGCGGGATAGAGGTTGTACCATGCGCGGTTGCCGTTGGAGCCCTTGACGCCCGCAAGACGGTAGATGTCCTTGACACCAAGGCGGACACCGGCCAGTGGCTTCTCGGCCGTCTTGGTGAAGTAGAGTCTCGACGGCACGCCGACGGTGAGGGACGAAGAGCCGGGGATTTTGGCAGACAGGGGCTGGAACCTGCCATCCGGAGTCGGGATAAGGGGTTCCGTGAAGGCTCCTGCGAAATCCTCATACAACCGGTATACAGGATACAGCGATCCGGTGGCGACTTCGAGGAAGTAAGGCCCCGACGGAATCTGCGTGTTTTTCAAGGAGATGATCGAGGTGGAGTTGGTCCGCCCGTAGCTACACTGGGATTCGGCCATGAAGATGGCCTCGGAGAATGCTGGCTGCCAGACATCATCTGCAAGGGTCCAATTGGAGAAGAGCTGTGAGAGATCTGACTGAATGAGAGGGCCTTGCACGACAGTAACCGGCTTGAAGCCAACGACTTCGGGGACCTTTTTGAGAGAGCATTTCGGGACGAAGACCTTGCCCGAGGAGAAGGGCGAGATATAGTAGTCGACATTGTTCAGCCTCACGGACAGGCCGGTTGACGTGAGCACAGCTGAGGCGGTTGCAAGACTGGCGAAGAGCGAGGCGATGGAGAGGTGCAGAAAGCGGGTTGCTGCCCGGTGGTCTGACGACGCCATGGCGATGGCAGAAGGGTGTTCGAGATTTGCTCCGCTAGGGGCTGTGATCGCAACGCTTTGGGACACATGGCGAGCAGGTGTTGAGCAGCTCAGAGCGCCTTATATGAGCGTCCGCTTACTTGGACTGGCTGTCACGGCACTGGACCGCCGATCCCTAGGTCACGTGGCACATTGCACTTAGCTTCAGGTTCATCCATCCATAGCTTCCTTTCCTCTTCATAGAGCAACGCAGTTATCTTCCCAGACCTACTATGGTCCCGTGACACTGGCTGTGATCGAGGCGCCTTCACCAATCCATCAATGACAGTCAGGTCTTCACTGTTATCGGCGGGGGGCCGAACGTTGACCCTGGTCGCCAGGCTTCCAGGGATCGCAGCTTGTTAGCGGCCCTGTCCGCCTGCCCTGTTGGGAACAGTGAGAGATATGTTAGACATCCTGAAGGATTCCCCTTCCCGTCTCCCACGTGGTGTGGAGAAGCGGTTTGCGGGAACGCCTTCTCGGGGACAGGCTTGTGCAGGAACCAAGCAGATAAGAATGATCACCGAGTCGATGTAATGGAGTTACAACTCCGCTCACAAGAGATCTTGATGGTATGGTATCAAACGATAAAGAGTCCCGTTGATACTGTATCATACTATTGCATTCGAGCTCCGCTCTGGGCCTTACTTAAGTGAATTCCACCGATAACGAGCTGCCTGATTCTCACAAATTCATGATGGAATTGTGTAGTCACGGATATGACACAGCTGGGATGTCAAATCACCTTTTCTCTCATTCTCATCGTCGCTTGCTTGTGTGGAGGAATGAGATGCAGGGAAGAACTGTTAAGCTCACCGATAAAGTACCTCCTCTAACCGGGGTCAGCGGCACTGAAGGCCCGGAAGGCCCGGGACGTCCGAGCAGTCGGAGCAGTCGGAATTGAGCGCACAGACATCAGCTCCGCTCGCCCGTTCCAAGCAGAAATGCCCTATCGAACGCCGAACCGTGTACGGATGTACATCCGTATCTGTTCAAGTTTTGACATGACCATCACGGACTATCAGGAGCGGCGCTGGTGGTGACGCAAGCCAATACCAACATGCTGGACTATCTCAGTCTCACTGACAAGCCCATTACATCAGGCGTGATCGTTCTGGTGCTGTCTTTGGTTGCCTACCTTGTGCGTCTCAACGAGTTGCTATCGGGCACCCCGGACGAGGTCAAAAAATTATCACCGACAAGATGGACCAAGGCGCTCCTGGTTGAGACGTACAGGAGGCTGGAGGCCCATCCCATTACTACGCGCAGCTATGCCGCACTCATTCCCAAGAAGCTAGAACGCCGCTACATTGTCACTGGCGGGTCCGGTGAGTTCACCTCGAACAGCAACCGCGCTCCTCTGGCAGTGCCCCCCGCAAACACACCGACATTATGGGATTCACGGCTCCCAACCGGGGCCCCCACACTTCACTCCATCCCTGCTCTCCCCTCTGACGCCATGTCCCAGGTCTCGTAGGAGGCTACATCGTCCTGCAGCTTCTGGAAAGAGGCCAGCCGCCAGACAGTATTCGCATCGTCGACTTCCGGCCGCCCAACCGGGCCGACATGCTGGATGGAGCGGCAGCTCGAGTCGACTTCGTCGCGGCCGACATTTCCTCGGCCGATGCCACGCACAGGGCATTCGCGAAGCCCTGGCCGCCGTCCGTCGCCCGGCGACCCCTGACCGTCTTCCACACGGCCGCCGTCATCGTGCCTTCGGACCGGTCCAGGCTCGCGTCGGGCTTTTGCGACGCCGTCAATGTCCGGGGCACGCAGAATGTTGTGGACGCCGCGCAGCGGGCGGGCGCCGATGTCCTGGTGTCCACCACGTCGGGGAGCATCAGCATCCGGCCGGTCGAGCTGTGGGTTCCGCCCTGGCGGATGAGGCGTGGGCAACTGCCGCGGCGGTGCTGGCAGGTGTTGGACGAGAAGGACTTCTTCGAGCCGCTCCGTGGGCATGACGAGTTTTATGCAAACTATCCTGCGTCCAAGGCTGCGGCGGAGAGGATCGTCTGTGCTGCGAACTCGGAGGACCTGCGGACCGGGTCGATCAGACCTGCAAATGGGGTATATGGAAATCCCACTGACAACACTCTCGGCGGCGCGCTGGCCAAGGCTGTTCTTCCGACGTAGGCTGCGTGCCCTCTTCTCGTTCGGGAGTGAAGTTACTGACGTCTCCCAGATGGACATCCCACGTCGTTCAGAGCTGTACGTCAAAATTCGCGCTCTTTTTGCCCCTTTCGAAGGTGTCTCGGGAGTCACAAGAGTCGCCTTGTCCCCAGAGCAGCACTTTTGCTCCCGAAATGCTCCCGAGCCACGCCTAATAGGCAAGAAATGACTGACTTTTGTTGGACAGTTGTCCATGGCATCAATGTGGCCATCGCGCACCTCAATCTTGAGGCCATCCTTGCATCCCCCGAATCCGCTGTCTCCCTTCAAGCCGGGCGTCCCTTCGTTATCACAGACCCAAACCCTCCCATCAGCTATCGTGACCTGTATTTTCTCGTCCAGACCCTGGCGGTCACGCCCTTCCGCATCTTCGCCTTGCAGCCCGTCGTTGTGATGCTGCTCTCGTACCCCATCGAGTGGTACTCCCTCGCCCTTGCCAGGTTCCCGTGCCTGCGGAAGGTCCTGCCAGAACTAGCGGGCGAGGTGAAGCATCTCAAGCCCGGCATCTTCAGCATCTGCGCCCACCTTGTGGCGTCGAACGACGTGGCAAGCCGGCCTGTCAGCGACGGCGGGCTCGGGTACACGGGCGTGCTCACGACGCTGGAAGGTATGACCATGGAGGTTTTGGAGTGGAACCGCGACCATAAAGACGTTGTCGGGGCGAGGAAGTCCTACACGAACAGCGTCTCGCTCGCTGACGACATTGCGAAGGCAGCGGCGGTAGCCGAGTTTGGCAGGTAACAAGGCGTCGGCTTTCTTGATAATACCACCTCTGGAATATCAGGGTATCAACAGGTATTAAAGCATCGCCCACAAACCCCTTGCTCACCCGCAGCAGACAGTAGGCTCCTCAATCCCCGCAGCAGCAGTGCCATTCCCACTCTTCACCACGCTGTCTCCCAGAGCCCCAATAACCACAGTCCGCGTCATCCAATCACACAAGAACTTGCCCAGCAGCGCCCCAATCAAGATGCAGATAATGATGTAGCCATTATAGTACATCGCTAGACTAGAACAAAGTTAGTTGTGGACCTCTTATACCGGAGATATCCGGGGATATTCGGCAACAATGCCCAGTCTCAGGCGCAGGATGGCTCGTGAGACAGCCATAAAGGGGCAGAAACAGTCCACACACGAAAGAGATTGTTGGCTTACAGCATGACCATGTACGCCAGGCCAAACGTCGCGGCATGGATCAACGCCCTGACAAACTGCTGCAGCGGCGACGCCCGGAACGTGACAGTCTGCGGCAGCAGCGGCGCCCCCTCCTCCGCCCGCCCGCCTCCAACGGACGCGGGGCAGGCAGCAGCAGCGCCGCCAGCGGTCGCCGACGCGGGCCCGGCCGCGCCATTAGCGAGCAGGGCGACGCGCGCGGCAAAGTCGCGCTGGATGTGCTCGTCGTACTCCTTGCCGGCGCGTCGAAGGGCTTCCAGGAAAACGACCATCAGGATCACCCCGATGCAGGTCGCGGCGAAAGCGCCGTGGCTGGTGATGTGCCAGGACGGCGACAGGAAGCAGGCATCGATTGTGTACCAGTTCCAGAGCATCTGTCGTTACTTGTCAGTAACTTCTGTATTACAGGGTGATGTTGTGGTCGGCCTGAGAGAAAGGGGTGGAACGTACAGAGATCTTGCATGCTGCCGCGGTGGTGTTGGCGGAGCTGTGGTGGTCCATTTTGCCGGTGTGCTGCGGCGACCGATGGAAGGGGTGGTGGTATTCTCGGAGCGAAGAGGGTCGTGCCGTTTGCGGGGTGCGTGGTTCCGCGAGATCGGATTGCACACGCAAGCGGGACGGTATTGTCGAGATGCCGGCAGTTGAGTGGTCCCGATGCTGGAAGGAAGACTTCGAGAATGGATAGGCAGTGTTAGGTGTTGCACCCACGCTTCCAGACCCTCAAAGAAGCCCCAAACTCCGAGGCGGGATCTTATGGGGTTGTGGGGATATTATCCCTTTAAGACGACAATGTCTTGGCTGTGATCGGATGATGGTGACCGCAAACACTCGAGAGTCGAGACCCTATTTCGAGTTGTGGTGGTACCGGCGTGGCACGCGCCTTTTACATTGTTTCACGACTTTGTTGGCTTCAGTGCCCTATCTGATGATTCTGATTCTCGACGCCGGATTCCGGGGGTTGCAAGTCCCCACGAGCACTTTGCGACTTCGCCAAGACCGGTGCCGCCCGCCACACAGGCTCAAACTTGCTCAAACCCGAGCATCTTGGGAAGATGCCCAATATCCATCACGGTACTCGTGGGGGCAACAAGGACGAATGACCATGGATTTTGGCAAAGTTGAGCCATTCGAATTTGAAGAGGACTGCGCTCTTGCCCTTGGCAATTGACGTCCACCAGCTCCTTCCGCTGCAAATCTGTTCAGGGCATCTCCACCACGACCAAACACTTCCGAAGCGTATCCACAGCACTCCCCAGACAAGAGTCCCGAGGGAGCGGGTGATGGCCATAAGAGATCTCTCCTCGCCACATGACTTTGAGACATGAGATCGACGAACTTCTTCACGACCAGCGCCATTCCCGCTGCCAGACTATTGTACCGTACAGTACAGCTGGTCTCTGTCGGTCCCAAGCCGCTGTTCAGGTGAAGCAGTTGCCCTCTTAGAAGCCGGCTAGCTTCCACACCACCACCGTTCGACGACCACGGTCAACAACGCAAGCCATGACTCTTGCACCACGCCACATACAGGACTGGTCTACAGCAGCTTTTTTGGAGCCCCATTGGTAAGCAACAATCATCTTTGTTTGTGGACTGTTTGTACCCCTTTCTGGCTGTCTCAGGAGCCATCCTGCTCCCGAGACAGCGCACTTGCTCCCGACACCCCTCCAGACATTTCTGGGATTGGATATTCACAGCTGACATTGTTTTAGGGGCTACGCGGACCGTGTGATACCATGTAAACTTACTATTTTAAGACCCTGAACTACTACGTAGGCTAATAAAAAAAAGGCACCAACGACAGAGGATCATGCGAGTACCTCGACGTCGTCTACTCGGCCCACGACCAGGGCATGATCTATTCGGGCATATTCTGGCTGACCATCGGCGGCGTCCTTCTGGTCTGGGCCCTCGGTCGTCGAATCTTCCCGGCTCGCGAGCCCGTTGACGACCTGATCGCCCAGCTCTCGCAACAACACCAAAATCAACCCTCACCCTCTCTCGAATCTCAACTTCGCCCACCCCCTAAATCAACACTCACTCGTGCCTGGACAACCCTCCGCATTGCCCTCCGATCCTACCTCCTCCCGACAACCCCCCTACGCCCTCTCTTCGGCACTGCCACCCGCCTGCAACTCGTCATCCTCTGCTTTCTCATCGCCTACCTTACCTTGTGGTCCTTCCTCGGCATGACCTATGCAAAATGGGTCACCCCTGTCAAGAACCAGCCGAACACGTACAACACACGCACCACGTTAGGGCCATGGGCCGACCGCATCGGCGTCCTTGCCTACGCGCTCACCCCGCTAAGCGTCCTCCTCGCGTCGAGGGAGAACATACTCAGCTTGTTGACCGGCATCCCATACACCAGCTTCATGTTCTTGCACCGCTGGACGGGCTACATCATCCTTATCCAGTCGCTGCTGCATACATTGGGCTGGACACTTGTTGAGGCTTGGCTCTATCAGCCACAGCCGGCGGTGTGGAATGCGTGGGTTGGGCAGTTGTATGCCATCTGGGGCTTCGTGGCGCTGGGGCTGTTGCTGTTGTTGTGGGTGCTGACCTGGGGAGTGGTGACCCGCTTGACGGGCTATGAATTCTTTCGGAAAGCGCATTACGTGCTTGCAATGGTCTACATTGGCGCGCTCATCGGACATTGGGGGCAACTGCAGTGTTTCCTCGTTCCGGGGATTCTGCTCTGGGGTTTAGACCGGTTTATGAGGCTGGTGAGGATGGGAATGCTACACTCGGGATACTCTATGGAGACCGGGGGTTGGGGATTCAGGGCCCTTCAAGCGGACGCCAAGATCTGGAAGGACGCGGAGTTCGGGGATGTAGTGAGGTTGGATTTTGCGCATGTGCAGAAGCCATGGAAGATTGGGCAGCACTTCTTTTTGTGCTTTCCGGAGTCGAGTATCTGGCAGAGCCATCCGTTTACGCCACTCTCGCTGCCGATTGCCGACGGGACAGGGAGGGTCCGTCATTCTTACGTGTTCAGGGCCAAGGGCGGCGAGTCGAAGAAGGTTGCCAGTCTGCTGGCAAAGAAGCTCGCCGAGTCAACAGCCCCTACAACACCCCTAGTGATCCAGGGCCCTTACGGGGAGAACGTGGTCGAAGGCCTGACGCAGGACAAGAATGTCCTGTGTGTTGCGGGTGGTAGCGGGATCACCTTCGTTCTCCCAATCTTGCTGCGTTTAGCCAGAGAGAAGCCGGCCCCGGGACGGAAGATCGAGCTGGTATGGGCGGTCAAGCGGAAGCAAGACCTGCAATGGGTCGAGCCCGAGATGGAACAACTGCGCAGACTTGGTGCTCCCCACGGACTGCGAGTCCGGACCTTTGTTACTGCCGAGACGGTAGCCGTAGCCTCGGAGCGGGTCAAGGTTACGGGCGAGAAGGGCAAGACCGAGTCGGAAGACGAAAGCGACTCCGTTCAGGAGGCCTCGGTTGGGAGTGGCAACGACCACAGGCCGGATGTAACGGCGGTTGTGAACGACTTCGTCAGCAGTGTGGCACACGGCTCAACGCGCGTCTTTGGCAGCGGCCCCCCGGGCATGGTGGTGGATTTGAGAGCCGCTGTGGCTGGTTGCAACGTTGCCAGCAGGGTCTGGAAGGGAGAAGAGCGGTTTGATGTGCGTCTTGTTTGCGATGATCGGCTGGAATAGATACCCCCCTTGTTCAAATTGAGTCTTGCCTTAGCTTCGAAGCGCCTCGATTCTGCAAGCAATGTTGCTCCAATCCAGCCCTGATTTGTTCGCACATGTGGCACATGGCGGGACACTGGACATGGATGGGATTAAGGAAATCAAGGAAGGTAAGAAAACAAGGAAAAGAGAAAAGAAGAGAAAGAAAAAAAAATATAAAGATAAAAGTAGGAGAAGAGGAAATATAAAGAAGAAGAGGGAAGGAAGGGAAGAAAAGAAAAAAGAAAAGGAGAAAAAGGAACGAGAGAAAAGAGAGAAAAGGAAGAAAAGAAACAAAAAATAAAGAAAAAAAGAATATTATATAGGTGGAGTAAAGGAAGGTGAGGTATAATACCTAAGTTCTACACTTCAACCCAGTTTCGTGAACTAGCTGGAACAACGTGATAACGTACCGCCGAACTCGATGTCATCCCGCAGCATCCACTCATACCTGGTACCCAGCAGATTACGCTGAACGGCCGGGTCGTGCCAAAAGTAAGTGCACATCAGCACCAGGACGGACATGAGGTTAGTTGCTGCCGGTGCTGCGTGGTTGTTGAGCCTCAGCAGAACCCGGAGGCGATAGGTTGGTTGAAGGGAGCAGGAATTCCTCATATCGATATTGCCGATGGCCTTCCCGAGTTTGAGTTGGGCCCATTCTGAGTAATGCCGGGGGATAAACCTCAAGGCCTCCTCCTTCCAGAGGAAGTCGCAGAGTCCTGGCTCGAGAAGTACGCGTTTGTCTGCGGTGATGCTTCTCAGTCGGTCGGCATACGTACGACGCGGGTGGCGCCATCTCTGTCTCTGACGATCTCATCGCCGTGCTAACGTGCAGATTGTGGTTCATTGTGTAGTGTGTCGCTTGAGCAGCTGCAAGTAAAACAAGTGCTGGTCAAGATTGACACGCGCGTATTTGATTTGCACTGGCGGTACGTACTAGGCTGGCGGATTCGATATACTTCGCGAGTCCGGGTTGATGGCCGAAGCCGAAAAGGAAGACTCGTCTGGGACGGGGTCTTCACAGCGAGGAAGAGGAACTTTACGCTGCGCGAGCGACCTTGGCGCAATTGAAGCGAACGAAAGTGCTGGAGGCATGATTGACACACGCGCGCGTCAACTGAAACTGTCTATCGCACTCGGTTGAGTTAATGGTGGTGTTTAACTTGAGCGTTTGGGGGAATGAAGGGGTGCCCGAGACACACCCTTGCGGTGCGAGGTTGAGAGAAGCTTGATGGTGATAAGCGGAAGTGTGTGGGAGGAGATGAAGGAGTGAAGATGGGGAAGTGGAAGAATGGATGTGGAGGGTTCATATAGAAAAAGGAATGAATGGGAGGAAAGCAAGAATGCCGCAGAAGCTGGAGATGATTCAATTCCGCCGAGTTGATGAATCTCTGAGTCCCGGCTGGAAGTACAGCTCTGCGAGAAATTTGGTCGAGGAAGACTCGGTTTGAAGATTGCGATGTATTGCATAATCTGTCTTTCAGGTAAGTGTAAGACAGAACAAGGGAAAATAAGGTAGTTAGACGCAGCATCAAAAATAATCGAGATTTTCTCTAAGGAATGAGAGGAGAGAGGAATGAAGAATCCGAGAGCATGCTATCGCAAACTTGCTTTCTTCCGGGGCTCACTTGTCTTTGCTTCAACCCAACCTGCCGCGAAGAATGAGAGGAGAGAGGAATGAAGAATCGTGAAACTGCAGGTTCAGGAATGATTCTGTTGCAAAACCATCTAGTTTACACCCGATAAAGAGCGAGGAAATGTTTTTTCAAGAAACTGAAGTTCCTCCTGCGAGTCGAATTCCTTGCAGCTAGTTTTCTTAACCAAACCACAACACCACCTCGATATTTACAACCAAATCTGTGTCCGCCTCTAGGCTTGGAGGCCACCGTCACACAAAGACGGTTTCGCGGCGCCTACATCTCGGCGTATTACTTTGCTTGCAGTTCCCATGTCAAGGCCTAATGGTACTATACACTCCAATACATGACCCCCTGGCACGAGCTGGCCTTGGATTAGACCTCCGTTCAACCCTGTTCTCTGTTCTGCTGAGTCTTGACCCTCAACTCGATCAGCAGCGTGGTCCCGAATTGGAACCACAAGGGTCGTTCCACCTCTACTACCTCGAGGCCTGGAACCTTCTCCGTGGCTTCATGTACAATCTGCTCAATATCCCTGTTCCACCAGCACCCGTACTTCTGAAAGTGTTTCGGCGCAGACTTGTCCAGCCTCCGGTTCAGCCAGCTGTAATGCCCGCGGCCGTGTTCAAGCAGGATGATGCGCCCCGTGTCAGGCTGCAGCTTGGCGGCCATATTGGCGAGCAGCGTCCCAGGGTCGGCGACGCTGCACAGCCCAAAGGTCTGGATAATGGTGTCGTACTTGGCCGGCGGGTCTGAGGAACCAGCCGCCGGCAAGGGCGGCGGCGGCGGTAACCCGCGAACGGCATCCCCAATCACCAACCTCACCCTTCCATCCAGCGCCTCCACCACCGGCATCCCCCCCTCTCCAACCTGATCCACCCCCAACCTAGGCATCGGCTCCAAACGCCTCTTCCTCATGATCCTGCGCAGCCCAGGCACTGTCTCCCGTATCCTATCCCGCGCGACACCCATCATCTCCCCGCTGACGTCCACCCCAGTGAAACTGAGCACCTCCCCCTCCAGACTGCCGCTCCGGTCCAACTGCTCCCTGACCGTCGGCCCACCAAGCCGATGCTGATCGAGCAGTTTCCGAACCCGCTCCCGCTCCCGCTGCGCCCTCGCCTCGGCCTCGTCCTGGGACAGCGAGACGACCTCGCTCCAGTCGTAGTAGGCCAGGTTGCGGCCCGTGCCGACGGCGACCTCTAGCACGTGGCCGCGCGCGCGCGAGGCGAGAGATTGTCGCAGGCTGGTGATGCCCATCAGCCATTCTGGCACGGCGAGGGACTTGTCGAAGGCTTGGGCTGTCGTGGCGGCTGTGGTGGGGTTGGTGAGGTCGAGGGTGGAAGGGAGGCCGGTGGGTGGTGGTTGGGCGGCAGGGGAGGGAGAGGTGCAGGTGCATGATGGGGCCGCGGAGGTGTCTTTGAGGGAGGAGGTGAGCACAGACGAGAGATAGAGGCCTGCGCAGAGTGCGAATATGCCGGCGCCGAAGAGTGGCCATTTCCTTTGGTTGACGAGGACGTCGAGGGGCTGGGCTTTTGAGGAGGATGAGGAGGACGAAGAGGACGGTAATGGAGGAGTCTGTGGCGTGCGTTGTGCTCGTAACTTGACTATTGGAGGAGGTCGAACATCGAGTCTGGTTGAGAGGGTGAAGGTGCGCGAGGATGGGCTGTTGCGAGCGCAGGTGCAGGATGGAAGAGCAGGAGCAGGGAGCTGCGTCTTCTTCAGCATCCTCTGCGGTATGCGATGACAAGACGCCATAGTGGTTGTTGTCCAATTCACAAAAAGATAACCCTCACCTCTTCATCGCTGGTCACTCTGCAGAACTGAATTCGGACTGCGACGATTATCAGCCCGACAACTTCTGAGCTGCATGCTGGAGTTCATTGAATCCTGGGGGACTTTAAACCCAATCCAGTTTCTCAATTGATATTACATAATCAACTACAGGTCCACAATTGCCTGCCGCCATCGTTTTAGGCTTCAAGCTTCCCTCTTCACTCATCGTTCGGCCGAATGACTCTCAACGATTTCATGACACGAGTGTGTATTGACTGCGATAGCGAGCCTTTCCTAAGAGTTGAACAGTAAAGATGGCAACACAGCAAGATTTGCAAGATCTCCTTCGGCTGCTCACAGTCGGGCGCAAAATTCCCATGATGCAGGCCATGACGCAGATCAAGGCCCTCCAGGCTGCCGACTTGAGAAGGTAAGCCTTCGCGCTCAACTTCAGTCCGGCCTTGAGTCTGCGAGGCTAGGCCGGACATGGTGGAAGCAGGGCATGCCAGAACTCGGCTCATGCGCGCCGCAGCATCACACAAATAGCAGAGGCTCCCCTAGCCTCGGTGCAGACGGCACTCAAGGACGACAAGGGAGCCAGGGCACTGCAGAATGCCTGCAAGGCTGCCATCAAGCGCGGCCTATCCGGCCCCAACAAGCGCCAGCCTCCGGATATAGCCGCCTCCCAGGCCAAGCGAACCAAGACCGACCTGTTCTTGACAGGCCCTATGGAGATGACGCCACAGGAGCTGGAGAAGTCGCTCGAGCTGCCGCTGTGCATGGACGAGGAGCGCATGTCTCGGACGGTAATAGAGACAAACAGGGCGCCGCTGGTCCTTGCCTTTGCTGTGGAGCTCTTGCGGTATACCATGCCTGAGCAGCCGCTATCGAGCCGGCTGAGTTTGGGTCAAGCAGTTGTCAGCGCCAACTCGAGGTCGAAAGCCGTCAGTCTCGGCCTGGACAAGGGACCAAGTGCGGACGAGGAAGGATGGGGCGAGGGACAGCCGCGGGTGAAGGTGATGGGAAGAGACATTGCCGTGCTCAAGCGGGGAGGGTACGAATGGAAGGGGGAGGAGGAAGTCGGTGAACAGACAGCTGGATCGGCAGAGGAAGGGAGTTCTGTCCCCAAAACCCAAGCAGAAACCGAAACGCAGACCTCGTCCGCGACCGCCACTCTCGAACCGACCCTCGAATCCGCCTGGGCCACCTGGGCAGTCAGCGAACCCATCACCCTGAAAGACTCAACCTTCATCGCCCGCGCCACACACGTCAGCAACCCATCACAACGCAAAATACTCCTCCAATCCCTCCTCGACTCCGTCCCGAGCCTCAAAACCGCCACCCATAATGCCTGGGCCTACCGCCTACGCTACCCACACGACGCAGCCTCCACCAGCTTTGTCCGGGAAGACTCCTTTGACGACGGCGAGACGGGCGCCGGCGACCTCATCCTCCGCATTATGCGCGAGTCGAGCACCGTCGACACGCTCGTCGTGCTGACCCGTTGGTTCGGCGGGACGCTGCTGGGCCCGGACCGGTGGCGGCTGATGCGCCGGTGCGTCGCGTCGGTCCTGAGCGAGCGGCTGCGCAAGACGGGGGCGCAGGTCTCGCTCGGGGGGGAGGCGCTGTGGGGCCTGGACTTGGAGACCATGAGGGCTAAAAAAACGGCTACGGTTACCTCGGGGGGGTATGGCAGTGGGAGTAGGGTGCAGCTTGGGACCGAAGTGATGGGGATGCAGATTCATCGGCCGGAGGGGGCGAGAGGGTATTTGTTGAGGAGTTTTGGGAGTGTGGAGGGGCAGGGGACCACTACTGCTACGGCCTCGGAGAAGAGTCCGAGGAAGGGGAAGACGCAGAAGGCGATGGAGGCAGAAAAGGAAGAGAATTTGGGGTTGTTGCTTGGGGCGCTGAGGATCGTGTTTGACAGTTGGGCTGACCACCTCGACGCGGTTGAACTGGACAGACGGGCATGGGGATGGTACCTTGCGGTGAGACCCGACGTGGAGAGTGGGCAGGCTGGCTGGGGTGCCAAGGGGAAGGTGAAGTTGAGTGATATATTGAAGTTGAGGAGGCCGCCGGGGAAATGAGCAAGTATCATTGAAGTGGTCGTATGGTTGGCGGATTATTGGCTGGTTGGCTTGTTGTCGCACCTCAATGGAAGAACTGTGTAGCCATGATAAGCCAGCCAGCTGGTTGCTTCTTCCATTTGAATGAAGATATCCGGCCATCCAGACGATTCCAGAGTCCCAATCACCTGTGATCAATGATCAATGAAGTGACTGGGAACCTGCAAGAACTCGGAGGTTCGCATCGGTGTGGGGTGGATCAGCGCCAATTGGCTTGCATGTCTGCAACTGGGCGGCAAGGCAGTTGTGATCGTGGTGTTGCTATGGCAACCCAAGGACCTGACCTCAGCCCTGGGAATGTCAACAACCTACTTTCCACTGCATGTGCAACAGGTGTGCCACGTCTGACATTCCCACATTGCAACCAAGAAAAAACTCTGCCTTCGTCATAGCGCAGTCCTTTGCGTCGCTGGTGATCGCGGTTTCTCGAGAAACGTCAAGTTCCAGTTTCTGACTTCGGGAGTTGACCAATTTCGAGTTCAATCAAGCACTCTTGTCTTGCAGCGTGGGACACTACAGTCCAAGCCACCCCGGCTCTGCTCCGCTCTTGCTCCGTAAGGCGCAATGCCGACCGCTACCACCGACGCACCGGCAGTTGCCCTTTCCTGTACGTACGGAAGCATAAGATCGTTCGACGACACCTGCGGGATGCGCAAATAGGGATTGCCTAACACAAGGATGCAGTTGCCAACAACTTCTGGGGCAAGGACGATGCCGGCGTCCAGCCGCTCCTCGAGCGCATGCACAATGCGAAGCAGACATGCGACGAGCTTAAAGCTTTCTACAGCGGTGAGCAATAGCATCTTGAACTCATAGCCGATTCCCCCTCAGGCAGTAGCACTAACAGCAGCCCCTGGACAGCCCGCGCATCCATCGAAGACGAATATGCCCGAAAACTTCTGTCATTGTCTCGCAAGTCGCTGGGGTCGCAAGAGATGGGCACCCTGAAAACGTCACTCGATACCGTCCGCGGCGAGGTCGAGTCCATGGCTAAACAGCACCAGCACGTGGCGGCGCAGATGAAGAGCGAGCTGGAGGAACCACTAGCCGCGTTTGCCGGGGCGATGAAGGAGCGGCGCAAGATTGTACAGAATACGGTGGAGAAGCTGCTCAAGACAAAGGTGCAACAGACTCAGCTGGTTAATAAGGTCAGTTGTCAGTCGGGGGCCGTTGCGCGGAAAGGATCGCTGACGAGCGCAGACACGCGATCGCTATGAGCAAGAATGTCTCAAGATCAAGGGATATCTCGCCCAGGGCCACATGGTTATGGGCCAGGAAGAGAGAAAAAACAAGGCCAAGCTCGAGAAAACGCAGATCAGCCTGGCAACATCCAACGCCGAGTATGAGGCTGCCGTCAAGGCCCTGGAGGAGACGACCGCCCGCTGGAATAGGGAATGGAAGGCGGCCGCCGACAAGTTCCAGGACCTCGAAGAGGAGCGCCTCGACTTCACCAAGAGCAGTCTATGGACCTTCGCCAACATCGCCTCGACTGTCTGCGTGAGCGACGACTCGTCATGCGAAAAGATCCGCCTGTCTCTGGAGAAGATGGAAGTTGAGAAAGACATTACAACCTTCATCAAGGAGAGGGGCACTGGCCAAGAGATCCCTGACCCTCCCAAATACATCAACTTCTGCCGTGGAGATGTCGACTCGCAGTCAGAAGTATCCGAAGACGAAAACTACTCGGTCGCCCAGTTTCCAAGGAGTATCAACCCGGCGTTCCGCTCATCCTCACCACAGCCATCAACGTTTGAGTCACATCACGATCCTAACTCGGCATTGGCCAGAGATCTCGGCCACGGTGATTCCGCAACACCGCAAAGCCGGGAGGCCACCGTGACGCCGCAGAAGTTCCCGGTTATTCCTCACCAGGAGAACCAAAACGCTAAGAGGGAGCCGCCCAGGGGCTACCAACACCCCCGCGCAAACAACTTGGAGTACGACCCCAGCGAGTTCGCCCCTGTTCCTCACGATCCCTATCCGATGGACGGCATGACGATGCTCTGCAGGCCCACCGGTTCAGACCTGAGTACTACGCCATCAACATCTTCTGCGCGGCCCTCTAGCAGAGATTCGCACAGCGAGACCTCCTTCTCCAGCCAGGAGCCCCCGGCGCCCGTGTCGCCTGTCAAACAAGAGCAGCCGACTCCTGCCACGTCTCCCGACAAGAAGGTTCTTAAGAAGAAGAGCGGCTTTTTCCAAAACCATAGCCCATTCCGTCGGAAGAGCACGAAGGAGGTGGCGCCAACGAGCAGGAACACTTGGAATCCCTCTACTGGCACCAGCCGGCCTCAGCTTGCTGCGGCGCCCAGAGACAATCACCAGATCATTGCTTCCGAGCGGAGCGTCAGCCCGGATCCAATCGCAGCCAACGCGAGCCTCGCACTCAACGTCGGCCAAAATGTCTTCCCGGTGGAGACTCCCGACCGACAGAAGCAAGTAGCTGCGCCGACCACGCCTGATGATGACCCAATCGCCTTGGCACTGGCCGAGCTGAAGGGGGTCACTATCGGCAAGAACTCAGCCATGAGAATGTCCGCGGATCATTATCATGGCATTGCAACTCCCGCCCCTGGCGCCAGTCCATCGCGTTCTATGCCAGGGTCAGCAAACAACAGCGTTGTCGCAGCCGCCGTGCGAGGCACCCCACCGCCGTCCTACGACCAGCAGATCCAAGTCCAGCGCCTGGGCGTCCCCCCTCCGGCAGTCACCGCCAAAGCGATGAAGGAGTCCTCCCAGAAATTCCAGCAGCAAACCCGCAGCCTGTTTAGCAGCTCCACCAACCGGCCCGGGTCCGGCGGCGGATACGGCAGCAGCCGCCCCGGTACCAGCAGAGGCAGCAGCAGCGACATCCCGCGCGCCGTCTCGCCAGCCCCGCAGCGCAGCGTCTCCCCCCGGCCCGACTCCCGCGCGAACGCAAGCCCGCATCCTTTCTCCTCCTCTGCCTCCTCCTTTTCCTCCAACAACAACAATACAGCCCACCACCAGCACCGCTCTGTCTCGCCGGCGCCTTCGGGTTACGCCGGTAGTCACCGCGGCTCGGTCTCGCAGCTGAGCATGACGCCCAAGCAGCAGCGCGGGTCCGATTCGTACTACGGCCGCGGCGGCGGCACCGCCTCGCCCAATGACATGGCGCGCGCAGCCTCACCGGCACCCTACAGCCCCCGCGCTTCTGGTGCTTCACCCGCGCCGTATACCCCGCGCGAATCCATGCAGGAGCAGCGTCCATCGAGTAGCATGTCGAATGGCAGGGGGATGGGCATGGGTATTGGTGGTGATAACATGGCGGTTCAGCTTGCGCCTGTCGGACAGGATGGTGCCGGGTCGATGCGTGGCAGGCATAACCGGTCAAATACGGCGACGAGCATGAGTATGAGGGGCATGAGCCTGTATGAGGGCGCCGGGCCGGTGCAGCCGGTGACTGGCGGGTCGAGGGTGAGGAGTAAGAGTGTTGCGGCGGATCCGGGGAGATATACGAGGGATGGGAGGCCCATTTTGCATTTCGGTGAGTTCCCCTAACTTTAACTGTACTTGTTAAGGGAAAGAAGGAGTTTGCTAACCGGAGAGTGGTGGTATAGCACGAGCGTTGTACATGTACCAGGCCGCCATCCCTGAGGAACTGGGGTTTGCCAAGGGCGATGTGCTTGCTATTCTCCGGCATCAGGACGATGGCTGGTGGGAGGCGACGGTGCAGGGCGGCAACGGGCAAGTTGGGCTGGTCCCGAGCAACTATTTGCAGCCTTGCTAGTCGTCTGCCCTTCACGTTTGCAGTGTTTGATGGCTTGAGGGGGCGGCATGAGCCATGATATGGGCAAGAGTGAGAGAGAAGTGTGCCGAAAGCATTTAGCGGGGAGTTGGGGTTGTTGATCGAGGAGTTGCATTGATTTTCTGTTGAGCTGTCCTGTTTGTGGATATGACTTGAAAGCTTGTTATGAGTTGGGCTTGGGGTTGTATAGCGTGTTAGCTGGTGTGTTTTGTCACTTGCTTGAATCCTGAAATTGTTGGCTCGCTTCCTGGAACGTATATGATACCGTGATGGTAGGGCAGATTTCGCCATTCCCTGCATGTTGACCAAAATGTTCAGAATTCCTTGCTTCCACCAATAGATAAACGTTCCTTTTTATTGCCGTTAAACAGACGGATGGGGAGAAAAGTGTCACTGGAGGCAGTTGCAATGAGACAGTCGTTGGCATGTGAAATGCCAAGACATGACATCAAGGCCGACTGAGCTGAAAGCTCCTCACCTAACCTCCGAGCTCATTCGAGCTCACACACACCTTCAAGGTCAGTGTCATTTGGCGACTACCGGAACGTGAACGCCGGAACCAAGAATAACCGCATCCGATGAAATGCAATTCCGTTGACAGCAGCAATGGTAAGATGACCGAAGCCTCGTCATCATTCCGTTCCTTTTCTCTCCATCAATTAACCCTTGGTAGGAACCATCCCTGGATGAGGCCAAGCGGAACCTTGATGCGCTCTTTCAAGAAACGCTAGACAGAAGGCAGCGTGCTGCCCGTGATAACCAGGCCTTCGCCCATGGGCCCATCTCCCCTGCCTGGGTGCAGAAGACGGTGATAGGCGCCAGCCTCCTCGCCATCGCAGGAATTCTCCTCTACATCCCAGCAGCACTCAGCTATCTTCATTTCTATTACAAGTTCCTCCCGGATCTGGAGACGACTGTTCCGGTACATCTGCAGTATGGGTATGTCCGCCTCTCTTGAGATTTCACCACACTGCACTGTGGATATTGAGATGGCTACACAGCGTCGGGCCCAACCCCTTCGGCATTGCCTCCCTCCAAGGCCTCGCCAGCCGCCAGCCTTACGATGTTACCGTCTCCCTCACCCTCCCCCGCTCTCCAATAAACCTCGAACGCGCCAACTTCATGATTGCTCTGCACCTTCTCTCTCCATCGATTACCACTACCCACCAGGAAAGCCACGACACCCTCCCCTACCTCCCACCCTCACTCACACCAACAGACTCTGACGCCTCCTCCTCCCCCTCATGGGAAAACTCCCTAGACGCCCTGCTCAGACCAACCCGGCTCAACCTTCCCTCCTACCTTGCGTCCCATACTATCCTGCACACATCGACTCGCCCCGCCCTGATCCCCTACGTCGACCCCATCGCCTCGCTCGCCAAGCAAATCCTCTTCCTCCCCTACCACATGCTTGTTACACACTCGAGGGGGTCGACGGTGCACCTCACAGTGCCGATGGCAGAGGACCTTTCGTTTCGCGCCGCCGCAACGGCCCCCCGTAGCAGTAGCCGGGCGTCTTCGCTGCTGCCGCAGAGCCTGCTGCTTGAGGTGCAAGCCGGCCAGGCGATCCAAGTGTACGAGGCGCGCGTGACGCTGGTTGCGAGGCTGAAGGGCCTGCGCGGGTTCATGTATCGGTGGCGGGTGACTGCGTTTGTCCTTGGCTCAGCCGGCTTCTGGGTCGGGGAAATGGTTGTGGTGGGTGTCGCGGCTTTGGTTACGGGACTGATGTTAGGGAAGGGGTTGCGGTACTTGGTAGGTGCTCGTGGTGGTGGTACGGAGCCGGAGCTTGAGGCTGAGGCGGGGGAAGCGACGGATTGGAGGAAGTGGCTTAATGAGGAGGAGGATAAGGAGCGGGGAGGGGACTCTTCCGCCTCTCCTATTGTCTCTAGGAGAGATGGGAGAGGAAAGGGGACGATCAAGAAGGAGAAAGAAGGAGAGGAGATGCCAAAAGTGCCCGCGTTTGGGGGTGGGTCGAGTACCGAGGCGGACGACGAGGGTGAGAGTGCGAGACGGAAGGGAAAAGGCAATGGCAAGGAGAAAGAGTCCGAGTCGAAGGACCTGGGTGTTGAGACGAGTTTTATTGGCGAGACCAGTCGGGAGGGGGTGAGGAGGAGGAATGTGTCGGGCCAGGAGTCGCCTATGTGAAAGGGAAGTAAGTTTATTAGAGTTCGGTTGTTTATTCAACATTAGGTCATGGTACGCTGGTTAGGAGACTAAGGCCAGTAGTAGCAGGTTAATTCGCTGTCGTAATGACACCTTGATTATCTGTTCGACGCTGCATAATAGAAATGCCATGCGGCCGCCTTAAGACCTTAACTTCTATGCGCTTGGTATTATTGTATCCGGCACCACAATATCAACTCAATCGCTCGCCCGTTGAAGCTTGGCACTCACGGCCAAAAGCGGGTCGAACTTGGCAGCTGGCAGCTGGCAGCCGACTGTGGCTGATGTGTGATTGGCCCGTGCACCATGCAACAACCTCCGCCGGCATGCTGCTGCCGTGCAATCATCACCGACTCTCCGACTTCCGTGCCGTTCAGAACTCAGCTCTGGATCCCTACAGACAGACGACCGGCTGGGCAAGAGGCTGGTTAATCGCGCAAACGAATAGACGACCTAGCTAAGCAACGACAATACACTTTGTTTGAAGACGGCGCTGGTGGTCTGCCGTGGCCTGGCTGGCGTTTGTTCGGCCCAACCCCTCTAAATCTCGAGCTGCCAACGCAGAAGCTCCGATAACCCATTCAGCCCCTGCTTCACCCCGCCGACCCCATTCTCTCGGAACTCCATCCACCTGTCAATTTTGCTGCCAGACGGTCACCGAGTCACTCTCTTCAATTTCATCGAGTACAACGCCGTCTGTCTGTCAGTCACCGGCTGGCAAGAGACGTGACCTAGGCAACCTGAGTCTTCCTATCGGCGCCGCCGTTCCATTCTTCGCCGTCCCCTCCCTCCGAGTTGCTTCGCTACCTAAAGAACTAGCACTATATCTACCCGTCACATTCGTGCGATTTGACCTCACCTCGAAGAGCATTACGACTTGAAAAGCTTATTACCTGCAATTTACAAATCCTTCTTCCCCGCCACTCAACAAAGCGCGGGGTGGTAGATATCACATCGTCCAGCTGCCATTAGCGGGGTGTGGACCACATCGAAGTTCACCGCCGCCATGCCCTGCTTCAAGGGCATCGCGGTGAGCATCCATGCCAATGGAGCGCCGCTGCCCGAATACGGCGTGCAGAAACAATCCCGCGTCTCTCGCATCAACACGTACATTCCAGTCCCGCAGCCATCGCTGAGCGGCGAGTCCAACAAGCCGGAGCCCGCCAAGTTCGCCATTTCGATTACCCTGCTTACTCCCGGCCTCGCGATACCCTACTCGGCTCCCAAGCCGAGCCCGACGAACCCCTTCCCGAAGCCTCAATTGGTTGGGCCCCTGCCGTCGAGCACGGGCGAGCGCGGCAAGTATCATGGCGTCGTCACGCCATACATCCCCATGACCAACAGCGAGAACGAGACCATCGCCGCCTATATATACTTTGACGGAAGAGCCAAGGAAGAGGTGGCCACGCTGTTGCGTCCTGGTGAGGAGACATGGGTCAATAGTCGATGGGTGCAGGTGCCCGACTCCGAGGGCGGCGGCCTTGCCGAGCGCGAGTTCCTCTTTCGCGAGGTCGGCCTCGAGCGGTGGCTGAATGGTCTCGACCTAAAGGGTCACGACGCCGCAGAGAAACTGGAGCGCCGAAGGCAAAAGTTTGAGAAGCGTCGGAGAAGGCAAAAGTCGCATTCGGAGGACGGCGCCAGCATGGACATTGAAGGCTCGAGCAAGCCGCGGAGCACTCTGAGGTACAACGCGGACGAGAGCTCGCCCGTTGAGGCCGTCTTTGACGAGGACTCTATTTCTTCCTCGGACGACGACGAACCGCCCGAGGCGACGGGCCAGATCAAGGTCGCCATGTTCCGCGTGATTGCCTCGGGCGAGATCAAAAAGGGCGAGTACTCGCCCCAGTTCGACGCTCACGACGATTCTTCCGAAGACGAGGGCAAGGGGGGTAACAGCGGGATCGACGCCGACGTGGAGCATACCACGAGCTTTGCGAAACCGAAGACGCTAGATCCGAAGACGATCAGCACTCAAACAGTGACGGGCATCGACGGGCCGGACAAGCCGTATGCTGTGTTTACCTTCTTTTACCGCGGCGAGCGTAAGTAGCAGCCTGGGTTTCCGTACCCAACCAATTCAATCTCGGAGCTCCTTGCTGAATCCGCTGCAGGCCAACTCCAAAAGATGGGCGTTATGCCGCCCCCGAAGTCGCAGACAACATCCCCCGTTCTCAAGCGGCGGTCAGGACAAATCGATTTTTCAAATCTCGGCCCTCTCAAGACGAGCGGCACAGTGGGATTCTCGACGTTCCGGGACAGGGAGAGCCAGCCGACGGGGAGGAGGCGGACACGCAAGAGCAACGGCGCCGCGGGGAACAGCGCCATGGACGCTGATAGCGAAGAGGAGGACGACGAAGACAGCCGCGAGATCTTGAGCAAAATTGAGGACGTGGACAGTAAGGATGACAAGTCCAAACTCGGGCCCGACGACGCAAAGTTCTCTGGCGAGCTCGCTGACGGCGTGAATCGCATTCGGGTACGCCCCATAACCCCCCCTACTGCTGCCATGATCTCATGCTCCTGCGGAAACTAACATCTGTCCCTTCATAGCTCAAGCGAGCCCACTCTGCCGAACCCGATAGCGCCTCCAGCCCGCGAAAGTCCCCAAGCGCCGGTGTCTCTACACCGCCCGAAACCTCTGTAGCCGGCAGCGGTTTCGCCCCGCTGGGTGGCGCGGCCGGCATCTTTGGCAAGAACCTGGCAGACGACACCACCGCCAACCTCGTAGGAAGCCCCCTCAAAAAGGCACGCCCTAGCCTGGGTGCTGATGCGAGTGTCGGTGGAGGCGGAAGCGATATCGCAGGCACCTCCTCCCCTGCTGTCGGTGGCAGCTCCTTCCCCCCCGCGCTCGGCGATATACTCGCCAAGGCTCAGGCTGCTCAGACAGGCCAGGATCAAGACGGGCTTGTTGGGGCGGCGCCGCAGGGGATGAAGATGGAGGAGGAAGAAGAGTTATAAAGGTGGATTTGACGGGGTGGATGGAGAAGCTTGACTCTGGAAGATTACGGGGAGTGTGTGTACATGTGTGTGTTGGGTTTTCGGTGGGGGTGGGTTGACTAAAAACTACCTTGCCCGATGTTTGTTGTTGCTGTTGGCGGGCCCTCGAACCCGCCAGAGATCCCACAAAGCAAGGGAGACATGCCAGAGCTAACTCTGGGGTTGGGTTGGCGAAGATGAAAAGAGGTTATTTTTATTTTCCTTCCACAGACAGGTAACATAACCGTTTCCGCTTCTTGGGGCGTTGGTATTGCTGGCGTGGAGAGGCGGCGCATGGTTTATATTACGACGGCCCTGAGAGGGGAGAACAACTCTGATTATTTGCCCTAGGCACCTGCCATATAGGCTCTGAAACTGCTCTGTGTCTGTGGTGTCCGGTGTCCTGATCTGTGGTGGTGATCTTGTGTGCGGTAAACGAGTGATGGCCCAATTCCGGGAGTACTTGATGGTCGACGGGCAATAACACGGCGTGCGGGCGAGGCAATGAGTCATTGATCACGTCGTTGTCGGGTAGTGTATCTAAAAACTACAGCTCGAAGCCCCTGTGCTAATTGTCTGCTAAAGGTAAGTTGACCGGATTCCAAGCACGGAGAGCCAATAAAGGATCAAAGGGAGTTTAACATCGCGGTCACAAATGAACTAGGGAATGATCTTCATCTGATTCATAAATCATTGACTGGCCTAATACGATTCAGGATGACAAGGAACTTAGGCCGAGCAACAGCCCAGGTGCAGTCCAGCGGAAGTCGCCCACAGCAACTGCCGCCAACGCACCCAACGAATTACTCCGGTTTGCGCAGAGCAAGAAATGGACCTATTTGGTGGTTAGCACCAAATGCCATGCCAACGGTTCTGGGTATGAAGCGCGCAGGAGAAGAGGGGAAAGAGTCAGACTGTTGAGCTTGATAATTCGAGGGATCAACATGGAAAATTCAGTTGGCCGTTCTTAAGAAGAGTGTGTCATCATTGAGCGAGAGAGTGAAGAAACGATTAAATGAAGCGTTCTTACCTGCTGAGTAAGTCAATGGACGTCGCTGCACGAGCACAAGGAGTGCTGTTGTGTGTTGGGAGCAGGACCTGTCCCAAATCTTGTAGAGATGAAGGAGAGGAGGTGAAATGTTGTGGATTGAGATTTGCGTTTTTGGGTTCACCTCGGGCCTGGCTGACTCAGCAATCCATGACCCCTTGATTATCGGACGATGGCCATTGGACGTTGCTTTCGTTGCCCAAGCAACATCTTTTGTGGGCCTGATGAGTCGGGTATGTCACTCTCTTGAACTCACGGACATCTCCTGAGCTGAATACCGAGAGGCTTGACGTTCTAGGGCTGGCTCGGATGATCTAAGCTGCAGCCTGTGCCCTTAGAAATGTTTCGTCCAGAGCAAGTCGAGACACCGGCCAGGGAAAGAGTACAAGCTCTGTGAGGCTGACAATACGGATAGTGGCAGAACGGGGTACGACTACTGTGAACAGTGGTGTCGTTATTTCAACAACAGAGTCACTCCTTTAACGTAGTATATACCGCTGCTGTCTTTTGAATGAAACTGAAACTGAATAGGTACATATAGTTTATGTTCGGTGTGAACTGCTTGAGGACCTGACCCACTCAGCCTGACGACCCGGAAGGCTCGCCGGGGCAGAGTGCCTGAGGCCCTGAGGCTGCAACCAACCCCACCATGCGTTTATTATGGGCCCCGCTCCGCTCGCTTGGAAGTTGGGTAGCTATCGCAAACTTCCATACTACATCCACCGGAAATTAACACCAACTCGACCATCAGGCGGCCCTATCCAGCTTTTTTAGTGACTTGTTTGATTTTCTTCCCAAGGTCTTTACTCCGATAGTCAGTCACGATGGCTAGTAAGTACCAGTCTGCGAGGAGTTTTGTCTGCGCAAACCCCGGCGACCGGAATGAGGGGTTGCCTGTTTACTCCGCAATCCGATCAGTCACGGCATGCCTGCGCTCCGCGCATGTGCCTTGCGCACGTCCGGGTTGCAAAAACTATAGTTTCGCTGACATGGCCGGCAGCATTCGACTTCCAGGGCATCGCGAGTGAGTGAACACCTCTGCACGGCACGGCGAAGTGCCTTGCTTGTCTTCGTGAATAAAGGGAACAGAGACCTTAACACTGGCTTCGTTTTCTTTCCGCCCGGCTCGCAGCGCAGTTCGTGGAACACTACTACACGACTTTCGACACCGACCGGTCGAAGCTGGTGCACCTCTACGTATGGACACCCATTTTAGCAATGGCCTGTGGGAAATATGAGGCGCGTGGGCGGAAGGCTGATTCGAACATCAACTGGGAAACAGAGGGAAAATTCGATGCTCACATTTGAGGGCACTCAACAGCTTGGCGCTGTCAATGTCGGCGAGAAGCTTGTGGTAAGACAAATCAGCCGCGGGCCTAACCACCCATGGGGAAACTGAGCTGTTGCTGAGCTAGTTTGCAGAACCTCCCGTTCCGGAAGGTCAAGCATCAGTACGGCGCGCCCGATGCGCAGCCGACTGCCGCTGGTGGCATTATCATCCTGGTGACCGGCCAGCTTGTGGTGTGTACAAAATCAGCGAGGCCTCATTGTTGGGTCCATTCGGCCCCCCTGTCTCCGCTAACATGAATATGTATCAGGTCGATGATGAGCAGCGCCCTCTTCCCTACTCGCAGGCTTTCCACCTGTGCCAGGACCCCACTGGCCAGTGGTTCGTTTTCAACGACATCTTCAAGCTTGTCCTTGGTTAAACGGGTCATATACTTTCTGGTATGTTTGGGGCCATGACGGGCTCTGCTAATGCAGACCTGTTTGCGTCGTCCGGCTGGCTTCGGCTCTGTGGGCGAAGAGGTGACAATTAACAAAGGTAGCGGGGGACTGTGGCACCCGGTTGTCGCTTCTGGTACCTTTGGCGGAGCGAACAAGGACCCCTCAACATACACAGAGTACGGTGTGGCTTTTGGCGATGGAGGTTCTCGATGGCGTAGCTTGGGTTAATACCTAAAGGGATTACGAACTGCCATCTAAGCGTCTCTGCCGGGTGCATGTAATGCTGCTTATGCTGTGTTGTTGGTTTCGAGAGCATCTGACGGAGTGCCGCGTCACCGGCCTGGCGTCACCCGGCGCGGCAATGGCCAGCCGAAGGGTCTGGTTGTCTCGAATACAGCTGCCTGTTGGCGACGGGCTGTCCTTCTGAGTCCCAGGAGCCCACCTGCCTGTTTTCTGGGCACATATCATCGCTGTATCCATTGCAAACCAGATAGAACCATTCAAACTACTGAACGGTAGGGTGGATGTTTTGACATCTTCTCAGAAAATCAAGTGTACCCGGGAATCTTCAGCAAGGCTGGGTGGTCGTCATCAACAGCGTTTGTACGTGGCTCAGCACTCTGTCGCGTTGTCCGGGAAGCAAGGGACCAATCAACGGCGTCGGAGAGCACAGCCCACTGCACCCGAGATCCCCACTCGGTCCTGCCGAGAATGACAACGTGCTAACTGCTTCAATTGTGAGCTTCTGCGATAGCTGAGCTGCCGTCGATCAAAAAGGCCGACATCTTGAACAAGAAAGCAACTGTGTTGCTTTGACCCATAGTTCTTGTTCCTGGCTTCTGTTGGACAAAGCGCGGAGTCGCTTGCCCTTGCTATTCAGAACCCGATCTGTCGATTCCGTTGATCGTAGCGGAAACACCCACCGAGGCACTCAGAGCATCGCATCGCATTAGATCGCATCGACCGAGCAACCGAACAACACGACGCAGTAGACGCACAACATTGCGCAACGGGTATTGCTGCAGATACATACTGGTGGACTACACGCGGCCATACCGCAGTTCGCTTGGGGCAGACGAACGGTTGCATGGGCTTCGAATATCTCAGTTGGAGAAGCCACCTAAAACACCAGCAACATGTCGTTGAAGGAGGAATTCGCGACGCGCAACTTCAGTACGTTGTTCACTTGTTTTGGCGCCCCGCCTACGTTGAGGAGTACCTTTTGGCTTGGGTTCTGGTACGGGATGTGATGCTGACGGCGCGGCTTCGTTGCAGGTATCTACGGGCAATGGTGAGCATCCTCTCCCACGTACTACCATACGACACACGCCCCTCGACGCCAGGCTGCACGATCGACATCTTCCGCACCTCTGCTGAGTTGCCCGTGCCAACCGCAACAGCAGCAGTTGTTGAAGAGTACGAGCTAACATTTACACGCCACACAGGCTCGGCATCCTCACCATGATCCTCTGCTTCGCCCTCGGTATCGCCAACGTTTTCACCGGGAGCATCGTAATCATCGCGCTTAGCGCCGTGTGTCTGTACGTCATTTTCCCCCTTTCCATTCAGTTGCCGGCAACCGTTCTCAAATCAGCCCCAAAGACTAACCCTTCGCCTCACCACAAACAACAGCGCATCCTCGTTCGTAATCCTCTTTATCGAAGTGCCCCTCCTTCTCCGCATCTGCCCGACCTCGCCCAAGTTTGACAGCTTCATTCGCAAGATCACGACAAACTACATGCGCGCCGCCGCATACTTCACCATGGGCCTCATCCAGTGGCTTACCATTATCAGCCGCGCCACCTCGCTGATCGTTGCGGCCGTGTTCCTGACGGCCACCTCGGCGTGTTATCTCCTGGCGGGCATCAAGGGCCAGGCGTTTGTGGGCAGCAAGACTCTTGGTGGAGCGGGGGTGGCGCAGATGATTGTATGAGGTCGAGGCTGGGAGGAGGAGGAGGAGGAGGAGGAGGAGGAGGTACTAGTGACGGTTCTGGTGATGACGAGCAACTATGGGTAGTGGGGAGATGGTCGGAAGTAAAGAGGGAAGAGAAGGTGGCTTTCCCCTCCAGGTTACTTAGGTGTCGCTATGGGGTGATCGGACGCTCCTTGAGGGTGCCGTCGTTCAGCTCGGCGCTGGCTACGTAGGAGAGAGACCCACGAAAGAGGCATTATTTTCTGTGTCGGATCCGCATCTTTGTATTTAGTTTAAAAAGAGGGGCTCATGGCGTCTATGGTTTCCTCATGGGTCTTGGGCGGCTCTTGAATCCATGTAGTTTGTTAGCTCTTTGCTTATGCATTGACTTTGCTTCCGCGGCCATCATAGTGACAGGGTGAACATTAAGTCTTTGCTCGAGTATAGGTTGGGTTGCGCTCAATGAATCAGCGATACCCCCTTTTGTGCTCTGGGTTAACGGCCCCAATGTTGTAGAAGGGAAGGATGGTGTGTGTGGAACTCGGTGGCGGACGGCTTTGCTAGAGAACTGAGACATGTGCAGATGATTGTGCAAGCCTTGTTGATCACACATGGCCACATCAAATAGCTTTACGTGCTTTACACGGAAAGTTGAGGTGAGCTCAGAAGCTATCTACTGTCCAAAGTCCTTACTGGGCCTATAACCTCGGTTGATAGGACTCGATGAGAGCTGGGAGATCAGGCTCCTGTTTACATTGGACGAATTCTTCCAATGCAATGCTATTTACTCCGTAGAATCGGCGGGATGATAGTCCATTCAACAGGCAGGCAGGGGCACTGGGCGAGGCGAGAAAACTTATTGGGTGATGAAGGTATATTTGCGTGACAACTAACGGTGGGACAACGTGTATCTAAGACTCAGGTACGGCGTGCTAGAGAAACGGCCCTGCCCCTTTGTCCAGAAGCCTGGTCGAGACGGTCTCAAAGGGACCGGGCACAATTAGTCGTCCAACTCACCTCATCTTAGTGTGACATCAGATTATGCCTGACAGAAGGGGCTCGTCTCCACCCGTGGACAAGCGCATCATGAGATCCCCTTATCTGTACGGATCCGTACAGCTGTTGTAAATTCCTAAGTACCCAACTACACCTGCGTGGTTTTCATTGCTAATAGGTATTGAACTAAGTCGCCACGATGTACAGTCATACAACTCAAATGTACTAGTAATCTACAGAGGTACAACTGCCAGGAAGATTGCGTCATTGATTTGCTGCGGCATTTGCGGTCAACCACGAAGATGTGCTTGTTGAGTACTGTGAGATTGTCGTTACTCAAGTCGACAAACGCCAATGAATCGCTAAACGCGGCGTCCTCGGGTATCCGTTTCCTGAGGGGGCAGAGCTCGGTTTGTTGGAGAGGTGCCAGCTCAACGTCCCATCGACTTGGAGATGAAAAAGGCGGTCGATTCAGGGACGAGTGGGGCTCACCATCCTTCGTACACCAAGATGGCAAGCAGTCGAGAACGCAGATGGCTGCGATGGCTGCTGGTGTCATTCAACAAGTGATCGTATCATCTGGAGGTTGGTCCACGCGTGGAACGAATGCTCCCCAACCTCGACGCCTCGACTCAGACAGTGCCCTGCCAACCCCACCCCATCGTGCCCCGCCATCTTCGCTTCATCAAGCGCTCCGTATCGCTATCCGTGTGGATGGAATCATTACCTTACTGGTGTCTAAATTCCCTACGTGATCTTGACCGCTCAGAGAGGCCTTTACGGGTACGGGTTGCGAGTCGCAGTCCGTCTCTCGCGACAATACCGTCATAATGCAGCTACATCCGTAATCGACCAAATGCACCCTCAAGAGAAAACTCTTGTGGTCATTCGCACCCCGTGGCTCCAAATAGAAAATCCTGGAGCTAGCCCAAAGCCGTAGTTGGTGGATTGATGTGGGGTAGCGAGGCTGGCGCACAGTGTCATGCGGTATTGAAACTGTGCGTGTCAACGTTGCCCATATGGACACATCGAAACTTCCATGGTTTCTGTTGTGCGAATTCAGAACCTTACGGCACATTATCTTATATACAACTAAACAGCGATTCCGAATAACATACCCTTGGTCTCCATCAACTTCTACTGGCTGCCCTGTTTCTGTTCGATTCAACACCGTAACACAGGTTAAAGTAGAACCGGGCCTAGAGAAAGTAAATACAGGATGTTGAACCCGTGACCTGCTCCCTGGGTCCATCCAAGATTGACTCGCCCATCGCCCGCATAAGGTGGACTCCACGTTTCCTCTTCTGTGATCCTCTGAGCTGGGCCTGATCAGCTGCAATGTTCTAGCCTTGAGGGGTGCAGGATCCTTGTTGAGACACGGGACAGCATTGAGGAATCGAGGCACAGCAATGTACCAAGGTACATGTTGGCTTTGGCGAATGACGATGCCGCCAATTCCCACCCAGCGGTATAAGTGGCCATCACGGTCGCCTCGAGTCCTGGCCCAGTTTCATCATCAGCTTAAAGAAAACTCTCACACCGCTAAACAACCAACAATAACTGCATCCTCTTTTTCCGAGCACTCAATCGACCTTCAGTATCTTTATCTTCCTTCCGGCATCCTTTGCTGTCCTAGATTCCAAAACAGCGCACCTACGAAGGATCTCACCGACCCGACCTAAACAAGACTAAAGTACCTTATTGGGTAGCTCTCCTTCGGTGAGTTCTGGCGACTCTGCCCCTCCATTATGATCTCCCTGGCCACACAAGTCAGACACCTGGCCCCAGCACCATTGCACAATTCGAAGCGGTGTGTTGCACATTCTCGGGCCGGCGAGTCATTGCGCTCTGTCGTTATTGCGCGGCCTTTCGCTTTCCGCGTCGTGGGCAGCAGGATCGCAAGCCCAGAAACTTCCTCCAGTTAATAGCAGCAAGCGGCGGCTTGCCCCAACATCATGTAATTGGTCACCTGCCAGTCCGTCTTCGATGACAGGCTTCGAGCCGTATCGCGGCTCGTATCTAGCGCATTCTGCCGGCTGCCTATCGCTCGCGGTCTGATGTTGGGTGTTATCAGCAGAACTGCTCGACCCGGCATTGGCGTTATCATCCAGGGGCCATTGCACGTACCAAACTGCCCCTGCATGTTAGGAATGTACTCTGTTTTCAACGGGAACTTATCTTGCATTGCCGCCCTGGGTTTTTCCTTTCTCACCGACTGTTGAGCAGCGGCTAACCAGAAGCAGAGCCCCGCTCTTCTTGATTGTGACAGCTTCCCTTCTCGACATATCCGCGAACAGCCGGCAGCCGTACACCGCGCTTACCTTACTCCCTCAACCGAGATTGCAACGATAGCTGCTTCCTAACATACATAATCGAGCCGAGTGACCTCTTGCCCGCCATGTCTGCCGCCACCGCCAATCCCCCCGCCATACCTCCGAGACCGTCCAGGAGTCAAGAGAAGCAGTCGACTCCGATGATCCCCCCGCGGCCGACCAACAGGCGCGTCCAGCGCTCTATCAGCCCCAACCCCGACCGCTTCGCTCCGTCGCCCCTAAACGAGGGCGTCTTTAAGTTTGGCCAGGGCCTGCAACCTGGCGCCCGCAATGGCCACAATGGCGACTTGATAGCCCGCCCTACCTCGGTCGAGCTACCCACCCTCGGCGAGGAAGGCAAGGAGTATGAGAGTGTGGCCGAGGAGTTGAGTTCGGGCAAAGAAGGAAGCGCCAGTCCCGAGCAAACCCGAACCGTCGCCCACGATCTCAAACTCCACGCCCCGAAGCCGTCGTTGCCCGCCTCGAGTGCCAAGCAGCGCGTCATGGCCGTTACGCGGACCGACAGCGAGCGAGCCGCCTCCTTTGGCATTGGGAGGCCGAGCAGCGTCGATGAGTCGGGTCCGGCCCAGCCGTCCAGCCGCAGTCTGAAGAAAAAGGCGAGCACCACAAGCCAGCTGTCTACGCCCGAGAGCCACGATGAAGAGCACGGCATTCCCGAGATCGGTCTGCAGGTCCCCATGCTCAAGAATGCCGGCGACGTCCAAGCCCCGTCGCCTGCGCCTGCCGCCACCGAAGGTCTGAAGGGCAGGCATCATTCGCGGAGGACGTCCGCTCATGGAAACCTTCCGCCTGGAAGCTACGGTTTGCATGGCCACGGCGTCGCCCCGCAGGATAAGCTTGAGAAGGCCTACTACGAGAAGCACCCAGATCTGCTTAAGAAGGAGCATGTGCCCCACCATTATGATCGCCCCAACGACTTCTCCATGAGCCGCGATGACCTGAACAAAATTGTTCGGGAGACCGCGAGCCGCGGCGCTGGTCTTGGTAGGTTGTCCTGATCGTTTGCGAGGCGCTTCATCGCCATGGGCTAACCGGCGCTTTGTAGCCACGAAAAACTATGCCGGCACCCCCAGTGAGCAGATTGGTTGGCAGGCTCTTGAAGAGTCGGCCTCAAGGATAGCTTCCCCTTCTATTGCGTCACCCGAACTTGAGAAGGCCGTGATCCACATCGACGAGCCGAATCGTAGGAGGTCGGTCATGTTCAGCGACACCGAGTCAAACGCGGGAGACGCGGTAAAGAGCCCTTACACGGCCCCCATTTTGGCTGAAGACGAGATTGCCAAGGACCCATCGGGCCTCGCCCACCAGCCGGCTGTCGAGCCTCCCGCCTTCGAACTGGAAGGTCCATCTAGCCGCCCTACAAGCAGGCCCGCCAGCCTGTACAAGGAGACGTCGTTTGAGAAGCGTTCAACCCCTCTGGAAGACGTCAAGGAGTACGAGCCGCTCTTCAAGGATGACGAGAACATTGAGGAGAAGAAGCCTGCGAAGGAGGAGAAGCGCAAATCCAGCCACTCGCATCGCTTCCCCAGCGCCGACGTTTGGGAAGACGCACCCAGCAGCGTCTTCTACACGACGGAGGTTTCCACCCCGGAGGTTTTCGATGAGAGTGAAAAGCCTTCGCCATCAGTCGTCCCTCCCCCAAGAGAGGGCGAGACACCAGCTCAGGCCTTTGCTCGCCACCAGGAAGAACTTGCCGAGAGAGAACTCCGGGGGGAGCGCGTCACAGGAAAGCCTCTATGGGCGCAGCACCAGAAACACCTCATCGCCGAAAAGGCAGCATCCCGTCCAAACATGCAGCAGCGATTCCCCAGCCGTGACGTCTGGGAGGACACCCCCGAAAGCCTGCAGTTGGAAACCACGGTGTCCACTCCGCAACAGGACGACGCAGCCTCCCCTTCACCAGCCGACGCTCTAAATCCCGAAATCCCAGATCGGCCCCAGCCCAAGCCGACCGAGCCACCCGCACCCACCGACAAGCCCGCTGTACCCGAACGCCCCAAACCAAGGCAAGCCTCCGTCGACGACAAGCCGGCCGTTCCTGACCGCCCGAAACCGCAAATCCCCGCCCGCCCCGCTAAAGCGGGCCCTACCTCGGGCGGCCTCGAACCCGCCGAGGCTGCGGCGCCACCTCCCCGCCAGAAGCCTGCTGTCCCGGCGCGCCCGATGGGCTCCAAGATTGCCGCGCTGGCAGGGGGGTTCATGAATGACCTCAACAGGCGTCTGCAGCTTGGTCCTCAGGCGCCGCCGCAGAAAAAGGAGGAGCCGGAGGACGAGGAGCAGGCTGCTACCGCTGCTGCAGGGGGAAAGGAGAAGGAGAAGGTCCCGCTTAGCGATGCGCGCAAGGGCAGGGCCAGAGGCCCACAGAGACGGGCGCCTGCTGCTGCTGCAAGTGCTGCTGCTGCGCCGCCGGTGGAGGAGAAGAGCTGCGTGGTGTGTGGGGTTGTGGGGGCAGTGACATTCTTTGAAATTGATCCTGATGAGGGGATCGTCAGTGCTGGTGGGGTGACGGGTGTCCCTGAGCCTGGACCTGAGGCTGAAATTGAGGCCAGGGAGAAGAAACTGGAGGACGCCGAGGTCGAAGCTACCCCCGCTGAGGCTCTGGAAGACGAAGAGGAGGAAGCTGACGTCGCTGCCGAGCCTGAGCCGAAACACCAAGATGCCTCAACCACATACGAGACCAAGGCTCAACCCGTGGCAGAGTCCCAGCCTGAGCTCAAAGCTGAGGCCGAACATGCTCCAAAGGCTGAACCTGGGTCCGAGCCGGAAAAGCAAGAGACCAAGTCCCTTGCCACCAACATGGCTGGCGAGACACTGATCGCGGAGGATGTCAAGAAGGATGAGGAACACGAGGCTGTCGAGTCTGTGAAAGTGGTGGAGCACTAGCTGATTGGCCTCCTAGCGATGACGGGTGAACGGTTGTGAGTAGCTGCGCTTGTCTTTGCATCTGGTTCGTGCTTGTCCTGCTGGTGAGAGTTGAAAATTTACTTTCTGGATTACTTTTTGCTGTTCTCCACTTGCTGTCAGTCCGTCAGTCAGTTAGTTAATGTTGACGACTTGATTTTGAGGATTTGTTTTGGTACAGATAGAAACGTGGTAGAGACGCATTTCCCATGACAACATAGAGAAATGTTGGCAGATTACACCCCCCAACGAGTTGTTCGTGAGCTGTGTGTCCAAGGATATCGGTATGAATGTCGTCTCTCCCGCACCAGTGTTATCTGTAGGTGGCAGACATCATCACTGAGGTACTCAAGTGACAGTTACGGTGTTCCGGAGTTAGAATGGCGACAATGGTTTCGCATTGTCTCAGGGTTCATGCCCATGTTCTGCTTTACGCCGCACCTTCAGGCCAACTCGTGACCTGTCCATCCGTCAACAATCCGTCAACACTTGGTCAAACCAAGTCCCAGACCGCACAAGCCCATAAGTTTGGCAGTGACTCTCCCTAGTTATATCGGGCAGGGTGTAATCGCCTATTCCTCCTGGTCTTCGCCCTGTCCGGCATTCCCAAACACCATCCTCCTCGGCACCCAAACCTCAAACCCATCCTTCCCACCTCTCACCCCCTCCGATGCAGGAATCACCTTGAGCACCTTCTGGAAGTACTTATCCCTGACCACCAAGCCAGGCCGTATCCACCACCCACCACCTTCCTCTTCCTTCCCTTCTGTCGGCGTAGGCGGCGCATCAAGCGGCAGCAGCCGGTACTCGACACTCCTCCTCGACACAGGTAGCAGGTTCAGTGTGGTCTGCTTGGGTCCCGAAAAGGCGAATTGATCACTCGGCTCCATGGCGAGGCCAAACGTCAGGAAGTGGTTGGAGGCGTTCTCGATCATGATGGTGAGCGCGATCAGAGGCGTTGTTGGTATTGTTGTTGCGCCTCGCCGGCGGCGGTGGTAGGAGACGGACGCCAGCACGCGTGGTTCGGTGCCAAAGAGGGTGAAGCGCGGGATCGGGAGGGTCGTGATGTTGCTGGTGGTCTGATCGTTCGTGTCCACGCGGGTCCATTTGATGAGGAGGGATACGTCGAGGTGAGCGTGGCTGCGGTCGTCGACGGTCAGCTTTTGCGCGGCGAGGTCGAAGGCGGCTTCTTGGATTGTCTTGGGTTTGACGAGGCGGCCGGCGCCGGAGGCCGGGAGTTCGGTGCATTTTGTCGAGGTGCAGCGGAAGGCTGTTGGTTGGGGTTGGATGGTTATGTCGACATCCTTTACGCGGAGGGGCTCCGAGGCGAACGAGGCATAGCGCGCGATGAGCGTCCAGGCTTGGGAGATGCCTTTGGGAGGGAGAGGGATACTGTCACCCTCGGCCGTGCTCGGAGGGGCGATGCCTTCCGGATCAAAGAGGCTTGGCCAGGGGTCGCGGTGGACCCGAGGCAGGAGGTCGTAGTTTGCTTCAAAGGGGTTGACGACTTTGAGCTGGAATACTGCCGTTTGTGAAATGGGCGTACCAGGGTTGGTTGGGAGGAAGTAGGTGACTTTGAGTGTCAGGTCGTATCGGCTTGAGCGCTGAATCGGAGGCAGGCGCAGGCCGATGGCGAGTGATTTGGAGCTCGCGATGCTTCCCATCGAGACTCCTGAGAGCCTGGTCTCTTCGCTGCGGACGCTGAACGAGGTCTGATCCTCTTGTCCCGGGATTTCTACCGTGAAACTCGGTGGCTTTTCGCCGAATAAGAGCACGTCCAGCTTGGCCAACGCCTCGACATCTTCGCCATTCTCGACCTCGAACTTGAGACTGATAGGCTCATCCGCGTAGTATTGCTCCTTCCACACTGGACACCTGACCTCCATTTTGGGAGGCCTGGGCAAGACGCGGACTGCAAGGGGACGGGGGTGAGCAACGTGCTTAGTTGTAGAAGGGGAGAGATACCAAAGTCTGGCGTTCTTTGCTTCCTGGAAGGCTAAAGACTGCCGCAGGCCAAATAGCTCAGTTTCAACATTCAGGGTTAGCGATTCTGCAAGCGTCTCACCGGGCTCCCGCAGGGGTATTTCCATGTCGAGGACCAGGGTTCGACCTGGCAGCAGCGTCAAGTCTGAGGACCCGACGAGCGTGACGCCAGTGCTGGTTTCGTCCGACTCAGCGGGCTCTGCTTGTGCGTCGGCATCCACCTGCCTGGTCAAGGGTACTGAGCTCAGAATTGCCTTGCCCTGGCTCTGTTGAATCGCTGGTCCCTTGGCTTGGTGCCGCAGGACGACCCCGTCAAGGCTACCTTTGAAGCTGAGGTAAATGCTGCTGAGAACGACAGGTGCTGACTCCGAGTGCGTATTTGAAACGACAGAGAGTTGGCCGCGAACACTCTGGCCCGCCCTACCCTCGTCTTTCATAAAGAGGAAGGAGGCGGAGACGAATGCCTGCAGTTGTCCATCTCTGATCGAAACAATAGGTTTGGGCGTAAGGTCAACGTCTTCCAATGCCCTGGATATATCGTAATGCCAGCCCGGGCGTCTTGTGAAGTCTGGACTGGAGTCAGTCCGTGTCAGGGGAATAACATTTCAAATTACAGAAGCGACATACCCCGGGAGAGCAGCTCCCAGCTAGTCAGGAGCAGCAGCTCCGCATCACCAACCTCAGCGGCTGCAGTCCTGAGCGCCCAGTTTAGCTCCTCAGCAATGGCAATCCAGCCCTCGCTCCTGAAGGGCAGGTCTTTCCAAATGGGACGCAGAAGGCTGACGATGTTCGGCCAGTTCTCGGCGAGCGCAAGCTCCCTGGCACACTCCAGGGATACCTCGGCGGCAAAGCGTGTCTGGCGTCGTCTTAAAAACTCGGAACGGGCTCGCATCAGCCGGTCAACTATCAACTGCCCATGGTCTACGCCTGGGCGGCCCAAGGGGAATTCTTCGTATGGGTCAGGACACATGTACGTGTCATAGGCGAAAGCAGATTTCGCAACATGGGAGGCCGGCGAGGCGCTCGGCGATCTCCTGTCATCTTCCGGGATGGCATGTGCAAGAGCTTTCCGGGCCTGTAAGTGTTTCGCGGCCAGGCGATGCCAGTACCCTGTGTGATGTAGCAGTTCCCAGGGCTGTAGCCGCTCGCCCATGACGCTCTTCTCTGGCGGAAGGAAGAGCTTCAGGGTGGCCGGACCCAAATCCTGTATGTCGGCCTTGTCGATCAGATCCGCCATGACAACGGCCCACCGAGCCTCCCAGGCCTCCCAGCCGTAGTTGTTGGTGCCCCTGCCCCGGCGGTCGACAAAGTCGGCTATCCTCTCGCGGTGAACCTGCCATCTCCGAGCGGCTGAGCTGTGCTGACCACTCCACAGCAAGGACCTCAGACAGCGCACGGCGATAACATCGGCGAGAAACCTCGCCTCGTTCCACCGCGGGCTCCAGCTCGGAATGAGTTCCATCAACTCGGAGCTCAGTAGGTTCTCGTACGCTTGCTCGTATGAGCGCAGTGCTACATCCATTTCCAGGCGGTATTCGGCAAACACAGCCGACTTGAAATCATAGCGGACGTTCCACCCAGCCAGCGAGAGCGTCTGCGAAGTTCCAGACGTTGGAGGCACTGTCGGCTGGGGAGCGATGCCTCTACCCCTCTTCTTTCGAGAATGCCTGCCCAGGTCCCGGTAGTATTCTATCGCCACGGCGTAAAGCGTCGTGAGCATGTTCTCGGCCACGCGCTCGAGTTCTTCCTGGGAGTCGCTGGATGGCACGAGGAACAGGGCCTTCGAATCCAAACCACAGCCCCTGCGGATTGTTTCCAGCCGCTCTTGAATACCCTCCCCAAAGGACGCGGATGGGACATGGTCACTCAGGAGCACAACCGCCAGTCTCGTCTTGTTACCGGACTGGCTCAGCAGGGCCCTGATATTATTCACATCGGTCTTGATCTGATTGTCACACAGCGTGGCAAGGGTCGTGTCGGAAACGAGGGTGTAGAAACAGAGAAGGACGCTTGGGACCAGTTCTTGGTGTTTGCGTAGCCATTGCGTGTCGATTAGGCCGTCGGGATATAGAGGGGAAATGGGGCTGAGCGGGGAGTAGGGGGAGTGCAGCACGGTGGACGGGGACGGAGACGGAGCTTCGATGCCTTCCGGAAGGGGCGCATGGCGAGGTGGTAGTAGCAGTGACTAAGGCAGACGAACCGGGTCAGAAACAGTGCGTGGCACAGAAACTCGACATCACAGGGGGAGTGTCCTTGGCTTCCTGCACCCGGAGCATGTAGGCGTGCCACCCACCCTTTCAACCGCCTTGACCCGGAAGCGGTATTTTCTCGCCGCCATTTCTCTCGCATTGCAGGGCAGCTGAGAAGCATCGCGGTCCTGGATGTACCGCAGCAGTGCACGTGCCTGGTCGGACTCGAGGGGCGGGAGGTCGGATCGGATGAGGACGGCTTGCTCCTTGAGGGCAGCACTCAGCCCGAAATCGTATGCCGAGCCAGTCCGCGTTCCCAGAGTAAGCAAGAACGGGACGCTGTGGTCCAGACTGCCGGAGGGATACTCGTTCATTGTGTTTCTCTCAGCCCACGAACCCGGACTCAGTCTCGAATATCGATCCGGGGAGCTGCCAGACCCCGCCCTCCCTCCTTCACGATGCGCCCGGTTGATGGTTGCTGCGAAACGCCAGTGCTGCTATTTTGAGTGCGCGATGTGTTTTCTTCATCCACAGGGGGATTTTCAGGGTTTTAGATTGTTGTTTGAAATATTGAGTGCTCCGTTCTGCATCTTCTGCAAGCAACATGCGATGAAGGAGGACTGTTCAGTACGGAGTACGGTTAGTGGAGCTCTGCTGCACCTTGGCGGGCTTGTCCGGCTGGGTTTACCGATCCGTACCTTGTCAAAATTGGTCGGGCAAGCTTGTCGCGTCCCAGTTCGACGCGCTACGCGTCTTCTGTTCGCATTCCCTGTTGATTCATTGCCCGAACCAGGCACCCTCGACGGTCCACCTGCACTTCCCGTGCTTTGCGCAAACGAACGACGCTGTCAACCACTGCCCTGTATCTCATTGTCCTTGGTTTCCTGACAAGCGAATGCCATCCCCATCGACATCAGAGGCGTTTATACTTGTCCATTGTACATGAACAGCGCTGGGCGCACAGGAGGCAGTGCAATGCCTCTTACAAAGTCCTTCTCGGAGCAGAACAGAGGTCCCAAGGTGCGTAGACGGTACAGGGCGGTAGTCACGGGTTTTGATGGAGACTGGGCGTTGATAAATGCTGATGTTGACACTACCAGCGGCCACAATGGCAGAGGTCAAAGAGTAACCCCGCGCAACGGACGACCGCCCCTCCCCCTCCCCTGCCGGTCTCCGCGAAGACCAAAAGCAAGCTACAGGCCTTCCACTTCGAACCCCTGCCCGTCTCCGACGCCAGCGACACGAACTCGAAGCAGGCCTTACCGCCGGCGCCGTCCAAGGCTGACGGTGTTGCGACTCCCGCAGGCCGTACCACATGGCAGGACCTGCTCTCCAGGCCCGAGGTTCCCAAGGACGACGAGCATCTCTCTCCCGGCGAGCGCATCCTTTGGCGCAACGACCAGGATGCCAGCCATCCGGTTACCATGTCCCCGCTGCTCCCACGCAAGGGCCGGAAGCGCGCAAGAAGCTCGTCTCCTATCTCGTCTCCGGCTTCCAAGTTTGCTACTCCTGCCCTCGACATCAAGAAGTTGGCCCAGGTCCTCAAGACGCCCCGTGCTGACCCAGCATTGGAGTTGTGGGACCGCTTCTCCGTACCCGGCGCAAACACCAGCCCTTCCGGCCTGACGAATCCGCTGCTTGCCCAGCTCATGGTGTCGTCTTCACCTCGCCCTAAGGACGGCAGCGCGCTGGGTACTGAGAGGCCTTTGAGGAAGGCAATCAGTTGCGGAGCTCACTGGCCAAAACGGCGCAAACCTGAGCGTGCTGATTCAGACAATGGGGATGCTTCGGCCCTGAAGCCCCAGCCCAACTCCAAATCATCCATGCTGTCGGCTCTTTTAGAGACGGTCAACGGCGAAATCAGGAAGTCCGACTCAATCCAACTCAAGCCAAGCCCCCCACGAAATCGGTCGCCCAAAAGCAAGTTCCCAGCTGCCCAGGATTCTGCCGGACAGTCACCCCGACGGCAGCCTGGAAGCTCTCCCTTGGCCAACAAGTCAACAGGAATAAGGGGCGGGGGTAACGGTGTCGAGATCTCTGCAGGGGACAAGACCTCCTCGGACTATGGAGACGAAGACTTTGACGACGAAACACTGTTGGAGCTCGATGCTAGCATTCTTGGGCAAGGCGACGACTCTACTGTGGTCGTCTCCTCGGAAGAATCGAACCAGCCATGTCCGACGGTCCCAAAAACAGTCAACGACGAGTTTAACGACTTCGACGATGACCTCTTCGATGGGGCTGAGAACTTGATGGCCGAGGTGGAGACAAAGCATACTTTACAGCAGTCCCGCCATGGGCAAGCGCACAACAGCACAGGCATGGCTGAAGATGATGCATACGGCGATGTCTTTGATGATGTTGACTTCGATGCCGTCGAAGTAGCAGCGACACAAGCAGCCTCCCGACCCTTCTCAACCAATGTATGTACAGCAGGGTAGCCAGCCAAAAAAAGATGCAACGCTAAAGCATTGGATAGCCCACCCAGAAGCCAAAGGCGATCCAGCGATACCTGATTATGAAAGTGCTTGAGAGCTCCTATGATGAACGTGGGCGGGAATTGCATGAGAAGGTAAGTTCGCGCAAGTTTCTGCCGGTGGAAACCCACGCTGATGTAGGGTAGATTCTCGTTGTGCAGGCCGAGAGAACGGACGCCATCAAAACGATACATCTCAGGGGCGACTGGTACGACACGCAGGCCAGCCCGAAAGCATATGTCCACATCATCGGCGATTTCGAGCCCTCCGGCAGATGCATTATCGACAACACCCACAATATCCTTATCTTGCATCCCGATCAACTGATCTCGTCCACCGTTGTGGCAGACTCGTTTACCTGCATGCGCCGCGCCGTTCTCCAGGACCGGGTCAAGGCAACCAGCCAAGCAACCGAGGCGCTTGTGTATGGTACCGTTCTGCACGAGGTCTTCCAGGAGGCCATGATGGAGAACAACTGGGACTTGGGCTTTCTTGAGGCCGTTATCAGCAGGACTCTACGAAAGCACCTTGAAGATCTCTATGTCATCAAAGTCAGCTTGGAGGACGCCCAGTCTCGCGTTCTGTCCAAGATGCCAGAGTTGAGGAGTTGGGCGCGAGCCTTCGTGGCAGCGAGCCCCAAGCCCAACGCCTTCGTTCAAGGGAAGAATGGTGAGCGGGTCAACATGTGCGTCAGTAAGTTGCTTGACGTCGAGGAGCATGTCTGGTCCCCCATGTATGGGCTGAAGGGCAACATTGATGCCACCGTGCAGGTCACGATGCGGGACAGCGAGTCATCCATGACTCTTACAGTGCCTTTTGAAGTCAAGACGGGCAAGAACGCCACTGCGAATCACCAGGCCCAGACGGTCCTATACAACCTCCTCCTCTCGGACCGATACGATATCGAAATCATGTACGGCATCCTGTACTACATGGAGACCTCGCAGACGTTACGAATTCCTGCCATCAGGCATGAACTCCGACACATGATCATGCAACGGAACATGCTGGCCTGCTATATTCGAGAACGGAGCGTCCAGCTCCCGCCCATGAAGCGGAGCAAGAATGCATGTGGTAAATGCTATGCTCAAGCATCATGTTTCACCTACCACAAGCTGGCCGACGGAGGCGACGGCGAAACGAGCGGGTTGCATGAAAAGTTCGACGAGGTGGTCAGGCATCTGACTCCCACTCACCAGGAGTTCTTCCTGAAGTGGGAGGACCTTCTTACCAAGGAAGAAAAGGAGTCGCAGAAGCTGCGCCGAGAACTTTGGACCATGCTCAGCACTGAACGTGAAAAGGTCGGCCGCTGCTTCGCAAATGTCATCATCGAAGAGGGCTCGGCATCCGAAGACAAGAACCAGGCCAAGATCAACCGGTTTGCCTACACTTTCATCAAACAGAATCCAGCTCCCGGCTTCTCTTTCCTGGACTCGCAGCTCACCGTCGGAGAGCCCATTGTCGTGTCTGACGAGCAGGGCCATTTCGCACTTGCGCTGGGCTACGTGACTGCCGTCAAGAAGCAGAGAATTAGTGTTGCCGTGGATAGGCGTCTTCACAACGCCCGTATTCGGCAGCCGGGTTTTGACGAGGTTGACAACCAGGTGTTTGCGAGCATCATGGAAGTCGCCCCAGAAGGAGCAAAACCAGACCAGAGTCAAGGCAAGATCAGAGAAGCGCCGATCCGCTACCGGCTTGACAAGGACGAGTTTAGCAACGGCATGGCCACGGTCAGGAACAATCTTGTCCAGGTCATGGCCGATGGCCAGTTTGGGTCGGCAGAAATTCGCCGGCTCGTCGTCGACCTGGTCCCGCCAAGATTCAAGTCTACCCCGACTCAGTACACGGTTCCGGGTAGAGACAGTTTAAATGTGGACCAAAAGGCGGCGGTCGAGAAGGTCATGAGTGCCAGAGACTATGCTCTGGTTCTGGGAATGCCGGGCACGGGCAAGACGACCACGATTGCCCACATTATCCGGGCTCTGATCGGTCAAGGCAAGACACTCCTTCTGACATCCTACACACACACCGCAGTAGACAACATCCTGCTCAAGCTCAAGAAGGACAACATACCCATCCTACGGCTTGGAGCTCCCGCCAAGGTGCACCCGGAAGTACAGGACTTTGTGACGCTGGCAGGTCAGCCGATGAGCTCGTTTGAAGAGATCCGAAGAGCGTGGCACGGCACCCCTGTGGTAGCGACCACCTGCCTGGGCATCAACCACCCCATCTTCAACGAACGCACGTTCGACTACTGCATCGTGGACGAAGCGTCGCAGATTACGCTACCGATCTGTCTGGGGCCGATCCGCATGGCAAGAACATTTGTGCTTGTCGGTGATCACAACCAGCTGCCGCCTCTAGTGCAGAACGAGGAAGCCCGCCTCGGCGGCCTCGACATCTCGCTGTTCAAGCTCCTCTCCGACACACACCCGCAGTCTGTCGTCAACCTCGAGCACCAATATCGCATGTCCGAAGACATCATGACCCTCTCCAATACGCTCATTTACAACGGTCGTCTCAAGTGCGGCACCGAATCCCTCCGCTTCGCCGAACTGGAAGTCCCCAACATGGACGCCCTCCGCACGCGCCACTTTGACGCTGCCTCTTTCATCTCCCACTCGCAGTCCCAACAACAACAACAAACTGCCAATGGCAGTCCCTCCAAACCAGCCCGGCCCACATCCTTCTGCCCCGCGCCTCGCCCAGGAACCTGCTGGCTAGCCGACCTCCTCGATCCCGCCGCGCGCGTCCGCTTCGTCAACACCGACGCCCTCGGGCCGGCATCGTACGAGCAGGCCAAGGGCAACCGCATCGTGAACCCGTGCGAGGCGCGCATCGTCGCGCAGCTCGTCGACGCGCTGCTCACCGTTGGCGTGCCGCCGCACGAAATCGGCATCGTCACGCACTACCGCTCGCAGCTAGCGCTGCTCAAACACGTCCTTCGCTCTTCCTCGTTCAACTCGTCATCCTCATCATCCGCCGCGGTGACGGGCAGGGGCAGAGCGGCGGCCGCTGCAGTCGCTGCCGCGGACGTTGAGATGCATACGGCCGACCGGTTCCAGGGGCGGGACAAGTCGGTCGTGATATTGAGTCTGGTGCGGAGCAACGAGCAGTGTGCGATTGGCGAGCTGCTGAAAGACTGGCGGAGGATCAACGTCGCGTTTACGCGGGCCAAGACTAAGCTGCTTGTTGTCGGGAGCAGAAGCACGCTGGGCGGATGCGGCGAGGGGGAGATGCTTGCGAGGTTTGTGCGGTTGATGGAGGAGCGAGAGTGGGTGTATGACTTGGGTGTGGGGGCGCTGGATGGGCATCACTGGGAGGATGTGGGAGGGGTTGGGATGCAGGCCTGTGCTGGTGGAGGCGGTGATGCTTCTGTTGGGGGCAGGGATGGGTCTGCGGCTAAGAGTCCCATGAAGGAGATGCTGTTTCTACCTGCGTCGGCGACAAGGGCGAGTGCTATCAAGGGCAAGGAGAACCGATCTTTGAGCGGGAAGAGCCACAGGACGGTGGAGCCGAAGAAGGCGGCGAGGATTGGCGAGCGGGCGATGCTCAGGGCAAAGCCCGTGTTGCGGGATATTTTGAACGATATGATGGATGGCGGGTATTGAGATACGTGCCTTGTGGTTTTCGTCGGTTTGGTGTCTTCACAGTCATAGTCAGGGCTATGGGCATTTGTTGGGTTATGCCAGGTTGGGCTATGGTTATGTGGGCAACGTGTATGGCTGGCTTGGATGTATGTTTAGCTTATTTTGAAGGTCGGGGGGCTTATCTGGGTACTGTAACCATTGCTATGACAGGCACAATATAATTGGCACCAGGGGCTTGACTCGCGTAACTCTCATGAATGTCGAATTTGCATTTCGCGAGGAGGTAGGAGGTGTGACACGGGTGTCACCATGGTCCCGTCGCAGGAGATGTCAAGATACTGGCATCCTACAATAGGGGCGAGAAGAAACAAAATATCTGTGCTCGTTTCCCTGCATGACCAGACGGCTTGAGGTGCGCTCCACGAGATGTTGACGGCCAGTATGGTTCCCAAGATGAGACTGGACCAGGAACAAATGATATTTTTAAAGCCAAACTATGAATGAACAAGGCTGAATTCAGTAGGGTATCATAACTCGTGAGTAAATGATTTCACTCTCAAACGACGCAACCGCCTAACCCAACCGAACGAAAGAAGCCGCAACGGCAAGGCGCTACGCAGTATTATAATATAACCAGATAGAGATGAAGACCAAGGAGGTGAGTTGCAACGAAAACCGTACAGTAACTGTTTAGCAGCATGCTCCATGGTAAGACGACGAGATGAGGGTGTGCTGATAGATGAAGGCAGGTATGTACCAGCCCAGGATGAGCGGAGAATGGGCCAACAGACGGGACAGAATATCTGAATATGAGTGGAGTGACTCCCTGACTTTGGCCTTGAGCGTGATAATTAGGAGCATGGCATGGGCAGATGGAGGGTGTGGGGCGAGGTTAGACTGAGGAGCGCCTAGTATAGGTCCCGAGCGAAGGGCCTGCTTCTTCCGGCGCACCCTGTTAGGGACGAACATTAGTAACAATATCATAGAATGGGGAACAGCAAACTGGTTGGGAGGTCATACAGTCGCACTACATGTCATGCTCCGTGTTAGCCCTTTTGTGAAGGTACTCTTCGTATCATGGGACGTACCGCAACCATGTTCGAGCCCTCATTGTGGATGAGGCAGTAGCCGCCACCGCATCTCTGGCACGTCCGCTGGGTGTACTCGATGCATTCCCTGCACTGAGAATTGCGGGCTGTCAGTTGTCTGATATTGAGTGCTTGTCTTCCACAGAGGCAACTTACATTCAGCCCACATTCCCAGCAGCTCTTCATCAGGTGAGACTGGGCCAAAAAGGTCGTCAGCAACATGGTCGCAAAGAGGCGGCAACCGTCATCCATGATAGCATTTGCAGAATGCGCGGGCAGCAGAAGCGCAAACCCAAGGGACATGGACCTTTTGCACAACTTCGGCCGGATGGAGACGAGCAGACATCACGGCTCGCTCGGCCTGGTGTATCAGACCCGCATCCCAGCATGGATAGGGGAATTGGCCCTTGTCCAAAGTCATCTCCCCTTGCTCGCAGGGGAGCGGACAGCTCAGCGTTGTCCGAGCGAGCACTTCCCATCCGCGCAAACCCCGTCTCGAATCTTGCTAACTAAGCCTGCGTTGTCGTCGCTCGCGGCACTGGTGTTTGGAAAGGGGCTGCTTACAGAGTCGGGCCCAGTGGACGATGCTGCATATCCTCCCGGAGACGAGGCCCGCGGTCCGATATAGCACGACTCACACCACCACCGGTGGCATCCTCCGCAGTAACGATCTCGAATACAATCGAAGCAGCGCGGGATAAACCGCGCCTTCTGTTGCTTCACTGTCGGGATGAAGGGGAGGCGTGACCTCACAGTTTGGCCGGCGGGGCACATGGCAACGCGGAGGCTGGCCGAGTGCATGGGTGGGGGCGCAAGGAGGGGGAATCTGGCCAAATCGGTCATGCAGCTCTCGCTCGTTCTCCTTCCGTCAGATTCCCTCCGGGACGCGACCACCTCTTCGCCCCATACTGTCCAACCCTCTGGAGCCGCGCCACAGGAGGCACATCCGCCCAGGCTATGGGTTGCCACGCTGAAGTGCGGTACGCTCGGGGCTGTTGAAGAGGCGGCAGCATCAAGGGCCTCAGTGTTGACGGTCCCCCATGCCGGGGAGTTGAAATGCCGCGGCCCGGTGCACAAGACGGAATCAAACGAGACGATCCCGGAGCATGCGACAAGTGTGGATGCCCACTCGGAACTGATGCGGTGCGGGAATTGGCTGCCACGGCGGACGTACCACGCCTCGGGCTCCTCAGCGAGGGCGTCTGACAAGGCCTTTTGGCTCCGGTTGTTCCAAGCGGTAGCCACTGTTGCCGGACTGGTCGGAGACGAGCTCCCGCTCCCTTCATGGGCTGCAGCCAACGCCGGCACCGTATCTCGCGGCCCAAAGACGTATAGCCCCTTCAAGCGCGGCGTCCCCCGGGGCCTAGAGGAGCGGCAGGCATACTGCAATGCGCCGCGAAGTTTCCGCTCGTTGAGGTTTTTGACGCCGCGGATCGACAGGATGCGGACGGAGTAGGCAGGGTCGACTAGGATGTCGTGGACAAGTTCGGCAGTGACAGAGAGGCCGTCGAGCGAGAGGACTTGAACATCCCTGAGGATGTCCATTCGGCGGAGGTTGGAGAAGATGCCGCGCAGGGGACCCGAGTAGAAACTGTTTCCAAACCCAAGCGGTCAGCCAAGGTGCCCAAGATTTAGAAAGCCGGAGAGAGAGAAAGTCCTACTCGTCTTCAGTCAGGTTCTCGTCCAGCTGCACGTTGCGCCATGTCTCTCCACCGCGGTCAATGGCGTCAATATCGAATTGCGCCGTCTTGACATTTCCGAGTTCCAAACGTCGGAAGACGTTGGGGGTGTGATAGACCAAGAAACGGAAGGGCCGCGCCGTGGCGGCAAGGTTCAAGACATCGTAGCAGGAAAGGTAAGGTGCTGTCTGGGACAACACCAACGAGTTCGCGAGGAGTTGAAGGAGGGCGCAGCTCGGTATCTCAGTGGGTAAACCGTTGTGAGACTCAGAAGCCTGGGTCATCGTATGGCAACGAAGGCTGGGGATGGCAAAGTGGGAATGCGGGGCCTTGTGATCTGCACCTCCTGGTAGACAAGCGTGGGTGATGGTGGAGGACAGTGGAGTGCTGCTCTGAGCTGGCCCAGCTGAGGGGGTCGGGCAGAGTACCAGTAGTTATACTTCCAGTTGGTAATGCGATGGGCAAGTGGATGGTTTGACAAGACGGTGGTCATGAACGGGATGGGACCAAAAGAGAGACCCGGGTCTGGGATGGGCAGTCGATCGTGGCAGGGGCTCAAGCGTCACAGCAAGGAGCCGTTACCCATGCACTTGGTATTGGCGATCGGCCGAGACAGAGAAATTGTACCCAATGGTGACAAAGGCCCCGACTTGCCAACTTGGATCTCGCTCTCCGGAGCAGCAAGATCCGCGAGATCCGGTTTGTTGGAGTCAGCTCGCTGATACAGCCTCACGTCGAGGAAGAGACAGTCGGGTGTTTAGCCGGCGTTAGTGCACAATGGGAAGCTTGCTCAAGCTTGCCTTATGCATTGGACTGCACTGCAACATGGGGTGAGACGCTTGGCTTGGGGTGGCCAATTTGGAGTCCGTCAGTCGCACAGTCGTTGTGCTAGGCAAAAGAGTGCATTGATGATAAATCTGCAGAGAACAGCTCAAGAGATATGTGTGCTCCGTAGGCTGGAGTAGGACCAAGACCATCGCGGAACTCGGGACAAATGGAAAAGGGCCAAGACTCTAGAGGTTTGCTTATCTTATCAGTTCACCTGTCCCAAATCTGGGCCCCATGATGATCTGCTACCAAGCACATTGTATCTCAGATTGCGCCCTCTTGTAGCATCCGTTATTGTAGGTCAAGATACCTAACGTGTGCCAAGATGCTCGACCAACATGGAACTTACTCTCTTTATTGACGATGCTGCAAAGGCGTGCCCATTTTTGCAGACCTGGCATTTATGCAGCGGCGAGAGCGGGTTGGCGGGGTAGGCTCGGTATTGCTTCGAGGCCCCACTCGCTGCCTCTGTGTGGCGGACGGCTTTCGGCCCCGGCGAACAACACCCGTCGGGATGATGCTGGAAACTGCAAGAATGCTGACTGATACCGACGCGACTACAGGGACCAAATTGTGCCACCTGCTTGTGATGCCAACATCCTCCAGAAATGACTTCCTGAACCCGAGCAATGTTTGAACCCCTTCACTCAGCCTAGGTCGCCTCGTTTCGATTCTCCATCCCCGTTCGTTTCTTACTCTCCTATCACTCACTACCTTAAGTTCGAAACCACCGACGACTGATCCAAGACCAAGACGAATTTGAGACTAGACCTCAAGAACGCCGATCAAGATGGCGGATCAGCCGATGCAGCTCGACTGGTCGGCGTCGCTGCGTGTAGCTCACCCTTCACGCACAGCCGGCAAAGACTTGCAGGGAGACAAGATCATGCTCCCTCAGTCAGCCCTCGAGCAGCTGCTCGCTGCTGGGACGACGACCAGACCCTCGACATCCCACACATTTACCGCATTCGACCCCTTCAACCCCTATTCTGTCGCCGACGCTCGCCGTGAACGTGCCCAGCACCTCGAGACCTACCAACAACTTCCTAACCCTCTGATGTTTAAGTTGGTCAACCAGAGGAACGGAAACGCAGTCTACGCCGGGATTCGCGAGTTCTCGTCAAGCGAGGGCGAAATTGCTCTAAGCACGCATCTTCTTGATGCCCTAGGGATACAAGAGTTGGATATTCCTTCGCCCCCGGCCGAAGACGGGGCCCTGGACCTTGCGCAGGATGAGAACGGCACGCTTGAAGCCAGCGGGATACCAATCACGGTCAGAGCGAAGCAACTTCCCAAGGGAACCTATGTGCGTTTGCGGCCACTAGAGGCGGGCTATAATCCTGATGACTGGAAGGCTCTGCTTGAGAGACAGCTCCGAGGAAATTTCACTACGCTTACGAAGGACTCGATGCTATCGGTTCGGGGCGCCAAAGGGGAGGAATTTCGCTTCTTGGCAGACAAATTCCAACCCGAAGGCGACGGTATCTGTATCGTTGACACGGACCTCGAAGTCGACATCGAACCGCTCAACGAAGAACAGGCGCGGGAAACCCTTCGGCAGATATCCGCCAAGATCCAACGCGCGCCAGGGACAGCATCGGGCAGCTCGGTTGGACATGCGATAGATATCTGGAAGGATGTTGAAGGCCAGGTTCTGGAGGGAGATTACGTCGATTACGAATTACTGTCATGGGACAGGGCGAGTGCCATCGCTATTGAGTTGTCGGCTCACGATGGCCAGGAGGTGGATCTCTTCGTCAGCCCCAAGAGCAACCGACAACGGGCACTCCCCAGGTACAACGAGCACATTTTTGGCGATTCCTCATCACCAAAGGATGGTGTGAAGCGCATCGTTATCCAGCCGACGAATGCCGAACTGGAAGGCGCGGAGAGCATCCTAATCTCCGTCCATGGCTTTTCTCCGCCCGACGGGGATAATACAACAGGAGCGCCGCGCCGTTACACGCTACGCGCCAAGGCTGCCGACCTTTTGGGCTCCGTTACCGCGCCTGTTGATCTCACCAGGTCAGAAGCACACGCAGACGAAGAGCAGTGCAGGAACTGTTTGCAAATGATTCCGAAGCGGACGATGGTGTTGCATGAGAATTTCTGCCTGAGGAACAACGTCGTCTGCCCGCACTGTAACAACGTGTTCCAGAAGAAGTCAGACGAGTGGCAGAACCACTGGCACTGCCCAACACACCCGGATGCCTACGGCTCCGGTCCCCAAAGCAAAGCCAAACACGACTACGTCCATCACACGCAGCATACCTGCCCCTCATGCGGGCCATCCACCCCCTTCACCTTCCCCTCCCTACCCGAACTCGTCCGCCACCGCACGACCGTCTGCCCAGGCAAGCTCATACTCTGCCAGTTCTGCCACCTCGAAGTGCCGCAGGAAGGCGACCCGCTCGACCCGTCCTCGGAAGCCGAGACGGTCCTCTCTGGGCTGACTGCGCACGAGCGCGCCGACGGGGCGCGCACCACCGACTGCCACCTCTGCGGCGCCATTGTGCGGCTGCGGGACATGGCCGCGCACGCGGCCAATCACGAGCTTGACAAGGCGGCGCGGGCCCACAACAAGCCGGCAGTGTGCCGCGGCGAGCTCTGCGGGCGGACCCTCCACGGCATCGGCCCGCGCGGGCAGGTCAACGGCGGGACGCGCATGGGCCAGGGCCCCGGCAACGACTTGGGCTTGTGCAGCCTGTGCTTCTCCCCGCTGTACGTCAACATGCACGACCCCGAAGGCAAGGCATTGCGCCGGCGGATTGAGAGGCGGTATCTGACGCAGCTGATGAGCGGATGCGGGAAAAAGTGGTGTGCGAATGAGTGGTGCAAGACGGGGCGGGCGAACCAGGGGATGGAGAAGCTGGGCGGCAGCGCCGCGACGGCGTTGCCGTTGGTCAAGCCGTTGCTAGAGGAGATTGCGGATCACGGCAAGTCGATGCACTTTTGTGTTGATGAGGCTTCGCAGCGGAGGAAGAAGATGGCTGAGATGTTGAATGCTGAAGGGGTGTGGGAGCTTGAATGGTGCGTTGCTGCGCTGGAAGCCGAAGGCGGGAATCTGTCCAAGGCGAGGGGCTGGTTGGCGGACTGGGCGCCTACGAAGGTTGCTGGGAGGTGACGGATTTTTTTTCTCTACTGGATTTCAACAGTCTGGATATGGGCCAGAGGATGAGGATATGGACGGGGGACAGACGGATGATACCCGCTTATTCAAAAGCACGGTCTGTGGAGCATGTTTAGACTTATGGACTAGATAAATGGCCTCATTCTCATGCTATTACTCTGCACCATTTCCCCATATTCCTTGCCGCCGTTCTTTGCAGTCTCCCGTAGTTAACGCCGCTCAGATGAGGTTGCTCATGGCTTAGTGACTCTGCAGCTGCGTTAGTAAAACGGTCTGGCCGAACTTCTTGTCTGGTAGGAAGGACGAACGCAGCAGGAGCAGTTGTTGCACTACCAATAATGTCAGCTTTGAATGTACTATACCAGATGTGCCGGGAGGTTTCAAGGGTAATGCGCAGGCTGGGGAGCCCAAGATGGCACCGGAGACAACCATGAAGAAGACAGTGTGTTGCTTACCTCTGAGCAGGAGCAGCAGTCGCACGGGCTCATATTAGCGGTTAGAGAATGAGTGTTCGGGTGATTGTTGGTTCAATAGTGTATTGCTGAAAGCTATGGCGTGCTTGAGAGAGTGGAAGGTTGAGTGTGGGATGGACGGGTCGACGAGGAGGGACGACTCTATTTAATGGTCATTCGCTCCCTCTCATCAACCATCGGCATTCCCAGCCGACACCAGGACCGAGATAGCGGACGGTCCCATCGCGTGACGCCGTATTAGACTGAATCCATGCACCTGTACTCATCCGGAAAGATGCAAACTGGGGACGAAGCTAGTGGTTGGCCTACCCCAACTCTTTATCCCATTCGAAACGTCACACAAGCCTTCCGGTTATTATTTCACGACCAGACCGGTATGTGGGGGATGTGCAGTGGGTGTAGGCAGGAGACAAACTACAGGCTCGAGACTTATTCCATGACCAATCCGATGCTGCACTTGGCATTGGTGGTGGGTGCTCGGCGTGGTTGTCCGCATCTTTACACTGCACGTTGACTGGGTTGGCCCACGATTGGTCGCTTCCAAGGTGATGGCCCACGGCATTGGACCATAAGAGAACGGTTCTCAATGCCATAGGCAGAAGCCAAGAAGGAAAGGATGGTCACGGTCTCTCTTGTGATTGTGGTACTGAATGAGTGTTAGTCCGTGGGCTGGTGGGGTCGTGGTGTAGATAGGTAAGCTTTCGATCGCGATCGCGATCGTGTTGCGAGGTCGGCAAGAAGCCCACCCTGAACTTCCAGGTTGACAACTGTGACTAATGACATGCCGGTTCTCCTAGGGGTGACCCAAGGCATGGGCACTGTCCCAGTCTCGGGACTGAGCGGGCTATGTGAGTGATGACTGACCGTTGCCGCATCTGGAGCAGAGAGATGAAACCCGAGATGGCTTGGCAGTGGAAAGTCGAGACACCGTCTTTTCACCTTGACTTGCTTGACGTTGAACTCCATATCTCGAGCCTTGATATGATCTTGCCGATTGCTTGAGATCGTGCGTTGTTGAAACTTCAAGTTCGCGCATCGCACACACGCCGCGCATCACCCCTCATCGGGAAGTAGCAGAGCACCAACCATGTCCCCTCAACGTCACCTCCTCTCCTTCCTCCTCCTTCTACTTACCTCTCCCCACCAAGCCATCGCCGTCAAGAACCTCCCCGCGGGCGTCGACATTTCAGAAGACACACCCGGCCAAGTAACCATAAACGGTGACCCAACCGGCAACACCACGGTTGGCGCCAACCTGCCCATCTCAGCGACCATCTTCTGGGGCGTCCCCGGCCCTTCGACCTGCCGCGGCAGCGTTATGGTCGAGTTCCGCCTACCGCAACCTGCCGACCCGGACGCCGGCCCGACGCAAGAATGGTGCTACACCCTACCGCGGGTGAGCGGGTGCGGCAAGTTTGTAGCGAGCAAGGAGGCCGGGTGCCAGGCGCGCTTGTTTTCGGAACCCGGGTGTCAAATGTACGTGAACACGGCCGTGTTTATCCCGGAGGAGAGGGCTGTCGGCGGTCGGTGGTGGAGCGTGGGGGTGCGGTGTGGAGTGCCGGCGCCGGCGCCGGAATCGGAGACCCTCGGTCTGCCGCCTCTGGCGGGGTTGATCCGGCGGCCAGGTGGGAATTGAGTTGGCTATAAGTGGGAGGTCGTTGGGGGAGAGTGTCCACGAGATGTGTTACCATTGTATGCTTAGTGTCGAGCCTAGTGCAGGCAGCCGCGCAGAATTCCATACCGTAGATCGTAGTTCTACCGTCAATGTGTTCTCCTGCTCCCTAAGCGACTGTTGCCTTGTTGTAAGGTATTCTGGTGAATTCCCCCAAGGAAATGCACTGTTTGGGAAAACACTGGGTCAGCAGGTACTCGGAGCGCCGCCAGTGTCCTTCCGGCCCCATTCTTTACCTGGGAAATGGGTGCTGTGCGCCGCGGAGCACCGCGGAAGTGAGAAGCAGGGAGAATGGGCTCAATGGAGAGATACCGGGGCTCTTAAGTAGGGTTTGCGGCAGACAATGAAGCCAAGCGGACGAGTGACCTAAAATATACGGATTCTCCAAGGGATAAACCTTTGTCTTGCTTGCTGTGCGGACATCGGCATTCGGCGCTGCATAACCTCCGTCTTGTGACGATGCACCTAAGGGGGGAAACCACCAGCCGGGGTTTCGGTGCGGACTGAAAGCGAAACCGAGACGCAAAGACCAAGCGACTGTCGGTCATTGGTTGCGGCTCGGTTTATCAGAATCAGAAGCGGCAGACGAGATTTATCCCCATGTGGGAGGACCGGCAAGCTGCTGTGATTGGCTGTTTCTTTGGCACTTTTGCCGAACGTTGGGCCCACCATAAGTCCGGGCTCCTTCCTCGCTGAAGCTCTTGTTCCCGGAGGAATTATGCGAAATTGTGGAAGGCGCTGGAAACTGACCTTTGATGTCGGCGGCAAGAAGGACTGCTTCTAACGTAAAGCGATGTGTCCCTTGTCATAGCGAATAATAACCAGGATTCCAAAACCGGAGGACCGGGGTCGGTTTTCTCAACCGCTTCTGATGTGCGGCCGGGTACCGGCATCCGGGCTTGGCCCCGGGTGGCGCCGCCGAACCCCTCGACAAGGGGGGTGATCAGATTGATGGTTCTTCGTTTTCGCTTCTAGCCAAGACCCGAAGAAGCTTCTCGGATTCGGTGTGTTAGCAGTCCCGATGATCTGGGAGTGGAGGAGCAGGCTACGCTACAATAATAAAAGACCACACCATGCTGTTCCTATTTTTTTTGTCTTGGCCGCAATCTGTCTCGGCAGCCAAGAATCGATTTTCTAGATCCCCTTTGGTTAATCTACTGCCATGGCCGATTCGTCATCGCAAAGAGCGCTCGCCTCTACCCCTAAACCCTCCGACCACGACCTCGAGAAGGGCGCATACGAACCCAACTCGGACCTCGACGCTGCTACCATTGTGCCCGAATCCGAGTCTGTCACCAGAGATGGCCCTGCCGGCGAGAAGCGGGAGGAGGAAGGCAGCGACCCCAACATTGTCTCCTGGGATGGCCCTGACGACCCCACGAACCCGATGAACTGGACCATGCGGAAGAAGTGGTCCAACATTGCTGTTCTCTCCGTCCTCACCGTCATTACGTGAGTTTTCAGCTTCAACCTACCGCGGCATGATGTGCTAGTCTGACGGAGTCGTCCAAAGCCCCCTTGGCTCGTCCATGTTTGCACCCGGTATCCCTCGAATCCTGGCCGAATTTCACGAAACATCATCCGTCACGGCCACCTTCATTCTGTCCGTCTACATCCTCGGCTTCGCCTTCGGTCCCGTCGTCGTTGCGCCAATGAGTGAGATCTACGGCCGGTCTCTGCTCTACAACATCGGCAACGTATTGTTCACCATCTTCACCGTCTGCACCGCCCGTACGTCACATCAGCGCTCTTCTTGCCCCTTTCTAGATGTCTCGGGAGTCATGGGAGTCGGCCTGTCCCGAAAGCAGCGCTTTTGCTTCCGAGGAACTCCCGAGTCACATTCATTAGGCACGAAATGATTGACATTGTTGGACAGTCAGCAACAGCATCGGCATGATGATGGCGTTCAGGTTTCTCATGGGCGTCGCCGGTTCCGTCCCCATCACCATCGGCAGCGGCAGCATTGCCGACATGATGCCTGTCGAGATGCGCGGGAGGGCCATGGCCGCCTGGGCCCTCGGTCCCCTGCTTGGTCCATGTATCGGCCCCGTGGCCGGCGGCTACCTGATTCGCGCGGCCGGGTGGAGGTGGGTGTACTGGCTCATCACCATTGTGGCCGGCATCATCACGGTGTTTACTTTTTTCACCCTCAAGGAGTCGTACGCCCCAGTTATCTTGGAGAGGAAGGCCGCCCGCTTGCGCAAGGAGACGGGCAACCGGGAGCTGCGGAGCGCCCTTGCCGGCGCGGCCGCATCCCCTGCCGAAAAGTTGAAGGCCGCCATTGTCCGTCCGGTCAAGCTGCTTTTCCTCGCCCCTATTGTGACGTCCATGTCTCTCTATGTCGCCGTTACTTGTGAGTCGTCCGTCAACCTGGAGTGCTGGCTTCGCATCATAACTAATATAGCACAGACGGCATTCTGTACCTGCTCTTTTCGACTTTTAGCATGGTATACCCCCGGTACTACGGTTTCGACGAGGGAGAGAGGTGCGTTCTGATCCGTCGTTGTACAGACAAAAGCGCCGAGTAGAAAGCTGACATCAAATAGCGGTCTGGTCTTCATTCCTTCGGCGATTGGCATGGGCCTCGGTATCGGCGTCTTCGGCGCGCTCTCCGACAAGCTAGTCAAGAGCAAGCTTGACAGCGGAGAGCACCACCGTCCAGAGATCAGGTTGACGCCGTGGTTTACCATCCCTGCCGGTGTCACCATTCCCGTCGGTCTGTTCATCTACGGTTGGACAATTCAGAATCGTGTGCACTGGATTGTGCCCATGATTGGTGTCGTCATCTTTGCCTTTGGACTCATGGGTGTTATGGTGCGTTCTCACTCTGCTGGCCATTGGGACAAGCGGAACAATGCTAACACTTGCCGACAGATGTGCGTTCAGAACTACCTCTTGGATGTCTACCCAAGGGCAGCAGCCTCCGTTACCGCCGCCCTGGCCGTGCTCCGTTCCCTAGCCGGGGCGCTCCTTCCCCTCTGCGCCATCGACATGTACACGGAGCTGAACATGGGTTGGGGCAACTCGGTCCTGGCCTTCATTGCCCTCGGCCTCGTCCCCATTCCCCTGTTGTTCTATAAATTCGGGCCACGGCTCGTCAAGAAGTTTGAGCTTAAGTTGTAACGTTTCTCGTCTTCTCGTTTTTCATATCCCGTAGTCTGGGGTACCGCATAGCACGCTGGAGTTAGGGTTCGAGGGGTTTTGAAAAGAGTGTTCTACATATAGAGATACCAACGACATACATAGAAGTTGGTCTTAATACATTGTTCAAACTGTGCTACCGGCGACGTGGCTCCTTCCCTGGATCATCCTCATGTTAGAATCGTTTAGGTATTGATTCGGACACATACTACTGGCCTTACCTGCGCAAGGGGAGTCGGGACCATCGGAGCCTGAAAGTTTCCCATCCGTTGAATCAAACCACCTGAAATCACTGTGTAATAAGGTACATAACTACTACACTGCTTAAAGTTATTACTCGATCTGCCCGCGGCCCAATCTAGAGAAGGCGCTCTTTCCACTTGGCGATTTAAGCACGGCTCTTGATCCCCATAAAGGAAGGAGGAGGAGTAACCCAATGTAAGTTGTGATTCAATCGAGCTGTTTCTGTTTTGAAGATGTTGGTGTACTCCTTACAGGTGAGTGGAAGTCTAGTGTCACGGGTGTGCGCAACTGACCACTGCGTAACACCGTCAAATGAGGGGCCGTGGTTCAAACTGTCTAGTCGAACCAAGAGTTGCGCACATGAACCTCACTGTCACGATCCGTGAAATCTAGTCGCCTCTGAGTTATTGACGCCGGTGTTCAAGCACCACTCCTCGGATCCTTGCCTAAATAGGGAGTTGATTATGGACTTTAGAACCTCCGTAATATCGCACCGTCCCTTCACCAACCAAAAGCCCTAACTAACTTCAAAACTTAATACCGACCTACAGTTAAGTAGTGGAATTTGGGGGGAAAAAAATGTCGACGCTCATGGGACTCGAACCCACAACCTCAGTCTGCTCTCCCATATTACATAGGAGGACCACACGCTACCATTGCGCCAAAGCGTCTTTTTAAGCTACTTATCAGGTTATTGTGACAACAACCTCTATATTCATTTTCTTTCAAACCTGTTCTACCTCATTTACCCTCAGCCCTTATGCGCGCAGTCCAAACTCAACTAGTTTCGTGTATATCTCCTGAACTGAGAAATTGTCGGAATCAAAGACGCAAGCTGCAGGTACTAGCACAAGCAAGGCGCAACTCTGATACTACTCTGATGAGGATAAGCTGTTAAGTCTCTCAGTGACATGCGGTAGCACTTCTGTCATGGCGAGGCGGTGCCGAAGTGGGACGGTGCCGCAAGCAGCTATCTCATTTAACTGAAGATAACAAGGATAGGGGCAGCTATTATCTCCTAATGTAATGTCATTAGATTTCCCGTTCCTGTTCTCATGGTTATGTCATATGCTTGCGGTCATGCATACGTCATGAGTCTGATGCATACGTCAGTGGTCAGGGCCTACGCATAGGCCTCTGCTCCAGTACTTAAGGTTTGGTTGCACGCCCATCCTGTCATCTAGCTCTTGCTCTTGTTATAGCAGTATCGATCTTGTATGTGCGAGCTGACCGAACCTTGCGTGGTGTGAGAGACGAGTAGCATCGAGGCGAGGCACGGAGACACTGCAATTGCTGATTCAATTCTGCTAATCACGAAATGGGAAGAAAAGGAAGAGAAGCTGGAAGAGCTCTCGCGATGCAGGGGTAAAATGTTAGGCCAGGGCACTCAAGTGGTAGGTGCCGCGACGTACACTCCGACCGCAGGCGCCGTCACAGGTGGTGCCCGTCACATGTAACTTCTAACCATTTAATCTTTTGAGAAATTATTTCCTTATTTAACCTAACGTTACCTAGAATAAGCGAGGATGTTTAGTATAAAGTGGTACTTATATGCCTCTACGGATTACTGCTGGTACGCAAGGGTGGTCTAGGGAGTTAGACTTACTAATCTTATCAACACAACTCATTTAAAGCTACCGAGCAGTTAATAATCTTCGAAAGGGTCTAACGTTAGATATAATTTGAATAGGACCCACCTAGCCGTTCAAATTCGAAAGCGTTCCATCTACACAGAAACTCAAGGCACCGCCCGAGGAAGAGACAGTCAATAAACACCCTTCCTAGGTGAGCTGCACTAGCACATCAAATAAGTCGTTTGTCTAAAATAAACCGCTCATATGCCGCTTCTAGGCAAGTTACAGTTAAACTCATCAAGCTTCTTTCGTAGTGAGCCTCTGATGTGGTATCCAGGCACCGCTCCCAGACGCCCTTCGGGCCCTTGCGCGGGTAAGGAAGGTAGCAAAAGCACTCTCAAAGGACATTTCATATCAAGATGCAAATTTTGCGTGGCGGAAACACTCTGACTGAACTATGCGGTCCTTAGGACCGCATAAAACTCTTCGACCGCCCAGCCTGACCCAACACGCAAGGGGAGCCGGAGTTCCTTTCTTTTCATTTCTTTTCTCATGGTTCTTGGTTTAGTAGCATTCTTTATTGTTTTTAGCCGCTTAAACCATTGAGCAGCAAATACCACTACTCAAAGGCCTCCGAGCTGATACTGAATAGTTCCTTAACGGCTTCATCTTCTAGCGACCAGGCACCACCTATAATCAATTTAGAGGAAGGAGCAGACTATGAATCCTTCATTGAAGGGGCCACCTATCAATCGAGTTGTTTATCTGGAGGTGAACCGCTCATGGGCCGGTTATTTGCGTGAGGTAAAGCTCCCACGCTTATGGACATTCTGGTGAGCTGTTCATGTAGCGCTCCTCATTTGCCCGGCTGAGCATTTGGTGACAGCCACTGGACGCCTTCAAGCCTTTCCTTAGTGGGGCCGAACCTGAACTGAAGTCAGAAGGACTGCCTGCCATTTCCAAGTGATTCGTCAACCAGTCGGAACGGAAACCAAGAAGGAGACAGAGTCCTCCGCTGCATCCCAAGGCCTCGGCGTTCGCAAACATTACTACAACTGGGCCCGTGTAGACCGCAAATAGCTTGACTGACACTGCTCCGTTTGTGGTGTCATCAGAACACGAAGACCTGGGGTTATACACTCGGGAGATTGAGGTTTCAATGTATGTACCTTAACCAAACGCCGAATATTCTTGCCCATCGTCTTCACCGACGCCCCTAGGCCGCCCCTGCCTGTGGCTCCGAGATAACAGCCGTACATCAGTACATTCTGTTTGTTTGGCGGCGTGTGACATGGTGTTACCATAACTAAAGTCGGTCGAGACCTCGAAATGCGAAGAGCCGTCTCTACACGGAGAATTCCGAGAATGGCGTCAACCGTTTTAAACCGTCTAAGCGAAGAAGGGCGAAGCGCCGGTCTGGTTGGCCGATGTTGAGTTCAGTTCCCATAGGACAACAGAGACGGCCGTATTGTTAGCATGCCGTAATATGGAAGGTCCCGGGTCGCGTTTAAGCCTTGCCATCGCGAGGATTCTGCCGCACTACCGGCTCATTGGTGCCATAACTGATGAGCTTGTACTCGTAACCTCGTTGCAACAGCCTGGCAATTTGACGATCTTGGACGTGATGATCGGCGGACGACGTTTCCTCTAACTTATGGCTTGGACCAACATGGTGAGAGAGTCAGACAGTAACAATAAGGTGACCATGCCGAGTCTGCCAAGAGCCCGGGGACATCGGCTGCGGAAAAGGGGGGGCGGATAGAGAGCCTCCGATGAGCATCGCTCGGCCAACTACAGCCAAGCTTCATTCCTATCACGGTTTCGAGACTCGGGCGCGTCAGCAGGATTTAAGATTCAGAATGCCGAAACCAAATGCCGGAATGTTAGGACTGGACAAACGACCGGGCAAGGCGGTTGTCGTTTTATTGGAAAATCTGGGCGGGTGGCGCATAGTATCCGTGGTCGTAACTGGCCTAGTGAAGCCATATACGAAGATCAGGTTGGAATCCTTCAACCCTGTGGGCTGATGTGTATAAAGACACAATGCCCGACCTCTTGTAAACCCTGTTTGTTTGATCACGCAGGCATCTCGACAATCTCGTACGTTTTTGACAACATCCAGCCTTCACCAGCACTTCAGCAATCATGAAGTTCAGCCTCATCATGATCATGGCCGTCTCGGCCCAGGCGCATAGTATTTTCCAGGTCAGAACATATCAGTTTACCGGTCATCAATGCACCACAGCTAACGCAACCGAATGCAGAAACTCTCTGTCAACGGAGTAGAGCAGGGACAGCTCGTGGGACTCCGTGCCCCTAGCCAACCCAACCCCGTCTACGACGTCTGGGACCAGCAGCTCGCCTGCGGCCTCCCCGGCACTCGGTCGAACAAGGTCATCAACGTCAAGGCCGGCGACAGGATCGGTGCTTGGTGGGGCCATGTCATCGGCGGCCCCCAGTGGCCCAACGACCCGGACCATCCGATCGCTTCTTCCCACAAGGGGCCCATCTCAACGTACATGGCCCGGGTCGACAATGCGGCCACGACATCCCCCAACGGGCTCCGGTGGTTCAAGATCCACGAGGACAGCTTCAACCCTTCCACGGGCAAATGGGGCGTGGATAACATGATCGCCAACAAGGGCTGGTCGTACGCCATCATCCCCTGGTGCTTGGCTCCAGGACACTATCTCCTGAGGCAGGAGTTGCTGGCGCTGCACTCGGCTTACAGCAACATGGGTGCTCAGTTCTATCAGTCTTGCGCCCAGCTCAACGTTTCGGGCGGAGGATCCTTTGTTCCGAGCCAGACGGTCAGCATTCCGGGCGCTTATGCGCAGAATGACCCCGGCGTCTTGATCCAGATCTGGGTGAACGGCATTCCGGATAATGGTCGCAAGTCTTATACTGCTCCTGGGCCCCGTCCCATGACCTGCCCGGCTTGAGTATTGGAGCGGGCTACCCTGCACTGTACTCTTGGGGAGACGGTACTCAGCTCCCTTTGGAGGAACTACCTTAGATGTGGCTTGCACGTTGCGAATCGTTAGTTTTGACCTTAGTAGCGGTAGCCTCATTCAATAAAGTGTTTTCTCCATGGCTCATGAAGTCGTCTCTTCCAAGTGCTACTCTCTGATGATATGCAGCGACGTATATGCCTCCACCATGCGTCTATGGACACCTTGCGCGTCCTCTGGCCTCTTTTCATGATGGCCAACACAAGCCCGGCAGACAATACTCGCTAACCTGGAAGTTGTAAGCGCACGGCTCAGCAAACGTATGCTTGAACCATTCGGTTGTGATTGACAAGATGAGACCTGACACGCCATGAGACAGACCCGGACTGAGTGGCTATAACCGCAAGGGATTCCTCGAGCGTTCTGACTGTTCGTGGCACAAGGATGATATGTCCGGATGGTCTAGCGAGGGGATACACGCCTAGAATTCACGGCGGAGATTGATACCGACTCTATATTCCCGTTAGCACCTCTCAGATGAGTCACGCTTGCGAGTCTGTCCCGGCTGTGCTTCGGACAGGCTCCTCCATGACTCCCTGTCGATGGGCCCGACACGAGAACTAAAATGGAAGGCCGGCATGTCCCGTTAGAAAAGCTTGTTTCAGTTGCCAAGCGCCTGCCCAGGCTTAACCCGTCTTGGCAATCTTGTCCGATTGCCGACCGCGTGTTCCGCCGGCGAGATTGTCAGGGTCAGGAGGGAACATGCGGCCCAGTAGAAAAGCACAGAATGACGGCCGACGACGTCCAGACTCCAGAGTGTAGGTACAGAGTAGTCCACTCTTGTCGTTTTAAGCCCACACGGGTTTTGGGTTGGTGGATTAATTGGGTGACGAATTCCTCGTCGCTAACGCGAGGTCGGCGTGCAAATGGTAAACATGAGGTGAATGGCAGAACAGGAGGGCAGGCATCGCGCCATCTATAAAGGGTCACAGCAGCCAAGTTTCGCTGAGATCTCTTGGATCTTCATCCTTCAGCCGGCCTTAGGGGAACAGTCATTCGTTTGCAACAACATCCCTTTATTCTCCTGCGAATTCCATCACAATGGTTTCCACCACAGCTCTCCTTCTTTCACTCGGCGCCCTGGCGGCTGCCAACCCGCTCCCAGCCCAGCTCAACGGTCGAGCCAGCTGCACCTTCACCGACGCTGCGTCGGCTATCAAGAACAAGAAGAGCTGCAGCACCATCACCCTGAAGGACATCACTGTGCCGGCGGGAACCACGCTCGACTTGACAGGCCTCACCGACGGCACCCATGTCATCTTCTCTGGAACTACCAGCTTTGGCTACAAAGAGTGGAAGGGTCCTCTCATCTCTGTCTCGGGCAACAACATTCTCGTCGAGGGCGCCGCTGGACACGTCATTGACGGCAACGGTGCCAAGTGGTGGGACACCAAGGGCTCTAACGGTGGGAAGACGAAGCCCAAGTATGTATTGACGGGCAATGTCAGCCATGGTCCATACAGCTAACCGTTTCCCAGGTTCTTCTACGCCCACAGTCTGAAGAACTCCAACATTAAGAAGCTGAATGTAAAGAACACGCCTGTTCAGGCCTTTAGCATCAACGGCGCCACCAACCTGGGAGTGTGAGTGAATAAATCATTCAAGGGATCATCAAACGACTTGAGAACTGACATACCTCGCGTACAGTTACGACATCACTCTCGACAACTCCGCCGGCGACTCGCAGGGCGGTCACAACACGGACGCCTTCGATGTCGGTTCCTCGACGGGCGTCTACATCTCGGGCGCCATCGTCAAGAACCAGGACGACTGCCTGGCCATCAATTCGGGCACCAACATCACCTTCACCGGCGGCCACTGCAGCGGCGGCCACGGCCTGTCGATTGGCTCCGTCGGCGGCCGGGACGACAACACGGTCAAGACGGTGCGCATCCTCAACTCATCCATCGCCGACTCGCAAAACGGCGTGCGCATCAAGACGGTCTACGGCGCAACGGGGTCCGTCTCGGACGTCAAGTACGAGGGCATCACGCTGTCGGGCATCACCAAGTACGGTGTCGTCATCGAGCAGGACTACGAGAACGGCTCGCCCACGGGCACCCCAACCGCTGGCGTCCCCATCACCGACCTGCACCTGTCGGGCGTCACGGGCACGGTTGCGTCGGGCGCCACCAACGTCTACATTCTCTGCGCCAAGGGCGCCTGCTCCAACTGGACCTGGTCCAACGTCAGCGTCAAGGGCGGTAAGACGTCGTCCAAATGCTCCAATGTCCCCAGCCCGGCCAAGTGCTGATCTGGCGATGTCCTGAGCTGTTGGGTTGGTGATTGGTGATGGTGAGGTGACACAGAGTATATGCAGTTTTGTGTGCCGGGAGTCTTCTTTTCTGACTGTAAAGGTCTTGTAGTCTGTTGCGATGTCTTGTCATGAATGGACAGACACAGAGCTTATAATAGATTGTATTGTACGTCCATTGAGGTATAATCGGAACTATTTCGTTGCTGTATACGGAGTACGCAACGAGCCACATGGATAACCGAAGATGTATTGTAAGACTCTAATGTTTGCCGTCCTGCACCCGATTCCAGGAGGATTTTGATTGAAAGGCTACCAATCCTACCAAAGTACAGTAAAACTAATCTATAACTATGAAGTTAAATGGGCCTTGAGGTAAGAACAGTCACAATTGCTTCAACTGTTGCCCGAATTTGCTTTATCACGTTGTCATGTTAGCTGACAAAAAGATGAATAACGTTAACTTTATAGGCAAAACGAAAATGTTACATCTGTTAAAGGCAAAGTGTGATTGAAAAATAAGAAAAAAAACATCATACTCGGATACCGGGAGTCGAACCCGGGGCTGTTGAGAGAGCAGTCACTTCTGAGAAGTGAGAGTCAACGATGTTACCGCTACACCATACCCGATTTAATCGTGCGTGGTTTCCGATTGATTGGAAGTCGCACCAAAATCTATAGATTATATGGAAATGCTGCTTAAACTCTCGGCCACACATCTGACGCGGCAACATGGAGCTAATCATTGAGACACAAACTACTGACTGAAGCGAAGCTTCAATGACGAACTGACACTGTTTCTACATAGTAGAAGTGAGGAAGGAGCCCTTCGCTTCATTTACACGTGTACTGACTCAATTTTCCAGAGTTCTCTAAGAATTGGTCGCCAAAACCCACGTGGCTTGGCGTGATCCACATAGTGTCAGATGCTTCGCTTCCAACATACTGGGGTGAACACCACAGCCAGGTATTTTATTCTTGTAGTATGCCGGACGACACTTGGATTCTAGGCGACACTACCTGACAATCTCCTCTAACTCTCCCCTAGTTGCTGTAGTAAGTCCCGTTGGGGAAGCTGCACTGCCAGTATCCAGCACAATACGGCTCCAGTCCCTCCGGCTCCGGCCCGGCATCGTTCAACAGCAGGGCAGCGACGCCATGCGGCGGCAGCGTGAGCGAGATGTTGCGGTACGCGGTGCCGTTGTTGGTGTGCGACCACAGGTCGTAGACTTCATACAGGCGGCCCGCCCGGATGGCCCAGCTCTCGGTCAGGTTGAACGACATTTGCCGCGGCGTGTCCTGCGTGTTGAGCACCATGAACACGACCCCGTACGACGAGTTGCCCGTCCAGTACTCGGCCGGGTGGTCCGGGTCCCACGTGTAGTCAGGGTTCAGACCCCACCGGAAGGGCGCGATGGCCTCGCCGACGTTGGGGTCCTGGTTGATCTTGAGTATGTCGTGGTTCTCGAGGATCTCGAGCGTCTCCTTGGACGCCGTCTTCATGTCGGAGCTGATCAGCAGCGGCGACTTGAGGAGCGCCCAGGCGGTGAAGTGTGACTTGGCCTGGTCGTAGGTCAAGTTGCCTGGCGGCGTTCCCTGGTTGGTATTGCCCACCTCGAGGATGTCGAGGTCGTTGCGGGCGTAAAACCGCGTCTCGCTGGCGATGAAGCTAGCCTGGTTGATGATGCTGGACAGGGCAGACCACCACGGCCGGATGTCGCCGCCTATCCGCCACGACTGGCCGAGCCGGCCGCCCCAGATCCACGGCTGCTGCCAGCCCCATTCGCAGAGCGCGAGCTGGAAGGGCTGCGACTTGGTCTTTTTGGCGCGAGCCGCAATGGCATCGGCCATGCGCGCATAGCGCCCATACACGTTCTCTTGCGTCACGTTGTCAAAGGGGATGTAGCAGTTGTCGTACTTGAGGTAGCTGAACCCCCAGTCGGCAAAGGTTTCGAGATCCTGGGCCTCGTGTCCGTAGGAGCCAGGAAACCCGCCGCAGGTACGGTATCCCGCGTCGCTGTAGATGCCCGCTCGGAGGCCAAGCCTGGAGAGAGACTTGGTGAAGTGCTTCATGCCCTTGGGGAACTTTTTAGGATCTGTAATAGTGTCAGAATGAAGCCTGACGGCGGAATGATCTCATATGATGCTCTGTTTACCTTCTACAATTCTTCCCTTTGCGTCTCGCTCCTTGAGGCTGTAGCAGTCGTCCAGCATAAATGTCTAGACCCAACATATTCCGATTAGCCCCTGAACACCTAAAAGACAGATGCATCATCAAGCAGATAACGCACGTTGTATCCTGCCTTGACAAGACCGTGGTCGACCATGGCCTTAGCTTGCTCAAGCAAAATGTCGGCAGTGTAGTCACATTGGTCTGGCAACAATGTGAGCTGTGAGTTCTACGTTTGGCCGGTTCTGCGTGATGGGAGCGAAGGCGGTGCAAAACAGAAACAAGGGAGTCAACAGATCGGGTTGTTGCTTACACATATTCCATGCTGCTGAAAGTCAGTACGGGCCTATCAAGATGTGTGTAGTGTTATGGCAAACTCACTGTTGAAGCCAAGCGCAGGGAGCTTTCCCACGCCATTTTCCAGTGCTGTGGTGCCAATTGCGTAAAGCAGGCCCACAAGAATCGAAGTTATTGAGGTCGCCATGACTCCCCAGTGGCCAAGAGTGAAGTCCAACGTCCGATGTTTTAAACTCGGTTGTGGAGGTCTCTGCCTCATGCTAATGAGCATCTAGAAATAAACCAGCGCTGAAACTATATATGTAAGTCAGCCACATGTACTCTGGAAATCCGTACTTCGAGATGATCGACAGGTTGTATTCAAGTCCAAATACGGAAGCGGACTGGCCCCTTCCGCCCTTTCGGCCTTCGCGGGGGACCGGTGTCATGATTTCTCCGCCATCCTGTGAGCTAAACTCGACGACTTACATGTGTATATGCGCGGTAGTTTCCGACGCGCACAAATCAAACCGGATCTCTCCGGGGGAGGTATAGTCGCGCATCTTGTGCCACAAAAAACTTGTTTACATGCAGAGCGAGGTGGCCACGGTTGTGGGTCAATCTACCTCGCTAAGGTAAGGTACCTTGGGCAGCTAGGTATCAACAAATTTCTTGGACGGAAGAGGGAAGGGCCATGTCAGAAAGGGTGATAAACATGGTTTGCGACAATCATGACGGCCGGGACAGACAACGACTACATACCTACTAACTACTCTCTTCGCTTCACCTTTTGACTTCAACCGGGGAGTCATTCTGGTTTTCACTGCCCGGCTCCTCGTTAGCAACCACTGCCTACCGGATCGTGTGAGCCATCGTCAAGTCTCTAGAGTTGATCTTTTTGGGCTGATGATCCAGAACATAGTCAGCCGGGCAGCTCAGCTAATCATGACTTCTTTCCAGTCCAGCATGCGAGCCGCTTGAGTCCCAGGCGCTGCTGGTGCCGAGCGAGTACCTAGAGCCAGATTGGCCGTGCTTGATTAGACTCGGGGCACTGTTCGGGGAGACAGTATGTCTTCTCCAGGGATCGGACGACGGGAAAGCCGGTTCACAGATTTCCTGGATGGAGGTTCTTCTGCCAAAACTCCGGGTTAAAATCTTCATCAAGCCAAGTTATCCGAGTCAGCCCGAGCCGTCCTGCCATAGGAGAGTTGGACTCCGGGAACGGGAGAAAGCAGGAGAGCAGAGGGGTGGAACCGGCCAGGCTGGGCGATTCTTACCTCCCTGGTAAACGACCGAGACGGTATTGAGGTGCTTGCAGGCACTGGGACGTGTATTCGGTTGAATTGGGCAGCTCGCGCGGAATGCTCAAGCTGATCTTGCTCGCCCGGTTGGCACAGGCCGTATTGGGTCTGTTCTTGCATCCACCAGCGCGTTGGCCGGGACAGGTCCAGGATAGATGGGTCATGAATGGTTGGTGCCTGGGTCCATTCTTCCCACTGCTTCGTGTGGCGCATCTGTGACGCTACTTTGGGATCCTTGATATCAGCAGGCGGGCTGTTGCGTCTCGGCACATGGGATGGCGGCTCCTCAATAACTGGTTGTGACGGTATGAGGTGGTCATGCTGAGGTTGCGGCGGCAGCCCTTGTTCGTCGCCGTTGGCAGTCGTTCGGCTCCATAGATTGAGCGCCCAGTCCAGCTGGGCGTACAAGTCTTCTAAGATGCCGCGAGCGGCCGCGAGCTGCTCTGTTGCCTCCTGCATGGTGATACCGATGAGCCGTCCGACCTCTAGGAAGACGTTAGCTTAAGTCAGAAACTGAATGTTCTTTTGCTGGTCGTCAACTAACCTCTGCTGCTGCACTGCGGCGAGAGAGAGAGAGAGACAATAAGATCCCGAACCGCCGCAGCCATGATGAAGTTTCCCTCTTCAGGAGTCTGGTCGTGCAGTGATCAGAGGGGCTTCAAAGAGACGTCTTACAAAGCTTCCAGCAAAAGTCTGAGACGAGTTGCCAAATGCCACACAAATTACTTTCACTAACCTGTCTGTCTTTGACAAACCTCCTCACTGAAGCTAAAAAGAGGCAGGAGAGCGACCGTTCGTCAAAAGGCTTCCGGAGACACCAGCAAGTTTCATCACGATGTGCTGCAGTGGAATGGCGGCCTTTTGATACACCAGAACAGCCTTCCCAAAGCTTATGTCCTGTTTTTATTAACAAAGAACCTAGGAGATGGTGGCATTCTCTGTCCAAATTAATTAAGCATCAGCATAATGGCTTTGTTCTCTGTTTCATACCTGGTTGGGGTATTTCAGCTTCCCAGTGTAGGAAGCACAGACACCTCCAAACGCGACCAGAATTAGGAAAGGAAAAAAGTATAGAAATAAAGGGAGAGAAGAAATAGGGAGACGAGATAACGTTAGGGGGAAAATTGGTCACAGTGAAGGAGATAGGAAAGAAGGAGAGAGAAGAATCAAAAAAAGAGGAGATAAAAGAGAAGAACAAAAGAAGATAACGTTAACGTTAGGAAAGTTATTTAGAAGAAAAAAAGGGGGGAGAACTTAGAGAGGAGGGAAGAAGAAGAAACAAAAGAAGGACAAAAGTAGAATACCTAACCGGAAAAAAAGCGAGAATGAGAGATATAGCTCAATCCTGGCTTCATGCCCCCTCTAGAACGCTCCTTTCCTTTGCAATTGCCCTTTGGAGGGAACTCTTTGCTTGTCAAGGTTGTCGGTCAAGATGTCCGAATCTCGTCGTTCCCTTCATGAAATCAACGCTGCTGAGTCGGACCATTTCAAATGCCATTGGGTAACTGAAGACCCCTAAATGGTCACGTCAGCGAAAACCCTCTATCGGTATTGTAGCGCAGTAAGGAGTACAGCTCCGTTCTCGACCACATGCAACCTCGTTCAGGTGCTTGGACGTTCGACCAGGTCTTGGCTTGGCCTCTCCAGAGGTGCAATGTTTGGAACCGACCGCTGTCGTCCGTGACGGTAAGTCAACTGGTCCAATGTGTGACGGTGGCGCGGTCAGCTGCCGACGCCTCGTTAACCATGTCGGGATTTTGCAGGAACAACTCGCTGTGTCCGGATGCAAGGGCGTGGTACATGTTTCAGCGCCACTGAACAACTCGCGAGTTCCCGATTGGAGGGTGACTGACCTCGTCGCTGCTGAACCACTCCAAGATGATAGAAATGGCACTATCTCTCTGGCATGTGAGAGCGAACTGTGCCACAGCAATCATCCTGCTTGACGAAGGACAAGTTAGGCTTGGCACACTGGCACAGGCTTGGACAAAAATAGAGGCTGGCCTGATGCTTGTGTGACGGGCGACGAACAGTCATCGAGACCTCACTGGAATGGGAACGCCGTACCTTGCGAGGATTCAAGAGGATGCTCGTTCACATGATGCAGGTGATGCCCACCGCCTTCCGTTCCATCAAATACCCGCCCTCCTCTTTGAACTCAAACACTCCAAAACCCAGTCTCCAGAGCTGCTTCAGACCGATCCCAAGTCGGCCTGGTTGATGCCTGGCCAGCGACTTGTCCCGCCTTCCACAACGGCGCAAGCGACATCGGGGCCGGGTGACTTCCACCCCACCACGACCACCACCGCTCGGGTACCTAACGCACTTTGCCGACGGTAAGTCGATTTTTGGGATGAGAAATCAGCTCCTGTGCGTCAACTTGACTCTATCATTTTGTTTATCTTCTATCCCATTATGATGCTGAATTCACTTCACTCTCTCTCTCTCTCTCTCTCTTTTTACTTTATTTTTTTCCCATCCTGTTTTCAACGAGAAGAGTTATGCCCGTCTCTAAATTCTGAAACTCACGCCCCTGGAGGATCTCCGTCCACGTGGGGTCAATGTGGGGCAATTCTGGAAGCCATTAAACACACACCGCTCTGCCACTCTCCACCATTCACCCCTGGCTCATGAGAAATGAGAATCGAGTTTTGTGCTGACCGCCTGTTTAGCAGCTCAACAATATGAAGACCCCGCAAGCTCATGGGTGTATCTGATCACAGGATCCCGGAATCCCACTGGCCAAAGTGTACGGGATCAAGGAGGCCTCCCTCGGTTTGTGCTGGGACATTGGAGGAACATACGCAATAAATTCGACATTGGGAAACACGCGGGCCCCCCTCCCGACTATCTGGTCTTGCGGCTCGAAGCACAAGGTTCTGACATTCCCGTCGTGCGTCTCATCTTGATTTTGTGCCGGAAGAGGAGCCCGCCGACCCAAGGTTACCTGCAGAGTTGGACCTGCAGGTCAAACCTCGGTTGGCTGCTCGACGTGCCAATCGCAGACTGGCTCTTGGTCGCTAGAATCCCAATTTGATGGCCTGCAAGCACCATGCCCCCAAGCGTCTTGGACATCACAGCAACCCCTCTGGCATATCCACTTGGTGTGCAGATACCCGGTTGTTTACTTCCGATCGAGCAATCCGCTGACCGCAACTTTGGCACCGGACCGGGAAGACCTCACTGCGGTGACGGCAGATCTGGGCTCATGCATCGGTCCGTCGCAACCTAAAAAAAACATTCAAAATTCGTCCTTCTCCCGCTTTTCTGGACTCTTTCTTCTTTCTCCGGGTTGGCGTCTCGAGAAATATCGCAGGGTTGTTCACGCTGTGATGCTTCCGTTTTCGATCCCCGTCGCGACGCAGTGGCTGCCATGTCCAACTTGAGACTTTCTCCAGCCATCGACCGGCCAGACTCACGCGTGAGTCTTGCGCGGTCAGATACGACGTACCATAGCTTCCAAGACGTCGAACTGTTCGAGCCCGGCGTTCCATCCCAGCCCGCCCAGAAACCCACAGGTTGCCCACCACCGGCGTCTCCATCGTCAAAGGCTGGACGCGGGTTGGACCGCGGGGAAATGCGGAGGCAAGACTCGGGTTATGAGTCGATAGCACCGCGGGACTCTTTTTCGTCCCGTCACTGGAGCTCATCCTCGACTTCCCTCCCATCATACACACGCCAGCGGCGCACAAGGCCGTCCACCCAACGGTCCCCAAAGTCCGGGCCCATATCACGCCGTCCCCAGCACGGCCGCCACTCAGTATCACCGCCAGGTACCTCCCGGTCTCCGCGGCAACCGCAGCAGCCCGTGGCGTATTTCCACTTCCCCCATTTCACCTCGTCCGACCCTGCTCTGGTCGAATCCTCAATGGCCGTCGAACTGCTGCAGAACTCCCTGGATCACGCCCTCCGGTCACAGACTCCCACCCCGCCCCTGCCGCCGCAAACGACGCACTATTGGACAAGCGACCGGACGCGGAGGCTCGAGTACGCCGCCATCGACGCAGCTAGCAAAGGGGTCCGGGGCTGGGTCATGCGCCATGTGGTGCCGGACTGCTTCGTCCCCGAGAACAAGAGGCGGATTGGATTCGAGGACGACCGGGGCAGTGTCCTCCGTCACCGGTTGGAGCTCGACACGGACGACAGCGCTGAGAAGGCCGAGTCGGCATTGAGGACGAGGGGGTGGAGAGGGTGGTTTATTGGCATGCGCCGCCGTTGCTGACCGTATTTCCCATGGCTCGTTTGGACTCGGCTGTTTTTCCAGGAGGAGGATCGCGCGCATTGGTTGGAAGCACTTCGAATGTTTTGGACGGGGTGTTGTTTGCATCTTGCATGGCGGCGCACAATCTTTGGGGCAGCATTGGCGGCATCTCGGGGGCATTTCAAAACATGGTCAGCATTCACCACATTGGCGTATTATACCCCCCAGCATTGGAGTTTTTTCCTTCCTGTCAAAAGAGAGTACTTGGACATTTAGTTGTTTACATATAGAGTTGTAATCAGATTGACCGGGTAGCGAGTGGCCTATCTACACTGCTGCCACTGCTATTAGCAGAGAATAGCCGAGGCCTCTGAGCCATCAACGGCTCGAGGCTTACGCGGAACCTCACCGCTTGTAGAGTTGAATCTTTCAAGTTCCTTTGAGCCGTCTGTTAACGGTTATTTGCCGGCTCACCTTCCCTCTGAGCCGAATCTCTACCGCTCTTGCCTTTCTAAATCGCGTATTTCTCGGAGCTGCTCATGAAAAAAAAAAAATAAGCGGCTCATGCCCGTGAGCCAGAAAAGGAGGGCTCATTGCTCTGAGTGGAAACCTTACTGCTCGGAGAGGTCCGCTTTGCGCCGCTAACGACGTAGAATTAATCTTCTTGCACAGTGACAACGGGCGACCCGGTATCTGCAGGCAGATGGCACCTATTTGCTGAGGCCATTGACGAGACGGGCTCGGACTCAAGGAAAAGCTGACTGTTGATGGTAACTTTAAGCAAATATACAAGGTGTATCCAGTCTCTGCGTTCATTTGCATACAATGTCGGAGTACCTCTTCATTGGGATATCTCAGGACCTGGACGAGCTCGATCTAGAAAGTTTGACCCACGAGCCTCTGATAACAAGTGCAGCGCCTGTTCGGCTTCGCACACCATCATTGTATAAGGTACGACACAGCATTGCCATGCCTGAGTGCTCATGATATACCTGGAGAATTAATTAGCGTGATGACCGGGCTGTTCTGCACTCGTCGTACAGGGACCCGACTCATCACGATCTTGTCCTTCCCCACGGGTAATGACGAGCGGAACATAGGGCTCAGCTCTGATCTTGTACCTAGATCATCAAACCAGAAGTCCATACAGTCCAGTTCTTGTGAACAAAGCCTTCACTGAACCGGCGACATGGCTAAGGGCTGGAACAAGAAGGTCGCGCGACTCCATTCGTTTCATCCCATTGTTAGTTGGAAGAAACCGCGCCGTTCACCTGTTCGTAGACCTCACATGTTCCTGGCACCAGCGACCGAGACACCCGATTTCTGTCGCTTTAATTAGCGTAACTTACTCAAAGACATCCCTTCTTTTGCTCTACAATACACCTTACAATCACTCCTTCAATACTGGCTGCTTTGGTCAATCATAAACTGGTCTTTCACTTCCTTTACCTTATTCAGCCAGCGCATGACCACAATGAGATATGTACTCGCCGCGGCCTTGACGGTCGCATTCTTCGCACTTCTTCCAGCGCAAGCAGCGAAGGCAGTCTTTTCCCACATGATTGTGAGACCAACACGACCCCATTGACGCTTCGATCCTCTGCTCTTCCATTAACACCAGCCTACTCATATGATCTTTAGGTCGGCAACCTCCCCGATTTTACCCTCTCCGACTGGGAGTCTGACATCCGACTTGCTCAGTCGTCTCGAATCGACGCCTTCGCGCTCAACGTCGCCGCCCAAGACTCTTCCACCACCCGCTCGCTCGACCTCGCCTTCCAGGCCGCCGACGCCCTCAATTTCTCCCTCTTCTTCTCCTTCGACTATCTCGCCCAGGGTCCCTGGCCCGCCGATCGCGTCATCTCTCTCATCCAGAAGTATTCCGTCCACAAGTCTTACTTTAGACACGACGACGACACTCGGCCCCTCGTGTCGACGTTTGAAGGGCCTGGCAATGCAGGTGACTGGCACGCCATCAAGGTGGCGACCAACGCGTTTTTTGTGCCGAACTGGTCCTCTGTCTCGGCGGCGGAGGCATTGAATCTTGCGGGGGGTGTGGCCGATGGGTTGTTCAGTTGGGATGCTTGGCCGGAGGGGAATACGAACATGACGACGGGGCCTGACAAGGTGTTTCTCGAGGCCCTGAGGCCACGAGGGAAGGTGTACATGATGGCGGTGTCACCGTGGTTCTTTACGAACTTGCCTGGATTTGGGAAGAATTGGTTGTGGAGGGGGGATGAATTGTGGTACGTACTCTCTTCGAAGTGTTCTTTGTTGTTGATGTCGGCGCAATCGTCTTCGTCTACTTCATATTCCTATCTTCTTTCCACCATTTTTTTTCTTTTATTTTTCTTCATGAAACACCGTCATCACATTTCTTTTTTTGGGGGGAAATTTCCAGTTTCTTCTCCCGAACATTACATCACACGACTGACATTTAGGCAGGGACATTCGTTGGCAGCAAGTTCTGGACATCCAAGCCGATTTCGTGCAGATCCTGACGTGGAATGACTACGGCGAGTCGCATTACATTGGTCCGGTTAGGGAGAAGGAGCTGGGTTTGTTCACCACGGCAAACGCGCCAGTGAACTATGTGCGTTCAATGACACACGACGGTTGGAGGAAGTTTCTGCCATTCTACATCGAGGCATACAAGACAGGGAGGATTCCCAACGCAGTGGAAGAGAGCGTCGTCGCAACCTATCGGACGTCGCCGGCGCTGGCGTGCCCTGGTGGCGGGACGAAGGGGAACAACGGGGATTTTGGGCAAAATGAGGTGGCGCCGGAGGAGCTGATGGACGATAACGTCTATTACTCTGCGCTGCTAAACTCGGATCGGGGAGTCACCGTCACAGTCTCGATTGGAGGCAAGGAGCAGACAGGCATTCTGAGCAAGGTCTCTGCTGCGGGCCCCGGATCCCGCGGAGTCTACATGGGCGCTGTGCCATTCGGGGGAAACACGGGGGATGTGGTAGTGGCGGTGCTAAGGGATGGCAAGCGGGTTGCAACGGCCGAGGGTGGCAAGGGCATCTCGGCCAAGTGCGAGAACAATGTGCAGAACTGGAACGCTGTCGTTGTCTGAGTCTGTATGGATGAAGGCTTGGGGCAGAAGTTTAGCAGCGAGAACCACCAAACTCAGGACGTCTCTCATCACTAAACTGTTAATATGATGGTATTGGGGGTTGACTGTTGACCCGCTTATATGTCAACGACTCCAGCACCGAGCCCAAAGTCGGCCCGGCGGCCCCACCAGGTCCGGTGTGGACTTTCCAACGGCTCTCTGCTAGGTCAGGCGCATCAAGGCCAGCGGCATTGCGGTCGGGGGAAAACATAAGAGACGGTTCTCTTGGCTGATTGTCTCAATTCAAGTTGTGCCGGACGTGGAATCTTGACCAGGCGTCGGGAGTGCCGGAGGCTTAAGGCCGATCTGGCGCCGCAGTGGGGCCGAATTAATCGGCGTGATTGGCTACCGGCCCGAAGTGTATGAGGTCGGGGATCGTTGCCCCTAGCTTAAGGTTGCTCCTACATCGCCATCCGATTCATGTTCAAGGCAAGAGAAGTTCTGATCAATATAGACGGTTATACTCTTGTCGTTGTGTGCCTGTTGTGTGACGTTCGCCTCATTCCAAGCATTGGCCTCACCTCACACCGTCGTTAGGATGAACACTGCCACACGATTCATGCTTCTGGCAGCGCGGCAACGCCTTTACATGCGCTTTCAGTCAACCACCCGTGCTCAGCTCCTGATCAGATTAGCCGCAGCGAGAGTCCTCCACTCATCTTCGCATTAATTTGGCAGAGCCAAGGAGCGCAGCACCGGGAGGAAAGCCAACAAACATCCCACAAGCCCCAAATCGACAGAAACATATGAGTCGAAAGCCTGACATACTTCGATGTGGCATATAAAGTATTCGTGGTAACAGGAGGTGCTTAAGGACTCAGCCTGACCATGGCCGAAGCACTCGCAGAGGCAGGGGGCAAAGGTCCGTAGAGTAGCGATATCTCTCTGCAACTCGTCTAAGAAGACCGCACGAAGACTATCACAAATTGCTAGTCTACACTCTTGACCGCGAGCCTTCCCCTGGCGAATACTGGCAAGAAGCCATCGCTCGCTTCGACCACTCCACCGCGGGCTCTCTCCACTACCGCCAGGCGGACGTCTCCAAGACACCGTATCTTTATTCCCTGATCGCATCCATTGGCGCCGAGCACCAGCGTCTCGACGGCGTGGTCGCAGCCGCTGGCATCCAGCAAGTCACGCCTGCGCTGGACTACTCGCCCTCGGACGTTGCCCGCATGCTCGAAATACACTACACGGGCGTATTCATGACGGCCCAGTCGGCGGTGAAGCAAATGTTCAAGTACAAGACGAGGGGCAGCATCTGTCTGATCGCGAGCATGTCTGGCTTGATCGCGAATAAGGGGTTGCTGTCGCCCGTGTACAACAGCTTGAAAGCGGCTTTGGATCCAATTAGCGAGGAATCTGGCGATGGAGTGGAGTCCTATGAGGGAGGACGGATCAGGCGGCATCAGGATAACGTTACCTTGAGATGTAAGCCATTGATGCCCAATCGGGTGCCCGTAACCGTTGCCAATTCAACACTGTCAGCGCTAGCCGGGGACCCCCCATACTAGGGCCATAGGAGCTCAGCGGAATCAGCCCAGGAGTTCCAGGTGGACAGGGATCCCCTCCTTTCTAGTGGGAAATCGCATCCATTGTGCAATCTGCTTGGTGGCTTTCGATCGCGCCGATCAAGAGCACCAGAGTTGAAAAGGCGGTTCCTGATTAGCTAGATTTACGGGCTGCCGCTAAGCTAGTAGGGGCTCCTGGCTAGCGCTGACGGCGATTTTGTCGAGAATCTACGGGATAAACAAACGGCTATCTAACAAAGAGGGAAGTGGCGGGCAGTCGAATGGTAGTTGAACCGTGTCTGAACTCGCTATTAAGCCCATCTCTCAAACGCTCCCCCTGCACCCCAAGACACACGGATCGGCATTGGAAGAGAGTCGACCATGTCGACGGCCTTCTTGTTCATTGATGTAACGAAGACTGACGCTGGCACGCGGAGGAAGGCGCGCAGCCATGCCATGAAAGGGAAGAATGTGGGTAAGAAGCATTACAACCGTCGCACGAAGAAGGCGAAACAACCTCAGCCCACAATACACGACCTGGACTGCGCAACGTCAATAGATTCAGATCCGCAGGAGGACCAGTATATGCAAGACTTCCTTCTACCGATCTCGCCAGTGTTATTGTACACAATCGGGGAAGATTTCATCATACCAATGCATCTCCAAACCAATGCTACACCGCAGAGTCAGCATGTCATCAGGCAATGTGAGTGGCCCCCCCGAGGCATTGGATGGGGGGGACTGGGCGTGGCCAGCTACTTACACAGACTAGTCTTGTCCGAAGTCACGGATTGCCTTAACCCCCCAGCGCTCTGTTTTACTCCCGAACATGTCAATCGCTGGTTGAGCGTGCTCTTCAGTAACCAGGCTGGTATAGTCACCCGTCTTATCCTCGCCAGTCGGTCTAACCATTAACATCTTCCAGCATACCACTGCACCATGGCATTGATGGGGACTTTGAACCGGCACTTCTTTGGCAGGGACGTAGTAAACTCGGACATTGTGTCACACCTTACGCAAGCAGTCGTACTGGTGAACCAGAGCCTAGACACACACGAAGCAACGTGTGATGCAAACATCTATGTTGTCAACTTCATGATAGTCCATGAACTCCTGAATGGAGCCAAGGACAGGGCATTGGTGCATCTAAGGGGGTTACAGAAGATGATAGAACTGCGCGGAGGGATAGTGGACCTGGAGCCCAACCTGAAGCTCTTGGCCAAGGTGTGCAAGTAAGTCACCCCATGTTGGAACGGAGTCCAACTGTGCCATCTAACACAGTGGGTTTGTAGGACTGATTTGGATGTGACGCTTCACTTCGGCACGCCACCAGTCTTTTACCGGGACGAAATGGTCGAGATCTCCTCGCACATGGCGTCTTGCGGTTTTGTCGGAACAGCGAGCTTTGCCAGCTTGAGGTGTTATCGGGCGTTCAGGCACCTAAATCCCTACCTCCAGCAGATTCTCCTCGACGTCTGCAACGTCACGGCATTCTTCACCCAGGGGTACCGGATGGACCCCCACATACTCCAAGAGACAATCGCCTCGTTCGGGTACCGGCTTGTCCGCTTCCAACCCGTGGGCGTACCGCTCTTGCGCAGCCGGCTCGAGTCGATCTGCCACATCGCCCTGACGGCATTGACGACGACTTTGTTCTTCCAGATCGGTCGACGTCGCCTTATGCAGTACCAGCTTCTCGGGAAGCACCTCAAGGACGTCGTGGCCGCCGGCTTGGAAGACGTGGATCCGGATGTCAGGCTCTGGCTTTTGTTTGTCGGTGGCGTCTCCGTGCTGCCCGAACGGGAGGAGAGCTGGCTGCTTACAAAAATCCTAGAGACCGCTCGAGAAGGGTTAATTCGGGATTGGGAAGATGCGCATCGTCGAATTATGCACTTCCCTTGGATCACGTCGCTACATGACCTGGAGGCGGAGCGGTTTTGGTATTCGGCCTTGAGGATGGCGTAGAGGTGGAGTAACATTTACCTGGACTACATAGGTATCACATAAAGACGACAAGTATGGTTCGAGGAGGCGATCTGAACGATACTTTTCGCAGAACTGAGACTTTGTTAACTACTGGGCTGAGTTGCTGGGAATAGACGGCGATACCGACAGTGCCGATCATATAACATTGTTGATTAGACTACCTACTTTAGTGCCCGGTGCTTTGGTACCTAGGAGGCTGCAGCCTGTGCAACTTGTTGTCGTGGAGTCATACCTGAAAGGCCAATGTATTCTCACCACTCACGGAACCGTTCCGCACCTCATAATACCCTCTGGCTTCCATTTTGTAGACCGCGCTAAAACACTGTGTCGTCGAGGTGATAAATGTCGTTCTTTGTGGCTTGTGACTTCCTGGCCTCAATGTGCAACAGTAGGGCTTTTATACCCCATTCTCCATCATGGTCCTACTGGGTTTTGCGGACATTATGATCTCCCTATCCCCGGCAGGAACATGTGTTGGAGTCTGCCGTCTGGCCGGCCACCGTATATCCGTACTGAGAAAAATCCGTCATTGGGGGTTTATCCCGGCCACGGCCAATTAGGCCGGGCAAAAAACACTGGGCCCAACGAGACTTACTTCCACAAACGGACTGTCAAGGGAAGCAGTGCCTCGCTTGCTACCATGCCAAGACATTCATCATCCAAACGTGGAACAGGCAGGCTGAGAACTTGAGACTTGTGACCGCTTCTGGAATGACTTCTTCACAACTTCCAGGCCAGCCTACAAGCCTGAGCGCATACATGACGACGACCGGCACGATGGCACCCCCGGTATTTGAGGATTGTATCCAGAGGTTCGCATACATAAATGAGCTTGCCGCCCTGAGAGAGAACATTTTAAAGGAACATCATCGCACGCTCAACGCCAATCGACAAAACCGAACATCACATACCCCTCCAACACCACTAGACTCTCCCCACAATGCCTTCCCTCGTCGGCAAACAAATCGGCTCAACCGGCTTCGGCCTCATGGGCCTCGCCACCCGCGTACCTCCAATATCGGACGAGCAAGCCATCGGCGCCATGCGCGCCGCCATCGAGTCGGGCATGACCTTCTGGAACGGGGGGGACCACTACGGCACCCCCGAGCGCAACTCCCAGACACTGCTGGCCAACTACCTCCGCCAGTACCCGGAGGATGCGGACAAGATCGTGCTCAGCGTCAAGGGCGCCTTCGACTTCGCCACCATGTCGCCCGATGGCTCGCCCGAGGGCATCAAGAAGAGCATCGACAAGGTTCTCGCCGATCTCGACGGCACGCACAGGATCGACATTTTCGAGTGCTCGCGTGTCGACCCCAAGATCCCGCTCGAGACGACACTCAAGTTCCTCGAGGAGGAGTACGTGAATAAGGGCATCATTGGCGGAATCGCGCTCAGCGAAGTCGCAGCTCCGACTATCCGTCGTGCGGCTGCCATCACCAAGATTGTGGCTGTCGAGGTTGAAGTCAGTCTGTGGAACACGCATGTCCTGGAGAATGGCGTCGCCGCCGCCTGTGCCGAGCTGAACATCCCTATTGTCGCGTAAGACACCCCTTCTCTCCCCGCTTCTTAGCCAAGCTAATGAGACTAACCACCCAACCTAGCTATTCCCCCATTGGTCAAGGCATGCTTGGCGGCCTGTTCAAGTCCCTCGACGATCTCCCCCAAGGCGATCTGAGGCGCTACTACCCACGGTTCCAGCCCGAGAACTTCGCCATCAACCTTGAGCTCGTGAAGCAGCTCGAGACCCTGGCCAAGCAGAAGGGCTGCACCCCCGCGCAGCTCGCTCTCGGGTGGATTCAGAGTCTGTCAAAGAAGCCGAACATGCCGACTTTTATCCCCATCCCCGGCGCGACGACCGAGGCGAGGGTGCGCGAGAACGGTGTCCATGTCGAGCTGACGGAGGAAGACCTCAAGGCTATTGACGATGTCCTGGCCAAGTTTGAGGTTGTCGGTGAGCGCTACCCGGCTGGTGTGCCGACTGATGGCTAGTTGGCTATCACGTTCGGTTGTAATTGATGGCTAGCCACATGGTTGAGGATGTAACTGGTAGCTTTTGCTACATCGGTGCACTTGAAGTTTAGCGGAAATTGAGGTAGAACAAATAGAATAATGGTTTAACAACCTTTCATTAGGGAATTACAGGAGATACCTGTGCAGCTCGCCAGTCGTAGTCCGAGCCGTACACTCGCTGTCTATGCAGTAAAGTGACTTGCATCCATTGTGCATCCCCAGCCAGAAGTCTCTTACAACTTTTGGCATGTTCCCCACTTTAACATCAGCAAGGCGTGCAACGGAATTCTCCCTCGAGCGCCAGTTCTTTTACAACCCTCCAGCGGCAGCGGGTCCCAAGCTTGCGAGCTGCGGTTTTCGGGCTCAGGAGAGGGACCCCTCTGCAACGACGTCTGGGGTTCCGTCACACCCGCCACTACCGCAGGATGTGCACAAATCCTCAGAGCGGTTATACTGGGAAATCACAGGTTGAGGTCATTTTGGTCCTAAGCGATAACTAGTTTGATCTCGATAGCCGATCCGGCACATCTTTTTGAGTCGCTTGGCGGGCTTATGTCAGAGGCGCGCAACGCGGTTCAACCCGGCCGTATTTCCGGTACAGGTATGCGCCTAGATCTCGATTCCTCGGCAGACCAATATATTGACTTGACTGAGCTGGCAAAGGCGTCTACGCTACTTCTGGCGATCTCACCGCGCCGGAGCCCTCGGTCACCAGTATGGCCAGCCCAGGCAATGAATCGCAGGCCTCGCTCATAACTCTGCACGCGGGGCAGGACCGACCTGTTCTGGTGTTCCCGATACCCGACGCTTCGCCCGTGTGCGTGAGATGGTCTCGCGTTCCGGTTGACAGTTGTCCCAAGCATTCGAACGGGCCTACGTTTTGTCGTCGGTTTCTAAAGGCCAAGGCGGACGACAAGGGTAACAACGGCGACGAGCCCAAGCCGGCCGATGATGGACTGCCCCTGCCGCCGCTAAACAGCCAACTCGAAGAAGACCACCATCCTACTAATGAGATGTGTCCTGCTACGCCGCCGCAAGTGGTGCAGAGCTGGACACGCACCCCTACACTGCCGGACGACTAGAGCACCAGCGACCTCGGACCAGCGGGTGCCGAGCCACGCCTTCAGCCCCAGAGCCCATGCGGCGCCGCCTCCGGTTGTTGAGTTGATCCACAACAGAGGTCTGGCAGCTGCGGTCTCTCTCAACATCGTGGTCATCGTGACGATAGCGATCGCAAGGTCGCAGAATCCGACTGGCCGAAGCCTGCCGCGGACCGGCACCGTCGGTCCCAGAGTCCATGCAGCCCCGCCTCCGGCCCCAGAGTTGAAATGCAGCAGTGGTCCGATCCTTCGGTTCAAGACGACAGAGGGAGCAGAATGAGGGTTTTGTCGCGCCGCCACGGGCACAGGAGAGTCCGGCAAGTATGCCGAAGTCGCCGGTCGAGGGCAGCAACGCGCCTGAGCTGGCTCATGCTGAGCCATCCATGCGGCCGTCCGCCAGCCCAGACCAGGCCAACCTTGAGCACGACATCGGTCGTCACCGACATTGCGGTCCCAGTGATGGAGGTGGCTACGGTCCCGTTGCAGACAGGGTTGCAGAGCGCGGCGAAGATGACGATGTTGCCCAGCCACCGCGCAAACGCCGCGGGATACGCACTTCATCCCCCACCGCCTGCCGAACAACACCCAAGCCACAGACCCGCCTACATCGCGCAGTCCAGGCCCACAGGCAAACAACCCAGCGCCCAAAGCCTCGCCGAAGCCAGTGTCCTTCAGATGTTCCCGAAGACCAGGGACAGCAGCGTGAAGGTGGTACTGTCGCGCCGCCACGAGCACAGGAGGTACAGCCCCCCGCCAGCCAAGTCGGCGTCAAGCGTCAGCGCGACCTCGGCCGTCATCGATATTACAGTACCGATGATGGGGAGGACTACTCTCCTAGTGTGTGCAGCGACACCGAACACAGCGAGGATGAGGCTCTCCGACCACCGCGACGCAAGCGCCGTAGGGCGAGCGCTGCAACACATACAGCCGGCGGAACAGCGCCTCAGCAGCAGACTCCTCTATACCGTGGCGACCCTTCGAGAGAAGCTCGGAGATTATTCCATCGCCCAAGGCGCCAGCGCAGCGATACCCATCCGTCATCGTCACGAGAGTCCACGTTGGAAAGGGATGCCGAGGTGGACAGAACCCCCACTGCAACGTTCGAAGAATGGCCCCTTAGAAACGCGGTCCTCAAGCGTGTTACAATGAACGGTTCGCCACCCACTTTCATGCTACAATTTATCTGGGTTCATGCGCAGAACATGGAGCGGAGCACTGAGAACGGAAAATCGAAGCGCTATTTCCTCTGCGAAGAGGCGCCGGCCAGTGAGACAGAAGAGCAAAGGGATCAGAAGGACGAGGACAAGCCAACTTCAACTTCGAAGAGGGCGAGATACACGCCAGCGGACGACGTGAAGATCCGCCAGCTGAAGGAGCAGGGTCTTTCTCGGACCGCGATCGCCAAGCACTTCCCCGGCCGAAGTGCCGGGGCTATTGAGGTAAGGTATCACACCAAGCTTAAAAGCGCCGATCCCTCTCGAAGCGGGGTCTCGACAGTGGTCTGATCACTCTTGGTCGCTCTCACCAGTGGCTGGCGACGACGGCGGGGAGGAAGAGTTCCCGGTAGAGGAAATCTGTGGCGATAGGACGCTGGATGACGGGGGCCTGGAACTGCTTGTGAGGTGGAAAAGTGGAGAGGAGACATGGGAGCCATATGAGAACGTGACGGATACGAAGGCGCTTGACGAGTATGAGCGTCGTTATGGCGGGATTGGTGTAGATATCATCTGAGATTAATACCCAACACGCTCGAGAGCATCAATGTGTGTGTGTGTGTGTGTGTGTGAGATTCCCGTGCCCGCCCCCCCATTTCCTCCTCTTCCCCATTCCCGCTCTGGCTGAAACTCCCCGTTGCCTCACCGGATTTCGATAAGTAGGGGCGAATAGGAGGCTTACACCCAACCGCTGCGGCTGCTGCGGCCGCTGAAACAATGACGGCGCGGAAAGGCAGATAGCTATGGCCGGACGCCACTATCTTGGGCCGCCGAGAATGGGAACGAGACCATTGTCAAGCTGCTGCTTAACACGTGCATGGTCGATGTCGATAAGAGAGATAAAGATGGCGTGGCTGCTGGGAACAGCCACGAGGCCGTCGTCAAGCTCCTCAAGTCTGTGGAGTAAGTAGTATGTTGATTTTTATTTTTTCCGTCACAGCGTGGCACAGGAGGGGACTTGGGGACGGCGCGATCATGTAGCTATTTTCTCTTCTAGAGCCTTCTAATGCCTTCGGGCGTTTAGCTAGCAATTCGTATTCTGTGGGGTGAGACAGTCTGGCAATTGGTGATGTTGTCTGTCTAAACTAACGGTAGGTGTGGAAAATACTGCAGGCCGAAGCGGAGAGCCACATCTGGGAAAGAGGTGGCCGTGTCGGTATTGCACTCGATAACCACCATGGTCCGCCTGCAACACACCCATAGACTGCCTAGTCTGAAGCCATCGCCAACCTCCCCCCCGAATACTAAGTACAAATTCCATGATGTTGGCCTTCCTCTGTTGTTCCTTCCTAACGTCAGAAATAAATATTTCCTCCGAAAGGCAATTTGATGTGGCTAGGCCGGCGGTAGACAAAGATATGGGTGTCGGCGTGGGTGGCGAGGACGACGGGAAAGTGGTGACTAGCGTTGAGAAAACGAGCCAGAGTCAGCAGGCCCAGCCTTGTGGCTCCCATCCTTCTCCTTATCATCATTAGCCCGGTGATCGGCCACTTGCAGGCGTTGGCGGACTTGACAACTGGAGTATACCTACTGCGGGCCTCAACGCGCTTGAGCAAGCTACAGGGAAACGAACACAAAACCGGCGTCAGGTTAACTAGGATGCCGCCAGCCTGCCGCATCTCATCTATCTGCAAATAGCTCACACATTGCGGGAGCCGCTTACGAGCGTTAATACCTAATGTTCTCGCCCACAAGCAACCAAAACGTCGTGAAAATTGACTACAGCTAGAGTCTTCGGCCCTCCCGCGTCACAGGCGCATCCACACGGAGGGCGTTGGTTCGAAATGGGATCCTTGAATCTCGACGTCGTTTTGGCTGGTTCACCGTCACACGTTAAGGTTCTCAGACGTAAGGTAGATTTCCGTGTTCCCCTCACCAAGGGGGAATGCTGGGCATCTAGTCGCTGGGGTTGACGAGCTGGCTGGGTTACCGCAGGCAAACATGCGAGTCCAGCTGACAGAAAAGGGAAGCCTTCATATTCGCTGGGTGCGTTTGTAGGCAAACAGGTGGATCTAGGTCCGCAGTGACTCGGCTGCTGCATGGTGCTTGCCGTTGCTAGAGGGTAGAGGAAGGGAGCGATGGCCTGGACCGAAGGTTCGTGGTTCGCACCTATACCAAGGGACAGCGCCCAGCTAGCCGCCTGCCGACCCAGCCGGGATCAATTGTGACTAAGGTAGAAAGAGTGGACCGATGCGGCCGGCCTTGCCAGATCATCGTCTCTGAGAGACGGTTTAGCCTATAGGGTGCTTGAAGCTCGAAGGCCATTTGTTTGTTAGCTGCGGGTTCCCCTAGGTCGAAGGCAGCACTTCCACTGTCACGTTTCAGGTACATCGGGAGGTGCGTTGGCATCTCAATGGCACCTCTGGAGCATAAATACTGGCTTTCTGCCTCGCTGTCTCTAACTTGAACTTCAGAGTGTTGCCACAAGACGGAGAGAAATCAACACGGCGCCCATACCACTTAATTCGCCACCCCTTCGAGCCAATTCTTCTTCAAGTCCAACCCTGGGCACACATCCTCTGACTCATTCCTATCTTAAAATGGTCGCCTTACAGAGCTCCCTGAGAAAGCTCTGTTCCCAAGACCAGCCCCGCGCTTCTGGACTCGATTGACCAGCTCCGTTTGCAAGGCATCAACAACTACATCTCCCTCCCGCAAATCATCGTCTGCGGTGACCAATCGTCCAGCAAGAGTTCCGTCCTAGAAGCAATCTCGGGTGTCTCTTTCCCGGTGAAGAGCAACCTCTGCACTCGTTTCCCAACCGAGCTGGTCTTGCGCAGGACCCCACACACCAGCGCGGGCGTTTCCATTGTCCCCCATGAATCCCGCCCGGAAGCCGAGCGCAAGGCTCTTCTCACCTTTCGCGAAGAGCTGGTCCCTGAACGGTCTCGGCAATCCCCCCCAGCTGGTCGAGAGAGCAAAGGCCGAGATGGGCATCACGGCGTACGGCAGAGCCTTTGCCAAGGACATCATCCGTATCGAAGTGACCGGCCCGGACCAACCCCATCTCACCATCGTCGACCTTCCCGGGCTCATCCACTCCGAGACAAAGAACCAAACGACTTCGGACGTTGAGCTCATCCAGGATGTCGTCCAGTCCTACATGAGGGAGCCGCGCTGCATCGTTCTTCCCGTGGTGTCCGCCAGAAACGACTTCGCCCATCAGATTGTCCTGAAATTGGCCCGGACGGCAGACCCAAGTGGCACCCGAACTCTGGGCGTCATTACAGACACCTTGATCCCAGGGGGCGGGAGTGTGAAGTCCTTCACGTCTCTCTTGCCAGGAAACAGGAGGTCGAGTTCCGTCACGGCTAGCACGTGCTGAAAAACATGGACTCCGAGGAAGGCTCTTGGAGCCTTGCGACCCGGGACGCCGAGCAGGCAGAGTTCTTCGGCTCTGGGGTTTGGAAGACCCTTCCGCTCTCCTCCCTCGGGATCTCCAAGCTTCGCAGCCGCCTCAGCAAGGTCCTCCTTGGGCAGATTGCTGCGAAGCTTCCTGGCTTGGTGCATGAGATTGATCAGAAATTCCAGTCCTACCGTGATCAGCTCGAGAAGCTTGGGAAGCCACGAGCAGGCCCGCAGGAGCAGCGGATCTACCTGTTCCACCTGAGCGGGTCCTTCCAGGCGCTTGTCAAGGCATCGGTGGGCGGCAACTACAACGACCCGTTTTTCTTGGACGCCAAAACCGAATCAGGTTATCAGCAGCGCATCAGGGCAGTTGTTCAGAACCTCAACGAAGATTTTGCATCCGAGATGTCCCTCCGAGGTCATTACTTCCAGGTCATTGATCCGGAATCCGAGGCAGTTCCTTCCGATTCCCATGACGTGGTCTGTATCAACCGAGATGACTTCATCAGCCAAATCGAGCATCTGATGCATAGGACGCTGGGGTGCGAGTTGCCCGGGACCTTCAATCCGATGATCGTTGCCGAGCTGTTTCTCCAGCAATGTCGCCCATGGGGGCCCATCGCCCGCCGCCATGTCCGATAATGTGTGGGACGCTGCGTTCCGCTTCGCCAAGCTCGTTGTTGCACAAACCGTGGACGAGTCAACGGCCAAGATGCTCCAATACGAGGTCTTCCAACCAGCAATGAACGGAGTCCTGCAGGAGATGCGAGACAAAACCACAGAGCTGCTGACTCCTCATTAGCACGGTCATCCAATCACTTAGAACCACTACTTCACCGAGACATGGAAAATAGAGTAAGGTTGTTACGAATTCGACATGTCTCCCGTCTTGCTTGAATGCTGGTTCGGCCATCCTATCCTGCCTAGTAACGACTAAGATCGAGGCCTGCCTCTTCAACTGTCCAACAGTTTCTGAGCGGGTGCTGGGAGCTGATACACCCGGCCCAGCCGAGGTGAAATCGCACCGCTGCCCTTAAGTTCCAGTCATTCCATGATTCCGATAATGACCTGAATAATAAGTCATACTTGAGATATTCACCCCGCCGGGACGCACAGCACCTCGTCGTCGAACCTGCCGCATTGCAAGCCAGAGCAGCAGTCGCCGTCGACACGACAAGATGTTAAAACGGGGTGGCAGGCCTGCTACGAGTCAGTGCCTCTCGATTAACCGACGACTCGAGATCTTGCCACACACCCCATGGCCGGAGAAGTTCACGACCGTGTACTGTGCCCGTTCTTGACGCTTAGGGATCGACAAGCCGGCTACCAGGCCGAGCAGGAAGAACGTAAGGACGTGGAACGAGGACCTCATAGTGTCCAAGTTTTCATCATGAATGAGCCCCGCTTGTTGGAAAGCAGCCAACCGGGGAGGAAGTGAAGAGAATGGAAGCGGACCAAAACTAGATTACAAACAAGAACCTAGGAGCAAACGACTTTAGTACCGTCCGCCGGACCGTGAAGCCGCTCGCCAAGGGGTGTTCTTACAGTGGTCAAACATCAACTGTGGGACGCATAGACAAGTTTCGTCTCAAGGATGGGACAGAGCTTGAAACACGGTGGAGTTGCTTCGGTGCACTAACACGACGCCATATTGATCCCGCTATAATTGAGTTAGTGCGCTAGTGATGAGACAAACGAAGATGAAGACCAGTGTTTCAGATTAAATACAACCACTAATGTAGGAGGCATCGCTGACATAACCTGGTGTCCTGGTCAGCAAGACTTAGGTGTGGACACTGGAAAAGGATCGGGCAAGATCGCGACATGGCTATTTAGTGTATCCAATATTCGTGGCGTAGGGACTTGCCTTTGAGGGTGTTTAGAATGTGACCACGGAATCCAGGACACAAATCCATCCATTCATCCCAACAGCATATCAGTTATCCATCTGCTATCTGCAACATGATGCATGCCGAGAAGGAGATCCCACCGGCCGGTAGTGTTGCCCCTTCTTTTCAACCTTAGATTCGCAAGTGCACCAGCTTTTTTTGGGCAATGACCTTGGGGATGTGCTGGCCGCAGCTGAACTAGGTGGCCTTGTCTCTGAGGATAGATCAGTTTAAGCCACGGCAAGGATTATCAAAGTATGATGAGACAGTCAGTGGCTTCTGTAAAAGTATTAGGCGCTGAGTCTCCAGGGAATGTACCGCACGAGTTGCATGTCGCTTTATGGCACATTACTGTTGCTGGGGCCCCCGAGGAGAGGTCTCTACTTTAGTATCAATGAAGAAATGGCTCGGAGGAGTCGCAGCTGTGTGCAATTATTGCTGGGGCGGTTAATGTGCGACCGGTTTAAGTTAGTGTCCAGCAGGGTGTTTGGTGGTCTCGCACAACTGCCCAAATGTGGGCAGTTGTGGGCCGGTTGCGTTGCGTTGGAGGTGAACAAATTGATGCTCCAAGATACAGTATTTAGGTGGCCTAAGTCGGGCCCCACCGATGCGTCGACGAGTGAGACCCGGCAATACTCACGTGAACCTCCCCAACGCCATGTAGATGGTGGTAAATCACCAAGGAAACCAAGGGCAAGTAGTAGGCCAAAAGATTGATCAATGCCACCGTTCACAATGCGGCTGTAATTGGCCCCTGATACACTCCCCCCGCACTCGGCGCACTGCTGTTGGAATTTGCTGCCACCTCTCTCGACTCGTCTTGATGTTCTTTGCTCTGTGTCCCGTACAGGTGCCGGTTCCTGATCCTCACCATCTCCGGCTGTCCAGACTCTTCAGTACATGATGTCACCGATTTCGCAAGTCAGTCGTGCGCCTCTGGCTAGCGCAAACTCTGGGAACATCGGCTTTTCATGAGCTCGGTAGCGACCAGGAAGGAACGGCATTTACCTTAGCCGAAGGGAGAAACGATTGGAAAATCCTGGGACTCGGGGCGAGGTTGAGCATGTGATTGCTAGGAAGGGCCTCTGGGCTGAAGTGTCCGATGGAGGGAATCGACGGTAAATTGGGCCCCGTTGTCGTTGGGACTCCAAACGACGAGTAGTCGGCGCTCGTTTGCATTCACCACGCTGTTCAAAAAGTGCGTGCCACCTTCGCAGTGACGGAGTCGGAGTCACAGACACTGAATGACAAGAACCTTAGCGAAACTCTCCCTGACTTCAATTGAAGTCCACATCAGGGTCTCGTCGTCACTGCCGTGCTCTTCACTGTGGAGTATCTCTGTCTTGGAGAAGTTTATGGCATGCGATTTTTTGCATTGTTTCCCATGATGTCATATTATGGCTAGTTATTAGAAAGGAACACTTGTTCACACGACAACAGGACGGAAGGCACGAAATCCTATAAGCACCCTTCCCCCCTCTCCTCCCTTTCCTTCTTCTCGTTGTATCCTTGCCTACCTCTCCTCCTCTGTTCCGTGAAGCCAGCATTGGCAACAGACCAAAGTCGCGGCCATGCTTCGACATGAAGCCGGCTTAGGCACCAAGACATCAACCAGGAGCCCGCGTTGATGATGCAGAGGTCACCTCCTGTCGCCCACAGATGCTGTAGCCTGTATGCTGGGAACCAGTCGAGCTGCTCAATTTCCAGAGCTAGAGACTTGCGTCGAATGTCACAATAGTTGCCATGCAGCGGCCGCCGCCGTTTGGTGTTAAGAGCAAGTCGCAAGAGCTGAACCCGGCAACGCTTCCACGAATTTGTGGGTCTGGCTTCCATGCTCCAGTGGTCAGCTGGAAAGATGGGCGAAACCTCATGCCGCGTTTCGTATTGAGACCTGGCTGCAGCCCAGGAACGCCTCTCATAGACGTGATATGCAACGCACTACTGTAAACGAGTCCCCGGGTTTGTCTTGTTTCGTCAGCCCTACGGAGCTACGTGGTCAGTTACCAGCGAGCCCATGGCGCTGATGCAGGAAACGAAAAGCCGGAAACTGCCGCACATCGCGCGTGGAGACTCGCGGAGCCAAGGTTGGATGACCGGTTCGACGATTGGACACGGCAAGCTCTCGTGGTTCCCCACTCGCCGAGGCGGAGTCACTGCTTGGCGGCCCCTTGGCAACGAGGACCGCCTGCCTTCCATTCTGCGTCGCCGAGCAAATCACGACGTGTCCCATCCTTCTCTCATCATGGACTCTTGGTTGCCATTCCCATCCTCGCGACTCGCTGAGATATAACAGTGGGGAGTGATGGGACAAGAGCCGAGGTGTTCAAAGAGCAAGGCGACTTGTCCATTGATCTGACGAGCCCCGCCGTTTGTCGGCCCGCGCTAGGTGCTCGTGAACTGGGAATATCGGACGACTCCGCATTTCTAAGTTGTTTTTCAACTCCATAGCGGGCCCGCCGGGGGCCATGCATGTCGCGAAATGATGGGTAAGGACAGCACCCTGAATCACTCGCGAACACACGAGCAATCCAGGGGGACCCTTCTTCCGTTCTCGCCTTGTGATGGCTGTCACTCAACTCATCCAAAATGGAGCTGACTCGCTCGCAGCCCCGCGCTTCCATGGCGCCGTCCCTGAGGAACATAGCCAGAATGACGCCGGCCACTTCTTAACTGGCCAATTCAACGCTGCCCCGTACATGGACAGCTTTGCTACGGCGGGTCAGGATGTAGCGGCCGTTCAGCCACTTGGGGACCCCATGGATCTCGACTTCGATTTCGACGCCGCTTTATGGGCAGGGGCCCTGGAATCTTCAGTCAACCACCAAAGACCAGACATGAACCTCGACTATCGTGCCCCAATGACCACTATGCCCTCCGATTTCCTGTTCACCGAGGACGAAGGGCCTTTGCCAGCGGCGCCTTCTTACTACGTCCAGCCATGTCATGCCGGCAACATCGTCAGCGTGCCACAACCCCAACCAGCTGAACCGTCCCCTACACGAACTGTCTTCCCCGCACCGCGTTCTGACGTGGGATCCGACGACGCGAAGTCGCTGGAGGAGGGCACTCAGAGTGACGTGGCACATCAGCGGTTGCGCAGGCAGCTGTCGCTTTTATCCAAGGGCTGGGCTGGAGATGAGATCCGGTTCAAGAAGTGCGACCCATCAAAGGCCCTTGTGCTGCATAACCTCGCCATGGAACTGGGCCTGGGCTACAGTCACGATGTCAGGAGCCGCGAGGTCTTCATGTCCCGCCTCGGCCCACCGGAGGACGCCCCAAACCCGCAGATCTCCTCATTGCTCCAACGCTCTTCGACCGAACTCGATTCGACACTTTGCCTTCCAAGCCTGCCGGCGGTTTCAGAGATCCACTCGTTTAAGATTCCTACCCGCTCTGCGCGTGAGTCCGGCCAGCCAGATGTAGCCGCAAAGGACCAGCCGCTCGTTCGTCGCCCAAGCCGCAGTGAACGCATCAGCGACTCGATCAGCAAACTTAGGACGTCCATCGCCAAGGGTGGTCGGCGAGGCCCCCTCTCCGAGAATGGGCGGCGGGATATGAGGGCGCTAGAGGCAGCGGGCGGCGCTTGCTGGAGATGCAAGGTCCTTCGTCGGAAAGTGAGTTGCTCAACCTGAGGATGGTGTCTCGCGTACTCACAGCTGATATCCACTCCAGTGCGACCCCGGCAGCCCGTGTCGCTGCTGTCTGCAGACTGTCCCCATGCCCCAATTCAGCGAAGATGCGCCCCTGTGGCCCCTAATCGGGTGCAGACGTGGACCCCTTCGTGATGCAATCCCGCCACAGCTGCTCTGCCCGGATCCAAAGCCGTCACGCCACGGCGCGTTCGAATCAACATTGGCGCTGGCGCGGCGGTGCCGCTCCGCCGATGTCGCCGAACGCTGCCTCTTGTTGGCCGAGAGCCAACGGATCGCCGACATGAAGGCCCTGCTCGAAGGCGCCTCGTACAAACCATCCATCTCCGATCCGGCTCTCAACGCTTGCTTCTGCTCGTTTGTCGAAGCCGGCCGGTATCGTGATCGTGTATCGTTGCAGAGAAGCTATTCCTACGGGCTAACGACGGTAACATACACCGAGCTTATTGCTGTGATCGCCTGGGAGCTCGCCGAGAACCAAGCTGTGATGCCGTCGCTTGAGGTCAAATCCTGGGATAGCTTCATGCGCATGCTCGAGACAGCCGCCATCTATGAGTCCGAGGTTGGCCAGGTAAGTTGTCGAGCTCTGTACAAGATCTGATGAAGCCTGATGGTGGTACAGACGTCACTTGTGATTCTTTCCATGATCTGTCTCAGACACTGTCTCGAGGCATTGCGGCTCCACTCAGCAAACCTCCTTTCAGGGGGCCACGAAGAGTGCGGCGGCGGCCAATGTCAGGTGGAATGCATTCGAAAACTCAGGTCCCAAGTCGCAGCTTACGTCGATGAGCTGTCCTCGGTCATCTTCAACAAAGAGAACATGCGAGATCGGAGATGGTGGTTGTCGACCTTCTACAGCCTCTACATCCAGAGCTATGTCCGGCACGCCTTGATCATCATCGAGAAGCAGCTGCGGTTCCTGTCTGCTGAAGATGTTCCTGCCGAGGACCTTACCGCTACACAATACATGCACCTCCCCGCAGTATTATTCACTGCCGCATCGGCCAAATACGACCCGTTGCTCGACGGGAGGCTTCAGTATGCGTTAACGGACAATTCTGTCATCCCAGAGACTTCGGTTCCCGAGCTTCACCATTCAGCTGCGCGCGAGGCATGTGAGGTCGTTAAATGGCCCGAGGCGGGTATAAGAACGCCGTATCAGTTCCTCCGTCGGCTGCTCCAGATCGGCTCCCTCGATTTCTTTGACTCCGGGTTGGATGCCTCAGTGACAGGCTCAAAGTCTCCCTCTACGTCCCTTTCCTCTCCATCTTCGGCTCGTGGCAAGATCGGGTCGCCGATTGCTCTGAGCCCCCGCGCATTTGACGAAACCGTGCCCTTCCCAAAGCCCCCTTACGCCGAGAGCAAGCGAAACTCGTGGAACAGCCGCTATTCGGGGCAACCGTCGACCAAGTTCTCAAACATGAGCTCCGACAGCTTAGCCCGCACCGTCTCAACCGAGATGACTAGCTTGTACGAGTCATCCATCATGGCCGGCGTGTCCTTCTCGGGCCCGGGTAGCTTGACAGACCTGAACAACGAGGCGTGCCTGGACGACGGGACCATCAACCCGGCGTTATTTTCTGTCCACCACAACGGTTCGTCGCAGTCGCTCGACCAGGTCGCTGCGAGAAGCTTTGTCAGGACCGAAGTGCCGGAACCGGGCTCTGAGCCCACATTTGTGTGCAACTGCTGCCCCCGAACACCGCGGCACTTTTACACAACTGAAGAATTAGTGTGAGAAGAGGAGTTCCTTTCACCTCTTAATACTCGATATCGCTGCTAACCCCTGAATCAGACAACACGAAGCCGAAAAGCCTCACCCTTGCAGCCAGTGCAAAAAGCGCTTCAAGAGCCCCACCGAGTGCGAGCGGCATGTCAACGCGATCCACCTCAAGTCCGACTTCTGGTCCTGCAAGGCCCTCGAGGACCCACTGCTCGCCTACCACGCGCAGACGTACCGAGGCGTGGTGTTTGACGTGTGCGGCTTCTGCGGCGGCGAGTTTGCGCGGCGCGAGGATGGCGTCATCGCGGACCGCGAGGCGTTGGTCGCGCACGTGCAGTCGGTGCACAGGGTCGCTGACTGCGATCGAAACAAGAAGTTTTACAGGGCGGATAACTTCCGGCAGCACCTCAAGAATACGCATGTGGCTTTGCCGGGAAGGTGGCTCAAGGCCCTGGAGAGGGCGTGTCGGAGTGCTGAGCAGGCGGTGTGATATATACCTTATACTGCCGTAATGTGTCATGATTGGCCTCGTGTGTTGGACGTTTTCCTTGGAGCGGGCGTGCCGGAGTTTGGGCATGGGATAGATCTTGGGAAGTTGCTGGCGACTGGACTGGAGAATTTCCGGTAATATGTGATACGACCCCAACCTTAATCTGAGGGACTGCTGTCAAGTCCGTTAATATCATCACCACAGATCTCACCATCACTCTGCTTCGAAAACTGCACGTTTGTCCGGCTCTGGTCCTACTGCACAGCGGCACATCTGAACATGATCAAGAGGTAACATCGTCGACTTCAAGGTCTGTACATGGATGAAGAGAATATGTACTGTCACGCTAGGTGAAGTATGTGCAAGAAAAAAACTTAAGTCCTCCTCATCTCTGAGCCCTGGCTCAGTCAGTCCTTCCAACTGCCCTCGCCGTCTCCTCCTAACTTCCAGGTTCCCAACCAGCCCCTGCCCGCTTGATTCTTCTTTTTTCGCTTGATGCTTCTTCAGATGCACTGCGAGAAGTATTGGTTCGCGACGACGCAGGTCGAGCCGGCGGCGCATGTCGTGCACCCCTTCCAGTTGAACCCACCGCACTGGCCACTGAGTAAAGAGGGATTCACGTCAGCATCAAACACAAGATAGTTCGTGAACCACCATGCTTCTCTCAGGGGTATATCCAGGCCATTTCCCCCTTAATAAGCGAACATTACGCGCCCGGGGAAGAAGGATGCAATGACTTTCGACGTCTGAGGGGGATTTCTGGAGGGCAAGAGGGAGTGCAAACGTACTACTTGGCAACGGTGCACGACGGCGCAGACGACGTCGTGGCCGGTGCGTCCGACGTCCGGGTGGACGTGACCAGCGTCGTGGCGGGGGGCGTGGTGGTGGTAGCGGGGTTTGGGCCGCCGCCGTTGCAGGAGAAGACGGCCGGGCCGGGGACGGTGTAGTTGCGGAAGTTGGAGTAGATCTGTCCGACGAGGACGGAGTTAGTAAAACCCCTAGCTGGTTGAGGGATGGAGTGGGCGGGGTATGGCTGGGAGTCTGGGACAACCAAGAGGGAGAGAGAGGGCTTACGTTGGCGGTGTAGCCCGGATCGCTCTCCTTGAACGCACCCGGAATGGAGACGGTCGGGCCCGGGTTGCCGCTGCCGCCGTTCGTGACGGTCACCTGGGCGCAGGAGATGTAGAATTGGGGGATGCCCGCGGGCCAGGGGTTGTGGATGCCCCTGCCATCAATGTCAGCTGTGTTTCTCCTATCCAAGACGTGTCGATGGGTGTTCAGGGGCAAGTGTGCGGTCCCCGGGGACGACGGCTCCAGAGATTGGTCTTAAGGGTGTGTGCTTGAGGTTAAGGCTTGCTTACAAAGACTGGATGCGGATCAGGTAGTCACCCGAGGGAATGCATGTCGGGATTTGGGCGGTGTAGGAGCCTAGAAGAAAGGGTTAGTGTGCCTGTGGAAGTATAGCGGAGAGAATAAAGGAGGAAAGGAAGGCGGGTGAAAGGACCGTCGGAGCGGGAGACGGAGAACGTACCGGAGAGTGTCCAGGTGGCCTGGCCTGAGCTGAAGTCTGGGCCTGAGAACGGTCAGTTTGGGTCATTGCAGTCATGTGTGTCTGTTGCTTACCCCAGTCCTTGATCTTGAACCAGCTGCCGCTGCCGTCGTAGTCTGAGGCCTTGCCGGGAGCCTTGGACATGTAGCTGCCAGTGTTTAGTCCACGGTGCTAGAGAAGGCCCTTTCCACCCAACATACATGGAAACCGGGCCCTGGTGATAGACAGGAGTGTCGAGAGTGAAGGTGAACGAGTCACCAGCCTTAACGGTCACCGTCTCGGTGGTCGCGCCATTTGCACCCACGTTGCACCGCAGGTCGTTGGAGCTCAGGTCCGTCACGGGTGAGTTGTAGTTGGAGTTCTTGCGGATGTACTTGAACACGTCGTGCTTGGTGCCGCCGGTCGTCAGCTGCTGGAAGATGTAGTGGCCCGAGACCTCGCTGACGGCCAGCGAGAGGGCGGCAACACTGAGAAGTCCCTTCATTGTGGTATTATAGGGGGCGCCGATTGTTGACGGTGGTCAAAGAGTGGCGAGTGAGTTATGGTCCATCACCGGGATTCTCGCCCTATATATATGGCTTGGTCAAGACCGCTCAGGATCTGGAAACCGGGTCCAGCTCGGCGGGTAGCATCCGTGTGGTACCATAATAAGCCGTCTGTCAGCCAGGAGGGCACAATTCCGGCTGCCATGGTCGCATCTCAACCGCCAGAGACTTATCGCCATCCCATTATCACGGGCCGGCAGCCGGGCTACTGGAGTCACCTGGATGCCCCTGTCCCGCGGGATGGTCCTTAAATTCGGCAAGCCATTGTCCGTTTCCTCAAAAGGTAGGACAAGCCTCAATGTCTTGGCCAATCCCACGGCTGCGAATTTAGCCGCCGTGATGCGAGTGTCCCATTGCTACCATCTGTACCCCACAAGCCCGAAACAGAACAACATTGTCCTCGCTGTCCATGCGACGTAGATCCGGCTGATCAGCCGTCATTGCCAGGAGTATCGCTAACATGTTTGGAGCATATCCGAGCCAGTAACTTGACCCCGTTTCCCGGCTCTGGCCTCAACAGTCAGTGGTCTTCCCAGGATGCCCACGGCGGACAACATGGGAGGTACCGACTCCCAAGGGCTTGATAAACAGATCGCATCGCAGGTGGCCCGTTTGACCTACGTCAGCGGAGGTATGTTGCATGATCCGTAATTAAAGGCCTTGGCGGACTGGATGGATGCTTCGAGAACGTGGATGGTTGACCGAGACCAAGCATGAGACTACCTCCCAGTACGACCCTGAGCCCCTAGAAGCCAGATGCAGGAACGCTAAATGTAGGAGAACGGTATGTATAAGAACTAGCTATGAATAACGAAGCCCACTGATGGGATCAAATTCCAGCATATCTGCCCTGTCACTGCTACCAGCTTCGGGCTTCCATTTCCCTCTCGTTCCTTGCGGTTGATCTCAAGAACTGAAAGCAGTGTTTCCCGTCCCCACACCTTGGGTCTGTTTACAGGGACCGTGGCACACTGAGGCAGATGTCTGTCCTTCCTTGTTCCAAGAAGTATATTAATGGATTGAGGCCACCAATATCAGTCGTAAGAACAATGCTCGATTTCCGCTCGGTTCGAAGGACTGAGGGTGTGAGAAGAGCCCTGGCATCCCATCATCCGAGCAGTCTACATGAACCTCTGGCACAAAAGTTTCAAGACGGAGATGCTCAACCTGCACCCCTCCCAATTCGGAACTCGCCGACACACAGGACTCGACGATGACATGGAGGAGTGTTCCTTGCACTTAACCAACGAGTTGGGCCGGAAACCAATGTCTGACACTGGTCCCTATTGCCTCAGACGTCCCCGGCATCGGCTAAGGAATGACGGGCAGGAAGCAAACGATACTCCGACTTCTGCTGCATGTATCCAAGCCAGGTGTGTCGAGCTGCATGATATTTTCTTCAAGTTGGTTTGACTGGTGACGTCAAGCGGGAGAAAGACTGGAACGTGCAGTAAGATGGAATGGTTGACTATGTTACCAATTGGAAGATGTGGACTTCTCGGAACGGTAGCTTATCATGAAAGTGATGATAGTTGGAAAATCATCCATTTGAGTGCCGAGACTTGAAGTTCACATCGCACCCTGGGTGGCATAATTATACCTAAGGTCTTTAAAGGTTTGAGTCATGACTCGATTCGTCGCAAGTGAAGGGGACTGGAGGTTACGCGTGCGGATGACATACTGATAACGTCAGCTACCCACGCACCCCACGACGCCCTGACAACGGTCAAGGCATACGAGGCAACCAGGCTCATATGTGTTAGCCTGAGTAGAAGCCTGTGTCTAAAGAACTGTACAGAATTTCCCGATTGCCGACCTGTTCGTTCCCCTGATCCCCTCCTGTCGAACTGGGATGCCGCATTTTGTCTGGTCTCTGTTGCAAAGGAGCCACGCGGAGATATTCCTGGAAATCGGAAAATAGACAGTAGATTCAATTAGAATAGGGCACATAAGCCGGGGTGTCTCGCTCTGTTCCCCGAATCCCCAGGCCCTTGTGGCCGGTGTTCTGAGGCCCGAGCATTCGAAACCTGCATGATGATGGCATAGCTCTGAGCTGGCATAGCTCTGAGCTGGTGAGTGCCGGAACTCACCTAGTTACTACTTCATAGATAAAGAATGTGCCGATGCCGGCTCGTGATCGCTTCGCTGAGGAACAGGCAGCGCGGCTAGACCACTGGGTGACCTTCCCCCGTTCATCTTTTTCTTGGTGTCATCGACTGAGGAACGGTGAGCGAGAAGCATTCTCAGAGATGAGCGCAGGTTTTTTCTGTTCGTCGGAATGACTGGAGTTCTTGGTGAAGGGATGCCATCGTCAACATGAACAATACGACTAGCTTGAGTCGTCGTCCAAATCTCCGTCAGTTCGGGACTCCAACCCGCGTCTCGCCTACCAGCGGTCCGACTGGTATTGGCAACTTCAATTCTCCAAACTCGGAAGACATCTCGTATGCCCATGTGTCACCACATGACCACGTTGAGGTGTCCCGTTCCACTGCCTTGGCGAACCAGGTACCTTTCCGACGCTTGGCGCTCTTCTGTAACATCAATAAGTCGAGATGGGGCTGAACGACTGTGATTATGCTTGTACGCCGGAGTTATCGTCTCACAGGGGTTGAGCTAACCAGGGCAACTGGCTTACAATTCCGTCTCTTGGATGATGTCGAGACATGGGTAGGAACGCCTAGGAAGAGAGGCAACGCGGAGGCCGAGTGCCACCCAAATCAGAAACCAGGGAGTCATGGCTGTCTCACTGTCACGGCACCTCCTAGACCTTGGGGAGAACGTCTGCGTCGTCTGGCGGCCAACTTCTGCAGCAGAAACAGATGATAAGGGCTCTCAAAGTCGGAAGGATGAAATCGTATTATTTCCTAAACCAGCTGCTGGCTCTCTCCAAAACCGCCACGGCAGAAGGGCGAACCCTATCGCCAAGTATACTCCAATTGCACTAATGGGGTTGCTGTCCCGAGTGTCCCCCGCGGGCTCCCCCACCGCCAGACTTATGAGGGCCGGGCCTATTCTCCGGCCCCGCTCCCCTGACCCTCCCCCGCGCCGCCTCGTACAGCCCCTGGATATCCTTCTTCCACTGCTCGACATCAACCCTCACCACGCGCCGATCATACGTCATCAAGCCATTGACCTCGCCCTCGACATCAGTCGTCTGCGTGTAGACTGCCCCGCTGCAGGCGTACTTTTCGACCTGCTCGCGCAGCAGCTGCAGAAGGACGTGGGCGCGGTAGTGGTATGATTCGAGGCCGGCATTGTGGAGCTCGTAGGTCTCGTTGATCGTCCTAACGGCTTCTGGGACAGGCCAGAGACTTTGTCGGGGTTGGCATGTTAGTATGTGTGTTTTTGAGTGCAAAGACCTGTTGGTGATTGAGGATGGGGATTGAGAAATGAAATCAAATGTTACGGAGGGGGGCAGGGTAGCGGGTACGTACTTCTCATCTGCTGGCCGGTGGCCGATCCCGCCAAACTCGCCTTGGAAGCCGATGCGTTTGGGGTCGTAGGGTGTGTTTGGGAGCGAGGACCACGGCGTGCCGCATTGAGGCTCGGCGTAGTGGTGGTTGTCTAGCAACACGTGTTAGTTCCAGTCCACGAGACTCTTCATCCAGTGAGACTTGAGATGGGCTCACCGTGATAGTCACCCGCCCCGTGATCATGCCACCCTGTGACCGAGTTGACCAATCGGCTTGAGTCCAGCTCACGAACTCGGTCAGTCAGAAAGAACTCAGGATAATAATTCGTTCTCTGGCCCCATCCCTCGTTGTAGATGACCCAGGTGACAATGCTCGGGTAGCTCTTGTGCTCGTTGACCATGATCTCGAGCTGGCGTTCAAACTCCCTCTGCTCGGCGTCGGTGGGCGGGGCGTTGGTGAAGACCCTCATCGAGGGCATATCCTGCATGACGAGCAGACCCAACCGGTCACACGCTTCGTAGAAGAGGTCAGGCTCGACCTTGATGTGCTTCCTCACCATGTTCATGCCCAGGCTCTTGATGAGTTCGAGATCGTACACCATCGCTTCCAGAGTCGGAGGCGTGTAGATTCCATCCGGCCAGTAGCCCTGGTCGAGGGGGCCGAACATGAAGACAAACTCGCCGTTGAGCTGAGGCCGTTGGATTCCGTTGACGACGCCGGTGGAGATTGTCCGGAAGCCGGTGTAGCTCTTGACCTCGTCGTCGCCCATGATCACGGTGATGTTGTACAGAGTTGGGCTGTCGGGCGACCAGAGCATCGGCGATGGAACATTGACGGTGAAAGGCTGGTCCGACACATGCTGCTGGGAGGCAACAACGTCACCCTGGGGGCTGGCAATCGAGATATCAACAGGCGTGTTCTCCTTGTGCCAGCTGCGGGCAACCACGGTAACTGAAGCGAGTCAGCCAAAGGTCACTCTCGTTAGCGTCGCCTGCCCTCGAGAACTTACCGTTCCCGTTCATATCGGCAGTAATGTCCAGGCTCGAGATGAAGTCCTTCGGGACGCTCTCAAGCCAAACAGTCTGCCATATTCCGGTACACGGCGTGTAGAAGATGTGAGAAGGCCGCCTGACCTGCTTGCCTTGGGGGATGCTCTGGTCATCGGTTGGGTCAAAGACAAAAACATGCCTAGAGCCTATGGTCAGGAACGGCGCTGTCTGCAAGCAATAAGCCGGAACCGACGATACTTACAACTGGTTAGCGCCGTCTCGGACAATGTTGGATGTTATGTCGAGGGTGAAGCGATGGTAGCCCCCGCGGTTGGTTCCAACCTCGGCTCCATTGACATACACGGTGGCCTCGTAGTCGACCGCCTCAAAGTTGAGCATGACCCGCCGGCCATTATCAGCCCAACGAGGCGGGACAGTGAAGTTGGTGCCGAACCACATGTGGATGACATTCATCTCCTGGATACCGGAGATTCCGCTCTCAATGCAAGAGGGAATCAGGACTTCCTGTCCCAGAGGAAGAGCCGGTGGGTTGGCGACATCACCTGGGCCCTGAGCTTTCTGGAATGTCCAGATGCCGTTCAGAGACTGCCAGACGTCGCGGCGGAGCTGCGGCCGAGGATACTGCGGCCACGGATTGGATCCGACCTTGCTGGTCCAGGGCGTGTCGAGAGGAGGTTTGAGAAGCTGATATGGCGCCGCGGCATCGGCGCATGCCAGCAGCAGAGTGCATAGCGACAGGATAAGCTGAGTGATGGTGATCATGATGCAAAAGCTGCTGTGGTGAAGTCAATCAAAAGGGTATGCAAAATTATCTCAACCAGTTGCCAGAAAAGGGGAATTGGCGATGATGAGCGAGATGTGGCATGGCGGAGAGGAGTACGGGGCGGCACTAGGCATAAGTACTAGTGTTCGCGGCCGGCTCGAAGGAGGATGGATCCTGTTCCGTTCATGAACAATGCCAAGTCGTCCGCGTAAATGGAGTGAGTTGTTAAGATGTCATGGGACCCGGTTTAGGCAGCTCGCTGCCGGGGAACATCGGACGGCAGGCTGGGCAGTCGGGGACCGGCGCCGGAGGTCACGGGGTAGCATCGGTGTCTCTGAGATGGCTGATCATTGCGGCGAGTTGCATGCGGATCATGGATGAGATATCCATCTCGCTGTGGTGAGGGGTTGCAATCTTGCAGCTTCCGAGTTGGGAAGAGATACGTTGCCAATAAGGCCCTTATTGGCAACAGTAGGTGCTCCAAAAGTCGCGGAGAAGGCATACTCAGGGATCCTATGACATCGTGCTGGCCAAAGTGGAGGAGGCCTGGCATATGGGTTGTGTGACGTTGTTCGACCCGGAGGAAGGATGAACCCACCTTCCAATACTGTGGAAGGGGCACTTCTCAAAATTAGGTAGGTACCTGCAACCAAGGTGGAATTGGCCATAGAATCGAGATATCAAGTCGCACAATCCGCATAACTCAGCTGTTCATGCCTCGGGCCACCACAGCTGTCTACACCCTTCTTTCGGTCAGCGGAAACAGTCCGGCTCGGGAGACACGGTGTAGCATGAGATGGGAAAAGATATTGAATATTTTCCTAGACTTCATTGGCGTGCTATAAGTATGCAGTGAGACTAAGACCGCGTGGGCGTGGAAAAGCAGCGTTGTAGCACATGTGGAACGAAAGGGAAGTCGGGAACTCCGACAGCGTCTTCCTTTCCCAGAGTCATGATCAGTGACGTCAAGGGAGCCGAGAACAGTTCAATAATGTCAAGCACCGCTTGCCAACCCCTGAATCGTGTCCCGAGATGGGTTGAACGCACCAACGTCTTGAACGAACTATGTTTGCCAGAAACCTCACTCTAGTGGTTCTGTGTTGGTTTTGAACCCATTGAGCCACTATTACATTGGTTGCTACCAGACAACATGAAGCCAAACTTTACCCGGTACGAAGCCAGATCCTCAGCGCCCGCCCCGACCTGGACGCCTGGCCTCATCCATGCCATGATCCATGAGGCCTTCTGGTTACGCCTTCCCTGTCTTCTGCGCTCTGGGCTGCTTTGGCGCAGCGAGCGAGAGGTGATTCCTGCGATTTATCGGTCTCCTCATCGTCGTAAACTTGGGGCGTACCGCGCCGTGGAGACGGCTCAAACCCCAATGATCTCTCGACCCGAAAACCAAAGTCCACCAGCAGCCTTTCCGGGTTGACGTGGTAGTGGCGGTTTGTGTCCTGCAGAAGCTTGTTCCACGTCCTCTTGCGGACCCTGGTTCCTTCGCGGACGGCGCCATGGCATTCGCGCCACTTCTGGCGCACTTCTCGAGGTTTCTGTGATCCCCTCTTTGTCGAGCCAGTCGATCATGTCCTTGACGAGCTCCATTGACTCCTCCGCCATGCTCTGGGATGAGGAACACCTAGATCTTGAGGAACAACCTGGTCTCGATACGCTCGACCGCATTGTGCGCCTCGTCACGGAGACGATGCGAACTCTTCCATGTCCTCCACTTGGTCTTGATCGAGATCTTCCGCATCATCCGGGTCTCTGCCGAGTTCGCGTTCCTGTTGGAGCTCGTCTTCAGACTCGGTGTCAACCTCGCGATTGGAAAATCTCTGCTGCCTCGCCGGTGCTCGAGCAGTACCGCGGGCGCCGCCTCGGCCTCCTCTTGCGGAGGAGCGACGGAGTCCTGGCTTTGCCATTCTTTTCTTCACAAGGGGGGGTGGGCGATCACTCCAGCGTCAGACGGCGTCGTTGTGGAGCCAATCGTCATAGATTGACATTACAGTTAAGGAGCTTGAGAGCTGTTTCTCACAGATGGGCCTCAACTATATTGAAGCAGAACAGGGGCCGACCGCGAGCCTTTGGGCCGCAGGAGCCCACAGCGATAGAAAAAGCCGCCAACACAATTGCAGTTTGGACGGGAAGGACTGCCGACACGGACAGAGTCATGGAGGAGGCCTGGAGAGAGAGGTGGCTCAAGGAACGAGACGGCCGGACAGCAACGAGGCCCGCAGATGACCTTGACCACCAGCACGAGACTCTGTTCCAAGACAAAACCCTAAGGAGACACGACGGCCTCAGCAGAGCGAAGAGTTCACTGTTGATCCAAATTCGAACCGGGGCCATAGGCCTTCGGGCTTTCCTATTCGAAAGGAGAGTCCCAGAGGTACTGACGCCTATATGCGAGTGTGGAGAGGGGCGAGAGACTGTCGAACACCTTGTGATGTGGTGCTTGGCCCCACCGTTGACTCGAAGATGGGAGAGAGCCGAAATCAGAACGCGAAGGGACTTTTATTCTGTTCTACAGGGAATCAGTCCCAAAGCTGCACGGCTAACGGGGAGGATCCTGGACTGGCTGATGGACTCGGGGAAACTGCCGATGTACGGTCTGGCCAGGAGGCTGGAGCTGGAGCTCGAAGTCTAATACCCTTTCCTTCGAAGGCCAAGAGGCCTTCCCACTTTGTATTTGCAGGATCGCACACTGATCGTTTCCTTGATTGTCGATATGGGTTTTTCACCCGGCCCACGAGGGCGCGGTTTTCTTGTATAGTAAGTTGTTGAAGGTCCGGCAAGCCCAAGGGCACAGCGGTGTAGGAATAATATATATTGAAGCAGATGGTTGTTGACCTTGGTTACCGCCTCCCAGTCTTCGTCATACTGCCATTGACGACGCCGGCGACCTCAAAGACGGTAGCTCTCTCGCTCTGTCATTCAGGACAAAGAGCATCGCATTCGGCCAGAACTCACAAAGTCCTAGGCCATTTATCGGTTGGTAAACTAATATCGCTATGCCTGACGGAACAAGATCTTCTGCCCTTTAGTTGTTTTGAATCTTTTGTTACAGGCTGACGTTGGTGTCAAGAACTTGAGAGTTTTTCCGCGTAATTACAGTACGTATTCGAGTAAGGGACCCACCCCTTCAACAACTTGAATGCTTCAATTCACTGTCTCTCTAATCTCCGGAAAGGGGAACTGGGTCCTGATTCCCCCCACCGTCCCCAGACCCAGGGGTTGAGTAAACTATGAACCAAATCGACCATGGAGACCAGACCGAAGACTGAAGCTGCCCATCTGCCGGAAGGCGCTAACATTGCCGCCCTCATACACATCCCCAGTTGAATCGGAATCGGAAGTGTCCCCGGATCTTTGGCGGTACTCCACCCATCACTCGTGTCATTGTACAACACCTCCGGCTGGATTGGCACCTTTAGGGGCATGCTTCTGTCCTCCTTCTCCTTTAAGTCAAACCTTTACAACCTCCTCTCCCCATCAACACCCAGCATCGTACCGTCCCCCGCGTCCCTTACTACCGCCAGCCCACTCCACCCATTCTGCGTCGTAGCCGGTGGAGGATCCGGAGCAAACCACTCCTTCAACTCCTTGCCCACCCTGAGGACACCTTCCCCTCGAAAATCATATTTTGGCACCCACTGTTACGGCCACTAACAGTGGGTGCAAGAAGGTTATTTACAACACCAAACCCTGCTAAGAGTGCTAAAACGCACATTCCGAATGCCAATTCGCAAAGTTGACCACAAAGTCGACGACGCCAAAACCACTCGCGCATACCCGACGGTAGCTTGGTGGGCTTCTCTTCAACAGAGGAGCCTTACGAAGGCCCAAGATACCCTCGACACTACTCGCGCGCCACGCGCGCTCGATATATCCGCGTCGTGTGAACCAATTCAGCACCCGCGCACCCAGCCACCGGCACTGCACGCATCGAAACAACAGATCAAGGACGTTGTTCGGCCCGGAGAACTCTCCTATAGAGCCTAAGAGCTGGTACTCGACGATGTAAATACCCCCTTCAACCGGTTTTAGCCTAGCCCCGAGGCTAGGTAGTTTTCCGATCAACCACCGATTTCAATAACGCTCCGAAGCGCTATACCTTACGGGTATGTCGGGCGGAATAATTTTGGAGGATAGAGGTAGGAATCCAGTGGGGTGGAAACCCCTACGGGCCCTCGCAAACGGAGGCGAGCATGTAGCTCTTCAAGTCGCCCTTATGGCGAGCGTTGCTATACAGGCGGTGTATGATATATCGTAAACAAGCCCTGGCATGGCACGTCCCTATATACCCGCAGGTATAAAGAGGTAGTAGCGGCATTGCAGCTCCCTTAGGACGTTGATTGACAACAACAACAATAACAACAACAACAACAACAGTCCACCCTGAGAACTGTCCCTGACCAAGTCTCAACAATGTACGTCCTCACAAGTCAATCATCTTTCACGTCCGGAAAGTCGTCGTACCTCTCCTTAACTTACTCACGCCTGTAACCTCCGCCCCGCCGTACTGCCATCCCAGTCCAACTTGATTGGCTCCAGCTCACCACTCAGATCCGCGCCACTTGTCTCCCGGGGACATGCCGAATTGGCCAAAATTCTTACTGCGTGTCTCCTTCGGATACTGCCGGGCTCACTCTATGATGTCTGCTGTAGTAGTTCTTAACAGGTCCAACGGCGCTTATGATGTGAACATGCCCGTGGGAGAGATACCGGGGAACGATAGGACGGATTTGACGGTGTTGATGTAAGACACACATATATGCAAAGAATCCATGATGGAAGCCTGGACGAAGTGCGTTTTATAGACCAATATTTCAGCTAATGAATGACTGTTCCTGGCTGCTTTTGATACAGAGCCCACTACAAAGGAACTAGATCGTAGTCAACATCTTTGGTGCCAGTGATTGTTGCATTCTGACAGTAAACTTAGTAGAACTCTGCCAAAGGAAACAGGATGTCCTTTGCAAAACACACATAGTAATCAGAAAACCCCACCGACGAATACAACGAATAACACAAGTAAATCTAGACGAAGGCAACGGCAATGGCTGCGAAAGCACTTGAACCGACTGAACCGCATTTCCAATAGATCTAGCTCTCAGCAGGCGACAAACAGGCTCCTCACAGCATACCTAGTATCATCCAACAACAAACCTTCGGACGAATCCAAACGACCAGTCTATCTGGCGCCATAATGTCCTAGATTCCTCAACAGCGCCTTCGTCTCCCCACAATACCCCTTCAGGGCCTCCCCGTCTTCCAGCGCACCCCTCAACCACTCCCTAGCCTTCTCAGCAATCATCTCCCACTCATCCCTCAGCACATCCAACTCCCCCTCCAAGCAAGCCAGCACCAGCGCCGTAGCAAGCTTATCACACTCGCCCCCCAACCGCACAGGTGCCGTGAAACCCGCCCCAAGTCCCAGGATGGCCAGCACTTCCCGACTCCACCGCCACGCTCCGCTGAACGACTGCAGGGAGACAAGGGCTTTGAGCTTCTCCGCACCGATCAGGCCTTCGAGCTGCATATCGTGTTGTGATCCAGGGAGATCAGTTTCTTCCTCTTTGTCCATCGCGCGCTTGGCCGCTTTGGCTGGTGGGCATGGTGCCTCCGCCCTCGAGCGGCGAAGCGAGCACTGGGGGGATGTTACTCCGCCGTAGGGGCTGGAGCCGAACAAAGATGCGGCCGGCGCCGGGGGCGGAGGCGGCGGAGCGGCGGAGGCGAAGAGCGAGGCGCCTCCTCCTCCTCCGCTGACGCTGCCGAAGAAACCTGCGTTTCGAGAGGTGGTTTGGCTAAAGAGTGGCCCTGCCTGAGACGGTGAAGCCCCAACTGCAGGATTGAAGTGAGGGGCGGCAGAGCCGAAGAGCGTGCGCCGGGCCCCGCCAACATTGCCGAGAAGCCCTCCGCTGTGTGACGCGGCCTGGTTGAAACGGACTTCTGATGATGTACCGGGACTGGGGGCTGCCGCAGAGCCCATAGACATATTTCCTCTGCTGATATTGCTGAGCAGTCCGCCGCTGTGGGACATTGTTTGTTGTACTGGGGCGGACCACTCTTCGGATATGTCCGAGTCGTTAGATTGGCCCAGAATAACAACGGCCGGGGCCCCCGAGGGAACCGACTTGAGGCAAACTTTGTAGCTAGCGAGCCTGCGGGACGCGCGTCCACCAAACGTCATGTCTGTGAGCTGGTTAGCCTTGTGCTTCACTATCGTAGCCGACAAGGCTCGCCGTTCCGAGAACTTGACTAGAGGCAACTTACTGCGTTCGCGCTCAGCCTTTGCAGCGGCGGACAGAGAAGCTCCAGGCTGTATCTCCTGCGTCTCCAATTCATCGTTGTCCGCCTCAACCGCCACGAAGCTGCACCACTTGCCGCCCACCTGGTATGACACGCCGAGTCGGACGGCTTCCCGCTCGACCATGTCACCGAAGCGACCGGGATACTTGTCTTTGAGCAGAGGACCAGCGGCGTCCTTGGCGTCACTCACATGATAAATCCAGCCACGGCCCTCTTCCAGCTCCTTGACAGCATTACGAGCGGCCAGCCGGTGGATGGTCTCGCTTTTCTCTGGCAGCACCGTGACCGGGATCTCCAGTTCGACAGGTCCGTAAGGTGAACTGCCGCGGAGAACGACCGCCTTTGGCTGTTTCTGGATGGTCTTCGGGGAGAGAAGCAGGTACACAGACGTGCGGTTGAAGGGGTAGAGCGGGGGTATGACAAACGGTGCCTGCAACATCTTGGGCTCTGAAACCGGCGGGACGTGCGAGTACTTGCCGCCGGCGGAGGTGTTCGTCGGCGCATTGGTCATCGCAGCATAGAGATCGGCAGATTCGTCGAAGAGGGAGATGACCTTCTTAGGCGGTTCCTCTTTCTCGGGTTCCTGCACGTCGATGGCCAGGCCATCCATGACCTTCTCAACGAGTTCGAAGTCGTCATCGGAGTCGACCGCGGGTTCCTTGCTGTACTTGATTTCAAGGGTGTAATCCGTGATATGCGGCGTCAGAGAAGCCTTCAGCATCCGGACAACCTTGCTGTTCATGTTCTCATTGTCGCCAACAGACTGCGCGAAGCCATTACCGGCCGCCGCGACGCCCTCGATGAGCGCATGGCTGACATCGCGGCCGATTCCAAGGCTGAATACACGGGCCCTGCCGTTGGTCTCCGCGACTTGCTTGTTCAGCAAATTGAACAGCGCCGCTTGGTTCCAGACCTCACCGTCCGTGAGCAGGAAGACCTCCAAGTCTATATCGGTATAGCGCTTCTTGAAGACTGCCTCCATGGGCGAGTAAATATCCGTCCCACCGAAATTTGCAGAAAACATGTCCACGTAGCGCGTAGCCTCCTCAAGCGCAGACTCGTCATATGTCCGAGAACCGTTGGGAAACAGAAATTCGTACCGCGAGCCGAAGGAGCAAATATTGAACTTGACACCGACAGGGAGGGACTTGAGGAAGAGATGCAGGGCCGTCTTGAGATTTTCAACCTTGGATCCTTGCATGGAACCCGAGCGATCGCAGAGGAAGACAATCTCGGGCCGCGACGAGGGGAGGTTGAACTTGGGCACGAGTGTAACCATCAAAGCCCGGTGGTTGGGGATCGTGGGGTGGGTTTCCATCACAGCGACAGGATTGCTGATGTTGGTGGCGACAACCTGCAGAACAAAGTCGTTGTCCAGTTCTGTGGTAGACAAGGCAAGAGTCGCTGAAGCCTTCTGTAGCGACATTTCGGCACCACTGGTCGCGTCGTTTGAAGTGTTGCCCAGGGTCACGGAGATGGGATGCGAGGGCGACTGGACGTTCTTGACGTTACAGCCATTGGGCATGTCGATATCGACGACAATGCTTATGCCGCTGTTGGTATCGACCGCAGTGGACTGAAGTAGTTCGCCTGGATAGCTCCCGTATCGGGGCGCAACGTGAGTGGGAATGGTAAAGCGGATCCCGTCGACCTCGGCGTCGTGTTTCAGCTCACCAAGGTATGTGATGTCAACCTGGAGCTTTGCGTTTGCAGGGACGTTGCCGACGGTGGTGGTAAAAACATCGCTTGCTTCAAAGAGCTGCTCCAGCAGGCCGGCAGTCTCGCCGCGGTCGACAGCCTCTTTGAAGGTCTCTTTCGCTTCGGCGCGCTCCTTGATGACGCCGCGGATGACTCGGTCGCCATTGATGGTGCAGACGAAGCCGACCACCGAGACTCCGTCATACAGAGGAAAGGTGTACCTCAACTCGGAGATCGGTTCCGACTTGGGGTTGACGAAAGTCTGAGTGAGGGTCGTCCTGCTCGCCGATGAGACGATCTTAGATTTGACTGAGAGTGACAGCTGGGGCATATAGAGGCGCTGTGACTCGTACTCCGGTCTCGCACGGTCCACAAGATAGAGGCCACAAATATGCTGGGTGCGCGCCAAGTGGCGTTGGCGAGCTGCCTGCTTGGTTCGCGCCATTCTGATAGGGTCGAAAAACGGTTGTGTGGTTTCGGCAGGGTCGGGATTAGCGTCCGCTGTTGTGGTGAAATCACCTAAGCGAGACGGCGCCCTGAAGATAGCTTTGAGCGGGTGGGTCGGAGTCTAATAAGCTGAGTTGAGGGTTGAAAAGTGAGTCGGAAGTGCAGGATCAAGGCATCTTGTTAAAACCTGAAAGGGAATTGGGAACTTTTATAATGCATTGACTGTTCCTCTCCGATCATGGAAAGCGACGACGACGTACTTGAATGTTTCGCCCTACAACAGGCAGCAAGCCGGAAAAGGTGGGGCAGGATCTGGGCTTAGCGAATCAACGATCGCTGTTCTAGGACTGCCCCACTTCCTGGCTGGACGTAATGCACAGTTGAGCGATGATAACCTGAGCAGAAGTCAATAACAGATCTGGAACCCGGCCATTTACGGACCCGCTCGGTGGCTAGATGGACAAATTTTGGGGTGCAAGGACATGTCAAAGGTAAAAGATATGATCGACATTTCCTCACGATGCCACAGTTGCTTGAAAAGCTATAACCCCGTTTCCGAGGAAACTACCTGCAGTCCACTTACACGCGCTTCCCACTCGAATGTTGGATCAACTCTCCGCAAATCAACGTGAACCAGCCATCGAATAAATCGACACAGGGTACATATTGAGTAGAATTGTTCGAGGGTATTTCCGATCCTAAATTGTGGCTGCGAGTAATTTCAAGCCTAAATCGTAGCTGAGCACTGCAGGATGCCCTCAAGCAACTCGTTGAGCCCAACCTCAGCCACGCAAACAAGCGGTGAGCCTGTCACAGAGGGCGTTGGACTGGCCAGGCATAAGGGAAAATATTTATTTGACTGTAATTGCTTAATTTGAGCAGCGGAAAGCCTTTCACAACTGTGTTCGTCAGAATCCGCGCTCTCGTACATCTGTCTGTAGAGCCATGCATTTAGGACTGCAATGGGTTTTGAAGTGTCTGCCGTAAAGGGCTGGGGTTTATTGCCATGAAGCAAGGTACCGCAGTCTAGCAATATACTAGTTAGTACCTTACATTGGCGAGGGTGTGGGCCAAGTAACAACGCTTGCGTTGTCCTGCTTCTGGGTCAGCATTATGTACGCGAAATTGCTCTTGGCTTGGGCTACTGCTTTGTAGAAGCCGCTTCTAGGCATAAAATACCTAAGTAGGTAAAGTAGCTACCTCAGGAAAAGCGGACTTTTTGAATCTCAAAGCTGCTACTTCACCTACTTTCCCTCAGCCACTACTTCTTCCGTCCTCAAAAAGCTTCGGGCAGTTGAGCCACGTAGGGCAGGGAGATGCAATCAAGCATGTGTCACGAACTGTGGAGGGGTTTCATGGAAGTATGGTAGGTATTCAACCTCGGGAATGGTGATAAATTAAAGTTGCTGAACCGAGTCATCCCGGGACCATGTGCGTAATTAATAGGTAACCATTTCCCATACGTTATCCTGGGTTCAGAGTCTTGTCCCTTAACCTCCCTGTCCACAAGCATGCAGAGCCCTATTTCCATGATCATGAACCCCTTCACACTCCACAAACAGCCATTGTCCATGGCGCAATCCGACCTCGCATACCCCTAACCTCATTCAAGGCTTATGTATCCTCACCAATGCCAAGAAATAATCCTCGAGTGGGAGCAGGTTCAGCAGGAAGTTGTTGAAGTTCCACGCTAGAATGCAAGCACACGCGCCGGCAACCGCGTCGAGGACGAAATGGTTCGCCGTCGCAACGATGGCGGTGAGAATGATGGCAGGGTAGATCATGCCGACGCAAACGATGGCAAGGCGTCTCCAGCCGAAGCGGCCACGTCTTCCCAGCGGGACCGTGGCGATGGTCAAGCCGATGAGAAAGGAGTAGCCGAAATGTAGTGATGGCATGGCCGCTGGAAGACAGTAGCGTCAGCATGTATCATGCACACAAAGGCGATTACTACTACTCACCATACTGGTTGCAGAATCGGTTCGTAGTCCAGACACTGCTGTCACCGTCCGCCCCATGGACCGTGTCGACGAAACCGAAGCTCTTGGCCTGCTTTGCATACTCGCCTGTGTAAGTCGGATCACTCAGCAGCCTCGGGGGCATGCACGGCCAAAAGGTAAACACGATGAAGGCCAGGAGATTGCACATGGCCATGGTTCGTCTCCTTCGCTCGTAAATGGCTGGCCCAAACGGCAGGGCGAGCTCCCTCCAGTTGTGAAGCACAGATTTGCCGCCATGCTCGTCTTGGAATTTTTCTTTTGGTCTCGCGGTCGTGACGTGGTAGAGGATGATCAGGTAAAGGATAGTACCCGGTATGTGGATAAACGAGTAGGTCTTATTCGTCCATCGCATCAGGGCAGGGCTTTCGAGAAACCAACGCTGCACGACAGGCTCAATGAAGATACCGAGGCGCTGCTCGGCGTGGATGATCTGGAGCGCATGTTTACGGGCGGTGTTGACTGTTGATGTTTGCAGCCTCACGGCCGTAAAGGCGCGTCCGAGCTGGTAGACCTGGGGAAGTATGAGCATAACGTAGCTCCCATGCCGATTGGTCCATTTGGGATTGAGATTTGAGGAGATAAGAAGAGGTCATACCCAGTAAATCAGGGCCCAATACCACACTTCAACAAGAAAGGGGTAACGTTGGAGAAGTCGGCTGAGGAAACGATCCTTGAAGATCTCGGTGTTTGGAGTCATCATTTCGTTCTCCCAGTGCATGAACCGCACTCTTCGTTTCCGCCATCTCGAGGCAGTCGTGTTTGAGTTGTCTTCTGCCAGAGTGTTGCTTGAGCAGCTACTGGACCTGCTCAATCTTGAGGCCACAGGGGAAGGTTCGTTTCCTTTTCTTATTGTGCCAGCCTCAACATCCTTGTCGTTCTCGTCCGAGTTGTATCGAAGGTGCTGCCAAGGCTCCGGCCGATTGGCGGCGAGAGGTTGGTACTGACTAGCCCAGTTTCTGTTCCGGTTGACGATGGTGCCGACGACTAGCAAGGTTACTACCACGAGCGGCTCGAGGACGGCACCGATCGCCATAGTATGGAAGCGTAATATGGGACGGGAGGCAGCGTGCCTTCCTTCAAATAGCTGTGTAGGTTGGTGGAGACGGGAACAAGGGCGGTAAGTCTATCGGTAAGTATAGAATAACTGGAAAGGCCGAAAGGGAAGAATAAATGACGGTTCAGAGGTCCAGAGAAGACGGGAAGACATCAGATGAATTACCTTATTAAGTCACTTCTGCCTGGGTCCAAGCAGCGTCTGTGAATTTGTGGGAGACCTTGTCAGTGGCAGGGTTGGCAGCCCGGGAGAAGAGCGCTCCTTCCTAGAGCTTCCAAACGGCTTGACCGGCTCAGTCGTCATTCCACCACTCCGTTCACTTCATGCCTGTACTTCCCACAGATCACGTCAATTTCCAGGTTGCCTGCCGGGGAAGCTGCCTGGTTCTGGCGTCAAACGGCCCGCTTCACAAAACTGCGGGAAGCCGGGAACTGATCCTCGGCCCCCAGGCCCGAGGCAAACGAGCGAGGGCCAGGGCTGTCAGGCTTCAGACTCATCACATTAATCCCATGTGGCCAGCTGTCGACTTAGAGTGCTAGCCCGGATGCATCGGAACTCAAAACAAGATGGCATCCACGGACGTGGTGGGGTTCAGGCCGGGACCATGTGCCATAGCAAGTCACTGACCCGACCGCCGCGGCCTCGGATGGGTCGTCACAAGCGTTACTGTGTGCAGCAGTATAGCTCCAAGATGCCAGTTTGCCGGTATATCAGACTCGGAATGATAACAGTTCGCCATTGCGCAGTGGTGAGTTGTGATGGTGACGCCTCAAAACCTCTCATCCCCCTGTTATGGGAATCAAGCTGGTTGCAGTTAGGCATTACACTGAGTTCTCAAGCTTCACCGGATGGATTTGTGAGAATCAGGGCAAGCTGAATGGAAATCGATACATACAGCTTGCAAAGCTGCGGGTACGAGGATCGGTACATCGGCCATTTGAGCGCCCGAATCGGGCTTCGCCAAAAGGCCGATGACGACCCAAAAATTGTGGTTTGGCATGGAAAAGCTCAATGGAAGAAACGTGCTGCAAGATGCTCTCCTGGCCGCGTCATTGGCATGGTATGAAGCGTAGGTGGAGTGAAACTCCACTTGTTCGCATTTTCGGATTTGACGTCGTCATACCCGGAACTGAGGACTCCATGCGCGTATCAAGCATCGCCATGTACTTGGGCGCGTCCAGAAGATGTCCTCGGGTCGAGAACACACTAATCTCAGTGAGCGAGCGCATTCTCAAAATTGGAGTCTAAGAATCCTGCATGTCGCAAAGAGGGCTGTGGCAGTAGACTCAAATTCCTTCCATGATTTTGATACCAGGGTACATCTAGGACCAACGGCCGATTCGAAATTTTCCCCATCTCCAAAGAAGCCGGAAAGCGATCGCAGGCTGTTCGAACTTCGATTTCCGATCCCCGGTTCCCGTCCCAGAAATGGGACCTGCCATCTTATCCGCAGCCAATCCGCAGATCCGAGAGTGAAGTGCCGGACCCACTGAGACTGTTTACCACAGTAATGCAGGGTGAGTGGACGCCTCCACTGTTTTGGCGATTAGATCACGCGATCATTTTCCTGCTTTGCTGGCTCGAACACCTCCTGGACTCCCTTTGAATTTCCAGGCGCAAGTCTTCGAACACTCTTCCAGTTCGCAATCTTTGCCAACACCACGACAGTTTCCTGTTTCCTCGCTGGCTCCGATGGAATCCGTCTGGTGCGATTCAAGACACAAGCGGTAATGACAAACTTTGCGTGATGATGCACTGGGAGTTTGGACAGCAGCTTGAAGCCTTTTGTTTGCTCAAGTAGTTGCTATAGTTGAAGGTTGTCTCCAGCAGGCACTGGAGTGGTGACAATCAGTGTTCACGAGTCAGCCACTGTCCCACGAGACTTGATGGCCTACATGTACGGATCCGTACTCATATGAAACTCTTCTCAGCCAAAGTCCCATCATAACTTCCAGACCCATCAGCGCCACTTCCAACCTAGTCATACACTAGGTAGGTAAGCTGTTTTATTCATTTCGCGCAGCTAATGAGTTCTCGGAACGCCAGGGTCAACAGAGATCCTTTCGCACCAGCACTTGCTTGGTGACCGTCCGCCCGCACTTTCTGCCATGGAAAGCCCCACTCTGACCAGCTTGCCAGTCGAGATTGTGCTTCTCATCGCGGAGGCTCAAGCAGCGAAAAATTCCCCGATGCCGAGACATCCTGACTCTGATGAGATTTTACTTGGTTGCAAAAGCTCAGAGCCGGGACACTGTTCGGCGCTTCCAAAAAAAAGCTATGGTCCAGGTCGATTCGAAAAATATGTGGCAATTTCCATACGGATTGAAGACGAGCGGCAGCCTTTCCGGCCAGAGTTGGGCAATTTTCCGAGGCGATGTTGAGCTTGCTCAGCTCGCCCTAGTTGAGTACAACATATCCAATGAGACCATGATCGACGTTCTTCGGGGGACCAGAGCCACGAAGATGCCTCAAGATCCGCTTGATGAGCGGCCTCGTCATTTTTCATGGGTAACATCTCGGAGGTTCGAGATGGAGTCATACATGACACCGGCCATGTTAGCCGTCTTGCCCAAAAGTATCGATATGCTGAAGCTCGTACACCAGACCTGGGACTCAGTCTTCACCGTGTACAATTCGAGGGTTCACTGGGCGTTTCCAGACCAAAGCTCTTGACGAAACACGCAAGGGATCTGAGGGTTACACATGAGCTCTGCGGCTTACGCGGCTTGACTTGGTCCAGCTCTTGGTCGAGGCTGGAGTCACAGTTTACCGGCCGTATATGTGAGAAGGTTTTGAGGGCCAACACAACCACAACATGAATCTGGTAGTTGGTTTCCGCCAGTGACGCCGTTCTTGTACCCATATCCTTCCTCTCACACTGGCAGCTTCGAAGGGAGGGTCTGTCTCACTGCCAATCTCTGCAAAGGAGGCATGAGCTTGCCGGTCTCAGACGCACAGCAGCTCCATCAGTCAAAGTGATGGGATGGATTATTTACTAGACAACGGTCATCCGATCGATGGCGTGTGTTGCGCGAACGCAAGGAGTCAGTCATGCTCGCACGGATCCAACGAAGCTTTACCCATGTTTACGGCACTGTGACATACAATAGAGGACTTGAGATCCGCCTGGTGCCCTGTGCTCAGCTATTGATTCGCTGGGGAGCCAGCTTGGCGACCTGGCCTTACTCAGACAAATGCAGGAGAGGGAAGTGAGAGCTTGTCTCTCCTTAGCTGGGGATCGATCAGGACTCGGAACATGTCGCCTTTCGGATGGGTGCTCCGTGGCGGTAAATGTTCTGTTTGCATCAAGCACGAAAGCCAAACCAGACCGGCGCAGCTCGAGATGGAACAGGCACTTTCTATGACTATGATGGAGGAAGGCATCGAAGGGCCGACGACACTCCACCAGCTGCAGTTCGCTCTGAGACTTGTACAAGTACACTGCCAACCCTGGAAAGTCAACAAGCTGCGAGCTGCCCTGACTTTAAAGTCCTTACAAGTCTGGCGCTTCCTATTGGCGAGAGGAGATAACCTGAGTGCAGAAAGCCAGAGACCGAGAATATCAGAAGTTTAGAACGACAAGAGATCATCTTCAGCAGCTCCCATCCTCCGTTGATGCACATGTAAGGTACAGGACAGTAGTTGATGGTGGGGTCCAGAGTGGGATAATGGATCTTGCAGTGGGGCTTTGCAGGGCATTTCAAGTGCACCACTGGAATGCATGACAGCGGCAGAGTTGCAGAGCTGCCGGCGCGTCTGGCGCGTCTTTGTCCCTGACACGTCCAAATGCGAGCCGTCCAAGCGAACCCGACATACCAACACCGATGAAACGGAGCCATGCAGTAGCGAACCTTGGCAATGGCAATTCGACGTTATCTAAGAGGAGACAACCTATTAAGCCGATTGTTTTGAGTAGTGATAGCGAGTCAGATGCATTCGAGTCCCGTGGGACACACAACCTGGGCGCGTCCGACGACAGCTCTTCACATGAATCTCGGCATTGCTGCTCGCTGAATCTGATCCAGAAATTGCAGCAGGTCGCCTTTGAAGACTTCAAGAGTGAATTCGTCTCGAATTTGATAGCCTACGCCTACCAACCGAACGAGATGCGCCAGATAGGAAACCGGTTCGAACCAAGCTGCCTCCGACAACGACTCCGTCCAAGCTCTTCGCGATGTGCTACAGCAATGGATAAATGGAGACAAGTTCGCGCGATAGGGGAATCACTTCTACTACAGACTAGACCACAAATACGACGAAAGTCCATTCCCGCCAGCCGTGTTTCTCGATCGGGATCGAGTGGTCGTCGAAACACTGTGGAGGATTGCCCAGGAGCTGCGTATTGAGGTTCTCTTTGCAATACTAGATCGGGACGACGATGAACCAACGCCGAGCTACTTGGCCCGCAGGCTTGTGGACTTTCAGGGCCAGGATCTGATCTAGGATATACCAATTGAGAAGGAAAACTGGTTGCAGACCAGGCTCCCTTCGATCAAAGCCCGCCCTCCTGACGCCGAGGTGGTGAGTCTTTCGCCCCAAAATTACTGGTGAGGCAAACGCTCATGAACTGCATCCAGGCCGTCATGTTTGTTCCGCAAGACAGTCTGGTGGACTTTCTGATGCAATACGTTGAAGCCTTTCGGCAACGTCCCGACTCTCCTCTTCCCAGACCAAGGCCGTCAAAGGCTTTGTTGCACACTTCATTGATCACTTAACAGAGAACAACAATCGTGACGGCCTTCATCCTAGCCTCAAGAAGTTGTTTTCCCGGATTTGGCAGCTTGACGAGGAAAGCGGCTTTGCTATTCTTCCCAACCATTGGTCAACCGCCTTCTCAGGGCGGTGGTCAACGAACAGGATTGGAATTCTTTGAACAGGTCACATCTCGCCTTAGCGGGTGTCCTCCCGTGGACTTCTTCATGTGGGTGGCCGAGCAGTTGGTCTCGGAAGAGATCTCCGTCTCCCAGATCGAAAAAGGGTATGCTCACGGGTAGTCATCTCCGTGATGACATTTGCTGACAGTTTTGCAGTTTATTGACCGCTGCCCATGCCTGCACAACTCCATTTGACAGAGTCCTGGCTGCCCATCGGTCCTTACCTCTTTGAGCAGCAGAGAAAGGCTGCCAAGACCTGCTCTCGCCGTTCATAACCCATGTGGCCGACGACCTGGATATCTATGGATCATGTTCCCAAGTTGGCCAGCTACTGGTCGATCTTCTGTACACTACGCAAGGCCCTGATATCCTGGCGACCGAGTAAGTGCATGCATCAATTCTCCGCGTATTTGCGGGTGTTGACATACGAGCGACGTCAAGACTGCCCGCACTCGTCGAGAAGCACGCTGCACACTCAGCATTCGTCCTCGGTGTTTTGAGGGGCCTCCACTACCCCACCAGCGACCGCCCTGCCTTCTCTTCCCTTCCCCCGGGCCTTTTTGAGCAGCTGTCTCAGCTATTCGTCGATGCTCTCGACTTTTCAAAGCTCTCCCAGAGAGCACCACATGCATGGAAGGGCCGTGGCTGTGTATGCGCCGGTCCATCGTCTTCAAAGCCAGCCTCTTCAGCCGCCACGAGAGCTACGTTGCTCGCTGTGTCGGGGCGCTACCACACAAATGGGCCCCGCAGGTTCGAACAGTTTACTGCACCGCTGCATGCAGGATTTGCAACTTGTTCAACCGCTTCCTCAGAAGCAGCCTCTCGGCTGCCTCCTTCCCTCGGTGTCACAGTCGGAGGCGGATCACATCAATACTCGACTGGCACGATATGCCTACACAGCTTGTCGGTGTCACTTCAAGGCACATGGTGAGGGCTTTATTGTTACAAAGTTGGAAGAAGTCGACGCCCAGGCCGACGCAACGTGGATGGGGAGGGTGACAAAAGCCCGAAGCGAATTGGATAAGTTGGATAGTCCAGAGTTGCGATTGATCCTCGGCGACAGCGATTACAGCCGCATCCGAGGCTTAAAAATCGATCTGGTCCCCAAGCCTGTCCCTATCGAGAGCGTGGAGGAGCCATGCAATGAGCCGTTGGGTCTCAGCGTCCCCAAGACCCCGATCTCGACCCGGACAGCCACGTTGTCCGGTTCTACACCTCAGTTGCTCGGAGGGGACTTCTCCGGGGCATCTGCCAGTCGTCTCGGACACCCCTCATTCTTAGGGCACACACCAACGCCTTCCTGCTGCACGCCGGCCAATGTACCGGCCCCAACCTGCCCCAGGGACGGGGCGTCCCCAGGGTGCCATTTCCGACGCCAGCCACAACACCATCCACAACACTGCCTCCCATTTCTACAACGGCCGCCGGTTATTGTTTGTTCGCCGAGGAGGTGGGCGCGCGACTACGCGAACTGAGCTTCTTCTCAACACCCCAATCGATACAGGCTGCCATCACGAAGCGGTGGGGACTTATGAGCCAAGAGAAGCGGCAGCGCTACACTGCGAGGGCCGTCAAGCGCATGCAGTCGGTGAACGCAACGCCAGTCACGGCAGCTGTTTCCCTGGCTCCGCGCCAAGGCCAGATACTTGCCACTCCAACAGCCTCAACATGTGGAACATCGCCTCCCGCTCGGTTGCCGCAGATCCAAGCGCCACCCATTTCCGCGACGTGGCGGGGAAACAGGTCCAGGAAAGCACGACCGGCTACCTCGACGTCGACACCGCGAGCAGCAGTAGGCGCGCTGTCGTCGTCGCCATCTCCGTGCGTTATGGGTCCCGTCTCCGCCAGTCTACTTAACTCGGCTCGCGCGCCACTGGCACGCTGGGGGGACCCCAAAATCAAGACCGAGGCTGTGCCTCCAGCCGCTTCGGGGGGTGTCAGCCGTAAGGTGGGGGAGGTCATCGACCTGACAGGCGACTCTGACTGATGCCGCCCTAGCCTTGTTGGATATTTTGTTTGGGATATGGCATACCGCTGTGCATGTTGTACATATCGATGATGGCTGTGTTCTCGATACCCCACGTTTGTCTTGCGAATCTTGTGGTATTCAACCCCTGCTGTTCCTCATGTAGGCCTGCCTCCGGTGCGTTACACGGCATTGGGGGCTGAGCGATGGGTGTTGGTGGATGGGCGCATTGCCGCAATGGGCTGCACGCTTTCTGCCTGCTGCGGGCTTCTCCCCAGTTGAACGGAAAATCTGTGAGTCGACTTCTAACCTCCATGTTTTCTCTTCTATCTGTAACATGTTGACAGAACGGCAGGTGCTCTGTGCTCATGGCATCTCAAATCAGGAGCGCGATGCCATTCCTTCACATGGCGTGGTCAGCCGCTCAACGGTCTCGTGTGGGTGGGGCTGCGGGGCGACGCCCCAGGGTGTGATCGCGCTCCGGGGGTGGTCCAACTGGGATGGTGTTGGTGCCAAGCAGCCACTCAGGCGCTTGTTGCACGCGCCGTGCCGCCTACGCTTGACCATCAGGATGATACAAAACGACGGGCTCAGCCCTGCCCCTGTTTCCCTGCCTCGCTTCCGTTCAACTAACAAGAGCTAGACGAAATCAAAAAGCTACTACAAAGGCGTAGGAGCGTCGAGCCACGACAGCAGCATTCTCTCCGCCTCCAGTCACGTTTTGAGTGTAATTAGTACACAAACTCAGCCATGGCGACGGCGTTCCCACAGCCCACCGCCAATGCGATCACTGTTGCACCGTCCGAAACACCTATTACGTCGTCTGGCCCAGCCTCAACAATGACTCCCTTTGCCGGCCTAGCAAGAGAGTTCAACGACGATCTCGAATTGGCGTCAGTTCAGCTCGGAGAGAAGCAGACACGGAAGATCCTCAAGGCGAAGGAGGGCAGGAAGCCGTTCTTGCCTGGACAACCACGCATCCGTCTGGACAGGCTGCCACATAGTCCCCACGCCGATGAGGACCTGCTGCTTCAGTACCTCGACAAATGTCACAGCACCAAGCCACTTGATGATCTCCTTCCTTACATGCGGTACATCTTCGTACAGACGCCCTCGTACACCCACGTCATGCCTCTGCACCACCAAAAGTCACACGCGCGCGAGATTAGGGTGTCGGAAAGCCCGGGCCTACACTTGGTCTGGTACTACGAGCTCATCTTCATCAAACCCATCCCGGCATACTTCTACTCGCAAGCCTTCTGGGTGTACCTTGAAAACGTCGAACCAAACCTCTATGCCGCCTGTCTCGGCTTCATGCGCAGCTATTACATGCTTATCCAATACGACATCGACTTCCAGGAGGCTTGCAGGCTGCGCCTAATACCGCCCAAGCGTAAAGGCGGGCGCCCAACCTACGAGGAGTGGTGCGAGTTCATTGAGCCCTTTGGGCGAGTCGGCGATCACTACGTCAACCGCCGGTACCGCTACGGTGAGCTCCGCCTCACGCGCATCAACCGCACCGCCAAGCTGTTCAGGTTCAAGCTAGCCTACTTCCACATCTACCCACAGTGGGGTTCGTTTCTGGAACACACTCTGGCACCGATCATCACCGTCTTCGCCGTGTGCTCTGTCGTGCTCAATTCGATGCAGGTCAGCCTCGCCGCCATCGAGACCGGCAACGAGGTGAAGGAGAATTTGTCGAAAGCATGGTCGCAGTTTATCAGCGTAGCCCTCTGGTTCCCCGTCGTCGTCATGGTCAGTATCGCCGCCGTCATGCTTATCGCCTTGGTCGGCATGGGCGTCATGGGTGTCAGAGATTTAGCGAGGGTATGTTTGCATTTTGTCCCCGAAAACCCTCCGAACATTTCCGGAATAGGAACTTCACAGCTGACATTGTTGGTAGGGTAATTACATAGTCAGTAACCATTCTTTTTGTGTGTGGATTGTTTATACCCCTTTACAGGTATCTCGGGAGCCATCCTGTTCCCGAGACCACGCATCTGTTTCCGAAACGCCCCCGACATTCGTGCAGCTGACATTTGTGGTAGCGGGCACAGAAGAGGAAGAATAACCCGAACGCGGGGACAAGGACTCACGGCAGTACGTCAACTCCGCGCTCTTCCCCCCCACACCCCTACTCCCCCTTTCGAGATGTCTCGGGAGTTACGGCAGTCGTCTTAGTCCCAAAGCGGCGTGTTTGCTCCCGAATTACTCCCGAGACCGCGCTTGATAGGCACAGATTGACTGACATTGTTGGACAGTGGTCTGGTAGGGCGGACTAGCTATCTTCTATCCAACGACGGGGAGATCTTCGGTCTTGCGCCTCCCCTCGCTTTCTACTCCTCCCCTTCGACTCTCGGCTTTTTTCTGTTCTGACTTAAGCCATAAGCTACGACTAAGCTTGTTCGATGCCGAATTGCCCACCGACCATCACCCTGGCATCGAAGTTAAACAATATGCCGTGCGCATCTCCGTCCAGTCGCCCAGTGTGGTGAGCAGGTTGTTGCCCAGGGCCGGAAGGCTCCTTTTGCAAAGATACAACGTGGCATGCCTAGGGTCAGGCGCCACTTGTCTTGGCTATTTGCCCTGGCCTCGGACAGCATCCCCTTCGTCATTGCCGGGCCCCGGGAAACAGTCCACCCACCCCCTTAAACTTCTCCCCACACACGGCACGACTGGGGAGCGTAAGGTGCCAAATCTGGGCTCATACCTCATTCAAAAGCATTGTTGAGGATCCAAAACGCCTCGCGGCCGCTCATGTCGTGCTTGACTTGGCCCTACGCGAGCAAGTTATCGCCTCGAACTTTCTCCCTCCGCTCACCTGCGTTTGGGGGTGCAGGGTAGCACTGTTTGGCTAGCTCATAGTCTGAAAGTGCCCATGTCGGGCTCCCGCACGAAGCCAGGGACAAATCAGGCTCAGCTCGCGATGGACCCGTCCGAACCCACCCTGTTGAGACTATTATACTGTGGTGGTACCCTTGGCCAGCAAAGTGCTTTGGTGTGGGGGTTTGTTGGGGTGGGGAAGATCTTAGGGTGTTACCCGACCCGCCAAAGCAGCTTCGGCCGGAAGGACTGATCTAAAGCAGCAACTTCGGCTGGTTGCGTCCTGGTTCTCATCTTGATGCCCTTGTTCCTCCCGGGGTTCATCGCATTCACGGCGACGAAATCCGAGTTGATTCCTCTCGAGAATACAATCACAACCGGTACATCCGCCCAACTGCAGCCCGAGCGCCTCACATAACACTCCCTCGCGTCGCTAAACCCTGCCGTTTACCACCCACGGAGCCCACCTCCTGCCGTTCGGCGCCTCAATTTTCGATCCAAATCACCACCGGTATGCTCCTAGAACTCACCTTATCCCCATATTCCAAGTCAATTCCAACACCGTCACCGTCAGTCATACAGTGCCTAGGCAAGGCAAGCCTGGAGGTTCTGAGAAGGGGCAAAAGGACCGCGGACCTGACCCGGACGAAGATACTATTGCCTCTACCACCCTCCTCAACCTCATCCCAACATCCGGCAAACGTTTCCTCAACCCTTGATCCGGCTGTTGACTGACGTCGTGCTGCCTCGCCCTGGCATCAGACTGGGTTCGACATCTAGCGGAAACCTCACCGCATTTCGAGAACAGCCTCCGCTTTGGCAGCGACCGCCTCGGTCGAGCCTCTGCCACATGTCTGTGTTAGCTCTTGTCCTTCTCAACTTGAACCTGCGCCTTGCCTGCCGCCCACTTACGCCCATCGGCCAGCTGGAGCGTGCGGTCTTGATGCGTGGAGCAGACAATTGTTGGCATGGCCCATCACATCGCTGCTGGCGTCTCGGCTTGTGGTATTGACGTCCGCCGTCCTGCATGTCATTAGTTCTTTGTTCGATGGATTAAGGGGGCATCGAGGAGTACAATGGTCGGATTTGTATGTGGTTCTCTAATCAGTCGTCGATGAACATAGGTACATGTATCGTCCTACTTTTCAAGGTTAGATAATGTATTGATACCATTCTCGAGATGGAGTACCTGTAAAGTGTACTACTTACAGCACCGTCGACAGGCTTCACGATGCACAGCGGCCGCAATGACTTAGGGTTGATCATAAGCTTTTCCCTCCTGCATGATCCATGCGACTGTGACCTCACCTGTGATGGGCTGAGCCCATGATGGCCTCGGCAACCCTCGGCCGTGGTATCATGATAACGTCATCCTGAGGCAGGCAGTGTCTGTGTGTTCCGGAGCATATAAGAGCTGCCCTGTCTTCCTGTCATCTAGTTCTCTCTTTTCTTCTTCTTTCTCCATTCGAGGCAAACTCGTAGAGTCGTCACCAGCTAGTTGCAATATACTCCTGGGACCGTTACATCACCAGGTTAGACAGTAGTGGTGAATCATGAATGGAGTCGATCCATGAGCTCGATCCGCCGGCTTGCATCGATGAAGTGGTGGGAGTTGCGGGTAAGCCACATACGGATGAATAGCAGAACGATGATGCTCCATTCTTCTTAGAAGCAGAGCAAGTCCTAAGTTCAGAAAGCAACAAAGAAGGGAGTCGTGAGGTGATGGAAGTGAGGAACACAGCATCGTGCCGGTAGTCCAGGCTGATAAGGGAACTTGGGGAGCAAGGCACTCTAAAGCAGAAGACAAAGCGAGTCTCGAATGAGCCCAATGTCATAGAGAATTGGAATGAGACAGAATCTCTAGAGTTCCCAGTGAAAGTGACGAAGTGAGTCCTGCGGCAGGAGTTGGAATTGTGCTCTCAGGAGAGAGGAGTAGAAACTGCCATAGTTGGTTGATCTCGACGATTGGCCACCGAGCTACAGTACTGCTTTCCCTCTTGTTGGGGAATAGAGCTGGAACAGATTTATAGGCAATGTGGTGTGACTTCGGACGGCTGGCAGGTGGCAGTGGCGCTGGCCGTTAGCAACATGAATCTATCTGATCTTCCACATCGGCTGGCCAGTCAGCCGGCTGAAGAGTCCGCTGGCTTATCACAGGTACATTGGCCACGGTGATATCAAAGAGAGCAGAAGGTATTGAAAACATGGAGGAAACCTTTGATCGATTTGCTCTGTCCTGGACTGTCCAAGCACATCGAGATCTGGTACACCATACGGGTTTGTCGTCCGCGCCCAAACATTGAGTGCCCAGGTCCTTCTCACCGCACTTTCTGGTTGTCTGTGCACTGAGAGTCGGCCTGCCATGTCTGAGAGGCAGGGGGTTCGGGGAGATTGAAAGAGTCTCGGTCGACTCCAGTCGCCCATTGGATTGGGAGTGGACAGTCGCTATGATAAACGAAGGTCAAGTTAACAAAGGTCTGCTTTACAGCGTGGTTACCTATTGTTCTGGAGAGCTGCGGTTTCTTGCTAATGTTCTCCAACAAAAACAGGAACAGCAATCCCTCTTCCCACACATCCGACGCCCCCGGAGTCCCTCCCATCATGCGAGTCGTCGAGAAAAAAGTTCCCTCTCCTCCGCGTCACAAATGCCTTTCGCTCGGTGGTGCGAAGCTCGGCAAAAGCCTTGACCAACGCCATCCGGTCAGCATCGATGTTGAGCAGTCGCATGCCTCTACGACCTGCTCGTACGACAACTGGAGCCGCCGGCGCAACTGTTCGTCAGCCGCGAATTCTTCTTCCATCGGAATCGGGCAAGTCCGCTCGACGAAGAGTCCCCCGCCGTCCGAGCCGCTGCCTTCGCCGTTGTCATGGTTGCGGAAGCCGTCGAGGACCTGAAGTCCGCCGCAACCGCCTAACCAAAAAGCTCCACCGCCTTGTGCCAGTTGAAGGCGTCGGCCAGGCCGAAGGCGTGGATCGCCCGAGCGAGCCTGCAATGCTGGTCGATAGTAAAGGGTTCTCGGGGAGTCTTGGGCCGATTACTACCAACAATGTCAACTGTGAATTTCCTACTCCGGGTCGGGAGAGTCTCAGGAGTAAATGTGCAATCTCTGGAGCAAAGTGGTTGCTGAGACAACCGTAATGAGGTAGAAACAGTGTTACTCACGGTCTAGCGGCTCGAAGAATCAGAACTAAAATAATGAATCTGTTCTCGGATATGGCTCCAGCCCAAGGCTGGAGGGAATGGTGCTTCCGGAGGGACAAGCAAAAGTAGAGGGGATTTGGCGCGGTTTCTATTTGGCTCTGGATCTGCCGGAGCAGCAGCTCGGTCGCGGCTTCGAACAGCTGAGAGAAGCAATGGTCGGTGAGATGGGTGGAGAGGTAGTGGGCATCCTTTTTCAGCGCCGTCGTCAGGGCGTGATCATTGCGGCAGTTTTAAGCAGGAAGGCCTGGAATGGATAGATCAGCCTGCCTTAGGGAGTGGATCCCTCAAGCGCAACTGCTTCCTTGCCGAGTTCTTGGGCACGCATGACGGCGCGTCTTTGGAAGCTTGCGACGACAGTCCGGGGTATGCGCCATTTGCTCGATCGAGTCAAACCAGTACCGATTTTGATGGAGCTGATGAAGGTGGTGTATTGAAATGCGGTCGGTTGAACATGGGTTGAGACGGTGGTCTCCGAGTTGCTTGATTCAGGTTGCGACTCTGTATGAAGCGGGAATGACGAAGTCGGTCGAAAGAAGCGGAGGAAACGCGCCAGAGAAAAGTGACAAGAAACCAGAAAGAGTTGAAGAGTACCATTAGGGAACTCCGAGAGAGAGACACGAGTACGGTGTCCTAGCAGTTCAAAAATCGGAAATGATGGCAGCTTCAGACGGATCGAGAGTTCAACCATTCCCCGCAGAAGATATCGCTCCGAGTGTCACCAGCTGCCAATTCAACATAAGCTGAAACCTGTCAGCACATCAAGGTCAGATGGATGATAGCTTGCCTTAGAAACAAACTGAACTCTGTGGGCCGTGCCATCACCTCCGGCCCGCCTCTTCAGGCTCTTGAACTCTCGCCCACCGCCGCGCTCACCCACCATCGCCGTCTCTACCGCCGACTCGAAGTCCACCACCTTCGAAACCATCGTTGCGAAGAGACCACTCCTTCTCCAAATCATCACCATGGGCGGCAACAAAATGCATGGGAAGCCTCAACGCAAGTATGGCCACAATGCGCAAGACAGACGCGTTGTGAAGCCGACATCCTTTGAGCCCGAGCCGGCTGCAGAAGTTGCAGGCTCCGAAGCCTATCCCACGCAACAAATTCTAGAAAACTAAAAAAAATAGATGGCTTCTGCGTGAACACCTCCCGAAGGCTGGATTTTTTTATTCTCTCAACAAGTCCCTGCTCAGGAGCAACAATAAAGATACCAAGCTTTAGAACGCCATCAAGAAGGGGTTGAAGCAGAACCAAGTTGAGGTGCCGTCGCGAAACACAGCTTTGCTCGACATTGTCTTCTCCGACATCTTCGGCGAAGCGACAGCGCTGCTGCAGCCAGGCAAGGAAACAACAACGACAAGTCCATGACGATCCCATCGACTTTATACAACAGCTTCGTGCCCGGCCTGGCATGCAGAACTCTGGAAGCGGCAGCCCTCCAACAGACTCATTGTACTGCTCCTTATATTGGGCGTCGCTCGCCAGAATTTGAACCTGAACCGGCTGCTCTCTCAAGTTGTCCATGACTGCGACACGGCTCTCGCCATGACGCCTTTCTGGCGTTCGACAGTGTCAACTGGCATGACGCTCCTGTGGTACGACGCCGCCTTTGCCGCGAAAATACGCACCCTGAGGCCTGGTGAGCGATATGAGGTATAGAAAGAGAAGTGGGCTGCTGCCAGGGATGAGAAGCGCCGTGGTTGCGGAGGTCGCAGGGGCAAGATGGGGAACAGGAATAACCTGGAAGGCCGAGCTCGCCAATCTGGTCAAACCATCCGCCTTCACCACCGCTGCCACAAGCTTGGTTCAGCCGCCTATCGGGGAGATTACCGAGTGCATGCGGCGCGTCAATATCGACATCAACAAGGAGTCGTTAAGGGAAGAGTGCGAAGCTTAGCATCCAGGACCCGGACTGAAACGGGCAAAGATGACAACGTGCTGGAAGACAGGGATGATTTTGATTTAAGCAAGGTCGTTTGGGCAAGGACTAACTAACTAGTTAGGAAGCTTTTGGTTCACAATTTGGTGACTTATCTTAGCTAGCTTCTTATCTTTCTTCCTATTTTCTTTTCTATCCTATCATTTCCTTTTTTCCCCTATCCTTTCCTTTCCTTTCCTTTCCTTTCCTTGCCTTTTAGTATTTGATTTGTTTTCCTTTTCCCTTGACTAACTATGTCTTTGTTCTTTCTCTTTTTTTCTTTTTTTTTGCTCTTTTTTTTCTTATTTTTTTGTTTCTATTTTTCAATTTTTCTCTTTTCTCTTAACTAGTTATCTTCCTCCTCTTTATACTTTCTTTAACGTGTGTTGTAAGCGAGTCGACCTATATGCGAGTCGACCACATTTCCCTGCCTTATAAGAACTAACGTACATGATAAGCGAACGTCCCAGACAAGCGAACGTCCCACAAATCCACTCCTTCATACCATTCATCTTTTTATCGACTTTCCCTCACAACGCAATATGCCCCTAAAAAACGACGAAGCACAAGTGCAATTAGCCCTTCAAGCAATCCAGAATGATCCGAAACTGAGCCTAAGAGCTGCAGCTAGGATCTATTCTGTGGACCACGAGAAGCTCAGTCGCCGAAGACGCGGTAAACATTCACGACGCGACATTCCGGCTAACTCGCGCAAATTGACCGACCTGGAGGAATCGGTTAATGTTCAGTATGTCCTCGATCTGGATTCCAAAGGATTCCCTCCCCACTTGTCTAGTGTGGAAGATATGACCTACCAACTACTTGCTGAACGCGACGCGGGACGCGTCGGGGCGCGTTGGGCGTACAACTCCGTTAAACGACAACCAGACCCTCACGACCCTA